AATGAGAACACCCCTTCAGAGTTGTCAGAAAACCTTTAGTTTCTTTTCAAAATCAACATTTTCTATGTCAGACTACACAACAAAATACTCCCCCAAATCTCGGCCATTGACTGCAAACAAGATTTTTTAGTTGCATACAAAAAAGTATTTTTTCCAACTTAAAATAAGGATGCAAAAACGAGTACAACCCATTCAAAGTTTTGGAAGCAAAGCTAAATTTTAGTTACCGTATCAGCCTTATTTTCATCTTATGGTAAATAAAATGTTAAACTCAGCTTTGTCAAAAATTGTACTTTTGCTCATTTAGATATTAAGTAACACATTACTCTTAATAGGGGGTGTACTGACTTATGCTGGGCGCTGTATGTAATGATGGCTGTCTACTGTATGGGGTAATACTGATCATTCCTGGACAGGTTTTTTTTTTTAAGTTAACATCCTTTAGTGTTCCTCTTTCACTTTGTTTTCCACAGATCTTCAGATTTAACAGCTGTCTGAGATAAAGCAGCCCCTCTGCCGTTTGAAAACAGGACCTGCATAGTATGAATACCGTAATGTCAGCGGAGTGAGAAGAACTCGCTCATAATGCATCTTTTTTTTCTTTTTCTGTGAGGGCCTCGGGGAGGCTGAGGAGCAGTTCTGCAGGACTGTGAGCAGAGGTTCATGCTGCCACCCATGAACCTCACAGCTCTGGAGAATCAGTCTCATCATACGTTCACAAACGTGTCAATAATGTGCTGATCACAGAGGCAACAGAAGGAAGCTAGTGGTGCAGACCGTGGAGTACAGTGAACTCATTGTTATGTTTCAGGAACTATAAATCACTCTAATACTGATGCATAGTTTCACTTCAGCAGACTGCCATACTGCATGCCTTCAGTTGTGATTGATTGATTGGTTGATTAGATATTAGCTTTGAAGAAACAGTTTTTAGCCGATTAATAAGAGAGAGAAGTAGGAGCGTATGACCAAATGTCTTTCCTAGAAATTCATTGAGCTTTATTACCTACTTTCATTTTTCCTTTGCACACATTACTGTACAAGTAGGCTACTTTATTATTTAATGTATTCAATTATTATTATTATTATTAAAGTTTTATGGATTTCCATAGAGGTAAAAACACATTTTGTTAAGAAATGATATTTAGAATGAAAATAAAGCTAAACATCAAACTTACCTGCATTTTACCCCTGATGCCAGACACCAAGTCAACCTTTTCTCTTTTTCTTCCCCTGCAGACAGTATAAAAGGATTCTGCTGTTCACTTAAAGGGATATTCCAGTGTTAAATTAATTTAGGGTCAAACACACCGTAACACCGAGTTAGACACCCCCTCCAGAGATGAGTGTTGCAGACCGCTTGCTTCTCTAATTAGACCAACTTTAGTAATGACCGCAGGATAGAAATACAGAGAGGTCTGAGGAGCCATAAACAAACCTCAACTAAAACGCCACTCTATAGCCACAAATAATGCTCAGAACAGCACCTAACTTCATCAACAGGACATATAGGGTCACAGACATAATAATAGACACCAAACATCTTTTTAGCTTTGCCTAATTTCTTTAGCAAAAAAACTTAACACAACTCACCTACTCTCTTCCAGCAGCCACTTGTATTACTGACTACAGCGGGGTGACGCAGCTCAAGGAAGAACCTTTATGATCATTTCTTTATCATTTCCTTGAAGTAATAATCATCATATTAATCATGTTTCACTGCAGACGCGTCTCTCGAGGGGGTGTCTATAACTCGGTGTCACGGTGTGTTTGACCCTAAATTAATTTTACGCAGGAATATCCCTTTAAAGGAGATTTTCTAAAGTTTGGTCCAAACTTCCTTTCTTTTCATTTTATTCCCATTTTTTATGGTTTGCATTACAATTTAAATCGCACATATATAACACTAAATATTCCTGCAGACATGTACTTACTCCTTTATCTATATGAGCTGAACATGACTGCAGTAATTACCAGACTGAATTTAATCATATATCAAGAACCTACAATTAAAGACGGCTTCACACAGCCTAACTTCATAACATATTGTGAGCCGACCTGCAGCACACCTTGATCTGGAGTGCACATCGGTGCAGCAGACAGAACATGCCCAAGGGAAGTCGCCCTGTCATTCAGAGCGGAGCTGGAATAATGCCCGCGTTTATAAAAGAAGACTTCTTCACAACACAATCATTGATTCTTGTACAAGAAGGGTGTGTCGAGCTCTGAAAGAGACTCTGGGCTCCGAGATGGTCTCTGTATGTGTGACCTCAAGCTGTGTGCATCTGTATCAGCGTGTGTGTATTCATGTGCATGTGTCTGTGTATGTGCGCGTGCATGCTGGGTGGGGGCTCAATGAATCGTCTCCCCACCCTGCAGGGAGTAGCTCTTCCTCTCAGGGGTTCAGAAATAACTAACAGACAGCTTTATTGTTCAAGAAAACCTGCCTGCTGTCTCTGCCTGCTGCTCACACACACACACACACACACACACACACACACACACACACACACACACACACACACACACACACACACACACAAAGACCCCCCTCTCCTTTTACAGATCTAAATAACTGACAAGTAGAGTCTTGGTTACACCCTGGCTCTGAGGAAGGGAGGAGGAAAGAGGGTGAGAGAGGGGAGGGAGGTAGAGAGAGAGAGAGACGAGACAGACAGAGAGATAGAGAGTAAGAGAGAGAGAGAGAGAGAGAGTGAACGGGGGGTGAAGGGAGGGTTGTGGACACTCCATGTGCTGACAGGACAGCAGTGGTCACACCCAAACTGTGGCGCCTGACCTTCTACAACAAACAGAAACACCCTTACACACACACACACACACATACATTCACAAACACACACACACACACACACACACACACACACTCACACACACTCACACACAGGCTTGAATCTTGTAACATCATCCGTCCTAGTTTTCCCGGATAGGGGATGTCTTCTCTCTGCCTGGCCTGCTGCTCCATGTTAGCAGTTTGTGACTCAGCAGGATGACAACAATCTGCTTTTCATAACCTGAGCCTCAGTTTTCACCCTGAGGTCACCTCTGGGAGCTTCTCTCAGATGTTTGTTGATTTGGACAGAAAAAGAGTCTGCTGAATGAAACTGTACACTGTAACCTGTGAGTCTGCTGCAAACAATCCGAGGTGAAAAGAAACCGCCTACGATACTGACAACAATAAAAACACAAGGAGAGCTTTTAAATGAAGTGGTTCCTCAAGACAGAGGAACATGACAACATCTTAAGGTCATTATAGGACATATGTACCATGAGACAGGAGGTAAGATGCTGCAGTTTTAAGTGGAAAATAAATCATCCAATTATATGATGGATTAAAGGGATATTCCGGCGTAAAATTAATTTAAGGTCAAACACACCGTAACACAGAGTTAGACACCCCCTCAAGAGATGAATGTTGACGACCGCTTGATTCTCTAGTTATACCAACTTTAGTAACGACCGCCCAATACACAGCGGTCTGAGGAGCCATAAACAAACCTCAACCAAAACGCCACTCTATAGACACAAATAATGCTCAGAACAGCACCTAACTTCATCAACAGGACATATAGGGTCACAGACATAGTACTAGACACCAAACATCTTTTTAACTTTGACTCATTTCTTTAGCAAAGAGACTAAACACAACTCACCTACTCTCTTCCAGCAGACGCTTGTTTGTAGCGAGACCTCAGGCCAGTCCATTACGGACTACAGCGGGGTGACGCAGCTCAAGGAAGAACATTTATGATCATTTCTTTATCATTTCCTTGAAGTTATAATGATCAAAATAATCATTTGTCACTGCAGACGCGGTAGTTCTTCTGCCTTAGCGTCTCGGTCTGATTGCATTTTTATGAAGAAATTATCGTAATGGCTCGAGGTTTTTCTACAAACAAGCAGCTGCTGGAAGAGGGTAGGTGAGTAGGAGGTGTCTAACTCAGTGTTACGGTGCGTTTGACCCTACATTAATTTTACGCCGGGATATCCCTTTAAGTCTTTGGTCTATGGTTTAAGTCTTTGGTTTAAGTCTATGGACAGGATATGGAAGTCCAACATGAATCCAGGTCTGAAGAAGCGTTTCTTCGTCGCCACGGTCGAGTCAATCCTCATATACGGGTGCGAGTGTTGGGCATTGAATAATGCAATGGAGAAGTCCCTCAATGGTACCTACACACGCATGCTACGCAGGGTCCTAAATGTACACTGGAGCTCTCACACAACCAACGAAGTGCTTTACGGCGAACTGCCCGCAGTCGCTGACAAGATAGCAGCCAAGAGACTCCAGCTTGCAGGACACTGTCACCGCCACCCTGAGCTGAGCACCCAGAGAGTCTTGCTATGGGAGCCAAAACACGGCCACAGAAATAGAGGGAGGCCACGAACATCGTATGTGGATACCCTAAAGAAGGATACTGAAGCGAAGAGTGCCAGCGAGCTAGCTTCACTGATGAAGGATTGTGACGTTTGGCGCAACCATGTTCAATCTCACCGCGTTGCGACCTAAGTCAAGTAAGTCAAGTCTTTGGGGATCATTTTTCCCAGCAGTTTTCATCTGATATTGTAGTTTAATGCTGTTGCTGTCTCTTAGTTCTAGTAAAGTATCTGAATATTTCTCCCTTTAACAAATTTAAACACTAAAAGTTGCTGATTTAACAGTTTCAGTGAATTGTTTCCATCTTTTCTGTCCATGAATTTTTAATTTTTGCATGAAAATTTAAACTCAGTCTGAGATGTTTGGCTCATAAACTCTAATCCCATCACTTGATGTCATTTAGTTACAGTTAAATAACTGTTGAGGGTTTGGCAAAGTGCTCTTCATCTTTATGATTGTTGAATTTGTAGATAAGATAAGTCATAAATCATGTCAGCTGTAAACCTTTACCTGAACCTGTTTTTAAATATCACACCTGCTGCTTCTCTGCTAATCCTCTCCAGGATTTATTCTATTTCTTCAAATAAATACAGCGTGCAAAAATAAATCACTAATGGAAACTTCATTTAATATTTACAAAACATTGACAGGGTGATTTTACAGCCGTTTTTAAATTTTTTTAGACTCAGACAGACGGAAGATTAAACGTCAACAGAGAGTTTCTGGTGATCAGAAGCTGAGAGAAATGTTTTTAATGAACACACAATTTATTCCCACAGACACACACACACACACACACACACACACACACACACACACACACACACACACACACACACACACACACACAGGGAGTAAAGGAAATACAACCAGATAAAGGAGGAATGTATGTATCATTCACACAACACAACATTATGCAACTGTGACGTGTTAACTAAAGGTTTAGACATGTGGAGCTGCAATTTCTGGGTGGTATGATGAAAGATACACACACACACCTACACACGCAAACTCACACACTTATAGACTGTGATGTTGAAATATACGGGGTTGAATGTGTGTGCAATTTCCTTGCCAACACTGTGAGCACTGTTTGGCCAAACAATAGCACGTTATGTAAGGTGGAGTTTGCAGTAACTGTGATAAATATTCCTAAAAATACATCTCTGACAAGTAAACACACTCTGAACTTAAAAAAAAACAACTAAATATGATTGTTTTCATCAGTTTTTCTGCTCCTTTATAAAACAAAATAATGGGATCCAATAGAAGCTTCACTGTAGTAAACTTCCCCAACATTGATCGATCACAGATTTAACTCAAGCTCCTTAAACTTCAACATAATCTCTGTTTGAAAACATCAAATCTTTGAGAGCCAAATGTCAGAGTGACTTCAGCTGAAGCAGTCCACTGAAGCTGTCACAGGTCCAGTATAATCAGTAGCTCTCTTTATGGTCTCTATGGCTGTAAATGTTACAGGTGAAGTAGCTCCTAATCAAGCTTTACTGCTTTATGAGCTGTTACTGAGTCTGTTTGACCTTTGGTACTGACCAGCACGCTCACGTCTCGGCATGTGATGTGCCGCTCTGTGCCTTTGAACAGAGCGCCATCAGTGATCACATCCACCTAAATTACCCCACATGAAAAGATCAGGTTGGATAGTTGATGGTGTGAAGATGAGCTGATGAATATTCAGCGGTTTATTTAAGGTTTGGGATGACAACATCAGCTAGATTACTTTGACCCTTGTGATCCTCTGAGTTTTCTCTCTAGTCTCACTGTGAGGGTGACATTTTTAATCTTAAAAGTCATAATAATATTAATAATTACTTTTACCCAGCTGTAGTAAATACCTTTGATACTGACTGCTGGTTTATGGATCATCAGTAAAGGACAGAAACAGCCTGAACCAGATAGTAAAAGTCTGCTCCAAAATTATTAGCGTACAGCTGATGAACCTGAGCTCCAGAAAGCCAGAGGAATTATGGACCAGCCAGGACACATCCTCTACTCCGACTTTTCTCTTATGCCCTCTGGGAGGCGCTACTATGCACCCCCATGGAAAAAGATTGGTACTCTAACTCATTTATCCCCTCAGCGATCAGGCTGCTAAATGCTGGGAAGTACCTGATTGGTGGCCTGTGTGGAAATTGGGGTCTCTGGGTTGTTTTAGTTCTTATTTTACTTCTTTTATGGCATTGCTTCTTATTGCATTTTAGCCATTTCACTGTTGAACGTATTCAGCATGTATTTATTTATTCTATTTATTCATTTATTGCTGATTTGTGGTGCTGACAGGAGAATGTTTAGGCCATATGCTGCTGTGAATGTCTGGCATTTGTCTGTTCCTTGATCGTTTAAAAACCAGGTGGGTTTACTGTGAAATGAACTGTCCTTCGGAGATTAATGAAATTGTCTGAATCTAAATACTCAATTCTTCAGGAGCAACCTGACCACATACATTACATTGAATCAATCAGCTGAAGGGTCCAGCACGCTTCACCTCTGCCTGTTGACACTAAGTCAAAACAAACATTTCCATTAGCTTTCTAAATTAGCAGGCTAAACGATATGGAAGGTGTTTTGATTGTACTTTTAAGTAAGTTATGAAGCAGAAACTTTGGATTCAGGATTAATGGATAAAAACTCTCCAAAAAAAAAAAAGAGAGAGAAGAGGAAATCAGTGCTGAAACAGTATGAGAGATGTCCACCAAACTCAGCTCGACAAACACAAAGCAAAAACAAACTGTTGAAAGATCTAGATTGGGGGATTGTTCAAGGACTGATTGAGGGAACAGAAAATGACAATAGACTTAAAAAGGGAAGAAGCAGTCGAGGCTTAAATCTGTGACTACAGTTGTTTTGTGCATCGATGCAACATACCAAGAAAGAAACTGCTAATAGCTTGACTTCTCTGTGAATGAAACGTGAAGTTTAATGTGTTTGTCAGACAGGCAGGTTAAGGTTTTATATTGGATTGAATTGTTGGGTTGATTAATCCCACAAGCAGGCTGATATGGATCTGTTACCATGGAATCAATGCATCATTCTAAAATCAATTAAACTTGTCTTTTTATACATATTTTATGTCATTTTAGCTGTAACTTCCCACTGAGCAACAGACGACTATTAAACAGCTAGTTTTTCATTTTCCTAATTCCAACCGTCTAGATTCTGTATATTTTTAGACGTTGCACTTAAACCCTTCAACTATTTATTTCAAAAAGCAACTGTGAGTCGCATGACTGATTTCCAAGTACTTAACCAAAATAATTATGATAGCCGTTGAGCAATAGACAATGCAGTATAGATAAAGCCCAAATTTAGACTTGGTCTAAACTTGGTCTAAATTTAGACATCTAAAAAACGTTTATTTTTAGACCTGTGGTAGCCTGATTTCAGACCAGTCGTCTAGGCTACATTTAGACGTCTGTCAGACCTCTTTTAAAAATGCTCAGTGGGTTCTGTTGTCGATATAAAAAAATAAGCAGGATAATACATACTAATGTTGTAGGATCACCAAGAGGACTGTTAGAATCAGCTGCTCTCTATAAAGACAAAGATATTATACTAATCCAGAGCGGGAAATTGCACTGTTACAGCAGCTCCAGTCACAGTCACAACACATCATTCAATAATGGACATTAAAGTCACATCGCTGTGTCTTAACCCTCACTTGGATAGATTGATATAATATTTACGGCGTCCCTATCCACCTTTATCACTCGATGAATGAGGTATCCAGAGTTTATGCAAAACTTCACCCGATCTTCTGTATCAATGGATCACTGACAATATTATAATGGAGTGATACCTTTTTATATTAAAGTGTGAATTAAAACTAAAGGCTCTAAAGAAAACGATCAACTTTCCCAGAGGAAACCCAAACCATTACACCCTCATCCCAAGTTCTTTGCTCTACCGATAAGTTATGCAGCCAAAACATGAAGTTAGATGCTAAAGATGGGTGGCAAGAACCTGTGCATCAACAGGTTTATCATCTGGACATCTTACGTCACCAGAATTTTATCAAGTTAAACCTTGAGGAGGTTCAACAATCAGCTTGAGTGTCCTGCAAACAACCCCAACTCCTCCCAGATGTTGTCTGTCTCCTTCTCCGGTAAGATAAATATCTGCTCCTCACAACAGCAATATTTAGAACCGAAGAAGCTTCTTGGATAAGAGGCCAAACATCTTCTCAACTCTACACAGTCCAGTTGCCTGATTTTGGAGTCTTCAGGAAAACCGTGACCTGGATGATTGAGAATCTAGATGGACTCATACCAACCGTTATACCCACAGGTGGTAGAAGAGGGAGGACAGAGACGGTAAAGCCAGGGTGAGGAGTCCCGTCACTCATGTTCTAGCTGGGAGTATTTCTCATAAATCTGACACTGTTTTGAGCAGCAAACTCTGAGGGGCTAATCACAGAAATGGTTGAATTGTTTAATGCTGAACATCACACTCACTGCTTTCTCAGACAACATAGTTAGGATCCATATATGACGTTGACATCTCCAGTTTTAAACGCCATCTCCCTGGCTCTCTCTCTCTCTCTCTCTCTCTGGAGTGTGTCTCACCGGGGTTGTGGGAGGATACATGCATGTGGTGGAGCTCAGTGCAGGGCCGGGCCGGGCCGGGCCGGGCCGGGGTGGAGTGTGGAAGGATAAATAGATGCCAAGTCAAATAAAACAAAACTTCGAGCAACGGCACGACCCCTGGCGCTGCGCTCAGCCTGGCAGTGAGACACATAAACACACACTCATGCGCACACACGGTAGGCGTCCTCTTGGTGATCCCTCTCACTCTCTGTTCACTTGACCACAGAATTAAGAAAACCTCCACACAGATGCAGATTTTCGACCACTCATGAAAGAATCAGACAGAGCAGGTGCACACAGAAACACATGATGGTCGGGCCGTCAGCACAGGCATGCACAGGACATGGGCAGGGCTGCTCGGTCAGGGGTTCTAAGGCTTTCAAATAAAATCCACATGAGCACCACAGAAATCCTGACAGATTAGTGGAGTCTAAGCGAGGCTGGCTCTGGTGGTCTGCAGGGTGTGCCCACCTCATCAGCAGGCGTACGGTCTACTTGCTGATCGCTCTCATTAGGAGTGGAGGGTGTGCACCTGAACCTGACTCTCTTTGTAGCTGCTTCATGGAAATCTCCACTGAGGAGGAGTGTTTGTTTAGGATCAGCTCTTGAGCTGTGTCTTTAAAACAGAACACTCAGGAGCACCGACAGGATTAATTACAGTCTTTTGTTAATTACAGTTATTCTTACGTTGATCCCCGTCCAAGTCTGGTGTTTTGACCTCGCCGAGGTACGGTCAAAGGTCGTTTAAAGAGCACGATTTCTGAGACTGCCAACATATGAGATGAGCCTTACTTTGATACTGACAGCAGAGGTGCAGGAATAGAAATACAAGAGTGGGACTTTAAACTCATGAGCCTCACCGAAGCAAACAAAGCAAGAGCCGGCAGGTCGGTCTTCAGCTGGTGAAGATTTTAACGATGTAAGTTTTCAATCATTTTATACTGAAAAAAAAAAACACCAAACTTCAAAGCTGCATCTATGAACTCACCACACAAACACAGATCATCTATTAGGGAATCTAGTTTTTTTAATGTCAACAGCTGCTTGTTCAAGAATCCAGATGTTTCATTGTGAGATCATTTTTTTGATTTTTGCAGAATTGACGAACTTTTTACTGACTTACTACTTTTGCTGCTGCTGCCAAATGCTGCATTTTGTCCACAAAAAAACATTCTGCCTCTATATGGTTCTGAATTTGCACTTTTTATAGCTTAAGCGACGCAGTTCAACGCTGATGAAAGGAGTGAACCAAAAATGCAGATGTATAAACCCCCCCCCCCCAAAAAAAATGAGCAAGAAACAGTGAAAATGCTTTGAGACACTGCAGTGAGATAATTTATGGTTTGTTGTTCCACATGAGCCACCTCTTTCTTGCTATGTGAAGTCATAGCTAGAGGGTGTCACGATCCGATATTGATATCGGTCAGATATCAGCAAAAAATTGAATATCGGATTACATCGCCCTGCATCTAAAATCTCCGACATAAGCAATACGATACAACCAGTCCATTCCAGACTCCGCTCCGGCACCTCTAGCTGGCAGCTTCCTGATCCAGCATGCAGAGCCCACATGATCACAACAACAGTGTGTACTAAGGCACTATCAAAGAACCAAGGAGTAGGAGAGATGTCAGCCGTGTGGCAGTATTTTCTGTGAAAGTCCGAAAAACACAGTGCAGCTGAGTGCAAAACTTGTCATGCACGAGTTTTTGCTAATATTGGATCAATATTGGTATCGGCCAATAGGGTCAAACACACCGAAACACAGAGTTAGACATCCCCTCGAGAGATGAATGTTGCCGACCGCTTGCTTCTCTAGTTATTAGTCTACAGTATGTAAAAATGGTTCTATCTGGACACCCGTGGTCATAGCTACTGTTGGACATCAGGAGACAAAAGTCTTTCCAGAAGCTCTAAACTCTGTGACTCTACAGCTCTGTTCATTTTATGGACTTTACATGTTCATTATTTTAGAGAACTTTTAATTTCATAAATGCTGTATTTTCATTTTCTTGATTCTTGAGGAAAAATCTGTTTGAACACTTTAGTATTTTTTTATTTGAGGCTGAGGTTGTGTTCTAGGTTCTTTGTCTGTTGTGTACACATGCACACAAATGTGGCCACAACTTGTCCAGACATGTCTTTCCCTCGACTTTTGAAGCAGTTCCTGGAGAAGACGCATGTCTGTGTTTTAAATACAGTGCATTTCCATATGATTGAAACCTGATAGGAAGCCTGTGGTGTTTAAAGTGACTGACATGTTTGGACAGGAGGTGGTATCATCTACACCTCTTTCTATCAGTCACAGGACACCTGACACACGCAGACACACACACACACACACGTGAAAGAAGACTGGCGTCAGATGTGGGGAAGGATATGAAATGTATTTCAAAGTTCAGTATTTGAACAATTAATTAAAACAAATTGTGCAAGAAGAGTCTGGAGTAAAAGCAAAATATTTCTACAGTGTAAATCATCAGATTTGTTAGCATCAGTGCACTTACACACTGTAACACAGAAATTAACAAACACACACAAACACACAAACACACACACACACACACACCAAGCAGCAGCTCAGCCTGAAGGAATTTAGTGTTGAATAAAGTAAGTGACTCAGAGTTGACAGATTGTCCCACAACAGCTGTTTTCTAGTAATTTTTCAGACATATAATAAAGTATGTTTTGTTCTTACTTAAAATAACTCATTTACCAACGTGTGCACGAGAAAGGCAGAGCGATTGTTGTGAGTTTTTCTGCTGAACCTGCATCTATTCCCCTCTCTACACACATGGACTGTACTAGAAGGTGAAAAAACAGGAAGTGGATTTATTGTGTTTCTCTTCCTGCAGCCTACTGCGGCTAAATGAAGCTGAAAACATTCAGGATCAGGAAACAAACTTTGGAATACTGAGGAGAATCAGAAATAGTTCCCCTCCGACCTCCTCTGAGAACGAGCACCAGTATCTAACATCATCGAGCTTACATTATGATACACTTTAGAACATAAAGAACTTTATCTTGAAGTCCATTCTTCATCTGTCCCTTTTGATCACCTCCTCGCTCTTTTTTTGGATACAGTTCATCTTTGTGTTCGAATGATCATATTCGAGTTTGAACGCATTTCTCTTTTTTGTACTGATGGGAACAATCTTTGGCTTTTTAGCCTCGTTACATTCACACAACAACTTAAACACACAGTAAAGTCACTCACAGAGACAAACGCACATGTACAGGTGCAAATCTAACAGATGTTTTGACAGTAAGGGCCCAGTGGGACAGTGCTATGTTTGGGAACCGCTGGTCAAATAAAAAAGAAGAAGAAGAAGAAAGTGAATTCATATTATCAGAGTGCTGGGAGTATGCACTTTTTTTTGGACATCCTTTCATTCCAAACTCCAATCATTTCTGTTCGTCTGATTTCCATCCTTCTCCCCTCTTTTAGGTCCGACTTCCTCTGACTTTCCTTTTTTTATTAAAACATTCACGAGCTGGAGAGAGGGTAAAGGTCGAGGAAGAAAGAGAGTCACTGAATGTCTCCCCCCTCATGTTTTTACGTCCTCTCGCCTCCACACCACACCCCGCTCCTCCCCAGGTTGTCTTCAGGTGTGGTTATGATCCCTCTGGAGGAGCCAGAAGGTGGGGGAGGTTCTCCACAGTCCTGTTCACCTGCCCCTCCACCTCAGCGAACTCTGTGTGCCTTTCTGAGGGTGGGGGGAGTGCGTGTCCATCAGGGGTGGTGAGGATGCCTAAACTGGCGAGGAAGTCCTTGAGGTGCGTGACGGTGCTGGCGAGCTGCTGTTTCTCCTCCTGGAGAGCAGAAACCTGCTCTTTCAGCTGGCCCTCAGACTGCGCCAAAGCCTCCACCCGGCTCTCCAGGCTGCAGACGCGGGCGTGTGACACCTGTGTGTGATAAAAGGAAGGTTAAACAAAAACTTTAATGAACAAAAACCAAATTAACATGTTTTCCTCTGTGCTTATGTGCACCTGTAGCTCCTCCAACAAATCAAGGTTCTGCTGTCGGAGGCTCTGATTCGTTCTCTCCAGCTGTGCGGCTCTCTGTTGCTGGTTGAGGGTTGGGGGCGTGTCCAGCAGCTCATCTTGCAGGACATGGTACTCCACCTCATAGGCCTGGAGCTGTTTGGACACGTCCATCTCACATACCTAATGAGGAAGAGCGGAAAGAATGAACAAACACCCCTTTATACTGCGGGTACAGATATCAGCTTTCTTTTGGTTTCTTCCCTTCAATAAAAAGTTTGTTTTTAACTATAATTTGTACAAAACTTCTACACAGAGATCTGAAACTCAACCACAGTCTCACATGATGAGTCCAGTGTTATCAGTACTGATAGGAAAGATGACCACAACAGGGACAAAAGGTCAAAGCCACCAAAGACTCATGTGGAGCAGCTTGTTGTCCCATGATGCTCCAAAGCAGAAGATAAACCCCCTTATACACGTTCAGCAGTCCGACCACAGCCAGCTCACAGACACCCTGGTGTGGTTAAATGGCACTTAAAGGAAAGTACTAACAAGCTCCAGCACGACTCAATGCTCCTGTTTTATCGGTTCAAATTATACTGTAAATTCATACTTTCTAAACTATAGTGTACTTTGAGAACATCTCTCTACTGTACGTGGATTTGACACATCATCATCAGTTAGTCGTTCCATAGAAAAATGTCAAATGCTCCGCGCTGACATAAGATTACAAGGCTGACTCATAGATGAAGACATGAGACAGTCTGATCAGCTGTGGTTTGTTTCCTCTCTGGAGTCGTTAAACGTGTATTTTCATTCAGCGGATTAACTTTTTTTTTCCATGATAATTTCCGACATGAAAGGTGAAGGTTATATGACTCATACTCCACCCATCAGGTGCTCTCCTCCATGCACTAAACAAAGGGTGTGGTTGGACTGTATCCTATTTATCACTCACTGATATCTGTTCTTTTTTTGTGGTGTCATAACATGATAATTATGTTGCTTCTCTATCGCCAAGATGAGTCAGAGAATCAGGTCCTATGATTTCATTTTTATTGTTTCTCGTGAATTAAGAGACGCAATAACAACACGGTTACATAACAGAGAGGATCTGACACATGAGGTTATCTGGTTTCCTGACCTATGACCTTTTCATTCAAGGTTGAGGGGTTTGTTGATTTTGAGTGATAAGGTGACACTTCACATTTATCTCAATGAGAACAGAAGCATTCTCTGATTTTATGTACATTTCAATCATTATCCTTAGAAATTTTAATTGTTGATAAATATTTGAGACACAGACTTAGGTCAAAAGGTATCCTGCAGTTATGTTACGCAGCAGCAGTGATCACAGGGACTAACGGTGATCTGACTTCAAAACTGTCACTTTGAAAGAGATGGAACATCTATACGACTTGAAAAAGAGGCTCCATGCATCGCACTGGGATAAGTTTATTAATATTGTCTGTTATATTTAGTCATGTTAGACCCTGACATGTAACAACAATCTGAAATGTAACAGAAATAATGTAATAAAACCCGAAATGTAATAACTGACCAATAATGTAACAAGATGTTGAGCCTGAAACTTTATGGCTTTTTGCCTGAAATGCAGAAACTTTATACATTAGGGGTCAATTATCACATTTCAGGTTTTATTACATTTTTTTAAACTACATTTTGAGTTGTTGTTACCGGCTCTAACAAGGCAGTAATGGTCATCCTAACAAACTTCCTGTATTGCAGTTGTTGTGTGCGGCGAAAGTGCAAACACTCTTGCCTGAGTGGTCTTGAGTTTGCAGTAGGGCTGGGCGATAAACTGAAAATTTACTGATACCGAAATTAACGACAATAACCAACGTCATTTTGCCAATGTCAATAAATTCAATGTCAAAAATATAAATAAATAAAAGTTGGTTTTGGATGTGTGTAGGTAGGCTACGGTCTCATGTCCCTTAAGGACGTTGTCCTACAACAGAGACGTGACTCTACCCCATCCAGTCCAACAAAGAGGGAAAGACAGGTGAGGAGATGGAGCTGGAGCAGCGGCTGAAGTAGACGAAGTTAATGTGGGAGGGGGTGAGCAGCTTGTGGAGTATTTATCCTCCATTTATCGTTATCGAGGTGAACTGCTCAATATATCGTGATATTGATTTGAGGCCATATCGTCCAGCCCTAGTTTGCATCTATGATTTTGTGTAATAGGCCCTTCGTACCCTATCTGTAACGGCGTGTGTGATGAGCTGTGTGGGCTCTGGTAGTTTTGAGGGAGCTGAAGAGGGTGTGATTCAAATTTTTTTTTATTGTTTGGCGACACTAGTAAAAAAAAAAAACCTAAAGGGGGTTAGATCAAGAATTCTATGAATCTAAAGTAGAGCAATGTGCTTCCTGCTTGAGCAAAGCAATTTATGCCAACGCCCCTCTGGTGTTATTTCTAGGATGTCCTTCATATGAACAGCCAGAGTCACAAGTTATCAGACTTCACAGTAATCACACCGTTGAGTTAAATCCTGTGGAACAAGGAAGTAAAGTGATGTTTTTCCCACAAAATACTGGAGAATAGTTTGGACAAGTATCTGTATCAAAAGACTGCATTGATAAGTGTTGGTATAAGCAGATAAGCTCTATCAGTACCAATATCTATACTGATAAATCTATACCATTCCCATCCTTATTGAAATTCTTGTGCCTTTTTGTTGGAGATAAATACCAGACTTCTCGTTTGTTTGGATTAAACAGTACAACCTACTTTTGGTTTTCTCAATTTGTTACGAAACACAACTCAGCTAAAATTACACACCCCTCCAAAAAAAAAACAGGACCAGGTAAAGCTCCTGTGGGAAGTGTTTCGACATCTATGAAACTGACTGAAATTCATATTGAAGCCTTTTAAAAATATCCGGAAGCAAACGAGACTATCAGCAACATGACTGTTTTTACTTTAAAATCTTTTAAACCTGAAACTGGCACAAAGGGGGTAGATTTTAGCCAAACAGTTAAGGAAACAGCTGTTCAATATTTATGATAAATAATGTATGAACAGGATTTGATTTTTCTAAGAAGACACCCTCATTAGAGGACAAGATAAATGAAGACTGTTTAGTGCCAAAAATATAATATTGACAGAGAAATAGGTCCCTCTGCACTCTTTCCCAGTTCACCCTCAGTTGATAGTTGTAGTCAAAAGTAACCACCAGTTTCCTGCTCTGACCTGGTTGATGGTTTTCTCCATCTGCACTAGGCCCAGGTTTGGCAGTGTGGTCTTGATGAAGTCCACAATAGACTCCAGGTTCTCGTGCTGCAGGATCAGAGGCTTGTGGCTCCCCAGCAGGCTCAGGGCTACCTTAAAAATGACCTCTGACCCCTGTAGGAACAACATATCTGACAAAGGAGAGAGAAACAATAAGTGGGCGGGTCCATTAAAAACCTGAAATTAACAGTGACGGACACTGATGGAGCAGATTTCAGAGAAGACCGGTGACTGGAAGAGTTTTTTAGATGACAGATGATTGACGTCAATAAAAAAAGGTTAAAACAAACATAAATATAGGTCAGAGTGAATATGAAGAGGCAGCAGAGGTGTGTTTATTAGTGTGCTTGCTGTGAATGCATCAGGGTGGAGTAAGGGTTAGGCAGGATTGCATGAGATCACATAACACATTAAGGAATGGGAGTGGTGGTGTGATATCAAAGTCTTAACAGCACTACAATGGTATCGGTGCCCTCCAACACACATGTATACACACACACACACACACACACACACACATACGTACGCAAACACACATGCCCACACACCGTTACGCTCAGATGAGCACAAGGAGCCAGTGAGTCTGGTTCACTGACCGAGCAGAGTGTAGGAAATTAGGCGTGAAAACAACAGTAGGAAAGGAATGAGAGAGAAGAAAGACATGAAAAAAGAGAGACCTTTATGAAGGGGCGGTGGGTGTGATCATGTCTACATCGATGCTTTAAGGGTCACTACAGAGGAAAACATCAGAGTGTTCCCCAAAGACTACTTTATCTGAGATATCTCTGTGTATGTGACTCATATACTGTAAAAAACGGGTCATCATCCTGAGGTTTAGTTTATCTTATCTGTCAAACTTCTATGAATTTTGCTTCACAACCTTTTTTTTGCTGCTTCTCCAATTTTTCCAATCACACCTCTCCTTCTTTTCGTTTCCCCCCTCCCCTGTTCCCCTGTTCTGGAGATCAGAGACAACCTTAAAAGACGACTTCTGGGGAAAACAGACAGTGTTGATTAAAAATCAAGCGTGGTCGACGGGTCCAGCTCTCGAAGATTACCGAAGACTCGGGCCACGAAGCCTAGGGGGAAGTGCGAGGCAAAAGCGGTGAGGAACCAGGGGGTGGCGTACAGACTGGGCCCGATCTCCTGCTGCTCCAGGTGGCTGTAAAGATCCCTGTGGTAGTCGTGGAGCAGCCGCGACAGCTGGTACATCTGAATCTGATATGAACAGCATAAAACAGTGTTAGTCTGGGAGAGTGTGGACATCTTTATCACTATAAACATCATTTCACACTTTGTTTGTTTTAATGAAGGCAGTGTTGTACAAGTCAGAGCTAAGCTGGTAACTGAATCGTACCACCAAGTAAAAGACCAGATTTAGTTTCTTCTTTAGTTTTTGATGCTGATGGAGATTAAAAGGCAACAAAACCTGCATCAAAGGTATCTTGTTAACCTCTGCATCAGAATAAAGGGTGCAGAATTTCCACAGAAACTAGGTAATAACTAACGCTGATGAGGTTTAAACTAAAAAAAGAAAAACACAAGCTGATCAATGTTATTCTTCGACCTGCCATCGTATAAATAGACTGACACATAAACACACAGTGATGTAATTCAAGAATGGCTGTGAGGCAATCATCCACATACAGTAAATGTGACACACAAAGATGTTCTGTGTGCACACTACCTGTAGGATGATCATGTCAGGCCTGTATTGCTTGCGGAGCCCAACGTCAAACATGAGAAATTTGAGCATGTTGAAGGCGTCCTCCTCCCCCATATGTAACAGCAGCACTCCAGCAATGAAGGACAGGCCCTGGCAGTAGCCCACCTGCAAAAACAACAGCAGACCTGACGTCAACACAGACAGGGAAGGAGGACAAAGAGCTAAAAGAAGGACAACAGTCCACACTTCTATTTGCCTCATCGAACGGGGGGTGTGGGAGGATACTAAAAAGAAAGTGAAAGAGGAAGAAGCCAAAGGGAATACTAAAGGGAAGAATTAGATCATACCTCAGGGTCCAGCAGGGAGTAGGCTTTCAGTAAATTAAACAGAGACAGCTGTCCTGCACCCAGCTGAGCTTGGAAATATGGATGAGTGGGAAAAGTGCGACCTAGAGCAGAAGAAAAGAGCAGATATGATCTACATACGCTGTTTACTTTGAGTAGGAATTCCTCTTCTAGACACCGTGTCTCTGTGATGTCTGGGATCAACCTGATTTCCATCTAAAACAGAACTTTAATCGATGTGATTTTCTTCATTTTTTCTGCTCAATCCTGAAAAGAACCCCTAATGATCCACAGGACACCAAAGCCTGTGGGTGTGTGTGTGCGCCACCTGTTTGAATGAAGCAGCTAAACTTCACCTTAGGATGAGAGACTCAACACTCTGCTGTTAATGTTTAAAAAAGAAAGAGCTGAGTGCATCAAGAGCACGAGAGCATGTGCCAACTTATTCCAGGTTGCCATGTTCGCAAACATGTTCATAAAAACAGGCATACACATGAATGCGTGTTTGAGTAAAGACCACATACCCTCCCTCCGCAGCTTAACATGTAACGCAGGATGGGACGTGTGCCTTTCAAAGGTGACAACATAATGACCTGGGATCTGTAAAAGACATTCTTACTGTGGACAGGCGGGTAATTGGCAGGTGTGTGTGTGTTTTGGGACTTAGGACTTCTTGACTTACAGTGTGTGACAGTGAAGCTGTGGAGAAGACAATGACGACGGTATGAGTGTGTATTCGTGGAATGTGCTAGAGGGGCTTTATGTTTGTGAACATAATGCCACGGCTCCCTCCCCTGCCTCAAGCTAAGAGAGCGTGTATGTATGTATGTGTGTGTGTTGACTGTAATGTGAGGTGTGGGAGTGCCGCGCTTTACAGCCTTGCACCTTTAAAATAGACGCCCTCTTACCTAACATTCGTTAACTGATCTGCTCAATCGTGGCTTTTGTGTTTTCATCCTGCAGACTTTTCTGCAGCTTCACATACACCCTGTTTTCATCCTATAGCGTATTACACCTTTACATAGGACTATACTGTCAACTGTCACTGTGCACGCCGTTTCCTCTGCCCCCACCCTACATGATGCAGAGCGAATAACACTGATCGACAGATGAAAGACACGGGGTCAACAGCAAACAGAGGTGAAGTGCTGCTGGGGTGGATGTGTATGTAAGAATTAGGTTTTTGATGAATGTGGGTGTTAAATGGGTGGGGTGTAGATGTTGTGTGTGTGTTAGTGGGTTTTTGGGCAGGAGACGTGACAATTTTAGGGCGGAACTGTCAAAATGAGGTTTGAAACACAGTTTGGTAACTGAACTGTATTTTGGATATTTTTCCTGATTAAACTGCAAAATGTTGACGCTCCTGTAAAGAGTTTTGATGGTTATTTATTGTGTTTTTGTGCAGCATTTTGGAAACCCTGCATTTGCTTAAATCTTGCTAAATAAACAAAATGGATTGGATGAAACACACTAAAATAAGTGCAAAAAAGTAAGAGAGACTATCAGCAATATATTGATTTTTTCAATACATTAATTTTCAAAGACAGCAGGTTATTAGACAAAAAAAAATCAAAACAAAAACAACAAAGAACAAAAAAAGAGACATGCATATGCGTGTGTTAATTACCCAGATCTATGAGGATGGCATGTTGCTGTGATGTGAGCTGTTTCAGCAGCTCTTTGTAGGGAGTGTGATTGGCAGGCGGTCGGGACGGGACCGTCTGCCTGAGCAGGTACTGTTCAGAGAGAAACTTCCAGATCTCGCCGCGATGCTGCCGTGGGACACCTGCCGGATATGACAGAGATGGAAGAGGAGAAGGGTGGGAGGGGGTGTGGATGAGACGAACGGGGTAGTTCAAAGGTGGTGTGACATGTTAATCTGCTTTAACTGTGAGGCGTTCAGGTGCAGTCCTTGTAAAAGCGTGATTTTTATCGGTACTATGCAAATTCTGTCTGAGGTATGCAAAACGTAAGGGGGTCTGATGTTAAGACTTGACAATGTGGTCAATCTCAGGGGGCTTAAAGTACTTAAAGAAGACTTAACATGGCTGTAAAAATACCGTATGTCAGCCCAGTAATTACTTTGACTGAGTGATGAACTGGTAGTGTCAGTTTGTCAAACAGAGATTTTTCACAGGGTCTTTCATTCAGTCTATTCTTGACTAAAATATAAAATCCACGCAAGAAAATGTCCCTAATCCTGGTCGAGTGGGGCATCTAGAGTATTTATTCAGAGTATGTATCATCCCCTGCTGAATTTCAATCCCATTATATCCAGTTTTTATTTCAATTTGAGACTAGAGTTTGATTATTAGGTCTGATAAAGAGACCTGATTTTTTTCCCCTAGCAGTTCAAGTTTCGCCGATATTTGCATCCTGATAAAATTTGCTAACGGCATGTCAGACACACCCAGTTAATGTACGCCCACTGACACCCTGAATCTGCCCTGTACGACTGCATTCTCATCGGAGGGCCTGAAGCGACTGTATAAAAGCAAATTTTCAACAATTTGAGAAATGTGCATATTCTTGTGAGGAGTCTTCCTCGTATGACTAATACCTCAGGGTTAGTGAGTCATATGGCTGAAACGGTAAATCAGGGGATGAGCTCACCTACATTTGTTGACAGCTGCTCACATAAATCTCACTTCTTTTATAAAAGGCATTTTGCTGTTTTATAGTTTACATATCGGTTCTCTTTAGCATCATTATGGGTTTTCAACTGCGTGTCAGGTACCTGCTTCAAGCTGCAAAAACTCTTTCATATCACCTAAACCCGATTCTTATTTTCGCCCTTCAGTGTATGCAAGGGTAAATTGAAAACAGATTATACTTGAGTGTGTGAGCTTTGGTTTGGGTTGTTTGTCGGTGAAAAGACTGTTTCATTTTAATGGCTTTAATGAGAGAGCAGAGATGTGAAATAGACCATGAAAGGATTTAGTTGAACGATAGGCAAATTCAATCAAATAAACCCTTTTTCAAGGAAAACAAAATTAAAACACCAAAGTAACTCTGAGCTTGTTCAGATCACAGGAGAATATTTCATCACAGGACTTTTATAGCATCTACTTAAACCTCTTTCTGCCTTCATTTAATGATGTCTTTTCATACGGTAACAGACGAGCTCTCAAGGTTATTTCACGTTGTTCTTAAACAGCAGAAATAACCCCTCTGTCCTCTGTGCACGACATGCCAATACTAGAAAAAGAACAGGAATGTCATCTAGCGCAGTGTGAGCGGTAGGCCCATGGGGAAAAGTAACATCCACACCGACTTTACTGTGTGCACAATCAGACACTTGAATACACTGTTGATGTTATGTTCTTCCCTGAGTGAGGAGAATGGTCCCAGTTGATGTTTTTACGATGTTAGTTTAAAACGTTAGGCTTAATGAGTATTTGCCAGTACATGTGATCTTGCAAAAGGGACAAACATTTCAGAGAAGCACAGACAGATTCACTGATTCATGGAAAAGATATGTACCTTGTGCAACAGCAGCATGTATGGTCTCTGGGTCAAATTTCACTTTGGCCCGCCCTGGAGTTCCCAGCATCTTCTCCCAGACCAGAGTGACCTCCTTCAGACACGGAGTGATTTCCTCGTAGTCCAGCTTCAGACGTTTGTTCTGCAGATCACTCTCTGAGGCTGCAGCACAAGTAAAAAAAAACCAAATCAATGAAGTGACATCCTCATCACCTCTTATCTGCCCTGTGTTGTGCGTGGTTGCTACGTGTCCTCTGTTTGTTTTAAGTGAAGTTAATGCAGCTGAATTTTAGTTCTCCATAGCTATTAAACCTACCTGGTGAGACGCAAGGATGACGCTGCTGCCTTCACTCTGCACAATGAACCCAACCCTGGACAATATTTGCCAACCCAAATGATCCTTTTGTAATTACAACCTGCATCTTAGACCAGATAGTGAATTCAATGCCATCATATTTTTACACATTATCAACTTGAACACACTTTTTTGGAGGAAAGCGTGACTGTAACTGCAGACTATACTTTTTTCAGAGGCGTGTTCACTTAATCCAGAAAGAGGATAAATACAATTTCAGGTGACACTTGATGCCTCTCTCTGTAACGCATTATAAATATATGTATGATGCGTTATAATCATGTTATAGCACTGTATAACTATAGTTATAAACACTCATAAATGATCATAATGCTCTATAGCAATAATCATAACACATTATAAAGCATTTTATCATGACTTACAGAGTCAGGTATTATAATGTGTTATAACTGTTAACGACTCACTGATAATGTCCACATAGATAAAGTATTATACATTTATTTATGATGTGTTATAATTTGCTCATAAACTTGTATAACTATCATTATAAACACTCATTAATTATCATAAGACTTTATAGCAATAAGCATAATACATTATAATACCTGACCTTGTAAGTCATGATAAAAAGCTTTATAATGTGTTATGATTATTGTTATAAAGCATTATGATCATTTATAACTGTGGTTATAATGTGGTTATAATGCATTACACATGTATTTATAATGTGTTACAGAGATAGGCGTCAAGTAAAGTGTTACCCAATTTCACAGAACGCATCAAATCTACATGTTGTATTGTGCTCACCAGCTACAACAACTGTGCTTTCCTGCTGTCTGAGGTTGATTTGGTCATGTACTGTGGATTCCTAAAGATTTGCCTCTGGATAAAAGTGCCTGCAGCAGAACAGATTTATTAATAACTGTAACAATAGAGACACAGGCCAGCCAGGGTGCTGACCTGGACTTGGATAAAAACAGCACAGACAGACACAAACTGTGAATTCCGTTTTAACATGTTGACACCAGTGATGAAAGAAGGTGAGGGCACACCCAGCGTCCCTCATATGTGCATTTCTTTGACAACACCCTTCCTCTCTCCCTCCCCCAATTTAGCCCACAACCCTCCATTTCTTTTTTTGTTTTTCTGCGAACACTCAGCTCCCTTCTCCTCATTCAATCCAACGTTTGTCTCATCAAAGTCGTACTCTCACTCTCTTTTATCCCTCCTTTCCCAGAAGGATTTTCCCGCCCTTTCCGCTCATGTGTGGCGTCCACCCAGCGCCCAGCTTGGGTAGAGTGACTTCATTATTGTCGGACAGGAAAGAGGCAGTAGGCCACTTCCTGAGCTGACCTGTGCAGGGGTGGAATGATTTAAATATATCTGCACATCTAAAAAAAATGGTCCAACTTGTAAAGGCGTCAGAGGACAGGAACTAACAAACAAAAACATGATTATTCACTACCTTAAAGAAGGAGTTTTCACTAAATGTCTAATAGCACACACTGAACTCCTATATAATATAAAAAAAAAGGATCAAAATGAACGGAGCCCATCATGAGAGGTTCATATGTGGCACTATTTATCATGGCTCAGTAGTCAAAGACAGCAGAGGAGCAGGAGTGACCTGGAATGTGAATCCTGGATAATTGAGGAAGAAAAGTGGGATGGCCTGGTAGCCGCCACACCCAGAGTAAGAATAGATGCTGCTTCAGAGGCTGTGGCTCTGCTGTCTGCCTTATCAGCTGTCTCAGACAGGCACAGTCTCGTCCAGCAGGACTCGCATGCTGGCTGCAGCCCAGCCGGCCCTTATTCTCTCCTCCTTTCCTCGCCTCCTGCTGCGCTCTACTTCTTTCCCTTTGTGTCGACTGAGAACTACGCCTATGATAGGACAACATGATAAAAAATTCCACCCTGGCCGTGACAAACACGCGCACTTTTCCAGTTGACCTATAAAAGGAGGCAACGGAGAGATAAATTGAAGAGAGTGGGACGGGGATTTGGTTTCCACACAGACAGCAGACAGAAAGGTGAAGTACACCGTGTTGAAGCAATAAAACATCATAAAACCAGAATAACAGAAAGTTTCACCACACTCACAGATTTGGATGTTCGCTCGTACAGTGTGAGTGCAGCCATCGGTGCAGCAGGGTCACTGCTCTGGTTTTACAGCGCTGATGTTTGACTTACATCAGCTCTGACCCACATTCTCTCAATAAAAATCAGTCATATTCAGCATGAAGACAGTTACGTCTACCTGTGTGATGGATGAACTGCTGTGTGTCTGTGAATTAATGCTTTGTAAACAGACCAGGTAGTTAGGGTGTGGTGCATTACATGACGTGTGTTGGTAGGCGGCCAACTGGGTCAAAAAAAAGGCGGTGCGCTCGGCACACCCTCAGATACAATCGAGGCACACACACACACACATACACACACCTACATATTATATAACCTGTGCATTGATAGTGGGTCTTTTATACCTGTATGAAAAATAAAATAAAGAGGTGTATGCTCAAGTGTCTGACCTGTGTGTGTGTGTGTGTGTGTGTACTTCAGAGCACATCTGAAAAGGCAGGATGCCAAAGACGGATCAATTTAAGACTTGTTTGTCTTGCTGTTTGGCTTCAAGAGAAATTTAATTCACGTGTCATTCAACAGAATCACCGTGTGAGTGATGCTGACGCTGCTCAGTGAATAACAACTGATGTTCTTTTTATTATACAGACAGACTGTTAATCCCAGCTAACTCTGCAGGACCAGACAGTTATAAAACTTGTTGTGATTCAACAAAATCAACCATAGAAACCTTAGTAAACCTCTTACATGAGACATGAGAGTCCAGACAAATGAGATTCCCTTTTCCCCTGAACTGTGGAATTATTCTTATTAAAGAAAGGTGTTTTATCTAGCATTCCCTCTTAACTAACCTATTCCGGGGTGAAATATATATTCTTAGGTGAGGAAACTTTATTATGATAGGAAAAGCACTGTACTTTCAGTGTCATCATCACTGCATTTTCTCATTATTAGAGTACGAGTGCAGAAACATACAACAGGCAGCTGTTTAATAGCCTAAAAGACTTGTAAGCAGGACTGGGCGATTACATGATCGGGATTAATGATCGGGATAAATTTCAGTTCGATCACAGTGATCAGCTGTGAGCTTATTTACTCGATCAAACGTGGCGAAAATGTACATCGCAACAGCCAATCAGAGTCGAGCTTTTCCTGCTCACTTCTGTAAGTTGCTGGACAAGTAAACGGAGTAACCGAACGTGGAGCTGAGGGCAGTAAAAAAGATGTCAGCCATGACTTTGAGTCATCCTCACAAGATGTTATTGTTGAGAAGAAAAGTTATCTAACTTATCTTATTTATCTATTTATGCTTAAAAACTGGCACTTTAAAAAAGAATCGTGATAATAATCGAGATCGGACAATATGACAAAGTATATCGTGATCATCTTTTTGGCCAAATCGCCCAGTCCTACTTGTAAGTTGATGCTGATGTAACTCTGTGTGTTCATTTGTTTGTTTCGATGTTTCTTACAAGTTTACCTTGCAGTTTCTGGTTCTCCCTCTCCATCCTCTGCAGGAGGATCTGCTGCAGGATGGCCTTCCTCCAAAGCTCCCTGAGCTCTTCTTTACTTCTCCTTGTCCCCTCCTCGGGCACCACACTGACAGACAAGTCCACAACTCCTCCAACTCCCACCTGGCCACCACAAACTAGACCTGAGTCTAGACAGGAATCGCCTCGTTCTGAAAGACACATGACATTTTCATACATTAGATCAGATTACGTTTTACAAGGACTTAACATATTTATTATCACACTATGTAGAGTAATTTAAGTTTTATATTTTACAAGTAGGCTGTATGAAACAACAAAGTTATAAATGAACCAAATGTCAGAACAAACACCTAAAACTCTTTTTTTGTGATTTTTTTCCCCTTTTTTAAAAAATCATTTACAACTTCAAGTTGAACTTCAGCTCAACAGCTTAACAAAGTTCATTCTACAAAAATTCCTCAAACACTCTGCAAAATAAAAATAAAACTACTAAACATAGATATATTTGACACACTTGGGTGCAACGCACACAGTTAAAAAAAATGTGTTTGTGTGACTCCACCCCAAAGTACAGGGTGGATCCCAACCTCAAAATACCCAATGTTGTTTAGAGGAAGGACATAACAACCATCCAGATAGCACTTGCCTTCTTTCAGAACATCACGGTTCACTTTGACTGTGTGCACAGACACATACACCTATGCACACACACACACACACCCACACAAACACACATACCATCGCTTGGCAAAGGTATGTAAATTTGATGCTTATCTTTTGCAACAACGGAGAAATGTGTGAGATAAGTTTCCCTTCTACTCCTGCAAAAGATATCCTTAAACAGACGAGCATACAAACCGTGCACACACGCGCACAGCCAATAACAATAGTGCTCTTTGTGCTGCATGAGGTTAACATGTATGCCTTTGTGTTTGCATCAGCGAGACATGCTGAAACCAGCAGAGTCATTGTACAAACATATGACTCCTCGGAGAAGTCAAGACAAACCTGACATATGTGTGACACTCAAACTCAGACGCACAGGGAGACTGTAAACTCTCTTAAGAGAGTCGGGTATGTGTTAGACAAACACAGACTGCTGCCCTGCATCAACAGAACAGAGTTGAAGAGTTAGCTTTAGGATGTGAAAAATGCATGCATGAATGCACATAAATACATGCACACACACACACACACACACACGGGCCCGCACACAGTTATCATAAGGACTCCGACTGAGTACAGCGGTCCCCTCGCTCCTTGCCCTCATCTGAACAAAAACATGTGTACGCCTCGTCCTGACACTAAAACTTGTTTTATCAAAAACTAACCACACACTTCCACATACGCACAACGCACACACACCCTCTTGCATAAAGTGGCATGATCCACTCCCTTAGTAAACACTCCAACTTGGCCCAAACCAAGTCCCGGCACACACTCACACACAAAACATGCAAAGCGGGTCAACAGCCCTGGCGCTGTCTGTGTGTGGACTGTCAACATGACCTTGGGACATTGCCACCTCCTCCAACTCACACACACACACACACACACACACACACACACACACACACACACACACACACGCACACACACACACACACACACACACACACACACACGCACACGCACACATGCACAACTTAATGTGCAAAAGTACTTACACACCCTATTCCACCCAATTTAGCACCGCCTTCAGCATCACACTGACCTGCTCAAGTTCTGCTTTACCGTAATGGAGGCAGTTTTTTCCTCGACTGAAAAGAGGATTTAGGATTTAGCAAGAAAGAGACAGTTAAGTTCACCATGAGAATACTCAACCACTCTGATCCTCTGTGACTAGAAACAAAACAATGCGTCAGCTGAGGTCGACGTAAAGGAGTATAAAAATAAAAAAAATCAGTTTGGAGACTTGAGAATTTGATATGCACCAGTTTTAGACACAAGAGGACGTTAGCTGGTGGCTTATCAGCTGCAGGTTTTAGTACAACTTAGTCGCACAGCTTTCTGTCACTCTGATTTTGTTGTTTCACTTGTTTTCTCAAAGTCAAACTGTTCACCTGAGGTCAAAGTCAACTGACAGCCTCACACACGTCAGTCCTAAAGGGTTGAATAAAGAAATATAATGAGGCGGCTTAGCAGTCCAAACAACACTGGCATCACAGGACTTGTATCCAAACAGCCACCTCTATTAGTTTTGGCGTGGCGTGTCACTGCAGGTGGATCCAGCACCCATGCCTGAATGTGCCATTGTTTACTTTTACAGGTCAACGCCAAAGAATAAGATTTTTTATACTTCTGGCACTTCACCTCACACAGCATTAGCCTGCTACGGGATGAGACGTAATCGCTCATGGGACAAATAGAAAATCTGTTGCTTGCCGAGTTGTGTTGTATTTCTGTGTGCAGAAGCGGGTCAAACAACACACTGTGTTCTGGATTGAATGCAGACACACAAACGAGCTTGCAATGTGCTGCATGTATTGTTGTCGCTTTATTTTCCGAAAGAGCAAAACGATTTACTGTGTGATCATGACAACACAGGACGATAAAATCCTGCCTCTGAAACCCGGTATGTCAACAGTGATGGTGAAAATATTTGTATATGTAATATTTAATAAGTAGCACAAGTAGGAGGAAGATCTTGGCACAGTTATTTACAGAGGGATATAATACAACCCATTAAGTCCTAGAAATGCTGTGCCTGCCAGGCTTGCTTTTTGATGTGGATGACTGTTTGGAATGTACAAATTGCTCGGCATTACTGGTGTGAAGAAGGTGTGCTGGTTTAGAAACCGTGCCATTTATGTTGTTATGAATATTGTCTCCAGGAATTGTCCTTCCAATCAACTCCAGACTTGACTCTTTCTTAGGTCTCCATCACCACATCAGGGTGTTGTGTATTTGATACTGGTGATTTTACAGAATTCAGCTGCAAGAGTGCTGACAAATGTCATTCTATTTATTCTCCCTGTTCTTAGTCTTTCTCTTAATTTCCCGTCACAGGTTTTTACTTCTTTTACCCCTTTTACTTATTTGTTCATTTAATATTATTATATTCTTGTTTTAGTCCACCTGGTTTTACTCTTTTCACCATTTTTTAGGTTGTAATTAAGTTATATTAAGCACATATAAGTATCATACAATATTTTTATCACTTTTGCACATTTCTCCTTTGCACATCTACACTTACAGATTCATTCATCTTAGCACATACTATTTAAGTACTCATATTCATTCATTACCTTGTATAGTCTTGTATAGTCTTGTATATTTTATCTATTTTTTGTATTTCTCTTGTATTGCTTGTATCGGCTACTACAACAACCGAATTTCCCCTCGGGGATTAATAAAGTTCTCTATCTATCTATCTATTTTTATCTCTATTTTTATCTCCACTGTTTCCTAAAGATAGCTCTTTCCTCATGTAATGTCTCGGTGTCAGGCCATGTCTCTAACAATATATCTTAAATTTGTTGTTTTTAGCCTCTGTAAGGCACTTTGAATAGCATTTTCTTTTGTATGAAAAGTGCCTTATAAATAAAGTTGAATTGAATTGAATTGATATGTGAAAGACTAAAGGACAGGCAGATAACCAGGGATCAAAACATTCTTGGTTTGATATAATCATCTTAGACTAGGGATGGGCGATATAGGCTAAAAAATTTATCCAGATAAGTTTTGCCATTTTGTCGATAATGATAAAAAATATTAAAATTCCAATCCATATTTTTTACTCACTCTGTCTTGAGAACCTCACAATCATTGTTCTTGGAAGGCATTACTGGTTGGAATAATCAGATAAATACTTAACGACAAGTGTAAGTGGTAGGTTACAGAGAAAACTAGTGAAATGTGAAAACACAACATCAGCAGATCCGCTGTCCGATGTCAGGCACACCTGATGACATTCGTCAAAACCCCAATCTTAAAGGAAATCCCTCATGTGGCGCCTCGTTTAGCAACAACCTGCTCAGAGACGTCTTCTTCACCACCTGCGGCGATGTTTGTTTCTTCCAGTCCGTCGCTCGCGCTTACGCCATCAACTTGCATTTATCGTGAGATGGCAAATGTTTATCGTGGAGAATCTCCCTCAAGATAAATCGCAAATGATAATTTATCGCCCATCCCTATCTCAGACTCCATAAAACTGTGGGTGATATATTTTTTTATCATTTTGTTGCTACTCTACTGACTCAGAACAGGGTTATAGACTCATGTCACTACAAAATAAATGGATGTTTTACTGTTATGAGTCAGGACCACCTCACCCAAAACTAAATTTAAACACTATAATAAAGTGTCATAAAACAACTTCCTTCTTACTTTGCATGAACATGTTTCCACGTATTCCCTAAAGGACTCAAACTCTTTTTTTCCCCTCTTTCAGTTCGCTCAGGAGCATCAATGTGACCAAACCAACTATCTCAACTGTCAACACCAGCTCTGTCATAAACACACATGATACATATAATTAACAAAATTCAAGAACTAAGGACCTGCAAGCACATGCATGATCCCCGTACCGACACACACTCACTCACACACACACACACACACACGATCTTCTCAATGTACATGTGACAAGAAGAGACAGGTTAGAGGTGTTTTAAGTTATCTGACAACAAAGCAATATTTTCCAAAGAACATTTTTTAACTTCATGTTTCATACCTTTCAAACCACTTGTCAGGGTTGTCACTCTCCAGGCCTTCTGAGTTAATTATTTTTACTCTCTTAAAGCGTTCACATTTTTCTTTGAAATCAAATCATTTGTCATCACTGTCAAACACGTACAAAAAAACCTAACAACTTTGACACCATCAGACAGGGCCATGTTAGCTCACTCATTACACAAATTCAAGGCACCAAAAGCAAACATGAAATGCCACCTGAGCTCATGGGCCCATCAATCATGATGAATGATAGTTCTAGTTTTAAGACACCCTAGAGGTGGCCGGCTTGTTCAGCATGAACCTGGCCTTCCACGCCACGCTTAGTATTAATTTTGATGAATGAATCAGAACAAGAGTCGAACCTGCAAACAAAAGTCTCCAGGAGTACGACAGACGATTACCTCTGTTGTTATGTCAGATTTTAAAGGTTTAGAGCAGTGGGTGACATTCTGGTGTAACGCCTAATACTACAGCCCTCCATAATCTACCTGAACTCTATGACTGGAGCCATAAAGTTGAATGTGAATATCAGTGCATTAATGATGAGTTAGATACTGTTGAGGAGTAATAGCAGGTACAATAGAAACCACCAGGTGGGTTGTAAAAGCTCTTTCATGTTCACATAGCAGAGAAGAACTAGAGCTCTCCTTTCTTTTCCTGTCAGTGAAAGAGCGACACTGAGAGGAGACCGTTTGTCACTGCACCCTGTTTACATTTTAACACCTGGTATGGGTGTTTTTTAGTAGCACGGCTGATTGAAAACATGCAAGGTGTCCTGGTAATGCTCTTATTCTGTCAGGATAGTGTTAGTGTGCATTCACCTAAAAGAACATGTGTGTTGACACAAGTGTCCTGACTGAGAACTGCCCTCCTCGTCTGTTGAATTTGACAACTGGAGCATGTTAAGTTATCTTAGAGCGAAGATCAAAGCTCTTTGATACACACAGACACACTTATGTTACTTTACACAGTGTTCAGAGGAGAACAGTATCTTTAAGTGGAAGTAGCTGGAATATTTGTGTACATACTGCGGTCCTGATAGAGGTGGGTGACGTTACATGGAAAATCTCAGTATAAACCAAACACAGCAGCTTTGGTGTGTTTTGGAGCCCGAGACCAACATTGCTTTCCACTTCTTTCACTTCCTCATATTTTCCTTTTCTTTTCAGTTTTCCTTGTTTGTCTAAAACTGTAGATTCTTGTGAGTTTGCACTGATGTGAAGTGAATTCTCTTCTCTTTATATGATCAAGTAAAGAGCATTTTAAATCGATGCACATTTTCTGTGTAAAACTTTTTGTCATCATTTTTTATCCATGTAAGAGGCAAATGCTGTTTTTATGGTTGGTATGTTTTTAAAGTTTATATACAGTTTCTTTATTCTCTACTCTTCTGAACACTCACAGCACTTGGGCATTACATGTCATATTCATAACATATTCACCAAGTGTGGGATCAAAGTCATGACCGACTCCACCATTGAGCCACAGTCGCCTATGAACTAGAAATGTTGTTTCTTAAAGAAATAAACTCCTCTTTGTAACTAAACAAGTAACTGGAACCCGGGTCAAAACTTAACAGACCTACATTCTGACTGCACAAAATAACAACAGAAACGACAACAAGCCCTGGTAACAGTTGGATACAATCAGTCGTAAAAGAAAAAGAAAATTCAAGACAGACAGTTGAAGACAACATCTTCTTGCAAGAGCTTTACAGGTCACCTCTATTACACAGAAGACTTTTTCATATTACCTATTAAAGGGATATTTCGGCATGAAAGGGTCAAACACACCGTAACACCAAGTTAGACACCCCACTCGAGAGATGAATGTTGCCGACTGCTTGCTTCTCGCATTATACCAACTTTAGTAACGAGCACACAATAGCAATACACAGTGGTCTACGTCTCCAACACAAACCTCAACCAAAACGCCACTCTATAGCCACAAATAATGCTCAGAACAGCACCTAACTTCATCAACAGGACATATAGGGTCACAGACATAGTACTAGACACCAAACATCTTTTTAGCTTTGACTAAAATCTTCAGCAAAGAGACTAAACACAACTCACTCACTCTCCTCCAGCAGCCGCTGGTTTGTGGGGGAGCCCTGGCGAGTCGATCACCGAGTGCAGTGGATCATTTCCATGAAGTAATAATCACCATAACAATCATTTTGCACTGCAGACGGAGAAGTTCTTCTATCTTAGTGTCTCGGTCTGAATTCATTTCCACAAAGTAATAATCATAAATGTTCTTCCTTGAGCTGTGGAACTCCACTGTACATTTAGTTATCGACTCGTCAGGGCTCCCCCACAAACAATCGGCTGCTGGAGGAGAGTGGGTGATCAGAATATCCCTTGAAAAGGACCAATTTTTTTGCCCTTTATCTGTGAGGTAAAATGGTGGGAACAGGTGGCCCCTTCACTGGGCTGTCATTGCATGTAGTGACAGACGCAAAATGGGGTGACTGTGAACAGGAAGAGTGAATGTTTGTTTTCATGAATGTGTATGTGAAGCTCCTGCTGGTTGTGCTTCTGAAACATTATAGAGCAATGAGAAATCACACGCTGAAATGGCAATATTGCGATGCAGCGTGATTACTATGGCGCCTAACACAAAGGCGTGATGATGAAGAGGATGAAAGCGGGACTGACTTATGAGACTCACAATATGGAGGGGACCCACAGATTCATAGATAATTGAGTGACTCCATTCATACCGATGGTTTCTGTGCTCTTCTGAGGTGTAGCGACCCGTAGGAAGATCTGCTGCCTCCATGAGTGACGATGGCTACGCAGGGGGCTCTCCCCGACCCCACATCCTCCACTTGGTGTGGACAGAGCTGCGACATCACTGTATGACAAACACGCACACACACACAGGAAGGATGACATACATCTCTGATTAACAGTCAGTAGGCAACAGTCCACATACATTTAAACACATCTAAATTAAGAGGGAGATTTAAGGTACCAGATCTAAACAAGCAGCAGCATAGATTACAACAATGTTGGCAGATAATCATGAACTTTTTTTTCTCTGTGTAAATGTGTGTGTACCTGCTTTTTGGCTCAGGTAAATCATTCTCTTGTACAGGAGCCAGAAATTTCAGAAAATTAGGAACAGAGGAGGAGGAGTGGAGACGAGCACGCAGACCACCCAGTGGACTGGGATGGAGAGATGGGGATGGAAAAAGTTTGCAGAAACTAGTTAAAAGATAAACGAAGGCTCAGTTCAAACAGAGAGACACGATTACTGATGAGGTAAAATGATCCAATTTTTCTCTGTCAGAACTGGGCCTTAGGCATCAACATCGAACACAAGGTTAAAGAAGCTTTGCCAAATTATAAGTGCACGTAAAACAGATACAAGATAAGTTGAACAGAAAGTTGATACAGGATTCTCACCCCTTTTTATTGAGCCAGGCTCCAGAGGAAGGTGAGGAAGGGTGATGATGAGTGAGGGGAGGAGAGAGAGGAGCAAAGCAGTGAGGAGCAGAAGGAGGAGGAGAGGAGCTGTTTTGGGCATTTCTGAGGAACATAAGATATCAGCAGAGATGAAGCGAACAAAAATGTCCAAGAAACTGACAGAGAGTATGAAAATAGAAAAATGTTCTAAAAGAAAGCATGAAAGGAAAAGAGGAAAGAGTTGGAAGTTTCAGTGGGTATGGTAAGATACAGAGCTGAGGTTGATTTTGAAAACACTAATTGATAGCTATATTATGGTTTCATGTTTATCTTTATCTCATTAAACAGGTAATGAGATTAAGTAGGGCTGAGCAATAAACCGAAAATTTACCAATACTGAAATTTACGACGACAACCGACGACATTTTGCCCATTTCAGTATATTCAGTGTCAAAAAAATAAATTAAAGTTGGTTGTGAATGTATGTAGGTAGGCTATGATCTCATGTCCCTTTAAGACGCTGTCCTACGACAGAGACGTGACTCCACCCCATCAAGTCCGTGACAAAGAGGGAAAGACAGGTGAGGAGATGGAGGACAGTTCAAAAATTGTAGAAGTTAATGTGGGAGGGGGTGAGCAGTTTGTGGAGTAGTTTTTGTCCATTAATCGTTATCGAGGTGAACTGCTCAATATATCATAATATTAATTTGAGGCCATATCGCCCAGCCCTGAGATAAAGTTTATGATTTTTTGCATTCGTTAAAAACCTGAAGGATTTACAAAGATAGTCAACAACAAAGGTTTGGTCCTAAACCTTTCCCCTCTTTTTTTTAGTAACCTTTAACTGAATCCAAAAATCAAACTGGAACACCTGAAAACACACTCTTCTTACTTGCTCTGGTGTGGAGTGTCAGTGCTGACAGAGTAGTGCCGTACAAGCTTTGGCTTCGTGGTGGCGGTGGGCTCCTGCGTGGAATGGTTTACCATGTCCAGCGGTGAGTACTCTGCTGAGGAGGGAGTGGGAGGGTGGCTGAAGGTGCTGGCCCGTCGGCGGAACCCCGAGGGCTGAGCGTCACCGGGTAAAGAGGATGAAGAAGGAGACAGGCGGAGCGAGGGGTCGAGGTGCTTCAGGTCTCCTGTGGAGTTGTGGCACCTGAAAATAAGAAAAAGGGGTTTCAAGCAAACTTTACATTTAAATAATATAATGATGCAAAATGAAGAAGCTAATATTAGTCTACAAAAAAGGAAAGTTTTAAGAGTTTAATTTGTTACATAATACTTGACTGGTTTGTTGTCTGAGCTGAATTTGTCACTGCTGACGTTTTAGGGGGGAAGAATACACCTCAAAGTGGTCAAATGTTTGATCAAATTAAGTCATTTTCCACATTAAGGAGGCTCTGAAATAGATCACCCTGTTTTAAACCTACCCCAGATTCACAAACAACCTTACTATAGGGAGGTCAAAGACACGACTGGGTTTGTCTTTAAACTTCTCCATAACCCAGCTCCTACTTATCTACCCAGCCTTGGTTAATCCCATGCTTAAGTGTTTATCTCATATTAAAGGTTTCAAATAGCTGCTGAAATAACCTCTTGTCCCAAAAACTCATTTTCTGGAGCCTCCCTGAACCAGCTGCAGCTTTGTTGTCCCTTTGGACATGAGTAGACTAAATAGGGCAGGTTAAGCCTGGGCTGCTCGGACCAAAGATGTGAGTCAGTGGATTGAATGAGGCAGTATCCCATTTTAATACTGTTAAAACCTCCCTGACATTTTACTCAGGTATATCGTATTACCCCAATGACTGACAACCATGTTGCAGGGCATTGTTTGCAATCTCTAAGTCATCACCATATCATTGTCAATCATCTCCATGTACAGCCTGTTCATGGTTGGTTTAGTTATTTTTAAAATGTGTAAACTGAAGTTGAAGACTACCCCAAGTTATTCATTATATATATTTAAGACACCAACACCGGGTACATTTTGGTCCTTTTACTATATATGACTGTAACTTGTTAATAATACATCCTAGCAGGTTTTACTTATTCTTTTAATAACTATGAAATGACATATAACATTAGGAGGGACAATACTAAGAGAGTGAGTGACAGGTGAAAGGAGGTGCTGGGTGCTTACCATGGGAGCTCATCTGTGGGTATGGATTTGTAATCAGACCATTGAGTTCTAATGATCTGGCCCTCTTTAACACCCATCTTAAAACTCACTTATTTAGACAGGCTTTTAATATTCAGTGACATTTTCCATATATTAGATCATTTCTGTGTTCTCTTTCCTTTGAATTTTGTTATGATATCCTGTGACATTTGTCACTTGTCATGTATTTTCTTTTTCCTGTATTTGTGTATTTGACCGTATATTTGTTTTGTAAAGCCCTTTGTTCTTCTCTCTGAATGTTGTAAGGTGCTATATAAATAAAAATTAATATTATTATTATTATTATTATTTTGAAAGACTAACTCACTTGGACAGTGACAAAGATAAACTGAAGGAATGGACAAACACTGTTTATCTGGGCGTTTGTTGTGTGTGTAAGGTAGCATGATAAAAAACGTGTTCTTTTGCTGTTGTTGAATATTTCTGGGATTACCGCCCATTTCTACGGTGTATTGGCTTGTGTTATTACCTGAGTGTGCTGTTGGGTTGCAGGTGAGCAGAAGAAGACAAGGGGTCATCTAGACAAGGCTGCTCAGGGCTACTGGTGACCATATTAACAGAAGAGCCGCTGTTACTCCTTACACTGTTGTCTCTTTGGAGTCTGGCTTTGTTGCTCCCCTGCAAAAACAACAACAACAAAGATCCATTCACGAATTTGATAAATTACTTTTGGATTTTAAATAAAGTAAAAATTAAGGACAACATTTTTGTGACCTTCATCACATTCTGCAAAGGAAATTTCAAGAGCTGTGCAGTGTTTACATGACAGCGTTTTCTTATGCTGGAACATAAGCAAAAACAAGTGCATTACTGGAGACAAACCAAGCAAGAAAAAAAGGACTGTTACCTTCCAGATCCCCTCTAGGGACTCAGTGAGAGAGCGCTTAGCTCGGCTTTTAAACTGCTCAAGTCGCTGTCGACTGCTGCTCTGCTGCTGCATCTCCACTGGGGCTGGAGCTGCCTCCTCACTCACCTATATACACATACAGAGAAGACAGGAGAGAGTACTTTTGTCCAGCTTTGTCTTTCCATGATAAACATTTGCATCATGTAAGTATTGTTCAGCTGTTAAGGGAATGTAAGAAATCTTCAGCATAGTGAGAGTGAGGCTGGTTCAGGGTTTAAGTGTGACAGTAACCTGTTTACTGTCTCCAAACAGTGTGTGCTGATGGCTCCTCTGTCTCTCCTCATACAGATTCCTCAAGGAGGCCATCACCAACTCGTTCTCTTCCTGGTCGCTTTTAGGACGGGCTCTCTTTAATACACATAAAAAAAAAACCACAACAACACTTTTCACTTTTTTCCATTCAATTCTTGTAAAACTTGATGCTTGATAAAAAGAAATCTCCATAACATGACAGTGATGGACACATTTTGCCAAAGGTTGCTTTAATTTCAGGCAAGTCACTTTATTTTGAATTAGGAGGCCCACAACTGTTCACACAGACAAAATTCATCTGTTGCACACTCTATAAAATTAAGATATTTCTCTTTGGGGTTTAAAGAAAGATGTTTCCTTGGTTGATAAAAGTGAAGCAGTGATCTTATGATATCATGTATGGGCAGAAAAGATTTCAGTGGTTCTACAGCTGCAGTTCAGCAACATCACCAGCAGCTGTCAGCAGAATCTAACATAAATATTTAACTTCCATGACAACTCCTACATTGAACAACAGGCCATATTTTTACAGCAATATCGCCGACTCTCTGGTGGGAGTCCATTTCCAAACGTTATATGTCTTTATCAGACTGATCTGAGTTTCTCTTTAAAGAAACAGAAAGCAATAAAGAGCAGGACAAAGCAGATCACCAGGGAAACAGAAAGATGAGAGAGTAATAAAGAGATTTATATAAATATATATTCTGTATGTTATATTGTCTTATGTTTATATAGATCAGTGCATCACCGTTAACCCAGCAAGATAAACCTGTGATTCTGCAGTGATTCAGACCACGTTCAGTTCAGTCAAACTTGCAGACTGACTGGTTTGTCTCTATCTGCTGTCACCTCTTAGTCAACCACAGGAATTCCATACATTGCCTTGCAGGTTCTTTAGACAGATAAGAGTAGACATATTACCATGGTGTTTTCAAACACTGACGCTTGCTCCTGGTTGTCAAGAGTGGCCAAGTGCCGCTGAAGCTCCAGCTTGGTTTTGGATGGATGTAGACCTGAGAGAAATGTCCAGAAATAGTCAGCTGAAATCCCCGAAATCAGCATCATAGTGTCGCTGAGGGTGGATCATAGATATTTTTGTGGCATGAACTTATGACCAAGGGATAATTCCCCACCTTCTATCCTCTCGCACAGTCGGTGGAGCTGCTGCATGGGGCAGCTGTCACACTGCTGGCTCTGGGTCTTTGCATTCTGTTGCAGTGCTGCCACAGAGAAGGCCTGCTTCAGAGTCAGCATGATCTCATCCACCTGCAAAAGCAATATCGTACTTCTGACTCTCTTTCAGCCAGCTGTTAATGTACATAACTGATGTATGGCAGCCTGTAAGAAATAAAGGATGATTCATCTGGTGTAAGGCAATCACACTGTATCATTATCTGAAAATCACACAGACGACTTCACTCGGGGCCTTTTTTCCATCAAATTAACAGTCCGTGTGACATTCAGCGTAGCAAAGATGCAATGAGTCAAAGATGTTATTAAGAAAATTTCCTGAATATAATCCTAAATGACAGAGGATAACCATCCATCCATCCATTTTCTACAGATTATTCCCATTCCCGGAGTCACAGAGGGGCTGGAGTCTGACAGAGGATAACATCAGTGATAAATATTGGCTTCAGGCATGTTGGCATTCCAGCTTGCGGGGGGAAGATCAAATATATTCATTGGATGGGATGTGTTGGTATGGAATTATATTGTATTATCATGGAAGTGAGAATCAAGATGTTTCAACAGAGATGTTTAAAACTGCATAGGCCGAACATGCAATACTAAATTTATACAGACACATTTTTTCTGTTTTCTAACACCAGTTTTTTCTCACCAGTGATTCGTCAGTGCACTGGAAGACATAGCAAACAAAGTGGCAGCTCCCTCCTTCCACTGTCTCCCTGCAAATGAAGCCAAAGTGATCCACGTGATGAATACCCTGGAAAGAACAGATTCGTTGGTTTTCAGGATTCAAAATCTCATCGGACAGTTTCAAACATATCTACAGAAACTTTCGGCCTCATACCTGTGAGCAGAAGGAGATTTCTCTGAAACTCTTCTCTATGGCAACTTTCTTAGTGTCTGGACTAATCAAGAAGATTTGGGACTTGCCCACCTGAAACAAAGACAAACACAGAGACACATTACTTAGACTTATGCTGCTTTCCAGTTCTACTGGGATGTCGGGATTAGGATTTCCGAGCTCCAACCCCGACTTGACGACAACGTCATCATCCAAGATGGCAATGCTGCTGCAGTGCATCAACAATAAAGAGTAACAGTGAAAGCTCTCGTAATGTATTGTTTATTAGCACATCTGTTTTGTTTTTGTGGTAAGTGGTATATGTGGTAGTAAGTGGTAAATGTTGTACTGCCCAACGTCAAACTGTAAACACGGTGCTATGGTGACAATGGCTAACAATAGCTGACAACTGTTAACAACAGCTAACAACGGCTAACAGTAGGCGTCCATCTTGGTTTTCTGACTTGTTAACTGTAACGCCATCAACTCAGGTGTAACGTTATTCCCAGCTCTAACATCAAACTTCCAAGGTAACTGGAACGCAGCATTAGATCAGTGTGTGGTGAGGTTTTGTGGTTTCGTTCTGACAGTAAAGTGGAGCCTCAAAGTGTCAAATACCTTTGAGGCAGTTCCTGTTTTTTATCACACTTCAAATCCAGCCTGTCGTTGACATTTATCCAAATACAGATATTTCTGATGGTGAGAAAACTTTCATTCTCAAGTGATTTGCGAAGGCGAGGTTTAATCTTCTGCTCCGGGGGGGAAGGCCTTAAAATCTTATTCTTTCACTTCTTTTGTTTCATTTCCTCGCTTTTCAAAAAGAACCTTTTATTTTCAGGACAGTTCTGCTTCACGGGATCTCCCCGCTGACCTCCAATGACGAGAATGTGAGTCACCATCACTACTTAACCTTAAAATAGGATGTCTATTGGTAAAATTTCACATCTTCAACACATTCCCCTCTATGAAACAAAAAAGAGGAAAAGAGAGTTCAATCTTTTCACAGGAATTAAGCTGATGATGTCAAAGTGGTGATATCATCAGCACAACTTTAGCAGGAGCAGCAGCAGGAGGAGGAGGAGGAGGTGGAGGAGCAGGATGTATCATCAGTGTCAATAACATGTCTATATTTGCTGAGGGGTGCAGAGAGAGGCCTTGGGGGTTCCTGTGCCAGTGGTCACCACTTCCTTTCTCGTGACAAACAGGAAATCTCCTGTTGGCAAGGGGGTCGCTGAGGTCGACTAAAGGTGAATCAGGGGAGCATGACTGAGTTCACTCAAGGCAGCAGTCAGCGTTTAGACTTGCTGAGTCATTAGGGGATTTACATCTTTGCCTCTCTTTTGTTCTCCCCCTCTCTGTCCTGAATGAGAGACTGAGTATGGGAAAGGTGTGTTTTGGTGGAATTGAAAATTGAATTTTAAAGCTACTGCAAAGTTCTGTTCATTTTCTCAGCACATGCTACGATAAGGTTTACGGACGAACTGAAAAAACTCAAATGGACTATTTTGGTTTGGAGGGGGTGGGCTTTTTGTCAATGTTGTTTTTCTGATCACCTCTGCTTTGGTTTATTCTCAAACAATAAACCATAAAACTGGAATTATTTTTCCCTTCAGGGCTTGAGGAGGCATGGCTCTCATTTCACCTCAATTAATAAGGTAAGCCTCACATTAAAGCCTCTCTAAGGAGCAATTAATTAGTGTCAATTTTGACGCCACTGGAGGAAAAGACGGACCATTTATCTCTGCTGATCTTGTCTTGTGCAAGAGAAGGTAGTACGGGTGTGACCAGAACTTGTGTCTGTATTTATGTCAACACTTATACTCACATTCACTTTCACTCTGTCTGTCTGTCTGTGACATTCTCCTTCCTGCTGCACCATTAGAATGTAATATGACACAACTGAGTAGGGCTGGGCGATATGGCCAAAAATCAATATCACGATATATTGAGCAGTTCACCTCAATAATGATAAATGGACGATAACTACTCCACAAGCTGCTCACCCCCTCCCACATTAACTTTGTCTCCTTCAGCTGCTACAACTTTCTCTCCGTCCTCCATCTCCTCACCTGTCTTTCCCTCTTTGTTACAGACTGGATGGGGTGGAGTCACGTCTCTGATGTAGGACAGCGTCTTAAAGGGACATGAGACCATAGCCTACCTATATACACTCACCGGCCACTTTATTAGGTACACCTGTCCAACTGCTCGTTAACACTTAATTTCTAATCAGCCAATCACATGGCGGCAACTTAGTGCATTTAGGCATGTAGACATGGTCAAGACAATCTCCTGCAGTTCAAACCGAGCATCAGTATGGGGAAGAAAGGTGATTTGAGTGACTTTGAACGTGGCATGGTTGTTGGTGCCAGAAGGGCTGGTCTGAGTATTTCAGAAACTGCTGATCTACTGGGATTTTCACGCACAACCATCTCTAGGGTTTACAGAGAATGGTCCGAAAAAGAAAAAATATCCAGTGAGCGGCAGTTCTGTGGGCGGAAATGCCTTGTTGATGCCAGAGGTCAGAGGAGAATGGCCAGACTGGTTCGAGCTGATAGAAAGGCAACAGTGACTCAAATAACCACCCGTTACAACCAAGGTAGGCAGAAGAGCATCTCTGAACGCACAGTACGTCGAACTTTGAGGCAGATGGGCTACAGCAGCAGAAGACCACGCCGGGTGCCACTCCTTTCAGCTAAGAACAGGAAACTGAGGCTACAATTTGCACAAGCTAATCGAAATTGGACAATAGAAGATTGGAAAAACGTTGCCTGGTCTGATGAGTCTCGATTTCTGCTGCGACATTCGGATGGTAGGGTCAGAATTTGCGACAACAACATGAAAGCATGGATCCATCCTGCCTTGTATCAACGGTTCAGGCTGGTGGTGGTGGTGTCATGGTGTGGGGAATATTTTCTTGGCACTCTTTGGGCCCCTTGGTACCAATTGAGCATCGTTGCAACGCCACAGCCTACCTGAGTATTGTTGCTGACCATGTCCATCCCTTTATGACCACAATGTACCCAACTTCTGATGGCTACTTTCAGCAGGATAATGCGCCATGTCATAAAGCTGGAATCATCTCAGACTGGTTTCTTGAACATGACAATGAGTTCACTGTACTCAAATGGCCTCCACAGTCACCAGATCTCAATCCAATAGAGCATCTTTGGGATGTGGTGGAACGGGAGATTCGCATCATGGATGTGCAGCCGACAAATCTGCGGCAACTGTGTGATGCCATCATGTCAATATGGACCAAGCTCTCTGAGGAATGCTTCCAGCACCTTGTTGAATCTATGCCACGAAGAATTGAGGCAGTTCTGAAGGCAAAAGGGGGTCCAACCCGTTACTAGCATGGTGTACCTAATAAAGTGGCCGGTGAGTGTATATTGACATGGGCAAAATGACGTTGGTTATTGTCGTAAATTTCAGTATCGGTAAATTTTCGGTTTATCGCCCAGCCCTACGACTAATTGATTGATAATTGATCTGACAACCATGTACTAAGCACCCTCACCTCTTTGCTACAACATCTTGGCGCATAACTAAAAAACTTTGACGTACAACAGTTTGACACATCAATAACTGTATGCAGGGTTTTTCCTGCGTTCAAAATTGCGTGGCGGCCGCCTCCACCTAATTTTGTGCCGCCCCCGGCCAGAGCGATTGATTTCGCTCAACACGGCGTAAAGCTCCAGCTGTGTTGATTGAGCGATTGATGTCCCTCTGCAGCAGCAACGTATTTTAACTGCAGTTGCAGCGTTGCGCCACTCTAGAGGCGCTATATCAACAGCAGTGCACCGGAATGACCTGAAGCATCTACCGAAGAAGAAACGGATCGAATCATGTTTTTTCAAGTTTTTTTCCCGCTAGTTGGTGCTATCGGCGTCCTGATTTTCCCTGGCGGATGGTACAAACAGGTAAATACTGCTTGTCTTTTTTGCATCCAAGCATGTCGTGTTTATTAAAACAAAAGGTTTCCTCCGTTTCAGAGTAACGTTTTTGATTTTTAGCGTTGTAGATATGGCGGGCAAAATCTGCCAGTACTTTAAAAAGCGACCTCGCGAGGAGGAAAGTCAAGAGTCCAAGTGAAACACAGCAGAGAAAAAACGTAACAGGCAGTTAAAATGCTATAATTCATGTTGGTGACAACGTGGAAATTTGTGTCAGGTCTGAAAGTACTTCACAAGGGACTGGTGATCGCGAGGGTCAGAATGCAGGACAGGACGAGTCGGCGAGGCGAGGGTAATTAATTAATTAGTTTCCAATTAGGAGCATAACAACGCAAAGCCAACGTGTACGTGGTTTTTATTCCTCTTTCTAGATCTTCTCAAAAACACAGAGCCAGTGGCTTTGACAAGCAGTGGCTCAATGAATTTACCTGGCTCAGGCATACTGAGGAAGGCATGCACTGCTGTTTATGCCAAAAGCACTGTGCCCCAACACAGCAGGCAATTGCTGCCTCCTTAGTGAGACAGCCATCAACCAACTACAGGCTGGACACATTAAAAAGACATGAGGTGACAGCCGTTCACAAAGCAGCAGAAGAGAAGGAGAAATATATTAAAGATGGTAGTACCTAAAAACACTCAACTAATAAAGTTACAAAAACTAAAATAACATAGTTTAGATAGTTTAAGAAATAATTGGTTGTTGTTTTTTTAGGGAGGACACTGCAGCGTATACATATATATAATATATGATTAAAACACTATCACTCTTCATGTCTGTATCAGAATAAAAACAAAAATACTTAATACATGATGAATTGTTTTGTTTAAGGTGAAGACACAGAGGCACTTGGATGTCTGTTGTGAGGTGGCTGTTGATGGACCAGACCAGGAGGCCTTGGACTACAAGGAGTGCATGAGGAGGTTCTACAGAATGAAAAAGAGGAGGCTGAAATGTTCTGTCTGGTTGTGAGATGTGTGGATGAAGTGTACTTTCAATTTAAAGTTGCCAGCTGATTTGTGTATGTATATAGTTTTAATAAATGAATGCTTTAACATGATAATGGTCACACTCTTTTTTGAACTCTTAACTTAAAGTATGTTGCCTGTAAAAGAAAGTGAGACAGTTAAATTTACAAATATATGCACGTCATGGCGCATGGTCAGGATGGTGCCACCTCTGCCTCAATTTGAGCCAGGAAAAACCCTGTGTATGTCCTCCTAAAAACATTTTGATTTTTTGCTTAAAATAAAGAGATACGAACAATGAATCTAAGAGTAGCAAAGTACTGAAGCAGATTTACCAGAGCGTATTTGTGCGTGTGTGTGTGTGTATGTAAATTCTTATAAGTCTGTACCGTAAACAGCATGGTCCTGTTCTCCTGCAGGCTGGTGGGCTGCACTCCTGCAGAGTGGGTGTGTGCATCAGTAGTGTTGTTGTGGGAGATCTCTGGCGAGAGTCCATTCTCATCCAGTGCCTGCAGACAAGGAAAGCTGGGGTCTTTTTTAAACAGGACAGGACGCTTCCCTGTGGTTGGGCTCCCGGCTGCTGCATTTTTGGTGTCACCACTCCTAAATCCGTTGGATTGCGGGGTTAACGACTTCTTCAAACCACCCACCGTTCTCCTGTTATCCCCTCCTTTATCAACAGTTCCCGAGCCATGCAGCTGGCTGAACTTCTCGATGCACTCATCAATAAGGGCAGGAGGGGCTTTCTTATGAGCGACGCTGACTCGGCCACAGAAAAGCACCTCGAACTTCTTTGCAAAGGTTGTTGGAGACACAGCGGAGGTGGGTGCAATAGAGGCTGTCAAGGTGGAGTGAGAAGATAAGCATGTGTCAGAGGAATCAACGCCTCCGCTGGAAGTCTTTTTGGCGATGTTGACGTCATCGTTGCGTGCTGAGCTCTTGCCAGCTTGTCTCAACGTACTGATGATCTCAGGAACCTGAAGTGATAGAGAGAAAAAGGAAGAACTGATAACTACTGTTACAGTTACTGAGATAAACAGCTGATATGCAGTTCTACTCATGAATGCATAAGATACTACAAAATATTCATTGTACATATATAATAGATGAAGCACTGATTTTGACCTTGATAAGGTACACTAACACACAACTTTTTCAGAGTGTCTTTAACAAATTCAAGGCTTGAGCTCTTTTACTGCTAACATTTTATTACAGGCTGCAGGTCCAATAAACCACTGTTGGATCCACCCATGCTCTGCTGTTAAGGAAGAGAATTCTATTTCCCCAAAAAGCTCATAAGGAAGATAATAGTTCAGTAAGAACTGCCCCTATGTAAACCTTCAGATTTAATATGTGTCTCCAATCTGGTATAAAGGTATAAACTCTACTACGAAAGGGGATTAGGGCCACAAGAAGAGAAAAAAAATTTATTACAGGAGGGATGTTTTCTAAGTTTTCATTTCATAATTAGAGTCAAAATTTTAAAAAAGTCAAAATGTAAAAAAATCTTAATTTCAACATGAAAGTCGGAACCTACAGAATAAAGAAATCGAAATTATATAAATAAAGTTGAAATTTCGATTTCAAGATTTTAAAAAATTGTAATTTTTTTAAATCTTGAGATTTCAACATTTTGTAATCTTGAAATTTGGACTTTAGTTTCGAAATTTCATTTTTTAATCCCGAAATTTCGACTTTATTGACATAATTTCCATTTTTTAATCTTGAAATTTCGATTTAAATCTCATTCCTGTAATTATTTTTTTTCTCTTCATGTGGCCCTAATCCTCTTTTATACTCTACCCACTCATTCAAAAAGATTATTCATAACAATAAAAAGCTGTGGCACTGTTTGAAATATATAACTCTTATTTATACCAAAAACCTTTGAAATCTTCATGAAAATACGATGCTAGCAGCACAAACCAGTGACTGATTCCAGCAGCACTCCTGACAACAACTCAGTAGGTTGTTAAAGTTTATGTATGCTCTGTCTGCAGTCAGAGTATCTTTTAATACCAACTCTCCTTTTTTATCGCAACAAATCCTGTCACTTATCTGAAGAAAGTAAAAACGGGGTCCCAGCTCTGCCCTGCTGTCCCTTTAAACACTGAGTCTTTGGCTGAAATCCCAACTGGTCCAGGAATCAAAACAGAGCAGTTTATAACTGAACAAAAGGAGCAAGAGGAGCTCAAAAAGTCCTCTTTCCTTTGAGCTATTTTACAACTGTCTTTGTAAACTTGACTCAGGGAAACTGAAATAAATACAGATTATGATATTTGGCTGCTGATGTATTTTTGTAATCTATGGAAACATTATTTTCCAAACCTTCCAGATAGACGCCTGTTCGGGAGGAAAACACAGTTTGGAAATAGATGAGAACAGCAGAAAGTGTGTTGTTGTTCTTGTCTGGATTCCTGGAAACTGACAATGAGACATCAGCACTGAAGAATGATCCCTCACCTCAGTGTGGATTCTGTTCATTTCTAAACCGTTAGGCCAAATCAAATCTGGAAATCGATAATGTCACTCTGAATTAAAAAAAGGCATTTAAAAATCACTGTGTAGTGCAGATGTTTTCTTTATTTTTTGTGACCTGCGCTGGTCTTACAGATAAGCGGGCAGGGTCGAATAAGGACAGCCGAGAACAAATCAAGTGTAACTGAGGGCTCTCACTCAAACAGAAAACCTTTTCTATCTAGACTCTTTCCATGACTAACTCTGAGGATTTCCATGACCAACAAAGCAGCCCGTCACACGACTTGTGCCAGAAAAAAAAGCTCTGGCAAATTAAAAATACATATAGGAAAAAAGTTAGGGAGCAGTGCTTCTGTACGGCTTGAATATCATTATTAACATGAACTGAAAATCGGAATAATTGAACTGAATTATGTAGCTTTTGTAAATGTGTGTTAGTGACAGCTGCTTGGTGGAGGTTGTCTGTTAATCTGTCAACACAAACTAAGAACGCCAAAGTAACTGGTCAGTAGGTAACATCCATCACAGTCTTTCAATAAAACTGTATCAGAAACAAAGTTCAAACATGCGACCATGGCAGCTCATTGTTTCTTTTGTCGTGTTCAAACTGAAACACAAATGTCACTGCTGTCTTTCAGTACACTAATGAACTATTGTGTTTCTCTTGCAGAGTCTCCAGCAGGTACATGGTGTAAAATTTATCTTCAGCCTGGTGCTGCTAACTGGTGGCAGCTGCAGTATCAACAGTGTTGCTAAAGGTAAACACACAAAGGAGCTCAATCATCCCATTAAATAATCATCAGACAGACTGTCCTGTTGTAGCTCAGTGTGCAGCTATCTTGATATTTCAATGAGAAGTTCAAAACAAGGGTCAAACCAGCGTATGATTTTTGTAAAATTCAGTTTCTACGTTTACATCAATTATATCAATATTCACTAAGCCAACAAATTTCCTAAAAAATAAAAGAGACATCCTCTAAGTAGATAAACACAACCCTGGCAAAAATAGCAGAGATATCAGCTTCGTTACATATGTTTTCCAGGTGAACTGAGACTAGGGCTGGGTGATATGACCTCAAATCAATATCACAATATATTGAGCAATAACGATAAGTGCACATAACTACTCCACAAGGTCCTAAACCCACTCACATTTACTTCATCTACTTGAGCCGCCGCTACAGCTTTTAAACTGTCCTCCATCTCCTCACCTGTCTTTCCCTCTTTGTTACGATTGGATGGGGTGGAGTCACGTCTCTGACATAGGACAGTATCTTAAAAGGACATGAGACCATAGCCAACCTACACACATCCAAAACCAACTTTTATTTATTTTTTTGACACCAAATACACCGATATGGGCAAAAGGACGTCGGTTATTGACGTAAATTTCGATATCAGTAAATTTTTGGCCCAGCCCTAACTGAGTCACTTTTAGACAGACGTTTACATGAATTATTTCTTTATCCTACATTTCTGATCTTGTGGACATTATTAATGTCACTAGAGGGTTACTGCGGGAAGATGAGAATGTCTATACAAATCCTTAGGATTCCTAATCTACGTGCGTACATTTCCAAGCGGTGCACAGATTGGTTGGCAGCTCTTTTTGAATTCATCCAGCAATAATGGGGGTTTTGGTAAAAGACACACAAAAGTGATTTCCTGTGGGAATCATGCACTGGGGCAGTGACCAAATATAACTTTTTCCATAATTGTTTCATTATTATGTTGACAGCATGAAGACTTTATACATTAATTACTTAGGTGGCTCTTCTGATGCTCTAACAAGGACTATAATAACAAGTCACTGTAAAATGCATGTCACGGGTTTAACAGTATCCAAACTCGGGGTTACCTCTCAACTCTAGTTTGTATATTCCTTTTTACCAAAGGAAATCATCATGAACAACAACAACAAGGACAGTGATCTTTATGCTGCCACCACACACACACACGCTGCTTCTACTGAGAGCTCAGTTTCATGCGACACTGCTGCACTGTTAAAGCACCGAACTGAGGAACCAAGAGGAGGAAGTAGAGGAGGAAAGCAGAAGAGGCGGTTGAGTCACATCAGTGATGTCATCAGCGAGAGATGCCTCTGCAGTCACTCACACACACACACACACACACACACACACACACACACACACACACACACACACACACACACACACACACACACACACACAGGTCATGCTGTGTCTTGCATCGGCATGAGGTGTGCTAACTGCTGCACTTCTATCAAAACATGATCAGCCTCACACTCAGGCCTCTTTAATGTTTACAGTGAGGAGCAGCTCTCAGTAATTTTGTCTCTTAAAAGCTCTAAATGAACGAACCTGATTGACCCTTTGTTTTTTTTTTCCTTTCAAAGACATAAAAGTGATTTAAAATACTCGGTATGCCTACTCCAGTATTAAATTTAAGTAGATTTAAGTCCTGTCCTCCACTTCTTGTCAGAGGTTTGTTACATTGATGGATCATCCACCGTTTAGATGGTTAGTTTTCAGACAGCGATTAAAATAAAACATTACAAATCTGTAACACATTACAGATTCAACCACCCGGCAGTATAGGGGAGGGAAACATGACTGATATGTGTCACAACGGAGTAACTGTCCTTCGAATTTTATTAAAAACAGTTTTAACTTCTCAAATGTTAAAACGTACGATTTCTTTCCATCAAAACAAAAATAACTGAGGCAGTTCTGAAGTCAGAAAAGGAGCTCAAGTTTTAGAAGATCGAAATGTTAATGAGTTGAAGTCCTTTAGCTGAAGATTGACAACAAGATAGGAGACGGTGTGTTGTCATTTCCTGTGTCTGTGTTGTGTGTTTCTGTTCCCATGTTGTGAGTCCCACACTCTTATTTCAAAGCTCCAAATCTTCCGTACATTTAGACCAGCAAATCAGGAGAAAATCCCCTTCGTTCAGAACTATTTCTGCTTCAGCAAAACACTCAACATACATGTATTTTCTTGTGCAAGACCTAGAGACTGAAAACTCTCCTTCCTGTTTGTGCTGCAGAAGTCTTTTACTTCACAGACAAACAATGATGGTAAGGGACCTGAATAAGAGACCTTAAATAAGAAATAAAAACATTCAGCTTGTGTTGTTTAATATAAAGTATATTTCATAGGGAAATATGATGTCATTGTTTTTCTTTTTTTTAGGAGGGGGAAATTCTGGCAGGACTTGAGAGACAGGTAGAGTACAGACCAACCCGACAACCTTCTGGAGGTTAACAAGTCTCCATTACTGCAGTGGCCTCTACCCAAAACAACTTTCAGTGCAAGCTGTTCTCAGAAGTGATCATTTTTCTACACAAACCTTGACTGTTGACCTAATTTACTTTTGATGACAGTAAAGGTAGCTTTAGTGGGATAACCAAAGAAGTTTCAGAGTTTCAAAGTTGTCTGTCACAAAGTATGAGCACTGAGTTTCAGTGTAGCTGCTTCTCCCTCCTCTGAAATGTCTTCTAGTCTCTGGAACGTGTCCAACAAACTGCATGTCGCTGATCTTTCTCAGAGACTGTATGATATTCCCACACTGCATGCACTTTCGTCCATGTTTTGACTTCATCTGTTCAATAAAACCTCTTCTGGATCAGAAGTTGGGGGTTTTAGCTTTACAGAATTATATCAGTGTGTTTCAGTTAAAGATTGGAGGCTCTAGGATATAGAAAACCATCGTCTACCACCATTGGTGCTTGCAAAAGCTAATTAGATGATTACCATGAAGACATATTGTGATCATGAATCTAGGTTTTGGTGAGAAAATTTTAAGATATCATTGTTTGGGTGAGAATTCTGATTTGCCAGCTGAGTGCAGCTTATTGCACCGTTAGTTGTTGATATTAGGGCTGGGCGATAAACCAAAAATTTACTGATACCGAAATTTACGACGACAACCGACGTCCTTTTGCCTATGTCTATATATTCGGTGTCAAAAAAACAAATAAATAAAAGTTTGTTTTGGATGTGTGTAGGTAAGCTATGGTCTCATGTCCCTTTAAGATGCTGTCCTACGACAAAGATGTGACTCCGCCCCATTCAGTCCATAACTGACAGGGAAAGACAGACAGGTGAGGAGATGGAGGACGGTTCAAAAGTTGTAGCAGCTGAAGTAGATGAAGTTAATGTGGGAGGGGGTGAGCAGCTTGTGGAGTAGTCATCATCCATTTATCGTTATCAAGGTGAACTGCTCAATATATCATGATACTGATTTGAGGCCATATCGCCCAGCCCTAGTTGATATCTTACATCCCTTATCTAAAGTTTTATTTCTTACAGTAAAATATTGATTGCAACATGTCTCCTCCATGCAACAGTTTGAATAAACTCAGTGACACCTTCTGGTCTTCATCTTTTTAACTATATCCTCCCTCTATCAGTTCAACAACCGTGTTTTTGTCTCCTATCTGTGTTCCTACTCCCCTCACCCACCATCAGCATCCAGACACCATGTTTCTCACCCTCTACCTTCAAGTGTCTGCTTGTTTATAATCATCCAGACATGAGTCTGCTCTCTGTCCACTAACAACAGACCCCTCACTGTTTTGCTCACCCCTCTCCATTCATCAACCTCTTGTGTTTCCACTGTTGATACTCTTAAACACTTCACCCAGCAGAGACACTCAGTCCCTGCACATGCCTCCCGTCTCCCTCTTTTGTGTTCTTTTCCTGCCTTTTAAAGACACAAGACAACCATCAAGAGGAGAGTGATTTGTTTTCTTCATAGCACTAAGGCGGCCTGTCATTGTTCCAGTACATGATCCGTGCGAGTGTCGCTCCCTTTTTCTTGGTTCAACAGAAAACGACTCCTTAACAGCTCAGCCTGATGAAATTATGGGTTTTTCTTCTTTCTCAGTCTGTAACTGTTGATTCACAAACATATTTGGTAACTATCAAAATTACCACATCTTTAAGAGGTAGTCTTCATGCTTCCCCATACAATGGTCAAGTCCATAGAAATCTGTTTTTCTTGCAGGGAAACACCAGTGGACACAGAGTGGAGAGAGAAAGTGCCGACTGATGCCAACCAACTGTACAATTAGTAATCACGGCCATTCAACTAGAAAAAGAAAACATGTCCAATGATGTGTCATCGCATAAAAACATCATCAGATAATTACATGTCCACTCTTAAAAGAAAGTGTTTTTTTCTGTTTCTATGTCAGTGTAAGAGAGGCAATACTGACTCGTTTTTACAGAAAAGACAGATGTTGACACGCACAGAAAGCTGAAGATCTCTGTCAACTTAAAGACTCACTACGATTCAAATCATGTTTTTCTTGTTGTCTACATGTTCATATGGAATTTTTCTGATACTAGAGGACTTATCATGAGAAGAGTGCAAAATTGTATTTCTGAGTATTTCTGCATTCAAGTCACTGTGAATCTCTGGTAGACCCAAACAGCAGGATCAGATACAGTGAGATTTCCTATGTAACCAACCCAAGCTCCGCCCCTGGAGCCCCGCTGTGCAGGCCAGACTCGGAGAAATAGAGAGGACGATGGTGGAACAGGCGATCGGATTGAAATGCTCGTCAGAAAGCTAATTATGATATTCGCTTTTATCATGCCCCGAAAGACGTTAGTGTCTGAGAGCTCTATAGATCCTATGTTACCTGTTTCTTCTACGATACCGGCAATGTTAGGCTGCAAGCTAACTGGAGGAGAAGTGTGCAGAGCAGCGCTGTCTCCACCTATGACTCAGAGGCTAATGATCTACTGGAGCTCTGCAGAAGAAAAGCCCTTGAAAACAACACATGTAACGTGATTTTTAGTTAAGTCTTCATAATCACAGTTTAAAGATCACTGATAACACTTAAAGTAGTACAAAAACAATCAGGGTGGGACTTTAATGACTCAGTACAGTCTCATTCCTTTGAATCTCACAATGCTTCCTCCATCCTTGGACCTCTTATCCTCACCAGTCTACATTTTTAGACCCCTTCCTACATTTTCCTTCCCTTTTTAGACTGCCTGTACAAGGCTGACACATCTGATCTGGAGTTGTGGATTAGGAGGATTGAAGGGGAGTGGAGAGAGGGGTTTACTCCTCAAAGAGGAGAATAAGCTAAAGACACAGAGCACACAGTATCGTGTTCAGGGAAAACGTTTACATGAGGCTGATCTCAGACAGGAAGGCAGTTGGACACAGCCTCAGGCTGTGACCCTCAGACTTGGCCTCTCTCAAGGGAACAACGTTGAAAAAGTACAGTCTCTCTCACAGAGCACGAATTAAATAGAGCTACTGTAGCACTGAGCTCAATGAAAGGTTACACAAGCTGCTGGTGAAAGAAGCAGCTTTGTAGAGCCATTAAAAAAATCACCCTTTCTCTGTTAGCTAGAGAAAGTTAAAGAAGTATAAGGTGGCAAAATCACTCTCTTACACTCAAAATTGTTGGTGAAATTTACAGAGTTTGCACAACATGTTATCATCTCATAAGTCAAACTCTTTCTACTCCTTCATCAATCTGTTTATCTAATTCTTAATCTCCCAAACATGTTTTTTTTAATCTTATTTACATGTCCAGCATTTTCGTATCTGTTATGGACATATCAAGATGATGCCACAGAAAAACATAACGATCCAGTGTTATACACAATATTACGAATTTCACATTGACTTACCAATTCTTGCTATAAAAAGCCTATATTAATCAACAAAGATGTAAAACATACAAAAGCTACATCACCAGAAAAGCAACTCTCTCATACGTCACTAGAGAAAATGTCAGGCAAATCCGCCTCAATATAATTGGACATTTCACTCGTGTAAGCTTGACTTGAGATGTCAAGAGGAAGGTGTTACAGATGAATGTCCCTAAAAGCCCAGTGACACACAAGCCGGCCACATTAAAAACAAGGATGACAAGCCAGTGAAAAGTTCCCATCCGGCACTTCCCGTGGTCATGTGCCTGGATCTTGTGACTTGTGGAGCATGGCCAGAGCTCCCAGAAGTTCAAAGTCCGAGGGCCATACAACAGACAAGGACCATCACTAACAGACGGTGAAGCACAAAACAGAACATGTTTGGGGAGTAGTCTCAGAGCAGGAAGTGTCACAGGGTGGCTGGACTGGTTAGACACAAGGGAGTCCCACAAACTGGCATGACTGTGGTAGGATTAAGGGGCCACTTTACAACACAATGACAAGCCAGGCAGAGATGACGAACTCATTCAAATGTGATAACAGGGACACAGTGTCGGGGCTTGTTGTCAGAGTGCTGTGCTGAGTCAGAATGAGTGCTTTGGCTATGAAATATTTAGGTCAGTAAGTTTCACTGATTACCACAATGGTCTCATCTCAAAGGACTGAGGAGTCTTTAGGCAGCAGCTCCAAGACTGACAGGATGGCAGGCTAGGCAATGGAAAAAAAAATAAAGAACACACTGCTTGACAAATGGACAAAAAACAGACCCACAACTGAAGGGGACAGACTATGGGTTATATAAAGACAGAAAGGTGCCCTAAATTTATGGGCTTGTTTTTACTCCAGTGTGGGGACTGTGTCACATGAAGAGGGAGGGAGAGGCATGTGAGACAAGGGGACTGTAAGGAGAGCGTATGGCAGAGTAGGAAAAAGGCCATTTAAAATCCCGCCCCAGTGTCTCTCAAGTTCAACTCTTGAAACCACATTATAATAATAATAATAATAATAATAATAATAATAATAATAATAATAATAACAATAATAATAATAATAATAATGCATCCGATTTTATCGCGCTTTATCAGAGACCCTCATATATCTCCCTCACTTTTTTTTCAATCATAAAAAAATCAGGCTAATAATCACTGAGAATTTATAACCAACATTTTGCATCAAAACCTCACTTCCTGGCACCCCTCATCAACATCGTCACTAAACTTAGAGCTCTTTATGAATCTATACACAAATGTTTCTTACTCAAATAATTTGAAAACCAAGAAGCAACTGCAAAAAGGAATGTTCTTCTGCATTTGGCATCACATAAAAAAGGCATATAGATGTAACACCAGCTATTAAAGAGGGATGTGAGAGCTTGAGACAGACTCTGTGACTAATATGGCATACTTAACTTCCTGCCTGGTCCAGGAGTGAAGTCCTGGCATGAGCACAAAGGCTTTGGAGGTGATATCGCCATGACTCATACACCTACTCTGTGCTTGTGTTTACAACAGCCAAGCAGACCGGATTTTCCCTCACTCCTCTTCATTGAAGTCTGATGGCCAGTAAGCTTAACAGAACAAGAATCCTCCCAGTAAAAAACGGGAAAAAAAGACATATTAACACCTAGAATGACAATGTACTGTTTCGACAGTCGTGTTGAGAAACATCATGAAGAAGGAAGAAAACCAGACATCCTCCTACATGCATGATGCACTGTGCAGGTTGATCTGACACAAATAAGACTGGGACTACTGCTCGTTTCTTTAATGAATTTCATTTTATCAATTTTCCTTCAAGAATTAACTAATCAGTTGGTCTAACAAAGTGAAGTGAACAGCGTGTGTTTGATCATGAATAAAAGTGACAATTATCTGAGGGGACCAAGCAGCCAAAACTTGTTTCTGCCAGCTACACGCAGAGTCAGCAGTGCAGGAGTACATCAGATCCATTTAGAATGACCGATGAGTGTGTTTGAGATGATAGATCACCTGTCTACAAAAGCTGTTGTAAAAAAAGTTGCAGCTAGAGGGTAGAACCCATCAAACCTGATAGAGTATCTGCAGGATGACCACATAACAATACACACCCGAGCAAAGCTAATTCCTGACTGTGTAATATTGAAGCAAGTAATTTATTTCAACATGATTTGAATTCAAAAGGGAGAAGTAGAATTTTTGGTGATCTTCCTTTATTTTTCTATTCTTCTGTTTTATTTCTGCGTTACTTCTGTTTCAAGGGGAAGAGAATATTCATGAGATTCTATACATTATTAATGTTGTGAAATTAATGAATGCATCCCTGCATGTAGGGCTGGGTGATAAAATGATAATGATATCAAAAATTAATTTCCCTCAATATCAATATAAAACAGGGTCAATATGCTTTTCGATAGCCCGCATTTTGCCATGTTTTGGTAGATTATACGAATAGCAAATGAAAAGGGGAGTTGCTCTGGGTCCGTCTGAATTAGAACCAAGTAGCAAAAAACTGGGTAGTAGCAGGCTGCAGCTACATGCAACCATAGCACTGCCGGTGAGAAAAAAAGAGTGGTACCCCCGGCAGAAATGCAGATGAAGACTCAACAGATGACGACATTGTTGACAACACTGGCACGAAAACATCTGTGGTGTGGAGGTATTTTGGTTTTTTTGAGGTGGGACATAAAGCAGAGTAGTGTGCACTGCAAACTGTGTCATGTCCCTGAGGGGAGCAAGTGCAAAGCCTTTGCCTTATGACAAGAGACACAAAGACCTCACAGATACAGTAGCTTTTTGTGTCGCAAAAGACATGCTACCAGTAAGCACTGTTCAATTTAATTTAAGAGTAACAGGAAACATTTAAGATTGACAAGGGATTTTTTTTTGTATCGTGATATCAATATTGACTGATATAAAAAAATATATTGTGATGAACTTTTTCACATATCACCCAGCCCTACATAAATGTGTAACAACAGCTCAGAGCACACATCTAAATCAGGGGTGTCTAACTTAACCACAGCAAGGGCCATAATCTGGATTTAGGTCTAACCTGAGGGCCAAGGAGGGTCAACATTTCACCAAAACTAAGTATAAAAACAAAACAAGTCTAAATACTGAGTTGAACAAATCAAAGCATGAAATAAAAAATCCAATCATGTTTGACTTGTAATCTTGAAATGCAAAATTGAAAACATGAAATAAAACATCAAATAAATTTTCCCCACATTCTTGACTATTTATGAAATCTACCTTTACTCTTTAATATCCCAGATTTTTGTGGCTTATTAAGGATATTTTAGATGATAGTGCTCAAGTTTACATTATTATACTGGAGGAAATCTGCAGACTTCATACTGGTGGGCCAATAATAATACAAATATGATATGATCTTGTGGGCCAGATATAATTGATCCACGGACCAGATTTGGCCCCCAGGCCTTAAGTTTGACACCTGTGATCTAAAAGGTCTATGAACTAAAGCTTAGTGGGTCAGTTTACTGCCAGGGACGCCTACCTCAAAACAAAAAAACAGGTCAGGAAATCAAACACACAAGCAACTGCAATGAGCAGATAACTTTTGTACAACATCCTACATTACAAAATATATATATATAGCAGAGAAAACCACAAACAACTATGCATTTAAGTAGAGATTTTGGCACAATAATGGCTACACAATCACAAAGCTTTGCAACAACAATGAAGTTATAAAGCTGTATGTGGCTTTGACATTTCTTTGTCATTACCTGTCAAACATGCACCTGTTTGTTTCTTTCAGGACAGTTCAAAACATTGACGCTTCATTCACATAATAAAGCATTATTATGTGATTAAGCCTTATTAAGCTGTCTGAAGATCAGCCGTCATAGCAGAGAACTATAAATCCAACACAAGAGCATCAACTATTCAATAATAATATTTTCTACCTTTTGCTGCTTGGCCAGTTAAAGCAATGCTACACTGCCTGACCAAATACGACAAATCCAGAAATCGCATATGTTTAAAGAAAAAATAGCAGTAAGTATGTTAAAGTTCACATAACACTGTCACGCAAACAGAGACACTGACTTCCAGACAGTCATTGTAAGTCAGGTAACTTTGCATGGAAATGTAAAGTTAATACACAATGTTCAAAACTACCTCTTCTTATCATTAATAAGGAACCTGTGACTGTTCTGTTGATATATCTCGACTTTAAGATTGGCTAACAGCATGTAGTGCTCGTTCAGCTAATGTTGAAGTTTGCTAACTACCTCTGTTCACGTTAGCTTAACTGTCCACTTAGCATGGCACTGAAACTTCACCAAACAGACACCGACACCGCCTTTAAACTTCACTTACATCTCTCTGCTCTTGTTTAAGGTTGAACAAGTTGAGTCTCTGGAGTCGCGCTTTCATCCCATCCGCCATAAACTTCACAAAACCAAGACCTGAGTGGTGGTTAGTTTTCCCGTGAGTCGCTTCTGGCAGTGTGGTACACTTCAATATTATTTCATTGGAAAGTGGATTTTTCTCCCTGAAGCTGGAGGAGCCTACTGTGAGATGACCAATACGGCCCAAAGACATCCGGTTTGAAAATTTCAAAATAAGACACGCTCGAGCAATTCACATTGATATTCCGTATAAAGCGCAACATTATGCTTTTATTTTGAATGTTTATCGATTTATTTCCGGCTGTATTCCGGCCAACTGTGGTGAATTTATCCAGGCTAATTCCACCAATACGTTGAGAGAACAGGGTGGGCTCAGTTCCTGTCCCGGGTCAGTCAAATTGAGGCGGTAGATTTTGGGGTGGTTTCCACTTTACCGTTATGAGACTGTTTAGATTGTGACTATAATTACGTTGACATGGCCCATACACAAACAACATTTCCTGTCTGGAGATACAGCAGGCCAAACCAAGCAGCTATGAACACCCATGGGATGTTGTGCAGCTGTGAGAAAAGGCGAACTTCATGGCCCACAAGTTTTCTACTTTAGTCAGTGTTTGACCTTATTTCACAAAAGCTTTTGTACTAAACTGGTTACATTTTGTTAGGTGGCTCTACACGCTACTTTCTAGAAAGGGTTTTTTGGAATTTTCCCCTGTGGGACTAATAAAGGAACATCCAACTTTTTTTTTTTTTTTTACTGAACAACAAAGACCCCTTAGGTTATTTGTGGCCAAAGTCAATCATTACATTCCTCTCAAATGTTGAGAAGGGAGCAAATTATATCACACACATGAAGTTTAAAGTTTGCTACAACTCAGTTTATACATACATGTGGCTGTTTTCTCCGTCACAGTCTTTATTAAGAGTATGTCTTCAGTTGTTAGTCTACATATATAGAGCCAAATGGTCAAATTTTGTTGAGACAGCAATAACAAAGATGCAAGCCATATACAAACAAAAAAGGTATAGCCATTTGTAATCTATAGTCATTTTGAAAGAGGAAAGGAAAGATAAAAATAATAAATGAATAACTGGCTGGTAAGAGAAAAAAATAGCAATAAATGTACAGAAACAACCCAAAAATCAGTGAGCAATCCCTTACACTGAAACGTAGAGAACTTTGTTCACTGCTGTGGGGACACCCAGTGGTAACTTTTGACTTTACGAGCAGCAGTGGAAACCCCACCTCAAAGAGTGCCTGTCTTCTCTCACCGAGTAAGAAGTTTTTTTTCCTTTTATACGACATGTTCAGTCATACGGCAAAGGCTTATTCCCAAAATGGACATCGTACAATTGTAGCTGGTGAATAAGATCTTAACTGATATCTTTTAATAGAGATCTTAAAATGAATTATGACTGTGGTATGTATGAAATAACCTATACGTCTTATCTGATTAAATATGTTTTAAGAATAGTTCAGCACAGCAGTAAATCCTAATCTTCCAAGGCTTTACTGATACACACAGGCCCATGTTTTTTATCTTTCTACAAGTGATTACCAACACTGACATCTTGCTTTTCCTTCCCTCAAAAATCAATATTAATTCTACATATCTAACACTGAAATCAACCCCAATCTCTAAAAACCAAGATTTCACTCTCAAACACCAATCAACAACAGCTGGTTTGAACCACAAACCCTCACATTTAACAATATAAACCAAAAGTTTGTCACACACTTTTAAAAATAAAGGTGTACACACAAGTCAGTAAGTTTGTTTACTTGTTACATTTCAAGCTGTCATTTCTACATTTTCTCCTACCTACATGTTTTATCCTCCATGATGTGCACAGGAGGTGCTCCAGCAACAAAGAAGTGGTGGTTTGTATTTTCTTTGCATCAAAGTTTCACCATCGTATCATCATTGTTTGAACTCATCATTATAAAATAGGACTTGAATTTTGCATAACATTTTAAAACTGCAAAATCATATGGATTAACTGCAAAAGGGAGAAAAAAACTCACATCTTTTAAAGCAAGTTATTTTTTTTTGCAAACTCCTGTCAAAGAATTATTCAGCTCAAAGACTGAATAGTTTCCTGCAGTATCTGATCCATCTTGAACACACAACAGTGGAGACAAACATCTACAATCTGAGAAAAGCAATTTCAATCCATGGTAGATAAGATGGTGCATACTAACTATCACAAGGGCTTGTTGTGTTCTTCTCTTCTTGGCTAATTTTAAGTGACATTTTTATCGAGGAAGCCTCAGAGTTCATGCTTTTGTACACTAATTTACACTCACAATCACATTTTGCATGACTTGTTCTTGCGAGTGTAGGAGATGTTACTAGCAGTTTCATTTTCGTCACACTTTCATGAACAGCGATTATGTGGTTGATCGAGCACTGTCAGTGGTTTAGTTTGGTTCCTGAAGACCAAAACAAGGCTTTCACGCCTCTGAAATCCATCCGACACCTTTACCCTGTTAAAAACTTACCTGTATGTATACAATAGTTTTTTTCACGCTTTAACACTCATCAAGTGTGTATGCAAATCTGCGCATGGGTCTGTCTGAGCCCAGTGTGACAGAGATAGAGCAACAGGTGGCCAGCCTGACATCATTATCACATTCTTGGAAGTACTGAAGTGAGACGAGGAATAACAAGTACACACACACACACGCACACACACACACACACACACACACACACACATACACCACATCAAAACAGGCGGTGGGCCACAGAAAGTGGTTGCCACGGTAACATGTCTCTACATCCTGCTTGAGTCGTGTAAAGAAAGCTCATTACTTTTACAGGACATATACTTGCACAGTCATTACAAAAACACAAAAAGCCTGTATTTTTACCGTCTACCAAAGTGCACGTTAATCCGTATGCGTACATTTACACCACAAACAGTAGATGCAGGGATATGTATAAACACATCACAGCACATACTGGTTGTTCATTTAGCTACAGAGCATGCAGGTACTTGTTGTACAAGTCCAGAGAAGAAAAAAGGGGGTGATAAAGGGCAAGCATTCATTTTGCATCATGACTTTTCTAATGCGTCTAATTTCCAATTAAGGGTTCTGTGTCCTCACTGACTCTTTTTTCAGCCGACTGTTCAAAGTCTTCGGCATTCAGGGCATGGCATGGGATGATGAAGCTATCAATGTTTCAAGCTTGGCTCTGCTGGCACCTGCTGCAGCTTTACATTGCACAAAGGCTGGCGACAGTGTGTGCCATGTGGAGGAGAGTTGAAAGTGTTAGAGGTCAGTAGTGTGTGGTTGCACAGCAGAGAGCGGGAATGTGTTTGTTGGCATTGTTGAGGAAAGCACACCGTGCACGAGCCCCACGGTGTGATCTTCCAGGGATGTCATAATAAATGCTGATGCGGTCACACTGAATAGTCATGTAGCTTTGTTGCTAAATATAAAGAGATTTCAGTCAAGCTGATCCCTGTTTCTTATCCTATCTAGGCTGCTTCCTCTCTGAGCTCCGAGCTCTTATCCGAGATGATAAATCATGTCTTTTATCTGCTAGCATCTACAGGCTACAGCTTGTGTTTAGTTTTATGTTTGATCCATTTTCCAGGATTATAAATTTGTCCTTCTGACTCATGTGGTGTTTAGTTAAGCTGCGCAGCTGCCATTGGAGCACAGATTATTTGGCATTTTCTGAATTCTCTAAATTGGTTTTTATCAGTTTTTTTCTTTTACAGTTGATAAATCCTGCTATAACTGAATTTGTTGATGATGTGCTCTTTTCTACAGACTTCTTTCAGTTGTCTCATCAGATCTGACATCAGCTATGGCTTTAATGGGCTACTTTACCCCCTTAATGGCTGTTTTTCACATTACACCTTTTCACCTGTCATATACTATACATCTACAGGGTGAGAAGCTTGTGTTTACCCTTTCATGTGTGCACCCGTACACTCCTACCTTGGTGCTGTCCTTGCACTGGAAAACATAGCAGGCGCAGTTTGTTTCTTCTCTAACCAGGCAGCCAAAGCTGCGGGGCTCCTGGCTGTTGTGAATGAGCTTGGTCACCTGGTGAGGTCGACATTCAAACAGTACAGTGTGTGTCAGAGGGTCCCAGACAACTTTGTCTCCCAGAACGGACATACATCGCACCCATGATGCTGACACACACAGAAAAACTGTGTGGTTAAACATAGAGGTATCCTGATGTCCACCTCCTGGACTTGTAGACCCAGAACGACCCTGGTCCTTCTCTGCAGGGAGACATCTGCTGATCTCGGTCACCACCCAGGGTAGCATGGCCATGGTGGTCAAGTGGTGCACTGGCAGAGAACCGATCAATGTCAGTTTGTACTGTACCTCCTCTTCTTCCTCTCCCTCTTCCACTACCGTTCCCCTCCATGTTGTAATCCTCTTCCCAGCAGAGGTGAGTTTCTGAAAAGATGCTGAGGAAGAGGAGAGATGTGGCAGTGAAGGACATGAGCGGTGGTTTGAGGTTAAGCGTAGAGGAGGTTTCTCAGAGCTCCTTGGCCTGGAGGGTTCATCTTTACGGGGCTTTACTTCAAAGTAGAGCCCCTCCATGGCTTGTGCCAGTAGGATGCCTCTGTGTTTACCTGGAAAACATCAAAGGAATAGACAGATTGAAGAGTATTTATTGATGGGCCATCCAGGAAAAATCAGATGGTGTTGCAGTCCTTCAACTGTAGGGTCATTTAGAGGGTACTACAAAATGACCTCCTGGTGTTGTTTACTCAACTTCCACCACATGCTAAATTCTGACCAAGTCGTAGGCGCTCAAGGGCACGCAAACACATGACAGCTGAAATATGAGGATCATGTTTAACTAATCGCGTGCCAGACAGAGAGCGACTGAGGTCCGCCTGACTCCTTCAATGATCCTACAGTCAACAAACATACGTGACATTATCACCACTGTCATGACGCAGAGATATGTAAGAAAGTATGCAGGTGTTGACGGAAGGGTGTGATGAACATATTCAGCATGATAAACAGATCATAAAACCATAACAGAGTCGAAACGTTTAAGTAAGCAGGATATAAAACGGAAGCAGCTACTTACGTACCTCATTTTTGACCTTGAAATACAAGTGTGCCTTAGTTTAAACCAACTGGGAAATCGCAGCATGCAAACTAGGTCGGTCCACCGAGCCGGAGAAGCAACGGAAGTTAGAATGAGATTATGTATCCGCGGAGCGCAGCCTCACGTGCTTGGCTTTAGAGGGTAATGTAGCTTTACGCACGGATTTTTACGCACAGGGTGATGTAGAAATTGCAGTGAGAAATATTGATACATGTTCGTCGAATACAAAACATCTTTCATGAACGGTATACCGCCGTTTCCCTCCTCTCCTCGAGCCAGTGTGACGTCCAGCCTCCTTACCTGTTCACTGGAGTCTTGTCCGGAGCGCGTAGCGTGAAAGAATAACGGTGCATACAGCTACGTGAGTCCACACATACAGAAAGAGAGCGAGCCACACGCAGCAGCAGACGCTTTCAGTTCGAGTTAAATATAGAAGACAGGCCAGACCCTACCTCCCCTCTGCCCTCTATACACTCAGCTGGGGCATGACGAGAGCATGCTGTCTGCATGCACTACCAGAGGATGGATGGTTGACGTGCCCGCACGTAAGACGCGCGTTTATATGGCCAATTGAACACCAAATGTCCTTTTGGAAACCATCTTTATTGTCAAGGCTTCATCGGCACAGTGCCCTAGAATATAAGGCACATCATGAAAGAAGAACAGCTAATTTCACAGTTATATAGACACAGCGGGCACTAAAAAGATCTGCTTTCTAGGGGTCTCAACAACTTTTTCATATCGAGGAATGAGGAGCAGAAACCCATGTACAGTTCTTCCACTTGGTGGTGCTCTAAGCTTTCGGGCTGAGTCATCTCACAAATCAGACAATTCTTTTACAGTGAGCCCCATTTCACATATGTTTACTGTAACTTTGAATGTAGTGCCGTTTCAATAACTGCCACATATTGAATAATCATTAAAACCCAGCGTACAACATGTATCAAGGTTACAGTTAGTTTTCAATTAAATAAATGTGACCAATTCTAATGAACATTTTTGTTATTCTTTAATGTCAGAGCACTTTGCTGTTGAATCAGGAATGCATAATAGTTACAGATTAATCCAAAGCAATGTAGGTAACATAACACTACAGGCAGCAGGAATGGCTTGACTCTTTTCAGGTTGTTGAAATCTCTGGTGCTGAGGCGAACCAAAAATTATGAAATGTTTTGTGATATATGATGACAGTGAATACATAATCCAAGGCCAGAAATGTGAAAGCCATATGTTATAATCCCTGTATTAGGTTAAAATAAGGACAGATTCATGATTATGTTTGTGTGTAACTGGTCTAGAACAACATAAATGAAATATTTATATGCTAAGCTGTAAATGTAAAATAAAGCCTGAGCTGAACCAGAGCTCTACCTGAACTAATTAGGACACTATTTAACAAGCTGGTAAATCATTGGTTATTAGCGGTCCTTCATATGATCGCATCTTTAAGATCTACTCCGGCTTAGGCTGCAGTTTATTCTTTCCCGGCTCCAGGAAGTTTTCAACAATAGCATCCACCAGCTCATCCAGCTCCTTCTTCAGCTGCTTCACATCACTGTGTGACAGAGAAAGAATCAGACACGCTGAAATCTGCATCTTAAACATTCAGTGGTCAATAACATCCTGATATTGGAGATTACTAAATACATTGAACATTATGAATAATTAATGAAGTAATTATCATCTGCAGCCTACAGTGATGGCATGGCTTAAACAGAGACCTACCTGTTACCAGGAGCAGCACAGAGTTCGGTGTAGTATTTGATTTTTGGCTCAGTGCCACTTGTCCTAATGGTGGCCACGCCCCCGTTTGAGAAGCTAAATGTGATCATGTGGCTGGAGCTAGAGGTGGGGAGAACCTGGGACACAGAGGGAGTGAGTGGATCAAACTTTCACAACAAACTCTTGTTTAGAAAAACAGAAAGAGAGCTTTAAAGAATTTAAATTCTCAATGTATAACACATATTCTATATCAACGTATATTACTGTTAATATGGCACACACCTGCCCCTTTAGCAAATATAGACTAGTTCTAAATAATCTTGGTTCACTTGATTATATACTCACAGGTCACTTTATTAGGTACACCTGTTTAAGCGCTTGTTAACACAATAGCTAATCAGCCAATCACAAGTACCCATCTTCTATCTAATGGCTATTTCCAGAAGGATAATGCACATGCCTCAAAGCTCAAATCGTCTCAGACTGGTTTCTTAAAAATGACAATGAATTCACTGTACTCCAGTGGCCTCCACAGTCACCAGATCTAAATCCAATAGAGCACCTTTGGGATGTGGTAGAACGGGAGATTCACATTACGGATCTGCAGCACCTGCGTGACGCTCTCATGTTAATATGGAAAAAAATCTCAGGAATATTTCCAAAACCTTGTTGATAGTATGTTATAAAGGATTAAGGCAGTTCAGAGGGCAAGAGGGGTCCAACTCAGTACTAACAAGGACCTAATAAAATGGGCAGTTGACTTATTGGCCACTTGGGGGCAGTGAAAACAAGGTTTTGACACAGCACTGAAATGTATTCAGTTGATGTGGCAGACTTAGAGACGGTTTCTCATTGCCACATCCACTTGTTATTAGATGTGAGAACTTGTACTGAAAGCTTGAGGCCGACCACTTAAATATATTAAAGTTTCAATTTCTGACTCTTTCTACTTAACACAATACTTACATCTTAGACAGTGGTCTGTAACAGTAAATCAATACTCATTTGGAAACACTGAAACACCTCTGATTCTCGATGTTCATTCAGCTCTGACATGTGTCTGTGAAACTTACAGCTTTTTTGTCAGGCTGGTTGCTGTCATAGCCGGTGGTCAGGTCACGTACAGCTGAGACAGAGAAGCGCCCACACTCAGTGGGGTAGGAGTCTTTCTGGCTGTTGAAGTTGCGTAAGCGCTCAAACAAGCTGTTGATCACTTTCTGGTCATGGCAGATGAAGTAAGAGTTCTTTGTGATGTGGTAGCCGTACCTGAGAATAAAGAGAAGAGTGAAAGATAGTCGTTGTTGAGTTTGACTTGAGCCGACCACAGCATAGATTTATCTCATCATAACAGTTCTATCTGTGGGTCCAGATTAGTGATAAAAGTGGGCTGTGGATGAGGCTCAAGGTAGATGCTGTATCTCTTAACTGTGTTAGTGAAAACATCGCTAATGTAACTCTGTTAAAGTCAGTACATTTAAACACAATACTTCCAACTATTTCTTTACAATGGAAGTTCTTGTTTATTTTGCTGTTTGAGTGACACTCCTCTGTCATGCATATAAACTGAGCCAATGAGGGACAGATACATTTTTATATACATCTAACTTGTTGGGTTGTTTGTCTGTCTCTGTGTGTTTGTGTTTGTTTGTGTTTGTTTGTGTGTTTGTGTGTTTGTTTGTGTGCAGGTCTTACTCTTCATAAATGGAAGTGAGCTGCTGAGAAAGGCTCGTGCTTTTCGTGGCCAGATAGGAAATCATCTCTCCTGATATCGCTGCAGCACTCACTCCATCCTTATCCAACACAGAGGGACAACACATATACCCTGAAACACACACACACACACACACACAGTCAATCCCTTACTACACATAAAGGTAAAGTTCCAGCTGAAATAGTCACATGTTCTTTAACCTAAAGTGTGTGCAAAGGCATGTGAGTCCCATTAAAGCGTCATAATGATGTTATACAGAAACTCTCTGAGTTATGCCATGTCTGTGTTTGAGTTGACTGTGGTCATATTAACAGAACGCCCTTCAACCTTCAACCTTCAGAATGAGACTTTGAATAAGTAAGAAAACTTTCTAGGACTACCCTGTAGAAATTTTTGTTTCATTCATTGAATTTAATGATTGATTTAGTCATTTAAAAAGTCACCAGGACTGTACAATGTGGGTACAAAACCAGTGAAAATACTCTTCAGCAGATGTTTTCTGTGACTCCTGATGAAGGCCTCAAATAAGCTTGTAAAGTGACTGAAGAAAGTAGCATTTGCCTGAGGAAAAATTACACTGTAGAGGGCAAGGCATCTGAAATAATAATAATAAAAGTAATACTTGCTATAATAAAGACTCGTGATTTCTGACCCAGTTCTTTGGAAGTAGAAAATGCTACAGTTTGAAAATAAAAAACAGAGTAGTTGAATTTTAACAACTTTTTCCTGCTTATACTTCTCATTTATCTAATCCTATATGTGCTGTACTAAGAGATTCCACATCTATTTCATTTGCACATGCACAGGGATTTTATGGGGATGAGTAATTCCCATGAATTATATAGCAAATTAATTTAGCCAAGTTCATCCCACTTAAGATTTTCTGAGTTGGATTTTGTTATAAAAAAAGAGGGCAGAGTTTGGCCTTTGGCTGATCCATTTTAGTCAGATGAGTCCTTTTCCTTTTTAGGGTGTTAAAAATACTCTGATATTCCGCATGCCTATTTATATTATGCAATGTTCAACTCTGTGTGTGTGTGTGTGCGTGTGTGTGTGTACCTATTGCCTCCTCAAATGCAAATAGAACAGCTTTGCCCTGATCCAAAAGGTCTCTGGCTCTGTTTCCCATCCACTTGAACCCTGTTAGCGTTTCCTGTTCAAACAATGGAGACAGTGTCAATAGGTGGTTTGAAATGAAAGGACACTTGGTGGTTTGTGCGTAACTTTCACATGTAGAAAAATGTTGAAAACTTGACTGCACTACCTCAAAGTGAAAGCCTTCCTTGAGAGCAATGGCACGCAGGATCTTGGATGAGACAGTGCTGGACAGCATGTAGAGGTTTTTCACAGCAGCAGGGTCGGAGTTTTGCTGTTTCCAGCAGCGGAACATCCACCAACCGAGCAACGCTCCTAATTCATTACCGCTGAACAATCGCCACTGTCCACTGACAAAAGGGGACAGAGTGGGAGATTATAGTGAAAAATGTGCAAGCAAGCAAAACATACAGTTAGTCCTACGTATCACAAGTTTGTCTAGAGCACTTAGACTGTTACAACAATGATGTGTTCTTTCAGAGCTGAGGCTAACATGTATCACTACACTTGTGAAAAATAGTCTTTATAAACACAAACACAGACCTCTCCTGCTTTTCAGCGATTGCCAGTCGATCAGCGTCAGGGTCATTAGCCAACACAATCGAAGCCCCCACCCTCTTTGCCAGAGCAAACGACAGGGTCTACAAAACACACACAGACATCACACTTCAAGTTACAACACACCACATAATCTCTGTGTGAGTGCACTTAATGTCAATAACAATTAGAGTAAATGCTAACTGAAACATACCAGGACTCCTTCCCCCTCCTCAGGATTGGGATATTTTACAGTGGAGAACTCAGGGTCTGGATCTTTCTGTTCCTCAACAGCGTGTGGAGGCGGAAGGTCGAAGGCTTTGAAAGCTGTCTGAACAAATGCATGGCCCACACCGTGCACAGAGGTGTGCACAATTTTCACCTCTGAACTCTTGTTTATGTCCCTGTGAAAAAGAAAGAAGCCAGAGTTGAAGCAGTGACCTCGGTTGGCCTCGTTTCAGCTATTGTGGGTGAATGTGTGAACATTCAAAGGTATGTTATCTGCTTCTTACCTGTTGTGGCAGTGATTCTGGATTGTTTTAAAGTACTGTGTGTGAATGTCTTGGTAGGAGTCTTTGAGCAAAGGGCTCTTCAGGGCTTCTTCTGTGTTCCAGGACTCAGGCCAGGGCTCGAGGTTCTCCTCTATGGCCTTGGCGATATTTTTGTCATGAGGAGAAATGATCTGGGCTCCGTTCTCCCAATAAACCTAAGACAGAAAACACAGAGACTTTACTGTGACATTCAATAAACGTTTCTTTTTCTTCATTTCTACTCTTTTTTAACCAAATAATGACTTCATCAATTAATTATTGTAGCTCTCAGCAAACCAAGTGTACGTAAAGCAAACTGTCTGTCAAATCACATAATTTCAATCTTCAAACCATCACAAATGAAGTAAGGTCAGAGCTGTGAAATAGTTAAACCGTAAAAGTACCACATAAACAGAAAAATGTAAAGAATGAGGAGGTAAGAAGGTGGAGGTTGTTGCCTTGTAGCCGTTGTCCTGCTTTGGGTTGTGAGAGGCGGTCACCATGATACCGGCGCACAGACCCAGATGAGACACAGTGAAAGGCTGAAACGGGGGAGGAGAGAAAACATGTTACTTATCTGTAGTACTGACATTTTTAAACAGTGTAAACTTGTGGGAAACAGATGTGAGAAAACAGCATGTTCCTTTTCCTTGCAACAGAAAGTAAACCTGCGCGCAGACCTTACCTACAGTAACCCTACCGCCCCAAGTTCCTTATTGAGAAACACACACTTCCTTTTTGCAGAACTGAGTGGCTGTTTTCTTGTAGTATGGGGAGGATCTTACTGACTGTTTTATCAGAGTATATTTGTTAGTGAGGAATAAAGCCTCTGACAGGGTTACAAAATTACCCAAACATAAGAAAAGATGATGAAGGGACATGTTATTGTGAGTTTGCTCCTTATAAAAGACAATATTATGTCTGTGTTTACAACTGAAAATCTAGCAAATCTGCAAAGCTTTGTTCTAACTGCTGTGAAGAAGATTTACGAATTGAGATAAAAGGAGTTCAAAGAAGAGCCTTCATGTCCAGGCTGCAGTATGCTGCTTGTTTAGCTCTGAAATATACCGTATAGAGTTGTGTGAAACATGCTCTCCAGCTGCACTTTCAACAAAGTAGCATCCAGTGAATCATATGTGCATTACGCAACATGTGGCACATATAAGCAGAGTTTGCTTTTACAGTGGAATTTGACCTTTAACTTCTGCTGCTTGTTCTCAGTAGCAGAACTGTCATCAGACTAACTGACGAGGTCTTCATAGTTGAAATGCAACAGCAGGCAGTGAAATTGTATCTAACATGATCCGTTAGTGTTTATGCAATATCAAACTAACCCACATGAGGAAATAACAGAAGATCAAGTGATTACCACAAAGGGAGTTGGGGTGATGTCGTTAAAGAGGTGGACAGGCACTCCTCTGCTGATGAACACCGCTGCAGCCAGGCTGGCAAAGTGTTTGCTGCTGCCGCCGCTGGGTGGGTGGGCACGGGCGTCATAACCGATCACCACCCCTCGCTCCTTAAGGTCGCTAAAGCTTTCCTCCAGGTAGTGACAAAAACCCTGAGGATATGAGAGGACAAACTTGGAAGTAAATGTCTGAGATTCTACAGTGAGCTACCTCAACAGACACAAGGGTTTGGAGTCAGAGTCAGAGCACAAGAATCAGTTATGTGTTTGTCTGGTGCTGCATGTGACTTGGTACTCCATGAGCGGTTTGTAGTTTGTCTGTAAACTGACCTGCGTGGTCTGGATGATAGTGAGGTCATTCATACAGGAAATGCCAGGACCCATGGGGGCTCGCAGACCTGCTGTACCAAACTCCATCCTAGAGGTGAAACATTTCTTCAGAGCCTCCACCGCTCCATTTTTCATCATCTCCTGCACCATTGATGCTGTTTTAGGGTTCTGGAGAGGAAAAAGATTTGTTATGGACAGTTATTATTTTCACAAACGGAGGTTACCTACATTCATTAAAAACTTTAGCAAGTTCTTTAAAAATAGAAAGCAAAAAATAAGTAGTGAAAAATCGATATTAGGACAACGCTATGAGACCCTCTACAAATCCAGTAAAGCAAATAAAGCCACCCTGCAGGTGTGGGCCCAAGATCTTGGCGTGGATATTGACGAGGATATAGGGATAAGTTTATGGGAGCATGCTGGTAAAATGTCAAAATCTCATCCTTAAATTAACGACACTCACGATCAAAAACTGCTTAGCATGTTAACATATGCTGCACGTAAAAGTGTACTACTGAAATGGATTTCACATAAACCACCAACTGTTTCTGACTGGTATAAGGTCATATTTGATTTGCTTCCTATGGAATATTTGACATATTTGTCCAGAGGGACAATCAGACAGTTCTATCATGTATGGACTTCATGTCTTGATTATGTGGGACCAAGGATATGCAGTATATTCTGGAGGACTCTTCCCAAACCAGGACAAGATGGCTAGTGGACTGGGGAGGCTCTGTTGTCTGTAGTGCTTCTATCATTGTTTATGACGTGTATGTATGGATAAGGTTTCCACATTGTGATACTCTATTTATTTATGTGAGTCATTTGTATAATGAGTCAGGCTTTATGGGATTAACTGGTCATTGATGAAACTTCACAAATGAAAATGAACCAGTGTCTCATTTCCAGTTCAACCTGATTGAAAGCATACCATGTCACTATAAAGACATGAATAGCTGGGTTTGTGTAGGTCACATGGTCAGATGTATTGGTTAATTAGCACGTGCTCTTTATCAAATTACTTTAGTCTGAATGAAAGAAGTTTATCTTCTTCACCAGTAGGAAACATAATTCACGCAGGAACTTTTCTCTATGACAACATGAACTAATGCAAAAAGGAGCAAATGCTTTTTTTTTCAGATTTGAAGCTTGATCCAGAGCTCATTATGCAAAATCTTTTTTTTTTAATCATTTTTTATTTTACCATTTTACTAACTGCACTAATAACTACATCTGTTCTCATATGACTCACTGCTGTTTGGCAGTACAGCGAGACAGACAGTCCCCTTCCTGTTCTGACTTTACATAACGTTACTTTACTGCGCAGAAGAAGTCATGATATTAATACTATTATTGGTGCTATAAATGTTCGGTTGCACTGACTCTATTTGTCTCATAGTCTGTAAAGCTACACTTTCTGCCACTTTACCATAAGCTAGCTCGCTACATGTTTCCGTCAGCTCACCTTGTCATACTGCAGCCACTGCCGAACAGCCTGGTCCAGCTCCGTGTCTCCTGTTGTGGACGAACCGTTATCCATTTCTTCTCTTCGGCGAGTAAAGACACTGGAGAGGTCGTCCTGGGAGGCGAGGCGTTGACACAAGAGTGTATTTTTCAACTCAAAACCGAAAATGAATCCGTGAATGAGAGAGGCACATCGATCTGTCACACGCGGGATGGGGCGGGGCGACGTAATGCGTCACGAGTGTTTGATCTGGTGCCTTCAAGTGCAGTCGTAAAATATGGTATTTTTCAGAGAGGAAGACACCAACAGCACCCAGGAACCAAAACTCATGATGCATTTTTTAAAATACAATTGACTTAAGCTATTTCCCAGTTTATTTCAAAACTATCTTATGCTTTGAGCCCGCGGGGTATTACAGCTATATGTTTTTGAGAGCTCTCTTACCTCGAAGTAGGGGAGAGTGGGGTAAGTTGAGCCAAAGAGTAAGTTGAGCCACCCCCTGTTGCTTGGAAATGGTAAAAGAAATTGATCATGTGAGCAAACATTTAGGAGATGGGCATCAATTCATGGAGTCTGTGAAGGTTAGAAGGACATGGATGAAGGGGTTAGACATTTAGTTACAAAAAAAAAAAAAAAAAAACTTGTCCCCGCTCCTATGGTCAACTCACTCCATACTCGGGGTAAGTTGACCATAGGAGACCACTTTTTTTTGTCCTGCTATATTATCAAGACAGTTATGTTTACACTCATTCTGTTGGTTTGCAGGGATGAACAACATCTTGAAATACATGCAGATACACTAGTTAGAGACAAAACTATGATTGCCTTGATGTAGTGATCCGAAATATGAAAAAAATGGCTCATCTTACCTCACTCTCCCCTAACTATTTTCTTCTCTTGACCTTCAATGCTCAGTTACTCCCTATTTCAGTATCTGCTTTTTTATTGTCATTTCTCTGCACTCTTCTCTCTATAGTTACGCATCCGTGACCAGTAACTTTAGTCAGAACAACTCTGTTGACAGATGTTTAAGATAGCATGGCTTTTGGCTCACGAGTTAAAGCAATGAATGCATGACATGCATCAGAGTAAGCAAAGGCAATGGTAGTCCTTATGATCTTGGCAGGGAGCCCCAGGAGGCTCATGGATACTGTATATATGGGGAAAAGAAACACTGAAAGACTGGGGCTAAATTATCTTTATTAGACCATTTTAATAGATACACACACTATTTTATAACAATTTGAAGTTGCCAACATTTGGTGGAATCAGTTCAGGTTAGAAGTAAAACTCTGTTGTTGCTGTTTTCTCCTCCTGGTTGACAGAACCTACTGGTCGGATTAAAACTGCAATTTTCCCAGGGATTTGGTAATTATGAAAAAAAAAGAAACTGGTGTAATTTGGACTTTCTTTGACTTTGTTTTCATCCTAACATTGCAAAGACATATTCCATTAGAATATTGTTGATGGATAGTTATTAATACTGTCAGATCTGCAGGTTAAGTGATCAAGTCACAGAGCAGTATTGATAAATTATTTGACCATATAATCATGATGAATGATGAACTGTCTTTAAGGTAAGCCTCTGTTTCATTATTAGCCACAAGGTGACTTTTTGATTTGTCAAAGTTTGGAATATACAAGCAGAGCTTTTGGATTTGTGGTCTCTTATAAACTGCGTACTGACAATAACTTTCATTAAAAAGAGATTTGAGACTGAAACAGATCAATTTTAGTGTTGGCACCAGAGCTTTTCTGACTGTGACACATTAAACTGTCAATTGAAAAAAGAAAACTCCTAAACCTCTAACGCAGCATTGGCAATTTTACTATTTTTCAGTAAAACCTGAGTCTAGAAGACGTCGGACTTGTCTGTAAGGTCCTGAACACAGACTGTAGGTCATGAAAATAAAGGTCCTGTCAGCCCCTGACTTCACACAAAATGTTATCTGCTCCTTTTCCTTCTCTGTTTGATGATAAACAAGTTCTCATCTGTCGGGTACATCTGTGTATTTTTGGTATTGTCCCCCTTTCCTCGATTTCTCCTCCTCCTCTTCTTCTTATCTCCTTTCTCTTGTCTCGAACCCTGCATCTCTCCTCTTTCAGTCCCAAACAGGTGATGAACTCTGCTGTGTCCATGTCCCCCTGGTGGCCCTGAGGGAACCTGCTTGCTTTTTTTCACTCTTTTCCCCCTCTTCTTCATCTGTACGGGCTTTTCCGTGCCTCCGCCTCTTGGGAAGTCAACTGCTTCATCCAGGATCAGTTTGGGTGGTGGGTCCCTTGAGGTGGGCACAGGTCTTTTGGGCTTCCATGGTTTGACATTACTGGTGCTTTCCTGTTGTTTGAAGCGGTACTTCTTTGCTTTGACTACCGTTGCCCGACAGTCAAGGTTGTCATCAAAATAGAAGTGACTATTACTTGGTTTGTGGTTGCTGTTGCTTTGGTGAGGTGTATGATAAGACTTGTGGTCGTTTTTATGATGGCTCAGTTTCTGTTTCTTCTTTGGGGGTCCTGGAGTAAGAGGGGTCTCAATACTTAGAGGGAGGAGGCCATTTTGCTTCAGTTCTGTGGAAAACACAAACACAAAGACTTCTATTACTTTCAAATGTAGCCTGAAATGATAAGGACCGAGATTCGATTTTAAGAGAGTGGTTCAAATGAAACTACTCTCTGAAAATCTAATCTTTGACACGGAGTCATGATGTGTAATAAATAACAAAAACCCTGCTCCATAAAAGGATCTGGTTACCGTCTTATGGTTGACAGACACCTTGGTTTGATTATCCCTTGAAGGCTTCAGTTAATAGAGAGGTGACAAATGTAAAAATCATTTATTTGAGTTGCCGTTAATGCCTGTCTGATCTCTACCTTTTATCTTCATTTTGATCCTGTGCTGTCGGCGATTAATGTCCTCTGTGGTGTCGTAGTGGTTGATGAACGGGGTGCTGGGATACGTCCCGTTGAACATCCTCTGTCGAGTACACGCCTGAGGAAAACAGAAAATGTGTTACAGCTTACAGTACGGCTGCTCAAGCAAATCCCTGTAAGACAAATGATGAGCTGCACTGTAATTAAAGGGATATTCTGGCATAAAATTAATTTAGGGTCAAACACAACATAACACTGAGTTAGACACCCCGTCAAGACATGAATGTTTCTGACCGCTTTCTTCTCTAGTTATACCAACTTTAATAACGACCGCAGGATAGAAATACACAGCGGTCTGAGGAGCCATAAACAAACCTCAACCAAAACGCCACTCTATAGACACAAATAATGTCATGATCATAAATGTTCTTCCTTGAGCTGCGTCACCCCGCTGCAGTCAGTTTTGACTGGCCCGAGGTCTCTGTGCAAACAAGCGGCTGCTGGAAGAGAGTAGGTGAGTTGTGTTTAGTCTCTTTGCTAAAGAAATCAGGCAAAGATAAAAAGATGTTTGGTGTCTAGTGCTGTGACTGTGACCCTATATGTCCTGTTGATGAAGTTAGGTGCTGTTCTGAGCATTATTTGTGGCTATAGAGTGGTGTTTTGGTAGAGTGCATGACTCTTGAGACCGCTGTGTATTGCAATCTTGTGATCGTTACTAAAACTGTTTTAACTAGAGAAGCAAGCGGTCTGCAACATTCATTTCTCGACGGGGTGTCTAACTCTGTGTTCAGGTGTGTTTGACCCTAACTAAATTTTATGCTGGAATATCCCTTTAAGAGAGAGTGTGTGTAATTTATTAGATATTTGGCGATGGGGACATAGTGGTTTCTGTCAGCCTCTCCTTCCAAAATAGTTGCAAAAACCTGTGAGAAACAGGGAAACGTTCCTCTGGAGCTAGCGTTTGGTTTGTCCTCTCTAAATACATGGAGGTGAGCACATAAATAACATGGTTGTAAAATGAAAACTTGACACAGAGAGAGAGAGAAACTCACATATCCAAAGTGTCCTTTCCTGGAGCAGTTATAGCAGTAGGCTGGATTTTTGCCCTGGTCCTCTCCATGTTGCTTAACAGGAACACCTGGTTTGGTCTACGGACACAGAGAAGATCAGAGGAGGTTGTTACCAGAAAACTGAAGCTTCAAAAGGTTAATGTATAAAGTTTCTCTATAGAAATGCAAAGGTTTCATGTCCCATTAATCTCCAGTTATCTCTCTTCTATTCCCAACATTCCCATGCGCTCTTTTGCTACCTCTATTGATCATGGATTGTGCGCTGAATATGGGTTCTGATATAAACCACTGATTACCAGGCTATAGTTAGAGGCCTGTAATGACCCTGTATGATAAGTGACTGCTCAGTGTGTGTGTGTGTGTGTGTGTGTTGGACACAGGGTCCCGTCCCCTATGGGCCAGTGTTCTAAAAGGCTTCCATGCTCCAGCGCGCACAGCAAATATACACTGATAAAGAGAGAGAGGAGACACAGGCACAGTGCATTTACTGCTAATGTTACACACACACACAAACACACCACCTAATGCTATTCTCTAAAACACACACTCACACACACACACACACAGCGTCACACACCTTTATCTCAAATGTGCCCCCTCCTTTGTCTCTCACCCCTGATTCAGAGATTACAAATGGTTTGTGCCTCGCGTCATTTCTTAAACATAGCTTAGCTAACCTCCTTCTCTCCTCCTCCTCCTCCTGCTCACCCTCTTTCTCCCTCTTTCCCTCACACACCCCTTCATCCCTACATCCACCCCTCACACTTGCCCCCCTCCTCCCCTGCACTTTCTCTGTCTCTCTTCTTCCTCTCTCTCTTTTTTCCGCTTGAGTAGTTTTGCAGCAGAAAGGATGAATGCTATTAGAGCGTCGCGTCATTATCGGGTCAGGCCGGCCGGGCCCATCTCCATCACAAAGGCCAGGAGATCACAGACCCCTTGCAAGCTTGCACACACACACACACACACACCCACCCACACCCACACATGCACTCCAAGGAGATCACAGTCCCCCCTTAACTCAGCTCCCCCCCCAGACCTCCACCCTTCCAGCCCCTCATCCCATTCATCGTTCATGTAAATTGGCTGTAGGTCTCCCTCTGTCTCTGACCTTGGGTTTGTGTTATCTCCTCACACTCTGATCCAGCACACACACACACGTACAAAAGAAGAAGAAGAAGAAATGAAATCCCCTCTTATTCTCTCATCAACCTGCGATAGTTGTCTGACGACCTGGTGTGTAAGTGAGTCTGCGTGCGTTTGTGTGAAGAGTTGTCGGCCTCATACAATATTAATTAACTGGAGGAACCTTCATCCCTCTCTCTCTCTCTCTCTCCCTCCTTCTCTCGCTGTTTCCTCCCAGCACCTCTTATCAGGGGTTATCTAAATTGCCAGCAGGGTGAGGGCCTGAGGGATCATATCAGTTTGGTGTCTTTCTCTTTCTTTCTCAGGGGTTTAGAGAGGAGTCCTAGAGAGTGTAGCTGGGCACTAAAGTCAATAAAACACACAGGCAGGTTTTTCAGGTAGCTTTGCTTTGGTATCTTTCATTCAGGATTGGCTCAGAAACAAACTTAAATTAGTTTGAGGTGACACATTGTGATCAGGAATGGAGTAAATAAGCCCCACAAATCAAATACACCAATTTGTGACTTCATCAGATCTTTGTTTTTGATCGAGGAAAAACACCGACACTGAATTCAAGCGTCACAGAGATCTGATTTTCTCAGGGTGGCATTTCACACATACAGAACTTTTATGAAACAGAGTAAGCAGACCAAATGGAAGTCCTGGAAAATTCAAATACTGGCGCATTAACCTGGGACTATTGCACTTCTCAACCTGTTGGTATTATTCTTAAAAATCACTGTATTTTAGATTAGGGCTGGGCGATATGGCCTCAAATCAATATCACGATATATTGAGCAGTTCACCTCGATAACGGTAAATGGACGATAACTACTCCACAAGCTGCTCACCTCCTCTAACATTAACTTCGTCTAACTCAGCTGCCGCTTCAGCCGCTACAACTTTTGAACCGCCCTTATGGACTGGAAGGGGTGGAGTCACGTAGACGTAGGACAACGTCTTAAAAGGACATGAGACCATAGCCTACCTACACACATCCAAAACCAACTTTTAATTATTAATTTTTTACACTGAATTTACAGGTATGGGTAAAATGACGTCGGTTTTTGTCATAAATTTCGGTCTTGGTAAATTTTTGGTTTATCGCTCAGCCCTATTTTAGATGTTTTTTTTTTACATTTTATTGCACTATTTGATTCCTGAATCAAGAAATCTGCCTAACATTGATAGTTTGTGCTTAAAATCATTTTAATTATGCAAGATAATGACATTTTAAAATGATTAAAATATGATTAATCACAATCAACAATTAGTTTCAGTGACTGAACTGGAATAAAAAAAAAAACCCTGGATTTAATTCGTCATGTGTGATTTTGTAGATACCACCTGTACAGAGACTGTAGCTAAAAATTGGCCAATATGACTTAAACAGCACATGAACAGAAATGTCTATTAATGTGGACTTTTACTGTAAATATAAAGCTCCTTAGTATATGAACTGGGGGTACTTTTTTAATGAATAATTTTAGGTTTATTATCCAGTTTTAGATATAGTTGAGGTTTTTCTGCACAGTTTGTTTTATTGTTTTATTCTTTTATGAATTCCTGTCTCAAACTGGGAGAAACATAATTTCGTTTATTTTTTTCTGACACTGCTTGCAGATGGAAAAGTAAAAGACAAATAAAGCAATCTTGATCTTGATCTTGATCTTGAAAGCATGTTATTAATAGTCAAATTATCTGCGTACTTTGTTGATGTGATGTGCTTTCAGGTGATTCCCAGCAGTCCTGTCATGGAGTAAAATCTCATTGTGAAACTGAATCCAAAGCACTTATGATTGTTTCCCGTTTCACTTTAGATCACATGAACCCTGTCTGACCTGCTTTCACTTTTACTACTCATGTTGGAAAGTACATATTGGTTTGAATATCAGGCGTGTTTCCATTTTACTCTTAGAGATCTTTCCTGTTCTTGATCATGTGATGGCATGACTGCATTAAAAAAACACTTTTGTGTGTTTAAACTAATCCTCTTTTTTAGCGCTAAGACTGCAAGAGGGATCCCAATTTGGCCCGCCACTTATTGATACGACCTGGAGCTTCTCCAGCTGCTCAGAGACACTTTGCCAACCGGCGAGAGGACTGATGCCGGAAGACAACCGATGATGACGATGATGATGACGATGATGATGATGATGATGCTGTTGTGTGGAGGAGGTTGTTTGAAATGGTTTTAAGGGCCTCGCTAGGTGGACGAAGACAGCCAGCCTCCGTGGCCTCTCATGCTTGAATCACATGCTCACATACGCGCACAAAAACTCACAAACACACTGTGTTTCCCACAGTTGTCCCAGCACACACACACACACACACACACACACACACACACACACACACACACACACACACACACTGTGTCTCTCTGTGCTCTTCTTTGCTCTTTGCCTTGGCTGCTGGTGGCAAAGCTGTGATAATCCTTTGGCCAACACGGAGCTCAGACTGTTAAAAGACGACAATCGGAAGGAACACACACATTCGCACACACACACACACACACACACACACACACACACACACACACACACACACACACACACACACACACACACACACACATTCGCACGCACACACACACTTAGGCACAGTTATCAAACACAATCCGAGAGGCAAACAGGCTTGTGTGTTGGAGGTGGTGGGGAGCTGATCTACAGAGTAACGGGTGGTGGGAGCTCAGGGTGGTGCTGTTTTGCATATGTTGCAGCGTTGGGGAGAGGTTTGCATATGTTACTGGAGCCACAGGGGACCATCTCTGCATGCTTTATCATAGAAAACAACCTGACAACACAACCGGTCTCATACCAAAACAAACAGAGCCCTGAGTGTGTGTGTGTGTCTGTGTGTGCAACATGTCAGTATGTACATATCAGGTTAATTAGACAGCTGAGAAACAGCTACAAGGTGAAGAAAAATAAACCACAGAGCCATTAATCCGTCTATTCTCGTGAGGGAATCCTTATTTATTTCCAAAATGGTTAAAATTTTAATCATAGTGTTTACTCACACTGGACAAACATCTAATCGTACTTAGGAGACAGTTCAAGGTGGAGGTGTGGATGTGTGTACGCAGTCAGGGAGGAGGAGGGAGAGGAGAGGAGGGAGAGGAGAGGAGGGGGTTTCTCCAAATAACCAGATGTGGATCCTGCCCCCCCCCCTCTTTGTGTCTGCCGGTTTACAAAGCCTCAGACCAAAGCCGTAACCCTGCGCCCTGTGAGGACTCACTAACATCCATTCGCACGCTCACAGTGTTATTCCCAGAGGCTCGTCCTATCTCCTCTCGTCAGTCAGTCAATCAGTCTGAACACAATCAGAAGGAGTCCTGAAACGCTCCTGGAATGTCACGATAATGTGATGCAGAGGGGTGGACAGCGGTTGGTTGTCACCACCAGAGAAGACGAACCCCCTCCCTTTCCCAGCCCTTTTTTTTCATGGGGCAGGGGGCAGGAGGTAATCTGGTTACACCGTGGAAGGCGGAACAGAGGATACAAGCTAATCTATTCAAATCCGCGCCTAAGTTATTCGTTTTTTGTTCAGAGCACTCGCTGCAAAGTTCAGAGGCTTTTTCATGTTTACTGTGTGGAAATCTTTCATGTACTTGATTTCCACCAGTGAGACAAAGACAACACTTTACTGACAGAAATACATGGATTCAGGTTTCTAATGTACAAACGCACTCAGAGAATGACTTTCTGGCGCCCTGGTCATCCTGTTAAACCAGAGTTTTACATTTTAGCCAACAGGTCACACACAAACACACACTTTCAGACACACACAAATGCCTCTACAACAAAAAACGGACACAATCCAGCTGAGCGGAAAGGCACAAAGACCTGCAAAACCTGCCAGACTGCTGATAACACTGCAACGCTGTGGAAGAGAGCGTGTGTGTGTGTGTGTACGGCTATCCATATACAGTATATATGTGGAAACGCTTGTACCAAAGAATGAACTCAAAATGAAGTGTTTTCTTCACAAATACAGCAAAGAAATTAAAATACAAAGAAATGTGAAAAAGATGAGTTTTTGTCTATTAGTTTTTAGTTTGTTTTCTTCAACTGTCTTTGCTGTTATTCCACATTTTCATCATTACAAGGTCTGAACTCATTACAAAACTTGACCTTACAATGATCTATTAATAATAATAATAATAATAATAATAGTAATGCATCAGATTTTTATAGGGCTTTCTCAGAGACCCTCAGAGTGCTTTACATTGGATACATCATTCATTCACTCACACAGTCACACTTTGGTGGTGGTGGAAACATGGCTGCCATTCTGCGCCTACGGCCTCTGCGACCACCACCACACAACACTCACAATCACACACCAGTGGAGGACACACACTGGGAGCAAGGTGGGTTAAGTGTCTTGCCCAAGGACACAACGGACAGACTAGGGATAGGACGGAGCTCGAACCGCCAACCTTCCAGTTATTGGCCCAACGCTCTACCTCCTGAGTTACTGCCGCCCTATTATTATGGATAAATCGAATAAACAATAATTTAAACAAGATTTAGGTCATTTTAACTCAAAAGAACAAATGGAAAATAAGATGAGGAAAAAATTATTGAAGTATGTCATTTGAGAAGATGCTGCCAGTGATAATTTGTCAAGTTTGCATGAAAAGTGACTCAAATAGTTGTTTATTTCCTCCAACTGAAGTTTGTACTGCTTTTTTCTGGCCTGTGTCTGTCTTTATGTGTCAACTTCTGCTTTGCCTCATGTTAGATATTTCCGAATAAACTTCGACTGTAGATATAAAGCTGTGAGAGTACGGACACTCACAAACACTTGTGTGTGATTTCCTAGCCTACTGTTGCACTTCTTCCCCGATGACTTTTGCTTCCTATGTTACTCTCAAACGAAGGTCTTTACTTTTCGTCCTGTCGACCGCTTACTGTCAATAGAAAGAGATTAAAAAACACACAATAGACGTTTCTTTTTAAGTGATTCTACCACCTCTTGTACAGTCTGTGTCTACGTCTGAGGGGGAATAAAGAGTTCAGAGTCTTTAAACGTGACAGAGGTGAGAGGACTGGACAGGACTGGACCGTACAATGATGAGGCAGCAAAAACAGCCGAGTGAATAGATGTGGATTTAAAGGCTTTCTACAGAGCACTGTCTGAATGAGCACAATGTAAGAGAAGAGAATAAAAGAGGTGAAAGGCAGAGAAAGAAGTGGATTAAAGGTGGAAACTTAAACCTGTGACTTCAGAAAGAAAAGAAGAAGAAGAAGAAGAAGAAAGTGCTGTAGAGGTAATTATTATTTAAATTACAGGTCATTTATGAGGTTTAGCTAATAGGTGACCTTTTGACTCAAAAACCCTTCAAGTACATGACTACATGTCCCCCCTCAGCGCCACATTGAATACATATTCTCTATCAATCTACTTTTTATTTTCTCTTCTGTTATTCTTTGATTTTTTCTCTAGTCTCTAGTTCTAGTTAGTTTTTTTTAATCACATTGTTAAAAAAGTTTTTTCTCTCGACTCTCAATCAGCTGTAGGTGTTTTGAAAAAGAATGAATCCTACATGATTTAGACTCAGTGTGACTGTTTTATCCTAAGTTGTGTTTTGATTTAGATTTCGTTAGTCTATAAAACTGAAAACCCTTGTTGACAAAGTTACTAATACAGGTGATACAAGGGAACAAGAAACATGCTAGTCCATTGAAAAGTAGCAGAGCGTCCCGAAGTTTATTAATCCTTGGTGACTAACTTTTGAAAATAGATCCAAAGCCACTTGATTGAGTTTTTCTCAAGAGGGATAAAGAGGTAAAAAAGTTTTAAATAAACAGGCATAAAAAGAAACATTCAGACTCCTCACTTCATTTCCCTGAGTAGATCAAAAATAGTGGCCTGACCAACTCAACAAACTCCACACAAAAAAACTCGAGTTAAACTAGTTGCAAATATTCTCAGTTTGATACTTCCTCTTTATAGTTCTCTATATGACCACTGGAGGGCGCTCTAACCCTGCAGCCTGACAAAAGCCTGAGGCTGATCTCAACTACTGGAGTGAGACCAGAGATCAGAGAGGAAATACATGTACCCTGTCATTATTCTTAACTTGCAAACAACACAGTAAAAAAACAAACAAATAAAAAAGCAGTCCGTTTCTGTAACTAGTATCCAGCTGTATCCATCTAACATCTATAAGTCAATCCAGACTCATGTGGGTCAACTCTGAGAGCAGAGGGTTGCTTTTACAAAAAAAATAAAATAAAGAATCATACAAATTAACGTTTTTCCGATAGCTTTATCTTCTTGAACTGCACTTAAAACTACATTTTTAAAAACCCTTTTTGTCCCACAGTTCAGGAGGAATCCTTTCCCATCAGTGGGACCAACAATAAACCAGAACACAGTGTCCCCGCTGTGCTCACAAAGCCTATCACAACAGTGGGTTGTACATTTCACAGATTAAGCTCGAAATAAGTAAATTAAAAGACCTTGTTGATAAAAATGTTTAATAAAAGATTTTGCTTTTGAATTTCTCTTTGAATATCAAAAATTTTAAACACCTTTACAGCAGACACAGTGCTGTGATAGTGCAAATATGTTCTGTGTTGCTTCATTAGTTTGCAAAGTCTTTATGCTGCAGGGCAACGTGCATTTATTAACAAAAGCAAATCATAAACATTTAGTGTTATTTTTTAAATGTGAATTACAGAATTAAAATTACAATTTTATTGAAAGTTCAATTAAAAAAGAAGAAAACAGCAAAAATATGGACATTGGTCGCAGATTGAAGCAAGTACATGTGGTCTTACAGGAAAAACAAACCATCTTACATGAACGGCAAAATGAGCCAAATTAGTGAGGAATGGCACAGTTTTTCAAATACCAAAAGATCAACTCTGATGGATTTATAACTCTGATCATTTTTCTCTGCTGTCTGAAAAAGTGTGGATTTAAAAACTTACATTATCGGGACAAAATTTAAAAAAAATAATAGATAAATAAAAAAATAAAAATAAAAATAACTCCCAAAAAATGATAGAGAGAAAAACAGCTCTGTGCATTTCAGTTTTTTCTCTGTAACATTTTGCTTTGAGGATCTTAAACTGGACTGCTACACAGATGCTGGATCAGCCACTTCCTCAGAGACAAATCCGTTCTTCCAGCTGGACTCACAAAAACTCTGTTTAGGGTAAGACCTCCATGTTGTCTACCGTTATTTAACCACTTTTATACTGGAGAAGTGTAAAAATACGGAAAAATATGCTTCGCTATAAGGACTGGATTGAACTCTGCTGCTTTGAATATTGGTTAGAATCCTCAAAAGTGGAGCCACAAAGAAAAAACCTCTTGGTTTCTTTTTGGACTTTGTACTGTGATAAAGTTTTGGAAACAAAAAACAGCAAATGATTAAAAAATTGCTCCAATTTTGTGCAACATCAATATATAAGACACTGTAGGCTGTTTTATCAAATTGCACAGTTGTAATTTTAATAAATCTTTTAACATGAGGGCTTTTGTGGTTAATTTAAGGGGTTTACTGTGATGCTGATGCTGTTTAATTAATTTCACTGTACAAGACTAAGGTCATGGTAGACCACATGTACTTCATTTGAGAAAGAGAGTCATAATTGTCCAAGCAAAAAGAAAACCAAGTACTTTTTGTGCTTTACAACTATCTAAAAATTTTAAATAATAATGCGTCTGAAACCCCATGACAGAAATGAAGCATTTAAATAGTACAGACTTGGTATTTTGTGGCGTATTTGTACTCTTATGTTTGCTTTGATCTGACTCTCAAGAGCTCTACTTTGTTAAAATGTCAGACTTCCTTCTTTCAACATTTTTTTTTTCTTAAAAGAGGAGGATTTAAAGTGTCAAAATGTTCTAACCTTGGGTTAACAAAGGCGTGTGTGAATATTAGCATACAGCCAAGAACCCTCTGGACAAAGAGCACGAGACAAACGGTATCAAAAGGTACCGAATACAAGAAAGGAAGAGAAGAAGGAAGGGCAGCTGGGTGAGAAAAGGGGGACACCAAATGGAGTTTGGGGAGAGAGAGAGAGCGGCTAAAACGGCTTAATTTCTGTATTGAATTAAAAAGTCACAGACTGTTTTTTCACATTTACCCGAGAGACACAAACACACACACACACACACACACACACACACACACACACACACATTCACACACACCTGTCCCTGAGGAAAAGATCGATACACACGCTGATACCACTGTGAGGAGACAATTCGTTCGATACACACTCACACAGACCCAGCTCCAGTCCATGCGAAGAGGCGCCGATCAATAAACACACACATACAGGTGTCACCACTACTATCTAAAGAGAGGCCAATCAATGCTTACACACTGATCTACCTGCACCAATCAGCTGCTGTGTGCGCACACTCACTTGCCCTGTCTCTTTTAACACACTCCCCCACCTTCTCTCTCTCTCTCTCTCCTTCTATCCTCTGAATCTCTTTCAACCACACCTCTCTCTCTCTCTCTCTCTCTCTCTCTCTCTTCCTCTTATTTTACCTCTCTGCTTCTCGTCTTTCTCACATTGTTTTTTCTTGGTTGGTATCTAATCAAATATCAACTATTAAACTGACAAACTAAACAGTTCACACAAACAAAAAAAGGAGGGGAAATGTGATCATTTAGCAAGACTTGATGAATGTTTATGTCCTGAAATTTTTACAGAGGATATTTTAGATCTCGAATGCACTGACTGGTTTAAAAAAGAACCTGCACTTCTTCCTCTGGTCATAAGGTGGCGCTCTGGTCTTAACCAAGCTTAGCAGCATCCTGACAACACTAACAGGAGGAAAAAGTCACAGTGACTTCTGTGTGTTGTATGAATAAAGGCATGCATTTATGCATGATCTTTACATGCATTAACCAAGCCTGTGTAAGGACAGCAGGTCAGCCAACATGGACCCGGATTCTCCTCTTTCTTTCTTTCTTTCTTCATCCATCCATCATTGAACCCATCCATACAACTTCTTCACAGTTCTTCCTTTTTTCTGGTTTTATTTTCAAGCCTACAGTTTTAATTTTCTCCATCTCTGTTCCTAACAATCCACAAATACTGTGCGGAGTTACCGTACATGTCGAAATCACAGAAACTTTAAACTCCTAAACTAAAATTTCTGTCTTTAAACTGCGACAATCAAAAGCCGGTTCAACCTGAAATGTTGGCGACTCTCATTTTTCAGTTTGACTGTAAACCCACATATTTGTCCGTTGGATAGTTTGTTTCATGAAACAGAATTTAACAATTGTAACTGTGAGTGTGAGACAACCGCTGCTTTTTGAACTTTATCAGTGAAACAGATTAATTGATTAACACCTACATTAATTGATTCCTGAGTCACTTTCTCTGTAATGGTATCCTGGCATTGATTGGATTAACAGAAATGTGAATTCAATTTGACATTTTCAGCTCCATTGAACATTATCAGCCAATTAAAAAAAAACACACCAGCCAGCGTAGTGATCTACCATCAGCCACGACGTATAAAAGCCGTTTTCTGTTATTTCTCTCTTAAATCTTCATTTTTCACTGACTAACAAACATTGAGGGAGCACAGAGAGGAAATGATGGATGATATCTGGGCGAGCAGTAGCCAAGCTCAGATAACCAAACTGATTGAATCATATAGAAAATATGAACTTGCCTGCTCAATGGCATTATGGGAAATAAAGGCTAATAAGAGGATGATAGCTGGACTATGTGAGTTAAAATACTAATACATGGTTTCACTCAAATTAATAACAGCTAGAATACATCTAAGAGGTAGGATTTCAAAAGATTTGTGATTTAACGATAAACACAACATTGAAGAAGTTTCCCAGTGATGCTGAGGGAGTGAAACTCATAATGCAAAAGTGGAAGAGAAGTCAACAAATGAAGAGAGGGAGGCAGGAGGGGCCGGCAGGAAAGAAGAAACCCCACGCTGCAAACATTTATGCAAAGAGGAGGAGGAAAACCAGTGTGTGTGTGCGTATGTGTGTGTGTGTTTGTGTGTGTGAGTGAGTGTGAGAGTGAAAGAGAAAGAAACACAAAAAAACAATTTGTTGAAGCAAATCCTTTTTTTTTGTTTTACTGTTGTATAAAAATGTATTTAAAACTATATGACAAGAGCGAGATGAAAACGTAAAGCTTTTTACCTCACTAACTGCTCTATATATATTTGTAGAAGTGAGTGAGTGTGTTTGTGTGTGTGGATGTGTGTGCCCATGTGTGTCAGTATCTTACTTTCTCAGTAAATACCCCAGGGCTTTATGGTCTATACTGTGGTTTGGAGGAGTTTGTTAGTTGAGGGCCAGGTGCAGGCAGACAACACACTAAAGATAAACGGACTCAACACACAGACGCACACACACACACACACTCTCTCTCCCTCTCACACGCGCACACACACACACACACGAAGGATAAATGGACCCAGTAGCAGGGAGGTCTGACAGAATGCCTTTTCACACCTGGCTGAGCCCAGCGGAAGGTGACAGAGTCACATCTCCCAAAGCAAACACACAGGTATACACATACACATACACATAGACCCGCACAGACACACGCACACACACTTTCTCACATTGGGGAGTTCAGGGTCATAAGCAGCATCATGAATAAAATGAGGCTGTCTTAAACAGAAGGAGCCCCGTGTATGCCTGTGTGCAGGTGTGTGTTAGTGTCTACGTGAGCCCCTAACCCCATGCCAGTTTGGATGTGTAACGACCTTCTGTTCCAAGTGCTTAAATGGCTTAAATACTTCAATTAGACCTGGGTCACAATCCTCCACCCGTTAAAGCACGCTGTCACACACAACACTCTGGGAAACACACGAAAAAAAAAAAAAGATGGTTTCATCATTTTGGGAGGTGACCAAAGAATCTTTCTGCCGCTCTCCCGCCTGGATCCCGAACATCTCGTATCTCGACTGCGAATCAAAACAAAACCATCGCAGTAAAACATATAGAGAATCCCCCCATCACCACTTGTGCAACAATTAAACTTGGCTGCCGTCCTCTCTGCCAGCATCTCCCCTGGAACATCCCGTCCTGCTCCCTCCTCCCCTCCTCGCTCCTCTTTCCTACGTCTATCCCGCCGTGCTACCCTCGCGCTAACGATGCTGCCTTTTCATTAGACAGCCCCTGCTAATTAATCTCCATAGAGGAGAGTGACAGACCTCCCCCAACACACGCATACACACAGTCTATGCCAAGATGTATGCAAACACACACTCTTCTTCTTCTTCTTCCCTCACTCTCTCTCTCTCTCTCTCCTGCTCCCTCGTCCCGAGTGGTGTTGGCAGCCCATTTCATGCTTTATCACGTCTTTTAATTGACAAACAAGCTGCTCTTTTCTCTTAGGCTGAGGTCTATATCACCCCCTCGCTTAGATGCACACACACACACACACACACAAATACACACACAGATACGCATACATAAGAAGCCAAGAAAACCACTTCTCTTTTCAGATTTGGAATAAACGCACGCACACACACACACACGCAAACACAAACAAGCAAATCCATCCCTGCTGACATTTGGCCCATGTGACTGTCACACACTTTTCTACTCTTTGACATGTTTTTGCGCACACAGATGTCAATAAATAAATCAAACATGAATGCAACAAATAAATGAAAAGATCTAAACGTTTCTGTCGCTTTTGACACTTTATCTTCTAAGGTGTTTTATTTTCCCGCCATGGTTCACTCATCTGCCACAGGGTGAGTTCAATACCAACTGCAACAAACTGATCGATCGCCGGCTGATGGCGTGACACATTTACCTTTATGGTACCCAAAGAAGACAATTTTCCTCAGGTGAATTTCAGAAAAGCTACATGCCAAAGTAAACGGACGATTTTTAAGGGTATATCTCTCCACTGTCACCGATTGTTAAACTCATTTTTCTGTTTCAGTGAAGCAGTTTGTGAAAAGGAAGATCTAGGAAGAGTCACTGACTGTAAGCAGGGCAGTGTGAGTGTGCTGTGACTTAGAGTCCCTCCTCTCCTCAACCCCACCACCTCCACCACCACCTCCATCACGACTACCTTGTTCTTTTACATTTGTCTGATTTTAATTGGGACTCTGCAGAACTCCTGCATCCGCTGGGATTTGACCAATTTTGACACAGGTTGAGTGCTGACGGCTGGATCGCTCTATGAACTTAAAACCAGAATTATTTTCAACATCGTTAAAGAATAAACAAGAGTATGTAAAGTGCTCGTGCATCACTTGTAGGGCTGGGTGATATGGCCTCAAATCAATTTCACGATATATTGAGCAGTCCATCTCAATAATGGACGATAACTACTCCACAAGCTTTGTCTACTTCAGCCGCTCCAACTTTCTCTCCGTCCTCCATCTCCTCACCTGTCTTTCCCTCTTTGTTAAGGACTGGATGGGGTGGAGTCACGTCTCTGAAGTAGGACAGCGTCTTAAAGGGACATGAGACCATAGCCTACCTACACACATCCAAAACCAACTTTTATTTATTTTTTTATTTTTTTATTTATTATACCGATACGGGCAGAATGACGTCGGTTATTGTCGTAAATTTCGGTATCAGTAAATTTTCGGTTTATCGCCCAGCCCGAATCACTTGCTATTTGTATGAAATTTAACCTTTATATAAAAACAGAGAATGAAATGTAATGATCTATTGTAAATGCAGAACTTGAGGCAGAGATGTGCATTATAGTTAACAGATACTATACAGTGTGAAGCTCTCTTTGCACAAATCAACCGACCTTGCCTGTTTAATCAGTGATCCAGAGTAAGAGCAGGTTTCCATGTACACGTGTTGGTGCTCCTGACTTGTTACCATTTAATTTGATTGTTAAAGACTCGTTTTTCTGTTCCAGTGAAGCAGCTTTGGCATATAAAGATCTAGGAGGAGTCCCAGGCTGTGAGCAGAGCAGTGTGGATGTGCTGTTTGCCGTCATTAAAGGAGAACCAGATTTGTTTCCTCCTCTAGTTTCACACTATTCCGGGGTAGGTTTTACAGAGAGGTGTGGTTTCACAGTCGCACGGGTTTGCGTCAAGTGTCTCCAGATCGCTTATGCATACTGGAGATGTTTTGTATACAAGTTTGTTTGTGGCCATGTCTAAAAAAAAAAGCACCGAAAATTGTGAAGAGACCCCTTACATACTCAGCCATCAGGAAGCAGATAGTGTAGCATCAGATCTGCGACCACAAGGCAGCCATACAATACCAATCAACAACCAGTGATGCTATTAATTTGACACTTTTCCTTAGTCTTTTGTCATTTAATTGCATTTAACTCTACTACAACTGACCTTTAAAAATATACTGGATACCTTTAAAGTATTGGTCAGAACTCTATAAATGCTTCGGATTTTGTTTATACTGTCAGAGTGAGAGATTATCAGAGAATATGAGACAATCTAAAGTAATCCTTAATAATACAGACTGCTTCAATGATGAATGTGAAGGTGAAAACTAAATATCGAAGGAGACGTGGTCTTTTTTGGTCTCTCTACAGAGGTGAGTAAAGGAAACTGCAATCCAAGGAAAGCAGAAGATATGCTGGCTGAGGCAGCGTTGAGGCTCGCTTCTGTGTTTATGTTTCATTTATTGATCATTCAGTCGTTCCTTATTGTGAGAAAGAGGCTATAATCGTGGGCCTTGTTCTGCCTTTAAACTCCAGCTGTGGTTTGTTATTGGTGAAGCATGTGGTTTGTTACTCAGAGCTTGCTGCCAGTGACTCAGGGGCTTTCAACCAAAACACTGACCTTTTGATTTACTAAAAATGGTTTTTGTTAACTGCAATTTTGTCCCATTACTCATCTGTTCCCCCAAGACAGATTATCCTAAGTACATGACAAAAAAAAAAGTGAAAATAAAAAGTGTCAGAGTGCTTCAGTTCAGTGTTCACGATAGGGTTAGATAGTGATAGTGAGTGGTGTTAGTTTGGAGTTGGTCTACTCACGGTGATGTGGTACTGTCTCCAGATCTCTGGACAAGCCTGAGGGAGAAGGAAAACAATTGATATTATAATTTAAAGATGAAGACTTTAACAGAGCAGATAAAAATAATATAGAAAATTTAAAGTGGAATATAGTGGATTCAGTGATAAAAATACATCTGGGCAAAGATGAGAGAGCACAGAGACGGAGCTTAGAGACGCCCAAGTTTCATTCCCTGTTTCTTATGAATCCTGTACTTCACTGATATTTTGCATCAGACTGTTTCCTTTCCACCCTTGTGACTCTCTGCAGTCAGTCAAACAGTCTGTAAGTGAAGCAGTCAGTCGTTTTGTCGCGGTGTGGAAAAAGCATTATCTCCGGAGCTTCGCCACGCTGTTCCTTAAGCGTTCTGACATCCTTTCCCAACCGCCGCCACTTCCCACAGGGAAATTGAAAATGCCGCACTCGCCGCGGGCAACAACATTTATCTACTTACACACCTACTGAGTGAGAGAGACAGAGAGAGGAGCCGGGGAAGGAGGAAGATCTGAGCCTCTTTCTGTGACGGAGGCTGTTTAGTTCTTCTTCTTGAATTCACTAAACAAGTTCTTACACAGATTTGCATAATATGTAAATTCTTGTCACATTTAAGAGAAGAGTATTTGGCCTTGGCTGCTTGTTTGAATCGTGACCTTTGAAGAACGCACGCCACTTTTTCCTGCTTAATCTTAGATGTTTACATTTGAATACCGAGATGGGAAATTTTGATAGCTGTATCTTTTCCTCCACCTCTCGTCGAGTTTCCTACTCAACACACATGCGCACGCACATTAACACACACACACACACACCGGTTCCCTCCTGTTTGCTCTCTCCCTCCAGACCGCCGGGGTAGTGTGTTGTTGTCGAGGGCGACAGGCGAGGCGAGCGACACACTCGCGCTCCGTCAACCGTCTGTCTTTAATGAGAGACACAGAAAGGCCCAGGGGACAGAGACCTGACTCTCTGTTCCTCTCTCAAACACACACTCTAACACGTACAGTATCATTTGTGAGCGCGATGAGGAAAAAAAAAAAAAGTTGTGCGGTGCCAGGAGAAGGTAATTAAAATGCCACACAACTTTGCACCTTAGTGTGTTGTTAAAACAATATGCAAAGAGAGTGGATGATGTATGTGGGGATCTGGAGAAAGAGAAGGAAAAGACCTGACGATAGAGAGAGTGGAAGTGAGAGAGAGAGAGAGAGAGAGAGAGAGAGAGAGAGAGAGAGAGAGAGAGAGAGAGAGAGAGAGAGAGAGAGAGAGAGAGAGAGAGAGAGAGAGAGAGAGAGAGAGAGAGAGAGAGAGAGAAAAAGTGGGCGGTGTGTGTCCTGGTCTCCCCTCTCCCTCTGGTGTTCACCTGGTTACTCATCCATTACACAGAGCACGGTACATGACTGAATGGTTGAGAGAAAGGGAGAGAGAGAGAGAGTGAGAGAGAGTGAGAGAGAGGGAAGAACGTGGGGCGGGGGGTTGGGTGGGGGAGACACACAAGTAGGCTCTTACATGCACACAGGGTTTTCCATTCTATGGCATTAGTGTAAATGGGCAGGGTAATGAACGTTGCGGTAGGATAATTGTCATTGATGGTCATTAGATTCACCCTTCAGTGCCAACACACACACACACACACACACTGCAGTCCACACACACGTCCACAGCTGGAATATGCAGCATGGCAGAGACATAACTAAGCTGTAATTGTTGAAGTGTATCAATTAATGTGAACAGCAGCGTGTGTTGACCCCCGGTCACTCTTGATCACGTGGGAGGAAATGGGGGAGAGAGGGGGCAGAAAACGGGGGGTGGGTGGTAGTAATAGTAGGACTCCTCGAGTTGTTTGTGTGGATATCTGTGTGTTTGTCGAACCATCTCCCTCTTTCCGTCTCTTACTCCAGTCCCAGCAGATGACTGAGAACCAACGTGTCTGGTTCTGTTCAAAGTTTCTGCCTGTTAAAAGTTGGCCTACAAAGTTTCTGCCACTGATTCTTCACTGAAGTTCTTGCTCCAATAAATAGGAAGTGACTATAGCAGAGGTCCCCGACCACCAGGCCTGGACCAGTACCAGTCCATGGATCATTCAGTACCGGGCCGCAAAAAATAATACCTGTGATAAATTATTTTCGTCTTCATCTGTTTTCCGAGTATCTTACTTTGAAAGACCACCACTTCTGCCATCGCCTCACTTTCGCGCTTCACTCTTTGGCGCGTCATTTACTTTCATCAGCGACACAAACTAGCCCTCGCAAAAGTGAGCCAGAAACAGAGTTCACTGGAGAGAGAGAAGGGGCTTTGGGAGAAAGGGTTCTGAGCTGATGTTATAGTGTAATGAAAAGTGCCTAATATAAAATGTAATTGTTGTATTCAGATTAAATATTATGTACAAACTATGTACTGATGAAGGTTTGTTATTGGAACCTCCACGCCCCGACCTGGTCCTTTGAAAAAGTTTCCTGCATAAAACTGGTCCCTGTTATAAAAAAGGTTGGGGACCACTGGACTATAGCATACCTCTCTAATCATGTTAATAAGTAGTGCTGGTTAGATAGTCAGGCGTTTAATTCTTATTCTTGTAAAACTTTGTTCTCTCCTTTGAGGTCAATACAGCATGACTCAGTGTTTACCTGCTTTGAGTCAGGTTCATACTGAGGTCCTAGTATCCAAAACCAACCCCACTCAGGACAGAGTGGGAATAAATCTCTACACTCAGGGTCCAAACCTCACTGAAACTCTCCCCAGAGTATTCTGGGCTGTTGCTGCAGCAGACTAATGCTCAGAGTTCGGACTGAGTCGTAAAACCCTCACATCTGTGTGCCTGCATACTTTTGGCCTTGAGGTAATATTTGTCCAAACAAACAGGATGGTATACTCACATCAAAAAAGTGTCCAGTCATGCTGCAGCGATGACACTGTTTGTGCCAGTACGCTCGCTCGCTGCAGGAGTCGGAGAAGTGCCCTGGCAGGCCGCAGTTGTTGCAGTGTCTATTGGGGCAACTGCTCACCGTGTGGCCTGGGGTTCCACAAAGGAGACAGGGCAGCAATTTCTGCACACAAACACACAGATTTTTTAAGATACAAATGCAGTTGGTAGTTTTACATGACTGTATTGATCAGTATGTTCATGTTGTAGATATGAGACTGACTTTGGGCTCAGGGCAGTTCTTGGACAGATGTCCGGTCTTGTTGCAGTTTCTACACTGGACACTTTTGCCAGTATAGTATCTGTGTGGCAGCCGCTGGACCGGGATCCTGGCACCCTTGTCTCTGTTATAGATCTGGGCCTGAAATACACACAGTTAATGAAACACCTGCTGTTGTGTGAGGTGATGTTTGTATATATAAAAAAAAGGCAGAGTTAAACCATTAACCAGCATTTACATTGAAAGTTTATTTTCAGTGAATTATGAATGACAGAGATGAGGTTTAAGCTGTTATAAAGAACAGCCAAGAACATGTAAGAAATCACACATTACCCCTCAGATAGATTTTAAGATATAAAACAACCCCTTACTTAGTATTTTGTCACATAAATCTTCTTTAAATTCATTTTCCATCATGTTCAAATTAGTAACACATCTCCCTTTTATGTCCTATTTTTCAGAAAATCACTTGACCAAAATTGAAATAGAGTATTTCGTTGGCTCTTACCTCCTTGTCTTTTTCAGAAACCAACCAGCTCTCATCCTCTTCAACATCTAGAAGAAAAGAAAAACACATCTATAAATACAATCTGTTTTCAAGACTTTTAAGAATTTCATTTTTGGTGATTAAACTTCCTTTTTCCATAAATATAGAAGTAAGATATAAACAGGTATAAATAAAACTGAACATATTTTAAAATCATAGAAGATCAAACAACCTTTGGGACGGAGAGTCAAAGGATAATAGGTTTGTTAAAATCTACAGTTTTCTTCTCTTTTTTAAAACTGTGTTCGGACATGAGTGTCTGTGTTTATGCAGATCCAAAATGGTCACAGAAAAACACCAAAAACCAACTTTCTATGAGAACCACAACTGAGGAATCTAAGCAATATCCAACACCATTAAGAACTCCACACCCTGAGGAGCAAGTTTGGTTTCCAGTTAGAGGATAACACACACACACAGACACGCACACACACGCAAACACACACACATACAGAAACTGACACAGTGGCAGCCCAGCACATCTGTATGAGAGTGGCACTAACAGTGCCCTGAGGGAGACCACTGTATTCTCCTCAGACCCACAGAACTGTAACTGACGTCCAAAAAATTCAACACACACACACACACACACGCACACACGCAAGCACACACACACGTACTCAGCATAAATTATTTTGTGATAGAAGCAGCCCTCACAGGCTCACATGCTTTCACAAACACACGCAGACACACCCACACTTCGACCCCCACCATTAGCTGTTTGACAGTCTTTAGCCTTTGGACAAACATGCAGCCTTGAGCCGTAATCAAATATTTCGCTCTCCTTTCCACCCTTCTCTCTCTCTCTTTCTCTCTCTCTTCCTCTTTCTCTCCCCACTCTCTCTATCTGGACCCTTTATCACAATTCTGCTCAGCCCTCCTTTTGCTTTCGCTCCCTCTCTTTTCGTGCGCCCCCCCACCCTTCTCCGTGGGTGTGCAGCTGCAGAGGGAGGTTATCACCTCACTTCTCTGTCAAACAAATTAAAATGGCTGCTGTTTGGATGAGCCTTCTTTCTGTCACGACCTTCACCCCCAAATACACACACACACACACACACACACACACACACACACACACACACACACACACACACACACACACACACACACACACACACACACACACACACACACACACACACACACACACATCCTCATTTAAAAGCCACTTTAAGCAAAAGCTTTGGACTTTAACTTGGATGCTAATGGAAGAAAAAAGTAAGGCTGAAGGATGTCCCAAATATTTAATTTCAAAAAAATAAAGAAAACAAAATAACCAAGGTTTAACAAAACAGTTTCACACACTGTTGGGATGTCTCGTTTCTGTTTCGGTGCAGGCACCCGGCTGTTTCATTTTCAATTCAGCTCGAGCCAAGGTGACAGACCTCAAGTCTTGTCAAATCCTGGTTCCTAAGCTATTTATGATGATGATCTTTCCTGAGGTTCAGTGTCCACTTCCTGTACAACACAGAGATATACACACAATATATGTCCTGTTTTGAAAAAAGGCCTCGACACCGACTGAGAATACTGAGGACTTTTCAATAAAGTGGCACCACTGATCAAGTTTGTGGATAAAATCTCTGTTTGTCAATGATAGCTTTATTCTCTTCCTTCAGGATTGATCTCGATTTTTAGAAGTCACTTTTCTACTGGGTGGTAAATAAATCAGTTTTTCAGGGGTGTTGCAAAATAATCTGTAAATATTATACAGTTGATAAACCAGCTGTGGTTCACGTGCACATTTGTGGATTTGTGCACTAATCTGTGGATGCATTTGTGAGTCTTTTTATGCATTGGCAGATTGTGTTTAAGATAATAAGGTTATAAATGAGAGATGCAAGGAAAGAGTCAGCGAGAGTGCATTTAAAAAAATAAGCACAAAGTTAGTCTACTCCAAAAAGTTGTTTTTTCTCTGTTGACAGATCTCTTCCTGATGACTGAACATGTTGTTTTTGTGTTGAAATAAGATGAAATAAACTCCACAGTTTTCACATTTGTGGAGTGGTTACAGGCCAAGATTTGGCATTTTTACTCAAACCAAACGACGTCAGTTTTCCATCATTAACTAGTCTATTAATCTCCATAGCTACTAGCTAAAGTACCATAGCTCTACTTATTGCTAGTGATGGGCGATATGGGCTAAAAAATATTTCACGATAAGCTTTGCCATTCTGATAAAGGAATTATAATTCATTTCTATGTTTTTGACCTGTTCTGTCTTGAGGACACCAGTTGGCAAAGTCAAGTAAGATACTTGACTTTGAGTTTAATTGTTAGGTTATAGAGAAAACTAGTGAAATGTGAAAACACTTTCAACATTTATTAAAAACTCTTATTGCACAGAGTGAATAGGGTGAGCAGATCCTCTGTCCGTTATCAGGCATATCTGAGTGCACTCGTCTAAATCTTGAAGGAAATCCCTCATGTGGAGCCTTGTTTAGCAACAACCTGCTCAGAGACGTCTTCTCTTATCACCTTTGGCCATTTTTGTTTGTTATTCTGATCTGCGTGGGCTACGGCTGCGAGTTAGCTGCATGCGCTTACGTCATCAACTCGCATTTATCGTGTTTATACAAATATTCATCGTGGAGGAATTTTCTGACGGTAATCGTGAACAATAATTTATCGCCCACCCTTACTTACTGCGCCTGTGTTGTTTATGACTGTGACTCTGGATCAGCGGTTATTCTGGTGTACAGAATTAGTTTAACATGAAGAAAGTAGATGGTGAACCTCTGCAGTGCTCACCTACTGTGAACAGACTGGGGGGCCTCTGTGACGTGTGTGTCTGTGCACGAGCAGTCGGTGCCAAACAACAAGCAGGACCCAGTCAATGGGCAGCTCCAAAATAAAGGCAAGGGTGAAAGGTGTGTATGTGTGCAAAGAAGTGTGTCTGAGTGTGTATGTGTGCGTGAGAAAAGGCGTTAGTGACTCAACGAAAGTCATTCCCAAAGCGTCTCCCGGGGGGACTCCCCAAATAAAGAGCAGGAAGCTTTCCCTTAATCTAAGGGCCCCCCATCTCACCAACACACACACATGGATAAAGGGTGAAGCTCTTTGTCACGGCCCAGGAATCAAACACATGGGTGGGGGTGGGGGTGGGGTAGAGGCGAGGATGGAGGAGGAGAAGAAGAGAGGGTGCGTGGTTTCTGTTGTCTGTACACTGGGTGAAAATATGCTAATCAACCTTTGAGGCCCTGTTCAAAACCAAACTATCAGAGCTGCGAGCTTCATCGTGGCCCGAGTCTGGAGCTGGATTAGCAGATGGTTTCAGCTTCACAGAGCAGCTGAACAGGCTCAAGAGAAGCCCCCGCCATGTTGAGGGCAACTGTTTCATTTCTAGTGGTCTAATGGTGAATTTTTTTTTGTAAAAGTACAGAGATTTGAAAAACCCAACCAGGGTCTGAAAAATCGGAGTCCAACACCAGTGAGACGAAATCTACGAAACGTTCCTTCAGTCTCTTCATCACGAGGTCTGCCGGCTTTACTGTTTTTTATTCCTTAGGACAACTGGTGCATTATCACATCACTCCACCATCTAGGGAAATTCAACACAATGGAGAGGGGAGGGGGGGGGGGGGGCGATGGTGAAACAGAGGGAGGGAGGGATCAGGGGAGAGAAGGCGACAGATGCTACCTGTCTGTCTCATAGGTACCCTGATTACTGGAAGATGAGAAGGAGAGGGGAGGAGGCTGCGTGCCAGTTCATCAGAGCCGGCAGAACACAGCAAAACACAGCCAGTGTGTGTGTGTGTGTGTGTGTGTGCTGATGTGTGTGTGCAAATGTGTACATGTTTATGTGCGAGTAAGAGCTGCTAGATGAAGCTTTTGTGTGTGTGTGTTTTTGATGTGTGTGTGTGTGGATGCTCTGAATCTGTCCTTTTTACCAGTGAGAACACAGCACAAGTGTACGTGTGACTAATGAACCATGAACACCCGGATCTCCTGGGGTGACACACACACACAAACACACACAAACACACACAAACACACACATGCAAAAAAGGGGGTTTATGAGTGGACCACAAGAAAAGTCCTGGTCGCTGAAGCCCACGCATACAAGAGCAAGACAGAACCCGACCTCAAGTGTAACCCAAATTTTCTGCCTTTTGTGTGTTTATTTGTGTGTGTGTGTGAGTGTGCGTGCGTGCGTGTGTGTGGAGGTGTCATCCTCCGCTCAATTGCAGCAACTTCAAAACCTCAATCTGCTCAATGTTGCCCTCATCACCTCCTTCCTCTCCGGACACTTAAACAGGCATCCCAGGCCAGCCCGTCCCATTGTACGACACTGTTGCCCAGGCCCATTAACACACCAAACGAGGCAGTGTGCGCACACACACACACACACACACACACACACACACACAAAGGGGAGTGAAAGAGAGGCCTTGCCCCTAGAATGGAGGTTATGTTTGATACTGAAGCGACAGGGCTGGATAAGAAACACTATACATGACAATGGTGTGAGACGAAGGGAGTGTGCAGGCCGGACTGTGTGTGTATGTGAGTGTGTACATGTGTGCAGAAAAGAAGTGCTTCCTTTGTGGCATCACCCTTGCCCTACAGCCTCACCCTTTGTGAGGTTAAACACACCAAAAGGTTGACCAAGTCAGACGCGCACATCGACACGCAAAGGGGTTTCGCTTTTTTTTCTGCACGCTTTTTGTGTGACAGGAAAAGTCCAGCCGAGGGTGTAAAACACAACAGCCGAAAGAGTCGGAGAGCAAGTGAGATGAACAAGAGGGAGAGAGAAGGGGAGGGCGTGGAGGAAGGTGAAAATGCATCAGTATGGGGCCATGAAGCACATTACAACACAACAAAAGAGATGCCAGCTGAATATCAAGCCTGTGTAGCAAAGAGCAGACAGGTAGAGGTGGTGGTGGACTACTGACAAGAAGGGAAAAGAGGTGAGCTGGATAAGAAGAAATGAGCAGCTCTAAAGTGTGTCAGTACAGGCCTATCACAAGTAAAAACTGCAGATTTTATTAGGTTTTATTTCACACTCTGTCTCAGTCATTCTCCACTGATCTCTCTGTTGAACAAGAGAGCAGGAGAGCCCCAATTCACAGGATAAACTAAAACACATTTCCAGAGCACTGGTGGTAACAGGAATTCACAAACTGTTGAACAGATACAGAGTTTAAATACCAGGGAGATCAACTTTTAATCAGAGAAAATCAGAAAAAATGTAAAAGACAAGAAAAGATTTTCAGCAGCACTTTGTGTGCCACCTTCCCACACGTCAGCAGTTTCAGGCATTAACTGTAACAGTTTAAAGTCTCGCAGCTGGTGGTCTCCTTGGCTTGTGTAGAGCGTAAAGATGCTTCAATATTAATTTCAGTCTGTTTCACACCCGGGTGAAAATCCCCCTTTCTGAAGAGCTACAGGGATGACACATATCTGCACGTCAACCAGAGGACAGCTGAGTTTTCAGGAAAAACTGACAATGGTATCAGTTCAGTTGGATTTATGTAAATTTAGAAAACAAGCCTTCAAACTGTGAGGAAAAAAAGTTGTGTTTTTTGTTTTGAAAAAGTGAATTAAACTGTTGTGTTATGTTAAACAGAACTGCAATTTTCCAAAGTTAAACGTTAGCCTGAGCTTTAAAGTGAACATTGGTGACATGAGGTCAAACCACCAGTAAGCTTCACCTTATTACATTTGATGTTGTAAAACAAAATGTAAAATCAAATATACTCCCGTCAGTCAAAGACATGACTTTATAAAGCCTGGCAGGAGGGTCACTCTGAAAGTTTTCCCCTCAGAGTCAAATATTTAGGAACAATCACATTCCTGTATTTCAGCTGATGACGAGGACTGCCCCCTCTGTGAATATTTTAAACCAAAATGTTCAGCTCCTGCTGCTGGATGGCCTTCCTTAAACAAACTGGTTGATGTATTTTCATTATAATGAAACAACTGCACAAACAGTGATCATCGATGGGAAAGGTGCGTTTCTTTCCTCTGTATCTGTTCACATTCCTGTTACTATATGCTTTGTCATATGCTGCGCTAATCTGATTGGTTTTAGGTCTGTGCGATTGTGTCAAGGAGCATTATTTTACGTGACTGTTGCTAACTTCCCTAAAAAACTGGGGTTGAACTGGGTGGTGCCAGTCTGGTGGTGCCAGTCTGGTGACACCAAGCGACTTAGTTTATGCATCAAACCCAAAATCGTATTTTTTACAAATCTGTTGACTTTGACACACAAGAATACAAATCAACATTGATCAGTCATTCCTTTTTTTCTGCGGCTCATTCTTGCAGGACTCAATTAAATGGATGACAGTTGGTTTCTCGTGTTGCCTGGCAACTGGCGATCAAAAACAACCAAGTAGCAGTCACACAATCTTTGCATCAGGGTTGAGTGTTAACTCTGTAAATAATAACTTGTCTTTTTAGTTGGAGGGTGTTGAAGTCATATTCCCAACTTAACGTTAATACAAGTAAAAAACAACATTTGAGTTCCCACTGTGAGCGTCTCAGAGGAAAATGGCTGTCGATTTTTAATACCATGAATCCTGAATGTAACTTGGTCATTGTAGACTGGCATGTACCATATTCCTAAAAATGACATTTTCTGATCACTGACACAGGGTTTCTGCCTTTACACGTAAATGAAAAAGCAAAATGCCATCATCATCCTGGCTGCTGTTGAACCTTCCTTGTGTTCAACCATCACATATTTCATCTTCGCCCGACTCTGATTATCCACATCTCCACCCTCTGTGTGACAAGCCGAACGTTCACCCCCTGCCAGCCGTTGCCACCTCCTCCTCCCTTCCTCCTCACCCCCTTCCATGCTGTGTTGGCAGCCAGGGCAGGGCAGGTGGCCAAACCTGTCAGTCAAAGCACCGTCGCCACGTGGCAATACCACAGACACCAATTACTACACAGCAGGGGCGCGGCCTGGCAACCGCATGGCAACCAAATGGTCCAATCAGGGTAAACAACAACAGGGGCAAGAGAGGGCCAAGAAAAGTGAGCAAGGCTGTCCGTCTGTGTGTGTCTGTCTGTGTGTGTCTGTGTGTCAGCCCCATGTTAAGGATATCTAAAAATGAGCCAGCGGATGTCTGCAAGTTTAACAGGTCGTCATCGTGTCTTGTTAACATCCATGAGCGCTCCGATTAATGAAGACTTAAGTTACAAACGCCAAATTCAGCTTCATCAATTGGTTCATAATCAGTGGTTTTTAAAAACACACACATCCTTAATTCAGTATTAGTTCTGCTGATTTAATCAGCTTAACAGCTACGTCTCAAAAGTAGGTTAAATTAAAATCAAGTTTATTTAGTGTCCCTAAACTAGTGAAGACGTGTGAAACTTCAACAGGAGTAAGATTTAAGAATCAGGAGAGATTTGTCTTTTAAATTTAGATTGTAACACATTTCTGCTCCCTACTGAAGTCTCTCTTTATGTAACAGGATCGTGGGTTTTATCTTTTAAGAGTAAAGAAAGTTTGATATTGATCATGTGATGACCTTGTAATCTCTGAGCCACACTTTGACTCACATAGCTCAGCAGCAGGTTTCAGAAACACATGACTGGAAATAAGGGCTATTCACTAAGTTCTATATGACAGTGTTTACTTCTGACAGAAACAAAAGAGGTTCTCAAAACGAAGGTGAAACAGAAAAGAGCTGCTGGCTTGAATAAAATATAAACTACTACATTTGAAAATGTACAAACTCCACTGACATTAGATACATAATGTGATGGATATCATCTAGATTTACACGTTTTCTGCTTTAAAACCTGAATTACTTCAAATTGGTTAAAGAAGAGCTGAAACCATGTCATGATCAAACAATTTTACTTCACTAGTTTTGACCCCTGATTTCAATCTAATTCTTTAGTATTGACTTTCGCCAACACTGAGGTCCAACACAATACTAGTGGCTACCATTATTGCATTATTTATATTTTCATCATATATTATAATAGTTGATTAATGAAGAACCAGAATGACTTCAAGCATTTTAAAAGTACAATATTGACCTTTGTAACTGAAATCCACCAATGCCATAATTAAGTACAGTGGATTCGTCTCGATCTGGCTGAGATTGTTTTCTATCGTCTTGAGGTTTTAGGGGGGGGACACAAACTTTTTAGGGTCAGGATCACATCAGCTGTAGCTGCAGTCACTGCACTCACAACCCACTCAGCTCTTCAAAGGGAAATAAAACCTTGCCCACTGGTCTTCTGTCAGTGAAGTAAAGAGTATCCCATCTTTCATTTTAACATCAAACTGGTGTAAAGGGAAGCAGCTCCACTGCTACCACCTCACAAAAGGACTGGTTTTTAGACTGTGAGCCTGCATGACACTGTACATTCAAGGACGTTAGTGTATATTACTGTTTCTTATCCTTAAACAAAGTGAAAAACTGCATCAATGCTTTAACAATATCTGTGTGATTAAGAGTTTAGTGGTCACAGCATTTCCCTGTTCAGAAAAAAGAAGAAAAACAAACTGATCTTTAAAGGTTTCATCTGCACAAAAGAGGAAAAGAATAAAACTGTAGGCTTAAGGGAATAATGATTGAAATTTTTACAGTTTTCTTTTTTATTAATCAAAAGAGACATAAACCGCTTTGATTGAGTTTGCCTCTTTCTCTCATAAATGAGTTTTTCACAGCACAGTTGAAACAGCCAATCATATTTGAGAAAAAAAGGGTATACTTTTGTATCACTGCCAACATGTGATTTATTCTATCTGGGCATTTTAAGAGCTTACATCAGACTGGACTTTTAATCTGAGGCAGAACAGCCAACTCAACAAGTGTGAACATTATATGGCTCAAGTCCTACTGATGTAAGCGAGGATACGACACATCTCTGATCAAAACTGACCAAATTATTCAAAAAGCCCTTATGTATTCAGTGATGAAAAACTCCACTAACACACCAACACACGGCTTCTGGAAGGGGCAAATATATTTTAATAAAACCAGTGAGTTGCAACCTCAATTTCATTTTGATGAATTTCCTCCTGCGGGAGAGAGCCAGGCAGTAGGCGGGAGGGCGGGAGAGGCGGGAGAGGCAGGAGAGGCAGCAGAGGCGGCAGAGGGAAGTGGGGTGATGGGGGCTGGGAGGCAGATAGAATTTTCATGATTGTTATTTTTGTTATTATACAGCAGGAGATGGAAGGGGGGAGGAAACGGGTAGATAAACGGCGCTAGTTAATCTGAGGCGTTTTGCAGAGCGTTCCATTATCGGGCAGGTTGGGCACGTCAAGGGGGTTATTTTTCCGAGGGATCTTTGGCCCCGGTAATTAAGCTCCATTCAGCAGGCCCTGTTCCCCAAATTAAAAATTTGTCATTAAGTGGAATTTACCATAATGCCTTTTTATCTGCCGGCGCCTCAGCATGCGTGTGTGTGAATGTGTGTGTGTACGTGCGTGTGCAGAGGGTAGAGGTGAAGGAGGGGCAACGGAAGAGGGCAACCAATGAGGGTGTCACACTGCGGTCACACACACACACACACACACACACACACACACACACACACACACACACACACACACTGGAGACAGGGCAAATTGAAAAAAGTAAAATAATCCTGGACAGCAGCAACCGTTTGCATGAACAAACACAACACACACATACACACACACACACACACACACACACACACACACACACACACACACATTTGTACACACACAAATCCACAATCCTTCAAATCCACAGCCTTTGGGGTAATTAAATAATGGTGCTTTAAAGTTTTAATTTAGATTTGGCTTTTTCCTTCCTCCTCCTACTGTATGCCATACAGGGTACACACACACACACACACACACACACACACACACACACACACACACACACACGCTCCATCACTGTAGGTTGTAGACTTCATCCAGCGTCATAGACCTCTATGGACTGGGTACATTGAAGAGGCTGAATAATTGAAGGGCAGAATCTGTGTCTCTATAGACTTTATAAAACAATACAATTATTAGTCTTTAATTAGAGCGGCCTCTCTGTGGGACAGGGGACAGGCGGAGAACAATAGAGGATTAGAAGAGGAGCTCCTAATATGGCTCTTTTATCGCTCCTTTCAAATACAGTTCTTGAAGACATCTGGCCGTCCTTTTTCACCTGGCAGAGTTTGAAGTTGGTGGTCGATTTTAGAGAGAAGGGGCGAAAATGAACGTCCCCTTCATCTCTTACTGAGAATTGCAACGATTTTCTGTTCCTGATTAATATGGAGATCACCTCTGTTAAATGTGAAATAAAAAGGAAGTGCAGGGGGGGTAAAGCCTTTTATTACTCAGACATAAACCACAGCATCTAAAATTTGAGAATGGGACTTTCACTGCCTGTATTTACCCCAATCTTTCCCCTCATTTCCTGTATAATCTTTTTCTTAAGTTATGACACATACTATTGATGTCTTTATAATGTGACAAAAAAATAATATAGCGTACACTAGAACTTAATGATCTGAAGCAATAATGAATGAATGTTTTTTGAATTCATTAGTAGGTCAGAAACTTAAAGGAGCATATTTATAAAATAAATAGACAGGAAGATCCAGAAACAGCATTTTCTTCTTCAGGCTGGAGGTTTAACGTGGTGTGTGAGAAAACTATACAAATATTAACAATGAATTATAAACTTAAAATAAAAATAAAAAGTATAAAAAATAAAATGTAACTCTTGGTCTGGACCACAACAACTTAAGAACCATGACAGAGCTGCTAGATTACCAGAGGATATCCCTAAACTATGCAGTGAAAGGACCCCTGAAGTCATGTACAACATATACAACACTGACCCAATCCCAAACTCAGGCACGTCGCGTCTGCACAAGCTCTCAGATGTGGGCCACTCAACTCCAAATGAAACATTTATGCAAGTCTGCAATTCTGCAGACTTCACTCTAGGACTCGCCCACAATTCATTGCAAACTCTGCGACATAAAGGACATGAGTGATCAGTCTCCTAGGAAACGTAAACACAAAATTGCTCTATATTAAAGCAGTATTCATCAAGTTTGACAAAAACCTAAATTAGGGCTGAGCGATGTGGAAAAAAGTTTATCACCATATATATATTTTTCTTATCAGTCAATAACACGATACAAAAAAAAAATCACTTGTCAATCTTAAATGTTCCCTGTTACTCTTAAATGAAATTTAACAGAACATGTTGATAGTGTGTCTTTTTCAATACAATAAGCTTCTGCATCTGTGAGGTCTTTGTGTCTCTTTGACGTTTTGTCGTAGGGCGTTGCTCTAGAGAAAGTGAACTGAATGGTCGGCTGTTTCAACTGTACAGGCATTGTGCGCTGCATCGCACTTGCCCGTGTCAGTCTGGCCGACAATGTCGTCATCGGTTGAGCCTTTATCTGCATTTCTGCTGGGGGTAGCACTCTTTTTTTTTTTTTTTCACCAACAGTGCTGTCGGCTTCTGTGCTGTTGCTTGCTATTGTTGCGTGTAGCTGCAGCCTGATACTACGCAGTTGTTTGCTACTTGGTTCTAATTCAGCACATGATTGGTTCAGCACGGTGCAGACCTGGAGCAACTCCCCTATCATTGGCTATTGGTATAATCTACCAAAACATGGCAGAATGCCGGCTATCGAAAAGCATATTGACCATGTTTGATATCGATATCAAGGGAAATTAATTTTTTGAATATTTATCATTATCGTTTTATCGCACAGCCCTAACCTAAATGCAATCTAAACAACACCTTTGTCATCATGACTGCAGACACCGCATTCCCTAAATCCATAAAGGTTCAGAGCCTCGACTGTTGGATGATCAGAAGGGTTGGGCAACAATTCGACCTTCATTCTTAGTTCATTTACGAACAAAATAATGACTACTAATCTTCAACACAGCAGATTCCTTTAGATAACTGAAAAACTCCTGACTCGGACAGCTGACAGAGCTGTCATTGCATGTACGATAACATCTCTCCACTCTTTAAGAAAACACTAAATTCTTCATGTCTTTGAGAGTGAAGGTGGGAAATACAGCCCTGAATAAACAGAGGTGGGGCTAAGGGGAGAGGAGGATGTGCAGAGGAGGCAGGGAGGGGGAAAAAGGGAGGAAGTCGGAGGAGAAAAAGAGGAGGGGGATGGACATATGGCAGAGGTTATGCCTGGCTGCAAAGGGGCAAGACAGGAGGAGGCTGTTGGGGTGTTAAGGGTATGTGTGAGAGAGTGAGTATTTTCCTCCACCTCTGCACATCCAGAGCACATCCTTAACAAATCACTCCATCCTTCCTCTCATTTCATCCCATTTTTTAAGTTATTCCAATCACTTTCAGATGTCAAACTGCTCTGAATCCATCTGTTCTCAAGTATTTTCTCCAATATCAAATCCTGCTTTTGGCTCAGATGATTCCTTATCGACCAGAGATTTTACTCAGAGATGAACTTACAGCTAGGTCAGCTTTCCTGCGTATGACTGACAGCTAAAAGCGGGTTAGGTAAACTATAGATAGAGCTCAACAACAACATGCTGTCAAAACCTGAGAATATGTGTGTGTATGTATCCTAAAAATCCAGGGCAGAGTGGCAGGAGAAGAGCATGGAGAGAGGTAGGGGGTCTTATTTACTGTCGTTTAATTTGCTCCCCTCTGCTCCGTCCATCCCTTGGTTTTTCTGACAGGTAATAAAAGCAGGAGCTCTCCTGACAAGCTTATTTGAATTTGGATGGGATAATATAAATGTAGGCTTTCCCACCGAACGCTCTGTCCAAGCGTGCAGAAACTGCCAGCCCCTCTTCCACGTTGGGAGTCTGTGTGTGTGTGCGCGAGTCTCCACAGGTACACACACAGACACACACAAACACAAGCAGGTCCTTACGTCATGGTAATAAATGCAACAATTACAATGAATTCCAGCTGCAAGCCAGTCCCATATGCCAATCTGCAGGGTTATTCTCTTCTCTTCTCTTCCTTCATTCTTCTCCTGCCTCGGATCCCTTCATCCCACCTGCTCTCCTTGTCTTACCTCATCCTCCTCTCACCCTGCCTCCCTCTCTCCTCCCTCCCTCCCTCCTCTCGCTCTTGGTAGCTGCTGAAATCCCATTCCCCGTGGGGCAGGCTAAATTGAATTGGCGTGTTTATATGAACAACAGGGCCGTTGCTTTAATATACCTTAGAGTTTATGCCTAATGCCTCCCCGCTAATACCGCTGGAGCTCGCCGCCCTCGCTCAACACACAGCTCTTTCATGGAAGTCATAAAAGAGACAGAACAGCGAGGGAGGAGAAAGTAGAGATACTCCAGGAGTGGGTTTGTGGGTATGAGAGGAGGAAGAGGCTGTTAATCCATCGTAACAGGTTATCTGTTTTATCAAACCTCTTTTAGATCATCCTACAGACACACACACACACACACACACACACACTCGCTCATACGGTCACGATCCCTCCTGTGTGGAGTGTGAATGAGAGAAAAGAAGAGAGAGACAGAGAGGGAGGAAGATTTTTTTAGATTAGTGAGTAATGCTGAATAAATATCCGGAGATTTGGTTGAGGGAATCAGTCATGCTCGTCGGCTCGCAAACATCCTTCATTTTCTCTCTGTCTCCCCCCCTCGTCTTTCTTCCTTTTCTTCCTCTGCCGGCCCTGTGTCAGCCTACAAAAGGGCCGCAGTACAAAGGAGAGAAACAGGCCTGAGACACTCAACCCAATTACTATTGATCAGGCTGCACTCAGAGGAGAAAAACGCGCTCACCTGCACCCACACACACTCAAGCTGCACGAGCGCGCATACACAAATCCAGGTTTCTAAGTCCAGATTCAAAGTCTCGTGGGTCAGCAGCGGTTATTTGTTCACAGCTGGTTTTGAAACACTGACCAGGACTCATTATAGAGAAGAAAAAACAGATAACACTTCGGCTGCCAGATCATTCCCATCCAGGTATCAAAGACGAACTGGTATGTTTCCAGATTTGAGCTTACACAGAGTCAAATTTCATGCAGAAAGAAGTGGGAAAAAAAGTTATTTTTGTCATAAAACTGAAGGCTTAGAAAAAATCTAATCAGAACTTAAAGTATCATAGCAATAAATTCAAACTTTCTGACTCGTTATTTATATACTTCAAATTTATTGCATGCCTTACAAACCCTGACATAACTTAGAGCAGCTAAATGTATATGAGCAAGGTAATAAAAAACAACCTTTTTTGGTAAATCTGGGACAAATAGAAATCTTCTAAGTGCTCCAAGTTGTGCTTTTTTTTTTCTCCATGAAACGAAACTTGTACTTGAGATGAAAGTCTCAATCTTTAAAGATCAGAGATACAGGGGCTTGAGGTTTTTTCTTGTAATATCTGCTGTTTTTGGCCGTATGTTGTAAATAAGCACTCAAAAAAATTCAGAAACCTGACTTTAATCAAACCTTTGCTCTTGAAAACCTGAGTTTGATCAGTTAAACCAATCACATTTAAACATCAATTAACCTTTTAAAGTGATAATTACATCTACTTGTAATATTATTCCATTTAGAGTCACATCTGACAGATATGTTCACAAATTTGAATGTGGTGCTAGAAGAAACCACTATCTCTGCAAACTTCAGGTGTAATACTTCTATAGCCCTGATCGTAGGTGTGTATTTAAACACACACAAATACAGACACAGTAAAAAAAGAAGTCTAACACTAAGACTGTGATGAACTCCGTGTTGGATTGGAGTCTGTGCTGAAATATCAATGACTCAACTCCCCAACGAGCAGGTAACTATCTCCTTGGCTCTGATTTTATCCTCAATAATTAATTTCCTTTCCCAAAGCTGACTCCTTCAGCGTTATCGGTCGCTCACCGCCAGAATCTCAGCATTCCATTTAACCATAATCCTTTTGGATAAAGAGGCGGCCCGGGTGTGCAAATGCACAGGCAGGCGTAGAAACACACGCACCAGCAAAGACTTGGACTTCATTGATAGATGAATTATGTTAGCAACCAGGTGAGCAGATATGGAAGGACAATCTAATGCTAAGGCCAAACACAAGAAACGCACGCAACTGATTTGGGGACATCTGAGTGGAGTGTGAATGTAAGGACAGAGGACTCAGTGTTCCCTCTGTAAACTGATCTCAGATACTAGCTGGATTAGCACGGGCAAGCCTACAGTGAGAATACTGACCCTGCAAACCCGGCATAGCAACAGCCACGTAACCAGGGCCTGGTCTAGTTGTATGGAGGAATGGATGGGGATGGGTGTGGAGGAATAAGAGATGGGATGGATGGGTGCAGGAAGGGGTGGAGCTGAAGGGGTAAGGGGGGAAGGAAAGGTGGAGTGTGGGTATGGATACAGTTTTTTGATTTGACCATATCCCGTGTTTGATCTGGAAATTTTCAAACCACCACGACCGAAAGCCTTTTCATTGATCATTACACGCGTATTTTCTAAACAAAGCTTACACGTTAACATGCTCACAGCCCGCGTGTGTGTGCGCTCACAGTTTCACTTTGAGCTGGTTTCTAAAGGAGACGTGGCTGAAAATACAACCTCCAACAGACATGTCACAAAAACTCAAATAACAGTCATTTCATGTTTGTTTCTTGTCCTGTAGCTGCTGAACTTCTCATGTCATCAGTCTGTATTTTGATAAATACCACAATCCTAAAGCATTAAGTCCATATCAAACTAGTTTTAACACTATGAGCACTTTTTTTAACCTAATTTGTAGTCAAAGCACCGCCTTTGACGGATTTACCTGCATCTAATCTGTTCACATTAAGCATTTTCCTTCCAGTCATAGCTGTTCACATCTTCACCATGCTCCACTTTAATCCCAGTATTTAGAGGCCTGTTAAGAGGCGAGTTCTCAGAATCTTTAGGGACTCCTAATTAGTGCTTCATTGAAGGCAGGTGTGATAGAAAGGTCAACTGGTTTCCCCTTCACAGCAGTGATAACAGAGCATTAGCATCAGTGTAAAGCAATGAAACACACACCGACATAAATAAAAAGAGAAACGGGGCGACGTGATGAGCAAAGTCGCGACTGAAAAGGTGAAGGGGAAAAAAAAAAAAAGGAGAAGTAGAGGAGGATGAGGATGAGGGAAGGGCTCAAATGACTGAAATATGTTGAGTGCCAGCTCGGCCAGACCAGGCCCAGCTGCTCTCTGTCTGACGAGCGCCTTAATTAAGAGACACAGGGAAAAGGAGCCTGGAATGGCCGCAGACACACTGCCAGGAGCCTCTGGAGAGGAAACTGCTAAACAGGCTCACTTGTGTCTTTGTGGTACACTGCCAAGAATCTCTCTTTCTCACACAAACACACACATGCATGGTCATCCTTTGGGACCCGGTGAAAAACATAGGCCAGCTATTATTAGGCAGCCTTTGCATATCGGAGCAAGTGTTTTAGTGTGTGTTCTCCCTCTTATCCTGTTGACTGTTAAACTGAACTTCAGAGTCAAAAACAGAAGAAGAAGAAGAAGAAGGAGAAAAGAAGGAGGAGGAGGAAGAGGGGAGACAGAGAGGTGATTTTGTGGATCCATGACTGCCTTTACCCCCCCACCACAAAACCTCACCCACCCTGCTCACCCCTCTTCCTCCTCTTCCTTATCCCAAAAACGTATTAATATTAATACAGATCCCCTCCAAAGCCTCTCCCTCCCCACCCCCCCAAAATATCACCACCCTAGGCTACCAGTTAATAAAGCCCTCTCGACGACCCCTCCCAGCCTGAAAAACCTCAGCAAAGACAATAAGGGGGAAAGTTCTCCGGCCAAAAAGAAGAGAAATTAATACAGTCCCACGGGAGCCCCCTCTGTCCCTCTGTCACCCCCCACAATAATTTGATTTCCTATTAAGTGACTGCTTAATTATAAAGATTATTATTGGTAATTGTAATTGACATTTTTTTCTTCTGCTACTCTTGTCTTCGTCCCTTTCCTCCCGACCTTTCCTCAGGTCTTCTCCAAAGACACGATGGGCAGCTCGAAAGCACCAGGACGGGGGAAGGTGGCGAAAACAAGGCCGAGCCGAAGACCCTCAACGCTAGAACATGTAAAAATACGCAGCAGCAGCAGCAGCAGCAGCGCAGCCTCACGCGGCAGGATTAAGGTGTTGAGACTGAGAAGTTTTATTTAATCATACATGAGTGTGTTTCAGTGTGTGTGTGTCTTTGTATTCGTTGTGTATTTGTCTTTCCTATGTAGCTTCAGGGCACAATGTCTGCTGCAGGTCTCCTCAGAAAAGAGATTCCTGCTCTCGGTGGGATATCCTGGTTAAATAAAGGTTAAGAAGGAGACAGGAATTCCCTCTCCTACACCCACCCTTACACACACACATGCATTAAACTACAGTAGGGACCCTCTGGTCTCCAGTTTATTACCTCTTCCTCGAGGCTACAGTTACTGAAAATGGGAGATAGTACGTTGGTTAAAAAAAGGACCTTCATTCATTCCAGAAACATTGAGAAGGAATTACATATTTAGCCTAAAATAAATCAGACATTTGAGTTCAACATCGCTGCAGTTAGACCGCACACCGTTGAGATGCACTAATGTCACCTCGTTCTCTATTTGGAATTAAAGACGGTGAAACTCTGTTTCCAGTGGGTCAGGGCACGCTTATTGGGCTCACCTCAGGCGTGGTGAGGCTGGGGACAGCGTACACACACACACGTCTTTAAGTGCACACACCTTCACACTCCAACAAACATAACATTTAACCTCTCATCGCACTTTCTAAAATATCCTCTCATTTTTACAGCGTTCTACATTTATCCACGACAATTCTAGATAAAGGCGTAAATCTGAAAATCAACATGTAATATCTGAGAGATATTTTATTTACAAATCTTAAATCCCACACATGACGATCTTGGTTTCGAGTCAGCGAGGCTGTAGTGGGGTTGTGGGGAAGTCTGAAAACGTATTCGTAATGTTTCCTACTAGATTATATTTAAATAGAAGAACAAACAGCCGCATAGATACAAATGAGCACCTGCAGCCACAACCGCAGATGTGTGTGGGTGTTTTTGAGTCAAAGTTTCCAAGAAAAAAAAAAGAGAAATTTTCATAGATTATTTTGACAAAGATGACTTTCAGACAGGATGGCTTGTTGCTGCAAGATACAGATAAATGTGGTATAAATAAACTATATATCTGCCCAGAGTACGGCAGATAAGGCAGGATGGCTGATATTTGAATGTGTTTACTGTATCTAAAAACAAAGTTAATAATAGGATTCTGCAATGAAAACACAAAAGGGCGTAGAAAAAACATATAGTGCTGTAAAACATCTGTAAACGCTTTTTTTTTTACTTGGTTAAATGCAAATTTTGTTCAGACCAAAGCGTTTATGGGTGTTGGCCTCGAACTGGAAAAAGATCATCAAAACATTGGGAATCTAAAACGGCTCACAAGGCGAGAAGCTTCTTCATTTAATTTGAAAACAGCGTCAACCCAGATTTACCAAACTACCACTCAAGTACGAGACGGCTCGTCTTCCACAGATGGACAGACGATGCTGGACGCCAGGGTGTGCAGACAGAAAGCCGGGTGTGTTAAGACCACTCTGAGATCTGGAGGCAAACTGTTTCTGAGCGACAGAAACACCGTGGCCGATCCTTTTCAAGGCCTGTCTCATCCACTTTGGCTTACACACTACCGTCTCTCTCTGCATCTGTGTGAGGCTCAGCCGTGCTGTTGGCCAAATTTTGGGGGTTTAGCTCCAAAAGCTTCTTCACATTCCTCCTGGAAATACCTACTGACTTCTTCCCTGCTCCTCTTTCTCTGTCCTCTCTTGGAAGTCAACCCAATTCTGTACGATTTTTGGAGTTACAATAAAATAAGAGGTGAAGGAAGAACTGAATGATTGAAAGATGTAAAATGAGCACATGTACCAATTAAAAATTTTAAAACCTGAACTGAGACGATGTAAAATCTGAGTAGTTTATGAGAAGGTGCCTGTTTCGTTTTCTGGTTTGCTGTAAAATTAATTCTACAAGCCAAAATTTAACACTTTTAAATACCTTGACAGTAAATGTTGAAATGATTTGAAAAATATTTAAAGTGGAGCCTCTTAACACAAAACAATAGACGCGGACACTAAGAACAGGAAATTTTCATATTTAGCAGGGAAGAAAAAAGGGCTGACATGTTCTGGTTTACAGTCATCACGACGTATCAGCAACTGCAGCCATCGAACGTTGTTTGACTCAAAGATTTTCAAAACAAAAGCGGCCGAGTTCAACAGAATTTCACCGTTTATTTTGCATGCGCTAATATTAGGCCTTCACTGTCGTCTATTCTCATTTGCATATCCTCTCTAAAAACTGGATAATACAAGTCAAACTATGGCACAGATTTGATGCTGTGTGTGCGTGTGTTTTCCTGTGTGTGTGTGTGTGTGCGTGAGAGTGCGTGTGCCTGTTTAAACACACTGTGTGGTAGTGTGGGTGTGGCGTTACACCTCGTGTGGCACTGGGCAGCCAAGATAAGAGCTGATCCTATCCATGCCTCCCTTTTGCAGCGCCCGCCCGCCCACCCACACACCTACACACCCACAACGCACAGACACACTCTACAGTCACACACACAACACACACTTATTGTGTTACCCAATGTGCCACTGTAATCTCATTTTACAATCCGGATGCCCAAAAACACACAGAGAAGCCAGCTAAATCCATATTTTGTGCTGTTGGTAAAGTATGCAGGTAGGTGTGTAACGATGACACACAGTTAAACTACACAAAAGGCCTAATGAGGTCTCAGAGTGGTTAACCCTGCAGGCCTCGAGTAGCATCACAGAGTGAAACAGGGAACTTCAGACACAAAAGTGACACTGTTTAACATTTTTGATACGATCTGAGAAGAAACGCGAAACGCTGCACAGAACAAAAGAGCAAAGAGGAGATGATGAGGGAGGAGAAAAAGAAGAGCTTACCTTCCTCATCTGTGAGTTTGTGGCACAAACACACCAACACACTCCAACTCACCTAGACTCTCAACTTGGCGCACACACACGCGTACACACATCCACACTCAGACACACAGTGATGTGATCGGCCACCCCGATAGTGAGCGAGAGCTGACTCTCTAAGCCTCAAACAAAGTTTGGTGTGCACTGACCAAGACCAAGGGGACAAAAAAAAAGCAAAGAAGGGAACTGGGGGGAGCGACGGAGAAAAAAAAAGGGAAGAAAAAAAGTGTGACCACTGAGTGAAGTTTAACCACTTATGATTCAAGTTTAGCTCCAGCACACCCCGCCTACACCCCCTGGATTCATTCACGGGCATGTACACGCACACCTCTCTGGGTGGAAGAGGCACTGAGCTGGATTTTTTGGAAAGGCTGGCTTTTTCTCTTCTAGTTCCATCTGGTTGCTGCTGCATGGCTGCCGGACAGGCAGACGGCCCTTGCTCATCCCCCTTTTCTCTCCTATCTTTTCTCTTTTCCTTATCCAGTGTCCCTACAGATCCACCCACCGACAGCTGCCCCTGCACGGCCAGGTGTCAGATAGCTGCTCGGCATGTGTGAGCATGTGTTTGATTAAAAAAAGAAAAAAAAAGAAGAGAAAAGGGAAAAAAAAACGTGGTGAGGAAGTGAGAAAAGATTAGATTGTAAAAGTATGTGAACAAGTGACACCATGAAGGAGAGAAACCGAACAAGAGAGGGAGAAAGAGGATGAAAGGATTCAATTTCTGTAGGGTGAGAGGAGGAGGCTAAGTGTAGTGAATGTGATTTGATGGGGAGGCTGAGATGGGCTTTAGGCGTACAAATACTATTAGTCACTGCTGTGCAAACCTGTTACTTACTCACACACAGACACACACACACAGACCACACACACATATGTGAGGGCGAAAAAAAGCAATGCTCCCGGGCAACAGGAGTAAACACACAACATGAAAGAGAAAAACAGACATCTATCTTTATATCTATCCAACAGCCCTGGGTTATGAGTGTAGTTTTGACTTCAGCCATGAAAATTCAGCAATCCTTATCTGAATGAAGGAAGGAATTAGTCCTGCTACAGACAAGAGGGCAAAATATGTCCTTGGTACATCTGACATGCCTTTTTTAAAGCATGTATGTACTCAACATATGTCATACATGTAATAATAATAATAATAATACTATATATAATGTTCTGTACTCAGGCAACATGCTGGACAATTCAGCCCACAATCCCAATTGAGCCAAACTGTTTAAAGCCCTCAGAACTTCAGCCCAGACCGAAAACTAAAATATTCATCTACTTTGTTAGTACTCATCATCTTCCTTAAGCTGTCGTACCACTCTGTTTTTGTTGAAGAATATGTAGCAGGGTTCGCAGCACCCTCAGTTTTCCTTGTGCAAAGCATTGTGGGATGAGAGCATCATCTACAGATCACTGAAAAATGAGGTGTTTCATGTAAAGGACAGTGCAGACAGGGTTCCTCTACAGAGATGGTGAATGAGAGGTGGTGCCTACAAAGATATTCATTCATTCATTCATTCATTCATTCATTCATACAGTATCATACTGTAATGTACCATATTGTACACTACTGTACATCTTTATGTGTCATCTTCTAACATATCTTTTATATACTATTGTGTTGTACTTCATTATATCATATTGTATCTGATGTGTTGTGTCATATTTTAGTGTATCATATGATATTGTATCCTGTTGTGTCATGTCCTATCATATCATATTGTATCTGGTGTGTTGCACTGTTTCCTATTGTATTATATCATATATTGTATCGTACTGTATCATGTGCTGTGGTTCTGTGGTGTATCATATGAGTCCCACATTAATTATTAAGAACATGTAACATTTTTTACAAAGGTCTATTCGCTCCAACCAAAAATAAATAAATAAAAATAAAGGTTTATTCACTAATATTGTTTCTTTTCATTTGAATGTGTTTGACTGACTGTTTTTACAATTCAGATTTCAGAGCAGGTTGTCCAATAGCTTATATTTATGCCAATATTACACTGTTTAGGCATTTGATAAAATGCAACAATTAAATAATAAAAAATAACCATTATTTCATGCATATTATAATCTATTATACACCTTCTGCATTAACCCAATACAGGTCCATGTTCATAGAAAGATGCATGTTGATATAATTTAAAGTCCACAGACTGATTTCTCTGATGCAGACCTTCACCACAAACAGTGAATCTGCTGCAGTATTACGCAGAGAATGAAAGTATCAGAAGTTGTCCAGTGAGTAGTCAGTGTTATGTGATAAGCAGTGTTTACGCTAACAGTGAAAGGAGTAGACACTGGAGCCTGCCCCTGTTTGATTACACGAGCCTGATGCACTGCAAAGATGGCAAATGCAAAGACTAAGTCTCATTCAAAAAAAAAAAAAAACACGTGGTGAAAGGTGACTGACCCTTGTTTATCTTTTCAATTTACTTCAGGTCTAAATTATTTTAAATCTAATTTTTATAGTGTTTAAATGCTTTTTCATTTTTGACATGAATCGTGTGGAATAAAAATGTTTTTTAAAAGAAAGTGGATTTAAATGACTAAAGCAGATTCAGCTTGTATGGGTACCATGTTGTAGATTTATGTAGACGTTTTTAAATCTAGGCTTGATTGTTTTTCTGTATTTTTCTACTTTTTAAATAAGGACATTTGATAGGTTATAGCGGTCAGTAACTTGCAAAATAGTCTTAGAAGGAAATTTTTTAAAAAACTTTGATAAATCACGATCATGAAAAAAAATGTGGTATGAATTTTCTGTCATATCGCCCATCCCTCCATCACAGACATTTCTTTGGTTTGACCTCTAAAGGGGATTCATGACAAGAAGAAAAATATCTGTGTTCCAGCCAGTATTTCTGCTGTGAAAACACTCAAACCTGCCAACAATTACAGTTTAGTATCACTCCAGTTCCTAGCTCCAAAACTCGACCCTCAGATTTCCCTTGCCTTCATTTCCTTTTCTGACTACCCCCCATTCTTCCCATTTTAAGACCTCTGTCACACCACACCCATGACACCCCCTGTGCAGACATGAGGTCAAGCTCCAAGGATCACAGAGAGAAGCCAGACGAGGGAGAGAGAGAGGAAGAAAAACATGAAAAGGGAAGAGAGACAGAGAACTAAAATCCTCCTTTCCTCCCAAAACCAGGCCAAAAACCTCGAGCCTTCCCACCAGCTCCAGTCAGACCCCCTCCTGTAGCCCAGTTGTGTGTAGTGGAGGCAGTGAGCACTCTTGCAGAAACATCAACCAAGGGAAATTCAAATGAGGAGGAAACAGTCAGAGAGAGACAGAGGGAGATTGGGAGAAAGAGAGCACAATAGTGAGAAAATAGGATAAAAGAATGAGATGGGAGAGCGTTAGGTAGAGGAGTGGGGTGAGGGGGTGGAGGGTGGAGGGGCAGCAGGATAGGAGATGGAGAGGTTGCTGAGGCTGCAGGTTAAGATAATGTGTAGATCTGAAGAGATTTGCAGAAAACATTTTTATTCATTTTTTGATTACTCCCATCTCTCCCGACCTCCCCTACCCCTCTCCTCCTGCGTTGTTGTCTCTCCGTTTGTTTGTTTTTGGCATTAGTGTTATGACTGTTGGTCTGTGCGTGTATGTACACATGCATGCTGATTAGAAACCGGAATATTTTATAAACACAAATATTCACACTTTCACGAGCTCTCCACGCACATATCAATACATAACGCACACAAACACACTTAAAGATGCATCAGAGGAGCGGGGGGGTTCGGCAAACGGTGCCGGGAATGCTAAGAGCTTACAAATTTGTAAACATGCAGGCATGGACGCTGCGTGTGTACATACAAACATGCACACAGTGTAGCCCCTCTGCCCCCTTTCTTATCGACAAGCTGCAGGTAGGGTTCAGTGTTCTGAATGAGCTGGACCATGTGGAAATTATGAACCCCAGGCCACACACACACACACACACACACAAATGCCACAAAGGCCTGAACAATACACGAAACACTAAGAGTGAATTACACATGTGCGTAGAAGAGGCCACACATACAAAAGACACACCTGTGTTGTTGGACCCTCCCTCCAGGTTGAGTGAGATTGAGTGGTCTCCATCCTGCTTCTCCCGACCCAGGATCATCCAGTTCTCCAGACCGTCTGAATCCGAGGAAGCCGAAGAATCAGAAGACTCTGAAGACTCAGACTCAGACTCAGACTTAGACTTTGATTCGGACTCCTCTGAATCTGAGCTGCTGGAATCCACAGTCACAGGCCCGTTTGGACCCTGCTTTCTCTTCTTGGTCCCCTGGAGAACCAAACAAAGAGGAGCGTTAATAAAAGACGCCAAGATCTAGATTTCAGTTTCATCATTTAGCATCCCTCACTGAACAAAATAACCAACAAGAACAAAAATTCAAAGTTAGAGAAAATTAACATTTCCACTCTTTGACTGATATCATCGAACTAAAGAGACGGAGTTCAACTTCTGTCGATTGCTTTGATCTGAAAACTGATCACCTTCTTCCACTTCTTTGTGAGAGTGGTAACTTATTACTTTGTTTTTTAGCTGCAAAAACTTTCCTTTTGTGTTTTTAGTCTACTGAACGATCAACCGTTGTCACCCTCAAAAGTCAGCAGCAGAATAATAACTTGTCCATTTCTGAAGAGAGTCTGAAAAACACCTCTGATCTTATAAGTGAGTGAAGTTAGTTTGTGGGGTTTGTTTTGCGGTAGATATCCTGTCAAAATTAACAGTTTAAAGAAAGGTAAGAAAACAGCTAAAGACAGAAAAAGATAACTTAAAAATGATGAAATAAGTTACATAAAAACTAAATACATCAGAAATTCAATTCAACTCCAATAAGTTTTAAATCTACTAGAAATTTAGAGTAAGAAGTCCATTTAAAACTCTTAAAAAGTCACTTCTGTTCGAAAGGAAAATAGCAGCTATGAACGTTTTCACTCTGATCGGTTCCTGCGAACAGTACCACCTCATTTACTGCTTTCAAACATATAGGTCTCGGCTCATAAAAGCATTCTCAGTGGGTTACTGGCTGCGGTGTGAGGATTAAAGCCCAGAGATGGCGTACTCAGTCCTCTTGGTTCTTCTAAGAATAGTTACAGCGGGGTTCTGTGTGAGCTGGAGTTCTCGTTTTTGTGTAAGTCAAGACAAGAGACCATTACAATGGTCCACTCAGCTGGAAATGAAGGCATGGATGAGCTCAGATCCTGCCTGGACATGAGACTTTTGATGACTGCCATCAGTTTAAGATGATTGAATTATTGACTTAATGTGGCTGCTGATTCGATTCTCTTAATACATGAAGATTTCAAATCTGGATTTTCATCTTTTCATTAATCCACTGTAATTTATTGATTTTAAAGAGTTATCTAATCCAGCTATCATGGTTCTTTCCTTACTCTACTATCAGTTAGGAAAAATTCATTTTCTCAGAATTTCACTTGGACGCTCAAAAGTAGAAATGGGAAGAGAAATTATAGCTGAAAATACATCTAGAAAGAGTTGAAATTCTGCCACTAGCCATGTTTACATGTGCAAAATTTCTTAATCCGATTAAAAATTTAAAGAATTGGATAATCTGAATCCACTCTTTGTATGGGTGCAAAATCAAATAATCCGATCATGACGTACGTATACATGCATCAAGTTTTATTCAGATTAGAAGAATTCGGACACGTGCAGAGTTGTCTGATTTCACTAAAACAACCACAGAAGAAGAGTTGTATTTACGCCTGTGCTGTCAACAAACCTACAAACGCTGTTGTGGCTCACTTCATACAATTCAGGAGTTTACCCCCTGTTAAATGTTGTCAACAGATGGCGCCCTTGGGTACTTATTTTACTGTTCTGTCAAAGGTTGCACTATGCGTGCAGATGTGACATCATTACGCTGTATGTACGCCCTGTTATGTTACCAGAAGAGCAGACACGGTACCTGCGGTTGTGTTTAATGCAAGAGTGTTAATAATGAAACCTCCTGTACTGCCTCAATAAATAACCCAAAGGCTAAAGAGTGAAGATCGAGTCAGGTAAGAGAGTCATGATCGGAATAAGTGTTTACATGGATGCATTTCGGAATAACAATCGGCATAAACCACCCCTGTTGATCGGAATACAATTTCTTTCTGATTCTGACGAATTTGGATCAGAATCTTCCGTTCTACATGTTTACATGACACATGTTTATTCTGATCGGGCCTTTATTCCGATTATACGTGCACATGTAAATGCAGCTATTGCTATTCACTTCAGCTCTACGTGTGCTCTGTGAATGTCAAGCTACACAGTTGTGCTTACAGTAACCAAGAGGGCAGAGTTAAAAGACGATCCATTCTATTGTACACAAGCAGTCAAACACAGTGTTAGTGTTAGATCGATCGGCTCTCTACCTGTCCAGCAGGGGTAGAAGTCTGCAGCGGTCGCCTGCCTCCACCTTTTAAGGCACAAACACCCTCGTCGTCTTCGGCAGTGTCTCCCTCAGAGATGGAAATGACGTCTGGGCCGGAGTCAATCACAATGACTTCCTCAAAAAGTGATGATGACCTTTGACCTTTCGGGCTATTCTTCACCTTCTTCTGTTTGATCCGTTTCTCTTCCCTCTTCTTCAGGTATCGCTGTAATTGACTCGCATCAGGTGACTGAGGCCGGTTTTCTCCAGTGTGCTCCTGTTCTCCGTCACTCGTCTTCTCTGACACGTCGAGCTGCAGGTCACCCTGGATGTCTGCCTCCTCTCCTCTGCCCTCCAGCTCCTCGATGTCCCCGGCATTGGCGGAGTAATGGAGCTGGCTGTATAGCTGGAACTCCAACTCGCTGTTGACCTCTGACCCATCAGAGTTCTCTTCATCCTCTTGATAAAGATCATCCTCCAACTCCTCCCGGTCCTGGTATATACAGTTCATCTCCCTAACACACACACTCAACACACACACTCATGTGCACACACCCTCACAACAATCACACTTGGAACAGACCAGTGAAGAAGAGATAAAAACAAGAAATTAGTCAGGACAATGACCTGAATATTCTTATCATTATGCATTAAAAATCACAATCAAAAACTGATAAAAGCACGCCAGAGGCAGGAAGTCTGAAGTGGCTTTAGTTCAAGTTGTAATCTTGGGCTTTTAGAGGAAATTATGAACACTTCTGCTACGTTCTGTGAATAAATTTAACTTTGTATTTGCCAATTAATCGAGACTTCTAATCACATTTCAAGATACTGAGACAGAAAACAATGATCCTTTTTGATTTGACTGAAGCCTCACACCACTTCCAATCAAAAATACCAAAAAGGTCAATTCAGTAAAAACTTTATTCCTACTCTTATCTATGAAAGCGACCCCTAAGTGAACACAGGGGGTATCAATAAGAGGAAGTGTAAAGAGCTGACTCTTGTTCTTGAATCCATGAGAGCTTATAACAAAGTTAAGGGGGAGTCTGGATCCTCTGTACCCAAATTTCTTCTCTGTATCCTGCTTGTCAAAACCTTTAAACTGCGTTTACAACCTGTTAAGTGGTTATGTCAACATATATTAACTGTCTGGAGGGTCCGCTGTAAGTGTTTTGAAGTAGAAATCATCCTCAAAAGAAAGCTTGTTGCAATTTTTCAAAATCTGTCTTTCTAACTCTCTCTTTCACACAAACATACAAATGCACACACACTGGACAAAGAAGGGGCACTGGCCCATTGCTCTGTCCAGTCCTGCGTGTCTGTGCCATGATGGCTGAAGATGATTGGCTCCCAGACCGCACACACTGCAGAAACGCCACGCTACACGGTCACAAGCCGGCCACCGGGGATTAAAAGGGACAGAAAGAAGAGTCTTGCTGGCTGGTGGGGGAGAGCGACAGTTTTGAAGTTTAGCCGTGCACAGAGACCTGGAGCTGACAAATGACTGGCTGTGTTTTACACTGGTGGATGTAGGAGTGCTTAAAGCCCCAGCACAGACATGGTCCAGCAGCACAGGTGTGTTCACTTAATCCGCCCAATCAAAGCTCTGCTCAGGACTGTACGGGTTTATATGGACTGGGTTTGATTGACATTTCCAGACTCTCCCGTTAGCTTTGTTGCATTTGGTAAGGAGGAGACAACTCACGACTTAATGACTGTGAGAGGCTTTTTTACAGAGAATATTTTAGGAACAGAAAAAGTACAACATAAAAAAGTGAAATCATTGAACTGGAGTTGTCTCGTGATTTTCAGGGTCCTGGTACCGTGCTAATCTCCATCTCATGGCTTACTGGGAATGTTATGGCTACTTTAAAAGAGATCGCAGGTATAGCTGAGTTCAGTGTAAAGTTTGAAAAAGGCAAGTAACTATTGCTGATATTCTTCTTTTGTCACTTGCTGCTGCAGCTCAGCTCTACATCTTTCTGCCACCAGTATTATCAACCAACACTGCTGAACAACATGCTAATTTTCACTCGAGCTGCAAAAATGCTAAAATGGAAGAGCAGATAAATCAAATCGAGTAGGTTTTCACTGTTTGACTGACTTGGACATTCGAAATGTATTGGAGCTATAATACTATGAAGACAAATGTGGCAGGGAAAGGCCCAGACTTCATCCTGATACATCAAGTCAGTGATGACAGGGCTCTGTGAACAGAAAAATTCTGCCCTTTCCTGTCACATTGGCACTAAACTTCACTTCATCATTTGACTCCATTTGGTCAACAGTGACTGATCATCTGCATTACATGAAGCATAAAATCACCTTTCATACAATTATTAGCAGTCTTAAATAACAATAAATATTTACAGCTCAGACAGAGGACATGGTAAGACTAAACTAACCTGAGTAAAAAAAAAATGTATGTGTTTCATGGTACAGTTTTTACCTGCATTTGTAGATGAAGCAACAAACTGTGTTCAAAGACAAAGATTTTTGGGAGCAGGTGGTGATTTCCACTACAGAGACATCTTGGACTTCACTTGAGTGTTGCCTGAGGCCCGAAGGACGTAGCCATCCCATACTGGCCTTGTTCTTTTTTGTAGAGATTTTTCCAGATTTCCTGAATCTTTTAATTATGCTACATACGGAAGACCATAACATCCCCACATTTTTTGTAAATTGACAATGAGGAAACTAACAGTGGGGTTGTTTGACCATTTTCTCATGCTGTTTCTCACATATTGGTAAACCACTTCCCACCCTTACTTTAGAGACTCAACCTTTCTGAAAAGTCCTTCTGATATTCAGTCAGGTTACTGACCTGTGACAAACTAACCTAATTTGTTAGTAGAAAAGTGAAAAGTAGAAAATCTCTGCATTTTGAAATGCACTGCAGGCATCAAATTAGCAATAAGCATATTCTCTTTTAAAGAACAATAAAACATTTTACATTCAACAACTGGTGTGCTGTTTTTACGAGCTATTTTCTTCTAGGGATGGGCAGTAAAACCATAATGATATATATCAAAAATCAATTTCCCTCAATATCAAAATAAAACACGGTCAATATCCTTTTCAATGGTCGGCATTCTGTCATGTTTTGTTTGACTATACAAATAGCCAATGAAAGGGGAGTTGCTCCAGGTCGCGCCACGCTGAACCAATCATGTGCTGAATTAGAACGAAGTAGCAAAAAAACTGCGTAATAGCAGGCTGCACCATAGCACTTTAACATGTGAAGCCGGCAGCACTGTCGGTAAGAAAAAAAATAATGACTGCTACCCCCGGCAGAAATGCAGATGAAGGCTCAACGGATGACGACATTGGTGACAACACTGGCATGAAAACATTGGTGGTGTGGAGGTATTTTGGTTTTTGAGGTCGGTGAGAGTATTATGCACTGCAAATTATGTCGAGTATGTGTTAAATCTCATTCAAGAGTAACGGAACATTTGAGATTGACAAGTGATTTTTTTATATCGTGATACAAACTGATATCAACTGATATGAAAATAAATATTGTGATAAACTTTTTTCCCATATCGTCCAGCCCTATTTTCAACCAAGTATAAAGCTTGAATGTTTTGCAGATAATCAAAATCTTTTTTAATGAGTTTTAAAATCTGTCTCAACAATCTTAATGAGGGAGCTGAACATGATTGATTTTCCCAGTAGTTCCGACCTTAACGGAAGTGAATGAAAAATGTGTCAGCTGAGGATATGTGTTGGTGAATGGATTTGTGGCTATAAACAAACACATATATGTGATCATATTATTTGCATTGAGAGAATGCGAGGTAAAAATGGATTCACTGACTCTAAAAGTCTGAAGGTGTTTATCATTATGTAAGCAATCAGCAGAGATCTGGGAGTTAGTTTGCACACACCATTGCTGATTTAAGTTGTACCTAGCTTAATGCTAACGAGCTAGCATGGAGGATGAGGCACATGTTTGCTCTGAATTTGGCTGATATCACGATACTACAGCTTAACTGTTCCCAAAATACAGATAGACATAAGATATAGTCACTCAGCTGTGATTATAGCAAGTTACTTTCACAAGGCAGCAGCTCCTGGTTAGCATGTGTCTCTCCCTGACAGTCCACGTGTTCATGAGCAACAGAGCAGCCGGTCGGATGTAAACAATGAAGCAATTCAGTCAAAGACACACACGGAAGAAAGTATAACATGAAATTACTGTCAGCCTACTCAAAGACAACATCAAACATATTCATTGATAAAGAAAAGCATTATTTTACCTCTATCCAATAAACAGGAGATGTTACAGGAGTTGGAGCTGCTCTCTTCAGCTTCCAGCCAGAGGGAGCCAGACAAAACACTTCCGGGTTCGTCTGAGGGGAAAAAAAAGGTTGGGCGAGCGTAACGTTTCACTGAGTTCTGCAATGTTGGCAATTATTAAGGAAAATTATATTTTTATGGGACATGTGTAATAGTACCAGTTAATATTAGGAACTAGAATGGCAATTAGTGATACAAATTATAAAAAAAATAATAAATATAATACTTAAAGGGGCGTTTTCATGTGCGTATTTGATTCCAACAATTTAAAATAACAGGCTGTATTTTATGAAGTCCAAAAGCTCTCTTAAATCAATAAACCACATCCCAGCATAATCCCATATAAACCAAACAGCAGTAATTCATTTATTCTGTCAAAAAGTGAATTATTCTGAAGTTTGTTTGATTTTTCTCACATTAAAATTCTCTTTCCTCTGTGTTTTTCTCAATGACAGTTCCTGGAGTCCTGATTCTTCTCAACATCTGAACCACCTTCACCATCACAGACACACTTAGTTCCAGTACTTCATGGTGAAGGTATTCATGTAAAAATGTATACATGCAATTATATACATTACACTGGCAAACCCTATTAAAAATACATTATCCCAGTCTATCTATCTATCTATCTATCTATCTATCTATCTATCTATCTATCTATCTATCTATCTATCTATCTATCTATCTATCTATCCTTATACATCTTGATGATAAATCCAGCTGCCACAGAGGACAGACAACTTTGTAGCCCAATTTCAATCAATTCAGTGACAGGCCCATCTTGACAGTGAATGCTTGATTCCACATATTTGACTTGCCTTTATTCTCTGCCTTCCCATACTTTACATATGTACATTTTGTGTTTTTTTTTTTTTTTAAATATTATATACAGCAGTGGTTCTTAACTGGTCTCACTCTGGGACCCACATTTTCCTATGGTTCTTAAGTCGCAACCCACTTTTATAAAATTCAGACCAAGCAAATATATTTTTAAAAAGAAAAAACCTTTAAAGACTCAAATCATTAACATAAATACGCCCATTTTATTGAGTTAAGTGCATTTCAGAGCACATGAATTGCAGACGACGACTACTAAAGCTGCAAATACAGAAACTATCAAATTGCACAAAATAAAGACAAAAAAAAAGAAAAAAAAACATGTATTTTGTCTGTATTCAGGCCACATTAATAAGAAACCGAGGAGGACCACGACATAACGCGTGCCTGTCAAAATAAGCTATTTTTCAAAATAAAAGACATGTCAAACCTCAGATGCCCATGAAATATTTCCTTTTTGACCAGCTGTTTATGACCCATCCAGAATGTGTCCACCCACTTTAGGGTCGGGACCACCAGTTGAGAACCACTGCATACAGAATAGCGTCGTTTGTTAGCAATATTTAGTGATTTATCACCTCTACCTAATACAAGCATGAACCTCACCTAAAACTTCACCCTATACTCGGCTAACTAAAACTTGAACAAGAAAAATTTGGATACAAAAAAAAAAAAACTCAAGCCGGAACTCTAGAGGCCTCCTCTTTCCGGTGGCGGGTCTGTCTCTTTAAAAACCAGCCCCTCCCTCTTGGGCCTTCTTCTGATCAATCGACTGAAAGTAGTAATATGGGCCGAGTCTCACAACAACAAACAAACAATCATACTAAAAAACAGTAAAGTTGACAATGAAAAACCTTTCAATATCAAGTCCTAAACTGCAACAAAGACCATCTACTGCAGCAGCACCACTCATTATCACACAGCTACAGGTGGAGGAGGAAAAGTGACCACTGTGCGACAACAGGTGTGTGTTGTGTGTCGCGTGAGGGGCCGAGAGACCACGAGGCAGGTGAGGCGGCAGGGCTAAGCATTGCTAGCGTGCTAACATAAGGAAGCCTAAACAGTGGGACCTCAGTACTGAATCACACCGTTGGTAACATATTTTGGCTAAGGGTTAAAACATGTATGAAAAGGACTAAATAAATGTTAAAAAAAAAGTGTTTTAGAAGTTCAGACCTGCCCTCAAACCTCACTGCAGTAGAAGTTAAGCAGAATGCATTTACTCATGATACCTAATATATTGAATGTGTACCATGAAACCAGCCTGTGTTGAGCCCCTCACATTACAATTAATTCCCCCTCAGTGTGAGATTTACTGACCTAATAAAGGTCCTCTATTGAAAGAAATGGAGCTAGTTCTCTTAGATTTTAACACAGGAGTCTGGCTACCACCTTTATGTGAACAAACAAGATGGCTTCCTCTGCAGCAGGGACGTCCATTAAACCCATTACTCTGACCATTTTAACGAACTGGATGGTGTATTTTCATGGTTTAGTTGTGTTAGTGAGGAACTTTAGATGAGATTAAACAATTTACAACAATTTTAGTCACTGTCTGGGTGTGGGAATGAGGTGTTTTTGATGTCCTCCTAGTACAATCCAGTGTCCAATCCAAGGTTGTTTTTGAGTTATATTTTTGTCATTTATTGATAAAGTGAAAAACAAACAAAGACAGATACATCCAACTTACTACAATGGTGTTGTTCGGGATGAGGGTGTGAGTGGTGTCAGAGATAAGCGGTAAAAACCGTGTGCTCTTCACCTGTGTCTCTTTGTAGCATTTACCTGCCCATTCACCTGAAGTGCCCCTTGTGGTGATTGTGCGAGTACCACAACAAAATCCCCCAAATAATATAGATAAAATGGCTCATTCACCAGCTATGATGATGATATTGTAATGTGGACATTGTGTTGTTACAGATTTTGGATAATGAGGACACCGAAGAGGAAGGTGATGAGGAAGACTGCCTGAACAAGCTGCATGAATACTGTAAGTTTGCATCTTGATCCAAATGTAAGCTGCTTTTGTCTTCTGCTAGAGGTGTGTGCTGTTGTTTCCACTGTGCTGTCATTAATCAAAATTACCAAAATAATATAGGAATTAGGGATGCATGATCTTGGCAACAGGTATCACTCTAATACTGAGTATTGATGACAAAGGGCGGATCCACAGAACTCAGTTTGACCCTATTCTGTGTTTACAGTGACCGTGTGTGTGTATTGTGCATTTTTAAGCAGAGAGCTGATGTAGCATAAGGGAACTAACTAAAGAAAGTCAACAATTCGTGGGTTGCTTGTATACACCAACACATTTATCTTTTCAATGATGAATAATGATGAGGTCAGTTTGGATACATATTTGTGGATTTTTATAGTGGCTTACAAAGTTACAAAAGTCTGATGCTGCCAAAACATAATCAGTTTTCTCATCCTCATGGGGGAATTCAGGTTGTTTTGTAGCAGGTTTAGATCAGATCAAATTAGTATTGGTACTGGCGGATAAAAAAGTCAAGGTGTCTTTAACCAAAAAGTTGAATCAGTTCACCTGTAATGGAAATCAAGATCCTTCATTGAATCTTCAGGTATTCTCTGGGATCATTTGTACAACACAGAAGTAAGTTTTGAGTATTTGTCAGGAACAAATTTATTTTGTAGGTGTTTTCTCTGAGTTTTGTCTTTAATTTTGTGCTTATGGACTTATGGACTTTTTTTATTTCTTGTTTCTGTCTCCAGGCTTACAGTTGTCATGCGAAAACATTTCTGAAGCTCTAATTTAAAAAAAAAGAGCAGGCCTGAACATATTAAGAGTTGTGGTGTGTCCTGTTGGAGACTGGGCATATGATTATAACATACCTGGTTCATATCTATTTGTACAAATTGCATGCACTCAGAGACTTTAGCTGTCACTTTCAAAGTTGAACGTATACTTTGTTACTTTACTTCAGAGGCATATTGTGTCTCTATGTGCGGATGAAAGATTCAGCCAGCCCTTACATAGTGTTTCTCCACATAGACTATTGTGAGTCTGTTGCTGATGCTTGACATGTTCACCTTTACCACCAAGACTTAAATATTAGCTATGAAATGCCAGGATATGTGCTGGGTGTATGCGTGTATGGGCCTTTAGGGCTGCACTATTATTACATGTTGATGGGAATGTAAATCTATATGTAAATGTAATTCAACAGACTATCACCATCAGTCATATTTATGACACACAGAATATACAGCAAAATTATACCATCCTGGCTCATGTGAAGACTGCGTTGCATTAAAATCCAAATCACCCGTCCCCTCACCAGCCTTTCCATATCATGAGAGTAATTGTGAACTCTGTATATCCAACTATAGGTGTCGCCGCCGGCATAATAAAAGTGAGTAAATGGTTGTGTGATAGGGAATTGGGGTGAATGCCATCTGATTCCAGAGGTTTCTCCATGCGTGTCAACATAGGGAAAGGCCATCACAGAGCTGGATTGTTCCTTTGCTGAAAGGTTATAGGCTGCACCTCATGTTTCAACTCTATCACCTCTTATAGCCCATGTATACATCTGAGACACGTACAAACACACACACACTTCATATCCTGCATCTGTTTTGTTTTTGGGGAAGGGCCCTCTGCCCCCGCTGCTCCCCATATCTCTCCCTAAATTGGATGCAGGTCCGGGATGCCTCAGTAACTCGCTGAAATTGTGATGTGGCTGCCTGATTTTGGGTTCCATGCATTCTTCAGTATTTATCATTATTATTTTAAAAAAGGTAGAAGAGGCTGGCTGAATGGAGGCATCTGGTTCAGCGGTTCATCTCTGAGCGTCCTGACCAGTGGCGTGTTGAGGATGGATGGAGAGTCCCAGACAGGGATTTAAAGTCTCCCATTTCCAATCACAGGATCCAGAGGGAAGGTTCTGCCTGATGAATGATCTTTATTGAGAAGGAGGAGTTAAAAGAAGCATGTCATTGCTCGCATTTGATGGTGTTTGTATGTGCTATGAAGGCTCCTACCTTCATTTTGAACCAGGTGCTGCAGCCAACTTTTTCAATGGGGTGGTTGATCAAAACAGGATTCTCCACATTTACTGTGGTATATTGGCAATATTCTGCAGCTAATGGTTATCTATGTACAAAAGAAGTTGTTTTAAAGCCAAAAAAATGACCCAACTGTGTCTTTAGCGCTGGATTTTGCTCAGATTTGAGCCACATTCAGAGGATGTGACAGATGTGCTATAAAAACTAGTATTTTATTGTCTTTTTCTACAAGTTTTGATCTCAGATGCTTCCTCAAAAATGGCTGAACAGTAGAGTAAGCCTGTCTTGAAAATATATAGCATGTTGTCCTTTAAATATTTCTGTTTTTCCTGGACATTTTAAGCTCTTGGAATACATAAAGAACATTTTTGTGGACTAAGCAAGTAATTTATTTGGTCAGTGGACACCTTAGAATTTTTTTCTAGGTGTATGTCAGAGAACAGTTCGATGTAACCGTTCAGCCTCAGCCAGCAAAGACGTAGCTGTGAGCTGTAACTGGTTGCATCAGCTTGTTTCAGTTCTGTGAGCCCTGCTGAAAACGAATCTGCTTCCTCTTTTGCTGTTTGTGCAGGCTTCCTTGTAACTGTATGTATGTAAATACAACCAGTCAGCCTGTATCAAAGCAGCCAGGCAGGAGGAATTCCTTAAAAAAAAAAGAGAAAAAACTTGCCCTGGATCAGCGCTTCTGAACAAAAATGGCTCCCATGCATCACCCATATGAGGCCCTCTGTGCTGGAGTCCCTCGCAAACACTGCAAGTACAGCAGCTTCGAGTCCCATCAGCAGAGTTTTTCTATCGCCGCCACACACACACACTTTGTTGAACCATTTTTCAATCATATTACCAAACTGTAGGTGTTGTATTTTTATTCATTTAGATGGATATCGCAGCATCAAATAGCTTAGCAGGATAAGAAACTGATGGTGTATTAGAGGGATTCAGTGGATTCTGGAGTTAATATGCCAAGTAGAGCATGTAGTAATCAGCAGCATGGCTCACATGCAGGAAGAAACAAATGATCAGAGTCAGCCAGAGGGGGATGAGGAGCTGTCACAAGAGCAAAACCTTACATTTCAGCCAGGTTACAAAATCCTTTTAGGCTTTTTTTCTCTTTTATTCACACTGGTGTATATTTAAAGACCATAACACATACCACAGGTATTAATGCATGGTGCCTATTGACACCACCTTCACCACCGCTAGCTTTGCTGGTGACACATAATAACATAAATAGAAAAGAAGCCAGAGGGTTTTGAATTTTATTTTGCTAGTTCTCTCTGTAAAATATTGGATAATACAAGCGGTGTGGATGACGCAAATAAGATATTCAGTCATAATATCAATTTTGAAATGTGGTATTTTCAGCAAAGCTCAAACTGTACGTCTAACACTTAAAGAGAGGAGATTACGTTTGACTTGGCGTACATTAATGCCATATTGCCCTTTGATAAAGAAGCACAAGTGGACAGTTTAAGGGGTAAATATCTAAAAAATATAGAGCAGCTGTAAACCTTCATGCTCCCTTTTGTTGTTTTACACCTTTTCTCCTCTGGAACTTACTTATTTTAATATAAAATTAATAGCCAGAGCAGACCAAACAGCCCTACACAAACAGAAACATACACACGAACACACTACAAGCAGCAAATTTTTGTGTAGCTCTGTGGTCAACAGTCTGTCTGTGCTTTAAGCAAGAGGAGCCTAGGAGCAAGGGAACAAGCCTGACAACACCTTTTGAGACCAGGCCAAGTGACTTGTGCCTATGGGGATTAAATTTGTGAACAGAAGCTCTATACACATGTACACACACGCAGAAAAGTCCCACATGCACACACAATGGCCACACGATGCCACAACACCTCTTTCTCAGCTGCGAGTATAAAACCATATTGACGGAAACCGTGTCCTCTCTTGTCCAGTGGTCACGCTGAAATGTTTACCTTTCCATACAAATGGCCCGGTGTCATGTTGTGTCACATAACGTTTCATGGACAAATAATGTGTCCCATTTCTCAATTCCGCCTTGCAGCCCTTAAGCCCTATTCTTCTAAGCCCTATAGTCACACCAACTACCAGGTACCAGGGTGACATAAAAGGGACCCTGTCCCCCCACAGTGAAGTGCCACTCTGAATTAAATCCCAGAGATGTAGGGGTGATTTCAATCGGCACCACGGCTCTGAGGATGAAACCGTAAAAACCGACTAGACTAGGACGTTGTTTTTACAATGTTTAAAAGCGTGTTTCTTTGTCTTAGCGTACAAAAATTGACAAAAAGTAGTTTTATGAACAACCAAAAATTAAGCGGTAATACAAGCAAAAAAAAAAAAGGATTCCACTGAGGAGAAATCAGTGATGTATTTAGACAAAACATCAGTCGTGGAATTGAGACTTTTTAATGATTAGAAAAAACTGGTCCATATTAAGGTTTAGAGCCAAATTAGGTATGTATGATCTGCTGTAACCTTTGTTAAACCAGAGTAGCTTACAATGTAGTTTAAGTAGGTTCAACCTTAAGCAACTGTAACACTAAGCTGATTTAAATGATAATCCATGTGTCAAACATTTTCAACATTGATATTTTGAATAACAAACAATACTATAAGGCCTTAATTTATAATGAGCCGTATTTCCAGTGTGATAATTATTGTTTTAGATCAGCAAAGGCACAACATTTTTCTCCCAGGTCAATTGAAGTAAAACGCACACACACCCACACACACCAAACCACCTTTATTTATTCATGGACTCTCATCAACACAAACATAAATGTCAGGGTTTAAAATGGTCTTTTTCTTTAGTTTAGCCTAAATTTAATCAGTCATAGTTAAAAACAAAAGTCCTGGAGGAGAAACACTGAGCGTCTCTTCTTGTGTTTTAGGTGTTTACTTATTGTTCTAATCACCCCTTTAGTTCTTTCTCGCGCTTTAATGCGATTATTTCCGGTTCCGCTCGGTCAGAGCTCGGGTCACCGATCCAACTACTCCCCCTCATATTAATTACATTAATTAGCACGCGGGATGAAAAACAAACAAGCGATGATTAATATCCGAACTATGGCGAATTCTTTAAAGGCAAGACAAATGTGGAGCGACAATCTCACTTAAGGGGAAAATAAATAAACAAAAAAGGGGGAAATTTACTAAAAAGAGAAAACAAAAACAAGGAAATACAAATCTAGGCCCAAGTGAATGTCACGTGTTAAATCGGAAGTACAAGGCTGAATGTTTGACCTGTCCATAATATCAGACATATTGTCTCTCACGTTATTGACATGAAATAGAGATTTTAATTTAAGACTATTTTAATAGGAGCTTTGATGTGACACAAAATCCACTTTACTCACTTAAAAAAAATAAACAAAATTTCAAATTTACCTGAGTGACTAATTAAGTTTTATTAGAGAAAAATATGTTTCTATGAGGATATTTCCCTTTTACAGTATAATTTATATATTAGTGTTTACCATATTGTGCCTAAATGTAGAGCTTGCCAAATTACCAAAGACAGAACTTTTATTACGTAGGTTCTTTATTGCATATATTGAGTGCTTATTTGATTTTCTCAGTGTTGAATAGCTATAACTGTTTTGTTTCTTGAGGTTTTTGAGCATAACATAGCTGGGCATATCCTTTCTGGGCCTCCTCGAGGCTTTTCCTGTTATTCCTAAAAGAACAAAAATAAGTCAAGCCTAGAGAAGTCATTTCTCCAAGAGCAGACAGAAAGGCTGAGTAGTATATATTTTTTATTATTATTTTTGGCTATTATGAAGAATAAACTCCAAATACTGGTCTTTACTTAATCCTTGTTTAATAAAGAGCATCCACAATAACTTAAATTTGACAGTAGGATCATTATTTTTTTAATGTTTACCAAATTACATTTTAAAAAGCTCTTTATTGTGTCTCAGGAAAACATACTTCACATAGGTTAAACTCTACATAACAACTTAGTTCACATTCAGACACCCGTCCATCCTTTCCTGATAACACTACAGGCCCATAAATGATAGTTTTCTGCCTTCCAGGTCTCTCTTTCCCTGCCTGAAGTAGCCCCCCAACATTAGCGGCCTACAGTATTCTCCATGTTTTGATGTTATGGGCGCGAGCCGGAGGTCAGGGTCGCAGTGTTGCAGCGCGCGGCGACAAGCAGAGCAAAAAAGGGTCGCTGTCTCGCGCTTTGTTCCGCACTCAATTGTCTCGGGGGGCTGCGCGTGAACCCTGAGACCCGCAGCTGTCTGGAAGACAGAGGCGAGAGAGGAAAGAGGGAGAAGTTTGATATCGAATAAAAGGGTAAAAATGGCCGATATAGATCTGATTAAAAGGCTTGTTTCAAAGGTGACGGAGTGTTTGGTCCTGCCGGGTGGATTTTTCAGCGAACTCGGTCTTTTATTTAGACAGAGAGCTGAAAGAAGGTGGCCTTGCTTCCACCGTTTAACCTTCATAGTAGGCTACACCAAACATGACTTCCCCCACTTTTATCTACATTTATGTTTTGGTCTCCAGTGCAACCAGAGTTATGTGAAAGTGAATCAACAGCCAAACATTTTTGTTTGTATTCTGGATAAAAAAAATCTTAACGTTCGCCTATTTTTGGATTACCTCGAGCAAAAATTGAATCGTGACTGACAACATTCATGTTAGAATATTTGACACAGAAAAAAATCCCCTTCATCCCTGAGACGTAATCGATACATCCTGTATTGATTTTCTCATAGGCTAAACATCTTTTGTTCTTTTCACCCCCTTTAACTACTAAATGTTGTTTTTAAACCCCCCGATTTAACATATAGATGATATATATTGCCAGTATTAGTGATTAATCAACATGTGAACTGCATGGAAAGGAAGAACTGTGTCTTATTTGACTTTTTTCTCATTGGTTTATATTGAATCAAACTGACTGTGGTTAAGGGTTGGTGTTGTTTAACTTGGATGACTGTCTTCTGTGAAACGTTGTCCTCCGAGTGAGCCAACGGGAGAGAGAGCGCACATGTTCAGGAAATGCTGCCTGTCGTTGTTCCGCCACGTAACAAAGTTCTCGACGAGAACAGAGCAAATCGGCGAATGTCAGCTTGAGTGGGAATTTCCAGTTGGCAAATTAAATATTACAATATTAAAATGAAATGTTACGCGTTCACAGGTGTGTGTCAGCGAACAATGAGAGCCGAGAACCGGAACTATCCATTTTGTCACAAATACTTTGCGCAGAAGAAGGAGAGAGGAGAGGCACTCACTCTCCAACAGCAGAGGAGTGAGAGTAAAGTTGTGGCGCAGGGTACTGCATCTGCTGCACATCCACCGTGCGTAATGTGTAAGGACCGCCGTGCGTAACAGGTGTACACTCACAAAGGAGGAGAGAAGTTTGGAGAAAGTCTCTCAAAGGCTCTTTTAGAGGTGCCTGAAGGGACACAGGACGTCAAAGCTCCGAACAAGCAACTTTTCCTTGTTTATCCCCAAAAAACCGCAGACCCACACCGGCATTACGCACATAAATAAATGTTAACTGCATTTACCGCCGTCCTGTGCCCCACAGAAAGTGAGTCAAACATGAAAAGGGAAAGAAAGGGAGAGGAAAAAGGAGAGAAGGAGGAGAATGGGACGGGGGCGGGAAAGTTTAGTAAAGTGGAACTTGGTAACAGATGCGAGTGAGGGGGGCGCGGCCCTGCAGGGAAGGGTGGGGATTGTATATAGTGTGTATGTACGCGTTATTCGTGCGTTGGCGGGTGCACGTCCATGAATTTGTGTGCGTAAGCTCATGCAGGAAAAGGACAGGGCATGAGCGCACATTGACAGAGCGGCTCTTTTTTACTCGGCGTGATCATTTCACGCTTCCCCCCGAAGCCCTTTTTCCACCTAAAGCGTTTAGTTGCAGCTGACTGAGCACTTGCAGGGAGTGCAGGAGGGAGCGGAAGGGTCGAATTATTTCAGCCTACAAGTCGCCCCAAAAATACTGTAGGAGGAAAGAAAAAAAGAGAGGGAGAGAGAGAGAAAGAAAGAAAGAGAGGGAGTAAGAGAGGGAGAGGTGGACACTGGAAAAAGTTTTTGTTTTCCTTTTTTTTCCTCCCGTCATCGCCTCCCCCTGTTCTAACCAGGCAACATGGATCAGAGGACCAAGAGTCCTGCGCTGCGGCTGGGAAGAGCAGGTAGGGTCACTTCGGTCCAGCTTCATCCACTTTAATAAATGTGCGATGAACGAGTGAATGGGTTTGGGTTTAACGTTTTGGCATTTATGTTTCTTTTTGTGTAGTTTTTGCTCGAGTGGAAAAGTTTTGCAAAGAACTCCTGAAAGTTTTTGAGTGAATGAAAGTTGATGGTGATGCTTCTTTCTGAGATTTGTGCCTGATGTCGACTTGTTGCAAAAGTTTTCTAAAGTTGTCTGGATGATGATGAAAAGTTCAACCTTGAGTTTGAACTTTTTAAGAGACTTATTTAAAAAAAGCATTTTTATCCTTTTAAGGTAAAGTTTGTATGACTTTGGTGAGTGCTTCAGTCAATTCTTTGTCACTGAAATCTCTCTGCCGTCCTGAACTCTTTGGAACAAATATGGTTGAAAAGTTTTTTATTCACTTTTCAGGGAGGTTGTTTAGTTTTGTTATTCGTTTTTAAATTTTATTTCAAAGCTTATTGTACTTTTTTCAGTAATTTTCCATTTCCCTTGCGCATTTGCTCAGAGTTTTAGAAGTGGCTGAACTTGCTGGTGTAACTTGGTACCATATTCGATTCACTTTATTCGTTTGTGCACCTATGACCACTGTGGGATTTTGCAAACCTGTGTCTTTTTGGATGTGTTACAGTACGCAACGTGTCCCAGCTCGGATAAATAAATATATATGCACATATTAATCTGTAAGGACTGTTTCTCTCAGAGGTCATGAGAGATGAGAGCTCATAGTTTGTGTATTGAAGTTGAATCTGTGTGGTGATTCGAGCCAAAGCATCTCTCTGAATGAGTCTGTGCTCGACTCCTTCCTCTGTGTCTGCATGACATTATTCAACAGGTTCGTCTGCTTTAGGCCTATTCATAAACCAGCGGGGTCTGGTACAGCAACGGATCAGGCCATCGACCTTGTTATGGCACCCAATGGATATCACATCATTTCATATCGCTGCCCGCTGCGTCTGCGCTGATAAAACACCGTTTGTCATTAGAGAAGGGAGGGCAGGTGATCCTCTCAGTGAAAATACTGATGCTGCCTGGTCCTAAACCAGAGTTATGCGTGTTTAAAACCGTGAGTGCATGCTGGATTTAGTCGTTTAAATTGTGTTTTACAGCACTGATAGAAGGAGTCCTGTATTACTTTAAGTCTAGCTCTGTGCCTCACAGTTGAACTCCATTCGCCTGTTCTTGGCCTCTAATAGAAATTGGTCACCAAAGAAAGCCCATGGCCTGTAAGACAGATAATGTCCTCTTTACAGTCTTTTGTGAAGTGAGCCTTACTCCTGATAAATGCTGAATACCATGAGATTTGTAGCAATTGGATAATAACCCCTTTAACCGCAGAGGATATCAGGGTGTAAGAGGAGGCCCTCCCCCTGTTGGCGCGTAAAGTCCTGAGGGCCTGAGGCCTTCACTTGCAGCCTCTCCATTTTACTCTCACTTTTATGATACGTGCTCCGGGTACAAAGGGGACTCCGTGAGAATGAACGTGGATCAAATCAGAGCCCCTCTCTTCCCGCCCTGTAGGTTGGTCGTGCGTAAAAGTGCGCAAAGGCCTGTCCTATTGAATAAGCAGGGTCACCATGTTATACGAGATGTGGATCAGAGGGCCGGTGTTAAATTATTTAAATAAAGAAAAAATAATAATCAGTCTAATTTTATTTTTCTAGTTCATTTTTTAATCGATTTTTAACATATTCTCCCCAAAATCGAAATTTGGATGCATCACACGTCCAGATTTCTACTGAGAGATACACCCTCATTCAACACTCTGCTTACACCTCATATATCTTAGTATATAGTTTGGATTTTTGGCATCATAGTTGTAGACTCCACATTTCAGCCTATGTTAAGTAAAGGCTAGTGAGCTTCCTGATGTTGCGTCAGTCCGCAGAGGGAGAGATTGAGGGTTGATGAGAGAAAGAGGGGAGGGAGGGAGAAAGAAAGGGAGAGAGAGAGAGATGACCTCATATGGCATATAGCCTACTTTCGTTTTGACCTGAGGTGCCCCATCGCAGCACAGGAAAAGCTCTGATGTTATGGCGAGCAGAGCCTTTTGCCCCCCCTGACAGATGACAGACCGATCTTTAACGCGTTATTATCGATACAAACGATAACAAATTGATCTATCCGATCGGGCCTGCGAATGAGGGAAGAAGCAGCAGCAGCAGCGATAAGGCCACTCGCTTTAGGAGGTCCAGCACGGTTCACTCCACAGCCTCCCATATATTTTATTCAATAGTTATTATGACTTTTTATATTTTATAAGCAAGTGTAAACTTAAGAAGAGATACGGCAGCTTTCTCATTATGTTTACAGTCAGCGGGCGTGTAATAAACGAGCTGGTGGAGTTAACATGCGCTATTAATTTTTCATTGCTTTTCCGTTTCGAGGCTCGCGCGCAAAAAAGCAAAACAGCCAAAGCTTTTTCATGGTGGATGGAGGGAAGGTAGAGGAAGAGGGAACACTTAGACAACAGCGATGCCTCCAAATTGCCTCCGAATGATTATCACAACTCAACCACATTCTTACTGATGTTTAAAAAAGTCAACGCACCCCTCTTCTTTTCCCTTCCCCTCCTCATTCCCTCCTAGCCTCCCATTTCCAAGGTAATGAAATATGGTAATGGATTTGGACCCCCGGATTAAAGTCATCCTACCCTAATGGAAGTTTCCTCCAAAATTTCAACCCTAAAGCAACAACAATTTGTATACATGATTGATTGTGTTTGGATTTTTTAATTGCTTATGTATTTAATTTGCAAATCGAGGAGACAAGGGCGACAACTGCAATTTACTTCTGTGGGAAAGAGAAGCGTTGGTGTCTGAATCTTAATAAATAAAAAAAAACAGACTCGGGCTGCAAAGAGAGAACGAGCATGATTAGGATGATTTATCTCCCCAAAGAGTTTCCTAAATGTGATATCTTTGTTTTGTGTGTTTTTCATAGTGATGCCACGATTTAAGACAGCAAGGGTCAAGTTGGGCACCCTGCTCCACCAGTCCAAAATATTATTTTAGTTTTGTTTATGTGGATTAGAAAAAAATAATATGAGGATATAGAATTCATATGCACTTTAACGTGGGTATAAAAAGTAAATATCCTTATATTTCCCTGTTAAGTAGTGCCATTGTACACAAATCCTGTGTCCCTCTATCCGTTTCATAAATGGTCTAAATTTCTAAATTTGAGGCCCTGGCTTTGATTCATAACGTAGGCCTTCTTCTTTTTAAGAAAAACATCTAAATTGAACTCTCAGCTTTGTGAGAATAAGGAGAGTCAATGTCAGATTCAGATTCGTGCAGAGGCCCTGGTTTGGAAACAGATGTGAAATATGATTGAGGATTATCGTGCATGTGTCGAGGTGTGCTTTACTATCAGTAGATTAAAGAGAAAAGAACCAATAAATATTATAAAATCTTACACACTTGAGATAGAAAGAAGAAGTTCAGAGGTAAAAAAGAAAAAATCCCAGAGTTGATTTCTGAAGGTGTCTCCTAAAGGCCCTGCTGCTGCTGCTGCTGCTGCTGCTGCTGCTGCTCACATTTTGGTCTGTTTCTATAGCTGTCTGTAGAAAACTCTACAGACTACAATAGTGTTGATTATTAAGTTCCTGTATGTCTTTGCGCGTGTATACAGCTGTGTGCATGCTCGTGCGCGTACAGACAGGCTCGTTGCCCACAGCCAAACGCCCCCTCGTGGCTGTTCTTGTCAAAAGTTCCACCTTGAGACCCTTTCGACAAAGAGCCAAACCTAAAAAGATCCCTCAAATATAAAAAACCGTCAAATCCTCCCTCCACACACTGTTTACGAGCTGACAACACTGACTGAAATAAGGAGTTGTTTTTTTATGAGAACATCCTGAGTGTTTGGGAGAAGTCCAGTCCACTCTGGAGGCAAGAAACCAATAATTCAAAGCGAAAATTCCTCATTTAAAAAAATCTGAAATTAAATAAACTCAATAATATCATACATTGACCTTTACAGGATCAGATGCATTGCCCTAAGGCGTTTAAAAACCTATAAGTCCTCTGAGGACGAACCAGAAAAGTCCACAAGAAGCCTGAAAATCTTGTTTTTATTGTGTTTCTGTTGTGCGTAATGGTTCGATTATTAACCATCCCGCTGCATGCATGCTCTGTTGTATCTTGTATGAGTGCTTTACAGGCTCTGATCGCATGATATGTGTGAAATGTAAGTGTTTAATGCTCTCTGTATAAACACTGTGGATCTGAAATGATTAAATGTCCAGAAAGAGGAAGAAGGGAAATAACACTCTTTAATTTGGCTCATGCTTTAGGCTATTTGTGTGTTTAATATTACAGGGGCAAGGCTCAGATATGCTCTCTGAAATCAGGTGGGACGAACATGGAATGAATCTCTCTCTCTCTCTCTCTCTCTCTCTCTCTCTCTCTCTCTCTCTCTCTCTCTCTCTCTCTCTCTCTCTCTCTCTCTCTCTCTCTCTAAGTTTAAATGCGGAGCTCACCAATTGCATTTCATTAAACAGCACGTCTGTTTGAATCCGCAATCAATTAGATAATGAGTGGAAATACATGTTTCATGTGTTTTTTTTCCCTTGATTCAGCCCAAAGCAGAGGATTTATAACAATGTGATGAAGGAGAGGTAACTGTTTTCATAACCCTCCATTTTGTGAGGTTATTAAAATGAATGGAAAGCTTCCGGTCATTTAGGGAAGTTCTCTCTATAAGGAAAGAGTCTCTCAATTGTTGAGTCGAACAATTTATTTTAACCCCTTTAAGTTTTGAACAAATGCTCTTCAAGTTCGCTTGGTTATTAGCTTTGCAGCCATAATACTCGATCAATTAGCCTTTTAATATTGACATGAACAAATTGAGCGCAAATGGATATAAAGGCATTAAGTTTCTTTCTTCGTTAATTGAAATTAAACATATCATCGGACTCCCTCAGCCCCTGCGTCGCCTCACCTCGCTCCCCTCATTGGTCGACGTCCAATACATGCGGGGCGTCATTGGCCCACGGGATTCGCACCAGCCAATCAGCGAACGCCTCCGCTCGAGTCTATCAGGGGGTTGGCGATGACGCGAGGGCAGCGCTCGCGTTGTGATTGGCTGGCTCCGCTGAGAGTGACGGGCAGCTGGCCGGCGCGTGTAGGTTAGGGTTCCAGGGGTTTGGAAGCGCGGGCGCTGTCCGCACGAGAGCTGGTCCTGAAACGCCGCGTGCGCCAACGTGGACGCTGGAGGGGCGCAGGTAGACAGTATCCGTGTGTTTTTTTTAAAGAAAGCCCGTTTTAATGTCCACATTTAGGTTAATTTCTGGCGTTTCTTGGCTCGAGCGCGGTGAAAAGTGCCCTCGAGCAGGACTGTTTTTGAGCGCGAGGAGTCTTCAAACTCAGACGTATAAACCCGGGAGTCCAGCAGCTCCGCTCGTGCAGTGAGTCCCGGTCCACAAAGAGGGCACGAGAGAGACAAACAGGACAACAACTCTCCCCCCTGCAGACACGGCAGCACACTTTACATCCTATTTCTGAGTCTTTTTCTTCAGATTTTGTTCGTTTCGTTTGTTGTTTTTTTGGTTCTGGATATGAGACTTCAAGATGTGAGCCTTCCTCTGCTCTTCATGGAGATTATTACCAAGTGTTAATCCAAAAAAAACAAACAGCTGCTGAGGACCTGAAGAAATGTGCTGCACAGACCCCCGAAGACAAATTCTGTGGATCTCTAAAGATCATTTTTAAGACTGTTTTTTTTTTTTTTTTTTTAACATCTTAAGCTCAGCCCCCCACCGGTGAAATCGCAGTTCAGGGGTCACGGCCAGCGGACCGAGAAGGAGAGGAAAAAGGAGGGAGTGAGGACACTTTTTTGGCTCCTTATATTTTACTCTTTTTTTTGGTGTTTTTTTGAATGAGTTTTGGTGGGACTGAGGTGAGAGGAGCAGCTGAAGGAATGAGCTCTGTTTCCCTCCTCTGGTTTTGGGGACATGAGCAGAGCCCCGATGTGGTGTCCCGTCCCCATGAGGAGGGAGCCTGTCTCTGATTCTTCTCATTTTTGACGCCATTTCTTTCTTTCTTCTCCCCCACCTGATAAAACTAACATTTTTGTATTTTTTTATACATCTATTTTTTGTCAAAGTGAAACATCTCATTTTTTTAATTACGCACGAAAACTTAGACCCTCTCTTTGTAAGGGCACTGGCTCATTTTCTCATTTTTTGGAGCTCACGGTCTGTGGGTAAAGTGGTCCGTGGCGTTTTGAAGTCCCCACTCATACTGTGACTATCGGGGGCCTCCAGCCCCACCGTAGTGATGGAGATTCACTGCAAACACGACCCGTTCGCTGCCATGCACAGTAAGTTGACATGTTTATAATTCCGAAACTATCCATCTGAAATATCCTCACACACATTATCGAGGCTGGAATAGGAACAACAGAGAACAAATATACGATATTTTAAGTATTTCCAGCTGCAAAAATACCTTCACTTTGTGTGGACCAGTCGTCATTTTGACCTTTTTTAACGACACAACACATGAAAACCTGCAGAATAGGCGAATATTTAGACTCCTTGTGAACCGGATTGTAACACTGTTATCACATTATATTTTTATTGAATGGTTGATATGTACTCTATTTTTTATTATGCCAAAATAGCGCAGGTTACACTTTAGACAACTTGTGCGTTCAATTCATTTCCCCCTATTTCTCCCCATTTTGTGCGAAATTTCGTGGATGTCTCCGCGCGGGGTTGATATTTTTTGTAGTGTTTTGAATGAGGCAGAAGTTTTCACACATTTTTTCCCCCGATTTATTTTGCATCTGTCTTGTAGTATTTTTGCAAACGACGAGGAGCTGAAGGGAGTTACTTAAATGTGAAATGCGGTTTGTTGTAATGTGGGTACGGTTTGAGGAGGAGGAGGAGGAGGGGTGCAGAGGAGAGAAGGAGAGGGTAACAAAGCATGACTAAAAGCTGGACTTGATCCTTTAACAGCAACAGTGCTTTTGGTTACATGGACACTCTTGTATAATAAAAAAAAAACAACAACGAGGAGGAGGTGAGACTGTGTTGACCTCTTGAAGGAGCTCCAGGTCAGGCTGGTCCAGTCGCTCTCTTCTTGCTCAAGGGTATTTCTGCAGAGCAAAGGTTCTCTTCTTGTTCAGTCAGTCGTGACATGGCTGGCCCTGCTTTGTTTTTTAATGCTAACTTTGCTTCTCCGTGAACAGAAGAAAACTCCTTTCACATTTTAAAAAAAGTTACACGGGCTTAGGGAGTGTAAATATCAGAAAAAAAAACACAGACAATGCCTCCCTCTAAAAATACAAGTTAAAGCAACAGACAGAAGGGGGTTGTTGCTTATGCGTAAAAATTTGGAGATGAATTTATCCTGAAGCATATCAGCAAAAACGCTTTTTAAGAAGCTTTTTATTTTTGACAAAGGCTGAAAATCAATGAAAATAGTCAAAAAAAAAAGTGGATTTGACCGGATAAAACGCGTAAAAGGCCTTCACTGCTGTTAACTCTGAGATCAACCGTGCTCTGTGACTGACACAGGTTCCCACGGTGCGTTTTCTTGCTGGACTCTAAAGAGAACACACACACACACACACACACACACACACACACACACACACACACACACACACACACACACACACACACACACACACACACGCCTAAAATAAGGAAATTTCTTGAACGAATCCCGTTTCCTCTTTTGTCATGCAGCTCGACCAAAGTCAGTGATCCGCGCTGCTGCCGGTAAAGAGCGCAGCTGAAGTTATATATGTCAGAGCCCTGAGACGCTTTAAAACGATTACACCCAAGAATGTCAGAGAGAGAGAGAGAGAGAGAGAGAGAGAGAGAGAGAGAGAGAGAGAGAGAGAGAGGTAGTTAGGCGAATAAGTGTAGTTAGGCGAATAAGTGTGGATGTGCCTCAGTGTGTGTGTGTGTGTGTGTGTGTGTGTGTGTGTGTGTGTGTGTGTGTGTGTGTGTGTGTGTGTGTAGTAGTAGTAACTCTTCAGTGCATCTAAGTTCACAACATCTGCCGTGTTTGTCGTGTATGTGTGTTTGACAGTGGTTTATATTTCATGTTATTTAAGTTTTCTCACTCTGACCCTGTGTAGTGTTCACAAGTCCAATGTCCAATACTGCTGTTATGATTTTACACCATTATACCATCTCTATTTTTTTATTATGCTAAACTTATTACATCTTTCTCTTCACATAAGAACCAGAATTGTGGAAAAATAGCTCACAGGCCGGAGCTGCTCCTCTATGATTTAACAGCTTCTTTTTTTTGCACCATCAGCAACAATATGCAGCTTGGGTATATATGGCAGTGATGCTTTGAAACATCTAAAGCAGATAATTGTGATGATAATAAGCTGAATTTCATGATCACATATTGAAATGGTAATGGCAGCGTGCTGAATTTAAAGCAGGCAAGGCTGTGGCCTACCTTTTGGAGATGTATAAAGCCTACCCTAAAGAAAAGAGGTCTGAAAAAAAAAACACAAGACTGCAGGTCAAAATAAGTCAATGATATATTAGATTAGCATGGAAAGGAACATGTTCAAGTCAAACCTGCCCATTAAAAAAAAAAACAGAAATGATGGAAAAGTAGCACAGACATATATTAACATATAAGTTATTGAAGTTTTTCTCTTCCACTAGTTAATCTGAAGAATTCATGTGGCTTTGGTTAAAACATGACAATACCATTTAACATTCTTGCTAAGATAAGTCACCTTATTTAAAGAGAAAGAAAAAAATAACAGTCCACGTCCACGCTCGCCTTTCTTTCCTGGCACATCTCTCACATCTCCTCACTTGTTTGCTCAGGAAATGTGCTTCATCTGTATTCTCGCGGGCAACTTCCCAAACAGGTTCTCCGCCAAAAGTCATTTCTACCTCCCCCCTTTTCTTTTCCTCCTCCATGAGAGAGAGAGAAGAGAGAAAAGGACAACCAGTGGCGTTGTTTTGTGATTTTTCTTGCGCTTTTATTTTTGAGTCGTCAGGCCGTGACGAGGCAGATGAGAGATGAAGAAGTGAGAAAAAGAGAGAGAGAGAGACAGACAGAGGGATGGTAGCAGGAAAAAGAGACACAGCTCTAATGGACCTTATTTTCTGGATGGGGGAGCTCGAATATATTCTGCTTTATCGCTTTATTTTTTTTCCTCCTGGAAACAGTGAATCAATCAAACATTTAAGGAGGTACAGAGCTTTAAAGTCTGCTCCTATAAAAGGTAAATAAATAAAATACTACAGGGATGCATAATGACCCCTGCTCTCTGTGCTGTCACTCTCTCTGTCCCCTCTCTGATTCTGAGTCTCCAGGATGAAAATGAAGCTGCTGCATGTGCCAACAGTTTTTTTTTTTATCTGCCTCTGGAGACTGTAGCTTCTGTTTTTTGACCCTTAATTTGGCAAAATCTTTGGATCTCATTTGCAACAAAACCTCCCTGAGCCAACACTGATTGAATTTCTGGGAGCAAGTGGTTAATTTGTTTGGTCAGTGTGATGAATGACTGGACCTCTGTCCCTAAACTCACACAGCTGTGACAGAACATCGCTCCTGAATACTTCATTCAGGTTTTTCCATCAAGAAATGGGATGGATTCTTTCAAAAAAAAAAATGCAAGGCAATTTTGTGGGTATTTTCCTTTTATAATGATAAAATCTGCAAGATCAAATTTACCCCCAAAACATGGAATAAAGTCTTAAAAATGCAACTCATATAACATATTCAGAAAATAATGCGACAGCAGCCGATAAACAAATGCCTTCGTAGAATGTGTAAGTTATTGCCGTTGTGCCTATCAGTATTTATGGGCTGGGAAAATAAATTTTAAACACATAATCCCCATAAAACCGTCCCCAAGAATGGTTAGAGTGTGAACGCCTAATGCCAACAGTAAATACACAGATAAGTGAATAAATAGTTATCTTGAGGTTTTTGTAGGTCACAAGTCATTCCTTCCCATCTCTTTACAAAGCAAGGCATATTTCATGCCCCGGCCCAGATAGGAGAGGTGAAAGGAACCATTTCATTTACTCTTATCTGAGGAAGAGGGGAGAGAGAGAGAGAGAGAGAGAGGGAGGGAGAGAGAGGGAAGGGAAAGAGTCCTCTCTGCAGATACCTGTGCTGAGGAGGACGTGGGTTTCTATAAACAACCCTGCGAAAACGCTGTCTTTTATTTACCGAGAGGTTTCGGGACGTAATAATAGAAAGAGGAGGAAGCACCTAGGCTGTGACACAAAACATTCCCAGAGAGCCACAGAGTGTGTGTGGAGGACCTGGATTTGGCCATCTAGGTCAGCAGAGTCCTTCCTGCTTTGAATGTCTGAAAACAGCTCTATTGACAGAATTTGTCATTAAACTCAGAGGAATAAATCGAGAAAAAACAACAATGTTGGACTTTTTAAATTAAAGAGAGAAAATGCATATACAGGTAGAAATGATAGTAAGATTAGAGAACAAGACCTGAACTACATTCCATCTTTCTTTCTACCTCTCAGCTTGTTAAAACCTGCACATGTCACTCAGCATATTGGGGGGAAAATAATAAAACAACTCTTAACAGTGATAAGTCGTGATTCTCCGAACCTCCAGTGATCTATCAAAAGAGGACATTCAAGACTCTTTATGACAAACTCAGATTTTGGGCTGAAAATGAAAGTGACCTAGCTTTCTACTCTGCAGGTGTAGCTGCCCAGAAGCAGCATCTACCTGCATCAAAATGCAGCTACAGGCAAGTCAAGAAATAATCATAAAATCTCAGTTTTATTGTTAATACACTGAAAAAGCAGAAATTGGTTGAATGCATGACCCAGATCTTTCAATCGTATGGATGCATGAGAGGTAACACCTACTATGAATGGAGAATTTGCTTTCTGCTGAAACGGTTTGTTTGCCCTCTGTGTTCAGAGATAACTAAGTCTGATTATTCTGCATTCTAGTCCATCAACAGGGCGTGCTCTAATATATATATATTTTTTTGAATGAGGTGGCATGAAGTATATATGAGAGTGCAAACGCTGATTATATCCACTTAAACTACAACTAGAGATGCAGTTTCTAAGTACCCTCTGTCATCAGTCTATAGAAATGGTTACGATCGATTACCAACGGCTCATTTAGACTAAAGACATTTTTTCTCAACAAAAACAATACTCAGTGCAGTTTCCCATCAATCATTCAGCTTCCACAATAACATAAATGCATTTGATTGACCTTATTGCAGAACCACAGATCTTGAAAGTTGCCTCACATGCTGAGTATCAACATGCAGAGCAGGTAAAAAAATGTGCATAGATCAAGGCTCATTTTTTCTTACTACAATAAGAGAGCCAAGCAGAAAAATGTGCCCAGTTTTCACCAGGTCACAAGTTTGTTGTGCAACTGAGTCACAACCAGCCCAGTGGCAGAAAAGGCAGCACACAAGTATGCAGAGATACAGACTTTCCACCAGTCTGTCAGTTTTGAATCCTAAGATGATGGAGTAATGTCCTGTAAAAAAAAGGAAAAAAAAACTTCTCAGCCTCCTGTGTCTGTGTCTGTGTCTGTGTCTGTGTCTGTGTCTGTGTCTGTGTCTGTGTCTGTGTCTGTGTCTGTGTCCGTGTCCATGCCTGTTGTGAATTCCTCTCAGAAAAGAAGAGCCATCAGAGAGACTTGGCGCATGGCTGCCTCCCCCAGCTGAGAGTCTCTGCTGGCCGCCTCACCTTTGGCTTGATGGTTCTCATTAAAACATGCTTTCAAATTAAAACACCGGCCTGACAGCTGAGTGTAATATGAGTCCACATGTTATTTATCAGTACCCTGATGAACACTGAAAGAGAGAAATGCGTGTCTGAGCATGTTCTCAGTAATCAATTATGATAAAGATGTTTGAAGTATTTGTCCACCATTTAAAGAAATATCAGCAGGATTCAAATGTAAATAAAACTTGAAACAAAAAGTTTATTTTTACTCAGGTCCCGCCTCTTATACAGCAAATAGCCAATCATAAAAGAGTATTTCTCACATCAGATCAGAACAATGTCCAGCTCTGCAGTTATACAGTTGATTCCCTGGTTGTTGCAATCATGAACTGGATGAGATTTAGTGTTGCATAAAGCTGAATTTAGTGACTTCTTCTGCTCCTCAAATACTGACTGCTCAGCTGCCTTATTGCAAAAGTGCATGAAAGAGACCCTGCGAACTGTTGTTGTCTGTTTGTAGCTTTCAAATCCGAAAAGAGGTCACGTCATTGTGAGCCTCCTCCAGAGAGTCAAAAAAAAAAAGAGAGAGATGTGCAAAAATACCAGCGTTTTATCACATCCACAATTGTTGTTTTGACTGAGTCCATTTGCAGAGAAATTCACGATGATTTTGTTGTGGCTTTTGTGGGAGTTGTCTGTTTAAGTTTGTGGTTCGTTCAGCCTCTGGTGTGGACTCTGTCTTTAAACTGAAATCTTTCGTTAAGGGTTAAATCTAACATCTCCGTAATTCTGCTTTTTTTTTACAATTAAAAAAATGAAAGTAGTGAGAAAGACAACTGTTCAAATCAGCTGTTTGAAAATGATGTTTAATTTCACAGAATAAGACTCTCTGTATACCTCTCATTTCTGTATTTATTCCTCCTTCTTGTGTGTGGATCTGTTCGAGCTTTATTTGTGTGTTTGTGTGTGTGTGTCTTTATTTCACGCTGGTGGAGGAAAAGACGAGAACAGGACGACAGGTTCAGAGGACAGCTTTGTGTTTGAGGGGGTATCCCTGCTGGGGAAATGTGTTTAAAATCTATTACCCCCACAGCTAGGATTAGCGTGTGTTATTGTGTGTGAGTGTGTGTGCATGTGTGTTTCCCCTAAAGACGTAATCACTATGGTAATACAAAAGCCGATGGATTATGTGTAGAAAAAAAAATCTGGTTAATTTATAGTCTGTCTTTGGTGAGATATGTACATGTACAGTAAATACAGACACAGCTGCATGAGAGAGAGTGTTCCCCAAACTCCTCCTACTTTCACTTCCTCTCTCTCTCTCTCATACATACTGTACCGTCAGCCTCCACCGCTCATTATATAGCTGTAAGCAGTTGTTTTTACTGTCATCTCAGAAGGTGAGGCGCCTGCATGTTTTCTGACCTGGCTCAGTCGGCTTGTGTCTCTGGGTAGATCTGTTGCAAAGGTGTAGTAAGTGTTTCTTACTCGAGTACAAAACAATGAGCTTCAGAATTAGCGAACTGAGAAAATGAACCAACAACAAGTTGATGAATCCATGATTTGTTTTCGCCCTTTTTTAAAGCTTCAGTGGTTCTCTGGTTTCAGCTTTTTTCGATGTGTCTTTTCTAAGTGTTAACTGAATTTATAGAAACTCCACCTCAGGATCTTTTAACTTGATAAATGCAAAACTGTATTTCTCTACATCTTACTCGGGCATTTTTTGGCTCGGCCATTTCACACTAATTCCTCTTCTTCTGCTGACCTGTTGCTGCTGCAGCTGTTGTGTAAAAATCCGTCAATCAAAAAAGGAAGTTTGAATAAGCATGCACCTTTAGTTTTAATCCCAGTTGTTACAGATCAGGGGATTAAAACAAGTATAAAGAAAACACCCCATACACAGAATTATGCAGAGGCTCAGCTTGCCTTCTGTACTTGTGCATACGAAGCTGTAATTTATTTCCCCGTATACTTTCATCCCCCAGGGGGAATATTAGTGGCATATCTACAGTCAGGGGTGAGGCCCAAGCCTTGGTTAATAATTAATTGAAATCCCTTCATTTGCTTCAGATCTTGACTCACTCTGTTCAGGGTGGAAATTGTCCAAGTTTGCACTTTCAAGTAGTCTTAACTGGTTAGTGAAATCAGTGACAGCAGAAAAGTCTGATATAATTGTGGTTGTGAACCGACTCAAACAAACACTGTGGAGTCCAGGTTTGGAAATGTAATATTTCTCAACTAAACACTCAAAGAATAATTTAAAAACGGGCGCTGAAAGAAATTTAAGGAGCTAAACGAAAAGAATTTGTTGTACGTAGAGTTGAAATGTTGTGTGTTGGTCATGTTTGAGGAGATTTTAAATTTTCACACAGACTGCAGCTCCTCAAGAATCAACAGTGTTGTTATCCAAACAGGTTTGAAGAGGGGTGGAACCAAGTGTGCGTTCATGTGGAGGTTGATTTTGTGCTGCCCAGGTCTCCTCTTAGGTCGTCTTATTCTGTCAGATTTGAACAGGGTCTTATTTGATGTAAGATGAGATCACCTGGAGTGAATAAGGAGGATTTTAGCAGATTTCATTAAGGCACTGGTGACTTCATATTTGTTGCTCAGTGTCAGATTCACCTCTCACTCATTTGAATAAGTTCATCTTTGCTCCATTTGAATCGCTCAGTGTCTCGATTTTGGCAGCTGTAACATCTTCTCTTCCTCCCTGACTCATCCTTGACCTCTTTTTCTCCCTCTCGTAGGACATGGCGGCGTGAACCAGCTCGGAGGTGTGTTTGTAAACGGCAGGCCCCTCCCAGATGTTGTGCGGCAGCGAATAGTAGAACTCGCCCACCAAGGGGTTCGGCCTTGCGACATCTCACGGCAGCTAAGAGTCAGCCATGGATGTGTCAGCAAGATACTGGGCAGGTAAACGGCACACAAACACATCAAGAAAGGACAGCAAGAAAACACCACCGGGTTCAGATATTTTCTGCTGGTTTCAGTGGCGAAGCGTGTGTCAAATTAAACTCTTATAAGCCCATTAAATGTCCATCTTGCCACTTTTTCTATTTTCTCTTCATGCTCAAGCTGTATTTCCTCTGCTGTCTGCCTTAATTTTCTCTTGCTTCCACTCTCTCTCTCTCTCTCATTTTTTTTTCCTGGTTGCCTTTTTCACCTTCTTTTGCCTCCACTGTATGTTGAATTTCTCATTTGATGAGGGGAAGGACCGAATATTTTTGTCTTTCCTTACTTCCCCGTTTCTCTTTCTCCCTCTCTTTTCCATCCCTCTCTGTCTTTTCAAAGCTAAAATTCAAGAGTAAATCCCTGCTCGTTCCATCCCCTGGAGAAGAAAGGGGCACAAAAGGGAAAAGATTCATCACTTTTTGGAATTAGCATCAAAATGAAAGTGGCACCATATTTCTGCACGCCTAAAAAAAAAAAAAAAAAAGGAGAAAAAAAAGACAGACAGAGGGAATATGGAAAATGGGAGAAAGACAAGAAGAAGGAACACAATCAAAAGGGAAACGGCATGTTAAAGAAGAAGAAGGAGAAGAGTGCAGGAAAAAGAATGAGAGACAGAGAGACCATTTGAGGGGACAGAGGGGAAGGATTAGCCACAGCGACCCTCAGCTATATCAAAAAATGTGTTGCTCATTGTTCTCCCTCTGCCTCCCTCTCTCTCTCTCTGTCTTCCTCTCTCTAGCTCTCTCTCTCTCCCCCTGTCCTGGCCGTTCAACTCACTCAAGCGTTACCATGCGGGGGGGAAGGAGAGGGGATCGAGGGATGGAAGGAGGGAGGGAGGGAGGGAGGGAGGGAGGGAGGGTTGTTTTATCCTCTCTTCTCTGTCTCAGTGGTGCCAGCAGAACAAAAACACCAACTCTACCACTCTGTGTGTGTGTGTGTGTGTGTGTGTGTGTGTGTGTGTGTGTGTGTGTGATGTGAGTGTGTGTGTGTGTGTGTTTTGGCTCATTGTTGCGTGGATATCAATAACCATGCTCGTTTATTCATCCAATGATTCAGCTGTGAATAATTTAAATAGTTTTCCATCTGAAAATAGATTGTTTTTCCTTTAGCTGTGTTTGGACTCCAGCTGTGAAAATCCCAAAAAACTGCAGCACACCTAAACAGGCGCACACACACACACACACACACACACACACACACACACACACTCACACTCACACAATAAGAAAGACAAGGAAATGCACATTTACAGGAGCACATCTTCACGGAAGGGATTAGTCTTTCGTACAGCGGTGGAAGGAGACAGAGAGACAAACAGAGAGAGAGAGAGAGAGAGAGAGAGAGAGAGAGAGAGAGAGAGAGTGTGTGAGAGAGAGAGAGAGAGAGAGAGAGAGAGAGAGAGAGAGAGAGAGAGAGCAGCAGGTTTAAGACTGACTGACAGCTTGCATCCACACAGCATCCCCCCCTTCTCTGCGAGCTGTGGAGCGCATTTGCTGTCCTCCCACCCCCCTGCCCCCCCCATGCCCCTTCTGCATGCAAATACATTCATGAAATAGCCATGGTGGACATAAAACGCCTGAATCTGTGTGTGTGTGTGTGTGTGTGTGTGTGTGTGTGTGTGTGTGTGTGTATCACTGCCACCCTCTTCTTACCTCTGTGTCACAATGTGGAAGAAAAACAACAGCTCGTAGCCCCACAGTCAGGCATCATGAATATTTGTCAGGCGTCACATTTAGTTACAGAGATTAGGGCTGGGCGATAAACCGAAAATATACAGATACAGAAATTTAAGACCATAACCGACGTCATTTTGCCCACGTCAATATTCGGTGTCAAAAATAAATAAGTAAATGTTGGTTTTGGATGTGTGTAGGTAGGCTATGGTCTCATGTCCCTTTAAGACGCTGTCCTACGTCGTAGACGTGACTCCACCCCATCCAATCGTAACACAGAGGCAAAGACAGGTGAGGAGATGGAGGACAGTTCAAAAGTTGTAGCAGCTGAGGTTGACAAAGTTAATGTGGGAGGGGGTGAGCAGCTTGTGGAGTAGTTATCGTCCATTTATCGTTATCGAGGTGAACTGATCAATATATCATGATATTGATTTGAGGCCATATCACCCAGCCCTCATTGAGATGATGCTGTTGTCTGTTGTTTTTATTCTCTAAACTGCAGTTTTTCAACCTACAGGGTAAAACCATAAGCTGTCACTTACAGGGACCGACAGTAAGAACATCAACAACCCAGAATTACCTTTTTAAACTTCATATGAAAGTAAGGATCATTTTAAGACAGAACTGAATAAATGGGATCGTACCAATCCTGACAGGACAGGATCAGTTTATCCAGATCAGGTATGACTGGAAAAGGCAGGACTGCACAGGCCAACGGGGAGGTTAAGTTTCAGTGTGAAGGTCATTTCTTCACCGACACGCCAGGAGGGGAGAGATTCAAGATAGAGTGGGCTAAAGCACAAGGGAGGGGGTGGATGACATGGACAGTTCGTTGGTGTATGCTCGTGTTTTGTCGCCCAGTTTCAAGTTGCTGGCTTTAGGGACGAGGTTTTAACGAATTTTAATGAATAAATGTAACCGTACCTTTCTTTACCCTAGATAATGAAGTGTTTCACAATAACAAAAAGATGGAAGCAATGTGGAAAAGATTAAAAACAGAAGTAAAATACGAATGAAGTAATGACATGTAGGTGATATTTTCAGTTTTGTGACTCAATAACAAATAACTCACTTTAGAAGAGAAGGGGTCATTAGTACAGAGCCACTAACAACTGTTGATGATACGATGTGGTAAAGATGTGTGTGAGCCATATCCCCTCAAAAATGGTGTCTAATTTAAGTGGTAACAGCTTCAATAAAGGTTTGTCCACACATACAACAAGCTTAAACAGGTTTTTCAAAGACGGAAAGATTAAAAATGAGTAGCAGGTCTGCCTCTCAGAACAAAACTGTAAGAAGATTTCAAAGGAGAGAGGTCTGAAAAAGTGAAGCCCCCAAACGACTTTTTTAAAGACCTGATTCAGTCCTGAATTTTGGGAGCACAATTTTCTGAGAGTGAAAGTGGTGCACTATGAGCTCTTTCAAAAATGATGATCCCCGAATGTTTTGTATGTCCTGTTTGATGAATGTGCTCTTTTTGAGACACACAGTTTCCTACCTGTCTTCCCCTGAAAGGCACATAGAAAGGAAATGACATAGACTAGTTTTCCTGCATCTTCTGAGTTGTGTTTACAATGTCACCGAACTTGCTCTACACGTTTGTGTGTATCTTTCATTTTAATTCAGATCTAGAAAAGACAACATCACCAGGTTTAACTGCCAACTGTTTTATTTCCACTCTTTGCTCAAACATTTACGTGCCTTTTCTATATGACCCACACAAGCCTCCTCTTTGATCTGCAGGTACTATGAAACAGGCAGTATCCGTCCCGGGGTGATCGGGGGATCCAAACCAAAGGTTGCAACTCCCAAAGTGGTCGACAAGATTGCCGATTACAAACGCCAAAATCCCACCATGTTTGCCTGGGAGATCCGGGACAGACTCCTCGCGGAGAGAGTGTGTGACAACGACAGTGTCCCCAGTGTCAGCTCCATCAACAGGTACTCCAGCCTGTATAATGTGTGTGCGTGCGTCTTAGTATCCACTTAGGTAGGGCGCAGAGCAATATAATACGGCGTGTTTGTGTATGTGTCTGTGCTAGAGTGAAAAAAAGCGAGTGGTAAAGAGGCCCCAGTCTCCATATGTATGAAGTGGCTGCAGCTCAGTGGTTCAACACGATGGTACAATGACAACCCTTTCCCCTGAGCACAGAGGCAGAGAAAGGAAGGGATAGTGAAATAAGAGAGAGAAGGAGAGAGCAAAAGAGGCAGACAAAAGGGGAAGGAAGGTGTGTGAGAGTAAGGGAAGAAACAGACACAAAAGGAAAAGAAAAGGAAAGGAAATGAGAGGACAGGGGAGGAGAGGAAAAAGGGAAGAAAAGGAAAAGACAGAGGAAGAAAAGGCTTGCATGAGCAGCCAAGCAGGAAGTGTGAGGCCCCTCTGCCATGTCAGCCTCCCTCAGCCACTTCACACACAGCCACACACACACACCACACACACACAAACACGGCTTTGCTCCCACGATGGTCATGTTCTCTCTGTCACTCAGAATCCTCTCACGCACACACAAACGACCTCTTCACACACACTTATATCTCCTCTCTCCTCCTGCAGGATCATTCGGACAAAGGTTCAGCAGCAGCCGGGCCAAACGGGCTCAGTATCGGCTCACAACTTGGGTAGGTTGCTTCTGTAAGAATCGGTTTCCAACTGTCAAAGCACTTTTTTTTTTTACAGCAGAGACGATTTTGTGAGAGTAGAGTCTGCACGCAGTATGTCGAACAATCTGAGATATAAAAAATCTTAACTTAAAGAGTAAATTTACAGAATTTAGATTCCTTTTTCTTTCATATCCTGCTTAATAAAATATTTAGGTTTTCAGCTTTATCTATATTTTTTGCAATTGGTAGATGGAACAAATGGAAAACATATGACGGTGAAGAAGCTCATAGCATTAAACCAACATGAAAACTTCATGCATGCCAGAAAATATTGCTGCCCTCGTAATTATAACATATTTTGTACTTTAGGGTGAGAAAATATTATTACTTAACTCTTATGAGCAAAAAAGACAAACTTCATTAAGTGTTAGTTGATTAATTAAAGTTTTTTGTCTTCTCAGAACACATACTACCAAATCACACATCCACCTTTAACGATAATATCATCATTTTTCTAAATGAGCTTACACTGGCTTTAAAAACACATGGTTTAATTGATCCATGGACGACAGTAACTGCCTGTGTGCTCCTGTTTGGGATACATTAAAAAAAAAGTAATCTAGACTGTATGAATTGATTAGTAAATACTGTCGCCTTTTCAGTTAGTTATACTGATGATTTTGAGCCACAAAGTGACTCTATACATACTTTTGAGAAGCGGTGAAGCATCAGAATCAGAGAATCACCAGAATCCCTCCTAATGCTCATTATTTTGTCCATTAAAATGACGACCTGAGGTGAATTAACAAAAAAAGATGGTTGATTCTCTTTATTTAGAAAATTACGGTCGTTCAAGAGTAGTTTTATTATTAATGAACAAAGTATAAGAATATAACTATTACAGCTGTGACTGAAACATTATTTCCTTTCCTTCAAAGATATCTCGGGGTACAAATAAATATGAGAGCCTATCTCCCTCCTCTCTCTCTCTCTCTCTCTCTCTCTCTCTCTCTCTCTCTCTCTCTCTCTCTCTCTCTCTCTCTCTCTCTCTCTCTCTCTCTCTCTCTCTCTCTCTCTCTCTCTCTCTCTCTCTCTCCTCCTCACTCTGCCCTGCAGTGGATTGTGTCTCGGTGTCTCTCATATCTTCATAATCGCACATTGTCTATTAATCTAAATTAATTTCACACGCACCGCTCCCTGACTCCTGCCTTTTACACACATTTAGCACACACATACAAACTGCACATGCATACACACCTAAATGCACCCAGGCACCAGATTCACACACACACACACACACACGCACACACACGCTCACACAGCTCGCTCGCAGATTACACAGATAAATGGGTCCCACTCCCAGGCGGAAAATTGAACATTTGGATTTGCAGAATAAAAGCGTTACGTTGTGATAAAAAAAAAAAAGGGTGAAAAGAAAGAGAAAGGAAAATCAGATAATTGAAGTGCTAAATCAAGTGATGGGAAAAGGATGGATATGCATTCATTATGGCCTCCCTGTAGTTAGAGAGTGAGTAACGGCTGGAAGGGACCTCATCGCCTGGTTTATCTTTTTCCTTTTTTGATTTTTATTCCCTTTGCGGTCTCGTCTTTCTGTGTTTGGGGGTCTGCTGGGAGAGAGGATTAGGATGTCTGTCTCCACACCTTTCTGTCCCTCATGGGATACCGTACTGTCACTCAGCCCTCACGTCCGCTTACAGGGGCACAGATAAGGGACCAAGGAGTGAGCGACTGTATGTTGCGGTGTGCGCTCAGTGTTTGTGCATGTGTGTCAGGAGGTTGCAGAATGTGTGTGTTTGTCACTGAAGCGGTGACAAGTATGTCGCTGTGTCGCCCAGCGAGGAACTTGTCTCCTCCAGGGGGAAGATTAGAGGCAGAGACACGAGGAGCAAAACACAGACTCATGTCCTTTGTGGCCTGTTTTTTTACTAACTTCAATTTAGTCTGCATGGATGAGTGAAGTTTTAGGAGATTAGTCTTATGATTTTATTTTACCCTTATTCTAAAGGTTTCATGATGATCGACATCAAACATGTAGATTTACCCTTAAAGTAGAAGGAATAAATCAGAATCTAGCTCTGAAAACAAGACGGTGAACAGACGCAAACAGTAATTCACAACAAAAGAGAAGATTGCACTTGATTTTAACAGGAATAATTTGTAGATCCAACATTTTTCATGTTCGTAACACAAATTTCCTTTATCATTATAGTGACAGGGATCTATTAGGGGTTTTCTTAATCAAGCTCAGTTATGAAATGATTCAAAAATGAACATGTAGAAACATGCTGCACAAATTATTTTCTGTGGGTGATTGATTTTGATTTCACATGACATTCTTCTACTGTAGTTAAATCAAAAATCTAGCTCTGAAAACAAGACGGCGAACAGAAGCGAACAGGAATTCACAAACTGAAACAGACAGAAGAAACAAAATGCAGAAGATTGGATCAAATTTTCACTTAATTTTAACAGGAAGATTTTGTATATCCAACAATTTTCATGTTAGTAACACAAATTTCAGTTATCATTATAGTGATAGGGATCTATTAAGGGGTTCTCTCATCAAGCTCGGTTATAAAATGATTCAAAAATGAACATGTAGAAACATGCAGCACAAATTATTTTCTGTGGGTGATTGATTTTGGTTTCACATGACATTCTTCTCTCATATTTATCCCACAGGAACCAAAGAGGGACAAATGTTCAGTGTCTGGCCTCAGCACTGCTGTATTATAAAGGCCTGTTCAACATGTTATGAAAATACCTTCTTAGAGATGCTCTCGAGAGGACGTAGTGCTTTTGAAATCATGTGGAGGCAGCCTCTTCTTTTATGCATGAGCTCTAAACCGAGTTATTTACAGTTGTAGAAACCAAGTGTGCGTGTTTTTTCACATACACATTCCTGAAAATCCTCTTATCTAGGCTGATCCAGACCCCGAGTCTGCAGCATCAAGTCTAATTTGGAGAATTAGCACTTACTCTCAAAACTGATAGAACAAACAGGGGTATCTTGTTTTTTTGTGTTTCACAGTCCGGTCAGTCACAGAATAAAAGTACGTGCTTTGTCATGTGGTCTTTCTGCAGCAACATCTGTGGCGGCAACACAAGTGTCAGCAGTGACCAGCGACTCGGCGGGCTCCTCATACTCCATCAGCGGCATTCTGGGTATCAGCTCGGCTGCTGACGTAGGCAAGAGGAAGAGGGACGATGGTAAGTGAAAAAGATGTTTATGTATGTTTTTAAAGTCACTGTTACATGCCTCACTGTACTTTTTAGTACTGAAGACTTTTTCAAGGGCGCTTATATGAATACACAACAAACATATACACATTACATGATGACGGATAGACTCAGGACCCCCCCCCAGATGGAGGGAACTCAGCACAAGAGGATCAATGGCAGATGTGTGAGTGGTAAGGGAGCTCTGAACCAAACATCTTCATTGAGGAAGCCGTATTTGTTTACTATCAGAGCTTCACCACAGAGCTACATGAGAACACAGTTTATGTATGCACTATTGATCACACACGCTGTCATACTGGATCAATGTTGTATGCATGTTAATAGGGGAGTGCGCACATTTGGGGGATCTCACCCACTGAACTGTATGTATGTGTTATGTGCATAGGTGTGTGCATGTCTGCGAGTGTGTGTGTGGCCGTGTCAGCAGCATTAAAAAGCCATCACACAGACAGTCTCCTGCGGTAAATGAGACAGGACCAGATGTCGGAGCGAGGGGGGGTGACAGAACGCCACTGGGGGCTAGTTCTCGCTCCCTCTTTGTAACAAGCAGACCCACTTACACGAGGCACACACACACACACACACACACACAAATACACACACATGCAGATACAGTTACAGTATGAGGGCCTTTTCAAACTCCTGATAAATTTTCCAAACATTTCAGGATATACAAGAATGAATCCTCGTTGCACTGAAAGTAGGCTGAAATCTTGATTTACACGGCTGTTTTACTTTCTGATTGATCTTTTCCAAAAGAAACAGTTTGACGATACAGTCTTATCTAATGGATACAACCGTGGCGAAGCAGAGGTTCAATCTGTGAGCATGACCGAAAAACAATACAGGAATAGAAATGTGGAAAAATCAAGACAGAGACGGGAAAAAAGCAAACCAGAAATAAACAAAATAATATTCTTACTTTTAAATCTGGTTAAAATATTTCACAAAGAATGTCAATTTGACTTTATTACGATGAAAAGCAAAGACGTTTTTTTGTCTTGGGCCCTGCAGCTCTAACAAGAGTTTGGTCATTGTTTCTGTCTATTTCACCAGCCGTGACATGTTAGCAGGTACCAGGGGTCTACTCTCTTTGTAAAGCCAGTTTTTATTGAAATGAATAATAGGAGTCATTTCTAATCACTGACATGTATCTCACAGTACTGTGCGCCCTCTGTGTGAGAGACTGTGGTTAAATCTGCCGCTGAAACAGAAGCTCTGTAATCTAATTAGCAGCATTATTGTTTCACTTTGTTCTCTATGTGCATGACATGCTACACCATGAGATACATGTGTGGTCTGTCTATTGTTTTTACTACAACTGGGCCGCGTGTTTCATAATTCGTATCAATATTATTGTATCACTTCACTGAAGCATCCAGAAAGCGTCGGTTGGAAGCATTGTGTCGCAGGGCGTCACGTTTTATCTGCACTGTTTCCGTGGCAGAGGTCTGCGCGGTTGGCTCTGTGGTCTAATTAACAGCATTGCTAATCACAGCTTCCATTAGAGCAGCCCCCGCTGGATAATGACACACACACACAGCAAGGGGCGACAGGGGGAACAGCATGCACTGACATGGACAGACAAACACATGCACACACACACATACGCAAAAGTGCAAGCTTCTCTCTTACACACACACACACACACTTAGACGTATATGCTCGTCGGTTCAAAGTTTCACACATGGAAGGAAGAAGACGCACACATACACAGTTCACACATACACAGTTCACACATCACAAACGACAATCACACGGCTTCGTCTTGATGACTTTATGGTTATATCGATTTCCTACAACAGGGGAAGAATAGGAAACGCTGAGTCAGTGACAGTGAAGCTCTGAGTGTGTGTTTTTCATATTACAATCAGCGTAGTCAGAAGAAGGTGAGGATGCATTGATCCGATATTTGGATCTGATATCAGCTCCGATATTGACAAATTAACTGGATCTGATATCTGATGAATGATGCCGATCCAGCGTTCCAATCCAGTCTTTTTTTCTTTGAAAATATTTTTCTTTTAATACTTCGAAGTCTAACTTCTTTTTGCCTTGTGCTAATGTGCAATTTGTTATTTGTTAATAAATAATATTAAGTAAATTTATATCTGTGTTAATTTGTTACCTTTTTTTTAACAAGGCTAATGTCAAGCCTGATGCCTTCACTCACAGGGTAAGGTGTACAGTTCATTCATTCAACAGTAGTATTGGATCAGTATCAGATATCGGCCGATACGCTCAGCCCAGGTACATGTATGGGATTGGATTGGATCGGAAAAAATGGATCAGTGCATCTCTAGAAGGAAGTACAGATGAACCTGATGTGGTGTGTTTCAGTACAGTGGAATCACCCCATCAGGTTTGGATCATTTTCAGAAAATGATATTCACTGGCATGATTTACTTGTGCCGATTCTTCAAACTCATCATCACAGGAAATCACAGGAGCAACTAAAGCTTTTTAAAAACGTAGAAACATTTGAAACATAGTGGTGGGCTTGTTTGGTTTCCCTTTACACTTACACAAAACTGAGTTAGTGACGATTAAATGCCAACATAAGCTCTTGTCTGACCATGCCTTATTGTGTATGTAATATTTAGCCTGGCTAACCACTCAACATGTTTTTTTTTTTAACTTTATTTTTTCCAGTCAATAAAAGCAGATACAGGAACACAAAAACACCAGAACACAAGGGGGCGAACACGACTTTATAACACTAATATGACATTTTGTCCATCTCACAGCATTCAGCTCTGTTTTAATTCTAAGACTGCAGGTCATTTGTTCCTGTGATCGAATTTCCTCTACAATGTCCGGTCAGTGGTTCAGTCCAGGTGACTCAACATATATTTTAGTTACTGATTAATCCAGAAGTGGAGGATTAATAATAGTGTGTCAGATTTTTGTCAGAGATGAAGTGTGTGTGTTCATTCTAACAAATAAAATCAGAGCGAACAGCAGCTTATCCAGCTGAGTTAGATAAATATCCTCTTAATATGTAGCTTAAGATTTGGGCTTGTAACCCGACTGATAAGCATGCTCAAGTATCAACATATAACACCATGTTGTGTCACAGGCAGGCGGGATCATACCAACATGTTTGTGTGTGAGTGTGTTTTGGCAGCAGGAGTGTGTGTGGGGGTAAAGCCCTGGTGACCTGTGCCCTCAGTGAAATACAGGGGAAGTGGGGGGTGACCGGGGGGCAGAGTGTGGATGAATGGGAGTGAATGGAAGAACTTGACTTGTGGGGCCAAAAGGGGACTATTGTATCTGAACCTATTCTCCTCCACACACACAGAGGTTGTGTGTGTGTGTATGTGTGTGTGTCTAAATGTGTGTGTCTGCTCGTATGTGAATATGAAGTTGAGGAAAGTGAGATTAGATAACGCATGTTTACATCCTTTGGTGTTAAGTATCTGTATCTGGCATGTTTACAGGAAAATCACTGAGTCATGTTAAGGGCAGAGAGTAAATAAAACAGTACTTTACCCAGAATGCCAAGCTGACCCCTCACCCTCTTGTTCATCCACTGTGACATGCAGCAGCTTAGCAGATAAAAGAGGCGGAGGGTGGGCGAAAAGATGGAGGACGGAGGAGAAGAGGGAGGCACATCCTGCCACCCGAAAAAACTGTGATCTCTGGAGTTTACATGGGACGCACGCACACGCACACACACACACACACACACACACACACACACACACACACACACCCTCATGCACATAGGCACACAGACGTTGGGGCTGTGAGGGCAGACCTGTGACCCTTGTCCCTATCAGTATGATAATCTATGTCAAGTGCAAAAAGATGCACCCGAGTGGTGTCCTACCCCCTGCAGACACACACACACACACACACACACACACACACACACACACACGCACACACACACACAGGTGCCAACCCGTCAAACTCTGTAAACTGTTATGATTCAATAATTCAACTGTTCCTGGATTTTCAAATAAATGAAAAATACAGGCCAAGGTGAGGGGAGAGTGTGATGAGAGAGAGAGAGAGAGAGAGAGAGAGAGAGAGAGAGAGAGAGAGAGAGAGGAGGCGGAAGAGAGAAGAAAGAGGCAGAAAGGAGAGAACAATAAGGGCTCATTGTTTGTTTTGTTCTGCTCTGAAAAAGAGGGAAGAGAAGCGCTTCCCTTCTGAGACTGACTCGCAGAGATAGAGGCAGCTGTGTGTGTGTGTGTGTGTGTGTGTGTGTGTGTGTGTCTGAGAGTGTGTGTGTGTGTGTGTGTGTGTCTGAGAGTGTGTGTGTGTCTGAGAGTGTGTGTGTGTCTGAGAGTGTGTGTGTGTGAGCATGTGTGTATCCAACAGTGAATAGGATTTAACCCGTCACGGCAATGAGTTTCTTTACCCATCCATGGACACAATGAGACCAGCCGGATATCAAGCGAGCCCCCCCACCCCCCCAACACACACACACACACACACACACACACACACACACACACACAGGAAGACACACAGCTACACACACTGATACAGATAAATGAACAGTATTGATTATCATAAATAAAAGCTTTGTTCTTACTGCTCGATCATGGCATGGGTCTGTTGTCTCCTTTGGTCTCAGTCGTCCTTTGGTCCTTTGTGGATCCTTCATTGTGACAGGTTGGGTCAGTCTTTCAGTGTGTGTTTTTGTGTGTGTTTGTGTGTAAGTGTGTGTGTGTGTAGGTGTGTGTGTGTGTGTACAACAGAGAGAAAGCAAAAAGCAATAAGCTGGCTGAAATGGTGCCATCAGAGCTACATGATTGATCAATTGAATTCCATCATGGGGACTGGCCGGTGGGATTAAATGGGTCGCCGTGGGTTACCAGGCTAAAGCATCATACCGGCTTTATCTCCCCCCTGATTGGTCTGTCACCAGAGACTGGGACCATACACTCAGTCTACCCCAGCATCTGTATATGAGTGTGTACAGGGTGCTATAGTAGAGAAAGAGAGATTTTGATCAAGCAGTGTGTTTGTGAGAGCGACTGAAAGAGGGTTTATGTGTTCAAAAGGTAAAAAGAGCTTTAGTGAGTTTTTCGCTGTCCAACGTGAGAGTGAGAAGAGAATCTCTGACCAACCATCGAAGAAGGTCTCAGATATATAATCAAAATGATAGTTTTAGCAAATATATTGTGTATTTCTGGAGCTAATGTTTTTACAAAAGGTTAGAAAGATGAAGTTAGCAAATACAATATAACTCTAAATATTAGGGAGACATGGGGAAGCAGGGAATTCACTGAAGCACAGCTGGTTGTGAGCACTGATAACAGCACAGGTTATCACTCACAGGTTCACAACTCCATGGCTAGCCAAATTTGTTTGGAAAAGCTGAAGAAAATGATTTACAAACTGAAAGTAGTCTGTCCACTTTTAACTGAGGCACTAATTCAATCAACAGTTCATTGATAGAATTTAAGTTTACCTGTGAACTTTAATTTAAGCTCCAAATGTAGTTAGATTCACTCCAGACTGACTCTGTGCTTAGCTCTAAGGGTTTTGTTTACAGACTGTATGAATCATGGATATAATCTCTGTAGTGTTACCCACTGGATTCTGAGACAGGTTTGAAGCATGTTTAATGCAGACGCCATGTTGGAAATGTTGACTCAGCCTGACTTTAGTCAACAAATCGACCAGTGAAGTAGTGGTATTGAGGCAGGCCCTCTGTATTTGTTTGTCCACTTTAAGTCAGCCTTGTAACCTTATTATGGTTAAAGGCAATGAGTTATGAAAAAATCATGATGTGTGCTGATAGAGTTAGAGCTCTTCAGACCAGAGCCGTGTTTTTGAACCAGGCTGTAAACTTGTTCATTTTTGCTGTAAAGTTTAGACCTAAAACACCAGACCACATTACTCCAATTTTAACAGATTACATACAGATGCATCTTTGTTTTTATTGATTATGACATTTCAATGACTACCTCAAAAGCTCTTAATGGACTTTCTCCCAGCTACACATCAGACCTGTCACTGTTATACATGCTAACACGTACATGGAGGACACTGAGCAGGGGTCCTCTGTCTATTCTGTCTATGCAGTCCTAAAATATAAGTCATCTATGCCTTAATAAAAATGAGATAGGATGTTGTGTTTGGATTGTGTATTCAGTAAATAAACTATAGAGGGAGTTAAAAAACTAAACCACTTTACTTAGAGGAAATTCTACTGGAGTAAAATAGAGATCAGATTTTTGTCTTTTCCTCACTAGTGAAGGCCACATTGAATGTTACTACTCTAACACATCTGAGAGCAGACTGAGCTGTGTGTTATGACTCCTAAAATTATCGTGCTAAAATGGATTTTCCAGCTAATCAGAGAAAAATATGAATAGAAAAATGACGTAAGATTTGGCAGAACCTCTTAATGAAAAAAAACAAAAACCATGACTGTTAGCTGTTAAGGTGCAGTTTGGTAAAGAAGGAGCATTTTCTTGTACGACAGGTGAAATTTAAGGAGCAGGAGCAATGAAAAGAAGAAGAAAAGATATAATCAGCTCTTCTGCAATTTCATACTTCTTTCTTTCTTTCTTTTTTTGTCGTTCATCGCTCTTTTGTTTTTTTCTTTGTAAAATCACCTTCTGGTGCAAATGGGTCCATATTTTCAGTCCAAATGAAGAATATATATTTGAAGCCCCTTCCTCATCTGCACCTGTCTGTCATACCACTCTCCTTGCTGCAGGACCCGCACTCACACCCACACTCACACAAACACACACACACCAGACACACAGTGACCCCCAGCGCTAAAATAGGCTCTCAGGATCGGTTCGGAGCGATGAATTGGCTCTATAGCGGGGGATTTTCACCCTCATCCCCTTTTTCTCTTTATCTTTTTCTCTCGTTCTCTCTTTCTAATCATTTGTGGGCCACGACTCTTCAGAGTTCTTATAATTGTCTCGTTCAGTCCCTCAGCCTTGCAATAACTGCAGGATACGAGGGCTCACAGTCTAATACTGATACCGCAGCCATATATATTTTTGTGTGTCTGTGTGTGTGTAGGTGTAATGGTGAGAGGGGATGAAAGAGTGGGAATATATAAGAGAGGTAGGAGTGTACTTTTGAGAGATCAAGAAGGAGGGACAGCATATGCTCGGTAATGGGTTGTATTTGTGTAGAGTTTTCTTCTGCTCCCCATAATCGAAGTCGCTCAGTCCTAAATCAGCTCAGCGGGGTTCATTTGAGTCCATGCTTTGCTCAAATGTCTCTCTCTCTCTCTCTCTCTCTGCATCTGCTTCAGGTATATATATTTGATTACCTAATGCCCTCATCCTCTCTTTAACATCATCTTTTCCTGTTTTTTCTCTCCGTTAAAAACACTCCACTCACACTATTCTCCTGTCCTCTTCACGCAGGTTTGCAGGAGTCGCCGCTAGCCAACGGGCACGGCCACAGTGGGCGGGACTTCCTCAGGAAGCAGATGAGAGGGGAGCTGTTCTCGCCGCAGCAGATCGAGGTATTGGATCGCCTGTTTGACAGACAACCATCCTGTCCAATCCAATCCAGCTCTGACCTCTATGTGAGCCCTGATTCTGGCAAGGTAAGGGCGTGGCACTGTGCAGGCTCTGGGCTCAGGCTGAGTGTGGGGACAGGTCGAGGTTCAACAAGACTGCAGGGTTTCATTTGATTTGATTGCTTTGATTGATCCACAGAGTGTTTGTAATTTCAAAAAGCATACATCAGCCTTTCCTGAAGGTTTTGTGAGTGCTAAATTCAGGTCCAGATTTTGCTGAATTAGCATTTTATTGGCGTAGGCGGAGCTTACCGTGTGTGATTCCAAGCTGATTCTGAATATTATGACTGATTTTGAAGTTGGAGTGAATTTCAGCTTGATTGTGAATCATTTGGTCTGATCATGGCCTGATCAGCTACTCCTGGTTGGATGAACTTCTAGCATGGTCAAGGTTTTAGCTGATAGCTGATGCCCTCTGCACCATTTATCTACTTTATTCCAGTCTGTTCCAACATGACATTTGAGCACCCAGGTCGTTTTTACAATAGGACTCACTGTACAGGGTTTAATTTGCCAACTGTACTTGTGTGCTGTAAAAGATTCAATAAAGCAGTGTGAGTTGACTTTGGTTGGATATTGTTTCAGTCTAATGAAGTTGCGATTTCAGTTTCACTTTTCCATTCGGGTCTTTGATTCGGATTCAATTAATAACTAATGTTAAAACATTCAGGCTCTCAAAAGTGTTCAAGGATTAACTCTGACCACGAATTTCCTATTTTCCTTTATTGATTGAATTATTTTTCCTACTTTTTAAGGGAAAGATCATCAAGAAAAATCACAAACCAGAACTCTTTCAGTTGATGATTAAAAAAAATTAACATGAACACTTAAGAATATTGCACATTATCAACAATCTGCATTTTGCATACTTTGACGCTAATGACTGAACAGTGGAGGGGAGGTTTAACCCCTTCACCTTAAATCTTGTCACCACACAGTCACACTCCTTCACTTCCAGAGTTTCTGCACGTCCAGGAGTTCTCTCAGAAATCACATCTAACAAAACCTAGATTTTAAATATTTGTGGACATTATTTGTAAACCTCAGTTTAAAGGTGTTTTGGCTGTATCCAGAGCACTTTTGTGAACAGTAAACATTAAATTCTCGCCATACTTCTTCATATTGGATGTGCTTCCTCTCCTTGCTGTGTCTTTGTCTTTTTCTGGTGAAGTTTAGCTAAGCTCTAGATCACTTGCTACTGTCCCCTACAGAAGCCCTAAGTGGAAATGGTTTATTAATTATTTTTTTTACCCCTGTTTTCTCGAGATCATGAGATAGTTTTCTCGTGATCTTGAGAAAACAAGGCTTAGTTTTCTCGAGATCATGGCGTTGTCTCACCTGCCGCAGTTCGTCTGCACGTACCAAGAAGCACCTGAGCAACAGCCTAATAGTTATGACCGTGAATCATCTTTGGGTGATCAGTTCCTGTAAATCTCAGAGAGTGTGCATCTTACCTCGTGCATTTCGTCCTGTCACAGAAGGCAGACACTGCACCACGCAAAATTAATTTGTAATCTCGAAGAAAACAGGGGTAAAAAAATAAATAAATCATGTCCACTTAGGGCTTCCATAGTCCGCTATGATTCTCTTCCTAAAACTTTTGTTTTTAAACTGCATCACAAGATGTAATGTTTCACTGACACAGCAGATCCTGGTAGATACGAAACAACTCCATCACTAAAATATACACCCGTCATTTATCTCGATAAAGGATTGTATTTTTGTGCTCTGCCTCTCACCTGTTATGAGAAGAAATGCTTGTCTCTGCTTTTAGCTAAAAGCCTGTCCTGCCTGCTATGCCTTGCCATGCCATGTCAATCTTTAAGAATTAGCTAAATTGGTATCCAATCCCAAGTCTTGTTTTTTGCACCATCATCACATTCTTTCTAATTGAACTATTTTTCTTTTTTGCTCTGTCATACATGATCTGAAAGCGCTCAAGCGTCAAACTGTGATTCTCCGTCAGTCCAACAGTCTGCTTTGAGTTTCTGAGCTCTGATGGATGTTGTGATGTCTGCAGCAGAGACCCAGTCAGGCCTGGCCTATTGATGTTTCTATAATCTAGATACACTGCAGGGGTTAATGAGCATATTGACCCGGCTCTCATTATGACCTCACTTCCTGCTGCTCAGGGACAGAGATAGAGCTGTGCGCAAGCTGATGCATCTTGAGAATGTGCTGCATTAAGTGTGGGGTGTTTGCATATGAGAGGAAAAAGATGGGAAAACAAGTCGGTCCGTGTGTGTTAATGCTGAATCTAAATTGACCTCCCGCCCTTTCCCTGCAGAAAGTTAATGTAATTCTGAGTGGAATGGACAGGTGTAGGTGGTACACCGAATAACAAAACAACAATAAGCTACATTTTGTATTCTCTTCTTCAATATCCTCTCATTTGCAGCCCTCCTGTCAAAATTAAGGAAATATTTTTGCTAGTATCTCAAAATGACACTTTGGTTCTCATCACCTTTGAAAGAACGCTAACTTTGGCTTTATTTATTCAGTGAATGTCAAGGGCAGGAGGATAAACACACACAGGACTATATGGAATCACATACAGGCTACAGCCTTAGACCTTTAGGGCAAAGTTTGGCTTTTTAGCTCTTTCTCTTCACTCTGACCGACATGGCGAGTGGAGTGGCACAGGGCGAGAGGTCGACAGGGATTGGCTCTAGTACTTCTATAGACCACGACTCAAGACTATAATACCCATGATTCATAGGTCAGTGTCCTCTCTGAGCCCGGTCAAGCCACTGGGGTCTGTGGATAGGGGGCTTTAGACTTTGGGTCACCCTGGGGTCAAACTAGAGCTGCATTGTGATTAGAAGGAGACACACACTTTCACACAAACACACACTCACACACACACAAATCCACATCACTATCTGTCCCTCTACCTCCACTCCCTGCTCCCGTCCTGTCTAGTCGACCACCCCCCTCTTTTCCCAGCCTGCGTTTCCCAGAGGAATGATTGACAGTCATACTCTAAGCACTGACACGCTGACAGCTACAGCTCAGCCTCTTTGGTATGTGGGCTGAGGTGTCTTTGTGTGTCTGTGTTTGTGTGTGTGTGTGTAAGGTCAGGCTGGTGGGGTTATGGTCAAGGAGGGTCACTCTATGTCGTGGCTGACATTCCTAAATGAAGTCTTGGACCTGCTGTTGGCTGTGATGCTTCTTCAGCGTATGTGTGCGTGTGTGCGTGTGTGTGCGCGCCATTAATGTGAGAGTGTGTATTTGTGGAAGAAAGAGAAAAAGCTGCTTCACGAGCGAAGGTGCACACGGCTCAATTTCAGGTGCCAATAGTATATTACAATGCTACACTAATATACTGTAATTTCAGCGGTTATTTCGAGCTTCTCATTATCTTTTAGCCTTTCTTGCAATGAAAAATGAGCCTCATTCATTATTTCTTCTTTCTTTCTCACTGGAAGAGATAAAAAAAGTTAAATTGCTCACGTTCCTCTAAAGCAAATCTTGTTTTATCCGTCACTAGTTGTTACTCGTCTATCCTGTTTGTCTCAGACCTTTTCTTTATCTCTCCACACTAACAAGCCACCCTTTATCTCATCTCCCTCTCCTGCTTTTGTTCCCTCTCTCGCTGTAGTCTATTAAGTCCCACTATTAATTTGTGTGTGCGTGCTCGAATGTGTGTCTGCATGTGTGCCTGTCAGAGAGAGTTCATTTGAATTTCCCTTCAATCACTTCCTATTACTCAGGTGATAAATCAGCAGGGCTGATGGAGCCCCCACCCATCCGTGCTGCCCTGGGTCCAAATGCCCACTCCAGCACCCGGCGGTCTGGAATTTATCTGTGAACTCTGAGGTTATTTGATTATCAAGAGAAGACATTTTTACCAGTTAGAAGTGTTTTGGGTAACAGAGGCTGTCAGGCTAGTTAGCTGTTCAGTTGAATAGGTTTTCAGAGCTACGATTAAGTCTCCTACATGTTACCTTTTAACACAACTGTTAATCTGGTACTGGCAGATTATCTAAATCAGACCATTACATACCAGAGGCAGCCATCTTGAATATTTATGGCCCTCTCCTTTCAGTCACCATCTCATGGTAAGCTCTGCTATTTTTCGTGGGGAGCAGGTTTCTGTAGTTTTGATACTGTTTCAGCTACCATTAGGGGTGGGAGAAAAAATCGATACAGCATAGTATCGCAATATTTTGTCTGGTGATATATCGTATCGTCTCATTTATCAAGTATCAATTTTTCAAATTAATTGCTAATATGAAGTCAAATCTATGATAATAGAAAAATAAAATCAATTGTTTGTCCAGTGAGGTTGAGCAGGAGAAAGTTAGTGCAACAAATATGTATAAGGTTTGTGAGATGTGCTACATGATAATAAAATACAGTGTAAATAAGACAAACATAAAGGAAAGACAAATGCTAAATTAGTTAAACAGTTGAAGACATTGTATAAATTGCAGTATATTGAATCACAGTTCTCACTGTATTGCAAAATGTTGAAAATCGCAATAATATCGTGTCGTGTCCAAGTATCGTGATAATATCGTATCGCGGGGCCACTAGTGATTCCCACCCCTAGCTGCCATGTAGGTTCACGATGCAGGTAAATCTTCAACATAAATGATAAAGCTTCAGTAACACTGAACAATGGTAAATGGTAAATAGATAGTTAATTAATGTAAGTTAATAGTTACGTTGCCATTAACAAGCAATGAAATTATGACATCTAGATTAAAATGTGTGTCAGTAGCACTTTGTAAATGGTTAATATTTGGTTTTTAAACCATCTATAAACATTACTTAGATGGTTATTGTAAAATTAGGGTTAGGGTTCGGTTTTTAATATTGTAAAATTTACAATTTATTAATGGTCTACATGATGTTCATAAATGATGATTAAACATTAATAAACTATCTGCTCACCATGTATAAATGATCTATTTACCATTTATAAGTTATGGTTATTGTAAAGTGTTACCACAGCTTCCAATTCCTTTCCAGAATACTCATCACCTTGCTCACTTTGGCACATTTCTGAATCAAGTCTGTGGATATCTGTGATTTTTTTTTTTATTGTATCTTCTCCGGCTACATCTTCGCCTCTTTTTTGACCCTGGCTGGAGATGTTTTTGTGTTTCACTCCATGGACTTTGCAGCGTTACATTTGAAAGCTTTGAAACATTTGTTCGGTAATTTTGTTTTTGTTTTTTTATTCAAACCAGGAGTTACACTGACAGGAAGAAAAATCTGAAATAACACCAGGATCATCCTGTTATATCATAGCATATTATCACCATCGTGTACTCTAATTCAAAAATACGGGCGCTCACCACCCATAGACATTCTAATTTGTAAATAAGAAACCTGAGCCCAATTTTTCATTCAAAATTCATGAAGTTCTGCAGCCTTAGCCCAGAGTTGAGGTCTATCTAGCCTGTCAGGAAATAAATATCCTCCCCACTGCTGCCACGCTCAGTTTGAGCACAGATGAATTCCTTCCTCACAATCCCTGCCTCGGTTTGTGGGCCTCTGAGGGAATTGTATTTGTTTATAGCGAAGCCTTTTTCCATCAGGAGTACACAAGACAATGTGAAGAGAGAGAGAAATGGATGGAGAAATCCAGAGCTATTTGGGGAATGGAAAAAAGGGGAAATACTATTATGCAAATGGTGCGAGCCAGCGGAGCTAGTCGGTGTGTGTATGTGAGTGTGGGTGTGGATGTCAGAGGGCCGATTAAGGCTCATCTGTTATTGATGTGAAATTTGGACCAAACCATTACCTTCCCAAATGTGAGTCAGTGGTCCAACCTGCTGTGTGTAAGTGAGGGAGCGAGAGAGTGGGTGAAAATCAACCGAGAGGAGACTTATATTTATGTGTTCAAAACTGTGTAACAAAACACAAATTAGCATACGTTGTCGGGCAGAGCAGATTTTTACAATTGTCGAGCTACTTAAACTCTTGTACCACCCATTAAATTTTTACATCTTATTATGTAAAAGATAAAAAATATTCAGTGAAGCTGAGGAGTGAAAACACATGCCCCATGTCAGTGGACTCAGTCCTCAAAGCCAACAATCCAGGTCAAATTCCAACCACTGGCCTTTCCTGTCATGTCATTCTTCACTTTCTCTTTCCCAGTTTTCTACTCTATCCACTGTCTGTACTCCTGGTCAAGGTGTTGAGAGGGCAGAAATAATCAAAAATGACACAAACTAAGACGTGACTCAAAAAATCACCAGTCAAATTCATATGAACCACTGTCATTTTAATATATATTTTCAAAGTCTAAGTCCACTTTGACTTTAATCTGATTAAGACTTGATGCCTTAGCAATACTCAAAGAGTTCTTGGTTTGAATACAGTATATTTGATATATTGCTATGGCAACAAAAGTGGCTTGTCTGCCTTTAATAATGAGAGTCTTGTTTACCAAACCATTAAGTTAGTGGAAAGACAGAAAAAAGTTTATGTGATAAAGTGGAGAAATAAACAGATGTTAAAGTGGTCAGGGTTTGTGCTTGCTGATTTTTTAAGGTATTGTTTTGTCAGACAGTTATTGGCATGAAGACTCAGTTTGGACATGAGCGCATTTTTCCCTTTATTTGTTTGTTTGTTTTTTCGGCACAGTTCTCTGCATACTGTGTCAGCTGAAATGTTTGGTTTAATGCATGTGGCCATTGCCTTTTTGACACTGTGTGAATGTTAGTGTGTACTTTTTCTTATCCTTGAAGAGTGCTCTCTGTTTTTGAGTTCATCCCACAGATTGTACAGAACATGGTTTTAGTCTCAGTTAAGTTTACTTCCAGTAGCTTTTGAAGAGGAAATGTGAAACCCCAAGATTGCAGTTTCCATAGTGGGAACACTGGATCTAACTTACTTTCTGTTCAGCTAAAAGCCAGTAAAGAGTTCAGGTTGAGTCTTTAGTTTTACAGCCTTGCAAAAAGCTACAACCATATTTGCACCAGGCTGTGAAACTAGACTTTTGGTGGTGGGCTCCATCAGGGTTTCCTTGTCTGAGGTTGCTGCTTGGTCCTCCCACATTATTTCTCCTCTTTCTCTTGCCTTTGGTTATTCAATAGCTCCCGACATCATGTCTTACATGATCCATTTCTTTCTTTCATCTCCATTTCTTCCTTCTTTGTAACTACTGCATAAATATGCCTACAAATGACTTCCTGCCCCGTGCTGAGCTTCCTTTTCTTCAGCTCCTCCATCCTGTCCTGTGCGCAACTCCCCCATCACCTCCACCACCTCCTCCACCCCCCGAGCCCCAACTCTTCCAAGGCAGCTGCGTCCCCCCTCTTTGATGAGGCTGATGGCGCCTTATGAGCGCTGGAATTGACAACATTTACGGGGCCGAATGAGAATGATCCATCTTCCTTAGCGGGCCTGTCACCCCACTGGCCAAACTTCATCATGGCCAATTACCACGGCAGACCCCTTCTTCTCTGCCGCTGCTGCTGTCTGGCCCCCATCTACATGGAAACATGGACGCATTAGACTCCATTAGAATAAGCCAAGAGAGGGAGGAGGGGCTGCAGGCGGAGTGTGTCTGATTTGCTGAGAAAAACTACAGGTGTGATGTGTGTGGGGCGGCGTGAAGAAAGGAAAAAGGGCTTAAAAATCTGTCTTGAAGTGTAAAGTGTGTGTGTGTGTGTGTGTGTGTGTGTGTGTGTGTGTGTGTGTAATGTGTGTATGTGTAGTGTACAAGGTAAGCTCTTATTTGGCAGGTCACAGTCCAGTGGTTGTGTTGTGTGTTGACGAGCACAGGGGTGTTTAAGAGGTCAGTGAGCACCAACACACTTACACCTCCGCACACAAACACGTGCACACATAGATGCAGAGGTATTAAAAGGGTCAGTGCGAAACGCTCACCCCGTCACCTAAAGGAAATTCTGATTGCTGTCATTAGTGTACACACACACACACACACACACACACACACACACACACACACACACACACACAGGTCAGCAGTAACATCAAAATAAAGTAGGTGTTTCAGTTTAGTTTGTGCAGAAAAGGGAGTTTTTTGCTTCTGATTTTGCATGAAGTAAGTAAGAAACAATTCAAACGGGTGTACTGATTTATATTTTGTTAGAAAGTAGGAAATTGTTGAATTTGTTATATAAAGATTTGTTTCTTTTCTCCCTCATGCACAATTAAAACAAAGCCACAAATTTTACAAAAGCACTGGTAGATATAGTGAGCAGTATACAGGTCAATCACTTATCATGAGTGAAGTGAACCTGACAACAATGGTTAATCTATATCTAGGTGGTCATCATCATCACTGACACTATACATAGACACAGACACACAGTTTTGGTGCGGAGATGAGGATAGATGGGTCATGGTCCTGCGTCAGGGTCAGAGGGAGGTGAGAGGACAGTCTCCATTATCCATCTATCTGTCTGCGTTTAGAGAGAGTGAATCTGACCGGGTTTGTTGAACCAGTTTTCAAAGTTTGTCTGCTTGATCTGACCCAAAGTTCATTATGTAAATGAAGCACTGGTAACACTTGACTTTACGCCTATCTCTATAACGCATTATAAATATATGTATAATGCATTATAATCGCGTTATAGCACTGTATAACTATAGTTATAAACACTCATAAATGATCATAATGCTTTATAGCAATAATCATAACACATTATAAAGCATTTTATCATGATTTACAGAGTCAGGTATTATAATGTGTTATAACTGTTATCAACTCACTGATAATGCTCACATAGATAAAGCATTAAACATATATTTATGATGTGTTATAATTTGCTTATAAACTTGTAAACTATCATTAGAAACACTCATTAATTAGCATAAAAATAAACATAACACATAATATCTGATCTTGTAAGTCATGATAAAAAGCTTTATAATTATAACTATGGTTATACAGTGCTTTAACCTGATTATAACAAATTATACATATATTTATAATGCTTTATAGAGAGAGGCGTCAAGTAAAGTGTTACCAAAGCACTTAATCTTTTTGATCTTTTTTTTTTGTATGATAAAAACAATCAGTGATATTTTCATCTTTTAATTAAGCCATGCTGAAGGAATTTTTTTATTTACTCTTCCTGAAGGTTTCTGTTGTTTAAGCGTGAGAAAAAATAAATTCAACATTTTGGACTCCAGCTATTTGTTTCATTTTGTTATCCTTTATAGAGAGAGAGGAATGAGTCTCTATTATGTTACACCTTTAGGTCGGACCTAACATGAATTCTTTTTCCTTGAGAAACATTTGTGGCTGTGCTGTAGCTGAAGTCTATAAGACGTTTCCAGAAGATTGAGGGTTAACCATGAAAAAACCCGACATTCAACTTGATAACAACCAGATATTGCTTTGTCATTGCAAACTCCATCTTTCTATGGGTTTCCACTTCTGAGTGGTGTGTGTTTGTGTGAGTGAGTGTGTTTAGGTGTGAGTCTGTGTGTGTGTGTGTCTGGTAGTGTTTTCAGAGCACTGGGAGATTGTGTGTACATGTGTTGAGATGATCACAGTTCTTATTGTTGTCGGTATCTGGGGAGACAAGAGGCTTTGTGTTAGCTGTGGTCTATATGATGCCACTGTGTGTGTGTGTGTGTGTATATGTGAGGAGGAAGTGTATGATGTGTTTGTGTGTATGTGTGTGTGTGTGTGTGAGAGAGGGGGAGGATGAGAGAGATGGAGAGAGAGGGAGCTGATCCTGTGGTTATAGACTGTTGGACTTAGTTGTACAGTAAATCCCTGTCTTTGTAAACAGATCAATGAACTCACCGCTGTAGGTGTGTTTCTGCACATGTGCGTTTTCTGTGTGTGTGTTTGTGTGTGTTTGTGTGTGGTCTTTCTGAGGCTTCATTGCTCTTTGCTATAAGGCAGCATGTTGGATTGATCACAGCTGTTCTCCACTCTATTCTTGTCGTATTTAACTAAAAATATTGTGATTTCCTCTTTTTAGACGTCAGACTATTCTGCCATGGCATCGCTAGCTGGTGGACTGGACGAGATGAAGAACAGTTTGGCCAATCCTGGTTCAGGGGCGGAGTTAGGAGCCAGTGTGTCTGGTCCACAGTCCTATTCACTTGTTCCAGGTAAGAAAGACATCCAGCACTTCTATGAATACCTCCTCTAAATAAGACCCTCTGATTGGATCCAAAAAAGGAGACACACATTAAAGCCCCTGTAGGGAATTTTTGGTTTGTGTAAATTTTGACATTCAATACCTGTTATCTCTTTGTTAATTTCACCTGTACATGCACAAATAGGGGTTTTTAAACCAATGATATCCTCTTACTTGAACTGAAACCACAGAACAAAAGGAGAAATGCTGCAAATGGGGACTTTTTGGTGTTTTGGTGCGTTACAGACAGATGATATAGAGAGGCTTTACTCTGATTTTCTTATGTTTCTTTCCTTTCCTTTTCTTTTCTTTTCTTTTCTTCATTTTTATTTTTATTTTTATTTTTATTTTCATTTTTATTTTTATTTTTTATTCCAACCAAGACAATTTCACAATTTGACAATATCATGGCAAATCACAACATTACTTATTCATTGGTTAGAAGGGAGCAGAAACAAGATACTAGCTAAAAAGTTCTCACAGGAGCTTTAATTACACAATTAGTCATAAATTCATGTTGTTTTGTGTAATATTCTTATGATGTCAGTCACTTAATCTCTATGAGAGCTTAATTGTACTGCACAGTGAATATTAATAAGTTTTCTTTCACATACTGTTTATACTTTGCAGGGACAGAGTACTTCTTACATAAGCAAACATGGCAGCTAATTGAAAAGAAAAAGGATTTTTGTTTCTGTCATGGAAGCTCATTTTTGCCTTAAAAAGAATTAAAAAATGGAGGATTAGTCATGTAAAAAAAAAAAGCTGCAAATGTTTTGTTATAATTATGACCTAAAAAGCCAGGCTAATTAGAGACAGAGCCATGATAATGAGATTAAAAACGAAATAGTCAAAATTAGGAGATCAAGTCATAATAGTAATTTAAAAAGTAATAATACTGAGACACGTCAAGACAGTGACAGATTGGTTATGTATCAGAAAACAAAGAAGACGAGAGTTTTTGTTGATCAAACCTCCTTTGACAGGAGGAGTGAGCAGGGGAGCGTTTCTTATTGGTGGAAAGGAGCTTTGGTAGTCTCTCAGTTTAAAGTAATGTTCTGTTATGAATTTCATTTCCCAAAATCACCTCACGCAAAACCAAAAAAAACCCTGATAAATCCTCTGACAGTCATGACTAGTTCACAGGACTGAGCTCGACACAACTTAGAAAAAATCCAGTGATTTGTATTCAAGGCACAGTCATGCAGCCAAATGCCTTTTAAGTCTACCTCAGCAGTGAAGGAAGCTTCACAGATCCTTAGTGATCCTGTTTAAAGAGCTCAGTGCTGCAGATCTCTGGAGAGGGAAGCAGCCCAGAGCAGAGCAGGACAAGAAAGGTGGATGAAGAGAGGAGAAGTGAGAGCCTCGTCTCCTCCTCCATCTCCATTTAGGGTCTCCCAGAGAGGCAGCGGTTAATTAAGAGCAGACCAGGGAGCACTTGGACAAGGCTTCCACGTTGCCATCTGTAATGAGGGGAATCATAGAGCTGGGATTTCGGGATATCCGGGAAAGGGCTCTTTTTTTACCCACTGAGGAATATTACCTGCTGGAGACAAGAGAGAGAGAGAGAGAGAGAGAGAGAGAGAGAGAGAGAGAGAAAATTTCCATTTCTGCTTATGCATGCAAACACACAAATTTATATTCACACACATACACCATCTGAATATTATGTATGCATCTCCTCGCCCGTCTTTTACCTCAGAATAGGGCTCCCTCTAGGGGATCAGATGTCTGTGTGTTTGACGCAGTGTTATTGCATCCTTGAAGGGTTGATACTTTGGACACAAGCAACATCTAGACATTCAATTTCCCTGTCTGAGGTCTTCCCAAATCTGCAGGGCATTTTCATCCCCCTATGATTTTCCCCTAGTCAAGACCAAAGGGATGTTCTGTAAAAGGTAGAAACCTTCTGTGTTTGTGAGTTGGAGTAAAAGAGAGAGGAGGCCAGAGGAAGTGTGCTCATCTGCTACTGCCAGTGAGTGCAGAGGAGACTTGTACTTGCTGTTGACCTCTACGGCAAAGCTGTGGAGAGCAGATACGTCAACACAACTGGCATGCATAAACACAAATACACTGCATGCACGGACACAGGAACACACACGCACACCTCAGAGGATCTGGCCCTGTCTGCCCCCTCTAAGTTGGGCTGTAGAGAGTCCATCTCTCCTCTCCTCCCTCCTTCTCCTCCGTGCCCTGTGCACTGACCCTGAGCGGATGAGTAGCCCGTCTGCACTAATGCCTCGCTGTCGCGTCAAACACCGAGAAAAACTTTACTACACTGAGACAGGAGAGGGGAGGTGGAGAGGGACAGAGGGGGCTGCATGGTGAAGAGAGAGGGGCTATAAGAGAGAAACACAAGCGGGGAGGGGAGGTGAAGAGGCAGATATTAAAAGAAGAGGTCAGAAATATGAGAGGAGGAGATGTTAGAGGCTCAGCTGATTTGGAACCACATGTTTTTTCTTTTTTCCTCTTCCTGTGTTTGGGCCAGTGAGAAATATCAACAGACACTATTTCTCCCATGGTTTCAGCTGTAGTATTGATGTTGATGTTTCCTCATTTTGATTTACACTGATTGACATTTCAGAGTTTGTCACTTTGGGTTGGATTGAAATGTCTCCACACGTATCTTGATGGATTTTCCTCCTGAAAATGTTCACCATCAAGGATTTTCAATAACTTTAGTGATCCCTTAACTATGTAGTTTTCAGCTGTTCTTGTTGAGGTTCTGATCCTGTTCAATCTGAAGATGCTGTCTGGTTTGAGAGAGGTTGAAAAGCATCTATGCGATAATTGTCTTCAGTTTCGTCTTTGTTCGATTGCCTCAGTTGTTTGTCGGGACAGAGGACTAATATACAGTCAGCTGTTGAAACAGCTTCATGCGGGGCATTTCCGACTTGCTGTCATTTATGATACCTAATTAATGTTTGAATGTCAAATGTCTAACCACAGCATTTGTTTAGCACTCATGAATATAATCTCTATGCACATGCCTGTTTAGCTCCCTGGGAAACTAATGACAATGATATTTCAGCTGTCTCCTAAAAATCAAATCTGTTATTTGGCATTCAATGACATTTTTTTAATGTTGTAACAGGGAATAATATCCACAATAATGCAAGAATCCAAATGAATAATTGATACCAGGCTGCTAAACCAGCCACCGAGAGCCACTGCTTTAACAATTAAAAAACTTGCAAAACCAACTTTCCCATCATCCTCGGACTGTTTTTGCTCCAGTTAACAACAACGACTTTAGACATGGTCAAATTCAACATCAGTGTCTTTGGCATGTTGGCATAATGACATTATCTGTGCTTTAAAACAGAGCTAACAAAGGCACTACCATAAATACATTAGTAGAACCTGCATACAGAGATAACAGAGTGATCAATTCATGGTATCTGTATAGCAACATAGACACATATTAACTAAATTAACCAAATTACTGATTGTTTTGTGCATTGATTGTACCATATCATATTTCAGTCTGAATTCAACTACTTCTGTACTTCTCCATCTGTGTCCCCATTCCTATATTCCGATACCATGTTGTCAATATTCTCTCCTGTTTCTTATTTCCTTTCCTCCTTTTTTGCTCACTTCACTGTTCCCTGTCTCCTCCTCCTCCTCCTCCTCCTCCTCCTCCTCCTCCTCCTCCGCTCAGTTAGTTAACGTTGGTTAAGTGGAGGGGAAGTGAATGGGATTGATGGTGTTAGCATCTGAGCTGTTTATGATGATGATAAATGTGTGTGTGCAGGAGGGAAAGAGGGGGTGAGGTTGTGTGAGTGTGTGTGTGTAGTGTGAATGTGTGTGTGTGTGTGTGTGTGTGTGTGTGTGTGTGTAAATGATGATGATGAATGGAGGGCTCCTTCTCTGCGCACTCCCAATGTCTGCTGCGTGCAAACATAGAGAAATGATTTGGGCCGACACACTGTCATGTACTCTAATGCAGTTATATATCCAATCCAACCACTGACAGACAAAGAGGGGAGGGAGGGGGGAGTGATAAAGAGAGGAGGGGGAGTTGGTAAATTAATAGATGTCAGCTGATGGGAAACAAGGAGGAAGGAAACAAAAGAAGGGACATCTTACATGTGCTCCTGCGTGGATTTTTTATGTTGTTAAAGGGATATTCCGGTGTAAAATTTATTTAGGGTCAAACACACAGCAACATCGAGTTAGACAACCCCTGGAAAGATGAATGTTGCCGACCGCTTGATTCTCTGGTTATACCAGCTTTGGTACTGAACACACGCTAGCAATACACAACGGTGTGAGGAGCCATAAACAAACCTCAACCAAAACGCCACAAATAATGCTCAGAACAGCACCTAACTTCATCAACAGGACATATAGGGTCACAGCCATAGTACTAGACACCAAACATCTTTTTAACTTTGACTCATTTCTTTAACAAAGAGACTAAACACAACTCACCTACTCTCTTCCAGCAGCCGCTTGTTTGTAGCGAGACCTCGGGCCAGTCCATTACGGACTACAGCGGGGTGACGCAGCTCAAGAAAGAACATTTATGATCATTTCTTTATCACCTCCTTGAAGTAATACATTAATCATTTTGCACTGCAGACCTGGTAGTTCTTCTGTCTTAGAGTCTCGGTCTGATTGTATTTCCACGAAGAAATGATCATAAATGTTCTTCCTTGAGCTGCGTCACTCCGCTGCAGTAATGGACTTGCCTGAGGTCTTGCTACAGACGAGCTGCTGCTGGAAGAGAGTAGGTGAGTTGTGTTTAGTCTCTTTGCTAAAGAAATTAGGAAAAGTTAAAAAGATGTTTGGTGTCTAGTACTATGTCTGTGACCCTATATGTCCTGTTGATGAAGTTAGGTGCTGTTCTGAGCATTATTTGTGGCTACAGAGTGGTGTTTTGGTTGAGGTTTGCGTGTGGAGACATAGACTGCTGTGTATTTCTATCCTGCGGTCGTCACTAAAGTTGGTATAACTAGAGAAGCAAACAGTCGGCAACATTCATCTCTCGAGGGGGTGTCTAACTTAGTGTTACAGTGTGTTTGACCCTAAATTAATTTTACGCTGGAATATCCCTTTAAATATGTAAGAGGTGAAGCGATCTTTGCAGCTCTTTAACAAAAAGGTAATATGATTTTGATAGTTGGACTCAAAAAGACCTGATGTGTTTCTCGTGGACAGACATAGGAAAGAAGATTATAAAAACAGGCAATTATTGTTCTTTTGGTATTTATTTATTAGACGTATTGATGACAACGCAACTGTGTGTGTCTGTGTGTGTTTACAGGTCGAGACCTAGCCAGCACCACTCTGCCAGGCTACCCTCCACATGTTCCCCCCACTGGACAGGGCAGCTACTCCACCCCCTCCCTCACTGGCATGGTACCCGGTGAGTCCACACACATACCCTCACACCTGCTTCAAGTCTCTCAGAGCGCCATCTTACTCCACAGTCACACCGCCGCCTCTTCTCTCCGCTGATCTGTAACTGTATGTATGTTTTGAATTCCCAATGCGTCGTTGGTTGTGCATATGCATGCGTCTGTCTTCAGAGGGGTGTACTAAGCTTCGCCACCTCCTTGTCCATAAGGCTGACAGCGCTCCCAGGGGTTGGTTGGTGCGCAAGTTTTCCGTGTGTCTTTACATAAACGTCTGTGTGTGTCGGTGCCAGTGTTGTGTGTGCCTCTCTGTGTATCATTAGAAAGCAGCCACAGTAGCACAGCTGTCCCTCCTCAACATTAGTAATTTGTTTTTAATGAGAATCACCAGTGACCCACGACTAATTCATTCATTCCCTTCCACTCCGCCTTCAACGCTGCTTTTGTGTTTCAATCCTGGACCGCCGTCCTCCTCCTTCTTCTTCTTCTTCTCTCGCTCTTTCTCTCTCTCTCCCTCTCTCTTTCTTTGGCTCTTGCAGAGGTGGTCATGGTCAGTGTGAAGTTTACTGCGGAGAAAAGGAGGCGAATTCGCAAAAAGCAACAGCAGCTATAAAACGAAGTCAGGGATGTTTACAAGTTTCCTCTCTGTGTAATCGCGATCATTCAGTCTGTGACACACACACAGAGAAACACACACACACACAGAGAAACACACACACAGAGAAACACACACACTCTCAGCGGACATGTAGGAACAGCACGTCCAAAGATTGGTAACCCTGTCGCCCCGTCCCCCTGCGCTCACCCCATTCTGTCCTCAGGTTTGACAGCATATTTGCGGGCGTGTGTGTTTGCGTGCTATTGTTTGCGTGCCTTTGTGTGTTTGTTTTTGACAGTGTGTGTGTGCGCGACCTTGACACTAAGCTACACTAGGGAGACCCCTGTGCCCTCCCTCCCCCTCATCTCCTAAACAACCTGACACGTTGCCGTCACCACAGTGATGACAAGGGGAGGATGTTCGCACCCAGGGATGCCATGGAGACCGCATCCCGACCCCACCTGACAGACGCAGATAAACACACGCGCACACACTCGCACAACGGGTAGTGTGAGGAAGAAAACTTGGGTTGTACATCCAAATACGCGCAAACAGACTCACAAACAGACTCACAAACAGACTCACAAACAGACTCACAAACAGACTCACAAACAGACTCACAAACGGTCCGAACGTCTAAATTCTTCTATGAATTCTCTGACTTTCTGACTGCAGAAGATAATCTCCTAAGTTTGCACCTCCAGCTCAGCCATGTTCTATCTCAGCCCTTCTCAAGCAAATTATCCTCCTTTTTGTCCGCTCTGTCTAATATCATACCTTCATTAAGCAAGCAACTCTCTTCTGCTGTTCTTCTTCTTCTTCTCTCTGCAGCAGGGGGGCTGACACTCAGAGGGGGTGTAGAGGAGCAGTGAGGCAGAACCGACAGAACGAGAGGGAGAGAGGAGGGATGGTGGGGCGGCGGCGGGGGGGGCATCAGGGTCTGTGACTGTCAGCTATGGGAGAGGGATCCCCCGGGAGGAGTAGAAGGTTCAGGAGGAGAGAAAGAAAGAGCAAAAGAGTGGGAAAAAAAGAGAGCAGGAGGAGAAGAAACGGGGAAGAATATTGTTTTGATGTGAAGGGTGATGGGCGGGCTGTAGTCTGAGGGCGAGAGAGAAAAATAAAGAGGAAAGGGAGTGAAGGGAGGAGTGGGAGGGTGAGACAAGAGAGAGTAGACCCTAGACAGTAAGTAGTAAATGAGGGAGAAAAGCTCTGCTATCATGTGCTGGGCTGTGTGGGAGGACCGCTACAGTCTTAGCGCTTAGAAGTCCAGTTCAGTCACTCTTAACCAGTCTGCTGACTGGTTGAAGCAGAGAGAGGGTCAAAGATTTACGGTGGAGACAAGACAACTCACTCTTTTAGTGATGTCTCTTAAAAACCTAAAGCATCAGGTTTTGTGAATTATGGGTTAGAGATGCAACAATCAATTTTTTTCTGATCCAATCTAATACCAATACCTGGGCTGAGCGTATCAGCTGATATCCGATACCGATCCAATACTACTGTTGAATGAATGAACTGTAAACCTTGCCCTGTGAGTGAAGGCATCAGGCTTGACATTAGCCTTGTTAAAAAAAAGGTAACAAATTAACACAGATATAAATTTACTTATATTATTTATTAACAAATTGCACATTAGCACACAGCAAAAAGAAGTAAGACTTCCATGTAAACATTTAGTGTATTTTGTGATGCCGGCGAATGTGTGCGGCCATGTTCATCATGTTTGCTGTTGTCGGGTATGCTACACGCACATAGCATAGTTTACATTCTGTTGTCTTCTTGTCGACAACGCGAACTTTGATGACGTAACTTACCGGAAACACAAAGTATTTCCATACTTGAGATTTGTTAGAGGCAGGAGCAGCTTCAAGTTCCCGTGCCGTGTCTTCTATATCCACACTGGCCATGGTGTCATAAGTGGCGTCAGCTCATGTCGGCTACCTCCTGGATGTGGAGGGAGGGGATCGTCAATCCTCTCTATGATTTTGATTATCGAGACCATGACGTAATTTTGATCGATTTCGATAAAAAATAAAAACTGTGACACCCCTAGTCCTATCACAGATTACTCAGAGAACTCTCATCCTAAGATTGAAACTTGCTGCCATTGTCTTTTATTCTGTTGTTAATTTTCTGTTTGTAGTTCTGTTTGTATTAACATATTACAGGCCTACCTTGAATAGGTTAACTCACCTAGCTTTTCCGACTTTTGCCTGACCCGTTAGTGGTTCAAAAGTTACATCCATCATTTTAATTCAAAGTTTGTAAAACACTGTTGTAACATTTACTGTATATCCTCCGTGTTATCAAGTAGAAAAAAAAAATGTAGCTGTAAAATAACTTTTCTGTTGAGGCCAGTCAGAGTGCTTTTAAATGCAAACTCGTACCCCAGATTTGTCCCTGAATTCTGGGGAGTTTAAATTTTTAAAGCACACAGTTACAGTGTATTTAAAGATTTTAATGAGATGCAGTAAAAAAAAACAAAAAAAAAAACATTTCAGGGCAAAGTATTCCAGTAAGTCAAAACATTGCTGCATCTGATTAAAAGTCTTCACCTCAGCCATGGTCTCTTTCCTGGTCTAATTAGTTTGAAGTATTAGAAAACAGAACGATTTGGCATATAATCAATTATTTCATCGAGGTGTTTGATATTTCAGAATGTGTAATGAACCTGATTTTCACATTAGTCGGTTGACAAAAATGAAGATTTATTTTTCCAGGACAAAACAAGAGTGCTTTCTCTGACTTCTGCTGTGTCTAAACCTGATTTGTTTCTTGTTTTGTGTTTTTCTTTCAGGGGGAGATTTTTCTGGAAGTCCTTATTCCCATCCCCAGTATTCCACATACAATGAATCATGGAGATTTCCTAACCCCAGTTTATTAGGTAGGTGTGCTCCATATCTCTCTACCCAGCCCTGCTTATGGATCAATAACTGTATTAATGAATGTCATGTCATACCACCCCTCATCCTCCTGGTTCCAGACCATTCTCACTTCCTCCTGTAAAATGCTGTTTGTAAAGAGTGGTAATTTGAGATGTGATTGGGATTGAGGGAAATGAAAGAGAGAAGGAGAGACAGAACAGTGTGGCATTTTGGGATTTAATGTTATTCCATCTTTGTAAAGATGATTGTATATGACTACTTATTTATAGCATTTCATTCACTTGCCATCATGACAAAGAGGAACAAGCAATGTGACATTAAAACTAATTAAATCCCTTTAAAAGTTAAAAAAAAAACTCTACCCTGGTTTATCTGAAAAGAGGTACGACAGCAGAATCAGCATCAGAAACAACAAAAACATGTCTCCTGTTTTATGGCTGAAATTATGACTTCAGTCTATTTTTTTATTTCATAAAAATTATAATGTGTTGCCTTGAATATCCTGTAGGGTATGGGGTTATTAAGGTTAATCTGTCATGTTCAGGTAGCTCAGTGTGTTTTTAATTTATGGTTTCCTGGCATTTATTATAACTGAACTGCCTCAAACAAAGGGGTCCTGGTTATTTTCATAACTCCCCAATGAATTGTCAAGAAAACTGTATTTTCACCTTATATGTATGATGTATAATCATGGAACAGAGTATTTTATAAAGCTTTGTCTGACCAGGAAAAAGCAAGACACAACCTTGCAACCCATTGGTCTGATTGTGGTTTAGTCTTTGGGAACATCGGCCATCTTTCCAAGTAGAAACCTTGGGTATTGGAAATAAAGTTAACAACAAAGCCAAGGAATGCCATACACCTCTGTTGAAATACCCATTTTACCAAAAAAAATGAACATAGCGACGTTCACTGTTTGTCTTTAAATTCTTCTTCACAAACTAAGAGGTAATGTCACTAAGACTATGTTCATGTTTTATACTGTCTATGGATATCACCAGCAGTTATCATTAAAAGACTTCAGCCAAAAGTCCCCTTCATGACCATGTACAATATTTACAGTCACTATTACAGTTTGATGAGTGAAAATGAAGGTGTTATTGAAAATCATAACGCCAGCTGCACATGGAAGATACCGATCAAAGCTTAGATCACCTTCAGCTGACTGCCAATGGGTGACAGGGTTGAATTGTATCTCCACAAGGACAGTTTTTCTATTGTAATATATCCATAATGATGTTTTGGTATAAACATATTCATACCAAAATCTGGTCTTACAGCTATAGATTCTGCATTATTATACAGAAACTGTTGAGACTGACGTAGAAATAAAACATTAAATCCAGAGTCATTACCTCACTTCTTGTCAGTGCATCAGTATAACTACAAGTAACACCTGACAGGAAATGACCTGGAAACACGTCTTATGTCTGTGCATCTGTATTGAAGTAAACCCAACAGTCAGAGTCAAAGTCATCATCGAATGAGCCATTTTAGGGCAAAGGTGAAAAGGTCAATAATTGACCCTTTTAAAGGTCAATAGGTGAGAAGGGTCAGTTTTGTGCCCCCTGTCTTCACTCCTCTCACTTCTCTTTTTTCCCACATTTCCCCGTCTCCAGTGTTTCAGCAGGATTATGGGTCTCTCCTGGGGACAGAAATCGGCTGCTCCTCCAGTCTCTTCACCAGCCAGGCAGGACAGATGCAAGGTAGGTGACGGAAAAGAAAAAAAAAAGAAATGTGTATGTGAGGATTCATTTAAACAACGAGGAAAAATGATCATGTGGGGAAAAAAGAAGAACTTTTGTATGAGAACTGATGGGCAGACCTGTAAAATAAGGACAGGAGACACTGAAAGGTTTAAGATTGATGGTTGTGAGGAAATGTGGAGGAAGATGTGAGTAAAGGTGACGTATGAAAGAAAGGAGAGTTTTCAAAAAAGGGCAAAGAGGAGGAGAGAGGGCGTCTGAAGTCCTGACTGAGACTAAATAGTTTGTCAGAGCGGCTTAATGCCTCACTTCCCCAAAGAGCCTCCTGAGATTACCTGGACTGTGGACAGACATAACCTGTCAACACTCAGCTGGACTGATTGATGGAAAAGACAGAGACAGGTGTGTGTGTCTGTGTGTGTATAGGTGTGTTTTTTCTGTGTATCAAGGTGTGTGGGTGTGGGTTTCTGTGTGTCTTTGGGGTTACAGTATTGAATTGACCTTTTCCCTGCGGAGAGAATAGACTCAAGGGATCAGCCGTAGTAGAGCTGTACTCAGTGTGTCAGCGGAGACTGTCACTTAGATAGTGTGTGTCCGCGGGTGTATGTGTGTGTGTGAGCGTGAGCGAGCGAGCGAGCAAAGGAGTGAAAGAAAGATGATGAGAAGAGTGAGAAAAAGTAGCCTGAGTTCTGAGTTCATTTTATTGGTTGTACATGACAAGGAGAGACTCATTTTTTTTTTGTCATTAGCTTCATCAGCGCGTGTCATCTCATCCCGTCCTTTCACTCCTCACACTCAAACTTCAATATAATCTTAACAGAAAATTGAAGCCGCTCATTTCACATTTACACGATATTTCAGTAACCCTGAGTATTCAGAGGATAATTCAGATTTATTACAACTCCAGTCTCACTTTTGTCATTTTAACCATCAGACCTGTCAGTAATAAAAACGGCACTCTCCAAGTTAATTGCTAAGTTCTTTGAATGTGCAGAGAGACGGGGCAGTAGAAGTCAAAGTGGAAAAAAAGGACATGATTGTAAGTGTTAAATTATACAAATGCTAAACAAATTTTCCAGATTTGCTCAGACAGGAGGGAAATGTGGAAGGTCAGGATGTACCAGAGGGATGATTAGGGCAATTCTTCAGACCAGACAGGATTTGATGATAGTTGCATGAAAGCTACATGCTGGTTTTTGGCTGAACTAGAGCCGTTTAAAATTTGATGGTGAGACGTCGTGTCAAAATCCTGTTCAATGGTCTTTGAGCTTTTGCTCATTGAGTGGCAGCATGACATTTCCTAATGCATATAGGGGGCGCTTTAAAGGGATATTCCGGCGTAAAATTAATTTAGGGTCAAACACACCTCCCTTGAGAGATGAATGTTGCCGACCGCTTGCTTCTCTAGTTTTACCAACCTTAGTAACGACCGCAGGATAGTAATACACAGCGGTCTGAGGATCCATAAACAAACTTCAACCAAAACACCACTCTATAGACACAAATAATGATCATAAATGTTCTTCCTTGAGCTGCGTCATCCAGCAGTAGTCCGTAATGGACTGGTCTGAGGTCTCGCTACAAACAAGCGGCTGCTGGAAGAGAGTAGGTGAGTTGTGTTTAGTCTCTTTGTTAAAGAAATGAGTCAAAGTTAAAAAGATGTTTGGTGTCTAGTGCTGTGACTGTGACCCTATATGTCCTGTTGATGAAGTTAGGTGCTGTTCTGATCATTATTTGTGGCTATAGAGTGGCGTTTTGGTTGACCGCGTGGATCCTTGGACCGCTGTGTATTGCTTTCCTGTAGTCGTTGCTAAAGTTGGTATAAGTACAGAAGCAAGGTCGGCAACATTCATCCCTCGATGGAGTGTCTAACTCAGCGTTACGGTGTGTTTGATCCAAACTTAATTTTACACCAGAATATCCCTTTAATGATCCATGGTGTGTGTGGGTCACATTGGAGCATGGATAGCTGAGATAAAAACTACTTCCTGGGTAACGAAGAATATCCCATTTTAAAGACTTTCTGCAGCCACGCCTTTGGACTTTTAAGAAGGAGTCCATGAATTTGTCATTGTTCAGGTTCCTCTACTGACAAACCTGCTCTTAACCAGATTGAATGAATGTTGTTTAAGAAGAAAAATGTCAAACAACCACTTAAAATGAACCAAACAGGTTATTTTTGACAGTTTTAGTGCACTTCCTGTCAACATTCCTGTCAACAGCCCTCAAAGTTGCAACAAATGATGAAGAACAACAATCCAACAAATCATTAGAATTTCATGCCATAAATGAAGCATTTATATCTGCAATCCTTTTCAGGGTCACCGTATTACTATGGTGCAACATCACGAGGGGCAGGCCCTGCTGCCACTGCAACAGCCTCTGCCTACGACCGCCACTGACCCCTCCTACTGAGAGAAGAGGAGGATGAGGAGAAGAAGACAAGGGAGGAAGGGAGGGATGGATAGCACCAACATTGCTTAATACAAACCTGCCTACACAAGAGCTGGCTGAGGATGAAGAGTTTGACTTTTTTGATGTCAGTGAAGTTTGAATTTCTTTTGTGAGATACTTAAACCAACAAACGCACTGTTTGGCTGCAACGCTGACAAATTGCTGGATGTGACATTAAAGTTAGGAAATAGGCATGATAGTGACAAATGACGAATAGAACCAGAAGGTTTAAACGTGGTCCCCTCTTATTACACAACAAGGCATGGCACTCAATCATTTACAAATCCTTAAAAAATGACAGTTGCTGAAACCGTATTTTGATCTTCTGGGTCCATTTTTTTGTTTTCTGTCATTTGCTCATCATATAATTGTTTGAGCTCTTTTAAATAGTCTCTTAATGCCCCAAAATATCAATCAAGTTTCTATGCCATGCTGAGGTGGAGTTAAGACAATCCAATTCTCCAAACTACAGATGACCAAAATCAACCATTACATTACCATTTTAGTCATTTTTATTTTCATATAACAATTTTTTCTTCACACAAAGGATAATTGGACTTTTTCATGGTATTGTTCACTCTCACAACCAGTCTTTTGCTAAAATCCCCCCGAGTTGGCTGTTTGTTGGTAGGCCTGTCAAGCTCTCTGTTCTTGCATGTCACTGAAGTGGTTACTGGGAGATTTACAATCAATAATATGAGGATCTTTGAAGTGAAAATTTTCTTTAGTTTTGACGAAAGTGGAAAAACACACCGTCTCACTTTTATGCTGACCTTCTCTCCAAAGTTTTTTACATTTTTGGAAGATTTTATCAAATGAGAGCAGATAACAAAGATACTTCACACAACAGACCCTCAACTCAGGCTCTTAGGAAAATTGACGACCGACTCATCAGCTGGACTTCAGATTGTGGGTGCTGTGGCTCCTTTTTTCCACATTTACTGCCCGTCTTCAGGCTCCTAAATCCCATTTGTTTTTAGCTCTACTGTCTGCATCCAAGTTTGACGAGCACAAACCTAAACATCCATTCACTATCTGATTGAGTGATATTATTTACCTGTATTTTTTAACAATAGCTCAGTCTTTTAATGTTTAGCATCTGAAGCCTGTTGCATCTACTTCACTGCAGCAAATGGTTTGGACGTATCTAGCCATGAGTACTAAAGTAAATCTGACAAAGTTAAATCTTCCTCCACCTTTTTGGCTCTTTTGATTATCTAAAAAAAGTGGAGAGATGTGTCTGAGTCTTGAGTTTTTTGGATCTACAGTTCCGTGCAAAAACACTTGACAGGCCCTCCATTCTGTGTCTGAGGGAGGTTTTTAGCAAACTGACAGTTTTGGTAATTGTAGCCACATCTTTACATGAAAAACTGCTCCCTAACATCCATGTTTAAAAGACATCAGCTGTTAGACATGCCTTTCAGTGAAGCACAGCCTACAACCCGAGCCCTTCTCCAAGTTCACATCAGACCAAAATCCGACTGAACAGGGATTGTTTTTGTACATGAAGGTGCTATCCTCCCTCCTGAGCCAAGATAAAGTCCTGATCAAGAGCTATTTATAGTGGAGGAGACAGAGTAATATATTAAGAAGCTTTTCTGCGCTGCACTCTAGTACGAGAGTGAATGCCTGTAATGATTTATAATATGTGTCACGCCGTTGTGCTAGAGTAGTGATGATGACAATGCAGTGAAAAAGAAATCTTACAAACTGTCGATGCGAAAAGAAGCCTTTGTTCATGAATATGACCCGACTATGATTTTCCTGTTTAGAGTTTGTTGTCTGCTAACAGTCGACACAGGTGCCGTTAAATAAGACGCCATTTTTACCTGCTTCCTGCTATAAAAAAAAGAAGAGTCAGGAAAAGGCGGCACCCTCTCTTTTCTTACTCTGTCTTGCTCTCTTTCTATTTCTCTCTTTAAACTCCCCAAAGATGGGCCCCCCCTAGTGGATCGGCTGACTTACTACAAAAGCACAAAGAGACTCAATCATCATTTAAAGGCGCCATTTTACTTTTGTGACTTCTTTTCAAAGCCATGAAGTACGCTTTTTTCTGCTTCTTCTTCTTCTTCTTCTTCTCCCCCTTTGAGTGCTTGTCCTTGTGCTGTTTGACACCCTGAAAATATTTCTATAAAGGCATTGCTTTTGTGAAAAACAACAAGTGAAACTGTTTTCCTTTTTCTGTTTGTTCCCTGCATTAGTTCTGCGCTGTGACAATGTATGACTCCAGGGTCGAGGCCTTACCCATCATGTACAGACAGCGTAGGACAGATTTGCCCCTGAGCGCTGATCTGAAATCAGTGTGTTATCCCTCTCTAAAGGTTTCGGGGCCCACAGTGTTGATCTTGTGAAGGGGCAATATCTTCCTAAACTGTACGTAAGCTTCCCGTCTCACTTCTGTCCAAACCAGATTTGCAATGTAATCAGTGACCGAGAAGAAAATTCACAATGTGGATAGAAATTTTATTTAATCACATTTGAATTTAGAATTGAGTGACAAAGTTTCCTTTAAGATAAAAAGACTAAGAGGTTTGTGGTGTTATTTTAGCCATTGTCTGCAAGTGTGTACACATCTTGAGTTTCTTTGTTTGGTTTGGGTTTGTGTGGCTGACTGTAGCGCATCATTGCTACCGTGTAGTTCTATTAGGAAACAGGTTGGAGACACCGAATCTTACGTGTCAGACATTAAATATAGTTCTATAAACATAAACCTATAAACACTGGACAGAGCTGTTAGTTTTTCAGTCTTTGTTGTTTTTCGGTTTTGAAGTATAGTGATTAAGTGTCTCCTTTTACATTTGTAGACTTTAAAAAGTTGTGTGCACACAACTCGAAGGAAGATTCTTCTGACGGCTCGCCTGCTGGGGTGCACGCTGGCAGCCCAGCAGGAGCCTTTCCTTATTTCTGTCTTTCTCTCTTGATCTTTCTGAGGCATTATTGAACCTGAACCACACCAGCTGAAAACAAGGACAGTGCCTTTAGTTTTATATGTCAACACCCCCAACTGACCACGTAACATTCAAGTAAATATATAGAGTCCCTTCTTGCAACTTTTGGAACAAGGCTCTGCCTGTTATGCGCACACAGGGTTGTAATTATAAAAAAGCCTTCCACAAATACCGAGCATTCAGTAATTTCATCGCCAAACTTCAGATTATGATTTATTCACTGTTCCAACAGCAATGTTGCAGATCTGATTCAATGATCTAAAGCCTTGATCCAGCAAAGAACACCGTCTTTCGTCAGTATTTCCCAGAACCCTGACATTTTAGTCACAGATTCGGTCATAAAACAATGAAATCCTTCTGCTTTAAAATCAACTTAGTAATGTATGAATCATGTCAGGTGGCTTGAAAAATAACAAAACACAACATGTCGTCTGATAAAAGTGTATCGTATCACAATCAGTCTGTCATTCTGCGATTGAAGTTTTAAAAAAATTGAGTTTCTGCAGTACTACTTCCAGCCACCGGTGGCAGCATCGAGCAGTTCACTGAGAGAGCAGAAAACAAGCCCAAGCATTGACAAAACCTTTCTTAGATGGAGTTTGAAGATCTTGGCAAAAAGCCATAGCCTTGACATTTAGTGCCAACATGGATGGTCCTCAGAGGAAAAGTCTTCAAGTCCCCTGACCTCTTGTCCCACCAGCAGTTCAAACTCTCAACCATTCTTGTGAACAGATCCCCTAAAGGTGTCTAAATGTGTAGGTTTAAAATGCACATCAAATAGTACCTTTTAGACCTGCTTTATCATCCTTCCTGGGGTAATTTTTTTGCGTTGGAAAATCTTCTGAAGTGATTTGTTGGGCTGGTCTCTTGACTGAAATGTCAAAGTTCTGGGAGATATCGATGCACAAACACGATACAGGCCTGAATGAGGGCCAAACAGTTCCCAACGAGGAGGTTGAAACTAAAAAAACTCACATATAGTCTACAAAAAAGGCCAAATAAGTGATCATTTAATAGCTTTTAACCAGCTAGAGCTCCCTGTAAATGTTTTCACACTCACGCACAAAGAAATATTGATTGAAAGACGTTCTCCTTGAGGAGGTGAATCTCGCCATACCTCTTGCGTTTGCTCACGAGACACCAAACCGTCCACAGTCAACGTCCGTTCTCTGGTGAAGCCAAGAATCCAGTGATACATTAACAGGATTATTTGTTGACTATGCATCTCATAGTGACACAGCTTGCCTTGCCATTGCTTTGACCTAATTGGTTCACATGTTGAAAGGATGAGTTGTCATTGGCCTGCAGTTTGTTTTGATTGGCGGCCGTGACATTGACAGCAGCAGTTAAGGGGTGGGGGGGGTGCTGTCATTGTGGGTGGTACTGTTTAGGAAGCACAGTGAACAGAGGCCACGTACACACACATAAATAAAAGTACAGACACACTCTCTCCCTCCCTCTCTTTGTCCTTTGTGGAGTGTCGAACGCCCCCCCCTCGTGCCCCTGTGTTCCCCAGGGGAGGCCAAACCTGCTGTGCCATCAGAAGCTCTCACCGTCTTTCTTCTCCCCCTCACTCGGGCCTAATCTCATCATATCTCAAGCTCTCGTCTCCTCCTTCTCCCCTCTCCTCCCTTCCTGTACAACTGCCACACCACAAGGATTAGGAATATTAAAACTATTCTGTTGATTTCAGGCTTGTGACCTTCTCCAAAAGTCCTCCCTCAGTCTTCATCCTTTTTTCTTACTTTTCTATCCGACTATTCAGACATACTGCTTACTGTCCTGTCAGGAATCCTGCATGGGAATGAAGCAGGGTGTTTTGTGCCAAATTGAGGTCATTTCAATGGCAATATTGCTGCCAGTATCTTTATTTAAGCAAGGAATCTCCTGTGAGATTGCATATCTTCTTTTGCTTTTCTCCTCCTGTATCTTTAGTGCATTTTTGAGTCAAAGAATCACTAGTTTCGGATCAGACAAAGACATTTCAGTTAAATGTCCATAAAAATACAATTCCATCCTGATTTTTTTTCTCGCCCCAGCTCCAAATCAGATAGGAAACTGAAAGAAATGCAAATGAGTTCTTTCTTTATTATGATTTCTCAGCAAGCGCGCACCGCCTGACTGTATCTCAATATGAATCCATGAAGATGGCTACTGCCTCTGAGAAACCTGAGGGGATTTCAGCATCATATCTTGACAGCAATTAGTGGCACAATCTGTTTCATGCTTGCTGATATAACTAGGCTCTGGACAGATCTCATACTGAAGTGATACAATGTTCTGTACATCTTAATATTATTCAGCTGTGGCAGAGGAGACGTACACAGGACTCAGCCGAACAAAAATCAGTTGTGCTTTACAAAGCAGACGTTTCAATCAAAAGAAATACATAGATGACATGAGTTTCACCTTACTGTGGCCTTTCGTGTAACAATCTGGAGTTTTTTGTGTCCATAGCTTCCTATCTGGGGTGTTAAAGAGATATTTATATCTGTAATGTTTTGGTACACAAAAAGAGCAAACAAAAAGGGAAATAAATACACCAGAATGCAAAGACCAATTAGGTTTTAACGATTAAGCTTCTTCAAAATCTAGTGGGACAAAAACAAAACATATCTGTAACATTCACCAAAGCCTGTGATGCCTGTTTTAAATGAAAGATTCTTGTACAAAAAAAAAATCGTATAAAATAGCAGATAAGACTTACAGATACAAACACAAAATGAAGATAAGAAATGCCTTCAAATATTCTGGAAGGGAGGAATTAAAAAAAAAAGTTAAAGAAAAGCTTCTTTAAGAAAATGTGTATGTTTTTTATTCAATTTTCTAGTAGTTGCAAACAAAACTTGGTGTTTTTTCTCTGTGTGTTGTGTGTTGTCTTAATATTTGAATGTATTTTACTGCAGTGCAAATTTGCCAAAGATATCATATCACTTGATTTTTCTCTTTTTTTTTTTTTTGTCCTTGAATTGTTACAAATTCTGTTCAGAAAACTGGAAATAAATTGTGAATTTGATGTTATGATTATTTTTCATATTTCTATTGTTAATTATATTATTTTATTTCCTGGGTTTATGTGAAATATTGAATTACAGTTTGCTTGATGCATCTCCTCATACTCAGTCTGTGTACCTGTCCATCCGTCCACCTGAGTGACTGTTGTTGGTGAATTTATTCCATTTATGTACCTGTAATGTGAAGCTAAGAAGTAATTATTTGTAAATATTTGCCATAATTTTATTGGTCCTTCAGAATAAAAAATAATTTTTTGGAAGTTGAAGCCTCCTGTCAGTACTTAGCTCATCTATATATTTCTTTCAGATGTGAATGGTACACACTCATGTCCTGATCGCTGGTTCATTCACCACATTCCTCAACATCCAGACAGTATTGACATCCAGAACAGGAGGTGGTTTGTGCCTCAGCGTGACCCCGCAGCGCTGCTTTCATCCTGGGGACTCTGATCTAAACTCCCCCCTCCCCTTCCTTCCTCCCACCACTTTGGATAAAAGTGGTGTCCCAGCGCTGCAGTCTTGGCTGCGGGCCGAGTCCAGGAGAGGGCAGAGGTGTGTGTGTATGTGTGTGAGTGAAGATTTAAGAAGGAGGAGGAGGAGGAGGAGTGGGAGAAAGGGTGATAATAGGACACAAGCCACAACATGGCCACAACATGCCATGCACACAGAAAACAGCACGAACCATCTTGAGACACAGACTGGTATGTCTGAAGCTTGGGTGCCTGCCCAGGACATCGGAGGGGCGGCCATAGTGTGTCAGTGCATGTGTGTGTGTGTGTGTTTGTATGACCGGTCTCTTTTAAAAGCAGGCATGTTGGACTGTGAAATAAACTGTAAACATTTTTTAGTTTGCAAGACCTGAGCAAACTGCAACAACTCTAAATAACAAAATAATGATCATGGAAAAATACGACACAAGAAAATCAGCCATATTAGTCGTCAAATGTCATTTTTGGGTCAGTGCTTTCAAGTCTGAAAAAAGCAGATGGGACTTACTGTATACTAAAGGCATGGGTGATTAGCAGTGTGCCACTGAGTTGCATTATTAGATAATATAAGATAAGATATGCCTTTATTCGTACCGCAGGGGGAGAGTCCAAAATTTACAGCAGTTTACCTACTGAGCAGTAGACGGCTATTAGACATCTATTTTTTTTTTGACCAAATTTCAACCGTCTAGATTCTGTATATTATTAGACAGAATTTAGGCATTGCACTTTAACCCATTATTCAATAACAATTTATTTAAATAAGCAGCTGTGAGTTGCATAACTGATCTCCAGGTACTTAACCAAAATAATTATGATAGCCGTTGAACAATATACAGTGTAGTATAGATATAGCCCAGATTTAGATTTAGTCTAAACTTGGTCTAAGTTTAGACGTATGAAAAACGTTCATTTTTAGACCTGTGATAGCCTGATTTTAGACCAGTCGTCTAGGCTACATTAAGACGTCTATTAGACCTCTTTTAGACAAAAAAATGCTCAGAGGGTAAGTACAAATATATCATGTGTGCAGCATGTACATATAAATATGGTTTATTGCACATGTGGTTTATTGGATTTGCAGAGTCTAGTGTATTTGGAGATACTCGTACATAGATCAGGTCATATTTCAACAATATCAACTATCAAAATACTGGCATAAAAAGCAGTCTGACTCTGGACGACTCAAAAATTGTCTGGCCTTATTCTTCAAAATGACAAACACAGATGGTTCATCTGATCATGTTGTGCCCATAGGGCCCCAAAGTTAAATCCTCTCCCTTTGTGCTCCTAATATTAGGATTATGTTTTATTTTTCAGTCACATAGTCAAAAAGCTTGCAGTGAAGTGAAGGTTTGGCCAAATTTCTATGCTTGAAGACTACTAAATTTGGCCAAACAATCCCTGCCTCAATGTTTTTCTGACAGTTGCACGGCTGATACAGCATCTGTCAGATCAATGTCTGCTAGAAAACAGAGAGTTTGACAGTGTTTACTTAGTTAGAAAGCAGTGCCACACCCTCTGCTCTCTTTACTCTCCTTCTACTGCTGCAGATTACATAACATGACTAGGTACTGACATGTTCTACCTCTCCTCTCCTCCTCCTCCTCTAGCTTCCTATACAAGAGCAGGAGACAGACAACAGTGGTACTTATGGAGGCCAAGAAGTCATGCAAATTAATGTCAATCAGCATTGGTATTTTTTGGCCCTCCAGAGCCCCCGCAGAAAGGAGGTGTGGGGGCCAACTGAGCGTAATTGGGCCTTAGCTGATTAGTGAAGAGAGGTGGTGAGGGGAGGTGAGAAGAGGAGATACTGAGGAGATATTAGGAGTGAGAGGACGGAGGAAGGGGGAGAGAAACTGACAGAACATACAGAAGGATTAGGATGGAGCAGGAGAGTGCTAATACATGTGCTGCATATTCATGATGGCTGCTGCTTTTTATTCACAGCTTTCCTGCCGTTCTCATCCTCTTGAATCTCTGTACAGTTTACCTCCTGACATGCGTTTGTTCTGTATTTACGAGTCATGCATTTACAGAAGATGGTCAACTGGCATGTGAAAACATCACAACATTTACCCTTAACTGTTTCCATGGCAATGCACAACTTGCGATTCATTGTCATCATTAAATATTTTAATGTTAATTCTGATATATAATTTATTTATTTATTTATTTATTTTGCTGAAATGTGCAAACAAGCTATTTTTATGAAGTTGTTCAAGTGAAGGTGCATGGTCAGAAAAAAAAGTGATAAATATTAAGAATACACTGCTATATGCCAGTTTCTTCTTTCTTTCGTTCTAGTAGTTCCTTTTTGGAATTTGAGATTAAAATAATCACCATTTTTCTAAAACTCTAAAAACTGACTTTTTACAGCATTGTATATTGTATATATATTCTGTACACATGTAAATAAGACTCATGTACATATCTGTTTTTCAATCTAAGTTTCTTTATCCTTTAATTCTCTCTTCTTGTATCTGTTCTATGCTGCTGTAAATTTGGAATTTCCTCCCGTGGGACTATTAAAGTAGTATCTTATTTTATCTTATCTCTCATTGTCCTGCACAAGTCATACAAGCAATATTTGTTCTCAAAACCCTGAGAATCTCCGGGTTCCTGGACCAGACTATAAAAGTTCTGTGCTACATGGAGTTCCCATGAGACCCTGGGGACTCCTCTAAATGAAAATGGTCGTTTCCCCGGGTCAAAGACAATATTTCACAAACAGGCCTATAGTGTGTTGACTTTATTTGTTTTTATTACATTTTTATCAAAAACATTTATTGGACTTTTTGCCCAAAACAGGAGAGGACAACTGAAGAGAGACCCATGAGTACCATCACCCAATGTCGTAAAGATGTGGCTTTTGCTATATTATGTATTTGTTGTGGATGCAAATAAATAGAAACTAGATCTTTTGCCAATTTTTCTTATTTTCTCTACTACTTAAAATTATCAACAGTGATGTAACTTACAAAGATGATCAGATATATCACTTAATCATGACCTGTTACAGCCCCTGTGACATGATGTGTGCCCCAGGGTCCCAAATAACATCTGAATGATGTAACTTTGCACATGGTTTAACTTTTATTCGTAAAGAGCGGTGAAGCATCAACACATTAGCATTGTAATTAAATCATGTTCAAAGCTATTTTTCTTTTTTACCTCGCAAAGCCCTGACTGTAGAGTTTCTCTGTATAAAATGAGACTTAAAGGGATATTCCGGTGTAAAATTAATTTAGGGTCAAACACATCGTAACACCGAGTTAGACACCCCCTCAAGAGATGAATGTTGCCGACCGCTTGCTTCTCTAGTTATACCAACTTTAGTAACGACCGCAGGATAGCAATACACAGCGGTCTGAGGAGCCACGCCGTCAACCAAAACGCCACTCTATAGTCACAAATAATGCTCAGAACAGCACCTAACTTCATCAACAGGACATATAGGGTCACAGACATAGTACTAGACACCAAACATCTTTTTAACTTTGACTCATTTCTTTAACAAAGAGACTAAACACAACTCACCTACTCTCTTCCAGCAGACGCTTGTTTGTATGGAGACCTCAGGCCAGTCCATTACGGACTACAGCGGGGTGACGCAGCTCAAGGAAGAACATTTATGATTATTACTTAATGGAAATACAATCAGACCGAGACGCTAAGGCAGAAGAACTACCGTGTCTGCAGAGAAAAATGATTAATATGGTGATTATTACTTCAAGGAAATGATAGAGAAATGATCATAAATGTTCTTCTTTGAGCTGCGTCACCCCGCTGTAGACCATAATGGACTGGCCCGAGGTCTTGCTACAGCGTCTGCTGAAAGAGAGTAGGTGAGTTGTGTTTAGTCTCTTTGCTAAAGAAATGAGTCAAAGTTAAAAGGATGTTTGGTGTCTAGTACTATGTCTGTGACCCTATATGTCCTGTTGATGAAGTTAGGTGCTGTTCTGAGCATTATTTGTGGCTATAGAGTGGTGTTTTGGTTGATGATGTGGCTCCTCAGACCGCTGTGTATTTCTATCCTGCGGTCGTTACTAAAGTTGGTATAACTAGAGAAGCAAGCGGTCGGCAACATTCATCTCTTGAGGGGGGGTCTAACTCTGTGTTACGGTGAGTTTGACCCTAAACTAATTTTACGCCAGAATATCCCTTTAAATTAAAAACATGTCTTTCTTTAAACTCTGTTTCATGAGTACAAGACATACAAACTAAAGCAAGTAAAAAACTGTATAAAAAAATGTTCAGATTTCGATGGAAGCAGGCATGAGTCTTTTGCCGGTTTGTTCCCGGCTCTTCAAACCCTGAAAAACTCTGATGATGGACTCGGCGTAGAAAAAATGTGGTTTGACCTTTTCACTGGAGACATTTGGACCACACAGACTGAGCCTTTACATGCTTCCCTTTACCCTTTACAGCAACAGTCACAGAAGATGATGATCGTACAGTAACAGTGGTTTGTACGGAGTGCTTATGTGCCGTGTTTCACTCATTAAGACCCCCTAGACACACGGAATGACAAGACATGCAGTTCCATGTAAAGTTTTTCCTCCCCCCTCAGCCCGTCACTCACAATCACTGCCTCACACATATCCTACATGCAGCAAATGTCAGACGTGAGTACGGTGTCTGTGTGCCAGTGTGTAGATGTTGGACCATTGACAGGCGTCGAAGCAGCTTGTTGAACTAATAACCTAACTAATGTGTCTACATCCCTCCCCGTTTACCTCCCTCACTCCCCTCCCCTCGGAGAAACTGACATTTAAAAACCCAGCAGAGATAGGAAAGAAGGAGTAAAGAAAGGAAGGACCAAAAAAAAAAGGGAAAAGGAGTGGGTTGACAAGCGGCAGACCCCCTCGCCCTCCCGTCTGACTCTGTCTATCTCCCCCTGGCTCCCTAAGGGTTTGTCTCTGAGGATGGTGCTATGATGAATAGGCCTGTCTAAGCTGACCTAGCAGAGACCAATTAGAGAGGGGGAGAGAAAAAGAAGGAGTAGAAGAAGAAGAAAAAGAAAGATGGAAAAAATGAGAGAAACTGAAGCAGAGGGATGGTAAAAGACAGAGTGGGAACTGGAGGCCAGATAGGTTAAAAAAGGAGGTAGGAGGGAGGAGTGGGAAATTTAAGACAATGCATGTTGGGAGTACGGTTTGTCTACAAGTGTGTGTGTGTGTGTGTGTGTGTGTGTGTGTGTGTGTGTGTGTGTGTGTGTGTGTGTGAGCTGTCAGTGCTGAGGGAGAGGCAGTATGAGAGGGGTCGGCCTCTTAAGTCTTAACCTCGTCTGCTGCTGCAGGAGAGGCTTTGACAGCAGAGACGCACAAACAGGACTGACCCTCACAGAGCACTTTCTCCTCCTCCTCCTCCTCCTCCTCCTCCTCCTCCTCCTGCAGAGAAACCGTTCACTACTGAGCTCCTTCTTCTCTAACTTCTTCCTCCTCTTTTTCAGCTGATTATTGAGTTAGATTAAGTACATTAAGAAACCAAGCTCCAAACCCCCAAACCTTAAGCTCACATAAAGATCAGACTTCTATATACATGCTTCTGTTTGCCAGTCGTCTTTCAGGTTACCAGAAATCACCTCGACCAAAGAGCACAGGTAACAGGGACTTAACTGACATCTTCTGCACTCTTTAAAATTATTAAAACAGTGTTTACCTTCTTTTTTTGTACTGTAATGTCTGGTAATCCCGCAAAGCCCAAACTTTTTTGTTGTTGTATGAAACTTATAGGCTTATAGTGTGTTGACTTGATTAATTTTCTTTTATGAAAGATAATCTGTCATGAGGAGAGAGAGCAGAGACATGCTCTAAATAGCGACAGGATCATATGATCATGTATATGATATAAATGTTTTATCACCTGGCTCTCTTGCTAATCATTCTGCTATGTTAAATACTTGAGTCCAAACCCCATAACATTTGTTATTTCTAAATCCTGAGACCACCACCATGGATATACAGATCATATATGTCATATTAAATCAATATGTGGGAAAGAAAAGCAACCACAAACTGCATGGTACTGCAGAGTCACAGGATTAGAGAAAGGAGAAGAAAATTATGACTGAAAAGTTTTGGGTAAAAGGACCTTAAGTCACTTCCTGTGGATGTTTATAATGCCTATGAAAAACGCAGAACTGTATGATGAATGATAATGTGACGTCAATCTTAGTTACTACCAACAAATGGCCTAATCACACTGTTGCCATTGAAGCACCTATGACTGTTGAATCTGAGGAACTTTTTTTTAGTTGGGATTATATTTTATATGATCTCCTGCTCACCATACATTATCCCTTACTTACATTTGCAACACGGTAGGGCTGGGCAATAAACCTGAAAATTTACCGATACTGAAATTTACAACAATAATTGACATCATTTTGCCCATATCAATATGTCTGGTGTCAAAAAAATAAAAAAATAAAAATTGGTTTTGGGTGTGTGTAGGTAGGCTACGGTCTCATGTCCCTTTAAGACGCTGTCCTATGTCAGAGACGTGACTCCACCCCAACCAGTCCGTAACAAAGAGGGAGAGACAGGTGAGGAGATGGAGGACGGAGAGAAAGTTGAGCAGTAGACAAGTTAATGTGGAGTGAGCAGCGTGAGTAGTTATCGTCCATTTATCGTTATCGAGATGAACTGATCAATATATCATGATATTGATTTGAAGCCATATCGCCCGGCACTACAACACGGTTTTATTGTATTGTCTTTTTCATGGTCTTTAAACTTTGACACTTTTCAGTGAGTTGGCATGTAAACTTTTCCCTTCAGCTTTCCTTTTCACGTGATCTGAAATTGTACCTCTCTCTAAATTTTGGCTTCACACTCAGGTCCAAACTGGCCTCTGATCAAATCCCACAAACAGAGTCTGCCGAGCTGATTTTCCTCCATCAGACAAACATTTGACAAGCTACTTCCTCGCTCTCTTTTCCCAAAAACGGAAAAATCTCTTCTCCTTCCTCCTGATGATCTCCCCACCAATATCTGAGACAATTATAAATATCCCGCTTCCCATTTATTACCAACAATTAAACAGCATGGTTGGAGGCTACTTCATAAACGGGGAGGAGAAAGGGAGCGGAGGAGAGAGCGAAGGCGAATGCGAGCGGAATGAAGTAGAGTCAACAGTGGGAAAGAGAGAGGAAGGCTGACAGCACAATTAAGGTTTTTAATTCTCTGCTTGAGTGGGCCGGTCCAGTCTTTATGCTAATTAGGATGCCACGGCCATGTAATAAATCTCTATGATCCAGCCTCATTTCCCCTCTGTCTCTCTGTCTGTCTCTTTCACACACCCACACACACTCACAAAGTTCATCCATTACTTTTTTACAGCTGCATCCTCAGGCTGGAGTCTTAATAGTTTTGATAAAAATTGTTTTTCTCTGCAAATTTTTAATGCTTCCCTGAGATCCGAGCGCCTCAGCGTGTCAGCGTAGACTGTTTACTGGTTGGCCAAGCATTCGCCGACTTGGCTCAACGCCTATACCACATGTAGTTTCTCTCCCTGTTAACTCCCTTTATTAGTGTTTTTCAGGAACCCGGTTTGCATACCCTGCTCTAAATAAACACACACACATTCAAAGGAGCAATGAATGCAGAAAAATTCTCTTATTCCTCTCTGTTTCCCTCTCATCCGCTCATCTCCATTTGACAGACATGTCTAATGATAACATCTGTAGATGGGGAGAAAACAGCACAACAATCCGCAGATAATTGGAAAGCCCTATTTAAAGATGAGGAGAGAGGGAAGGAGATAGATAACTGAAAAAACTGCAGCGAGCCGCAGCAGATATATTTTCACCCTCATTTAGGTCACGAGGACGCACACTAATCAGTTATTTTCTTCTGCTGTGTCTTATAAAGTGTCTGAAAGCCAATTTAGACATGGGATCTATGTAAAATCAGCTGCACTTGTATGTTCATTAAATAAATGAAGGTGAAAGCATGTCTAAACTAATTGAGGTGGGTTTTTAATCAGAAAAAGTAAAAATATTGCAATAAAAACATGTCGTCACAGCGGAAATCAGCCCTGCTTTGTGACTCTGCGACCAAAAATCCCCAGTCTGGTTTTGTTGGTGTAATTACCCTCTGGTTTCTCCTTCTTCGGCTGTGGTATTCTCTCTTTTGCGGTGTCACTGTCAGACATTTTGTGCCGCACAAGGATCAAAAAAGCCCCCACTCCAATCACCAAAGCCAAGTGGAGCAGGTACAGGGTGATATGGAGACAGGTCAGCAGCAGGGAGACACAGACAGAGGCGATGCACCAAGGCCCGGCCAGGAGCAGCAGCAGGGAGCGATAGATGCAGGTGAGGATGAGAGCAGGGACGTTCAGGACCAGTCTGAGGAGGGTGGAGGTCAGCAAGGAGTACACAGACAGAGGGGACAGGAGGAAAGACACCGCCGTCTCAGACACCGATACAGCCTGAAAAATTAAAATATGATAAGTGTTAACTATTTTAAAGTTGACATAGTTGAAGTTTCAGCTCTTTGTGATGTTCACCAAGTTTCAGCTCTTTGTGATGTTCTGCACCAGGAGATTAGTGGGCAGCTGGGTCTTAAACCCTTTTTTTTTAAAAACATAAACAGGTATCTTGTCTTTTGCTGCTGTTTTTTTTTTTTTCATAAAGTATTATGGTTTAGTGTTCTTTGGATCCTGTATTCATCTTATTAGACAGTCAAATGGTAAAAACATACAGGAGAAATTTCCAGCAGCCCTGCATGACTGAAAATTTTATTACATGTGACATGGGCTGATACTGTTTAGCTGCCAGGACTTTACTAATAAGTTTTGAGGCAGGAGAAACCAAATATTAATTATGCTCAAGTTGTTGCTCCTAATTTTTCACTTTGCTTTACATAAGTGGTTAAACCGGTTGATGGTTTTCCTGATTGTTAAAGATTTTTTATTCGATTTAACCTGAACAATGAGGCTTCTAAAACTACCACTGACCCAAGCAAGTGTGCTCAAGGACAGCCCTCCCACATTAACTTTGTCTTCTTCAGCCGCTACAACTTTCTCTCCGTCCTCCATCTCCTCACCTGTCTTTCCCTCTTTGTTACAGACTGGATGGGGTGGAGTCACGTCTCTGACGTAGGACAGCGTCTTAAAGGGACATGAGACCATAGCCTACCTACACACATCCAAAACAAACTTTAATTTATTTAATTTTTGACACTGAATATCTTGACATGGGCAAAATGACATTGATTAGTGTCATAAATTTCTGTAAAATCAAGTCTAAAAAAATACTAGATGTTAAATAGCCGTCTGTTGCTCAGTGGGTCAAGGCTTCCCTCCTTTGATAGAAATGATCAGTGCACCTCCTGATGGCATAGCTTGCTTTGTGAGGTCCTATATTGACTTTACAAAGCAGTGCCAGCATTGTCAGTGTTCATAGTGGGCCTTGACTAACATCATTAGTTTGCATCCACCTACCTTACAAGGATTTTCATGCACAATGTCATCAGGCTCCTGAGCGCTGAAATGAAGCCCTGAAATGAGCAGCCAGAGAACAACAGAAAATGAGGATGAGACACCAAAGACTGCAGAGTTTTGAGCTTGGGCGTTTATCTCATGAGACAAAAACTCACATAAGAAGAGGAGGGTCATAGCAGTTGCCAGCAGAAGCCTCATTTTCTCTTCACAGGTTGAATCTCACAAGCTAAAGAACAAAACAAAAACAGCTATAAGACAAAGCTGATACATGTCTCATTGCTGTCCATCATACATTTCCATCTCTACTCACCCAGACTTGATGTGTGGTGTGTGAGCTCACTCCTGCTGCAGACACAGATGCAGATTTCACACTGCCCTATATTCTGTGAAACAGTCTGAGCTTTAAAACACTAATCCTCCTCAGGACATTGTGCAAACATGCTCTGTTAGCCCCAGTTCTCACCCCAGACTGGACTGAGCTGCAGAGACTGAATTGAGGGTTTTTGTAGCGCCACCTGTTTGAGTGGAGGGTCAGTTTCAGGGATCATTTCACGCCAGCAGATAGACAGATTTTCACCTTATGTAAACCTGCTTTAAGTGCTGCAAAAACTGTTTTATATTATAGAATTAAACATATAAAATAGGGACGAAACATTAACCAGCAAAAACACAGGTAAGAGTTTTAAAAATGTGAAAGTACCTGGCTCATGATTGTTTCGTTCGACACAGAGAAGATGCAGAAAAAGGGTTCTGCATATCTTTGATGTGAATGAGGTGTCAGCAAGCTTTTACTCCAGCTGTTGTCCACACATTTAACACACACACACACACACACACACGCCTCTGATCCTCCAACCTCCACCCAGCAGGCGCCATAACCACCACAAGAATATAGACAATATACCCAAGGACGGTGTATGTTTTCTTTCTCATCTCCCAACCTTCACCCTCGTCTTTAACTACCATGCCCACCATCCTCCCCCCTCTCAGACACCATTAAGGTTAAATCTCCCCCCTTATCATTACCCCAACCCAGTGTTACCCTACTCCCCCCTGCTGAGATGTCAAGGAGAAGCTGCCACTAATAAATGCCAGTCAGCTGCAGAGCTATTATAACTAAGTGGCATCTCTGTGTTGGAGACAGAAGGGGGAGATGAGCCCAGTGTGGTTTTTTTTTTTCTTTCTGTTCAGATGTTTCAGGCAATGATCATCATTATTTAGCCATTCCAACAGTCATTACAATCACGCTCCTGCAGCCGCTCCTGCCATAACAATGATCATACACCGTTTTAAGCGTCAAAGGCTCATCATTGTCTTTCACTGTAGCTGAAAAAAAAAATCTAAATATCCAAAGTCCTGCGATTACACAACTCTTTCTACACTTCATGGTATGAATACAGCACAGTGGGAAGGGAGTAATCCAATATTTGAAATACAATTGCACAAAAATAGCTTAAAATTTGCATCACTCAGATGAATAAGTTTCTCAAACCAAAGTACAGTCAATGTTTGCTGTCATTTCACTAAACTGTCACCATCAAACTGTGCAGGAAGAGGAACAGAAGGACGGTGACAGAGTGTAAAACACACCACTGCTCCATCAAACTGCTGAATGAAGAGAAAAAAAATCAACATCTGATGTCAAGGTAGTGAGTAAATAGATCTCCAGGAACACAAGCATTTTAAATAAACCACAAACTATTTATTTCTCTCCTTTATCTCAGAAGACTTTTTAAAGACACAACATGACAGACAGTTTCGAACAAGACAAGCACCAATGAGAAATAAAAAGAGGCTTCACACGAGACAACCATGTAAAAGTGTCATGATGGAAGATCTGTAAACACGTGTTCATCACAAAACAACGACGGTAAATTAGTTATGCTCTGCTTCTTTCTGTAATTCAATCAAGTTAAGCACCTAAAGGGGAGAATAACAACATCCAGACATAAATATGGTAAAAAGGTAGCCAGAAGGTTCGCTGTAAATAGTGCTGTTACATTTTAAACATATACACAAACCATCTCCAGAGGACTGACCCGGATTAAATTCAGCTAAGAGAGAAAAACAACAACATTCGGCATAAAAAATGAAATTCTGTACACGATCCGTACATGTGCAGGTACATGTAATGCTCATAAATTTGATGTAACGTGTTCTCTGGGGATTGCAGGCTAGCCTTAGGACAGTTTTAAATATTTACCATTGATAATTAAATACTGATCGTTATTGTGTGAAGACGACCTCAGCGAACAACAAGCTTTAAGACACGATTTTAATGCAATCTGTAAGGAGGAGGAGGAGAGCTAAAAATACAGACTTTTCACAACTTTAATATACTCTGCTTCTGTTTGTGGTGGTTGCATTGGGTTCACTTTTGACCCACTGTGGTGTAAACTGTGGGACCGAGACAGGCGGTCAGTACTGTAGTTCAGACAATCCACGATCATGGCCTCCAGGAGTGATCTCCCCAGGAAGTGCATTATTTAGATGCTGGATGTGGACAGGATGTCTTCCACCAGGTGCTTGTAGACCCAGGCGTCTCCTTTCAGTCTCTGGCGACGAACCCCGACCACCTCCGGCCTCTGCAGCAGACACACCTCCAGCTCGAACTCCATGGTGACCTTCCCAAAGTCGCCGTATGTCCGACATTTGAGTGTATAGCTGAATGAAAGGAGAAGATGACAGGAAGATGAGGACTGGGTCAAAAAAACTCAAGTCTGCCAATAAGAAAGGAGGACTCGTGTTTTTCTTTTACCCTTTCTGTGTGAAGTCAATGTTTTTCTCTGGCAGTATGGAGAGGATCTGGTTGAGGACCTGGTCTGGGTTGGTCTGGCTGGTCAAAGTAACATTGTACTGCACCTAGAGGGGAAGAAAAAGGTTCTGTGTTGAATACTTGTGTGACACTAAACAAGTCCTATCAGATGTGTCACTCATGTATACCTTGATCTTGCGTGGGCCGTCCCGCAGGCCTCGTCTCTTGCTGGGGGTGAGCATGGTGATCATCTTATCCAGACCTCTCTCCAGAGAACCAAACACCTTTCCACCTCTCTTCTTCTTCCCGCTGTCTCCTGTTACGGCCATGTCCAACGACCGAGACCTGGAGCGCACACCAAGTTGGAAGTTTTGAATTTTGGTCTCATTTAATTTGTGGTGCTCTGACGTCTCCATCATGTTTGAATGAACTTCTGCCCACCCCATCATTGAGAGTATATTCCATATTTGGCTACTAATGCTGCGTTCGAGTTACCTCAGAGGTCAGAAGTCCGAGCTGGCAATGACATCACACCCGAGTTACCAGCGTTTCAGATACCAAGTCGGAAAAAGGCAAATCGGAGGCGAAGACAAGATGGCCACACCTACGAAGCACTAAGATAACTTTCGTAGATGTAGCCATCTTGTTTCTGCTTCCGATTTGCTTTTTTCCAACTTTGTAGCAGAAACACTAGTAAATCAGGTGTGACGTCATTTCCAGCTCGGACATCTGACCTCTGAGGTAACTCGAATGCAGCATTACACACTCCTTCCAGTGACCTTTGACCCCTTTTCTTCCACCTCATGAGCACCATGGACCCTGAATGACTCTCACCTTCTCTCAGGACTGAAGGCCATGATTTCAATGTTTGCGCTCTCCGTGTTGTCTGCTGCTTTCTTCTTATTTTGCTCCTTGGAGGCGCTGCCACCACCTAATAAGACACAAAGAACAGTTGCAAAAACTTAAAATACTCAAGGTGAATTCTTTCCACAACTTAAACATATTAAATCAAATGTTTGAAATGTACATTTGGGTGTTGAAGACACTGATCATTGAGAGAAAAGGTTTGCAGTCATCAGTCATGAAAAAACATCTGTGGTCACTCTGATTTATGCCAAACTCTCCCCCTTCATGGCCTTTTGGTGCATCTTCAAATGGACTCATCGGTTCAGACATGCCCACTGTCTCCCCCCATTGTTCTCAAAGAGCTCCACTGACACTGTTGAGCTGTTCGTGAATCTCAGACATGTTAATGTTCAAGCCCTGTATGTCTGACAAATCTGTGAGCTATGATGCATAAGAATTGAACATACAGTACCCAGCAAAAGTCAGTACACCCCCTATGAAAGTAATGCATTACTCAGTATCTAATTTTATTTACCATAAGATGAAAATAAGGCTGACATGGTAACTAAAATTTAGCTTTGCTCTCAGAACTTTGATTGGGGTGAACTCATTTTTACATCCTGATTTTAAATTGAAAAAAATACTTTTTTGTATACGACTTAAAAAATCTTGTTTGCAATCAATGACCTACATCTGGGGGGAGTATTTTGTTATAAAGTCTGACGTAGAAAATGTTGATTTTGAAAGGAAACTAAAGGTTTTCTGACAACTCTGAAGGAGAATACTCATTAATGCTGAACACCGTATAACTGTTCACTATTTGATCAAATTAAAAGCAAACAAATGGACTAAAATGGTCGTTTTTTTAAAACTCAAAGACTCAATAAAAGACCAATGCAGACCTCTGCTCTTATCCATGTAACTGACCTCCTTTGACATTGATGTTGCAACCACAAAAGGTTCAGTATTCACAGAGACAAGGAGCCTGACAAATACACACATATGATGCACACAAACACACACACACACACACACACACACACACACACACACACACACACACACACACACAAAGACAGAGCTAGGCTTTGGTGGCAAGAGAACACATGTCACTACAGCCCACGTGGGACAGTGAGCAGAGGAAAGAGACAGCTACACCTGTCACAGCACACGCCTAGGGACAGACACACACAGACCACATTGTGTGTGCGTGTGAGTGTGTGTGTGTGTGTGTGTGTGTGTGTGTGTGTGTGTGTGTGTGTGTGTGTGTGTGTGTGTGTGTGTGTGTGTGTGTGTCAAAGCCAGCATATCTAGCCCTCTCACTTCAAGAGCAGCAGGGTGAACACAAAGCAGGATCCAGATTCCAGCAGGTTTAACACCAACTAGGTCAGCCGGGAGACTTAGTCCATTTGAGTTTAAAGAAGAAACCAATGAGGCCGGACGTCTTTGTCACTACAACAAATAATTAAGACTCTTAATGTCCTCCATTCATATTAGCCTCTTTCATTTCTAGACAAATGAACACAATTAGATCCCTGATAATAGCCTCACCTTTGAGCTGTCAGTGATAAGTGATAAGCCAGAGAGCGTGGTGGTGTGTGTCCATTTTTCAGAGGCGCTATGACAGCTAAATCACAGAAATATGAGTGGCTTTGGAATAAAAACAGGTCCAATAAATGAGTTTATTACCAGAAGACAATTTACTTGCAAATGTGGAGCATGTGGATGTGGCACTTGTGATTATGAGAGCTGCATGAGACCGAGCGAGGGACAGATTAATGAAAGAGAGCAACATGAGGAGGGGCAGTTGGCTAATGCAAATAATCTAATAGAGATTGTACTTCAAGCTCTTGTTTGGAGCGAAAAAACAATTACAGTGAACAAATAAACTGTCGTGTGAACGGAACCCTGCAACCACTACTTCATTCTTCTCAATGGCTGAGTGGAAAAAAAAAAACGGTTTCTCTTACCTTTAGGTGTGACTGGCTTGGTTTTAGTGCCGGTGACGTGTGTATTTTGATTCGGTGTGGTCAACACGTTCTTGTTGGGTCGGGGATTCTTCTTGTTGGATGCTGGAGTTCGAGGAGGTGGCAACGCGAACATATCGTCGTCTTTCTCCTGCACTGCTAGATTCTCCTTGTTCTCACTAATTTGCTCCTTGTCTCTGGCCCTACGCTCCTGGCGCTGCTGTGTTGTTCGCCCTCTCTCTGGGGTTGGGCTGTATCCATATCTTCTCTCCTCTGATGGAGAACCTACTCTCTGTACAAAGAACAGGAGGAGATACATGTTGATACAGGCACATCTAATGTTAAATACTCTCTGGAGTATTTTCTTATGGTAAGATCATTTTCCACATACTGTGTCTTTGGTGCTTGCAGCTCCATCTGGCTGACCTCTGACCCCCTTGGGTGTACGCTGTGTGACGGGCACCCACGGGCAATCATCGATGTATTCAGATCCAAAGTCTAAAGAACCGACAATCACTGGGTCTTCGTCCTCACTGAAGTGAAGGAGTTCTCTGGTCTGAGAGGTAGAGAAGAAACAAGAAAATGATTCATTACAACTTATCAGGCTGGTGCTTTAATAGCAGTTAAAAACCAAAGGCATTTTGGGAGTTGTGGTCCTGACTCTGACCTGTAGTCCCTGGTGCAGTGGAGAGCAGGAGTCCTCGCAGACTGTTCGCTCAAGGCGCAGACGGACAGGTTTGCCCCTCTGCTTCTTTGACAGCAACAGCAGGTAGGTGGCTGTGGTCTGATCGTACTGCCACTGTGGGAGTAAGGAGGTGTTCGATCATTTATAATTATGAAGACGCAAAATCAACTGATCAATATATTCAACATCAAGAACACACACCTCCTTGACCAGAGCTGTGGTGCTCTGCCGTGATCGTTTCATGTTGACGGCCATCTCAGTGATACAGTCCTCATCAATGTGGCCGAGCTGTAACAAAGACCCAGTTCAGTTCCCCAAAAACAAGACAGATGCTTCTTCTCTGTGCTTTTGTGATCATCACAGATGATTCTTTAAAGAGGATGAAGAGGAGATCACACAGACAGTGGATTTGTTTCAGGGAAATGACATTTGAGGTGATTCAGGTGATCTGACTTCTATCATAGTCGTTCTGGATAATACAAGGGAGAAAACAAATGGTCCAAATTTGTGAAGACATTAGTCTGGGTGCAGTTCTGATATTCTGTTTACATCTCTAATACAGAATCTTCATATTTGAAATGTATGTGTTTGCACTGTGCGTTTACCGGCTGCCTGCTGTGCCACTCTACAGGGCTGTTGTAGTCCTTCGTCACCCACGGATGGTCCAGCAGCTGACGAACAGTAAGACGCCGCTTGGGGTCCACCTACAGGTCAAACACAGAAACTACAACTCCATATACAAAGAACTACAAAATAATGCTATGCTGTACAAGTTCATAAAACTATTTTATAAATATATTACTACTTTTAACACCTTTACTTTAAATTCATTCATGAAGTTAAGTTAATGTGACAGAGAGATAACCAGCTAATTAAAACCTGTCTATAATTAACTGCTGACTTCTGGACAAGAAAAGGGAGACAGAAAGACAAGAGTAGATTTAAAAGAAAAAGGAGGTGATAACTGATTATGTACCTGCATCATCTGGTTAAGGAGGAGGACACTACCTGGGGAGAGCCACTGAGGGTTATCATATTTACCCCTCTGAAAACACGAAAGACAAAAAACATTATTAGACCAAACAATGATTACATGGTATTTGCTTTGTAAGGAAAACGAAAAAACATATTAATAATAGTCATAATAATATGGAACGGAGCAGGGAGGCATTAGCTACTTTATTGTAGCTTAGTGTCAGGGTATCAAAGATTGGTTTCTAGAAATATCAGGCTGCCGGGCAGATGTCACCACTCTTACTGTGATCTTCCTGTAGAGGATCATGCAGTTGTCGTCATCAAAGGGCAGGTATCCGCAGAGCAGAGCAAACAGCAGCACTCCCATGCTCCACACATCAGCCTGGAGATTCACACATGAGCACCGTTTCAGCTTCAAGTGTCACAGGTAGGATTTCACAGCTCAGTTGCACTGAGTCATGCATCAGCAAATATGATCAGGAAACCATGAAAAAGTAGAAATGTGGAGCAGGGAGGTAATCACAACTTTGAGGTGAAAAACAAGTCCAAGTTTGGGGGATTTCAATAAGCACTAATCTTGAATTTGCAGCCCAGATTGGTTGAAAAGTTAAAGATGGGCCTCTTACCTCAGAACCAATATATGCTTTTCCCTGGATGAGTTCAGGAGCGGCGTATGCAGGGCTCCCACAACAGGTCATCAGCTCATACCCCAAACCTCCCTGACATAAAGATTATCATTTGAAGATGTGACTTTTGCATATGTATGTCAAATTTTCATTTGGATTGCTATGTGCTATGCGTACATTATTTCCTATAAATCCTATATTGGTTTCTCTTTGTCATTACTGTGGTCCATTAGAAATAACTTTATCAGAAATACAAAGAGATAATGAATGTGTGACGAACCTTAGGTTTGGCACATAATCCAAAGTCAATCAGCTTCAGGTTATGGTCCTCATCAATCAGCAGGTTTTCCTAAATTCAAAGAAAAATACATTAATATCCAGTCACAGAAAAGTACGAACATCTTCTTGTAGTTTCACTCATTCACACTTTTGTGAATCAGTAGCTGTTCTTACTGGTTTGAGGTCTCTGTGTGCGTATCCCTGGCTGTGGACGTAGGCCATTGCAGACACGATCTGTCTGAAAAACACTCTGGTCTCCTCCTCTGATAGCCGGTCCTTTGCTATAATGTAGTCAAACAACTCTCCACCTGGACAGTACTGAGACAGACACAGAGGGAACAATTAGATATAGAATAAGATGAAATGGTTACTCCACATTAGCGCCGACAAGCACACAGTCTGTGGATGTGGGGGCTTACCTCCAGCACCATGAAGATCTGGGTGGAGGTCTCTATGACGTGATAAAGACGACAGACGTGCTGGTGACTCAGGTTTTTCATGGCCTCTATCTCTACCTTCACCCTGGGGAGGTCATCCTGGGTTCAGAAAACAATTTGGTTTACTCACTGCAACTTTTAAATTCATGCATGTAAATAAATGATGAGACAAAAGGAGTAAAGACAGAATATGGAAGAAAATAGGCTGATGGAAACAGTTTATGAACGGGGTTTGAGACAATGTAAACATCAAAATGCAAACTTTCATTTAAAACATTAGATTTTTTTGCACATATTGTGTTAAAGAACATGGAATAAGAAAATTGGAAACAATTCCTGAAAATGCGAAAGAGTTACTTACTCTGGTTGTGGTTTTTATTGTCTTCAATTGTCATGGATTTCCCATATGGTGTGACATCTATATTCCCACATTGATTCTACATTTTCAATCCCATAAAAATCCAAAATTTATGTTGTAAGCAACATATTTATCAAATTTTGGTCAATTTGTTAGGCTGTATAACAAATCACTGTGTTTTTTGATTCTTTGCCTTTTAACTCAGCATGAGAGCTGTGTAATCTCTGTCCTTTATGTCTTTTTATCACTTTTATTTCTTATATGCTTTTGGGTTTTTATTTAATTTCCTTTTAAATGTTTTTTTTTTTTTTTACCTGCTTTTATTTATTTTCTTGTGATGTTTTCTGTAGTGTTTGTTCTTTTACATTTTACTGTGCAGCACTTTGGCGAACTGTAATGTTTTTTTTAAAATGTGCTATTGATAAAGTGGATTGGATATATCAGTGCTTGGGATCAGGGTGTTGGCTAAGGACAACAGCACCAATTCAGCCATGATAGACATTTCCATAGAGACTGTTTTCAGTTAATGTTGGGCTGTTTTTAGTGCAAGCATTTATAACAACCAAGTGGACAGGGGTCTCTTTCACTCACCCCCAGATCCTTCTTGTTCATGATCTTAATGGCCACCTTCTCTCCTGTCAGGATGTGTCGACCCAGTTTGACCTTAGCAAAGCCTCCTGAAAATATAGGAAACACGGTTTGTAGTACAAATACGGAATGATGTGGCAATAGCTAATCTGTTTCACCACTTAAAGCAGTCATTACCTGAGCCGATGGTCTCATAGATTTCATAGTATTTGTGAAGCTCGTCCACTCCACGGTGTTCAGTCCTTTCCACGGGCATCCTCCCTGCTCCAGCTGCACACGGACAAACCTCCCTGTGGAGAAAGAAAACGGTTTACAAGAGCTGTTTTTGCACTGAATTCACCGAAGAACTCAATAAAACACGAAGTCCTTTCGTCTTTCGACAAAAGTAGCATTTTTTCAGGTAAGAAATGCCATTTAACGAAGAAAAAGACAGTCTGCTCGAATTATCATCCTTAACACACGTTTTTGTAACACAAACTATAAAACACTAACACTCGCAAAGGTTAAAAAACTACCTGAATTTGTTGGAAAACTACCTGAATTTGTTAGAAAACGGGATGGGATGCAGTTAAATCCAGTGAACAACCATAAACCGTGGAGGAGAAAAGCCCTCCCAATGAGATGTTTTGTTACACAAGTTTGAATTTCGCACGTTGACGTCGAATCCACTTCCTGCTTCCGGTTTGTGCGTCGCACGCCCTCTTGTGGTTAGGGTTGGTAAAACTAGAGAAGCAAGCATTCGGCAACATTCATCTCTCGAGGGGGTGTCTAACTCAGTGTTACGGTGTGTTTGACCCTTAATTAATTTTACGCCAGAATATCCCTTTAAATGCCCCTGCCCTGCCTTGTAAAGCCATATATAAATACAGTATTTCCTGATATAAACAGCATATTTTTTCAGTCATCTCTACCAGTATTGTTCTTACTCATACAAATGCAGCATTAAAAAAGTTTCGCAGCATTACTTGTTGTGGTTTTTACTTTCCTGTGCATTTGTTGGCAGGTGTATTAACCTGGATGGGGGCAAACATTGTTCTGAACCCCAGAGAGAGAGAGAGAGTATTTTTCATCTTAGAAGGTGTGAGCCTTCACCTGTGCAACCATTCCAACCTGTAATTAGGAAGAGGTGAGAGGTGAGCTTGGAGACCACTGGATGCATTTTAACAGACCTGTAATAACTAAACAACCACTCTCACTGCCAAAGTTTTCTTCTAGCTGTAGGCTATAGGCTACTTTGCTGTCTTGTTACTATCTGACTTCAAATGCTTCTCACAGGGACTCTTAATGCACTTGTTTTTCCAACTTTGGAAGATTAGTTTAAGATTGAGTGTCTTGGGTCTCAGTTATGCTGACAGTAAAAAGTCAGACAAACTTGTTTATCAGAGGGAAATATCCCTACCTGAGACTCTGCCAACACTGACAGGCAGCTGCAGAGGAATTTCAGTGATTGATCGGTGGTCGCCCAGTGTTTCTCGTGGTCGTTAGGGAAGAAGTTGGTTGTTAGGGAAGTAACCATGGGTTAAGGGATGTCCAGGTGTCAGCGGTATGACAGAACCCGTCATTTGGTTTCAAAGGCAGCTGGATGGGATGGGACACAGGGACATCAAACAACCCGCAGCTGGAGGAGAAAAGAGAGGGAAGAAGAAGAGTATAAGGAGAGGAGACAAGGAAAGTGGAAAAGGGGGAATGGAGAAAAGGAATATAAGAGAGTGAGTGAAGTGAGGGAAGTGTAAGAAAACAGAGAAAGTCTCGAGGACAAACCTTGAATTTGAGTGCTGAGATAATCTCTTTTGGACCGTATTGTTCATTCTCACTGTCTTGTAGCGTTTCATCTTCCTTTGTTCTCTATTATTCTGTGGTCAAAGGGGCTGAGGAAGAAAAACACTAACTAAAACACATTTTGAATAGTCACACATGTTTGATCCTCTTAAAAGCACTTTGGCTTTGTAAAATATCTTTTTAGATCCATCAGCAAGAGTCCCTTCATTCCCCAATCTGCATGAGCTCACAACCTTTACTGCACATTAAAACATATTTTCAATGAACTGTAGCAAAGTGTAAGCCAGAGGGTGTTTCCCCCTCTGGGTCCTTTTATAAGATACAACTCAGAAGAAATGTTTTTCTTCTTTTGTGAATAAAAAAAAAATTATGGTTGTAATGCTTTGGGAGGGCAAGTTCTGTTACAGTCAATGATTTTAACAGACATCTCAGGCCTTCCATGGCCATGGCCAGCCTGGGTTTGGATGAGGGTTTGCCTGTTAAGTTTCATAAACACAAACTCTAGAGCTGAATCTTTGCAGCACACAGTTGCTAAATCCATTCTAATACATCGAAGAGTCGCAAAGTCTGAAAACGAAATATCTTGAGAGATTCTCCTTTCCCAACGGGTTGCCCAGGGCCTGCTTCATGCAATGTCTGCACAAATGCGCGTCTGTTTGCTTTTACATGTCACCAATTTAATAAATAATGTGTAAAGGAGCTGCTGTGCCACTTCAAATTGCTCTTAGGACTCATGGCATGTGTGTATATAATCAAAAATGACAGCTATTAAGCCGTCACAGTGGAAAACAGACGGTGTAGCCTGCACAGTTCCTGTCTTGGATGGAATTCCTGGTATTCCTTGTCAGACTTTTGGAGGCTCATGGAGTCCCTCTGTCATAGCTCAATGACATATCATTGCGGGGGTCTGGCGTCTGAGATCTTGCTGTGTCCCAAAGATGGGGATAAAAAAAAGAAAAAGTCAAAGCATGTAGATTCAGTGTGCTAAGATGTGGAGTCAGTAGGTGTATGCGGTAATAATGTTTTGCGGTGCAGGCTCTGAGTCCTATCGTGTGTTTTAGGTCAAAGGTGACGACACAAAAACACAGGGATGAGCGCAGACAGAGACAAAAAGAGCCACGAGCGATTAACTCTCTCCTTGTGTCGATTGTCCTTACGCGACTTTTCTTTCTCACTAACGCTTCTTTTACTGTCCTGATCATTTCACCCTGTATCACAGATGTTGCATCATTTTTTATTGCTTTATTCACACATATGTGCCTCGTATATCTTTGTGGCTCTCCGGACACAAACATTAACTCCCACGCGAGCGCGTACACAATCAAAAGAAAGAGAGGTACTCAAATGAGTTGGGAAAATTCTCAGCCGTGGTCATTTCACACTCATGTTCTGAACAGCTGCGGCGTCTGTCAACAAGGGAAAAATCTGACATGTTTTGGTTTTAGTGACTCCATACAAGCACTAAACAGGTAGGAAAAACCCATCAGCTCTGTTTCTGGCCTCTGAATTCCTTCTTTCTGCATCACTGAGTGAAAGTGAACCTTTAAAGTGGTTTGTGATATTTATAACTCTCACATCTCCTCACTTTGCTACATAAAACAGCGGAAAGTCAGAGAGCTGAGTATGCTGCACTACATTGTGTGTTACGAGGGTGCTTTTCCCGGAGCTGAAATACTCAGCGCGGGGAGGATATTACACCCATATGTGCCCCCTGATCATGAACGTCTATTAAGCCTTTGGTAGTGTGTCACAGTGGGGGTTTGATCTCAAGCCAGTGGATTTACAGTCATTTCTGATCTGGTTTCACTGTTTCCCAACATGGTATGGTGTTAATATGAGTCATGATGAAATTGGCATCCTTTGAGAGCAAATCACTGATGAGAGAGAATGAAATCACCTCTGAAATCAACTCCATTTTACAAGAACTCTGCTCTTTATGAGATCAGATAGAGGATGTTATAAGTTGTAAATCGATTGACATATTTTTTGTATTATCATCAGACCAGGCTATTGTTACTGCGGTAATTTCAATTTATATTTTCATCTTTCATTTTCTTTATAATCAGTAAAATGAAATAAAAACTTGAACAAGGCTTTCTGGCTTTATACAGTGAAAACAAGAAAAGGGTGGAGAAGTCAGAGCTCAATCAAGAGTGATGTGTGTCCAAGACTTCACAGGAGAGTTATTGGTTTTGGATTAGACTTCGGCGTACACTTCAGGGGCCTGTTTCCTTGCCATAAACACACTTCATGAGCTGCCATAATGTTCATACTTAGGTAAAAAAATAGACGTGACCTCGACTGGAAACAGCGTCAAGAAATCTGCCTCTCCAATTTTCAAAATACTTTCTTCCAATGTTTCCCCCAAACTTAGTTTGTTATCCCTCCCACCCTTCGAGCTAACCCCACCTCAAACACACACTCCCCCATGAAACGTGCGTGTAAGTATGTGTGTGTGTGTGAGAGAGAGTGTCCTCCTCCTTCAGTCTGTCTCTCCATGGCTGGATTGTGGCTGCAGCTCGGCTCCCTGCGGCAGGGTCAAGCGCTGACTCTCCTCCACTACCTCGTCTGTCTTCTCTACCCACCTTCAGTTGCTCTTTCCAACATCAGCAAATCCCCTCTGCAGGTAAGACATCCACATGATGATGATGATGATGATGATTAAAAAGACAGGAGTAACAGTCTAAGATAGCTATGTGCATGTCATGTTTGCAAAATTTTCAGAGTTGAATTATCATTTATGAACTTTAAAGAAAATGTTCAACTTTCTAACAGTTGTCCTACATCTAAAGACAACATTAAAACATAACCTTTGACCCCCAGATAAACTTAAGAGAGCTGGTGAATAACAGCACAACCAGCCTTTGAATACAGTTGGATAAAATGGCCAAATTCCTCACAAAACATCCAGTTTTTTTACAGATTTTAAAAAGGCAGGAAAAGTGAGGTCGAGTAGCGAGAGGGCTTAATTCAATACATAATATACAAGAAACAGAAAGGGTAAACTCCAAAATAAAGATCTGCATTGAGAGTAGAAAAATAGAGTGGAAAAGTTCCCCAACTCAAACCAACTGTTGGACTGGACTGAGGGAGCTGTGGGATTTCAAGCAAGAACAGGGGAGAGAGTTAGAGAGTATGATGTATGAGTGAAAACAAGGAGAAAAGAGCTCGAATGTGAAACAGCGGAATCGAGGATTATACTGTTCAAACACACGCCTGTGATGGTGGCACTTAAAGTGTGCAGATTGTGCAGGTCGATGTGCACGTCTGAGCACATGCAGTGTTTGTACCTCTGGTTTTGTGCGCCTATAATTGTGTGACTGTGTGTGTTGGCAGGAGTTTGAGGTGGTTAAGGGGAATTTCTCTCGCATTTTCCTTCGTGTTGGCTACCATAAGATTGCAGAGATTCCTGCCGGAGCACGCAACATCAGCATACAAGAGACGATAAAGAGCAGAAACTACCTGGGTACACACAAACTTGTAGATACATACGGATTTAGAGTTTATTTTACAGGAAGCACAACAGTAACGGATGGGTATTTGGTTTTCCCTCAGCTCTGCGGACACAAACCGGCGTCTCCATCATCAATGGAAACTGGGTGATTGACAGGCCGGGGATCTTCTTTGCTTTAGGAACACAGCTGATTTACCAAAGACCAAATGAAATCCGCTCTCGTACTGGAGAGTCGATCACAGCACCTGGACCGCTCACTGAAGACCTACATGTTTTTGTAAGATCCTTTTTCTGTCTCTCATTCAGATGCACCAAACAAAGCTCCTTGTACTGTCATCATGTACAAAATACTCCTCAACTCTCTCTTTATGTCTTTCCCTCAGCTGATCTACCAACAACCAAGTCCAAGTGTATACTATGAATACACTGTGCCTATACAAAACACACACCCAACTCCTGAGCCAGTCACACCTACTGATATTCTACCCTTGGGTAAGTGAACACACACTCTCGTGCACGAATGCACAAATACACATTTAATGGAGTGACCCTAAATGACCACAGTGCCATTTTCTCCGACTTGATATTCTGCTTTGCCATCAGAGAGCATAACACATAACAGATGCTTTGTTTGTGTCTGTGTGTGCAGCACAGAGTCTTGTGTGTGTGCATATATGTGTGTGTGTGTGTGTGCATATGTGTGTGTGTGTGTGTGTTTCGTTCAGATTTCCCTCCAGTTTCTTGATAATGCCAAATTTGATTATTTTCATCAAAAAGTTCCTTTATAAATTGGATTAGGATGTTGATGACATTTGATACAGTAAGACAGCCAAACTTTGTTCTGGCAGAAATCTCTTGACCTCACACTTAGACAATAGGATAACCGGTCACTTGGGCAGATTTGATTTCATTACTTAATGTTTAGTCTTTATTTAAGAGATTAAAGACACGACTCAAATTTCTGCTGACACTGAAAATCAATTTCTTCAGTTCTAAGATATCTCCTGGACCTTCTCAGTGTTCCTGACTGCCCCAAAGATCCCACAGACATACATACTTATGGTTGCTCACTGGGGTAGAGGTTCGATGAAGAGCTGTGATCCATGTCAAAATATCAGAATCCAAAAATAATGATCATTTTTAGTGTTCTAATGAGATAAGATTTAGTCATATTATGGGTTAATACAATAAATCCAATAACTCATAAGCATCTGTAATGTTCACAGGAATATGATGTAGCCATGGCAAAATAGCGCCATCTGTTGGTAACACTGCATACACCCAGAGTCAGTCTTGACTGCATTTTTTTGTGATAAACTTTTTAATTTAACTGAGAAAAGGAGAAAGGTACAAGTCAGTGTTACAGCAATAAATAATAAGATATATATTCAAATACACCCATACCTATAAATGTATATACATACATAAAGAATAAAAAATAAATAAAATGATAAATGTATAGAAATCAGTAAAATAATGATAAAAACAAATATACAATAGGTTAAACAGTAACACTTAGACCACTTAGTGTTACCACTTAGAACGGTAACACTTAAACGGTAACACTTAGACCATTTATAAATGGTCTATTTACCATTTATAAATGGTAAGCAGATAGTTTATTAATGTTTAATCATCATTTATAAATAGCATATAGACCATTAATAAATTGTAAATTTTACCATTTTAAAAACCTAACCTTGACCCTAACTTTACAACAACCATCTAAGTAATGTTTATAGATTGTTTAAAAAACAAATATTAACCATTTACAAAATGCTACTGACACACATTTAATCTAGATGTTTTAGAACTGATATTTAAACCCTTTATAAACCTTTAAAAAAATAGTCCATTAATAATTAATGAAAACTATTAATCATAATTTCATTGCTTGTTAATGGTAACAATAAACTATTAACTTACATTAATAAACCATCTATTTGCCATTTTTAAATTATGGTGATTGCAAAGTATTAGCGGTTGAACAATAATTACATGCTTAAAATGCTTAAAATGCATTACAGAAACCTAACAGCAAAGACTAAGTAAGAACAAACATCAGCAAACAGTCAATTCATGTAACTACTAAAACTGTAGTTTGGAAGTTGCTGAAATAAAACCTGGAATGCAGAAAAATGACGCAAAGCTTATTCTACCAAAAAGGTATGTGGAGATGAAAACCTTCATGTAACACAATGCTTTCCAGTGGTGTACTCAAGGAGGGGCAAGGGGCAGCAAATATATGTTTTACCTTGGCAGCTTCATAAATATGGTGAGCTGCAAGAGTCCACGAGACTCTATTACCGTGTCCAAAGAAACCCCACTCCGTAATTATGGAAGACTGCCTGTAGGAGCTCAATGTTCCCACTCTCAGGAATTTATCCACTTTGACTTTTCCTCATCAGTGACTTAAATCTTGCATTTTGATTCTGCTCCATAATTAAAAAGCAGTTCCTTGCATGTCAGGTAACATCATATCAACCTTACCCCTCTTGCAGTGACAGCAACAGGAGCTCAATCCCACCCAGGGGAGGAAAAGGTCCACCAAGACGACATTACCAACAATGACATCATTAAAGAGCAACCCCACCCTAACCAGGTTCCCAGTGTGACATCTAATCCCCATCCCACCTACACCTGGAGAAAGAGCAGGCATTCAGAGTGCAGCACGACGTGTGGTGTTGGTGAGGAGACACATTTGGGTTTTGGGAAGGTGTAACTGCACATGAGTGTTATTTTTCCTAACAAGAAAGATTTGGGTTTCTTTCAGCAATAACAGTACGCTTGTGTTACACCTTTCACAAAAAGGCCCAATCATGTTGACAGTATAAAGACTTGAGGTTATAAAAACATGCAAATTTAATGTTATGTGATCTGCATTGATGTACACAGACGCAACTAAAAGCCCTGACTGTTAAAACCAGCTGATGTCAACCTAAAGGGCTGCGATTAGTTACTAAATTTATCAGATTTGAAGATATCAGAAGTTTGATATTTGTCAAAATAACAACTTCATGTGTGTGTGTGTGATGTTTTCACAGGCAAACAAACCTGTTAGCTTAGTTGTCTTTGTATTCTGTTGTGTTTATGTGTGTTTTGTTAGGCAGGCGTCAGGTACTGTGGGAGTGCGTTGAGAAAGACTCTCAGGTGACCGTACCTGCTGACCTCTGTGCCACTACCCTCCAACCTACACACCAGGACGAGGAATGCAACATGCAGCCATGCCCTGCATAGTGAGTGGACCACTCACACCTCTGATGCCACATACTGCACAGACCCAGAGCAGACATACTGCATGAGACACAAATACATGCACATTAGTTCCACACAGCGCTGTGATTCTCAGGGTGAAACCTTCATCTCTCACACACATTTCAGCCATGAGTCAGTCAGAGTCAACCACACTGAGTTAATTTGTTGTGGTTTTGGTTTCAATGACTTGTGGGAAATACTATGAGATACTACTGCAGCCAAAATGTGGCATGGTGTCTGTGCAGGAAGGGTATGTTTGGTTTTGGATCCTTTAAAGACATTTTGCTCAGATTCAGTGATCCTTGACAGCTGTCAGTCTGAAATATATCTTTCTATTGGAAGAGCAGCAGCAGGGTAGTATAATATTGAAATTTCTGTAATAACTGAACAGAGGGAAAAGTTTATGCCAAACAAATTGTCTTTCTCTGCAAGTGTCTTTAATATCTGTTGGGAGTCACTGAGTGACTGTGGTGTAGTGGTAGAGTCTGTGTTCTCTCAGTTGGAGGTTTAATGGTGAAAATTAGAGCAAGACACTGAATCCTAAATTACACCTGGTGACGTGGTCAGAGGTTAGTTGTGACATGTAGAGTACCTGCTGTGTATTTCCTGTCTGACTGTATCTCCTCCATCTGTGATTGGCTGACAGCTGGGACATTGGGGAGTGGTCAGACTGCAGCAGGAAGTGCGGACCCGGCACCCAGCAGCGCCAGGTCATTTGCCGCCAGGTCACTCACGTTCACGCCAATAGGACAGAGACCTCGGTTACCGTGGCACCAAAGCTTTGTGGACTGACTGATATGCCGGTGACCAGGTCTACATGTCAGCTGAAGATCTGTAGCCAGTGGCAGATCCTGTCTGAGTGGAGCCCAGTGAGAAAAACAACCACACACACACACACACACACACACACACACACACACACACACACACAGAGACACACACACACACAGAGACACACACCTCAGTATTACTGACACATCACTCTGAATGTAAACCACCTTAAAAATAAATTTCATGTGTGTTACAGTGGGGCGGGTTGTCAGTAGATACTCAATTACAAAAAAAAGACAAATCTATACTAGAACTGACTTTGTGCACCTTTTCCTTTTTACTACACGAGTTTGATCACATTCATTTGACGACTGGTTATGAATGTTGTTGTTTTATATCTTCCTGTTTCCCTCCACCAAGTGTTCGGTACCATGTGGCGTGGGCCAACGCAGCAGGGAGGTTGTGTGTATGAGCAACCAGGGGGATGTGGAGGATGATGAGGAGTGTAACATGAACTTAAAGCCAGACAATCTGCAGAACTGTGACATGGGGGCCTGTGCACGCAGCTGGTTCACCTCCCTCTGGAGCCAACAGGTGATATAAAAACTAAGTGTGTGTGTGTGTGTGTGTGTGTGTGTGAGGAGAATGGGACACAGTGAAGGAGACAAAATGAATCCATGCTTCAAGTCATAACGAAAGACTGCTGAAGAGTTTATGTGTGTGATGTTCCCTAGTGCTCAGCAGGCTGTGGTCAAGGCAATCGAACCCGGGAAATAGTGTGCCTAATGGATCATGTAACAGACCTCCCATTGGGCAGCTGCGAAGGGGAACGCCCACCAGAAGTGACATCATGTGATTCAGGCCCCTGTAAGGACCGCCATGAGTGGTACACAGGTCCCTGGGGTCAGGTAATCCACATTCATAGATACGTAATGGGAAATACTGACCATTTGAAGATTGAGCTTACCAGTGTGTGTGTGTGTGTGTGTGTGTGTTTGTGAAGTGCTCTGCAGAGTGCGGTAACGGTACACAGACCCGGAGTGTGGCTTGTATATTGAACAGTAACGGTGTGATGGAAGTTTTGGATCATGTAAAATGTTCCAGCCTCCCTCAGCCAATCACAGCTCAGCCCTGCAGACTGAAACCATGTGGCGTCCAGTGGTACGTCACAGATTGGAGTGCAGTAAGTGTCTTTAAGTCTGCCCCCCTACAAAGCTAAAACCCATGTGTGGTAATTTTATTTTCTGGTATTTTTGTCTGATTCTGATACAATACTAATATAAATACACTGGAATTTTGATCTATTTTCTATATTTGAAATTTGAATATTTAAACATGAAAATGAATTTTTTTGGGATTTCAAAATCAGTGTTCAACAAAACACAATCTAACTGAGGTCTCAGATTTTATTCTTGAATAGATAATTATATGACAAGAGTGTGGATTTGCCCTTTTATCACTATGACATCATGTTCACCTGCAAGAAGGATACTTTAAAAACAAAAGAAGGAATTATGTTTCATCCTAAGAGGAAAGTAGTTCGAAGATATCAAAAATGTCCAGCTGTGATCAGAGTTAACCAGGATATCAGTTTTTGGAGGGACAAATCTACTGTTGAAATTTTTTTCATCTTTAAATGCTTTGAACCCCAGAAACTCTATTCATCTCAGCTGTTTTGGTGCAATTGACAAACAATTCAAAGTTGGATTTTACACATTTTATGTACAAATTTAAAGGCCAAAACCAGTGAGCTGAAGATCTTAGAGGACAGTCATGTGTCAATTTCATGCCGTAAGTTATTATGAGTAAACAATGCTCACATCGGTCATACTATCACCTCCCATACACTTTTTGGTTAACTATCTCTGCCTTTGCTCTGTCTTCCACTTCAGTGTTCTCGCTCTTGCGATGGAGGATATCGTGTGCGTGAGGTGCGTTGTCTTACCGACAATGTGGTTCCAAGTAACCAGTGTGTCCCCAGTCTGACTCCAGAGAGCCGAGAAGAGTGCAACAAGCAACCTTGTGCAGCTGAGCTCAGTAAGACTATTATGTAGAGTTATTACAGGTCACCATCTAAAAACCTCTGAATTAGCGTAATAAGCACAGTGGCAATAAAAATCTCAGATCAACATGAACTATTTTGTAGCCCAAACTGTGATTTTTTCCTGATCTGAATCAAATTGTTCTCCATTTCTGTCCCTTTTCTTTCTACACAGATCCTTCCTGCAGTGACCAGTATCATAACTGTGTGGTAGTGGTCCAAGCCCGACTCTGCGTTTACCCTTACTACAGAAATGTCTGCTGTGCCTCCTGCTCCCGCGCCCAGAAATCATACCCAAAATCATTTCAAAAGAACTATATACACAGGTGATGACGGCAACAAAAGGTTACCCTCAAACTTATGCTCATTATTACAATAGACTAGTGAAAATGACAACCAGTAACTCAGTCAAATACACAACCCAGTAATCAGCTGCTTTCTTCTGAATGTTGCTGCACACAACAGCACACCACAAACATGACCAGTGAAATTATTTTTATGACACAAAAGTGGAAGAAGAACATCTTCAGAAGTTCTTCCTCTAAGGACGAGGCACACAAAAATCCATCATTGATGAGAGTTTTCTTCATGTATAGGCTTACAGGATGTTTCATTTCGGTGTGACCGTTCATATTTGATGGTGTTCTTGTATTTATTCTGAAGAGACTGTATATCACTTTCACTGTTACAGGAGTTATTAAAAAAATCTGGAGAAAGTCGACTGTTGAATGCCACATTTATATGTTATGAATAGACTGGTTTGCCCCTCAAAAATTAAAATAGCTATATGTGGTGTACTTGTTCACTTTCTAATTTCAAATATGCACCAATGAATCCAGCCCATAGACTTTATATAGAATTTCTGCCTCCTCGCTACGAAAACAGCACCCTCTGGTGACGGGCTGCAGTATAGGTCATAAATCCCACCTCCTCTAGCAATCCCTATGGAGCAAACTTTAGAAATTAATTACACAGGATATAAATCTTTCGCCCCCCTGGTTGCGATGTTGACATGTAGTTACTGTAGGACTGGTTTGTGCTCAAGTCCTCTTTTTTCTGTACAGCTCCATTTTTAAAAGATATTAAGGGGTTCATGTTTTCTGTGATTGACACTTGATACAGCCTATGGGCGCACAAAGATTGCATAGCTAACCCAAGGGATATGCTGTTTGAGCAAATCGCCAACACAGAGACTCTCCCGCCGAATGCGTGCGAAGCTACAGCACAAGCGGCGGTTTCAGGAAGTAGAGAAAATCCCAGAAATACAAAACAACTCGACTTCAAGTTTGTATCATGACAGAAGGTGGAGCCAAGTTGTCCAAAGATCTACGATCCAGCCAAAAAGAAATGACATCAGTTACGCACTCGTTCGAGATAGTGATACCATTGCTTTAATGGGACAGCTGGGCTGACAGCATGTAAAAGGCCTTAATTCAATCACGAGAACTTAAAGCACAGGAACATTAAATGAACACTGATGACAAATTCACATTGCATTCTCTTACTCATAAAACATATTAGAAGTCACATGGGGACTCTTTTACATACATACATACACACTCTCCCATTTTGTAACTATACAAAATCTTAAGTAATGTTCCCGAGGTGCTCCCGGGTCTTTTTGTGTCAGTGGATGCAAGGCTGCATTGGTAGGTCCATGCTAGTAGGCTGTTGAGGATGTGTAACAGGACAGGAATCTTTAGGGTGAGCCTGGGCCTTTGGCTTTGAGGGATGCAGGGTCCACATTCACAACAATATCCATGTTTGTCTCAACTAAAAATAGTTTGGACACCGTTTCCCCGAAAACATTCAAGGCTCTCTTTCCATGCTGTTAAACCTTAACTCATTCTAAATATATATACATATATTTCATCAAAGACACCAAGCTGGGGTTTTGTGAACAGAAATGGCAGCCACTTGTCTTTTTTGCTTTTTTCCTCTCGTGATAGTTCCTTTTTTTTGTTTTTTTTTTGTTTTTGCTTTGTCCTTGGCATTGAGTACCAGACAGTAAGACATTAATGTAATTTTTACTGAAGGGTTTAACAATAAACTCTCTAAAAACATTAGCTTCCCCAACCCTCCCCCCTCGTTTGTCCAACAACTGAACAATCACCATTTATACAAGTCAGTTTCTGAAAATACGATGGCAAGCAACATTTTCCACCAAAATTTCATTGTGAACAACAAAAAATATATTTCACTCCCCACGTGATTTGTTCAGCTTATTAAATGCAATAACTGGTTTGTTTTTCTTTGTAGCATCGTACCAACATTCACCGATTTCAATATTGTAGAAGTTTTACAAAGACATAAATATAGTAGGTTACAATACAGTAAAAAATACAAAATAAAGTTGATATAGTTTTTTTTTCTTAAATGATAATTTACCAGAGGCAAAGCCAGAAACAGATCTTTGACACTAGGCAAAAAACACTAGAATTACCCCCTGAGGTCAAATGATAAAAGAATAGCCAAGTCTCAAACCAGAGCTTAGTCCCCGGTGAGCCACTGCTCCTACGTCATTTAGAAGTAGTGCCCTCTGCACAGGACTGTAGGCAAAATGTGGGTGTCCTGTGTGACACATAGTCAATGTGTACATTTCAAGTGCACTGGTTTGGGTGTTATTACTACACTAGCGAGACGTTAAGCTAAGGAATACTTGAAGGCACAATTATCTGAGGCAGAGGAAGCCTCGGGAATCAAACGACAGTCGTGGTATCAAGGGTGAACGGTTCAAAAAAATATAGGAGGAACAAAAGGAGAGAGAGAGAGAGAGAGAAGTTTACAGTTTCAGGTATGGTTTAGGTCGAAGAATGATGAGGCAGTGAATCAAGATAAGGCCAAACGTCTTAAGATTGTCCAATCAGAACACTCCAACAGTAAAGAGGATGTTAAACCTGACAAATCCGACAGATTTGCAATGACACATTGGTTGAAATACCAGAACTCTTCCGAAGTTTTGTCATAGCCTGGCTCGCTACTAAGATATATCTTGTCATAGTTTAGTCAATTATATTAAACAAGGATTTTTTTTGCTCTTATGTCAGAGGTTGTTAATATGCACAATAATGTATAAATGTATGTTACACGCATATACATGGGCTTTAGTCTATAGAATATCTCAGTAAGGAGTACATCCAAGCATTCAGGGTGAGGACTTTGGCTTTGAAAAGTTAGTCTACATATGCACAAATATGAGACACATGTAGAAAAATGCACCATAGAAAAACGTACACGGGAATTTCAAAAAACAAAACAAAAAAAAATAATAATAAGGAAATGGATTAAATGGCTCACACACTGATCTACTTTCACATATGACCATTTACCAAACCACGCAAAACCATTTCCTCTCAAAACAAAGAAAATGGAAAACAAACAAAAACATGTTTTCAAGTGAGGCCCTTTCTTACCCTTCACGTTCAGATGTGTTCAGGGTAAAAAAAAAAAGAAAAAGAAAATGAACAAGACACTTAAAAAAAAAGGAACAAAGACCGGGTTCAGAGGGCTTCAGAGTCAGAGTCATTCCTCATGTGCAAGTCAATATAAAAATGCTACAAGTCGTACAACTCTGTCATCGATGAGACAGGTTCAGGGCAGGCCAAGTCCCCTTGTACTTTGCTAAATAAAAAGGGGCTTGGGTATTGGCAGGGCAGCTTGCTCAGAAGTGACAAAACGCACCGTCTCCACTCCCTGTATTATTATTTTTTCTCCAGCTCTTCATCTCCTCTGGTTGGCTGTTCATGTAAAGGAAGAGCGACTGTGGGAGTCTGCAACATCACATCAAGAGCCAAAACTAGATCTCCTTCCTTTGTCTCCTTTCTCTAACGGCAGACGAGTCACCTCTGCTCTCTACCCTGAAACGCCACTCCTCTCGCTTGTTCCTATGACTTCGGCTTGGGTCGGCCATCCCGTTTTGTTTTTCTATTTGTGAATGTGTGTGTCTCTCACTCGCTGTCAGTCTCCAGGTCTGAGTCAGACCACTGCACTGGGCTCAGTTTCCCATTGCGCTGGGCATACTCGATGACCGCTGTATAACAGAAGTAGTACTGGTCCCAGGTCTGGATGCTGAAAGCCCTTTGTGTACGCATCCGCCGCACTGTCTGACGCACATTCACGGTGCCGATGTCCTCCAGTCGGGACAGGCAGATGTCCAGTGTGCAGAACGTGCCTGGTCCGGGGGAGGAGAGAGAGACATTGATGGACAGAGAGAGCAGAAGGGGACAGTTACTAAAAGTTAAGAGGTAACAAAATAACTGAATCACAGAGGTCTGAAGTCCACGTGTTTACCTGTACGGCCGATGCCAGCGCTGCAGTGCACAACAACAGGGGGACCCCCGGGAGGCCCCGTCCAGCTGGCGCCGAGGCTCTCGACTGCCGCCTCCCTTCTTTGGAGTACATGTTCACGGAAGTCTAACATGGCTGAAGCACTTTTTGGCACCCCAAAGTCCGGCCAGCTAAGATAGAGGTAGTGGTACACCTCCCGTGTTTCTCCAGACTGAGGGAAGAGCACACAAGAATGTGAGAAAAGGAGTACCTGGGCCCATGTCTATGCTACATGACAGCATAAGGTGTCATTTTAAAGGGGAGCAATTCCAAACTCAGCTCTAATTAGATACTTTATAGCTTCCCGACCAAAGCTGTCACATCATTTGTAGGATCTCTCTGTTTAACTATGTTACAGTCTGACTTGTTTAAGGTGAACTTACACCGGTCTCACGACTTACCTGTGTGTTGTAAAGTTCAAGATGGGAGAGTTTGAAGTCCTGAAACGCCTGAATGTGTGTGTTCCTGACTAAGAAGTATCCATGCTGCTCAGTCCTGCCCTCTTCAAGAGGCCAGTACTGACCACACTTTACACGCCCGCGCTCAACCACCCTGGGGTAAATAGAGACATACATCAATACAACCTTAAAATCAGCCAATCAGTGATATTTCAATACTTGGACTATTGATCCTGTAAATACCACAAAACGTAAACATATACATTACGAAGCATCACACCTTTGTACTTCGTAGCCAGCTTTGGTGTAATATTGATGTCCTGGTTTGTTATTTCACTTTGTGTTATAATGTAGCGGAAAAACAAAAATGTAAACATACAGTAGGAGCTTCACATACTCACACTACATGCAATGCTGGCAGCGAGCAACTACATTTAGCACCTTAAGCTGGCAATATGACAAAGACTATTGATGAAAGGTGTCTCACCTGGTGGTCATAACAATGATAAGTACCATCTGTTCCCAAACCATGCGCCAGAAGTCACCAAATGTTTTTGGCAAAGGACCTGAGAGATAAAACAGAAAGTCAGTCAGGAGATGAAAACAACAACTGTGCTGTAGAGAAGACTCTACAGAGTAGGACCAAACTTTGTGTCGACAGTTGCTCACCCTGAGTTGCGATGTAGGCATTGCCTCTTTTGTACCCATCCATGAAACTGGCGTTTATGTAATCAGATGTCTGTGAAACACACAATAGGTTACATTCACTGCAGTTTGTCGGGCTCTACTGCCTCCTGCAGGAGGAAATCAAGCTGTTCCACTGAAAGAGAGACTTCAACAAACTTTCCAACTCCTCTGCAGAATCTAACTTTCTGTCCAGACAGAATTCACATAAAAACACTAATGTATACAATATTATATTAATCTACAATAGATTCAGACAATCCACCGAACCTTTCAGTTCATGAGAGTCACTTACTTACAAATATCAATTTTTAATCAAAGGGCTATTATTTGTCTGAAGGACTTCTCACTATCTTGGTCGTATTTATCCTTTGGGCCATTCTCAGTATTAATTACCATAATATTACCAATTTTCAATCTCATTAATTAGATCCATTAGGCAAAGATAAATGAAACCATGACCAAATAACCTCACAAAGAGTAGTCCTAGGATAAAGTTAGCTTCAAATGAAACATCCTTTTCCCCCTCAAACAAGAAACTAAGAAACCTGCCCTTTCTGAGTAAGATGGAAAAAAACAAGTAAATGCTATTTATTAATTTTTGCAGCAAACATTCATATATAAGATATGAGAATATTAATATAGTTAACACCATTATAACTTTTTAGGAAAACTGATAAGTAAAATCAATAGGCAGATCAAAAGTAAAAGAGATGTTTTGATTTATTCATAATTACCTCGTCATCTTCATCATCACAGGGCTGGCACAGCCGCACCCGTGAGTGATCCAGGCAGAGAACATCGCTGTACCTGTTCTTGATCTGGTTGGACAGTTTTCTGTGAAAAGAGAAAACACAATGAGGTAAACGGAGGAGTGTGCTGATGTGTTTTCTGTCATGTGATTTCTCTTCGCCTTGTATGCAGTCACAGGGTTAGGAAGTTAATCAAAAAGACTATATTTTGACATCTCTTACTTGGAGTAGTCAAAGGTCCCCGCTGGCGGCTCCTTGCGGATCTCCTCGTACTCCTGATAGATCCCCTTCTTCTTCTTCCTCTTCACGTGCTCCACCAGCTCATGCAGCGTCATGCCTCCCTGCTCTGGCATGTGAATCGACACCTCTATGCAGCGGTCCTCATCATCATCAGGACCCCATGATGAAGAAAGGGGCGTGGACTGGGAGCAAGGTTGGTGAGGGGGCCGAGGCAAAGACTTCTGGGGCAAGGGAGGCACCCCCTCCTCTTCCTCACCATCCTCCTCCTTTACCCCCTCGTTCTGGGACCTGTTTGTAGAGTCCGTAGGCTTCCCATCGACCGAATCGTCATCGCCTATCTGAGAAAGAGGTGTGTCAGGGGGTGTGTCTGACTGGGGAGGGGCTTGGTGGCTGCGACCATTCATGTTAGCATTAGGGCTAGAGCCACCAGCAGCAACGTTGGCTCCGATCACTGCTGAGCCATTCCAGTGTTGGTGGTTCCCATGTCCTCGAGTCCTGCCCTCCATCCCACCACAGTGGTTGTGTGGGTTAGCATTGCTATCACCATAGCGGTTTGAATTAGCCATGGCTAGTTCAGAGCTTAACTGTGTATTGATATGTGTGTGAGATATTGTAGCGCCTGCGCTCGTGTTGCTGCACTCTAAACTGTAAGAACGCAGCAGGTTTCCCACACAGTCGTGTGTGTCGTGGTCTTGGGTGTCACCCTCAACAGTATTTGTGTGTGTGTTGACACAGGACTGGATCCAAGCCACGTGGCTGTATTGAGATGTCCCACCCAGGTGCTCAGGGAGAGAGGAGACTGGGATATGACTTGCCAGCTCATGAGCTTTTACTGTGCATACCTGTTGAAGAGAGGAGACAAGATTCAAATGACTAAGAACAGCTGAAACTCTTGGACATCAACCCAAAATAAAAACAGGCATACTTACCCTCTCTCTCAGCTTCTCACGCACAAACAGGCGGAGAACAGCGAAAGGTGCTCGAAACCAAAGAGGTGACGACACAATGAAGACACATTTTAGACGAGCCGGAAAAGCCCCCTTGGAAAAAAAACATCAGAGAAGATGATTGCTAAAAAAAGGCTCTCATATCTAAAGTTTCACATCAAAAAATCTGAAAGCAAACTGATCAAGAAGCAAAGGATACTCTTTATTTTTACCTTGAGCAAGTTGAGGATCTTGACACAAAGTTCATAGTCAAAATTGCTGTAGCTTGAGTTGGTCATGTCGTAGATAAAGATGAGCCCGTCTTTTTGAGTTTGTAAACTGAGGAGAAATTAACATGAACTTTAAATGAAAAGCAGACTTGGTAGAAAAAAAAAAATCATCATGTAAACAGATCAATTTGTTACAATAATATCCTCCATTGACTGCTAAGTTCTATGGCCCTGGTCCTTTTGAATGGTACACAAAGCAGTAAAAAAAATGACTGGACCATCAATGGAAAAAACTTGTGTGTAGCAAGAAAAAAATAAAAATAAAAATAATAAAACCACAACACCTAAAAAATAATGCAAAAATAAGATTCTGTGAAAGTTGTCTGTCACCTTTCTATGGCTTTGTCCAGCTGATAGATGATGGCCTGCAGCACAGCTTTGTGAGTGGTGACATCAGGCCTGTGGAGGCGAGCGGTAAAGAGTGCTAGAGCAGCACCTTTTGCGTCACGACCAGGCTGGTGGGAAAATGAACAGGTTATTTGACATCCATGCAAGCATCCAGACAAAACAGTTAAGTAAACAGAAAAAAAACAGCTTCTGAACTCACCAGGACAGTAAATTTACCACTCAGGAGCTCAGAGCGTAGGGGGTCCTCGTCAGGGTTGATATTGATGATGCCCTCTTTGATTCTTGTGTTCTGTTTTTGTTTTAGGATTGTAGAGAAGGGAGAGAAAGGTAAAGTGATTAGTTTGTGGCAAAAACAACACACAGAGCAGCATCAGAAATGTGCTATTTTTGATGTTTCTGTCATATATATTCTCTTCATTTAAATATATGTCATATATCGATGGGTGATGACATTATCACAGCAGCCTTACACACACCGCAATTGTACTGTAATGAAATTCTGCCACCACCGCTCGTCTTTGAACACTGATTCAGCAATGGTGCAATATTGGTTTTACAGTCTTTAATTTCACATTGCATCCACACTGCTGAGCATGAACATTAAAAAAGCTGAGCTACATAAGTGTCAAGACTGGAAACAATAACAAAAGTGGGAATAGTTTTTTCACTGCCAGCTATTTGATCAAATCAGAACAGGTTCTCTAATATCCTATTCAGGTTGTATTAGCAGTGGGAAGGAAAGCAAATACAAACTCAAAGACAACTTGATAGGATTTTCTCTCTTAGATTGGGAGAACTTCATTGATAAATTTAAGTTTCCCTTTTAAACTCTATGACTGGAAGATATTTAGGAGGCAGCTGCATGAAATCATCATATCTTTTATCTACAAAAAGTTAACCTTGAGTTCCTTTAATATCAACTTATTTATCACCCCGAAATTAATCATGACTTTGTGAACAACTGTGACAAAAAGAAAGAACTCAGGCCAGATGAATTCCTCCCCCTGATGCTTTTAGCCCTGACTAAACCCGGTGGTCAGTGATCTCAGTTTCATCTTCAATAAAAAAAAGCGGCTGTACCTTGTATGCTTGAAAGAGGTCGATGGCTCTGGTGACGTCGAACTTGCGGGCCATAAGAAACTTTACAGCTGTCGGTTGGGAGACAAGCCCAGCACTGTGAGGCTGCTCCCTGCTACGCACCTCACTCAGGAACTCCTCCACAGCCTGGACAGACATGAGAGAGGAGATGTAAGAAAGAGTTCAATGAACAAGAGAGATACCAAGAAGAAGAACATTAGAATCATTCAGCCAAGAGGCGATTGGGATGACAAGAAAAATTATGTCTGTTTCCTGCAAATGTAAAAAAATAAAATAAAGTGTGAAACAGATGGCTGCAGCAGGCTGTGCTCCTGGAATATGCCCTGGAAGAGAAGGATTATTTGCCAGAAGACAACAGTCAACCTCTGACGGCACAAGGGGAGGAAAATCTGTCCTACAAACATGGAACTCGCACAGAAAGAGAGACATACATTTAGCTATTCGATGGATTAAAGGTTGACTGTGGCTCAGTGGTCGTCAGTCATCTTTCAGTCAAAAGACGGGGGGTTCAATCCAGTGGTGCATGTTAACCCTGACCTCCAAACTGTTGTTGGTGTAAATGTATATGAAATAATCAATACTGATGGCCACTATGAATTGCAACCTCTGCATCAGTGTACGACTGAGTCTATGAATGGGTGAATGTAACAAGTGAAATAAAAGCAGTGAATGACTAGAGAGGTGACAAAAGCACTGGGAAAACATACATTTTGCACAAGACAGGGCCATTTGTAAAAGTCTGTCAGTTTTTCACCCTTTCATCTTTGCAGCACAGTGTTACTTCTTCTAACACTTTGTTAATCATCTTGATAGCGCTTCTTCACCATAGACAGACGATCCCGTAGAGGTAAGCTCTGTGCCATCATCTTGTCATCTTACCTATTTTCTCTCTTTCCTTCCCTCTATCTTGTTCTCTTTCTCTCCCCCTGCCCTCTCTCCTCTTCCCTCCTATCTCTCTGTATTCCTCCCTCACCCAGCAGCGGCCTGGTGGCTGCCTAGCATGAGTCTGGTCCTACCCAAGGTTTCTGCCTGTTAAAAGTAACTTTTCCCTTGCCACTGTTACTCATGTTGGATGAGATGGGCCAAATCCCATCTTCGGGTGGGTCTTGATAATTCATTAAAAATGAGCGTGGTCTAGACCTGCTCTATTTCTTGGACAGTGTCTTGGGATGACGGCTGTTGTGAATTGGCGCTATATAAATAAAATTTGATTTGACTGATTGATTGAAGGTGAGGAGTCAAAAACTAGGTTTTTACCAAGATAGCCAATGCCAAAAAATATTGCATTGCATACAGCAAGCCTGGGTAAAAATCAGGGGTTTCAGTAATCAATTACATTTACGTATTATTGTAGTCAAGCAGCTTATATTTTTGGTAGAAAGAATTGTTCTTTGCTGCACTATACTGTCATTAGTTACAGGTAAAAAGCTAAACTAAACACAAACACACAGACTTGACAGCAAGCTGACTGTAAGATGATAGCCTCAGTGCAAAATGCTCATAACCAGGTTTATTTCTCTCATTTCTGTCATGACATCTCATGACATTTCCAAAGGTGACCAGGATCTTTCTATCAGAACGACAACCTCTCTATCTTCTTTTAAAAACACATTTTTACAGCTGTGCTTTTACAGGAGATGTTATCTGAGCATGTTTGATCTTTTATACAGAGCCAAAGGAGTATCACAGGCAGCATCTTTATTTTTTAAACTTTTAATTGTTTAAATATTCGTATGCATGGGTGTGTTAAATCACCACATCATTGTTTTTTAAATTTATTATTATTCAATGTATGCTACGCTGAGCTAACCAACCTAAAACAACACTTTATTTTAAGGTATTTCCAGCTTGAATTCAATTTTATAAGTTCTTTGAAACAAGTATTATTTCAGGAAACGCAGAGCCGGCCCAAGGCATAAGCAAACTAAGCGCCTGCTTAGGGCCCCGCAGCAAATAGGGGGCCCTCAAGAGCAATCAAAAAATATTTTTTTAAATGTTTTGTATTTTTTTGCATGTTTCACTGATGCTTTCTGTTTGATCAAATATATATTATGTAAAAATAAAATAAAATAAAAGCAAAAACATTTTAGTGCTGCTGCTGATGTAGGCCTATGATTCTTACTGCCGATATGTCAAAGCTCCACTACTGTTATGTGCAATTTGCACTGAGCATCCAAAGAACAGGTAGTTTTGGGGCAAAACAATATCGCAAAAAAGGACATATCCTTCAGGAGCAGAGAAAAGAAGAGAGGAGGAAGAAGAGAAAAAAATGCCAAGATACAGGAATGTTAGCATGTCATGGAATGTTAATCAAAGAGATTTGTGAAGGTGTGCGAATGATCAACAATCAATATTATTGGCAGGAATAGAGGGCCCCCCAAATCAAATTTCGCTTAGGGCCTCATTGAGCTCTGAGGAAACATATCAAGAAAAGTAAATATTTAATCTATGCAAGTAAACTTCTGCTTGAGTAGAAATTATCAGTCTTTTTTCCACCTCTGGTTTAGCTCAAGACAGATGCCTTTATATCTCTGGATAAACAAATTTTATTTCAACTAACTGAACAGCCACTCCAGGATGGTTGCTACATTTGATGGATATAATCCAAAACATTGCTACAAGTCCTTCATCATAGCAGCGACTTGAACAAACATCTTGGAACTCATCGGACAGAGAAACAGTAGATGCAAGTAGATGTTCGAGAGGGTGCAGAGGGTTATCGAGAAAAAACATCAGGAAATCCAGGCAGCAGTTCAAGCGCGACCTGAGACTTCGCCCACTAGTCTGCTCACATTGTGCAGGTTTGGAGATCAAAGCAGTGTCTTAAAAGTGGGGATTTCAGCAGAGTTTCCGGATGACATTTGATATTTGCTATCAAAGTAAGGCCCACCCCTTTACTAGAAAGCGATGGCAACAACAATGCTAGGAACTGGGGGGCCGCTTCTCTGGACTCTGGTGCGGGCTGAGTAGCTCACAGGAGGAGATTCATGATCTTGCTCTGTCTGGACTGTGTCATTGAATATAATCTCAATCAACACTATAAGCACTATGAGTTTAATCATTTTAAACATGCACACCGGGTCGAGCGTGCTTTTAAACGCCCAGCAAAATAGCGGTCGAGGAAATTCCCTGCAAGTCAACAATAGCCGTTAGCATTAGCCAGCGGCTAGGTTACATGTGGCAGCTGGATAGCTACCAATGGCGTAAAAGACGTTATAAGTCATATGTAACGAAGAAAAGAGCGTGTTTTCAAAGGTTGCTAGTTGACATTCAAGATACGGGCGTATCTTTGTGGGACCTGAGGGGATAGGTTACCGAGGGAGCGAGTATCGCACATACACTGCCGGTGAAGTGTTTCCTTCCACTAGCAAACGCCATCATGCTAACACACATGCTAACGGCTGTCAGTCACACCGGAGTCAGTTCACTCAGGAGGGTGCGAACGGGCCAGGACTGTTACCGAGACCTCACCGTTCCCGTGAAGATTCAGCTCAACAAAATATACGAGAAAGACAGACGGTTAAAGGACGAACCGAAGAGTAGAGGTAGACACTTTGGGCAATTTAGGGAATTAAGGGAAAAAATCAGCGAAGAGAGCCTTACCAGCTGCTCCTGAGTTGTCAGGGCTTCCGCCATCTTGAAGCCTCCGCAACGTCGAAGCGGGCGCGCCCACCAGCCGCTCGCTCACGCCCTACACCCTGAGACAGAGAGCGAGGCCCCGCCCACGAGCACTAACTCCACCACGGACCGTTATAAAGATATGTACCGGTAACTATCAGTAAACCTCTACCATGAGTGTAACATGAACTGAGAATACAGAGGGGATTAAAAAAACAACCTCAGAGACACACTTATCAACAGGACTCATTACATTTTGGTTGGTCTATCCATGACAGCATTTGTCCTGGTCATAATAGAGCTGAATAAAGTTATTTGGACGGGTGCATTTATGAAAATAAAACCCACCTAACCTTAAAAAATTAAAACAAAGGGTATCTCAGCTGATTTTATAGTATTGTGTGTCCTTAATAACATACTAAAAGTTTACCAAAGTTTGACCACTAGAAAGGTGCGATTTTTACGGGTTGGAAGCACAGACTGTATATAGAATGGGCGCCGTCTGCCTCCTCGCTGGGTGAAGCCACTCCGAGAACAGCACCCTCTGGTGACAGGCTGCAGTATAGGTCATAAATCCCGCCTCTGTCAGCCATCCTTATAGAGCTGTGGACAAACTTTAGAAATTTATTACACAGAACATACATTTTTTCCCTCCTGGTTGCGATGTTGACATGTAGTTACTGTAAGACTGGTTTGTGCTCAAGTCCTCTTTTTTCTGTACAGCTCCATTTTTAAAAGTTATTAGGGGGTTCATGTTTTCTATGATTGACACTTGATACAGCCTATTGGCTCACCAGGGTGATACGCTGTTTGAGCCAAGCGTCATCACGGCGACTCTCCCGCTGAATACGTACAATGCCACTGTGCATGAAAATGGTGGTGATGAGCAAGCATTTGAATACATAATCTTCAATAAAGCAGAACATGTTGTAGTTGTGGGGGTTAACAATATGTATTTGCTGGGTTCACATCCAAGCAGTGGCAGTGGCACACTCATAAGGAGCTAGAATTGCATGGATCCTACCACCTGGGTGTGGATCATTATGAATCAACACCCTGAAATTGAAAGGAAACAAACCAGAACAAGTGAACCATACAAAACAGCACCATAGTGTGGCAGATAGTACTAATGCCTAGAAGAGAAAAATGAAGGCAGACCATGCTGCAAACCAGAGATTTGGAGGTTACATCCGGTACTGTGGCTTGTCTGGTGTGGCTGCAACTCACCTCAGTCTGGACTGTAGCTATGTTGTGAACTTATGTGAATTTATCAACCTTAGTTTATAAACTATGTGATTAGGTTCACTGCCTGATCATTGCCTTACTGCCAGCTAGTTCAAGGTTCAATCCCAGATAGAGGCTTTCTATTTGAAGCATGGCCGTATTATTGTCTTCACAGTAGAGTGAGCTAAGCTTTTAAACAACAGTAACCTGGTAAAATGAATAGGCTTAAACAGGCCAGCATGGCAGGGTGGGCATGTGGTGATTTGTGTTTCTGCCTCACAGGCAACTGATCCAGCCATCCGTGGTCTTGCTATATGTGCAGAGAGAGGGATCCGGCTTAGTCTTCATTGTTCATGGACCACAAACTTTTACTTCAAGAATGTAGCTGAAAGTAAATTTACAGTGACAAGTGGGAACCTCAGTTTAAGGTTTGAATCCTGGCTGAAGTCTCACCATGTGGAGCTTCTGCCTTCCTCTTTCTAGAGTATTGACTGATTCTAAACTACCAGACTGAACTTGGTCAGGCCTGACTTTTCCAGTGTGAAACAAGAGTTCCCTGGCTTTCTCTCACCAGACAATGAGCAAAGATTTTGAGCTACAAAAAAAAAAAAAAAAAAAAAACATTGACTTTGGTGGTTGTACTGTGAATTTATTTGGTTCCATCTTACCACTGAGAATACAATTTTGACTGGGATAAATGTTACAATGTATACATACATTTATTTACACACGCTATATCTTTATTAGAGAGAATATTAACCGGTGAATCACAGGAATTTCTTATATTATTGTGAAAATGCATCAACCTTGCTGTTCATAGCTGGCTAGACTTCAATGAATCATAGTTGACTTCTAAATCACTATGACATTGATGACTTGGACCGTCCGCAATTCATTTAAATCATTTTAGATTTAAATTTTGTTGAAAAACAGCATGTAGTGTCATTGCAATAAAAACACACAATATGGGTAAATATTTCTTTTATTCGACCGGAACCTGTATCAGAGGATTTGTTTCCGTCAGACTGTTTTTGTGGAGCACCGCCCTGACGCTGCGGCGGACTTTTTGACTTGCCTGCTGTTATTTCTGTGCCTGATTGACAGAAAATGTTTCGTAATTTCAACAAAATTTTACCGTGTTTTTGCTTTTCTGTGGAGACTTATCGTTAAACACTGTCTATAAACTCCTGGTTCAAACCAGACGGATGTTATGCTAAATAAAATACATCTCCGTACGGGGTTTCTACTTTTACAACATGAGCACCTCAGGTCCTTCTGTGAAGATGAAAAGCTATATGGGACAACACCAGATCAAGAAGAAAAGGAGGTAAACCTCATCAACAGATTCATATATCATTAAGATTAGGTCAGTACATTTTAGTAGTAAGGGAGAGTGGGGTAAGTTGAGCCAGTGGGGTAAGTTGAGCCACCCCCTGTTGCTTGGAAATAGTAAAAGAAATTGATCATGTGAGGGATACGGCTTACTTTTTTTTGGCATGCTATATTATCAAGACAGTTCTGTTTACACTCATTCTGTTGGTTTGCAGGGATGAACAACATCTTCAAATATAAGCAGATTCACTAGTTAGAGACAAAACTATGATTGCCTTGATGTAGTGATCTGAAAATATGAAAAATGGCTCTTCTAACCCCACTCTCCCGTAATGGTCAGATTGCAGTATTTTCCTTTTGCGTCATTTCTGTCACTGAGCACCTGTCTTTACTTATGACCCACATCTGTCTGAGAACAGCTTCCAAGCCCCTGCAGAGCCACCAGACCGAGACAGAGTACTGCAAGAAAAACCCTGTCCTTCCTGCCAAACAAAGAGACCAGAAGACATGGCCCCCAAGGTGAATGTCCCACAGTGTTCTCCAAACAAATCTCTGACACTTATTCTCAAATGACTCATACTTAACTACTTTCATGGCAGGATGGAGGACCTGTTTTTCCACTAGGAGAGTCCACATTAGCCCTTGATGAAGAGATGCTACAGGTGTTGGATGCTGCAGACCCTGTGAAGCCTGCAGCTGAATCCTCTCGTGCTGCAAAAGTTAACAGGAATAAACAAAAAGAGCCGCCAGTATCAGCTGCCCCGTCACAGCCCCTTGTATTAGATACAGACAATGTAAGGGAGAGTCACAAAGAATCTCAGCCTAAAGGACCCCACAAAGCCCCCAATATTCGTGAGGTTGTACGTGAGTGTGGTGGTGACAGTAAGAGACCAGGATGGAGTCTTGAAGACTGCAAAAACCTTGCTCAGAGGCTCCTCTTTAGTGAGGACTCTGGTGAATCCCATCAAGAAACAAAACCAGCTCAGCAAGAAGCCCTTACCACCAAGTGAGTCAATGCTCAGTTTTACTAGTGTTAGTTATGTGCCGCTTTGCTTTTCTGTGAACATTATTTCCCCTTTTCCCCTTTCATCAGGCAGAACACACCCAGAAAAAAGAGCTCACCCTCTAACAAAGACAAAAGTGAGATGACCATGAATAACGATCCGCCTCCAGATGTATCCAGAAACTATATCTTGTTTAGTCCCACCGACGTTGCAGCAGCCATGGCGAAGGCTAAACTCCAGCGGTCGATGCAGAACCAGTCTGTCTCTGTGCTCACAGTCCCCAGTGGATTAGACCTCAGTACTCTGAATGACACCGTACATCAGCCAGGTGAAGGAATTCAAGTGAAATCGTTCAACATCATGAAGGGTGATGTTTTTGTATCATGGTGCTGTACATCCTTTTTGCACTTTTTCATGGTTAGATCAGGGTGCTACTTGGGAGAAAAGGTACTGCTTGACCATGACCTCCTGTTTCCTTTAATTTTCTGTACCTGTCATACAGCTTCTCCACTCTTGAAGACTGGCTTGTAATTAAGATAGCACTTTGCCGTTTTGGTAGAGTCTAAATTAAGGAATCATCAATGTGAGCACAAAACTGAAATAATTCAAGTGTAAAACTAAACTTAATCTATGTTTAACACACCACCATACTTTTTATGCACTAAAAAAAACCGGAAAAGTCAAATATAGTGTATGTGTTCCCTCACTTAACATTATTGTGTTGCACTTGTGCTGTCACCAAAGGCCAAAATCTGATTATATTAATCAGTAAATGACATCAGGAAAGATCACTTGCATTAACTCACATCTGCATCATGGAGTTTAACAATTATTGGCATGCTGGTGGCCCACTAGTGGCACACCATCCATCAGTGGCTCTTTGAGTGCCACACTCTAGCCAAATCTTGCACCTCCTATACCTGTTGTCCAGTTTTCCCCAGATCATATCAAGAGTTGAATATATGTCATCTTGGAATGTTTTGTCGTATTTTAAATAATCCAAATATTACTGTCACATCTCTCTATGCTTCATTTTAGGCATTGCCTTGCATGCTCCTGCAGGACAAGCTGAGAAGCTGCTGCTTTCCAGCTGGGGTTTACCGAAACCTGTCCTTCAACGCTACGAGAAACACGGAGTGACTCACATGTTCGAATGGCAGGCTCAATGTCTCACTGTGGGAGAGGTGCTGCAGGGGAAAAACCTGGTATACTCTGGTAAGACACTGAACAACTCTCTATGAAGAGAAAACTGCTGTGTACAGTTTAACAATCCTTCTCTTTCAGCTCCAACAAGTGCAGGGAAAACTCTGGTGTCAGAGCTGCTGATGCTGAAGCGTGTGTTAGAGACCAAAAGGAAAGCTCTCTTCATTCTGCCGTTTGTCTCTGTGGCCAAAGAGAAGATGCACTATCTTCAAGTGAGAGATTGGTAGCCCTTTCAAACACATGTACTGTTTTGTCCTTCCCTGCCTAACAGATTTGTTTCTTGGCCTTGTAGAGTGTGTTTGCAGAGGCAGGAGTGCGTGTGGAGGGTTACATGGGCAGCACATCTGCTGCAGGGGGATTCAAATCCCTGGATGTGGCTGTTTGCACCATAGAAAAGGCAAATTCTCTGATAAACAGACTCATTGAAGAGGACAGCATGGGATTACTAGGTAGTGTTCCTGTTGTAGATCTTTTCTTGCGTATAAAAAGGTAAACATTTTTAAGCGTGTTACATTTGTTTTACTAGGTATGGTGGTGGTTGATGAGTTACATATGGTGGGGGACTCTGGAAGGGGGTATCTCCTGGAGCTGGTCCTAACCAAGATCCGCTTTATTGCACAGAAACAGAACACCTCTGGGTTAGTATCTGTTATTCCACTGTTGTTGGATCCTTTTATTCTTGCTACAGGTCCTTGTAAGTCTATCCCTTCAACTCTCTCTGCAGGTCTCTTTCTGAGGGTGTACAGATTATAGGTATGAGCGCCACCCTGCCCAACCTATCCCTCCTGGCTAGATGGTTGGGTGCAGAGCTTTACCAGACAGACTACAGACCTGTACCCCTGCAGGAGCACCTAAAGGTGGGCTGCAACATATACGACAAGAACCTCTCCGTGGTACGGCAGTTCACCCCTGCTCTCCGTGTCAAGGTAAGAGCATCAAGCTCAGAAATGATTAAACATACTTGTTGTCATGATGTTTCCCACCCTATAAAAGACCATTAACACTGTTTAAATTTGGACTTTGATTCAGGGCGATGATGACCACATCGTGAGCTTGTGCTACGAGACGGTGAGAGAGAGCCGCTCTGTGCTGCTGTTCTGCCCATCTAAGAACTGGTGTGAGAAACTGGCAGACAGCATCGCAAGAGAATTCTACAACCTCAGACACTCTGGTACTTTGGATTTATGTATCATCCGCTGGTAGAGCCATTTGTGCACTACTGATAATGTGACAGATAATTAATAATTTTATTATTTATTCTGATTAGAATTCTGAGAGACTGAACAGTTGTATAGTTTTACTTTAAAGTTTAATTGAAGCCGATTACTACTGCAGCTCTCCTAATTAGTGCAGCTGTGGGTCTTTGAGAGCACAATAGTTTTTGACCGTGTTTACATCGGGTCTTGATTTCGTCTTTATCGTTTTGTTATGCAAAGTAAACCTCCAAGTAAATTCAAGAAAGGAAAGATAGACGACTGTGGTGCTTTATTATGGAAATACACGTCAACTACACGCTCTGGTTCGTCACCTCAGAGGGTCTTCAATCATTAGACGGAGCTGCACTCACATCCACAAATTATTTAACTCTTGTGCAATCTGTGTTTTTACTGCTAGCAAGTCAAGTTGTGGTATCTAGAATATTTTTCTTAACTGACTGATAATCAGTCACACAAAAAGTCCGCAGATGTGCAGAAGGGTGTAAAGTTAAAAAGCCTACATCAAAGCCTATGAGCAGGTGACTGTGGAGAGACGGTCTCTTAACTCTACATTCTTCTTTCATGCTTTCAGAACATCAGGGTGTAGCAGACCTGGAGCCTGTAAGTTTGGACCAGGAGAGACTGGTGGATGTTATCGCCCAGCTGAGACGAACTCCAGCCGGCTTGGATCCCATCCTGCAGCGAACCGTACCATGGGGAGTGGCTTTCCACCACGCTGGTGATCACAACCACACAAACTACTCACCATAAGAAACTGCATGTAGAACGTTGCTTTTTTAATTCAGGTGTACAAATGAGAGAAGAAGTGTGTGTCTTCAGGTTTGACGTTTGACGAGCGAGATGTGTTGGAGGGAGCTTTTCGTCAGGGCATGCTCAGAGTCTTGGCTGCCACCTCCACCCTCTCCTCAGGGGTTAACCTCCCGGCTCGAAGAGTCATCATTCGAACCCCCACCTTCAATGGACGCCTGTTGGATCCACTCACATACAAGCAGATGGCCGGACGAGCAGGGAGAAAAGGAGTGGATACAACAGGTAAGGATGGAAGATTGGACAAAAAAGTGGAATGAACAAGTTTGTTTTTGAGGTGAAAAGTTAATTGAAATCAAAAAATATTATGTAAGTCTGATGATTTTGATTTTTTCCTTTCAGGTGAGAGTGTGTTGGTTTGTAAGGAAGCAGAGCGTCAGAAAGGTGTGAGTCTGCTGACAGGTTCTCTTCAGCCTATCAGCAGCTGCTTGGTGAGAAAAGAGGGAGAGGGCGTCACCACCAGCATGCTGAGAGCTATCCTAGAGGTGAGGTTGATTATGCTGTCGAGTAAGAATGCATGTAAACAACCACAAGGATCAAGAAAGAGGGAATTCCTTCTTAGACAATTTCTCTTTGCAGATTATCGTTGGGGGTGTGGCCAGCACTCCACGGGATGTGAAGCTGTATGCTTCTTGTTCTCTTTTGGCTGCCAGCATGAGATGTGACAACAAGGAGGAATCAAATGAAGGAACAAACAAAGGAGCTATTGAGGCCTGTGTCGAATGGCTGATGGAGAATGAATTTATCAGTATTCAAGGAGAGGAAGGAGGTACTGCAAATTATGCTCTGTTCTTCATTATTTAGCAAGTATCAGTGACATATAAAGAAATGTGTATTTTTCAGCAAATTAAGCCACTGGTTGAAGAGTTGTCTTACTTAATTTAGATTCTATAAATCAGTATTTTTGGGCAACCCAGATTTACCACTTAAGTTGTGATGACAAATCTAGTCTATCTAACATGATGGCTGTAGAAATGAAATGCACTCTTTGGATGAACACAGTTGTCTGAATCTGGATCTGCAAACACCTTTAACTACTCTGTTTTCTTGACATGTCCAGAGGAGCGGTATTGTCAGACCCAGCTGGGTGCTGCCACCCTTTCGTCCTCCCTCTCCCCTCCTGAGGCTCTGGGAATATTTGCAGATCTGCAGCGAGCCATGAAGGGCTTTGTCTTAGAAAACGACCTGCACATCCTGTACCTGGTACACGAGTCTTTTATGGTTATTTTTCAGACAAACTTCTGTCAACTTTATTCATTAATTGTCATCTCTGAACTCTCACCAATACACTCCTAATAGACCTTTCCAAATACAGGATCCAAACTAGTCCCCCAGAGAACACTGTAAAACTCTGTGTCCACATGCTCCTCAGATCACACCCCTGTATGCAGAGTGGACCACCATAGACTGGTATCAGTTTTTCTGTTTGTGGGAGCAACTGTCATCATCAATGAAGAGAGTCGCAGAGCTCGTGGGCGTCCAGGAAGGTTTTCTTGCTCGATCTGTTAGCGGCAAACTGGTCACCAAGACTGAGAAGCAGCGGAGGCAGATGGCTATTCATAAAAGGTGGAGCATATGTTAGTTCACACCTCGATTTACATGGTAACCTTTGTGTTGGTATACTAAAGAATTAGTATTTTCAGGTAGGGCTGGGCGATATGGCCTAAAATCAATATCATGATATATTGAGCAGTTCACCTCGATAACAATAAATGGACGATAACTACTCCACAAGCTGCTCACCCCCTCCTACACTAACTTTGTCTACTTCAGCCGCTACAACTTTTGTGGCATAGGACAGCGTCTTAAAGGGACATGACCATAGCCTACCTACACACTAAAACCAACTTTTATTTATTTATTTTTTCGACACCAAATATATTGACATGGGCAAAATGATATTGGTTATTGTCGTAAATTTCGATAAAGGCAAATTTTCGGTTTATCGCCCAGCCCTATTTTCAAGTTCATTTTGTGTTATAACTGTCTTCATTTGTTTGTGTTTTTTCAGCTTCTTACTGTTGTAGATATATTACATAAGAGGATCTCAGAGTTACTTAAACAAACCACAGAAAGATGAATCGCAAACACAGAAAGTCACATGAGACTTATTATCTCCTCACAGGTTCTTCACCACCCTTGTGCTTCAGGATCTGGTGAATGAGGTTCCTTTGGCAACGGTGGCATCCAAATATAACTGCAATCGTGGGCAGTTACAGTCTCTGCAGCAGTCTGCTTCTACATATGCAGGTAAGTTTCATGTTACACGCTGGAACATATTGAAAATTCAACATAAGACTATAAATGGAGGGCAGGTATAGTAACTTGATGCAAGACGCAGAGGCACTTTAGACTGACGGAGAAACAGCCTAGACTCCATTAGCTGATGTTTCAGCACATGCATGCTTCTGTCAAATCCATGTATCCATTATTCTAAAGTGCAAATGTGTCTCGCATCAGGTTGCTTTCAGAGAGTTTTATGAGATCAGTATCTTGATTTTCTTGTAAGTGTGACTCTAAACCCATTATCCAGTCTAACAGAAACAACCCCCCCCCCATTCTCCTCAGGTATGGTAACAGTGTTCTCCAAGCGCCTGGGCTGGCACAACATGGAGCTGCTGCTGTCTCAGTACCAGACCAGGCTGAGCTTTGGAGTCCAAAGGGAACTGGTTGACCTTGTCAGAGTTTCTCTCCTGAATGCAACACGAGCTAGAACACTGTACGCCCAAGGCTTCTGCACTGTAGCTGAACTGGCCAGAGCCACTGTAGCTGATGTGGAGAAAGCCTTGAGGAATGCTGTGCCATTTAAGAGGTACATGTGTGTTTAATTATTTGTGTGTGTGTGCTCCATTAGGATATTAATCCATTATGGATCAGAGTCAACAAAACTACCAGCACACAGATGGCATAGAAACCAGAATCAACAGCCGAGACTTGTACTTTAAGAAGCACTTCACGTCCTGCTGCTGTTCTCTTAAAGGATTTTAGTGATAGCCCAAAACCATTCTGATACCTTTAGTTCATTTACCATAGAGAATAATACAGATGCATCCACATATCATTCAGACTTTTCTGGACAACTATCTAAAAACTAAAGTCCCCGTCAACACAAAACATCAAACTAAGGTTTAGTGGTTAAACAGTGAATTAATGCTGCTTTAATTACCTTTGTAAATAAACAGCATGCTAAACCTTTCCCTCATTTATATATTGATTTTTTTTACTTTGCTTTTAAAATCTGAGGAGAGCTACATTAATTTTATAACATCAGCACTCTTAATTTGGCATCATTCATTGGTGCAAATTTTTCCTTTTTCCTTTGGAGATTCAAAACCTGGTAAAAAGCAGCAGATCTGGTATTTGTTGTGAATAAATCTCAGCCTTTGAGGTTTTAAGATGCAGTTTTAAATGGATGTTTGTTCTTTTAATGGTTGAACCACGACCTCAGAAGAAATGTAATTAAATGCACTTCACATACACTTAACGTGCATGAGGATTCGAAGTCAGTTGTGAGGGATACGTTAATGCTTGTGCATTAAATCCAAACCACAGTGTAACTTAAATGGACAATGTTCATATCCCAGAAGGATCAATCAGGTTATAATGGTCCGGTTTATGAATCCCTTAATGCTGTACTGGCAAATAATGGCCGTGTTAGGCCCTGTTATGATGTGAGGTGAACCGTCTAGCTTGTTAGGTCAATAACCTCCTCGTTAAAGTTAAAAAGTCAGAATTACACAATGAGAACTCGTGGAAATTGGCACATTTCCCAGAATATGGTCCTGAAGAGACAAAAGAACTTTAAAAAACTTCATAAACATCAAAAATCAAAGCTTGCTTAAACTAAATACAACACAAATGTCTGTGACTTTGTTACTTTGTGTGTCCCTCAGCTCTAAGCGAGCGGTAGACGAGAGCGAGATGGAGGCAGCTGAGAGAAGGAACCTCCGCTGTGTCTGGGTTGCTGGAGGTCAAGCCCTGACAGAGCAAGAAGCAGCTGTGGAGATAGTATCTGAGGCAAGGCTCCTCCTCCAGGAAGACCTGGCCCAGTTGGGGATCCAGTGGGATCCGGCATCACTCCCTCCAGAGGCTCCAACTGTGAGCAGCTCACAGGACAGACATCCATCGTCTGCATCCAGTGTCAGCTCCCCCGCAGCACAGATTGACAACAGTGAAGATCACAGAGAGGGAGACAGAGTCAAAACAAGCGAGAGCAAAGATGTGGACAAACATGAAAAGGGGAATAATAAGGAACATGAATCTAAAGGCAGGATGGATGAGAGGATAAAGGAAAAAGCAGAGACTGAAGAAGAAACACAAGATAAAAAGTCCAGACCTGAAGTCCTGTTAGAAAACAGGCAAACGCCTAACAAAGAGCCGTTAGAAGGAAACAAACCATCAGAAAAAGAGGAGACTAATAAACAGAACTTAAAACTGAATGATACTAAAGATCCAGAAGGAGAAAAACAAAAACACACAAGGTGTAAAAGAGGAGAGACAAAAGAAAAGAGACCAAACGAGGAGATAAACTCAGTCCAAAGAAACTCCCCTGGTCCTAAAAGGAGCTTGACTCAGGAGCTGGCTGAGATTTTATCCAGTCCTCTCCTTCAACCCACACCACATCCTCAGTCACCACCTCCTTCACCAATGCCTCCACCTCGATTCAGAGCTCCGGTGTCCCACTCAGAGCGACACAGTGTGATGTCAAGAGAAGACAGTGCCAAGGGGATTGTTGCCTCACCTGTGCAGACAGGTAGACTGAAGCACTCCAGCGCTTTGAAAAAAGTACTCCACTCTATCCAGACTGACAAAAGCCCTAAAGATGGAGCAGAGGCTGCACAGATATCCCACTCAACACCCACTGTATGCAGAGTCCCCGCTGCAGTTCAAGACCCAGTGCAAGAAAAACCTCTTAGTGTTTCTACACCTGCTAACCTGGATACGATAGACTCCCCCCTGTCTGCCTCTCCCGCTTCAGTCCCCTTATTCTCACCAAAAGCCAAACGAAGACGGGTTGACAGCGTGGAGGTGGATAAGTTCTCATCACCTGAGCTGTATGCAGGACATGAGGGAGAGGAGGAAACTGATGGAGAAGTTCAAAAAGGAGAGGACAGTTTTGGAGAAAGTTTTGAATTGGACACTCAGACAGAGAGAATGATTGTTCAGCAGGCTGGGCAACATAGAGATGGAAACGATAAGGGTGTGAATCAGTCAGCTGAAACACAAACGATGAGGGAGAGGGAAACAGTAGAGGCGGATGTAGAGATGGAGAAAGACACAGATGATGGGAGGTGCGATGCTCGAGAGAATCTCTCTCTCACAGACAGCCAAATGGTGCTCCTGCTGAACACAAGTCAAGAGGTGAGGGTGATAATAATCCTCTCCAGTGAAACAAATGTACTCCTTCAGTTTGAAAAATCTAAATCAATAATATTATGTTTTCAGATTTCTGCTGCTCCAGCTGGTGATCATTTACTAGACGACAGAGATGAAGATGCTGATGAAGACGAGGCGCTTTTTGCTGACCAAGCTGCTTCAGAGAGTGCCAACAGAAGCAGCAGCTTCCTCTTTGACAGCTTGTACAGCAGCTCCCTGCTGGCTGGTCTGAGCCCACCTCAGATCCTCGACCAATCAGGGGAAGAGGAGGAGGCGAAGGAGGAGGAGGAGAAGGCGGAGGAGAGGGAATCAGTTGGCCAAGAGATCAGAGATGACTTCCTTCCTCCGTCAACACAGAGACGAAGACGTAGCAAGCTCCTTGCCAATCAGGAAGCCGAAGAGCAGGAGGCGATCCAGTGGGGCGAGTCCTCCTTCAACCTGTCAGAGTGGGGTGACACGTTCTTGGTGGGTGAACACTTCTTGGAGAGGCGGAGCTTGCTTAGTAGACAGACTCAAAGAAATCAAAAAGAGCAAGGAACGAGTCAACCAAACCCAGACCGTGTCCCAACTGAGGGACAGGCATCAGAATTGCAGAATAAACCAAGTCACATACAGACACAACCCAAGTCTACATCGAAGACCGCAGCTCGAAATGAGCAGGATAAGGACAGAGCGAGCAATGATCGAGGCTCTACGTGTAAAATCACACAGAATAATCGTACTCTGAATAACAAGAAAGCCAACATCAGAGAAGAAACGATGAATGAAGAGGAGGAAAATACAGAGCGAGGAGAAAAGAGAGTAAATAAAGGGGAGGGAACGAGCGATGTGTTGTCAGTTAATACAGTTTTCCAAAATGTACCTGAGGGTATTCTTTACTGCAGTCCTGGTCTACAGGAGATCTTTGACAGCTGGCCTAGTATGTCTGACCAACCTTGGGATGACACAACAACAGGCCATGCAGCCAGAAATACACACAGAAACACTGCAGACGCTCCGGATGTGCTTCAGGTGGACGGAGTAGAGAGGAAACCAAACATTCAGGCAGTTTCCACCGATTGTGAGTCTTCGGACGACAAACACTCAAAACATGATTCTGAGCAGGTAACAGAGAGACCAACTTCTGCTGCTGATCTCATTCCTCCAACTCAGGAGACACCGCCTGTCACACCAAGAGTCAAACTGACCACCTCATCGGTGCAATCGCCGCTAATAGCTCGTCCATCTAACCAGTCAAAACCAGCACAAAGTCTTCAGTCTCGACCAGGATACAGAGATAATCTCTCAGAGGCTGCTGCAGAGTCCAAGGAAAGACACAAACGGGAGAAAAATGCAAAGACTGAACTGGTTTCACACTCAAATCTAAAATCAAACCCCTCCATAAACTCCAACCATAATCCAAGCCCACCAGCAGGCCCTGCCTCTCCATCCTCTCCCCCTCAGAGGCTGCCTTCTGATGCAGAATCATCAGTAATCGAAGAAGGATTTACTCTCCAGCTGTCCCAGGATGCTTCACTCTGTGCCAGCAACTCAGGCACCTTCTCCATCATCGATGTGGCAAGTGACAGGCGCCTCTTTGAGACTTTCATCACGGAGTGGAAAACAAAGGAGCGCTTCTCTCTGGCTTTGGCGTGTGAGAAGAGGGAGCACAGAGAGGAGCCTGAGGGGGGAATAGGAGGCAAACACAAGAGAGGTAATTGACAGAGATTTGTCGGAGGGACGTGAGGTTGTGGTAGTACGGTTTTGGATTATTTTCATGTGCTGATGTGCTGCTAAGAAGTCCCCTTTAATGCACTTCTATTTCTAATGTATTATCAGTTTGATTAATTACACTCTACGAATTCAACACTACATTTGATCGATTGATTTAGTCTGAATTTGTTGTTGATTTCAAGTATTACGTTAGTGTCAAAATTGAATGAGCCATTACAACCTGATGTCATCCTTAAACATCTGAGTATAGTTTAAAGTCTCTTTATGTAAATTTAGTATTTTCTTTGACTACCAGGTTTAATATTCTCTAAAAAAACTGCTCTACACATTCAAGAACAAGAACTTTCTATTGATGTAAAAACTTAACGTTGAAATTAGGGGTGTCCCGATACAACTTTTTGACTTCCAATACCATACAGATATTGTAGCATTCAATATTGACAGATACCGATATTTATTCAATATTGGTACAAAATTGTGCATGACAAGTTTTTCACTCAGCTGTAATGTCTTTTTCATACTTAGACAAAAAATACTGCCGACATCACTCTTACTCCATGTTACTTTGTTAGTATCTTAGTACACACTGTTGTTGTGATTTTGTGCGCTCAGCTTGCTGGATCAGGGCGCTGCTAGATAGAGGTGCTGGAGTGGAGTCTGGAATGGACTGTTTGTATCGTAGTGCTGATATCAGAGATTTTAGATGCAGGCTGATATAATCCGATATTCGCTTTTTTGCTGATATCGGACCGATATCTGATACCAGTTCCGTATCGGGACACCTCTAGTTGAAATGTAAAGAATAATCTGTGTTATATAAACTCCCACCCATGCATGTGTTTTCTCTGCAGCATCAGCAGCTCATAAGAAACCTGACAATGTTGACGGCTTCCCAGTAAGAAACAGTGATGGATTAGTGCTGATTGGACTGTCAGTCTGCTGGGGGGCAAGAGACGCATACTACATATCAATGCAGCGAGAGCAGAGCAAAGGTACAACTCGTACTCTCTGTGTATTTGTGTACTTGTAAACAGAAATCCGAAAGCGTTCCCTCACTGTGTGTCACACCTCAGGTTTGAGTGACAGCCTGGCTCCTCCTCCTCTGGATAATGATTTACCAGTGAGTGAGAGGGTGGAGAAAGTGAAGGCCTGTTTGAGCCGTGGAGGTGTTGGGGTCATGTATGATATTATCCAGGTGTACAAGAGGCTGGCCCTGAGCTGTGGCATCAGTTTGGAGGGGAACTGTGAAGACCCCAAGGTAAGGGAGATCACAGAAATACATCGAGGGCACTTTCTTAATAGAAACAAAATGTGTTTATTTACAACTTCAGAATTATTTTTTTTTAACAAATTCATAACTCAGCAGGCCGACTCTGTTTCAAATGTGCAGGTTGCGTGCTGGCTGATGGACCCCAGCACTGAGGAGAGGACCCTACCCAACATGGTGACTGTCTACTGTCCTGAAGAAATACCTCTGCTCGCAGGACTCGGGAACCCTCACTCACACTGTCCTCGTGTCAGGGCAGCAACCATGAGTGTGCTCATACACGCTGTCATGAACCATCTCATTGGTCTGCTGGAGCGAGACGGCATGCTAAGTATGAAATGGAACCACAGATATTAATTTTTTTTCCAGTAGTATGCTTGAAAAATGATGAAAAGTTGCTGAGATGGTTTTACCTGCTTGTCTCAGATGTGTTCAGGAACGTTGAGATGCCCTCTCAGGTCTGTTTGGCCCTACTGGAGCTAAATGGTATCGGCTTCAGTGTGGAAGAGTGCGAGAGACAAAAACACGTCATGCAGGCTAAACTCACAGCGCTGGAGTCACAGGCTTACAGCCTGGCTGGACACACCTTCTCCCTCACCAGCATCGACGACATCGCTCAGGTCCGACATCTTTTTTTTTCCTGACATGTTTTTGAAACATGGTTTCCTAAAACTGCTCAAATACAGATTTCAACTGTTCTTTGGTAGGTTTTGTTTTTGGAGCTCCACCTGCCTCCAAACGGGGACATAAATGGTTCAAAAAGTAAGAAGACTCTCGGCTACACCAGGAGAGGAGCTGGAAGAGTTCGACTCGGAAAGCAGTTCAGCACCACCAAAGTGAGGCTTTCTTTGTTTCGTATGTAAAGGTTGTAAATGTGAGCCGTCTGTGCGTATCAACTGAATTGATTTGATGATGGCAGGAGGTCCTGGAGAAGCTACGCCCGCTGCACCCGTTACCAGGTGTGATTCTGGAGTGGAGGCGGATCACTAACGCTTTGACTAAAGTGGTGTTCCCTCTGCAGCGAGAGAAGCAACACCACCCTACACTCAACATGGACAGAATATACCCCATCGCCCAGACTCACACAGCCACAGGTGAAAAACACACACACACACACACAGCCACAGGTAACACACACACACACACACACATAGAGACTCTGAACACCTTTAGCACATTGTGATCCTGCTCATTCTGTTTTCAGGGAGGGTGAGCTTCACTGAGCCCAACATACAGAACGTCCCCAAAGACTTTGAGATCTGCATGCCCACAGAGGTGGGTGAGAGCCCGCCTTCACAGAACAGCCACCAAGTGAACAAGTCAGGGTAAGTTCAGCGACATCAGGGGTACTAGACGGGCGAGTGTTGAAGGAAGTCCAGTAACAGTTTGGTTTCATTTTAATGAAAAATCTTACATAGTCTATAAACGTTTTTTGACCATGCTGTTCCTGATCCTTCAAATCTAGTTTACAAAAATCTGTCTGGAATATTCATTAAGCATAAAGAATATCCAGTATCTGCTGTATGTCAAAGCTTAGCTGTGGTGTGTCCCGATTGTCTGTGATTGGCCTGGATACGTCACCACTATTCGTGTTTTTTGATGTCCTTCTATTAATATTACGCCTAATCACACATTCCACACACACGGTATAGCTTGTTCAAAAAGATACAATATGGCCGTAACACCCCGCTGCTTTAGATTGTTGTTTTTCTCAAATTCACCCAAGAAATGTGATGTTTCTAAAATTAATCTAGACTGTAGTTAAATTTAAATTTATAGTTGACAGATGTACAATATTGAAGATGCGGTGATTGTGCCAATCTACCAAACCAGATGTCAAGTACCTTCAGTTAAGAATGAACACAATAGATATCGTATTTTATGGCTGTGTGTAAATCTGCTTTGCTCTAACGAGTATCTTCCAAAGTCAGTAAGTGAAAATGTTCAGTACACTCTAAGTCGTTGGTATTAATAAAGGGAGCTGCTTTAACTTTCTGCCTGTTTGGTAACAGAAAGAAAAGACGTTCAGTAGTTCCTTCAGCTGCATCTGGAGGGACAGAACAAGGACCAGCTTTCTCTGTCAGCATGAGACACGCCTTCATACCATTTCCAGGTGACAATATCAACGTAGTTTCCCTTTTTTTGTTTTTATAACCTCATCTCCACATAGAAGATCTATAATCTGTGTCTTTCTGCACTGTACCGAGCTTTAGGTGGGATGATGTTGGCCGCTGATTATTCTCAACTGGAGTTGAGAGTGTTGGCTCACCTCTCAAAGGATAAACGTCTCCTGCAGGTCAGCGGTGTATTCACTTGTACATTAAAGGGACAAATTGCACAGTTAAAGAAAGGTGAAAAACAATGATCCGTGTGTCTCCAGGTGCTGAACGGTGGAGCAGATGTGTTCCGCTGCATCGCTGCAGAGTGGAAGAGCGTTGATCCAGAGTCTGTGAACGACAACCTCAGACAGCAGGCAAAACAGGTGCTATGAAGCAGGAAAGAGGGTGTTTGATGTGCGTGTATACATTCACTCCGTCTCTAGACACTGATGTGTATATGCATGTATTGGTTCTTGCAGATTTGTTATGGCATCATCTATGGGATGGGAGCAAAGTCTTTGGCGGAGCAAATGGGAGTGGAGGAGAATGACGCAGCCTGCTACATAGAGAGCTTCAAGGCCAGATACAGAGGTCTGCATTTCTTTATTCATTTGACACAAAAGTTTTCAAGCAGAGTCAGTCCCAAAGTCTACCAGAAACAGTGAATTAAAGTTGTCTTGTGTTTCAGGGGTCAATGCTTTTCTTCGTGAAACTGTCAACAACTGTACAAAGAACGGCTACGTAGAGACCCTGATGGGTCGTAGGAGATACTTACCTGGGATCGTGAACACTAATACACATATAAAAGCTCATGTAAGTCAGTTTGGCATCATTTCAAGCTGTCAGATGTTGAGAGTGTTTGTTTTATATATTTTTGTCACTCTGTTCCTCTCTCGTCCAGGCAGAGCGTCAGGCAGTCAACACGACCGTTCAGGGCTCAGCAGCAGACATCGTTAAACTCGCCACAGTGAACATCCAGAAGCGACTAATGAAAACGTATCCTGCAGCTCCACTCTCTCACCAGCTTATACAATCAGGTGACCTGATCCCCTCACAACATCTATGTCATTAAAGGTCTACGAATGAAAGAGGTCCTTAGATGCCTAATGGTATGTGTTTTACAGTCAGCACTCTGCGCAGGGGTCAGCTGAGAGGAGCCTACTTTGTCCTGCAGCTGCATGATGAACTCATTTATGAAACCACAGAGGAAGACCTCATACAGGTTTGTCATTTTCTTTAGATTAGCAATGTAACATTACAACAAAGATATTTTGGAAAAGACCACTTAAACACATAATTCTCTGTTTTTTTTCCACCAACTCTCTTCTCTGTCAGGTTGCTCAGATAGTCAAGAGGGAAATGGAGACGGCAGTTAAACTCTATGTAAAACTTAAAGCCAAAGTCAAGGTGGGACCCAGCTGGGGCAATTTGCAGGACGTGGATATATAATCTGAAAAATTAGACGTGCAGTATCAGAATTTAAACTCATGTATTTACTGCTTAACATTGTATAATTTATGTGAATTATTTGTAAAAAGAGAAATAATATATTTTAAAGACGTAATCAAATATAAGTCTGGTTTATGACTGTGCCATGAGCTGAAAATGAGGTATAAAATGTATTTATTTATCTCTTTACAGAGTACAGTGCCAAATGTATACATGCTTGAAAAAATAGCTGTGTATAAACAAATGTCTCAATGCATGTCATGTATTTTTGTTAACTTAAAGCACCTGCAAGACACCTGTTGACAAAAGAAGCGGCTTATCCTCTGGCTGATGTCCACTACATGTGTAAATATTGTTTTCTAACAGTAAAATGTAATATTTCCCAAATGTGAAAGCCTGCTGTGACACTACAATATTTTTTTTACTTGGAAATATCAACTTAAAGTAACAGTTAATCTTAATGACGGTCTCTTGTAATTGTAGATAATAAAGAAGCTCCAGAATGAATTTGTCTGTTTCATAACCAGCTCAAAACTCATTTGAGCTTAAAGGTTTTGTCTGTTTGTTCTATATTTTGGAAAGAAAGAAAGTTATTTTTAATCAATAAATGTACAGATTCAATTTTTTTGAATCAGCTGTTTATGATTTGAACCAAATCCTACTACACCCCTGAGTACAAAGTGAGCACATTTTGTCTAAAACCCAACAGTTTAAATTAGGGCCTGATCGATTTATCAGCGAGACGATCAAATCGGCCAATTTTAGCCTGTTTGAGAATAGTCGGTAATCAGCCAAAACTCGTCGATTTTAGTTGAAAACGCTTTTCTGCTCCGAGTATGATCAGTCGGTCTTTCTGTCGGCGTGAAGAGCAGTAGCCTACAGTATATAGTATAATGTAGATATCTACAGTATATATATATTTTTATAACTTCATAAAAAAAATTAAAAATCGCCCATTAATCAGTTTCCGCATCGGCCTCCAAAAATCCATATCGGTCGGGCCCTAGTTTAAATAACCTGCTGTGAGGAGGGAAGCAAATCCTCTCCAGCAAGAATATTTGGCTTCATCTTCACAATTTCCACCTGATGAAATAATGACAACAATCATTCAGATATTTCAGTTTCTCGTAGGAAAGACACAGGGCAGCGTTGGTACTGAGGACATCCTGAAATCTCACATTTTATTGGACCATTGGTTGAGTTGTTTACCACAAGAACATACATCTGTATCAGTCTCTCATTAACACTGCTTTGTTTCACACTGAGTCACTGCATGTGAAATATTGTCTGTTTGGAAGCTTTTTTTCTGTTTCAAGCAAAGTGACAACCTCTAGTTATGGGGAGAAAAAAAAAACATGGTTGAGAAACAGTTTTGTCTGAGTTTAGGAGTTTTTATAAATCCCATGCTAACGTTACTGGGATCTCTTGTTTTTTTTTTAAAGGTTTAAGGGCTTTTCTGTTCTTCAAAGGATAGGGCAGCAGATCAGGTAGGACACCGGCAGAGAGAGAGAGAGGGAATGACGAGTGGATAAGAGCCATAGGTTGGGCTCAAACCCAGGCAGAGGGTCTGTGTACATGCGGCATATGATTAAACCTCTACGCCAAACCAGCACATCTGAAATCAGTATTGATGGCTCTCAGGAACCCTTCCTACAATACCGTTTCATCTTTCAACAATTCAAGTCAAAACTACACTGAAATTATTGCCAATCTAAGCAAAGGATTTTTGTGACCATCAAGTGGAAGTGAATTACATCAGTGAAAATTCACTTTTAGGATAACTTTAATTAATCGATGATGCACAAATAGGCAGTGCACCGTGACTCCGCAGAGCTCAACGACAGGCTCAGTTTGACACAAAAATGAAAAACAGAAAAAAAATAAATACACATCATGGACGCATCCATAAAAAAATGCATAAAATAAATCCTGAAGAGCAAAGATTTTCTTCTTTGTTAGAAAAGGTCTTTTTAAAACCGAACGTGATTCCAGATGCTACTGTCTATTAAAATGTTTTTTTTCCTATGTGTGAAACAATTCAGCTGATTTCATTACTTAACAGAATGAACACTTTTACTTAAATGTGAAGCTGTCACCACCTCAATTTTATGCATGACTAGCAGCTACGATGAGAAAGTGGTATTACCCCAAGTGTTAAGTCCAACACGCATCTGCACTGTTAGGGATTCAAGCGTCTCAACAGGAAGTGTGAGATGAAAAGTGCTTTTTTCTGAAGTGTTGTGTATCCCAGAGTTAATGAACTCCAACACCAGCTTGTGATGAAGTTGATCAAGATGCTGCCGGTGTGTGTTGCTCTTGAATTCTTGGGTAATACCCTCCCCCTGTGATATAACTGAATCTTGAGGCAGTCAGAGTGATCACAAAAGAGAACATTTATCTGCACACACAATAATAATCAGTGTCTTTGGTGGTTTTTGTCATTGTCTTCTGACCTTTTAGCACAAGAAATTGTACACCAAATTTTGGCTTGACCTGTTTCTAAAAGGGGAGATGACTGGCAAATTCTGTGGTTGGCAATAACCCAAAAGCCAGTGAGGAATCTGAGGAGGAAGATGTGATGCCTGCCGACTACAGATCCACTTCACTGCCCCACTTGTCTACACGCCATCCCTTTAGGGTCTGGCAGGCTTAAAACAGAAATGAGACTGATGTGTGTTGGGAGTATGCAGGTTTTTTTGTAAACATGGGTTTTAGTCAGACTCACTGTCACAAACAGAAAAAAAGCTATTAATTAAGGCATCGACACAGGCGGAGCTGTGTGTTTCACTAGAGTAGAAAACAGAAGAGAGAAAATATATGTACACTGGTACAGTTAAGTGCTACTTCAGCAGCCTTGTGTTTCACTGGCTAAATCTGCGAGAAATGCTGAAAGTAGATCTTGCCGGTTCTTGCTCCTTGAAGTAAAAGGGGGGCTTGAGCTCAGGCCGAGAGTTTTTCCCGTGCTGGATAACATGAAATGGGAAAGCTCTCAGCCCTGGCCCAGGTTATCAGGGTATAACCACTTACATGACAGAGGGGGGGAGTAAGGACACGAGAGGTTTGAGGATGACACTGAAGGGGGTTGTCAGGGAGTCTCTCCATTATGGCTGAAATAGTATCTAACTGGAGGACCTGGCAGGTCATCATCTCCATCAGCCTCCGGAGCAAACGACACAGTCAGATCAACATAACGGCGATCCACTGAAGGCTTGATCAACTTCTGCATCCTGCAGGGAAACAGAGAATTAGGGCTTTTGTTCAGTCTGTATGTGGGTGAAAATTAAAACAGAAAATCATGTGCGAATAAAAAAACATCTACGTTAGTTTCAGCCTCTTTGAGTGTCCAGGCATCACAGGCACATAGAGCATCTTCACACCATGGACGACCATAGTGGGTTCAATTCCATACTTTTCCTGAAGGATGAAAAAAAACAGGACAAAACAAAATAAGTAAACAGCTGACAATAATCAATTCATCCTTCAATCCAGAGCGATCAAAATCCTTTATTATGAAATAAAGATAACTGGGTTTGATTAATTCTGAACCGTCATGGCTGCTTTCAAGTACGACAGTTCTCACCCTCACTGCGTTCATGAAATCAGAGAGTGTGAAGTCCTCATGGCCAAAGATGGTCCAACAGTCCCAGATGGTGAAGTAGATGTTGTCCCTGGGAAAAAAGTCACAGAGATTTTACTACAGTCACTTTTTATCAATGAAGTACAGCTAAAGGTCCCACCTTGGGGCTGAACGTTGACTTTAGTTTGATACAGTCCTGGAACTAAAGACTGATTCTTAGACTGTTCAAATCAAAAAAGGGTCCCAGTGGTGTATCACATAAGACTGTGACAGTTGAATATAGTCGTCATGGATACACTTCCTACCTAATGTGTGTCCTCTTCACTGGAGCAGGCTCGGTGAGCACCATCACTGGGATGGCCAAGTTGAAGAAGCAGTTTTTGAACGATTCAAACTCGTAGCCTGCGACCACCTTGATCAACTCTAGAGCCACCTGAACACGGCGAAACAAAAGTACGAATTAAACTGTTATTAAACAAGAGAATATCAGCAATCACCCCACACTTACAGACATCTATGAAGACTACTTCATAATTCTGCACATCAAATAGTTTTCTGCCTGGGTCATGCTGTGGTGTCAGCAGATACAGATAACAATAACACCCAGCAGTATCCAAATTAAATTAAACTCAGCAGCTTGAGGTTAAAGGTTGAAATTTTCTAATAGTAGAGTCAGAATGGCGAGGAGTTAAACCATCAATTTGTGTCAGTTTTTTAAATGTTTCTCACCAATCCAGCCACAGCAGCTGTTGCCGTGGCAATAGCAGGGATGATCTTGCCCGCAATGCGCTTGGTCTTCAGTCTGTCAGCAGGCTCGATGGAGTACATCCTGGCCCTTAACCCAGATGCTGACTCCACAAAGTCCATGTGGCCGTTGCCGTCATCGTCCTTTTCAAACTGCAGTGGACTCATACGTAGCCTCTCTGCGTGGTAACACACAAACACATAAGCACTGATTACTAAATGTTTCAAAACACTGTTGCAGCATTTGTAACTTGAGGTTTCAGATTCAAAGTTAGCTGTCACCTCAAGTGTCGTTTTTACAAATCTACCTGTTGAGTGTTGGTCGTGTTTTTACGGAATTGTTTACCTGCTGTGACGTTGTCAGAAGCAATGGCCCGCTCCAGCTGTGTGATGGCCTCCCTCTCCTCTTCACTGCTCAGAGGCATCTTGGTCTGATCCGGCTTCTTCGCTGCCTCATCTGTCTCTATACACTGGATCCAAAACAATCAACAAGATTAGGACGTCTCACGAGGACACAAAACGTGATCAGATCAATGAGGACACTTACTTTTTCTGAGGGCCTGTACTCAGGAATTCGGATGTCTGAGAGAATCCGGGCTACCGCCTCCTCGGAGATATCCTGAGAAAGGAGGCAGACTTCAGAACGACAAGAACTGTGTGTGTGTGTGCGAGAGTAAGTGTTTGTGTGAGTGTCAGAGACTACCTTTTCTGAGTAGGGGATGTTATAAATCTCTGCAAAGAGCCGTGCAGTGCTGACAATGAATGTGAAGTGCCTAGAGGACAGGAGAGTCAGCACATGTACTGTAGATATAGAAAGTTAAACAGGAGTGAGGCTCAGATGGTCACATGGGAAAAATACTCACAAAGGGTCGTTCAAGTCAAATTCAAAAGGTGCTGGAGGTCTTTTTGGGGACTGCCAAAACAAACCTGAGAAAAAGTAGATAAAAACAGACTATTTGTTACATCTATTCAGTCACAATTCATAACTAACTGTTCATAAATCAAATACAGTATCCATGTTTGAGTAAAACTCACTTCCATCTTTTAACCTTGTGTCCAGGGGGAACGAGTGCAGCAGCTGTAGCGCCTACATAAAAGCATTAATAACATGTCAACACTTTATCACCATATTCAGACTGTTGAGTTTGTAATAATATGAATACTGCTACAAACAATAGAGTGGATGATATTTGTTTATCAGAGACTTATTACCTTTCTCTTGAAATACTTTTCAAATTTCAGACGTGCAGCTGCAATGCACTGTTCCCATTGACTGGGCCGTCTGCTCAGCAGCTTAATAACCTGGAATGAGCCCTCCAGACTTTCTCCAGCCTGCATCCTCTACACATACACAGAGGAAGGACACTTAGAAACTTCTATTGTTTGAGTCAAGGGAAACCTACTGTATATGTCTGACTATCATCTTACCTGTAGCACCCCTTCAGCTGAGGGGTGGGTCTGCCAGAAGGAGTTGAACATGGAAGGCTTGTGTACAAACGCATTCTCAAACTGGAGAGAAACGGGGACAGTGTTCAAGATTCGGACCGTTTACTGACACGCTGATCGCTTGTTGGATTTCTATGTTACTGACCTTGTCTCTGGCCCACTGAATAGTGTGCTCTATGACAGAAGGGAAAGACTTGAGAGTGCAGAATGGGATCTCCTCTTCTGGGGGGTCCCTCTGATAAATAATAATAATAATAATAATAATAATTTTATTTATATAGCACCTTTAAAAACAGAAGTTTACAAAGTGCTTAGACAACAGTTGTAAGCACAGAACATCAGCACATTGAAAATAAAAACACATAAAAACAAAAGCTCAGTTAAAAACAGGCCTCTGAATTGTAGGCCTGTTTCACTTTTCGTAAGAAACCCAGGCAATACAAGAACCCTACAAAATAAATGGGACCATGAGGACCAAAATAAAAGCAAAAAAAAAGAAATAGGAAAGGAGGGAAGAAAACAGGCTAGTAAGTATAAAAGAGGATATTAATAATAATAATAAAATCATAATAAAATAAAATGATGGTAATATAAATGATAAAGTGGAATTAAATATATATATATAAAATAAAGGAAAATGAAAACATTAAAATCAATAAAAAGATTATAAGTAAAACAAAGGCTAAAAAGGCAGTAAGTCTAAATAAGAAAGAGGTGAAAGAGGTAAAAGAAAAAGGAGAAAAATAAAAACGGTAAAAGGCAATAAAAGATGAAAGATGGCATCACATAAAGGCAAGTCTGTAAAAGTGAGTTTTTAAAATTGACTTAAAAGAAGCGACTAAATAATATGACAGATCATATAAAAGCATCGTGAAAACATAAGTCTGTATCTCTGAAACAGGTCTGGTGATGGAGTGATAAAAGGCACTGAATGAACAGGAGCAAAAACTATTACAGGGTCTCTGCAGGTCTCAACAAGTCAAATTTAAGACCTTTTAAAGACTTTTGTAGACCGTAATGAATACAATTTAAAACCCTTTTAACATCCATACTGGCAAAAACATTTTAAATTACTTCAAAACGATCTTTTTTCCGATGACACGTTATTTATTTTTGAAGTAGAGTTAATACATTTTAAAGACCTTTCAAAACCATATTCAAGAACTTTTTATGAGATTTTAAGTGAATTTTAGACATTTTAAGGCCTTAAATCCAAATTACTTTTAATAGACTTTTTGAGACCCCGCGGATACCCTGTATTATTTTATAAAAACTGACATGTTAATAACGAAAGTATAAAAAGACATATTTGGATCAAGAAACATATTTTTGTAACTCATCTGTATTTCGGTGTAAGACACAGCTTTTTTGGCAAGTATTAGCGAAAGTGTAAGTGAAAGAGAAAGCTGATTGATTTACCGTTGTTAAACGAGGGAGGAGCGTTGGGATTAAATCTGTTCTCCTCTTAAAACATGCATACCAGATTAAGTAGTCTTGTTTTTTGGCTGAGATGTTTTTAAATATATCTATTTATTTTTTTGATCTGCCTGAAAAAAACTGTCAAACATACTCACATGGCTATTGTAAGACTCTGTCAAATTTGGCACTATAACTTCTGTGTGTCCTTTAGTTCCCATGGTGCCAGAGTCAAGAAGAGGTCTCTGATTGGACAAACACCGGCTGAAAAATGAAGAAAAACAGCAACAAATACATCAACTGGTGGCAAAATTAGTAAAAGTTTGGTGAAATGCCACTACTATGTTTGCCATTAAAAATGAAACAGGAAAAGTTACAGAAAACAGCTAAATGCTTTAATAAGTACTGACTATTCAGCTTTTATATCCACACCAACCTGTCTACGTATCTTCTAGCCTCCACGTTGTCCAGTGCAGTGACCACTATGTTCAGGCGGGAGTAGAAGGAATCGTTGTAGATGCTCTCAGTAGCTGGGCACACCTTGTTTAGATGAGCATCCACCTGCAGGTCTGGGTTGATATCATGAGTGGCTTCAGCTGCAGTGGTGCTCTTCGGTTTCTGAGACGACAGAAGAAAAAGGAAGGTGGATATAGTGTGGCTGAATTTGACCAGTTTCTTAATACCTCTGAAATAAATATAGTTTTAATGATTCAACACGTTTCTATTCCCTACATAGTGAAGTGATATAAAGCAGTAAGCAGATTTTAGCAGCTAGCTGAGAAGAGTTACATTGGATCCAAAGTTGCGTTAAAAGTTGTGTGAAGTAAATAGAAATACACTTAAGTGGTATGTTGAGTTTACTGGAACAGGAGTTGAGTAAGATGGACCAAAAAAGAAAGAGGGGTAAGGAAGTTGACATCTGCGTACCTGTATATGATGTGGTCTAAAGAGAAACTGGCGATTGAGGTTGGACTTTTCTATAAGATCTGGATCTGTGATGCACACCTGAAAATGGAAACATATCACAAAGAAATAAAACAACAGTGCATCAAGGGAAACAGTCCAACAGATAACAGTAAACTTGAAAAACAGTCCACCTCTCCTGAGCTCTTCGTCAATCCCACTCCAAGCAGGGCAAAGTTTTTCAACATCTCACAGCCTATGGCTCCACAGCCCACCTGCAGGACAGATATAACAGGCTTTATCCCGACAAGAATCTTCAAATTATTCAAGACAAAAAAGATTTTTTATGATACTCAATCTTTACCATGAAGACCCTGAGCTTTTGCAGTTCTAAACACAGTGATTCACCGATGCAAGCTCTTAATCCATCATATCGATCGCCCCGTGGGATAAACTCCTCAGCAGAAAGAGACTGAAGTGGCCTGACTACCTCAGTGGCATCAAGGTAAAACTAAAAACAGGAGAAACAGGATGAGCAGAAGAAAGATTAATTCAACAGTGAGGGGTAAAAAATGATACCTGATACAGGTAATAGTTTACAAAGATGTACAGTCAGGGTTTATCCCTAAAAAAGCAAAAAAGTACTTAACCCACCCATTGCTGCAGCGGTGCAAATTTCCCTGTGATGGCCTTTAGGACTTCCTGGCTGGCAAGACCTCCTACAGCTGCCGATAGGGGAGGTAGAGTGCCCCTCGCTGTTCTTGACAGACAGCGCACTAACTCAGCGTTCACAGAAGCCTTAACAAACATGACAGAGCAAAGAGACGAAGAGGGGGGGGATGTAGAAGAGATCCATGAGCAAAAAAGTGAAGCAACAAAGTGATGCGATAGCAATGTGTATCAATAATGGGGGATTTCATTGACCTTTACTGCTTTGAAGAGACCAAGACAGATAATCCAGGTAAAAGAGACAGGGACACTGGTCCATCCTCGCACTAGACCCCTAACACTCTGACATCTCTCTATTTATACATGTTCACAGGATCATATTTGTGCATTTGTGTGTGTGTTTTACAGTATATGTTAACACCACAGTGCAACAACTGACCTAATGGAGCACATCTTAAACTCGAGAAAGACAGAAAAGTAAAGAGACACTAACTTTGTTCCTGAGAGTTGCATTCACTTCTTGGGTAAGTCTCAGTAAAACCTCAGCATCCTGTAAACACCTGCAAACATCAAGAAGAAAAAGTGATCACTTGAACTTGGTACATTTGAACAGCTTTGTGCAAGAGAAACCACAATGACAATGAAAACTCAGTCCTCAGGGACTGTGAAGTAGAGAAGAAGAGCAGTAAGTTCAATCTTATGGTGAAAATCAGACAAGAATGTTGTTTACCCGATGTTAGGAAGTCTACTGTGCTGTTCCTGGAAGGTGTCCAGAGCCAACATGGCTGCGTGGATTTGCAGTGGGGCCTAATGGGTGGAATTAGAAAACAGTGGTGAGGAAACTGCTTTGTTGAAGTGAGGAGAACATGATAAGCTATTTGAGTTCTGGGGTCTGTACGCTTATTTGTTAGTACCTTTGATTCACCTGCTCTATAATCGGTTATTCTGCACATTCACTACTTTTTATCCCAGCAGTTTAACCTGAAGATACCAGCCTAACCAGTCAGTAATGCTGATTTAAAATCCAGTGTCCGTGAATGGTTTTAAATGTTTACCTCTGGTTTACTGAAGTCTGGAGTTAGGACCTGAGGATCACACAACTGTCTCTCTAATGTCTCCTGCAACGAACACAGAGACATGTGTTTAGAGGAAATGTTTATTTACAAGCCTATGAATACTCAATTCGTTAAAATGTTTATTCAACAAGTCCTTTACGTACAAATCTGTATGTTTTCGGGGTTTTCACAAGAACAAAGAATCCTCCATGAGCGTATGGCTGAAGCCCAGATGTGTCTCCTATTGCAAAACTGTGAGAGGAAAGGACTACTCACACACACACACACACACACATCCAAAAAAATCACACACAAAGACATAAAAATACAAACAAACAGTCAGAAATGGCAGAAATTAAGGTAAAATGAGTCTTCTTTAACAGCACATGACACAAGTGAACATCTGTAAATTACATTATTCAATTACAATAACAAACTTGGAGAAAAAAATCTGGAGAAACAGAAATGAAGCTTAAATCCTACTATGTAAAATAAATACCTGAAACCTGTCGCACAGTGCCATTGAGTTCCACCATGCCGTTGATCTCTCTGAAGACAACACTCTGGCCCGTCTGTAGACCATGCGGTTGGTTGTCCATGCAGGTCACCACCCCAGGGTCATCCTGTTGTTCAGAATGATAAAAGGGATAACAGAGTACAGTAAAACAAACCCCCTTCATACATAACTTTCCTTATCTGGCACTCACTATGACCGCTATAGGTCTGTTAAGAAGGTCTGAAGAGTGTGAGCTTACCTGAGAGATAGTTTGTATAAAAACCTCCTTTGGCTCTTCTCCTGTTGGATCTGACACCTCAAACTCCTCTCCAAAATCACAGAACACCCGCACACAGATGCCATATGCATCACAGCCAATGAACTAGAAAGACACAAGTTTACCAGTCTGTTACTATAAAGCTAAAATATTTGGTTAATATTTGACCGATTTGTGTTCCATATGAGGAAAACATACTTAAGTTAATGAGCTGTAATGTTTAACCACTGTAAGGATAGTATACTTGCCCTGATGGGGGGCTGTTGTGAGTGGCAGAACTCATTCACTCTCTTCTGGAGACTTAATCTGGCTTCAGTCAGAATCACACACTAAAGAAGAGAGCACAGTACTTACAACAAGGACAGTTGGAGAACTCAATGCATATTTCATACACCTGACAGATTGCTATTAGCAAAGATCCCAGAAATGATCACCTTACCTGATACTTTCTGAGAAAGCTAAGGTCAGTGTTGTCATCCAGAGGAGAGTACGACACCTCAACATGGACATAGGGGTTCAATTCTGCAACACGGGGGCACACTGCTTCCACCCTGTGGTGGAAACATGAAAAGAGACAAAATGCGACTTTGTAAATACAGACAGGGAAAGTAAGTTGGAAAAGAAGGGTTTGCTTATGTAATTGAAAAACAGGAAACAGGTTTGATATGTATTCAAGAGTATGGCTAAAGACTAAATTTCCACCTTCTTCTCTGGGTTAGCACATCCTCTTTGCGGATGAAGAAGTTCGAGCCAAGATCCCAGGTCTCACACTGCTTTGTGTCATGAAGGGTGACCGCCTGAGCACAAACAAATACAGAGTACAATCTCACACAGATGCAGAAGTTCAGGAGGCACCTAATACACTAACTTGATATTCTGTCATATTGATGGAAAGTTGTAATATTATTTAGTGAAGGTACATACCTTCACACCGGCCAGAACAATGTTCTTTGCTGTGAGATCAGAAAGTTGCTCAGAGTCAAGCATGGATCACATGACCACTTCATTAAAACAGTTCAGATATTTTAGAAAAGTAATGTATGTTTACCCTACCTATCTCAATTCCCAGTCCTCCCATTCCGCTGAGGAAGACAGAGGACTGGGCCATCTGGTGCATAGCACTGTCTCCCAGCACATATCGCTGACGACTGGACAGAGGGATAAGGAACAGAGAGAAAGAGTGAATGAAAGAAAGCGCCAGGAGGATTAAAGTATGAGAAGGAGCTGCAAATGCAGTCTATTGCTGCTGATTCAAAGCACAGGGCTGCCATTGTCAAACTTGACTGTCCTGTGATGCTTTCTGTTTTTAAAGTCTTTCAGTGAGGGAGACTACACTTCATAAAAGCACAGTCACAGAGTAGGGCTGGGCGATAAAACGATAACGATATATATCAATAAATAATTTCTCTTGATATCGATATAAAACACAGTCAATATGCTTTTCGATAGTCTGCATTCTCCCATGTTTTGTAGACTATATGAATAGTCAACAAAAAGGGGAGTTGCTCCGGGTCCGCTTCACAATGAACCAATCATGTGCTGAATTAGAACCAAGTAGCAAACAACTGCATAGTAGCAGGCTGCAGCTACACGCAACCATAGCACTTCAACACGTAAAGCCGACAGCACAGTGCTATTTCCGGGAGAAATGCAGATGAAGCAGGGCTTGACACGAACTTTTTTCACAGGGGGGCACATGTTCTCCAGAGTTGAAAAAGTAAGGAGCACACAAAGAACTTTAGGGGCACAATGAAAATTGATCAAATAATGTTTATCTTATTGGTCGATTTAAGTACTATTATTTGAAAACAATTTTAAGTCAACTGGTCTTTATTGGTTGGGTCCTTATTCAACACTCAACATTGACAGCGAGGATGCTGAGTAGATTTAACCGCGCTGCTGTTGCTATTCACGGTTATGGAGAGTGAGAAGACACCGGTAGATCCGCAGTGAATATCCAACCTGAAACTAACTTCACCGCAGTATTTACATGAAAAAACATTTGTTGTCTCAGCTCATTTTTTAATGCGCACATGTGCCCCTAAATACATTTTACAATTCGCACTCTTCTATTTTTAGTCGCAAATGTGACTGAAATGGTCGCACTGTCGAGCCCTGTGAAGGCTCAACAGATGATGACATCGTTGACAAAACTGGCACGAAAACGTCGGTGGAGGTCAGACATGAAGCAGAGTAATGTGCACTGCAGATTATGTCCGGTACATGTTCTCGCAAAGTCGGAGAATACCTCAAATCTTTTTCACCACCTGAAGCAGTACCACGCCGCAGAGCACGCGCAATGCAAAAGGTTACAAACCCCAAATGGAGCAAGGAGCCTACGGCGCCTGCGCAGCCAAAACAGCCGACCATTCAGTCCGCTGTCTCTAATGCAACGCCTTACAAAACGTCAGAGACACAAAGACCTCACAGATGCAGGAGATTATTGTATTGCAAAAGACATATTACTAATAAGCACTGTTAAATTTTAATTTTTTATATCGTGATACATATCGATATTGACTGATATGAAAAAAAAAATCGTGATAATTTTTCCCATATCGCCCAGCCCTATGACAGAGTCAGACTTGCCTGTAAAGAGAGTCATCAATCTCCATGGAGTCTGCAGCCATGCCGGGAGGGGAAGAGGGGGGATTTAACTGTCTGAGAAGTAACGACTATACCTGTTCAGAGATATAAAAGTACAAACATAGATTATCAAGGCTGTAAACAATCATCTTGGTCAGCTGTAATCATCTAAAAACCAACGCCCTGTCGTATGTTAGCTAGCTAGATGGCTAACTGTAGCTGTCAGTGTTGTTGCTGTAACTGCTGTCAGCCGTTTGCCACGTTAGATGGGTTTTCTTATACAAAGTAAGTGACACTTTATAATAGTCAAACATAACCCCACTCATATTAATACTTTTAAATGACTAAAATGCCAAGGGAAGCGCAGCAGTGGCAGCTACAGCTAGCTAGTACAGAGTGCCAGCACTGCTGCTGCCCGGTGCCGGCGGCGAGGACACTTCCTACAAACTCGATACAAAGTGCTGACACACACATCAGACCGTAAACAACTCCTCAGATAAAACTATAAACGTGTGGTGTCACCGGTCTGCTGGTAAAGAGAAAAATTACACAGTTCATGTTCTTAAAATTTGACAAACAATCGCACGTAGCTACCTGTCAATATGCGCGACGAGCTACACCGAATGAATGGCTGTGACTGGTTAAAAATGTAGATTGTTTCCGGGTTACCACAGTCACATGACCGAGGTCATCCAACGGGTTTAAAGTTTATTTCAGGACTACATTTCTACACAGTCTCATTCATTTTCAAAGTAGGCTGTTACTATGTTACTTTTAACCCTAGAACACTATCGCGAAAATTAGTAATACCATCACTATCGCTGGGTGATTTTTACCCGAAATAAAATACCCAAGAAAAAGTACTTGTCATCAAAATATATCAAAATAGGACAATACATGACAAATTAAAGTAGTGTTCTTTTATTTTTAACTGTGCAATGTCCAAAGGGAGGGGAAAAGTGCAATGAGGGGACCATGTAAAAATGCAACAAAATATCTGAAATTAGGCATTTATGAACAAAAACTCCTAAAAGAAAAGGAAAAATATGAACTTAGTTTCTTTTCCACCTATTCCTGAGGCATGTGAGTCTTCCCTGGTGAAGACTCAGGGTCCTCGGCACAATAACAGCTGCAGGAGAGAGAGAGAACCAAAATATGACAGATTTTGAGTGAGTGAAAATGACCAGCTGACTTAAATATTTCTTATCACCATATGAACTCCTTTCAAAATCACTACTTTGTGATACTAATTCATAACCACTGCGCTTAATAAAGATAGCATGTAAAGTCCAGGACCACTCTTACTGACCTTATTCCCTACATGCAGCTATCAAATCCACCCAAACCTACTTTACCCTCTATCACCTGAACACGTGCCTGTAGGAAAAAGTGGGTTTTGGATCAGGGAAACAAATATGCCTTCAAAGATGTCAAAGGCGATGCTGAAGCTACCCAGGGACACCATGATACTCAGACAAATGCAGAATAATGAAAATCATGTAAACATGTGTGGTCAGGTGAAAATCACCCGGCAATAGTGTTCTAGGGTTAAGAAGACAGAAAGCGCACATGTAAAACTTATAAAGGGTTTAGGGGGCAGAACACCAGCCACGACTGAAATACTTTAGTTAACCTTATATTCTTCTCTTACTTGTATATGTTTAGTATGATTTGGAAAATAAAACAACATAAAATTGCAAGAAACTCAGCTCTGATTGTGCAAGTGGGGCAAAAGTTGTGCTGACTGCTAGTCCTTGCCAGAGACAAAACAAAAACATAAAAAAAGGGGTCGGGGTATTCTGCTGTTTGAGGAAACAAAGGTCAACCACTGAGTGAAACATTTACATCCGATTGACTCTCATTTGGGCCAAAGATGTGAGGAAAGGTTTGATTTTTAATAGAGCTTGCTGGCATGTTTTATCAGATTAATTGCATTTACTTGAGGGGGAAATTACCTCAAATTTCTCTCAGTAATGAAGCTGGGAAAAGATTAGACACAATGATTTTTTGTAGCTTGTATTTTCCCTTTACTCCAGAGACACCCTCCCTCTTATCATATTGGTCAACGACAGACAGGAACCTCCCCCTAAACCAAAAACCTGCACATGCACACCAGACTCTGGACTTTACAGTACCACTTCTACCTCTCGGACACCTGCCCACAGATTTACACTCTCCTGGAAATGTGGTGCAGTCGTACGGCTCTGTGGCGGCTCCAGCGGATTGCTGTTGCTCCTTTGAACACACCTGGGGGTCTCACAAGCAACGTGCAAAGGGAGATGTCAACCATGCAGCGGGTGTATGTGACCCGTCAGATCCCACCTGATGGCCTGAAGATTCTCCGTGAATCTGGACAGTAAGTTATTGACGTCTGTTTAACACAAGAATATTCCAAATTTGTGGAAAGTCATATTTTTCTTAGTTTAAAATGTCTTTTAGCAGAGTTCATCATTTACTTTAAGTAAACAGGGAGTTAGTGTTTGCCCTCAGGTTAGTTAGATAAGACTGATAGCTGGGGTATTTTCCCCCAAACAGAAGAGAAAAAAGGCTTACTGTATCTACACTACTCTGACACTTAAAATAGTGCCTGTATCATGATATATTGTAAAAAAAAAATTTAAAAAAAAAAGTCTGATAGGTGTTGAATTTTCCCTTGAGGAGGATTTAGACAAGACTTCCATGAATTTGATCTTCAGCCACTGTTTTGATTTCTCAAAAGGGTGCAGTTTGACCTGTGGGACTCAGATGACGCCCCTGTACCTAGGAAGGAGCTCCTCCAGAAGGTCAAAGGTGTTGATGGATTACTCTGTGTGCTGACAGAGAAGATTGATGCAGAGCTGTTGGATGCTGCAGGTCTTAAAGCAATTTTTGGGAGTCAATTTAATGACAAATATTGTAAAAATGAAAAGATATTATAGTTTTTTGATGGGTGTACTTCTGCAGGTCCAAACCTGAAAGTCCTCAGCACCATGTCTGTGGGTTTTGACCATCTCAATTTGGAGGAACTAAAGAAAAGGTCCTTTTATGCTTTTTAATTTTACTGTCATTTTGTATAGTCCACAGTCATAAAGGCTAAAGCATAAACACAAATGTGATTGTGTGCGTTTTCTCTCAGAGGGATCCGTGTGGGTTACACCCCTGATGTTCTCACAGACGCTGTGGCTGAGTTGACTGTAGCTCTGCTGCTCGCTACCTCCAGGAGGCTCATAGAGGCCACTCATGAAGCCAAGATGTAATGCTACTCATACACACACGTGTCTGTATCTATCTTTTATTTATTCGTTTATTTTACAAAAGTGAAACACACACTTCTGCTTGTGTTTGTGTCACAGTGGCGGCTGGGGCACATGGAGAACCCTGTGGCTGTGCGGATATGAACTAGCTAACAGCACTGTGGGGATCCTGGGCCTGGGGAGGATTGGTAAACACGGCGTGCTCATTGGCTTGTCGTGAAACGGCCACAGCCATGATTGTTACATTTGTTAATTCTTACTCAGTGAAGAACTGTCTTCTTGCATTTTCAGGTGTGGCCATTGCTGAGCGCCTGGCACCTTTTAAGGTAAAGAAGTTTATCTACACAGATGTGGCCCCCAGGCCTGAGCTGGCCAGTCTCATCAATGCAGAATACGGTACGGCATCTGTTGCATGCTTCACTATCAAAATGCATCATATCAGTAAAATGCAGTCACAATGAATGCCAATGACTCATGATGGAGCAGTTATACAGGGATTTGCAGTAATGGACAGTCTTAGACAAAGGTTGTTTCAACTTCTATGACTGTTAACTCCATTCCAACCCACTAATGTGTTCAAGCATTTTAAGGAATTCAGCGTAATGATTTCAGCATAAAATGAAAACTTCACTTGCTCTGCCTCTTTCCAGTCTCTTTTGATGAGCTGGCAAAGCAGTCCGATTTCCTGGCTGTGTGCTGTGCTTTAACACCGGAGACGAAGGAGATCTGCAACAAGAACCTGTTCTCCAAGATGAAGAGCAGCTCCATCTTTATCAACACCAGCAGGTACCTTTATTGAACACAATTGCTTTAACTGAACGCTTATTATTCTTGCTCATTATTTACCGCTTTAATGATCTAAATAAATGTCCTGATTGGCTCTGTGACTCTGTGTCGTATCAGAGGTGGTGTGGTGAACCAGGAAGACCTGTATGAGGCTCTATCTACAGGGAAAATTGCAGGAGCTGGGTTAGATGTTACAGTTCCTGAACCCCTGCCCACAAGCCACCCCCTCTTTACCCTCAAAAACTGCGGTGAGTCAGTCAGAAGTATTGGTGCTTTAACTACCTTTAAAAATATCAAAATTTCATCATGCCCACTTCTCACGGTTTGCTGTTTTCATTTCTTTCCTCTTGCAGTTATTCTCCCTCATATTGCTAGCGCCTCTTATAGTACCCGTAACGACATGTCCTCTCTGGCAGCAAACAACCTCCTTCTTGGCCTGCGAGGGGAATCAATGATCAAGGAGCTCAAACTTTAAAAATGGTTTCGCTCTGAAATCCGCTGACTGTTGAATCCGCTCATGTATGTAATTGCTCTTCATGAGGATAAGAATTAAACTGTGATGTAAAGAACGGAGTACAACGTTTCTTTATTTTGATTCGAGTCAACTCAATACACAGATTTTGGTTTATTCTTGTACAATTTCAGTGCCATCATATTTCATAAAACATCGACAACGACAAAACTGTTTCACTTTTTTTAATTCAATTTTTTTGAAACAACTGAACACACTATACGATCTTCATAGCCTTTACCATACATTTAGTCTAACATTTATTCTTCTTGTGGTCACACTATGTTAGCTTTACACAAAAACGATCACAGTATAACTTCAGATCTGGCATTGTTGTTGATAAAAGCCCAGCTTTTTAAGCTCTGGGGCGTAAGGCAGTGACTTTAATAATCAATTTAGGCCTTTCAGATATTCTTACATTTTGGCATATACGGACAGGGGTAATACAGTCAGTGCATTTTTCAGATATTCACATTAACTGTTACATATAACAGCTTTAAAAGACAGCACCATAAAAATCATGACCAGGCCACTTTGTGACACATGGAGGCCGTTTTGGAGGACTCTTAAATCGTTGGGAGGATATCTGATTTACCTCTTTTTTTAGAGAGAGGAGAAGATTGTATGAGATAAAGATTTAATAACCAGCATCATTTATTCAATGATAAAACTTCAAAAACTCTGCTATTGGTTCTTTCACTGTCAGGAAGAACAGGGTAATCCTAAATTAGTGTTTAAAAGGCTTTTTTTTTTCCTCTGAAGTCATAAATCAGGGTAATCCATAAACATATGTTTGACTTGAAACACATTGATTTTGTACAGGCTGACAGTGCAATGACTCTACAGTACAATAAGGTGCCAACAAGAAATGGAAGCAGTGACCATGAGTTTCTTATTGACGGTGTAAGTGACACAACACAGCAAGCAGAGACATCTATAAAAAGGCGAATGTACTTTAAGTGTTACTTTTTCATTTGGTTCATTGTAACAGAACTGTACAAACTGCATAATCATTGATTTCAGCCAACCATTACCCAACACATGAAGCTGCTCTCAATGACAGCTCTGACCCACAGTCTTTTTGTCAATTCACGTAACAAACTGTAGAGATTGTGTTATGATTAAAACGTTAGCAGAAAACGCTACAACCCCATAGCTTTTAAACTAGGACCCTGGAGTGCAAAGAAGCAACTTCTTTGACGTATTTGAATATTCCAGTTCACATTTTAGTTAAAAGAAGAATGATTTGTCTAGGTTATTTTATAACATGTACGACACTGGATGTATAAAGATTAATTCATAAAGCACTATTATCAAGTACATTATCGAACTCAAACAATACTCAATTCCTTGAGATTTTTTTTTTTCTATTTTACACACGAGAGAGATACAGTACTGACCACAACTGGGTGACTTTCACTGTTCTGCCCATGAACACATCTTTGTAGCTCTTTGAGGAAATGACAGTCTGTACACTTAAGCACACCAGAAACCAGAGAGTCAGACTGATGTTTGGATGGTCAGTGAACTCGATGGATCCAAGCTGACGTTTTACTGTCATTTCTAGTCAGAAAATAGAGGGAGAGTTTCTCAATGCACTTCAATTGAATTAAAAATCACAACTTATTGCAAGTTCTGCACATATTAACAGATTTTTCCTCTTAGTGAAACAACAATAGTGCCTTTGGTTTGTTTTGAAACAAGGCATCTTAATTCTGAAGTTAATGAAAATCAATTTTAAATTTCTCTGAACTTGTCATTGCACAAACAACAGAACTGTGTGGTTAAAGTACATGGAGTCCAGATCAGTGCAAAATGGTTTATCATATTTTGATTTAAACTTAGCTAAGATACACTTCTAGGGATGTCATTAAAGGCAACTTCACAGGCATAAAACCTTCGATTAGTTTAGGTATTTCTCTTCAAGAGCGTCTGCCCTGTTCACACTGTCAATCACCTCCAGCTGATTCACCTCCGTTTATTTACAGAGTAGATCAAAAATCATTTTAATGATATTTAACTGCATATAAACAACAGGGCCAAAAACATGGCACTTGAGTCTCTGTAATCTTTTGTTTTTCTTGGACGTTTTCTACTTCACGGTACTGGATCTGATTGAAATCCAGCTAGTTAGTGTCGACAGGACGACGCCATGATCAGCCTGTAAAGGTCGTATAACTTACACGAGTTATTCTACATTATCTGCGGCCAGAACTGACTCCAGATCAGTTAGCTCTCAGTCTAAATGACTACTGCCGTTACACAAAACAAGGCACGGTCAATAAGTCCAATTTCAACGATTCAACAGTCTGATGTGAGATAATGCTACATGTTGTACAAATGTACAATGAGAAATATATGTATATGCACACTTTTTGACATAATAAGTAATATTAGTGCTGCACAGCTGCCTTCTACCTGCAAACACTCAGACTGAGTGTTTGGTTATGTAGCAAAATACGCTTCAACTATCGTACCACTGACTACACAAAACCAACAACACAGAAACACTTCAACAAAGCCAAGGTTCACCAAAGAGGGTCCGTATGAGACCATCCACGAACTTGAGATGGCCAACAGTGTGGCAGCTTACTTAGCCATGGCTTGACTAGCCAAGATCATATAATGCAAAATTCATGGACTGAATTTTTCAACACTTATGGAAAATCTTAAAAACACTGTTATGATATGTCTGCTGATAATCTAGAGCACGTTCTGATGACTCTGTGGTACTTTTTTACATCCTTGTAGTTTTACCAAAGGGTTATTTTACAGCCTTTACAGTTTAGGTTTCTCTCGAAGAGAAAAAGTCTGTGTCTTTGGTCTGTGATCAAAACTGGTTTGTGAGGACAGACAGTTGGTCAGATTCTCCTGCTTTAACATTTATGGGACTTTCCATCTCTGAAAGTTTCATCCCATGTGATACCCACAGGATCTTGGTCCTACAGCAGGCCATTGGACATGTTGCTGTTCTGCCAGCGTAGGCAGGTGGTCTTGGAATGCTTGTACAAGTGTGAGGACTGACTGAAGCGTTTTCCACACTTGAGACAGGCGTAGGGTTTCTCTCCTGTGTGGACTCGGATGTGTTTCTTACAGTCAGTCAGGGTGAGGAAGGTTTTGCAGCAGATTTTACAGGCGTATTTCCGAGCTCCCTCAACCACTAAGACATTGTGCTCTGAGAGAGCCTTCTTACACTTGGACAAAACATCAGCCGAGGCTCGGGTCAACTGAGGGGGAAGGGAGGTTGGCCTGCCGCTGTTGATGTCATATCCACCATTCTTGTTTAGGAGCACGGGATTTGCAAGGCTTGAGGAGGAAGAGGCAGCATCCTGGTGGACACTGCTTACTCCTTCTTCCCCTCCCATGCCAGTGTTCACTTTAGGAGCAATGCGTCTGTAACCCGGAAAACCCATAGCAGCTGAATTCACTCCTCCAGCACCTCTTGAGGTTCGGCTCAGAGAGAGAAGCCCCAGACTAGAGCGCTGAAAGTCCAAACTGAAGGGGTCTACTCCTCCACTGGCCCTGGGGTTCCCTAAACTATCATGCAGGGGATGAAGAAACAATGAATCTGCTTGTAGGTTGTCTCCAAATCCATTGTGACTGTCAGCACCAAGTGGACCTGACTGCAGAAGAGAAGAAGAAGCAGAGCCAGATGGCCCAGCAGCTTCCTGTCTGAGCAGGAAATGATGTGCTACTGCGTCACCTGTGGTTGTGTTGGGGAGGTCATCCTCTCCAGAAACCATTCCTGCACTGCTACTTCCAAAGTCCTTGGGGCTGAGAAAGCTTGAAATGCTGAAACCAGGTTTGCCACTTAGTGGGTCATTACACCCAAAACCTCCTCTCCCTCCGCCGCCTCCTCCCATGTTGTTTTTGAGCAGCAGCTGGGAGCTGGGCTGCAGCAGGGAGTCAGAGCTGGGCTGGGGTTCAGAGGTGAAGCTGCGGTCACTGCTCTCTGGGCTCAGCTCTGCCTTCTCCTCTTCCTCCTCCTGGCCTCCAGGCTCAGCTGGGTCACTGCCTTCAGCCTGTGATGTCACATCACTGATTTCATCCGTCGGCTCAGGCGAACTCAGGGGCTCTCGTTTTACCATCACCTACGGAAAGAAAAGGAGGAAAACCATCTTAGAATATGATAGATTGGGAATTTTCAAAAAGTCAAAGAATATAAAAGACTGATGCAAAATCACAGTGATCATGAAAATGTGAAAATTGTGACTGAACAATCTTGTGCTGCTGGCTGTACCTTCAACATGTCATGCTACAGCTGCAGTATAAACTAGCATGCAGATGTATGTGAAGAGATGGAAGCAGGGAGAGAAACAAGAGAAGGCAGATGTGTGCATACATGTCTGTGTGAGTGTCTAAAACGCCTAGAGACAGACTAAGCATGATGACACAGAGGCTGTAGCAAGCTAACAGTTATTAGTCTATACATGACATCTGAGTACATCAGAATAAAAAGTTATCCTATTTCTTAAAGTTATAAATAATGCAGGCTTGAAAAAGCTGAATAATGTGTTGGATCTGCAGCCTGTGATAAAATCAAGTGGTGCAAAATCTGTTTTTTTTTGCACTTATTAAAGTTCATTTTGACAGGATTTATTTAGATTTTTGAAGAGCTCGGTGTGTTGAAGTTTTTAAAAAATCCAAAGGGCTGTAAATGCACATGATGCAGATGTCAACTCATGAGTAACTGTGTTTAATCATTGTGATCACAGTCTTAATATGATTATGATTTTTGCCATAATCATGCAGTAGCTTCAGTTTCAGGTTCTCTCTTCAAAGGACAGAGCTGAGAAGAGTGTACACAAACACAAACACAAACACACACATTGTTGGCTGAAAATTCACAGCAGTAGTTATATTGGACAGCTGCCAGTAACAAATTGGATTAGCCTTTACAACAAAAAACAGACAGTTAAACAAGTTTTGTGAATCTAACATGGACTTGTAACTCTTTTAAGTCTGAAAAACATTTTGTATCACTATCAAAATCAAACCACACCTTTACCTTCTGTTCCTGCTCTTCAGCCTCTTCCTCTTCTGTCCCAGATTTGATCTTAACCCCTCCTCTGTTGTTCTGATGGTCCTGCTCTCCCATGTCCTCCTCCTTGCTCACTCCTCCCTGCATTCTCCCCAAGTTCTCCCCTTCACAGTGTCCGCTGTCTGACTGGGTGGGCATCTGAGGATCATCTTGGGCCACTACCCCTACAAGGCCAGTAATAGCGCCATCTTTTTTAGAGTCATCTCCCATCTTGTGGGAGTCAGGGGAGAGGAGCCCTCCATCCTCCCGGTCTACGTTACCGCCTCCTTCTCCTAACAGCCCCAGGTTAGAAACTGAGGGGCGCTGCCTCTGTCTCGGTCTCTCCTCTGACAGGCCCAGAGCCATTGAGGGTTTGCGTTTATGAAAGCGACGGATTGGGAAGGAGGCTCTCTGTTCAACCCTGCTTCCAACAACATTTCCAACTCCACCCTCCTCCATCCCACCTAAAGCTGAGCTCACCAAGCTGAGCCCCAGCTGCTGCAGGAGAAAGGAGCGCTGTATCTTTGATGAGGCAGCATTTCCTGTGAGGTTAGCATTAGCTGCTAAAGAAGGGTTCACTACCAAATCTGCTACTTGCTGCTGCTGCTGCCTGTGCCTCTGCTGTTCCTGCTGTGCGTGGTGATGAAGGGGTCTGTCTGAGGAGGGGGACATCGGCAGGGTGCGTGTGGTCAGGTAGTGTTTGCAGGCCTTGACAACATTGTTGAGGTGCAGGTGTGAGGCTGCGAGGAGGATATCCATGACATTGCTCTCTCCTAGCATGAGTGTGGAGGTGTACATCATGTCCACCAGTGCTGCAAACGCCTCAGCAGTCACCACCTGAAAGTAGAAAAACGGGGTATGATTAATCACAGTGAAGAACTACAATTACTGCCTGAAAAGTCTCACCACACAAACATTAATGTTCAGACAAATGTAAGGATCCTAACCTCGCTGTCCAGCTGGATCATGTTCATACTAGCATCTCCCTCTGCCACCGTAAACAAGGCTCTGAAATGGGTGCTGCAGGCCGCCAGCACAGAGCGATGGGCCTTGAAGTGTCGGCTGCCGACCACGATGACACAATCACACAGCTGACCGTGGACCCGCTGGTAGTTGAGTTGCTGGAAGATCTGCTCAAAATGGCCTGGAAAATCCATGGTCCTGCAGACAGGAGCAGGCAAAGGTTGCAGGAAAAAGCGAAAAATATGACGTTTACGCTTTCAACCAGAGGTAGAGGCTGATAATACATGTAAGGTTGCGTATTATCAAATGCAAACAAGAAAAACGTGATAGGTGTGATAGGTCTACCTGTACTCTCATTGTCAACATCAGCTGTTCATAAAACAATATACTGAGACCACTTCTCACAACCTCTCAAAGTTTCAGCCTCCCCTTTTCTCATATCAAACTTGCAACTCAGACTATTTATGCTTGGCAAGGAGACACGAACAGGGGTTCCTACGCAAATACGGAGAGGATGGAAAAGTATGGAAATAAATTTGATCAATTTCCAGGTCTTAAAAAGTATGGAAAATGTAAAATAAAGTATGGAAAAACATTTGTTTCCACAGTCCTAAAAGAATGTTTTCTGAAATAGAAAAGTAGGTATTTACAATAATAATAATATATATTTTTTAAAGTAGGGTATGGAAAAGTATGGAAATTCAGACTGTGAAGGAACCCTGTACTATTGTAATATATAAAAAACAAACAAAACACAAAAAAACAAAAGATAAAACACAAAAGTTGGAGTGGGTGTTAGAGACTGGAAGAAGAAAAAAACTTAATGTGAATTTAATATTAGTACACGATGGGCAATGCTTTTCGTCTTGACTTTAAGGTCACAATATCTTGCATTAAGGTGAGTCTAGCTGAGTAAAGAGGATTCAGGTTTGTTACTAAGGTGACACTCGCATTGGTAACACAGTAGCTAACATTACAGCAGCAGAGAGAGTACTTTCATTGTAGTATCATCTAATTAGACGGATAATGGACGGTCAGCTAGCAATTCACGACTGGCTACAACTGGGTCAGTTTGCTAAGACCTATTTTACATAGAGAAAAAACATCGTGTCACACTGACAGACTCAGTAATGATAAACATTACCTTGAATTTTCCGGAAGCGTAGGAAAAATGGGACAGAAACGGGCCCTGGACCAGAAACCAAATGCTAAAGTTTTCTGGCTATTGACCAAATAACCGCATGGTTAGCTAAGTTAGCCAAGATAGAGGCAGTAGCTAGCACTCAGTCGTCTGTCTGTCTGTGTGGACCGCTCATCTGAAGCGAAGGTTTGTCCATCAAATTTAGCTGGAGCCTGCTAACATTTCTGCTGCTACGCCCCACATCCCTTGCGGTCCACTCTATCGGATAATTCACTCGCATGTGATGGTTTGGCTGTGGGGGCGGAAGCTGACAGTGATGTGAGGTCACCGGCGGTGGTTATTTGTCTCGAGCAGCTGGACACGTATGTCACTGACACACGCGCGCACACAGTCGGGTTAAAACACTGTAAACATTTCAATCCCTAGGGTTGATCGATAAGCATCAGTTCTGTTATCTGATTATTTTTCCCACTCAGACAGGGTAATACCAACCAGACTCACCGAGTGGCGCTGTACATCACTACATGTGCGTGACCTGCAGGAGGTTAACGGCTGAACTAACGCTTTTCACCACAGGATGTCGCTGGCGCTACAGGTGTTGTGCCGTAGAATGCACCCCTGCCGTAGAACGCATCCCCTGACGGGAGCGCTGTTGAAAGTACACCACAAGGCTAAATAATCCAAGTTTTACTTTATCGTTGGATGAATTCAAAGGCGTGATAAGACGAAAACGATAGCCCTCTGATTTGAAATATTTCCTGTCCTGAAAATATAATGTTCTCTACCGTGACAGCTTACTGTACAGTTTTTATACCCAAGCACACACCTATATGTGCATTTTGAGACACGTGACAACAGAGAGAAAATTTGCTGTTTCGTTTGACGTGTTGTCAGGATCAAATACTCGTGTTTTTTTTTTTTTAATATGAGATCATTTTCTTCCACTTTAAGAAGCTAACGAGTGGATGGGATGCAGGGGGTGCTTCTACGGCAGGGGTGCAATTCACGGCACAACACCTAAGCGCTCGAGACTGTACTGTTAAGAGAGCGACCTAAAACAAGTAATTTTTTTTCAGGGTAAGTCGATCTTCAATGAAAATGTGGATATTTTTTTAAACATCCAGGTATAAACGTGAGAAATTGGACAGAATAAATATAGATATACGGTGCTCGAGTATTTATTTGAGTTTTGGTAAAACCGGAAATACACTTGAGCGAGCCCTCTTGCGTCACCTGGAAACTCCTGTCAACAAACATGGCTGCCTCCTGCTCGTTGGTGTGTTGTAGGGAGGAGGACGACTCCGATAAAGCTGTCATTGGTAACTCTCTTACATTTTTATCATATAATTATTTATTATATATTCATATGTGGAAACTCTCTCGTTAAATCGTGTTTGTGCATTTCTATTCTATATTAATCTGCCATTTGTATTGCACACGTGGGTGCCATCAGTATTAACTGAACGTAGGCATTCTTGTTTCTCGCTAGCAAAAAGAAGTTGACCATTATTTTAGTCTTAAGTTTTTAAAAATATATCTTATTGTTGCATGACAACATGTACATTTTTTCTACCCAGTGATCGAATGTAAACAGTCTTTTTTCTATAACTTTTAAGTAAGTATAATTTACGAGTCTTTCTCTTTGTTTTTGTACCCCAGTCCGCTTTTCAAATGGCTCAGTCAAAAATGCAAGCAAGCTGGATTTCACCATGTACAAAAACACAGATGAGCAAAACCCCAGGAAGAGGGGCAGACGGATTGTGGTAAGGAGGACAAATTCCTTCTTTTCCTAACAGCATACATCGTGATAACTTACTCATCCTGTTTTGACATACTTGATTAACACGATCACCGAAATGATAATTACTTTAGATAACACTCACGATTTAAGAGGTATGTTTTCCTCCATTCAGGCTGCTGAAACGGAGAGGCTTGCGTATGTTGGGAATAATTTTGGAGTCGGGTCTATGAAATGCAACAACCTTTGCAAGTAGGTTTTCACACATTGTGAGGTCTTGTGACCACGATGACTATCAGTGTGCGAGGAGAATAAATATTGAAGTATAATATTTGATGTCTCTGTAGATATTATGTGGGAGTGTTAAACAAGCAGACCATGCAGATGGAGGTGCACAGTGCTCAGCTATTTAACATGCAACCTGTAATACCAGGTAAATGTGAAACATCAAAACTGTATTATAATACTGAATGTTGTGTTAATTCCTTGAGTTACCTTTTTAAACTGTGTTGCTTTTATTAATTGGATTGGAAAAATTCCTTTCTTTATATTTGAACTGCTAATATTCTGATGTTTTTCAGTAATGACGAATTCTAGTGAGTCACAAATTACCACAATGCATAACCTGTACTGCCAATGTTTTCTTATCAGGAGAGGCCACTAAGTCTGCTACTGCCCAGGACACTACTCTAACCTTCAGAGACAAGGTAAAATGATTTGACTCTTTTGTCAGAGGAAAAGAAAAGACTTGGTTGAAGTAATGATCAACTTGAACTTCTGTCCTAATCCTATGTCACCATTTCTCATTAGGTTGACTCTTTAATTGAGGCTTTCGGCACCAACAAACAGAAGAGAGCCCTGAGCTCTCGTAAGATGAACCAAGTGGGCAGTGAAGCACTGCATCAGGCTGTGGCCAAGGCTGCCAGCAGTGTAATTGACGAGAAAGGACTGGAAGGTACATAGTCACATGGATGTGGAAGGCAGTATCTTTTAGAGAATCAAATAAAAGAACTGCGATAGTGGTTGGTTCAAAACCGGATAAAGGTTGAATTGACCCTTAATCCCGGTTACCTCTGATTTTGTGTCTTAATTTTCTTTTTCTTTTTCTTTTTTCAGCTCTCCAGCAAGAAGTGGATGAATCACAGGAAGACTTGGCCCTTCACCTGCCTCCCTGCACTGCAGACGCTGACGACCCTGAAGATGTCTACCCGTTTGAGAGTTGTATCCTTGCACACATGAAATGTGTGTGTGTCAATGTTTCGGGGAGATTAGAGGAGCTGCAGATGTTACAACAGATGGTAAAGTTGGAGTTCAAAGCTGACCGCTGTTTGTTTGAGTCACTCTCCTTAATCAATATCGGCAGTGCTGAGTCCGGTTGAGTTTGAAGCTCTGGAGCAAGCTGGTTCCAAGATGGCAGCGCTGACTTCAGAGGAGCTGCAGAAGATGAGAGATGAAGGAAGGTTTGTAAAAAAAGTACTCACACTTGCTAAGATACTTCATGAAGCTACATTTTAAGTCCTTCCATTGTGATCTTTGTTTGTATTTTGCTTAAGGTGCCAGAGTGTTGTGAGGTTTCTGGAGAACCTGCCATCTGTGGATGAAGCAAGAGATAAAACAGTGCGCTGTGCCTTCTACCTCTCTCTGCTTATCAAAATGGGACACCAGAGAAGTGTCACCCGCAAGTGTGAGTAAGCGCTTCTCAGTGCAACAGATTAAACCTACTCCCACAAACAGGCTAATAGCTTCTTTTATATGTACAGTTGGTGAGGAGGAAGGCTGCCCTCGCATCATTACGAATAAACTGTTGAGAACATTCACTGTGGAGACGTTCAGAAATGGCAGGTATGTTGGTGAGGTACATCTCAACAATGTGAGATATCTTCAGCAGTAATTTATCTAAAAGCTTTTTTTTAACACTCACTTGTTATCAAGTTTTCTAAAAAGCTTTGACAGCAAATTTGTGTTCTGATTTGATCTTTTCCACACTTTCTCTTCTTGCAATGGTAAGCATACCACCTTTATTATATGCTGTACCTTTTCCCTGTAGGGTCGAGAACATGGTGTCTTCATCAATGCGGGTCAAATTAGCAGCTTTCAGTCTTGCCCTGCTGCTGCATATGGGTCACATGACTGCTGACCTCACATTACTGCACCGTGACCTGGGAATCACTGAAGCTAGGTAAGAGGGAAGGAAGGAGGCAGAGTCACAGAAGTGCAATATTTATATTGCCAGCAAGCAGCTTTCATTCTTTGTTCTAAATGGAGTTTGGATTTGGTGAACCCTGACAAAGTGTGTGGAAAATCCATCTTTGCACCATCTATATTTAGTTTTGCATTTCGAGCAGGTCACTTTATAGCATCAGCAGTCGAAAAAAGTGAAATGGTTAAAATTAACACCTGATACCCGTCATTATAGAATATGTTGACAAGAGTTTGATAGATGTGCATGTTAAAATAAACTGTCAACTTCATGTGTCCATGTTTTTGTAGGGCCTGAAGATAGTCTTGTCCTAGAACCAACTTTTAATGCACTCATCCACGCTTTTATATCATCCCCTCTAGATTATTGTTATTCCCTATATAGAAATCAATCCACCGTCTTCAGACCGTACAAAGTGCGCAGCTTGGCTTTTAACCAGCACCAACAACTGTTCCCACATCACCCCTGTTTTAGCAGATTTACACTGGCCACCGGTTGTTTTCAGGACTGATTTCAAGAGTCTTTGAACCACGATTAAGGCTCGAGATGAACTATGTGCCAGGACACCGTCTGAGATCATCTGGCAGTGCTCTGCTGGCTGTTTGTGTTCCAAGGTCCAGATTAAAAACTAAAGGTGATAGGGCGTTTGCTGTCAGAGCCCCTACACTTTGGAACAGCCTGTCAGAAGAGATCAGACTTGTAGAGTCAGTCCCTTCTTTTATTTCTCCGCTTAAGACACAGTTTTACAGAAAAGCTTTTACCCTGTGATTTTATGTCACTCGGACATATTCGTTTATATATCTAGTATACTGCTGGGATACTCTTATTTGCCTTTTTTTAAAATCTTGTTCTGTTTTTATTGCACACTGTAAAGCACTTAACCTGTATTGAAAAGTACTATATGAATAATGTGTAAAAATCTAACAGTTCAAGCTGATCCTTGTCGTTTACAAATAATACAACAGTCAGCGCAAAGTAGAAGAACCCTGTCAATCTTTGGTAATTGATGCTTTGTGTTCTCTTACAGGATGACTGAATTAGCCAAATCGATGGGACTGACCCTGTCGAAGCCGCCTCGGGTGAAGGCGGAGGAGGTTGGGCAGAGTGAACACCACAGACAGGCCTCGCTAGTTCTACCTCTGATAAAACATGACAAATTCATGGAGAGGCGAAAACGCAAGAAAATGCGTTGAAGATGAAGACAAGGATAGACCTCAGATGGTGGAAATGCAACAAATAAGAATTGTTTATTAAAGAACTTTGTAGACAAGGTCATGAGCTTTGTGACTATGCATTATCTTTTTACCTAACGCTTTTTGTGCAAGATACAAAACAGCAGAGAAATGGGCTCAGAAGCAAACTCTAGATGAGAAACTTTTAGTGTAGACAGTCAAAACATGTAGGCACAGTTGTAGACAGCACATATTTTATACTGTTATTGAACAAAACTGCCAGCATATAACTAATGATATTGCGTTTTCCTTTGCTACGTGAGAGAAAGCTCAGGTGCATCACATGTTAAAACATCATGGTGGACTTGATACAAAAACACAGGCTCAGGAGGAAACAGCAGCTCTGTGCAAGAGGCAAAAGCTTAAATTAGGTTTTTTTTTGTTTTTTTTGCATAAACACCTCACAATATAACAATCCTTCCCTAGCTACAATCATTGATTGATTAAAAAGTCAAACAAGGCACAGCTTTACTCTGTCACATGGTTGAAGCCAGCATCTCGGAAGCCTTGGACTTCTGTTCAGATTTAGAAATGTGCACTCAGTGTCCAAGGAGTCCCAGAAGTGAACTATCAAAACCAACTAGGTCCACAGCAGAGATGTGCATGAATATGAAATCTGCATGAAAAAGTACATAAGTTAAAGCTTTAACATGAGAATGATGCTTGAATATTTATCACTCTAGCTTCACTCAGATGGTACAAAACCACAGGAATTTGATCATAAAATTATAAAAGACAACTTCAGATTTACAAAATGTTGTTCAACTCTTCAGTGGTTATACTACCTCCTTTGTCATGACATGGTAACTCCACCTTGACGGGAGGGAATCTCTTTGGAGGAATCTTCTCTCTGAGGGTGATTTGATTGCTCAAAATGTTTGATTTCCCCTCAGTTCAAAAGTAACTTCTTGTAAAAATTGACTTTTTTTTGTCCTAGCCAGTGTTCACAGAATGGAGCAGAGCATGCTGCCACTGTGGCAACCACTTTCTACAGTGGCACTAATCTTGGTTGTCATGGAAATCCCAAGTCGTGAAGGATATTGGGATGAGGAGAGGCCGGAGGGAGAACTAGCCAGTGGACGAGGGGGAGGATTTTCCAAAACCCAGGGTGGAGCAGACGTAAAGCTAAAAAAAAAACAGAGATATTAAAATAACTGTAAATGATCTATTTTCAAGCAAAAGCAGTGCTGATGATGTCAAACCTGCAACAGCTTTCCATTTCTGTCCGTATACTGTGAGCAGACCTAAATTGTGATAAATTACCATTCAAGCTTGTTATGTGTACTATTGAAGTAGCACAGACCCTTATGTACTCAACATTTACTCACACAATCTTACTCCTTTAATGTGTGGCCACCTAGTGGATGCTTGTCAAATATTCACTCTCCTAGCTCTCTTACTGATCTCTTAACAAGTCAAGAGAGATAATGTTTGATTCTTTGGCTGCTTCTTGCACCACTAGGTGTTCATTGGCCAGTTGTACAACTATGTCCGTCCAACATAAGGTACTGGACTGTGTATTTTTAGGCTGAAAATGATGCCATCTGCCATCTCAGGAACAGTGAAGAACTAGGATGGGCTCAAACTCCTCATCAGCACTGACGTTAGATAAATATTTGCATAAATCAATATGTATGTACACAACATCTGCTCTGAGAGTAAGAACAGAAGAGGGAAACTGGGAGCACAAAGACCATAAAGCTCCTGGTGGTCTTTCAATGTCTGGCTCTTTCTTCTTGTTGCCTAGTTACCTGTTATTATGCCTTAGAACACAGTTGTTGCGCAGCACACAGCTCTCATTGCCAGGATCCATATGAAGAAGAGTTTTTTTGTTTCCAGGGTGGCCCTGGTATAAGACATTATCATGGACGACCCCTTTTGCTGGACCCAGCACAGCAATGCCACATCCTTGTGCTGGTTGAACACGGTTTCGGAACACCTTCAGAAAAAACAATGGAAAAAGAACATAAGTAATGTGTTGATAACACACGATGACAAATGTTCAGTTCTTAAAACTTTTCTGAGCGTGTGTGTCAGTTAGTTTCACCTTGATGTCAGCACTGCCGGAGACACGGATCCCATAACCACGGTTACCAACCACATCATTCTCCACAACCTGCCCATTACCACTCAAGCTGACTCCATGACCTTTGTTTTTATAGATGCCGTTACCGCGAAGCTCCACTCTGCAGTCTTTCTCGACAGAGACACCACCTCGACCGTTTTCAAGAATGCAGTTTGTGACCAGCCGGGTCAGCTGGCTGCTCTGCAGCACAGCAATGCCAGTACCACGGTTACTGTTCACCAGGTTAGCAAAAACATTGAGGGGTTCACTGCTCTTCACATAAAGACCAACTGCTATAAAAAGTGGAGGGAGAGAGAAACAAGAAATTAGACAAAAGTGGTGGGACTCTGTGTGTTTGAAATTGCTGTCTTCATCGGGTCAATTTATTACCGCCATTGTAGTTTATGCAGTTATTCTCCACAAGGGCCACACTGATAGAACGACGGGCAGAGTGTCGCTCATCCTCACTGTCCAGATCACTTTCCCATGCAAACATTTCCCCTTCTTCGTTCATGTTTTCCTGCCTTTCTCTCCCTTCTCCCTCCACAACTCTCCTCTCCCCACGGCCGTCATCTCCTCCAATCCTGTCCTGTCCTGGCCAGTTCCCCTCCCTGGCCTCCATGTTCTCTGGGTCCTTTCTGCAGAACACTGCCAGCCCGTACATGCAGTTATGGGTAATGTAGTTTCCCAGGAGCTGCGGGAGACTGGATGACATAATCCACACACCGCAGCCTTTGTTACCTAAAAGAGTAAGTTGAAGATAAATGTTTGTGTCGAGGGAAATGTACCATGCCAGTAGTAAACTGGGTTGGACATACTTACAGTAGACATGGTTTCCTTCAATAAGTCCACGGCCTCTCTCTCCAACCACAACACCATCTGAATAGCCATAACAAATGAAGTTGTTCCTCAAGATGGGGTCACCTCCTCTACGGATATCCACTCCTCCCCACTGGTTCTCTTTGATCACATTTTCTGGAATTGCATTTTTTACATGTAAGAAAAGATGACCGAGCAATCGGGGGTGCTTTTATTTTTTTTGATGTGGCACTTAATAGAAGGAGGAAATCAAGAACACATTTCAGATGCTGATGTTCAACATGGCGAGGGAGGTGGAGCAGACACACACCTGTGATTATTCCCCTTCCGTTTTCATTAATGGCAATTCCTGCTGCTTGGCCTTGGAAGATGTGATTCCCACTAAGGAGAGGAAGAGAGAGCAGAATCAAGTAAAACAGGAGCAGAACTTGAACCAGCTCAGCCTCTAGGCAAAATCACATGGCTGGGTTGACTAATTTCTGTTTACAAGTGGAACTCTTTGAACCACATCTTACAAAAAAATGAAACAAAACAAAAACAAAACTCTTGCCTCTTCATCAATAAAATTAAGGGAAGAAGGACTTTTGCTTTCTTAGCTACATGAACAGTCCGGCTTACCTGACCACAGGATTCCCGCTGAAGAGAATGTAAACACCTGCTTCCTTGTTGTTAAAGATCTGGTTACTCCGAATTGAACCTTTCCCATTGCCAAGTACAACAACCCCTGAACGCAAACCGCTGTGTATTCTGTTGCACTGTGGAAGGAAAGACAGAGTGAGAGTGTAAAAGACAAACAGCCTGTAAGAAGTCAGACCCTGAAATGTACCCACTAGCTCTACACATGACTTAAATCATGTTTCATTCAAGTTTCATGACATAACAACAAACACTGATCTCCAATTGAAAGTTAACCTAAGTCATTTATCCAGCCTTACCAAAATAACCGGGTTTGCTCCTTTCCGGATGTCCAGCCCTGCCTCACCATTTGAATGAATGTTATTTTCTGCAATGAGGCCCTGAGCAGAGAGGCGCAGGAAGACACCTGAGGCATGGCACTCACATACCTCGTTTCTCAGCATCACTATCTGAGGTAGGTGAGAAAGAAAAAGAGACAGCTCAGGTAACTTTCTCAACAATGAAGTGGTTTTAATCATTCTCTATCTGGGCTACTTTGTTAACTTGATACAGCCCTTAAAAATGCATACTACCTTAGAAGAGTCATTGTTCAAAAGTGAAAAAGGTATTTAAAATGGCATTTATTATTCTGTAAAATATTATTTGACTTTATTTACTGTGGAGTTCTGGAGGCAGCGAACAGCATAGTTCAACCCACGGAAAACATTCTCTTCCAGGCGAGCTTGTCCGTAATTAGACAAATGCACACCACCCTTCCCTTCCCTGAAGAGGCAGCGTCTCAGGATACAGCCAAGAGTGGATACTGCCAACATCTGAGCCACTGGGTCCCTGTCTAACTCCTGTTGAAGGGTGAGAGGTTCAGGAGTTGCTGATGGAGGATCTGGGGAGGATGCAAGAGGCAAAGAGCCATCCAGTCGAGGTTTGAGCAAATGAGAAAGGCCATGATGGTCACATGGGATTTTGTAGTCCAATTTACACAGGTTTTTTGTGTTCACATTTTCTCCTCTGTCTCTTTTCTCTTCCTCAACCTCACTGTGTTCACTATCACTCCAGCAATCTTCAATAACTGTGCCCTGACATGCTGGGTCTACCCCAGTCATCCTCTGAAAGTCCTCTAAACTCACAGGCTCCCTTTTGCCATTAGCTCCAAGTTGCTTCTGCCCAGCAGTGGAGCTTGGAAATGGAGGGCAATTGTGACTCCCAGAAGTGCCACAGGATGGGAACGTCCTAGCCAGGGCAGCCAAGTGTTTACAGGCCCAGTTCCTTTCTGAAACCGGAGGACCTTCAACGGTCACTGAAGCTGTGTCACTCCCAGAGAAGTCACAGCTGTCGAACAAACTTAAGACGACGCCAACTAAATGGGCAGAGCTCCCTTGTGAGAAGGAGCAGAAGCGTGCCTGGCAGGTTGCAGGGCCATGGATTTGCAACTGAGCCCCCTCAAAGTTGCAGTTGTCAAGTTGAACATGTCCCCATGATGTCTGTAGGAAAGCAAGGAGACAAAATTAATTCAGACAAATTAAGAAGAAAAGAAGTATAATTATGTTAACCTGCACTTTTGCTACTTTGATAATGTTTATGATCATTTCTTCATGGAAATACAATCAGACCGAAAAGCTAAGGCAGAAGAACTACCGTGTCTGCAGTACAAAATCATTAACATGATGATTATTACTTAAAGTAAATGATAAAGCAATGATCACAAATGTTCTTCCTTGAGCTGCGTCACCCCGCTGCTGTTGCTGAACTCGTCCGGCGGTCTCCATACTAACAAGCAGCTGCTGGAAGAGAGTGGGTGAGTGTCTTTGCTGAAAAAATCAGGCGAAACTAAAAAGATGTTTGGTGGCTAGTGCTGTGGCTAGGACCCTCTATGTCCTGTTGATGAAGTTAGGTGCTGTTCTCAGCATTATTTGTGGTTATAGAGTGGCGTTTTGGTTGAGCTTGTGTATCTCTGTATTGCTATCTGCGGTTGTGACTAAAGTTGGTATAACTAGAGATGCAAGCAGTCGGCAACATTCATCTCTCGACGGGGTGTCTTACTCAGTGCTACGGTGTGTTTGACCTTAAAATAATTTTACGCCAGACTATCCCTTTAAAAAGGGTCATAAGCTTTTCTCTACCTTGTAGACCACAGTTGAGAACCAGGGTGGCATGAAGACCAGGTTACACAACCTGGCTGTGGGACACTGCTGCTCCAGACACACCAGAAGGGCAACTTCACCCAACCGTCCCAGCCCAACCAACTCCACAGGAACCTTCAGTGCCACCTCAGACTGCTCTTCATACACTCCTGGATGGAGAACCACACGATCATATGGCCCCACCACGCCTAGGGCACCTCGCAGAGTTTCAAACTCACACCCAGGTCCCACATGCCAAACCCTGCGGTCCTTTCTGCGGCGGAAAAAGAGGAGGCAGGTAGAGGACTGGAGTTCTGGTCCGTTCTGGGTCCAGGTCCGGGTGGCCAGCGCATGCTGCTTCAGCGCCTCTCTCCAGGACGGGGGCTCCAGATTGGGCTGACTGGGCCAGTTGGGATGTCTGCACTCTGGGCAGCCCAGGCACAGCTGTCTCCAGCGGGTGTTATCCAGAGAGATGACGAGCTCCCGCCAGGCACGACACACCTGGCAGCAGCGGCCCAGGTCAGGAAGAGGCAGGTAGGCTAAGATAACCCTCCACAGCTCCACGGGGAGGGTGCCCACCTCCATGGCAGCAGAGACACCGGGAAGGGGGGGTACCTGAAAACAGTCACACGCACGCGCAGTTAGTGCAATAGGAAACAGCTCGCGCAGACCGTTACACAATAACAACAACAGAAAAACAGCAGTGGTTAAGATGAGCAGGTTTATGACCCACGCCACAGTGCTGGGACAAGCAAGCATGGGTCACTAAAATAACTAAGGGCAGCGAATATCCCTCAGAAAATGACACTGTTGTTATTGTAAGGTGATGTGTAATGTGGATAACATCGTGGACGTGCTTTTTCACAGTGAAATTGTGGTTTAAGTTCGCAACAGATGATGACGGATAGCTAGCTGCGGAACTTAGCGGAGTCATCTGAAAACCTCGCGTGTTTAACATTAGCATACCACATCGCAAAGCACAGGAAAGCATCACATCCGTCAGGGGAAAAGAAAAGCCTTACCCCTTAAAAGCTCGACATCGATCGATTCATCAACTCATGTCTGCAGGAGATTCAGATCTGTCTCTGCTTAAATGTCTGCTGGAGCCACTGTCTTCTCACTGCCTCCTCCAGAGTCGATAGAAACCCATGATGAGTGCAGATCTGCCATCGAAATGGAGTTCAGTAGCTTCCAGTTTACCACGAAACTACCAGAGAGAGCTGGTCCGTCTTCCGCTTCCAAGAGTGGGCGTTTACCTTATGAGAATGGACCGCTGTAAACGCTGTAGTTCTCGACCCTGGGTGATTTATTGTTTGCTTATGGATGAACCAGATGCTGAAGAAAGGGGGAGACACTTGAGTCATCATTCCCACCGTGAACATCTATGTACATACAACTATCCCAACAAACTATGGTGAAGTGAGTGCCTTCCACACCATAGTGAGAGTTCAAGTGGCCCTCATTCTTTTTATGTCTCATACTTATTTTTAAATAAACGTCACCCAACAGCTTAAAAGAATAAAAAACTCTGTTAAACACTTGTAAACATTTTTATTGGGCTGTAGAGACTATTGAGAAAGAAAATAAACCATCTTCTTTTCCTCTGTAGTCCTTGAATTAAAGGGATATCTCGGCGTAAAATTAAGTTGGGGTCAAACATACCACAACATTACGGACTCCCGCGGGGTGACGCAGCTCAAGGAAGAACATTTATGATAATTTTTTTTATAATTTCCTTGAAGTAACAATCACCATATTAATCATTTTGCTCTGCAGACGTGGTAGTTCTTCTGACTTAGCGTCTCGGTCTGGTTGCATTTCCATGAGGAAAGGATCATAAATGTTCTTCCTTGAGCTGCGTCACCCCACTGTAGTCCATAATGGACTGGCCCGAGGTCTTGCTACAAACAAGTGGCTGCTGGAAGAGAGTGGGTGAGTTGTATTTAGTCTCTTGGCATAAGAAATCAGGCAAAGTTAAAAAGATGTTTGGTGGCTAGTACTGAGGCTAGGACCCTATATATGCTGTTGATGAAGTTAGGTGCTGTTCTGAGCATTATTTGTGGTTATAGAGTGGCGTTTTGGTTGAGGTTTGTTTATGGCTCCTCAGACTGCTGTGTATTGCTATCCTGCAGTCGTTACTAAAGTTGGTGTAACTAGAGAAGCAAGCGGTCGGCAACATTCCTGTCTCGATGGGGTGTCTAACTTGGTTTTACGGTGTGTTAGACCCTAAAATAATTTTACCTCGGAATATCCCTTTAAAGACTCTCTCTCTCTCTCTCTCTCTCTCTCTCTCTCTCTCTCTCTCTCTCTTACAGACACACACACACACACAGACACACACACACACACGTTTCAAATAGGTGTATTTCAACAAATCTTAGGTATGTATTGAGATCCTGCTATTATCTGTTGGATGCTACAATGAGCTATTCACACAATAAGTTAATATTTATGAGGTTCTTAGAATTAGGAGGTAGCTGTCACCAACCCCAACCACTAAATACATGAACATTTTACTAGGACCATTTTTTCAATTCTTTAAATTGTAGTTGAAAGATCTTTTTAAAACATTAAAAAAGTTTTAAAAATCTCATTCATTTTGTTTCATGTTGGCCCATAATTTTACGTCACTACTGAAATCATGCAAGTTTGAGCCCAAATCCTGAGAGAAATGTTTGTCACACCCTGAAACTTTAATCAGGAAGTATTTCCTGTCATGCCTTTTCCGAATAACTTCATGATGGGGAAAAGTCCCATTATTTTTAAATTAAATTTGATAAAAAAAAGTTGAAAACCAGAGCAGAACTTTTAGGAGCATCACAACCACAAATTATTCCTATTCAGCAATCTTGTTTTGTTGCACAAAATGGGTAGTATTTCTTTGAAATAATAATTTAAAAAAACTGTACAGGCCTGTACAAACTATGATGGAGTTGTCACTACAAAAACAGTCTCAACTGAACAACAACGGTATTTTTCATTGTGTCATTTCAGTTGAAAAAGGATGAAAGAGAAGAATAACTTAAAGCAGCAGCCTGTGAGTCGAGAGAAAGGTTGTCGTGTTTCACCCCAAATAAATTTTAATAAACCAATGATCGCCTAAAGCAAGTGTGATATCAGGAAAATGTGAAATCTTTGTCATCCATCATTTTTGATGGTTTTGGTTCTTAATTTTCATAAAATCAATTGATAAAACAGATGTGAAAAAAGTCAAAACTGTAAAATGTACATTTATATGGTATGTTTTTTTCTCCACAGAGCTCTGCATCTGCTTCCACATTGAGGCCGTGTATCTGCCAGCTCCCAGACTGTTTTTTTCCTTCAGACTGGGTTGTGAAGTGTCTAAGAGGGTCATTGGTAAACATCTATTTTGACAGTAATATAGTATACACTTCCTTCTTTGGTGATCAACACCCAGCTGTGATCAAACATCCTATTGTCTGGCTGACATTGTAGGGATGAGCAGGAATTAAGTATGGCTTAAGGGTATAAGGTGTGCTGCTAGCCACGTGTGTTATCTAGATGATGGGAAAACTGCAGGGAGAGGAGCACGGGTGGGAGTGGCTGGACAGTTGGTGCAATTAGTAACTTCACAGCAGCCCGAAACTTAAGACGCTCCTAGTTTCCTCCTTCATCTCATACCTGTTCTTCAACAGAACTGGTTTGTTTGTTTCTTCTCCTTTGTCATCTTCTCATGGTAGAGAGAGGTGAACATTTTTGAAGACCGAGTTTTTCAGCATTTTTAATTCTCCTTTGCTTTTACTTGTGATATCAATCCAAATTTGAATTATTTCCCTTTGCTACAAGAGGCGCATACATGTCCTCGAGTTGAATATAAGCTTTTTACAGCTCAGAGTGAATGTTTGAAGATTTATTGATAACTGATTTATTTTCAGATGTTAAATTCAAAGGAAAATGCCTCATAATAAAGGGCAATTTCAGCTAAATTCTGTAAGAAGGAACAACATTCACTTCTGACCTCAACGTTGTAAACTTTACCAGAGGCTCCAGCACTGATGTGACTGAGGCGCCTAGAAATCAAGAACATCCAATAATATCATTTCCTTTTGGATTTGCGATTGCATCACAAATAGGTGGGAAAAGCAGCAATTTTATAGGGTAATTGTTGTCGGCCATTGATCTAAAATATTTTGGAGAATCAGGTCATAGAGAAACCAGATGTTTTCTGAGGAATTTCACAATGAAAACACATTTAAACTGGGGCAGTGCTGGACTGAAACAGTATGAGCTCAGAATAGGAGAGACGTTCTTAGTCCTGATAGTGTACACATTTGTCCAGTAGGTGGTAATGTTCTTCCGCTGAGAGCTCAGTGGGAAGCGGCTGGTATGTTTTCCTAAATGAATAAACGACAGAGCTGAGTTTGAGGTCACATTCGATCTTAAAGGCATTTTATTTTGTTTCTTAATGGCAAACAAGATAATCACTGAAAGACAGATCACTGCAATCCAAGAGAGAAGTTCAATGATACAGTATCTCTAAAATATCAGGGTAACAGAGCAGTATACAGTATAGAAACCCAGACTAAGTAAGAAGAAAGAAAAAAACAGATAACAATGCATGTACTTACGTTTTAGGGATGCAGTTCTACATGTAAATTTTGGTCCTTTTAATGAACATTTCATGAATACCATTTGTGTAACAAATCCTTTAAACACCTTTCTTCTGCAATTGTTACAAAAAAAAAACTATCAGTAACAATTGATAAGCATCGTGTTGTTTGGAGTACAGGTTGTCGTTAAACTGCCATCCTTTCTGGTCGATAGCTGTTATGGTGAAAAGTTGGTTGGATGATTAAACTATCAGCTGCCACATTAATACACAAAAACAAGCTTCTCGTGCTCTAGCAGTGCAATCCATGTTACCACCATGAGCTTTCACAGTGATGAAAATGTGTCTTGAAAAGCTTCTTCCCTCTGTGGGTCGAATCTTTAGAGCTTTTTTTTCTCAAGGAGTCTGCCTATAAAGAGAAAAAATACTTGTATTTAGTTAGAGCCATTTCAATATCACATGTCCTGAGCACGTAAATGATTGATGATGATTATTTGCGGAGCATCTAATCATAAAGAAAAAAAAATGAAAAAGTTAAAAGCAGCATGGCTTTTGTCAACAATCTTAATTCAATGCTTTAGCTTGAGCGACCTATTCCCCTAAATCTCAAATCATGCCTGTTTTTTTAGCATCTGGGAAGCAGCTGCTGTTTCTGGCTTTTGCTTTTTTGTAATATCCCGCATGGCAGTCAACTGATAAAAAGATAAGCAGCTTCTTGCTCATGAAAACACCCTTATTTTTAACTGCATACTAGGAGTCCCTTTTTACTACTGCAATTATAAAGCAATAAAGTGGTTGCCAAATACCCCGTGAACACAGACTGTGCATCCTACTAGATTCAAGTGCAGATCCCTAAACGTGATCATTTCAAATTCCTCTTAAAACAGGTCTCTCCATTTACAAACAATCACAACTCTTACACTGAAGGTGAACTTACTGAGCCTGTTGTCTTTCGAGTGTTTTTTTGACCCAAGGGACATTAGGGTCCAGGCAAATCCTTCTCCCATCATTTTTAAGAGTGGCACTGTAATTAAAGAAAGGCATGTTTATGTGGTGATCTATAGGTACACCCTGAGACTTTCTTGGCTCACTAGCAAATAAAATATAGAAATTTGACTCACATGAGCTCAACTTCTTTGCAGTAGGAGCTGGGCTGGATTACTTGCACCACTCCAATTAATCGTCCAATAGCCCTCCTCTCCTTGGTGATGCACTGACACCGATCAAGTCCTTGATCGCTGAGGCTGTTAACTGAGGTCAAAGAAAGTTTAACATCTGCTAAGAAATGAGGCAGGGCACATACCTGATCGTAAATGCAACACAGACTGAACAGATTACGTGAAAAAATCCAAGGAACAGCTGATCAGTTGCTTTTCTAAAGAGATTGCACAAAGACTCACCCTCAGGGACAGTCAGGAAAACCAAAAGTGCCAAGATGGTGATGACCGACATTTCGGCTCTAAAGCTGATGTCAGAGTTACAGTGTATTTCTGAGGAGTAGAGTTGATCAGCAAACTGCAATCAGTCACACAGAGCTCGGCTCTTTCCTCCAAAGCTGTGAAGTCTGCTTTGCATACCCCCCCTTCTTCTCTGAATTTCTCCCTCCCTCACTTATTCTTTGGAACTATGTTTTTTTTTTAATATAGCTGGTAATAATAGGAGGAGCCATATCTTTTTGACTGTAATCAGAGCATGAGCAATGAGTGACATTTAACTGCCGTTATGAAAAATTAATGCACACTGCAAAATCAGTAAACACAATCGCGTTAAAGTAAAAATAATATTTGCTTAATGCTTTATTTTTGTAACCGACTTAATTTTCTGTGGTCTAGTTAACATACAATCGTTGCAATTTTCTTGTCTTTTGCATGAAAACCTTTCCGTATGTATGCAGCAGAAGTTGTCCTACTGCAAATAACTGGAATTTCGGATTTCTGTGCCAAAACAAACAGATGTATTTCCCAGACTACAAGACCGCTGCAATTCCTAAGACTGCAAAATCTGTTGACAATCTCTCTCAGAAATTTTTCATCTCAAGTGAAAAGACAATTTTCTCAAGAAGTTGTTTGCTTCTGCAGGGGTCACTTAGAAGGAATATAAACATGTGTGCTGAGTCAACTCACTATTTATCCGATCTGTCTCATTATTGTTTAATTTAGAAAGATCTGTGACCACTAAAAGCCTGCAACATCAACAAAGAAAAAAAGGATGAAAAAAAAGAGAAAGTCTTGTGAGTCTTGCCTGTAGGTCTTTAATGTATATTTGTCATTATACATCATGTTCTGACATGAAGGTAAACGTCAGAGTAACACTGTCAGGAATGTTGACTCTTGCGGGGCTATACAGCGTCATACAGAACTCAAAGGGGTTTTTCATGAGGGGGAAAAAGCTGTGACTCCTCAATCCCTGCTCAAGCTGTTTGTGAAGAAGGGAAGTTTCTTGACATTTCCTGGAATCCCAAGTGGCTGACTGCCCCAGGCTACCCGTATTAAGACTTTCAGTTGAATACACACAAACATCAAACTCCTATTGCAGCCGAAACTTATTGTCAGTTTAAGTAACAATAGTGCTCCTGCTCACCTAGCAGCTTACCTCTCATAAAAAGGAAAAAAAGAAAAAGACTGGGTATGGCATGTTCATGATTCATTCCAGGTTTTCCCAACTGCTGTTTGCACCCTCATTAACTCAGTCATTTGTATTTAGTTTCAGTGGAAAGTATGCAGTGTGTGTATTTTCAGGGATCATTTTACAGTAAAGTAAAGATAGATGATAATGAATGTTATCAGTCAGGAGTAATTCCAAATAAAGCGACCTCTCTCCATTGCACTTTTTCACACTGCGCTCTTGTACATATGCCAATGCTTTGGACTTCTGTAAAGTGCTATGCAATGTTAGAAAGAAGCATTCAAAAAGTCTTGGGACACTTTTGACATGGCAGCAAAAAAAAAACTGTCGAAGATGAGCTGCAAAGTTTAGTCAAAGGCCACCCTTTGGTATTATATTTTCTTGTTTTTTAAACCGAACTGTTTTCCTCTTCTGAATGATTGTGGAGCAAACAAGTAAGTAGAGAACAAGCAAGAGGAACAGTAGGCTACTAGACAAATTCAATTGTTGAGTGGGTCAACAAAGTTACATGGACACAACGTCTGAAAACTCTGAATGTTTGCACCAGATCTTGTAGTAATTTATTGAACAGACAATGGAATTTTCCCTGTTTGACCCTGGGAAGTGTTAAAGAATCCTCAGTATGTCTGTGATTTATCTTCTTAAGGAGGGAAATCCTGTTTTAGTTACTTCAGTCAACATCTATGTTGTATAGTGATCTTTGAGCCCAAACTGCAGTCCCTTTACCATAATCCCTATGAGCACAGTGTTTTCAGGGAAATCATAATCCTGATGTTGGGCCACTTGAGTTTGTTTGAATTTGGTTTGATGGAATTTGATTGTTTTCCTTAGCGCAGTAGTTTTCTGCCACGGTGGTGAAGTATTTCCTTTATTTCAATAGATGTTTTGCAATATCCAAACATCTATGTGTCATGCTGCCATAAATCATTTCATCATACTTCCCCTCAGGGCCCGTGGCGCCTGATTCTCCTGCTGGGGGGTGAAATTAATCCTGCGCCATAAAATATTTTCTCAGACTTTGTCATAGGTATGAAAGTATTCATGATTTGTCATTATACTGATGACAAATCATAATATAAGCACTTCACTATCAGCAGCAGTGGGCAACCATAGAGCAAAACCACATTCATGAAAATGGTAGTTTGTTTCACATGTCAGTCACATGCTGCAACTCATGTCACTTTACCCATCTTAAGACAAACACCTGATAAACCACAACAGTGACCAAAAAAAAGTTTAAAAACTTTCCAGTGAAGAGCCTCACAGGGTGCGTTTCACCAAATTTTCACCTCTCCAGTTTTCACTTCAGAGTATTTGAGGAAATGAACACCACAAAAGGAAATGTGCTGTTTTCTTGAAATTATGTCGCCATAACTTCCGGCCTGCCAGATATTTGACATGTTTTTTTTTAATTCAATAAAGCACCAAGTCAACTTAATAGATGTAATTTTTCCTTGTGATCAAAATCTTTCACTCAGCGTGTATTCAGTTTAAGTAGGGCATTAATAATTCAACAAACCTGTGTTGAAAAAAACTCAGCACCTGATTTTTAAAGGTTACTCCACACTTGGTTCTCTTTTGTAAGTATTATTGATGTGACGTGGTGACTTCTAGACAGGCAGATGTGTTGCAGCTTGTTGAAATTGCGTCATGCAGGATCCAGTGGTATGAAAACGTTTTTTGCTCATCTCCGGCTGTCTTCGCATGAGTGCCACAGACTGAGCCAGCATGGACTTTCTGATGACTATCACAATTGCCTAATCATAACATTTCATTTTAAACGCATGGATATGATTGTTGAATAAAATAATCACATTTTAATAATAATTTTAACAGGTCAACTGGAGTTAGTGAATATAACCAGTGTCCTACAAAGCTTTCTCTTAATACAAACAATGTACACTTGTTTGAAAAAGGAAAGTAGTTTTAGTCATTATGTTTCTCGTTTTCTCTTAAAATCTTTTAGTTGTTAAGTTTAGTGACCTGTTTTGTAATGCATTAAAGGGTAAGAGCACACTAACAGAGACTGCTGCATACTACCTATGTTCAGAAAATCTAATCCACTGATTTTTTTTTTCATATAGATAGTGTCAAACCACAACTAGAACTATACGATAAATATAGCAGGTGTAGGTCTTTTAAATTACTTTTACATTTAACATACATGAACTATAATGGAAAACAAAAGCAAAAGCAGGCAGAGTGCATGAGGTCAACACATGTGACATTTCAGCCTGTGCATGTATAGCGTGCAACACCAGAGTGGAAAATTAAAACTCTCCGTTGGGACTGATGAAATATGTCTTGATCTTTTATGGGTGAACTTGGCACATAAGGCAGTTTAATGTAATTTTGAAATGAGGTTTTGTGGCTCTTAAGCAATTTTACCTGTTTTTATGGGAGAAACATGCCAACATGAAAGTCATTAATGGACCCTGTAGAGAAAAACACATGTTCAGACCTGTTTAACATTAATTAGACACTCAATCACAGATCTCATTCAGTTGTTCATTTCTACTGCATGCAATATTTGAATTACATTTGTATTCATCAGTCGATTTTCCGTGACTTTAGAGTGAGTAACAATGTATTTCATGATACAGCAATATCTAAATCACAAATCCTTTCTCTGAAGCATTCTTCCAACATTAACTAATTACTCTTACAATATGTTTAGTCACTGTGTTTTTCCTTCGAGTGACATGTGGCCCGATGAACCCTCAAAAGTGTCAGTCAAAAAATCTTCACCGTGTAAATTCCCCACATCACTCGACTCTCCAAGTTTGCGCAAGAGCTTAACGCGGGGAATGACTCACTTCCAGAAGCAGCTCTTTAAAAGGGAACACGTTTCCCTCTCCAGCGCTAGATTCAAACAGCAGAGCCAGAGAGCAGCTGGAGCAAGAAAAGGAGAAGCTAAAGAGAGAGTGAAGCGAGCCAAAGGAACAAGAAAAATCAAAGAGGAAAAAGAAACTTCTTTACTTTTTACGACAAGTGTCAAAAGACGGTGTTCTTCTTCAGTTTTGCAGAAGTTTTTTAAGTCATAATGATGAGCAGCAGAGTTATCGTCACCTCTCTTGTGGTGCTCCTGGCCTTTCTGACCATCAGCGAAGGTAAGACGTTTTTGTTTTTTTCATGAGTTAGGTGCAGCAGTATGGAGCCGAGCCAGAATCAAGTTTCTTTATTTTTGCTGTTGCACTTCTTAACCAAATGTTTCTCCTCTATCTCTCCTACCAGGAATAAGTTTAAGAAGTCTGGGAGTAGAGCAGCACTGCCGCTGCATCCAGACAGAGAGCAAACCGATTGGCCGCCACATCGAGAAAGTGGAGTTGATTCTACCCACCTCTCACTGCGAGGAGACCGAGATCATGTAAGGCCCTGTTTTAAAGCCCTCAATGTTTGAGATTTGTAGCTTTTTCCACTGGGTGCTCATTGCAGACTGACATCTCTGACTGAATCTCTTCTTTTGGTGTTGCAGTGCCACTCTGAAAAAGACAGGTGAAGAAGTTTGCCTGAATCCCGAGGCCCCATGGGTTAAGAAAGTAATCAACAAGATCATGTCCAAGTAAGTATTCATCAACTGAACAATATACTGGATAGTTTTAGAGCATAAACTAAAGTTACTGAATCTTTTACCAATATATGTTCACACACTAATCTTTGTTTTTTTTCTGTTTCTTCTCTAAGCAGCAGAAGACGCTGAACAGATCAGGATGGAAGTGTTTAATGAAGATGGATTAGTTACCTGGCAGATGAAACATGTTGGACCGTATTTATTGATTTGAGAGGATTTTTTAATCATCACACCCATTTTTGTTTTATTTTGAAAGGCTGCTTAATGTCTTGGTGGGCTGTTGCGACCTGACAGCAACATTTACCTGAAAAAGATTATGTTTGTATCAAACATTTATTTATTAAGAAGTCTATCTATGTTGGTTTGAATATCCTGTGTGTTTGTTAACTTCAGTGTGTTAAACATATTTATTGATATATTTATGATGTGTTAATGTATTGATTCAGTTGTTCCCTTGTGACTGCTTTTTGTAAATTAATAAAGAACAAAAGTTGATTAAAAACATGCTGTCTTGAACTGTTATTCATCCACAATGTATAGTCAAAGATTTTTCAGGAAAAAAAAGGAGTCCGATGTAGATGATTTATAAGATCAGGTGTTCAAGATACTCAAGAGTTTTAATTTTGAGCGATTTTAATGCTTCTTGTAGGAACTTTTTGCTTGTGTTGACATTTGTGCTCTCTATGGACAAAATAGTACCTCTTTGATCTTGTTCTCTGTACAGAGAAAGTATTTTCTGACAAGAAATCTCTTGCCGCTGACTTTGAACCTCCAAATATGTCACTCATTTAAAAACCTTTTTGCGTAAAATGGAAGTAAAGGCTGTTCTTACGCCTACCCAGCTCAGCATGCAGGCTTTAGAAGTGATGACATCTTCTCCTTGATGGTCTGGTCATTACGGCTGTTAGAGGCTTCAGTATTTATTTTAGTTATTTTTAAAAAAGCTCTTTACAGAACTAACTTCAAATTACATTTCCAAAGTTATCCACAGAATATAGGTAAAAGAGATGCTTGTGAAAGTAAAAGTAAAGGAAACATGTCACAGAAGAGTGAACTTAATATTTTGAATGTTAATATCACACCTTCAGGAGCAGAATTTCTTGCATATTTGTGAAAAAATATAACACTACAGCAACATGTACAACAGAAACACGACTTATAATTTGGGGAAAAAAAACAACCATTTATGTAAAGTTTTGTCCGAAAAATTAATAAAACTGCATCTGACTTGCAGCCAGCTGAGAAAAACGACAGTGTGTGGTCTTCTTTTTCTTCAAAATGTTTAACTTGCAAGGACTCAGCAGCTTATAACAAAGGCAGCTTCTTCTGACTGAGGAATTGAGATTTTTACACATCCTTTATGCAGTCAAGAAACAAACACCCCTGCCCATTAACAGGATTTATTTACAGCCCGCCTTCCAAGGTGCAATGCAAAATTTTTACATAAGTCCAAAAAAAAAAAAAGGTCAATTACTATTTACAAAATGTACAAGGCAAAAAAGAAAAAGGCCAACAGGGCAGGAGTTCCACTATAACTCAAGATTCTCACTCAAGAGGAAAACAAACAAACAAACAAAAAAAAAACCTCACTAAAAATAAAATAAGTCAGTTTGGTAGTTACTGTTCATGCAACAAACTTCAGTCTCAAAGTAAGAAAGGCCCAGAAAGCCTTGTTTCAAATCCCCCCCCCCCCCCCGCCCCCCCAGCCCCTCCCAGTGGGCGTTATCAATTATATAAGTTGGGAGAAAAAACTCATTTATTTACATTTAAACATTTTAAATTTTTTTTTACTGTTTTTAACCTTCAGACCTTTTTCTGTAAGTTTTTGCCATTTAAATAAGATTTTACACAAATCAATGGAGCATTAGCTTTAAGGGATTCATAACGAACAACAAGGGGATTAATTTTTCTTGCATCATGTGACCACTTTGACCCTCCATACTCACCTATTTTACACCCGGAAGTCATGCGCTCTGTTTCCTCATTTAGGAACATGATCCGGCATGATGGCGTGAATGGACGCCCGGCAGGTAAGTGAAGCGACGAATGTATGTTTAGATTAACTCATTGGAGCTCCAAGTGTGAAACCTTGGTTACCCTATCCAACAGAGTAGGGGGAAGGAAAAGTAGCGCTGTTTAGTGGGGAATTAGCGACGCTGGCGGGGAGGGAAATGTTTGGCGCTGCCCGCAGTCAGTGAGGACGCCGCTCCGTCACACCCGCTAAACGTTTAAATTGCGGTGCTATTTCTAATGTTATAACAGTAGTAATATTTCCACGTTTATTGACAAAAATGGCTCAAGGGATAGAGAGTTGGGATGACCGTTTTAATAGGGGGATGATTTTGACCATTTTCATTTCAGGAGGGATGCCATCCCCCCCTTTATCTCCCCTCAGCTCAATTTATGGTCCACAACCCACTTCCTTATGGACGTATGACATCATCACATTCAATACTATAGACCCACATCACGTGGTTTTGTTGGCCTGGTGACCTCATTATGCCACAGGGCCTTAACCTGAGTGAATCATGTGCAAAAATAAACTTCAAAATCAGGTTGCACCAGAAGGCACCTGCACCTGTACCTGTCACCCTCCACCCTCCACCCCCTATCATGCAGCAAAAGGAACAAAAGTTTTCTTTGCAACTAACAATTCACCCCCTGAAAAAAGAGGATACCCCATCTGTTAAATGTTACACATTTTAGCAAGATGGTTGAAGAATTGCTGGATCTGGAAAGAAAATACCCAGGCCTCATTGAGGAAGACTCAGTCTGGACTCTTCTTTCTCAGAAAGCTGAGATCTGTCAATGTCAGCACTAGGCTCCTGGATGTCTTTTACCCAAGTATTCTGGCTAGTGTCCTTTTTTGTACTTTGCTGGGGGGCAGCATATCATCTGACGACAAAAATAGAATCAACAAGATGATTAAGTTATTGGTTTAGTCTCTCGAGGCCATTGTTGAGAGGAGGACCAGGTCTGAATTAAAGTTATCCCTGGGCTACAAAGATCTTCCACTGCACTATGTCTTCAAAGGTCTTGAAAGCGACAGAGAAAGTCTTTTGTTCCAGCAGCAGTGAGATTTTTTAACAGTGTAAGGCTGAGTCTGAAATGAATCACTCAATCCCTAACCCCTAACCTCCATATGGGGTTTTATTATATAGCTGACTATGTAGTGAACTCAATCACTGGAGGTTTCAGACACTACATGGCAAGTCGCAATGCATGACGGGATGCCCACCACTGGTGAGTGACCATCGGATGGTCACTACATTTTGCAATGCTCTATGGGAAATTTTGGGTTGCCTTTATGGTCACTCAGGTTTCGGACACCTCTCAAAATGGCGCTAGACTCCATATAGTCGCCTATGTAGAGGTTTGGGATCCATTTCGGACACAGCCTATATTAGGGTCTGACTTTGCACTGCTGCATAGTTTGTAGAGGTATTCATTTTAGTATTTATTCGGTTTTATCAGGCTTTTGTTGTATTTAATCATGTCCTTATCTTTTAGCACTTTTAAATCATATTTCATTGGCCTTTACTGTGTTTGTTGTGTATCTGGTGTTAGTCTGTTTTTTCTAATGTCTCCATGCTGTGTGTTGTCTATGAGTCTTCTTGTCCTGGTGGTGAAATAGTTTCCCCTATGCTGGATCAATAAAGTCTACCTTGCCTTAACTTACCTTATCTTTAATGAGCCAAAGCTGGACTGTCTTTTACATGGCACAACTGGCACAACCCATCATTTTTATTAAACACCAATTAAATCTATCACAGTGGTGTGTCTCACATTTTCTGTTTTAGTTTTGAACAATCAAATAATAAACTTTTGTAGCCTTTCATGCGGTCTAGAGCAGACCATGTCATTTTGGGGTCAACAGTTTGGTCCCTGAGTTTCCACATTGAGTATGGTCCATTTAAATGCACACATAGATGGAGTAATGCTATATTGACAGTAGCTGTTTAATATGTTTTATTGTTTGTTTTTGGCGTGTGTGAGAATGCAGGCAAAGGGGCGGGACTGAGCGCACAGCCAGGGGTAGGTGCGGTAGTGCGGCGTCTGATGCGCGCAGAGAGACGACACTCGCAGGGCTGGACGGACACGCACCGCAGAAACAGTAATGCACACAAAATGATGCGTCTACGAGTTGAGACAAGCCGCTTCGTGTGAGGGAAATAGAGAAACAACAAAACGCCAAACACCGGAAGCTCTGTCGTCCAGATTGAAGCGCTCGCGCAGGCAGTGCGTTTGCCGCAGAAATCATCCCACCGATGCGCCTCAGCTGTGTATGAATCCTTCCGCTTGGTTTGCAGGTCCAGGACAAAACCGGGCGGCGTTGAAGACTGTGTGTGGTGGAGACTGTTTGTGAGTGCACCTTATCTGCGTCCCCACACACCACTTGGCACCTTCTCCAGGATGGCGTTAACAATCTGCACGAGATTTACCGATGAATATCAGCTGTTCGAGGAACTGGGAAAGTAAGGAGCATGTTTTTCTTTTTTTTTTTCATTCATCCGGCATCATCACCACCATCATCATCATCATCTCTGTATGAAATGTCAGCCTGTTATGTAATGGGCCGCCTGGCTTAAGGACGCGGATTCCGGGCTCTGTGTCTGTGCGTTTTTGTATGTGTGAGTGTGTGTGTGTGTGCGCGCCGCTGGTAGCCATGAAGCCTATGATGCAGGAGGGGGGGCTGAACACACTGTCATGTATCATGCAGCCCTGTGCTGTGTGGCATCCTGTTTGTTTTAATCCCACATCAGAACGGCCTGCTTACGTTCTGTTTTTACCAACGAAGACGTCGAGGCGAGCGTGTCATTTTGTCTCCATCCTGTGCAGCCGCCACCGATGTTGCATTTCGACCTTTGGGTGCCACAGGAGGGCGAGGAGCTCCCATGTTGTAAACTGAACCGGGGTGAAATGCAATCGGGGTGTGTGAAATGGTGAGATTTAGAGACCCACCACCCCCTCTCTCCCTCCCCCACTCCCAAATCTCCCCCCCTCGCTTGACAGAAATACACACTCGGTAATGCGACAGCAGACCATGTAGTTGGCGATGACACATTCCCCAGCCAAGCACCGAGCTGCGGTCAATTATCGGACACAGGCAGGGAATTCCTCACCCCTGGGAGAGGGAGAGACAGGGTGATCCAGGTACATGCGTGTCCACGCTCACGGACGCGTATTTGTACCTGTGTGATGTGGAGCTGCCCAGCCGGCAGTCTGCCTAGCACCCCACGGTCACCGTATTTAGTCCTAGATTGCCTGCAGCCTGGGTTGACTTTCAGCTGACACATGAGAGAGAAAGAGATAAAAATGTCCTCAAGGTACCCAGTGTCTCTAACTGGAGGTATTGATCCCCTATCACCCACTGGCAGAGGCCCGTGGTTCATGTAAGGAAGAGCAAATCTGTGCAGCCTCGTTTATGATCCTTTGGTCGTATTCCTCTTATACCATATGTCATTAATAATGCAGCCCTGTAGCTTTTATAGTACCTTTTAAATCACCTGATCTCTATAGCTACTGTGTGCAGCACCATCTGACTCTAGTCGAACAGCAGACCAGCTATCACTGAGAAGGAAAATGACACAATGTACAAAAACCATCAGTGTTAAAATGGTTATTCAAGAATATTCTAACCCAACTAAGATTTTAAAGACCACTTTTGTACTCCTTGTTACATTAATCAACTGGGGTACATGCCATATTCTGTCTGATATGGGATTTTTGGATAAATACTTCCCCAAGTGTAATAAAAAATCTTTCCAAATCAAATCAAATGTATTGCAGCAGGGCTTGCAATATTGTACTGACTGGATTAAAAGAAGCAAAACCACTGATATGTTAAGGTAAATGCAATATTATGTTAAAATGCCAAACGAGTCCTTTGGCCACTTTAAAATTTAAACTTAAATACATTTTGGGCAGAAATCATGTTAAATCTGTACATCGTATTTTGTTACTGATCTTGAACCAACTACACAAAACAACCCTGTTAAAGGAAGTATGGCTGCTACCTCTGAACCTAAACCACTACTTGTATATGAAGAAGTAGAGGTAATTATGCAGTGCAGCTACCATACCTTCCCGAATGTCCTTAAAAGCAACACACTTTAAAACCTTCATGGGGTAGTAGAGTAAAATTCTTATATAACATGTTATGCTATGATCGTTTCCTCTGCCAAATCCCCTATAAATTAGAGGTAAGCTTTAGTTGCAAGCTGCTCACTCTAGAGGATGTTAGATAACTCATAGACATCACTGTACGCTGTGATAACCTAGGCATAACACTTTGGTTATTTTACACTGTTTCAACCAAATAAATTATTTCACGGTACCATCACGCTTCAGCTGTCAGCCATTAGAGGTGGTGCGAGTGGAGGAACAGGGTTCATTTGAGGTAATGGTTTCTCTCTCCTTTGTGTCTCCAGTGTCTGAATCTGAGTGCTACTAACTGTCTGTGATGACTCTGATGTTGTCAGTAGCAAGACACGATGAGAACAGATTTGATTTGAGAGAAAAAGGCGTGCGCAGACGGAGATGGAGCTTGAATAGCAAAGCGGCCTGTATGGCTGCAGAGCCGAGCCAAGCAGCTCTGTGGCTACATTTAGAGATAAGAGATGCAGCACTCCACTATTTTTCTCCTCCTCTCTCAAATATAGCTGACCTAGTTTTTTCATCTTCATACATGTGCCTGAAACGCCTGAACAACACAGGATCTAAACAATGGGAAGCTGGTGAGCATGTTGGTTGGTGTTTAGGTCTCATGTAGTGATGAGGACAGCGTGTACTGTGGGTGTGGGGTGTGAGTGTATTTGTGTTTTACATACTGTAGGTGCTGCACTTACGCTGCATCCATATTTCAGAGAATTTCATGCTGAAATGTTGTCAATAATATTGACTCAGAAAGCATACAGTTAATGACAGCGCAGAGCTGCGGTCATAAAAGCTTTATTTTGGTAAATGTAGCTTATTTTTTGAGAATCTAGTTCTTTTACGTAACCATGGAAACCTGAACTTCCACACAAGGGATGCTCAATACAGTTTCTTACCCATTTTCAGTTTCAGTACCAAGACTGGAGCGTTGGCAGATGCAGAATACCTCTATAATAAAGGTGCATTTTATAGAATTTAGCAGCATTTAGCAGACCAGACTTGGTAGAAATGGAAGTATAAGAATAGGAGCGTGCCCCCTTCCATGGAGACCGTCATCTTGCACAACCATGGTTTCAGAGCACAAAATGGACAAACTTTGAACATGAGGGTTTTTGTATTTGGTGAGTGGCAGTGTGAAATGCTCTTACTGGAAGATAAAGAACATGAGAGTGGATGCTGTGGGTGAAAAAAAATGTGTACTGATAGAGATTTATGGTGGGAAAACTTGACAAATATAAGATCACACTTATGATGCATCACAGCGGCTCCTTGGCTTCAAAGGTCACAGCCAGTTCACAGACGAGAGGGGTAAGCAGGGAAACGTTTCAGTCAAGAATTGAACCTCAAAACCTGCCAGATATACATATTTCTATACACCGCATATTTGAAGAAATATCATTCTTATCTAACAACTATACTTAAAATTCTGTCACGTGTTATTGGTTTCATATTTCTCTGTCCTTAAAAAAGGCAAGCTTGAAGTAGGGGTGGGAGAAAAAAATCAAGAAAGTATAGTATTGTGATATTTTTTCTGGTGATTTATCGTATTGTCCCATTTACCAAGTATCAATTTTTCAAATTATTTGCTAATCTATGGTAATGGAAAAATGAAATCAACTGTTTGTGCAGTGAGGGTGGTTGAAGTGACATCATAGAGCAAGAGAAAGTTAGTACAACAAGGTTTTGAGGATGAACTCCATGAAAATAAAATACAGCATAAATGAGACAAACATAATGGAAAAAAGTAACGCTAAATCAGCTAAACAGTTGTAAAAATTGTATAAATCACAGTATAATGTATTGCAACACTCACTAAACTGCAAAATGTTAAAAATCGCAATAATATTGTAACGTGGCCCAAGTATCGTGATAATATCGTATTGTGGGGCCACTAGTGATTCTCACCCCTAGCTTGAAGCGAGCCGAGCTAATTAATCCCATTGAAGAAGTGGCATGTGTGTGGGTGACCATATTTTTAAAACTCCAATTTTACCATAAATTCACATGTACAATTTGTATCTGTATCTATCTGTACTCACTACGTTTGCTAGTTTCAATATGGCTTTGCACATAAACCTTTCCATTAGTGGTTACTGAAAAGCTATTCTTGCAGTGTGTGCAAAACGCAGCATACACATTGCCTGGCATGTTTAAAATAAACCTCTACTGACTTCATTTACCCCATGACAGCTATGCAACGTCATGTTGTAGGCTAGCTGAGCAGCAGCCCACATGTGACAGGAGGGACGTTTGCATGTGAAATTAGAGTATTTGTGCATTAGGGATGTTTTTCTATTGGTTAAAACAGAAACAGCCTTAACAATGGCACTGATTGACATGTATACGGACAAATGCAAGCATGGTGCATTGTTTTGGTGTTACAGCTAGTTAAAGCCAGGGCAGAGATTGTTCAAAACCAAGAGCTAGGAAACAGCCTGATCCTGTTCAAACAAGAAGGTATGGACTCCCTAGTATTGAAACAACTGTACAGATTAGGGGACTCTAGTCAAGCTAGTTTGTTCACCTAGCGTTACCTCAGGCTTAGACAATAAAGATCAGAATGATGGAAATTTAACGTCTTGTATTGATACCTGTATTTTGTTTAATATGACAGCTTATGTCTCTTCATATGTTTCTTTCAGGGGCGCATTCTCTGTGGTCAGGAGGTGCGTCAAGATCTCCTCTGGACAGGAATATGCTGCCAAAATCATCAACACCAAGAAGCTTTCTGCCAGAGGTAGGACACACCAATACAGTACATAAACACGGGAAGAAACACACACAACCAGATCTCACAAAACACACACCACACATGAACAGAAAACGTGCCTCAAGTGTCACTGAGTTCCGTGTGGATGAGCTGTGAACATCGCTGCCCCTGAAACAAGCACTTGGGCTTTGATAGGGAACAAGTGTGTGTGTGTTTGTGTGTTTGTGTGCAGAAAAGTCAGTGAGTGAGAGACAGCAGGCACACAGGGGGCAGAGACTCATCTGGATTTTGGTTGATTAAGTTTTCTGTGTGTACACAAAAGTACACAACAGATATTTCAAGTGAATTCAGCGTTTGCATCCTGACACTTTTTGGGTGTATTGTTGTACAGTACATGCTCACCTTCCCTTTTGCGTTATTAATATCTGCTCTTTGGTTTCTATGTAAATGCTTGTCACATGCAACTTTGTGCCTTTTTTTGTGCGCGTGTGTGTGTGTGTGTATTCTGTATTGATTCAGGGCTCTGGCTGGTCTTGTCGTCCCAGGGGCAGATCTCTTGTGAAGCCGACCCAGTTCTTTCACATCCGTCACTGTAATTGTAGCCGCTGGCCTGGTTGCCTTAGGCTTGGGACGCGCGCGCACACTCACACAGACACACACACACACACACACTAGCTCCAGCTCGAACACACATATGTGCATGAAAGCACACACATGACCCAGGAACCGCCAACAGCATATTCGTGAATATTAACCAATAGTGTGTTGTCCCCATGCTGTTCCTACTTATGTCCAGCCAATGGCGTGTTTTGTTATGGTTTGCATGCCTGCGACAGCCAATGGCTGCTGTCATACCACACAAGGACTCAGGCTTCTTTAGATATGAAGGGAGCCATCGAGCTAAATTAGATTTCTGATAATACTCTGGAAATAACCTTGCCTAATGTTTTGCGTGTCTTTTGCCTGTAGTTTTGTTGTGGTAATAAAATGGTTGTTTTTAAAGTGTTCTTCCCCTTTTTTGCTGTATTGTGCCCGTCATTCCTTTCCAGCTGCTCCTATTCTCTCCTTTCCTCAGCATCCTTCCTCTCTTCTTGTTTTTCCACTCTACAGCATGTACTTGTTACTCCAATTCGGAATTTTTTCCTTTCCCAGTTTTTACATGTTTCCTGTTTTTTTGTCGAATAACGCAACGTCAAATTTCTAACCAGTTATGCCAACCCAACTCCTCCTTTTTGAATAGTTCTGTTTTTTCTCTCCTTCCACTAAAAGGACCTGCTAGTTCCATCTTTCGTTCTTCCACTTGTGTTGACCTATCATTTGCTGTGTACCGTGTTAGTAATAGACACCTCAGCAGTCAGGTCAGCGTCCCACCATTTGCATGCTGGGACAGATTTTCCAAAAATACTGCAATGGGTTATCTCACCACTCACACATGCAGATATGTGGGTGTGCATGCACTCTCTCTTTCTCTTCCTTTTGTCTGTGTGTGTGTGTGTGTGTGTGTGTGTGTGTGTGTGTGTGTGTGTGTGTGTGTGTGTGTGTGTGTGTGTGTGTGTGTGTGTGTGTGTGTGTGTGTGTGTGTGTGTGTGTGTGTGTGTGTGTGTGTGTGTGCGCGTGCAAGGTTTACATACCATGCATGCTGGCATGTCAGATATGGTCTTACCCTCTTTCCGCGATAAGCCCTAGAATTGCAACTCTGATTCCCTTCTCTCTGGCAGGATCATGACCTCCCCCCAACCCCACTCCACCACTGTGTGTGTATGTGTGTGTTTGCTTATGCGAGTGCATGCGCGTGAGTGCATATAATTGAAAAGGGTTTAGAGCAGGATTGGTGGCTGGAAAGCAGGCAGATCAGGGCACTGAGTGTGTATATGACTGTATGAGTGTCTAGTGTTTCTAGTTATCCATGCACATGTGTGATATAGTCTACTGGACCAGTCTTACAGTCTGCAATCCTGATTATACAGCAATTCATTAAGAGCAGCAGATGAGTCAGTGAATGAGAGGAAGCAGCAAAAAAAGGAGCGATAATCAGAGGGAGAAAAGAACAAGACAGAGAGTCAATCTATGACTGTGTGTGTATCTACGTGTTTATGTGCTGTATCCCTCACAGCAGTTGTATATTTGTCCTCTCCCTTCATGCATGCGTCAGTGTCCTGTCACTGTGACTCTGTCTGCTAGCTTTTGTCACTTTGTATTTGCCTGTGATGTGCTGTGCATGTGTGTCGGGTGCAAATTTGTACTTGCTTGTGTGTGTGTGTGTGTGTGTGTGTGTGTGTGTGTGTGTGTGTGTGTTCGCGTGTGTGCGTGCATGCATGTGTATAATCCCACATCTATTTTTGTGTGGTCTGTGCACATGATTGTCCTTGTTTGTGTACGTATGCACTTGCCTTGTGCCTGACTGCGTGGCCCTCTTTTGCTTGTCTTGACATTTTTTTTGTACATTTTTTGTTGATGCATGGCAAAAAAGACTTTTTAAAACTTTAATTTAAAAAAAAATTCCATTGCATTGTGGGAGTGGCAGAGGGTTACAGAGGTCGAGTAAAGAAATGTGGCATCAAAATGAAGATTTTCAGGTGTAGGTGTCGATGTGGCCTTTCTGTCTGTCTCTGTTTCTGTCTCATTTAAATTATTGCTCTGAATTAAGTTGAAGTGAGCTTGTCTGATAGAGTTTAACCAGAGACTTAACCATCATTGTTCATGATCTGATCCACTAATCTGTTATTGATCGTCCTTTATTGTTGACAATCTCTGTGGCTTTCTGGTGCTGATTTTTTTTTGGCGCTGTCATGGTTACAGAGATGATGATGATAATAATTGCTTTGGTTTGTACCGTTCCCACTTGGTGTTTCACATATTTTCATATGAAGCAGTTTTTTTTTTCCCTTCTCCCTTATGTACTCGTCCCTCATTAGTCAAGATAAAGATTAGTCCTCCCACCTGCTTTACCTTCCCTCTCTTGACACCTTCATGGTTCCTCCTGTGTCGCCGTGTCCATGTTTTGCCTCTCTTTGAAGAACAGGATGCAAGGAGAGAAAGAGGAGATGTGATTGCGGAAGAGAGAAATGCAGGGAGAGAGACAGAGAAGTAGGAAAGGAAGGAGGGATCAGAGGGGAGAAGGGGGGAATCACATGACTCACTGGGTACTGGGCTAAAAATAGATGTTGGTCATTCTCGCACTCTGGGTGTCTCTATCTAGCTCTTAGACACACGTATACACACATACAAATATTTGCACACACAAACGCGTTATTGAGTTCTGAAATTCTTCCTTTTTTTTTTGAGAGGACAGGTTTTTGGGTTTGATGATCTGGCTGTGTGTGGTGAATAAAAGGTATGAGACTGAGCCCAAACATTATGGGTGTTTGTGTGAATATACTCGTGCTCTCATCTTGAATCTAGACAATCCAAAGACGGTGTTAAGAATTGTATATTTTTATACACCCAGAGTTAACCATAGCTTAAAAAAATGCAGCGCGTACTAAAAAAGGAAGAGTGATTCAAATACCACAGTATCCAGATTACTTCAATTTTGGAATTTCTGGGAACATCTGCTTGCCGAGTGAGTGTCAAAAATCACGTGATCAAACTTCCCTTTTTAAACTTTCTAAATGATGTAAGCTGTCATCAAATTTGCAACGCTTGCACTTTGAAAATGTCTAGATATGGAGATAAGAAATGATGATTGCTAAGAGAGGGAATAGCTTACAGTATGACCAACAAGGGTAATGGACTCAATATAAGGCAAGGGTGCTGTTAATCAGAGTCATCTCCCCACCTCTTCCCATTGTCTCTCTTTAATGTTTTGTCCCTCTGTCCTTTTTAACCTCTCTGTTTTTTTTTTGTTGTCTGTCTGTCTGACTCACCCTCTGCCCCCTTCTCCGAACAGCTTTCTCCCCTCTCCCTGTCCTCCCTCACACACATTCAGATCATGACCCTTCTAGTTTAATCACAGTTCTTGCTTGTACATTAGATTCTTGTCCAGTCCACCATTTCAACTCCTCAAAAAAAATCACGTCTATCTGATTTATTGTGATACAACTTTAAAAACATCAACAGAAAAACAAAAGTTCTGCTCTTCCAGTTTTCCCATTTTACAGTACAGCTCAAGTTTCACAGCAAAACCAAAAGCAGAGGGTGAAGATATTTGTTGGAAATGCAACATTTGCAGGCGTGGGATGCAGTGTAGCTGCAGAACATATAGCTTTTTCTGTAAAAAAAAGAGAAAAAAAAAACTATTTCTTTCTGTACTTCTCAGGAAAAGAAAAAGCAGCACACAAAAAGTCTCTCAGGATTTGTTGGAGGATACTTTAGGTTAAGTTATAGAAAATCCTGAACTTGTTTCTTAAAGAGCAACAGAAGTGCGCTCTTTCAAAGTGTGTACATACTTCAGTGCAGTGCATGTGCATATTGGTCACATAGGTCTTCATATTAAGCTGTGTCTCAAAAAAAACCTTTGCTGGTTGCTATGCTGGCTCTTGTGGTAACTAGGGTGCTATGCAGTTTCTTTGTCAGGAAATGAAGAAACATTTTGTACAGTGATTACAGACACAGTCTTGACTCTGCTGCTGCCAGTACTCCCCTGTAACATCATCGTACCTCTAATGTGGCTTCTGGCATTAAAAATTAAGGAGTAAAGAAGACTCACTTCTGCATTTTATTTTAAACTTTCTGTCTCATAATTTGTCAGAATTCTCTGATTTAAGCTTCAGGATGTCCTCAGTCGTCACATCAACCCCCTTTTTTTGGTTAGTCAAATGTCTGGGTGGCTGCATTATGCTGAATAAGATTATGCAGACATTACTGAACATTATTAGCCCCTCAGCAATACCCTGGGGGTGACTTTATCTCTGATAACAGCCGCCTTTGTTTCCCCTTATAAGAGAAAGTAGGGGTGTTATCGGCCTCATAATCCATCCTCTTTTGGGAACCAGCAGAGGGTGACGGTGTCTCAGTAGCCTGCGTGATTTCATTAGACCTTTGGGTTCTGTGGGATGTAAAAGTGAAGCACATGGCTGCGGGCCAAAAAGACTGTAACACTGAACCGATTGTGTTTTTATCACTTTAAGCTCTTTGTTGAAAATGTTAAAGAAATGTCCTCATCTTGTTGTGGGTCAGTTTGGACTGTGTGTGTTGGAGTTTGGACTTCAACTCGTGTTTACTTTCATCATTATTAGACTCATTAATAATTACCAACATAGTGACCAACAAAGTTTTGGTGTCCTCAAAACAAACTTTTATCATCAATTTATTATTAAAACATCTCCTGTGAAACTTCAAATGTCCTTTTTAACTTTAAAGGGGTGCATACAAACTATTTTCTTTGTTCAGATCAAAGTGTTTTGGCAGGAAAATATTGTTTTGATGGCAAAATCATCTTTCTATATATCATTTTTTAATGTTAATATCGAAGGCAACATTTTCATGACCATCATACATTCTTAGAAAAGTTGGTGTGTAATACCTTGATAAATAAACATTGTCTGAATGGCAGAATATGTTGGATGCAGTCAGAAACGGTGTCAGACAACTTTTTTTGACATGGCATCAAAATGAAATCGAGCATGTCAATTTAGTTTCAACATTTATTAGTTTTTATTACAATGTTTTACTGGAGGCTGCATTGTTTTGGAATTGGGGATGAAGTCTGTTTTCAAGAATTATAAAGAGTTTTCATGAATTAGTTTTCCGTGGGTTAAAAATGTCACCATATTCTAAGAAAATGTGTCATACTCTGTGGCCTTGTGGTGTATGGGTCATATTGCCCATAATTATGAGTTAGTTAACCTACCACTAGTAAAGTCAGTGGTAACTGTTTGGTGACAAAAATTGATTGTAAACTTTTTGTATCATTATGAAACGAAAGATGAGATTGATCTTTTTTGGCTGGTTTTCAGGTTAAACGGTTGACCACCTTTTGCTTTTTGTTGATTCTGTAGTTTGGCTCCTGTCTCTTGCTGATGTTTCCCCTGGCTCTTTTTTTTTTTGTCTATCTCAGTGTCTACTCTGTCTGTCTCTGTGTCTGTTTGTATTAGACTTACATGATGTCGAAGAACAAACAGCAAAGAAGAAACTCACAAACACACCCATTCACATAGAGCAGTACAATCTGCTGCAGTGCGGTTGCAGACGCGACACATCACAAACCGACTGAAAGGGAAGCAGCAGTGGAGAGAGACAGAGGGATTGTCTGGGACGAGTTTGGACTGGAAACACTGTGTGACATCTGTTTTATAGGTCATGTTTGCAGAATTAATTCTGCTTTTCTAAGTTATCTGATTCATCTCAATAAATTCATTGTTAAGCTCAGCTTAGGTTACTCAGTGTTTACTTAGTCCCTGTGAACTGGGGCAGATCCAGAAGGTGACTATGGCTGGCCTTGAAACCTGAGCTGGCACCCCAAAATCTAAAGCTATGTTTCACTGTTTTCCACGTCAGAGGTGGTACTTGTGTAAAAAAAACAACTTAGTATGACAGTGGGAATGCTTCTTCTTTCACAATCCTTAAGAATTTGGCTTGTGAGGTTTAGATTTCATCATTCAACAGGTTTGCTTTTAAATCCAAGTTCAGGATAGTCATCATCAGAAAACTTGAACGCCAGAAGTGTGAGAAAGTTTGGCCCCACACTCACAAAGTCTGAGTCTGTCCCTGTCTTTGTGCCAGGAAACTTTTCCATTAAGTGTTTCATAAAATTCCTGTTAGTGAAAGGAGGCAAAGGTAAAACATAGTGAGTGTTTCAGGTCATTCCTGTGTGAATAATATCCAAGAAATAGTATTTACTATGAGTCCATGCACATTTGGAGAGAAATGGGCATTAAATCTGCTCTGACTCTGGACATAAAAGCCAAAAATACATTATACATACTCTTGCACGTTTTCTTCATTCAAATAGGAGTACTGCTATACAACTGATCGATTCAATAAAACAACTACTATTCAATCTGCTGGTGACAGAGACAACAGGAACATATGAAGCTCTACTATGTAAGGCCTGCTGCGGTCAAATTGAGATAGATGCAAATGACAACTGGGCTTCCCTAAATGTGGTGCGACGTGTGAAATCCTAATCTGGGCAGCACAGAGGCTACATACTTGCAATACTGATGCCAAGAAACAGATTGTTTTAGGTCAGGTGTCTGACAGACGCCTCAGCAGCTGACAGGGATACAACTGTGTCCCTACATGACTCTGTTCATTCCACCTTCAAGTGGGAGATTGTGCCTCTCTTAATATTAAACTATTTGGACTGTGACATTTAAAAAATGATAGGGCAAATATCTTTTGATATTTTATGAGCGCAGAAACTTTTGTTACAGTCATTTGATTGTAACAAACTTTCTCTAAATGGAATTACAGGATAGATCTAATGGGAGAGTCAAATGTTGGGATGTGTATTAGTGGGCATGAAAGAGGGAATTGTCACTATTTTACCTGTTCCAGAAGGAATTAAAGACAAAAAACAGAATTATAATAAAACATTTTCAGTTCAGTATTTTGTGAAATCACCGCCCGGTCAAAAGTATTAAACATGAGAAACATAAATGGGACTTTGTATCCAAGGCTAAGATCAGGTCAATGAGATCTAGACAGTCCTGAATGCCAACAGTTGACTGGTGGTGCAGCACAATTGTCTGCACAATTACATCTGTCTCATATTATGTAGAACTGCTGCTGTCAGTTTTAACCACGTTAGCAAAAAGCCTCTCACCAGTGTTCATGGCGGGAGGGCTCAAGCTCGCACGCACACAGTGATACATGGTGGTTAAGTGTTTTTGTCAGACAGTCACGGCTCATTGTTGTCAATCTGTGACTTTTGGAGAGTTGGGCAGATTTGGGAGTCAGTGCAGCAGGAATTTTGTTTGGGGGAGGTGTAAGTTTTTGATTTTCTTCAGTAAAAAAAACAAAAATTCAACGTCATACTCTGACATTTATTCACAGTATGATTGTTTGTACTCCTTTTTATATGACTTTTAAATTTGTCAATTTCTTACTTACCAAATGTACAAACTACCAAGGGCGTCAGTTTGTTTCAAAAAGTGACTCTGGGATGATGACTATAATTGATTTTACTTTTGGTATGGCTACTTTATAATGCGTAGACTTATTTCATGTAACCAACTAACGCCCCCTTGCATGTAGTTATTACACGGGATAATCATGGAGTTAAACAAGCAAACAAGTTTTCTAACTCACCACAGGTATTATCAGAAGAAAAATCACGCTCTGAGTCGCAGCTTCAACTCGGCACAGACGCAAATTTACAACAGCTGCACGTTTCTGTTATCCTCGCGGAGGTCTGCTGCGTCTCGTAGCAACTCTCGGATGAATACAGATGGCGCGTTCGAGAGCGTCAGAATTTTCTATACTACTGAAAATAACTAGGGTTACAATGGCTTGTGTGAAGGATTTGTGTGTGGTGGAGACCCCTGAAAAAAAGTGGAGGGGACACATCCCCCCCAAACTTACGCCTCTGCAAACTAAAACTCCACATGAAAAGTAAACGGCGACCGAACTTAACCAAGCTCTCAGATTTTTCAGTTTTGGTGTCACCTGTGGACGAATTTAGTATTTTAGCTAATCTTGCTCTGGTTTGACTTGTTTTTCTGGACCATAAAAGGGCATCCCTAGTTATTTTTGTCTGTTTCAAAAGCGATTACAAAACTTCATACAGGAGCTTTAAGTTGCTGAAATGTATAAATTGTAAAAACAGTTTTTCAGAGCTTTTTGCAGCCTCTTGTGGCTCAAACATCACATTAAACATAACCTTTAGCTGCAGAGGCTGCAAGGAAAAGTTGATACTTTATCATAATCCATATGAGTTATCAAATCTTCTTTAGCCTTCTGTAGCAGCACAAGTTGTGCCATGTTCCTTTGTCTGCCCTGAAGCACATCTACAGCGTCGGCTCCATGTATTCTGGGTTTAATGGTTGAGTGTTTTACAGGCGATCACTCATCTTGTGTGCGTGCCTCTCCTGAGTAAGATGATTTGCACTTCCCTGTCTGTAGTTCCGTAGAGTTTGGTAGTTTTGAGTGAACTCTCAGTGTCGGCCATTTGCATGCAAGGCTGGTTTCACTGCAGAGGAGAGGAGAGGCCAGACGCTCTGATTGGTGCAGGAGTTGCTAGACAACAGATGTCCAGCCAGCTGGGAGGTGGAGGACTACCTGTGGAGGAGGAAGAGAGGAGATGGAGAGATAATAAAAGAAAAGTGGAGGTGGAGAGAGGCAGTGTGGCGGACATATGACAGACATTTACCGAGTACAGTACAGTGACATTACAGTGACATGCTCCACAGTAACAAACAAACATTTCCGCTGTTTGCATCTCATTCAAAGAAGTTTTGCAGTTGCTTCAAAGAAAGCCAGTGTTTTCTGCTACTTTTTTTATTGCTTTTACTCACAAAACAAACAAAGTGTTCACTGGATTTTGGTTTACAAATACTCTGCAAAAGATAAGAGCAGTAAGCTGGAGGCAAAACTGCAGATTTTATTGAACTGTTCAAATTGAAATCATGTTTTCTAAAATTTTTGAAGTACCTGCTGTATGTTATTCAAGCAGAAATTGGTAGATGACAGTGATGTTTATTATGAGTGTTACTTTAAACTGAGAGAAAGCTGCATTCTGCTTTTGTATGTCTTGAGTTCAGCCCACAGTCAGTGCTGTCACTTCCCCACAGTTTCCCTTTTTTTTCTTTTTTTTGTAAAAGTTTAATAGCTTTGTCTTTGAGCACCTCCAACTTACCGAGAGTGTGGGCCGCAAATCTCTGTTTTCACAAGAGCACTAAAGTCAGTTCCTGCTATATTTGAATGCACACGGATGCTCCGTCCTGCACATAGATAATTTTCACACTTTCACTTTGCCAAAACACTCTGTGAAAGAACAAAAATCGTCTTGTAGGTGTGGACAAATGCTTGTGTGTGTGTGGGCTGTTTGAAGATTTTGGGATCCGTAGGTGAAAGACTCAGGGCTAAAAATGTGGACCACTTCAAGTGTGAAGAAATCAGAACACTTTTGGGCACTTGGCCAGGTTTTTATGCTGTCTCTATGAATTACAAAGTAGGGCTTGTATTGGAGTAGGAGCTGAAGTTTGACGTGAAAAACAGTTACATATAATTCATACAAATGTGCTTTTTTAATAATGTGTTCAAAGAGGAAGTGGAATAAAGATGATTTATATGCTTAATCTTGGCTCTTAAATTAGCCATTAAATTAGTAATTTCTTATTCTATTGTTGGTCAATGCAGTAGACTCGCTACACAAAAAGATTGATGTTCGACCAAAACGTGAATCATACCATAAATATAGTATGGGGACTGATAAAACCTGGGGATTTGTCAATGAAAAAGATTCATTTATCCAAAGAAAGAAAGAGAGGCACAGTTTGAATGTGAGACAGAGAGAAAGCCAGTGAGATTATGAGTCATTCAGTAACATGGTCAGATGGAGGCAGAGATGGACAGATTAGTGACCTTGCTCAGAGGGTTCTGCTAATCATAAAATAATAGCTGTGTTGCCCTTGTTCCTGGCTCTGCCTGTCAGGATGCCTCTTTGCTATTTTGCTCTTCTCTTAAGCTGGCAGTCTACTTCAAACTGAATTGAATTTGGCGTGTCCTCACAGGCAGTATGGAGGCGACAGCGACCACAGTGAAGAACAGCGCTAGGGTCTGTTCATTGAAGGCTTTGTTTGCAGGCCTCTTGTCTCTTTCTTGTGGTCCTCTTCACGGGTGATTAACTGGGATCCACCTTTGACTAAAGTGGGAATTTTTCCACTTAATTTCCTACTTATTAGCACATTTTAGTATTTCTTGTAGATTGATGATTGATCATTTATTTCAATGTTTTAAGCTAATACAGAGAGACAAAGTGTCATGATTGACAAACATTTAATGAATAAGAATGATTTTGTGGTTTTAATTGCTGTCTCAATTTGATGGATTTTAATTTATTGGAAGAAAATCGAGAATTATTATTCTTTTTAAAAATTTCCTCTCGCTTTTGAAGATCATCAAACTGACTGGCACACATCGCTGCAACTATCATTTACTTTCCAAGGCATGTTAAAAAATCCGAATCTTCCTCTCTGTATTTTTAGCTCTAACTGTTCTGCAGCCACAGCTCGTCCTGTATTTGTTTTGCATGTCACTGTTGGGACTTTATTCTGGCTTCATCTCTTTCACTTTGCCTATTACACTCCGTTTTCCTCCGCTGCAGACGAACGCTGTTTCAGTCACGGCGAACATACTGTGCTGTTATTCTTTTTTCAACCAGCATTTGAGAACATGCCAAGTTCCATTTTGTTTCAAGTACATGGCAGCAAGAAGTTTGTCTTTGTGTGTGTGCGTGTGTGTGTGCGCGCTTGTGGCCTCCTATAGATGCACTACACCAACACACACCAACAGATGCCTGTACCTATAATGGGAACAAGCTGCTTGGTGTTCTTGCCTTCAAGTCCACAGTTTCAAAAGCATCAAGAAAAGCAGAGGAGGGAGCCATGGATGAGAGTGAAAAATAGGCGTCCTATTTTAAAAAAAATTAGAGCCCGCTGCTCTTCTTTCTCTTCTTCACTTTCTCCCTCTTCCTTTTGCTCTCGGGCTCTGTGTTTTGAGGCAAAGCTGAAATGGGTCACCTCAACACCACTCTGCATCCCTCATTACAATGACTGCTGCTCTGACTCAGTATTACTAAATCAGAGTCCCTGGACTTCGTTTCCTCCTGTCAGGGAGCTTTGAGATTCATGTCTTGTTACACAAAGTCTGATTGTGCCGGCCTGGACTCATAAAAGAGGAACATGATTCTCTTTGAGGGATGTTACGTGACTAGCCTGTCTGTTGTTTAGGGAGTACAGTAACACCAAAGTCATACAGTCTGTCTCCATATAAGGACAAGTGTGTGTGTGTGTGTGTGTGTGTGTGCGTGTGTGTGTGTGTGTGTGTGTGTGTTTGGAGATTAAAGTTGACATATAAGACATTTTAGTGTGTTATACCGAGGGTTGCAAAATTCCAGGAATTTTCAAAGTTGGAAACTTTTTATGGGAATTAACGGGAATATATAAGAATCAACGGGAATAAATCTGAAATTTACAAAACTGAAGGTTGGCCCTCATCAAGGAACTTAAACTAGAGTTAGGGAAAATATATTGTAGCAAAATCTTGGCTAAAACAACCAGATTTAATGTAAGTAAACTGATCAATCACATGCACACAGCACACTGCTTACTGCAGGGCTATTGAGGCCACACCCCCTACATGCACTCTGCATTCCTCCATCACATGCAAAGATGATTTCTTGAACCCTGGAGGCCACACTTTTGAGCCCAGAGCACAAGACATTTAAACCCATTGACGATAGAAAATCAAGTATAAAGAATGTATGAAAGGGGCTCCTTTCATTGAACATTTTTTCATGTTTTTGGTGTTCAATTAAATAATTGATTGTTCATACAAGAATTAAAAGTAAAGTTCTACTCAAATAAATCTGTTGAAATATCATGTTTTTTAAATTGTATTATCTAGCATGGGTATCTGTCTATGACAAAACAAAAATACATGCATTTATGTTTGGACCTGATACAGTTTGTTTAAATTACCCCCAGTTTCCAGTTAATTCCCATAATTCCCACATTCCCATGGAAAGTTTCCAATTTTGGAATATTTCCAAAATTCCTCAGCTTTACTTCCCATGGAGAGTTTCTGGAAATGTTCCACCCCTTTGCAATCCTAGTGATACCTTATTCTTTTGGTTTTGTAATGCACACCTTTTCTGTTTCGGTTTTCAGTTTAACACCAGACCACCCACTGCTAAACATAGTTTAGCATTTAGCTGCTAAATAGACTGTTTACTCTCTTAGAGTTAAGTAGCAGCAGTGGTTCAGTGGGAGAAAATATTGGACTTATATTAACAGAGGGGTCGTGTACACACCAAGCCAACCAACCCATCATATTTATGAATATGTGAAATTGGCATTATATGGCGTTTTGACTCTGCTGTAAGAGGCCAAAAATTAGGTGTGCACAATTGGTGTGTACCTGTTGAGGTACTTCATTACATGGTAAATGCATTAATCTAGTGTCACAATTACAACACTTCATATAAAACTGCAGTGAGCTGAATCTTTATAATGACACTGTTTTGAACTGTATGTAACTGTAAGTAAGGGGCCTGTTAATGGCACCATGTTAATGTTGTATTGATGTTATTCATTTGAAAGGTTGGTTTAAAAAATGTGGTCTTATGTCTTTATTTAGCCTACATAACATGTACAGTACATATTGTACGTGTAAACTTGCACATACATGTATGCTGTATAGTGGTTACAGCGGATCACGCTCAGCTCTTATCTAATTGTATAAATTTGACTATCTGCTGAGAGTAGACATAGAAAACAAGTGAAGGATAATAGATGCGGAACACGTGGTTTGTAGATTAGAATCCAGACAAGGCTCCAGGACCCTCACACGAAGCTGAGAAGACCTCTTGTCTCACTCTGAAAGGATCGTGGGCCACCAGCTGAGGTCGTAAACCCGCTGACACAAACTGACCTGTCTCTTCATTTTGATAAAAATTAAGTTCCTCCTTCAAAAAAATGAACTTATATTACTAAATTTTTTGTAGATTTGTAACTAAGAGCAACAAATGCATCCACAAGCTCTGCTGCAGTTATGACAGGGTTTTAACCAATCAGAATCAAGTATTTAACACAAGTAAGTGGTAAGAAAGCAGGGTAAAAATGAGAAGGAAAATTTAATCTTAACCTGGCATTAAGGGATTAAATCAAAGGCAGTGTAATGATATTTAATGTGATCTTTCTCCGTGCTATATTGTTTTGATCTCGGGTCAGAGAAGAAACCGGCAAGCACGTTACAGCAGCTCATATTTAGTCTGACACCTGAAGTCAACATGGATCCACTGTAGCTGCGCACTCTGTTTATTGTTCACTGCTGCCTGCCTGCCTGTGTGTGTGTGTCACATAACCAAGCCCATTTCAGGTCACATTATTTTTGTTGAGCAATTCAGATCTGATTAGGAAAGGAGTGGGGTTGACTCAAAGAAAACACACACAGAGAACTCTGAACGTGAATGTGTGGATGTTAAGCTCATAAATATGCTCTGACTCTGTCAAAGATTACACTGTGTCCTCCACTCAATGAAAACAAACTTGCCACCTTCATTTTCGCTAATTTAAAAAGCCAGAAATTTTGAGCAATGGTGTAGTGGATTTAAATAACTTATCTCTGTTTCTCCCTGTTTTGTGTCTCCTCTGTTTTTCTTTTAGATCATCAAAAGCTGGAGAGAGAGGCCCGCATTTGTCGTTTACTGAAACACCCCAACATTGGTGAGCTACCAGTACTCCATCTAAAAAAGCAAGCACACAGGGAAACATGCAGATAACAAGAAAGCACACATATTTTGCTCAGGTCTCTGGTGAATCCTGCCATGGCAATTTATCTTCTAGACACACTGGGGGGGAGAGAGGGAGAGAATCTGTCTGTGTGTATGCAAGTGCATGCATTTGTGTGTGTGTATGTGTGCGTTTGAACACAGCCATCTAATGATGATGCATCTGTGCGCTCTCATAGCCGAGTCATCAGAAAGACACAAATTCCATACACCCTTTCTGTAAACCACTGACCCTTTACACTCTCTCTCCTCCTCATTATACCTCCTGACTCTCTTCTTTTGTTCTTTTCACACTTGTCTGCTCACGCTCTGTCCTTCATTCCCCGTCTTTAACTCAGATCTCCTGAGCCAGTTCTTGCTTTAGGTACCCGACAGTTTTCCCAAGATATATCTGTTAATTGCATCCCCATCATCACACTAAATGGAGGAAGAATACATTACAATTTCATTTCAAATGCAAATTCTTTTTGCTCCTTTATCCACACCAGAGATTCACACAGCTCCTGCTCACATTACTCTTGTATTTCTGGCATGCCCGACACCTTAGTACCTATCTCTGAAGTACAGACAAAAAGTAAACAATGAGTGTCTGGCTTTTTTTTGTGTTTGTGTGTGTGTTTATGTAATGACTGCTCTCTTTTCATTTGGCCTTTTCTTCTGTCTGTGGTTCTTTCCCGTCCTCCTGTGTTTCTGTTTAATCTCCTCAACAGTACGGCTCCATGACAGCATATCAGAGGAAGGTTTCCACTATCTGGTGTTTGATCTGTGAGTAACAGCCTGTCATGTACACAGTGTCTACAGTCTTCGCTCTTATTGGTTTGCTTTCCTTTCAAAAATTCATCCCTAATGTTTGTTTTCTCAGTTCTAAGTGGCTACAAGATTGCATGAACCAGAGGTTTACTTATCGTCTCTGATAATTAAAACTTAATATGATCCAAATTGAGGCTCTATGGGTAATAAATGTAGCTACGCCACCCGCTGTTTTAAGGACTGTGGTTTTGAAGGCCCATCTTTGATTTTTAGCCGTGGATCTGTTTGTGTTTTCACCCTGAAGTGGCGAACAGAAATGACCAAATCCTAACTTTGTGCCTAGCTAATCCATTGGCTACCATATTAACTGGTAATCCAGGGTTTCCCATAGAAAGTGAGCGTGTTTGTGGCGGTAGCAGCTGTTTCTTCATTAAGAGGAGCATACTTGTGGCTCACTTTCCCAAATCTCCATCAGGAGAAATAGCTGCAAGGGGAAGGAAAGAAACCAAGTAACTACAAATTGGTTCCCTCATCCATCAAATCAGCCACCGTCTTTCCCACAGGGGTAACAGCTGACATCCATCCTGACTACTATGCACTGGCTGTCACAGATAAATCAATACAAGACAATACACAAGCTAACAAACCAGGTACAGTTAGAGAGGACAACACTATCTGCTAACCGGTGTTAACACAAGATGATGTAATACTGGATTTCCACTCGTCAAAAACGCAGAGGTCTTGGATTGTCAGTTAGTGTAAAAGGATATAGTGAACCAAGTATTTTTGTTTTCAATTCAAACAGGTTAAATTCAGTGATTGAATTAGCTGTGGTGACACCTAGCAGACAGCTAGCAGCAACGATCAGCCAGATATGATCTTATACGTAACATTGATAACATTTACAGTAAGTTATAGCTGCTGAAAATGTCACCAAAAACTGACAAAAAAAGATTTTTTTTGGACTTAAATTCACTATCGGATGTGTGTGAGGATATCTGTGAATAAATGAGGCCTGTGTGAATGATAGAGGAGGTCAGAAAATCCATAAAGGAGGGTTTTACAGCAGCTAAGATGAAGAAAAGAGTGTATTTTCCCACTCTATAGGGTGACAGGAGGGGAGCTGTTTGAGGACATCGTAGCCAGGGAGTACTACAGTGAGGCCGATGCAAGGTAACATACACACACATACACACACACACACACACACACACACGCGCAGCAATGCTGAGTACAGCAGCTATTATATTGTCTTTCACATATGGTCGTCCCAGAAGGTGTGATGCAGCTGCCTTGTCTCTGAGGCATCTCTGCAGTTATTTATAAAGGTGATTAACGACATATAGCCTGCAGTATTAATCATACGCAGCCTACCTTACACTGCCAGCTTTATGTGGGAGTACTGCTTCCCCAGAGAGAAGGAGTCAGGCAGAGACGTGTGCATTTTGGTGCTGTTTAGACACTGTGTAGCTCTGGTGTATCTGCGAAGTGTAACACATTAAATCTTGTGAGTTATGATATATCTTCATGTGACTTAATGTCATCTATAAAGACAACAGCACCACATGTAGGAAGTCTAATCAGTGAGACACATGATACCTGTTATGAGATTGCTTCATCTTCTCTCCCTCTTACTTAATTACCTCTGTCTCTCCTTCTCCTCCTGTCTTTTTTCCCTCCCTTTTTTTGTCCTTGCTTTTCTCTCTCCCTCCATTTCTCCCGTCACAATTATGACTCTCCTTCTCTCAGCCACTGCATACAGCAGATCCTCGAGAGTGTCCATCACTGCCATGTTAACGGGATTGTTCACAGGGATCTGAAGGTTTGTAAGACCGCAGCTGCAGCCGTGCCCAATCCTGACTCTGTACTACAGATGTGAACGTTTTGGGAAGACCCTGTCCCCTCCGTTTTCCCCAACATTTTATTCCACTGTCTGTTTGTTGTAAGAGCTTGAATCTTCTTGTGTGAGAGGAAACGTTTCGTCTTATGGAGTTTGTCATATCGTACCGTTCTGCTTGAGGACAGTAAAGCTTTGGCTGCTTAACAAAGTCTGAACATCAGCAATGAAACTGGCTGCAGTCCTGGTGTGCAAACTTGCTCTTTTAACAAACCTTAATAATAAACAGTTTCCACCAATTTCAAAATAAAGGTAACCCCTTAAATAATGTGCACATACTTATCCCCAATCAATCAATCAATCAATCAATCAATCAATCAATCAATCAATCAATCAATCAATCAATCAATCAATCAATCAATCAATCAATCAATCAATCAATCAATCAACCAAATCAATTAATCAATCAACCAAATCAATTAAACTTTACTTTGAAAGCACTTTTCATACATGGAATGTAGCACAAAATGATGTCCATTCGCGCAGGATATTAAAAAAATTATGAAGTCAAATAAATACAAATACAAAATACCAAACCCCACCCACCCTCCCAACCCCCATTCAACACATAGAGGACTCACACGCTCACACACACACACAGATGCACACTCAGAAGATCAGATGAGGACTCTAATAAAATAAAATAAAAACTAACTAAATAAAACAGTCTTAAAATCAAACAATAAAAGAAAGTAAATCAAAAAGGAGGTAATAAAACACAAAATAGTTACTCTAGGACGAAAATAGCATAAAATCACATGATGCAGATTAAAAGATTAAAACAAAATTCAACTAAAAGCCAGACTAAAACGGTAGGTCTTGAGTTTACTTTTAAAAATAGGAACATTAGGTGTCGCTCTCAGGTCGGCAGGTAGGCTGTGAATGTGAGTATGCGTTGATATGCAGCCACATGATGACAGGAATGGGGATAATGATAAGCCAGAACCTCAGGAATGATCTCCATTAACACAGTTATGTACAAAAAATGTTAAGATGTGAAAGATTTTCAAAATTCAAGTTGTATGCATTTTTTCACAACCTCCAAAGTACCGTTTTTCTGTAGTTTAAAGAGGAAGAAAATAAAAGAAAGCTCGCTTCATATGCGGTTAAGAACATATAACTTTACTACAAGAGATGTAGAAGGAAAAAGTCCGAGTAATTTCAATGACTTTCGAGTTTACAAGTCTGTCACCTCCTCAAGGGGGATGTCCTCTCTGCTGAAGCGCTTTTAAGTTTTTTTATCCTAACTAACCAGGAGGATTTATTCAAAATTATGTCAACGAGGACATGGATGTGTCGAGTTGTCAGTTTGTGTCCTGTTGAGTCATACGTCTGCCATAAACTGGCTGCTCACAGGCTGCCTGTGTTTCTAAATGTTAGGGAATGTATAATTCATTAGAGCACACTGTCTAACTGGCCTTAGGTTAGCGAAGACCTTTCTGCACCTGTGTCCATAATGTCTGTGTGTGTGACTGTTTGAGAGCGTGTATGTTGTGAGTGTGCACAAGAGCTTGCTGGGGGCTTGCATATATTTACGATTGTGCTAAACTGTGTTAGTGTGGTGGTGTGTGTCTCCCATTACCCTTGTGTGGCTGAGTCACTTGTTTTACACCCACGCTTCCTGTGACACCACACTTTCCTCTTGTATTCTTATCACTGCTGTGTGGACTTTGGTCCCACTCATGGATTTTAGCAGTGGATTGGTCTTTTGTCTTTTGCGACCAATTTCCTCTCTCAGAATCCATGAGACTGTGGGAGCAAGTCCTCATCTCCAGAGTGGGAAATGTCTGTTGTCACCCAGAGAATTGGTCCACAGCTATGTTTCTCTGTCATGATTTGTGGCAGAAGGGAGTTACCTCAGACACGGATTTGAGATCAGCTTAGCATTGTGACCCCTAATAGTTCATATTAGGATTTGGTTCGGTTAATCTGATCTTAGATCTGTGTCTGTGGGTGGCCTGTTCCCAGAGCGTGTGACCTCTCACCTCTAACCTGTTTGACTCCGCCCCCCCCAGCCTGAGAACCTTCTATTGGCCAGTAAGCTGAAGGGGGCGGCGGTCAAGTTGGCTGACTTTGGGCTTGCTATCGAGGTGCAGGGGGACCAGCAGGCATGGTTTGGTGAGTAATCATTCATCCATTTTTCCAAGTTGGTCAATCAAGAAACCAACCAATCAGTCGATCAATCAGTCTCAGTCAACAAAACAGCCTTTTCACTGAACTGCCCAATCCCGCCTACCACTCCCTTCATATTACTCCTCCAGGTTTTGCTGGCACTCCAGGTTACTTGTCGCCAGAAGTTTTGCGGAAAGACCCGTATGGGAAACCAGTGGACATGTGGGCTTGTGGTAAATAGCATTCAGATTCTGTCACTGCAACTGGTTGAAAGATCTATTATCTGAAATTATCTGTGATTAATTTGTTTTTTTGAACATCCCTTTGGTATGAATAATAGGCTTGTAAATACTTGTAAGTACAGTCATAGATGTCCCTCTTTGGTGGAGGATTATGCACAGGGAGCAGGTTTATAGACAGGGTTGGTACCCTGGTAGGGTGAGTAGGACCCTTATTGCAAAGCAGTGGGTCTCCTCTCACCCTGACGGGGTTCCTTGCAGATTTCTTTGTATCACTCAACACTACAGCTAAAGCTCCAGTATATGTCTGACCTGGTCAGATGTGCAAAGCAGGGTGTTCTGCACCTACAAAACAAGTAAATTGATATGTTCAGGTAATAATAGATGGGTTCTTCTATCAGTGATATCGGCTCATATGCTTTATTAAGCATGTTTCTTCCCTCTAGGTGTGATTTTATACATCCTGCTGGTGGGCTACCCTCCCTTCTGGGATGAGGACCAGCACCGCCTTTACCAACAAATCAAGGCTGGTGCCTATGATGTAAGTATTCGCAAACATACAGTTTAATCAAAAAAAACAAAAAACAAAAAAACAAACAGCTGAAGCAACAGAAAATGAAGGTGTTATATATTTGAATACTGGGATTTTGCCAAAAACGGTCTTATCCAAAATACAGATGAAGCTTAAAAATTTGGATATTGCTTTAATTTTAGATGAAACGAAGTGGAGTTTTTTTTGTTTGCAGCTTTGCTAAGACAATTGCTGTCTTAATGACTATTCTGTCAGCCATGCGTATTAACTCTGAGATATCAATGTGAGATAAACGCGTGTTTCAATGTAAACATGCAATGACAGATGCATTTTTCTCTCCCCTCCTTTCCTTGATTTTGACTAAATTGTCAACTTTATTGGATTTTGGCTGTGTAACAAGTGTTGTCACCGTCTTGTCTTTCCGACAGTTCCCGTCCCCAGAGTGGGACACTGTTACTCCTGAGGCCAAAGATCTGATCAACAAGATGCTGACCATCAACCCCAGTAAACGCATCACTGCCGCAGAGGCCCTCAAACACCCCTGGATCTGCGTATGTGGCATAAATACATGAACAGATGTGCCAAACCTACACCATTCGCACATTCTTCTCAGCCATTGTTTCCATCTTCTCCTAATCCTCAAATACTCTCATTTTCCGCCTGCAGCAACGGTCCACTGTAGCTTCCATGATGCACAGGCAGGAGACTGTGGAGTGCCTGAAGAAATTCAACGCCAGGAGGAAACTCAAGGTGAGGCATCTTGCAATCCATCATGTTTCTATTTATGAAGAAAAATCCATCCGGCCATCTCTCTCTCTCTCTCTCTCTCTCCTCCCCCTTCACTCTCTCACTCGAGACAACGCGGTAACATAAAAAAATGATGGCCTGTGGTCGTAAAACCTTCAAGTTGCCCTTTTGCTGTGCTCCTCTTTCTAGCTGTAACTTTATGATCAATTTTCCTATATCTGTCTCTTGCTCCTTTTTGTCATCATTGCCTCTTCCTTTCACTCTTTTCTATCACTGCAGGGAGCCATACTGACCACTTTGCTGGTCACAAGAAACTTCTCAGGTATGTCTCTCTCAGCCCGGTGTCCAAAACCTGGTCTCCAAAACCAAAAACATGTCTTTTTGAAACAGGAGGCCGGAAATATGTCTTGACCTCTACTTGTAAAAACTGTTTGGAAGGGTGCGTCTAGACTAAATTATCTTATAATAAGGAACAGATAAGAGGCATTGCATTATGGGTGAATACTTTTGATTGGCTCTGCTCTCACTCTACATCTGAAAATGTCCTCGTGAAAAGGTGTTAGTGCAAAAACCATATCTGTGTATCTTGCTAGCTCTTACTTCTGCACTCTATCTCTCTTTTGTGCCCTATCATACATTTTTGCATGCTTTTCCTTTGAACTTCCTCTATTTTCTCAAATTTTTCCGGCCAGCTTTCTTTCTTCATTCTGCAGTGAAAGATTTGTGTCTCTTTTTATTCATCATTTTCTTCCTTTTTTTTCACTTTTCTTTCCTTCTTTTGTTTGGATTGTGGTTTCCATCTGAGGTAAGATATTTGGAATGACAGAGAAATATGCAGGGTTTGGCACAACTAAAAAGTGGTGATGTCTAGACTTTACCCAGTTGACTGAGATTTAATCACACATGCATGAAGATGAGGTGTATGGTATTCTTGAGAACGACACGGAGCCTTGTGCTTGCAAAAGTTCCAATTTGAGTTCAGAAACTGGACTGTGATGCCGCATGAAATTTTAAAAGTAATGAAGTCTTTGAATTCCTTTAATCAGATGAGAAATAAAATAAGAAAAGGATAGCGAGATTTAATGTATGCATAGTGGTTAAGTGCATGTGTGCAGATCCTTGGTGTGTTTATTGGAGATGGGTACATTATCTTTTTCATTTTGTATATAAAGGCGTAAAATTTATTTGGGGTCAAACACATCGTAACACCCAGTTAGAGACTCCCTAGAGAGATGAATGTTGCCGACCGCTTGCTTCTCGAGTTTTACCAACCTTAGTAACGACCGCACGATAGCAATACACAGCGGTCTGAGGAGCCAAAAACAAACCTCAACCAAAACGCCACTCTATAGACACAAATAATGCTCAGAACAGCACCTAACTTCATCAACAGGACATATAGGGTCACAGACATAGTACTAGACACCAAACATCTTTTAACTTTGACTAATTTATGATCATGATTTATGATCATGAATGTTCTTCCTTGAGCTGCGTCACCCCACAGCAGTCTGTAATGGACTGGCCTGAGGTCTCGCTACAAACAAGCAGCTGCTGGAAGAGAGTAGGTGAGTTGTGTTTAGTCTTTTTGCTAAAGAAATCAGGCAAGGTTAAAAAGATGTTTGGTGTCTAGTACTATGTCTGTGACCCTATATGAACTGTTGATGAAGTTAGGTGCTGTTCTGAGCGTTATTTGTGTCTATAGAGTGGCGTTTTGGTTGAGGTTTGTTTAAGGCTCCTCAGACTGCTGTGTATTGCTATCGCGTGGTCGTTACTAAAGTTGGTATAACTAGAGAAGCAAGCAGTCGGCAACATTCATCTCTCTAGGGGGTGTCTAACTCGGTGTTACAGTGTGTTTGACCCTAAATTAATTTTATGCCAGAATATCCCTTTTAATACACGTGTACTTAATCAACTACCACGGCTTCTGCTGGGTAGTTGATTGGGTAGCCCTTCACATGTGAATATTGCATCGTAGGAGAACAACCTTTCATAAATAACAGTCCCTTCTTAGAGCATCACTTGCATTGCATTAAAGATCTTGCAGTTGGATTTTGCACCTGGAGTTTAAAGATAAGGAGAGTTGACTGATATGCTTCCTGCATGTTAGTGTATCCTCAGGCTCACTCCCTGTTTATCACTTTTCCTGCTGAACGCCTTTTTTTTTTTCTGTCTCCCCCCTGCAGCAGCCAAGAGTTTGCTCAACAAGAAGCAAGATGGCGTTAAGGTCAGTTACTTTTAATGACCAAAAAAAAGGGAAGTTTTGTTACTTGCATTTTGTCTGTTGGAACGTTCAGTGTCTGAGGAACCTTCTGGATAGTTATACCTGCATTGTGCACATAGTGACATCATCATTCAGGGACAGTCACTCCAAGCAGTGGGTGATGGTTGTCAGCTTAATCTCAGGTGTTTTTTTTTTTCTTGTGACACAGCAGGTCACATTGAATAGTTTAGGATTTTATTTCAAGCTTAATAATCATCTTGTTTCTAATAAATATCACAGAGCCAGTTGTGCTCTCTCCTTGTTTTTTTTTTTTCTGGTGCGTGTGTGCGTTTGGGGGGTCCAGTCTGAAATGAACACTTGATGCATGTGTGTGCATGTTGGGAGTTCAGTGTGACTGACTAATTCTGTGCGTGTTTTGTTGAAATAAGTGAGCGTTGATTTGAGAATGGACCCCTACATGTTTGAATCAGTGTCACTGTGTCTGGGAAGGACTCAGGCTTACAATACAATATGTCAGGCTGTGAGATCTATTCCAGGGAGTGTTTTCCTCATTCATGTGACCCCCCCAAAAAAAAAAAAAAAAATTAAGAATTTTTTGTGTGATAAATAAATGTTGAGGATGTAATTGGTAAGCTGAGTACTGGAGAAACAAACTTTCCAAACCATGTTAAAACCCTTAAAGGCATGGTTGACAATCTGAGAAGCAGTTGAAAAAAACTGAGCCGTTGAGGCAGATTTGAAAACACACAAACCTCTCCCCTCTGTGCTCCACGATAACTCCCCCCTGAACCTGTATCGCCCTCCCCACGACACACACCGTCTGGCAGAGCAAGAAGCCGGCCAGCAAAAGATCCTACGCTAGCTTCAAATAGGATCCACCATGTTGGATTGCTAGTGACTAGCAGCAGTAAACGCCAGCTCTGCTAGCGAGCACCGTCTGCAGCTGCCTGGATAGCTACCGTGTTGACATTGCAGAGACCAATAAGAGTTATTCATGTAACATGTACCACGATAAAAGGCAAAAATTACCTGTTCAACAAAAACTCTGCTGTCTCGGCGCTATTTTCGCTGTTTTCAGGCCGAGACAGGAGCAGGAGATTGACCAATAGGAGCTGTCCAGGACGGACGGCTCCCATTGGTCAATGTTTTTGCATCCCTGCACCTGCTAGGGTGAACGGATTTTTTCTATCCTTTTTTCTCTTCACTTTGTGTAGATCCCACTATAGGACCATGATCGCCATATAAACGAGGTTCATAATAATTACTAATCTCTCTAATCGTCAACCATGCCTTTAAAACTGGTTGCATAGAATTGTATTTACTATATCTTACAGTAACAACTCAGTTGAATGATTGGGCAAGGGGCAATCCATGAGAGCTCATATTGAGTACAACAACACTGTATCTTTTTCTCAACACTCCACTCAGGACTGAAAGTGGGCTGGTACACTTTGGTTCACATTAACACCACTTTTATATTCATCCTGAGTCGTATGTGGACTTTTCAAGTACCTGAACTTCTCACCAGTACCCCGTCCTGTCCTCTCCATTTTACTGTTTCTCTTAGGGATTCATAAAAGCCCCTTAAATATACTGTATACTTGGCACACTTTGTGGAGCTCACATAGAGCTCGCCTCCTTCCATGAGTGTCAAGCAACGCTTATTTGTTTACTTCTGCAGATTAGTGTGGACATACAAGTCTATACAGTGTTGGATGAATGAGAGAAAGTAGTCCAAACAGTTACAAAGAAGTATATTTTCTCAGCTGTAGAAATTCAGAACATAATCCTCGAGAATGAGAGCATGCCAGAAATTATTTTTGTCCACTTGAAACACAGACTCCTCCCCCATTTATAAGCTTCAGTTACTGCAGCCAAAGTGGGGAGTGCTGTTGTACTAAATATCAGCCTCCCCCAAAAGGACCCCCTAAACAGTAGTCCTGCTTGTGTGATGAACCCAGAACTATTTTTCACTGACCTCTTGTGCCCCTGCTTCCTTGTCTCTGTTAGCTATCCTGCCTTAGCTTGCTTTATAAAGTACTCAGTCTTAATTAAGATGTCTTGGTTGACACTGATGCGACACTCAATAAAACCAGATCTCTGGACACATCAGTGAGACGACCTCCTTGGAATGGACTCTAGTCACTCAGAGAGTGTGTGTGTATGTTTGTGTGTCTGAAGACAAGTGTGTATGTGTATCATGTCCCCTCTACACTGCCCCCTGCAGGTCAACAACAAAGCCAACACAGTGACCAGTCCTAAAGACACTGGCCCTGCCCCTGCACTGGTATACTCACACAGCCTCACCCACAGCCACACCGCCATCCACAAAACCTCTCCACCTCCCCACCTCCCAGCCCACTGTGGAGGAGGTACAGGTTCTCCCTTTCACAGGGGGTCAGATCATTTCTGTCTTGATTGATAACTTTGAAGTCTCAACCAAGAGTGTTAGAATGTAGTGAATGTAACGGGGTTGAAATATATGTCTACCTCATTTTTAGGCTATCCCTGAATGAGATAATGCGTCAAGCTTTTTTGGGCTGTGCACCGTGTCCCAGCTGAAGCATACTGTAGAGACTTAACCATGACAACAAGCTAGTTATATTTCCAACAGATGTGTTCATTCATTCATTTGAATTAGCAGAGCGTGCATGGGGCATACAGAGCTTGGCTCGCTTAGATTTCAAGCTGAAGCAGTAAGCCTCCACACATGTTTGATCTGGGATTTTTTTAAGATATTGTTTTAAATCTGTTGTTAGGGGCAACCTCTACCTCAACCCCACCCTCACCTCCCCCAAACTTTCCTTTCCTTGCCCCCTTTTCCTCAGCAAGAATCCCTCTTTTCTGTCTCCTCTTCACACAATATGTGCATGTACTCCTCTTCCATTACAAACTAGCAGCTTAAGTGCTTTTGGTTTTGTGCAGTGAAAGTAGAATTCTTGACAGGAAATGAAGATGTGTTCTGCAGGGTTTGCTGCTCATAATATGTCTGTGCATGGCTGGAGTGAGAGGATGTTGGCTCCTTAGGCCCATTGAGATGCAACCTTCCCGAGGGATTTGGCTGTCACTCATTGGCTTGTGCATGTAGTCTGCTGACTGGCTGTCTTCATCAGGCCACATGACTGCTGCTGTGCATGATGTCAAAGGCTTTCTGTCCTCCCATTTGCTGTTGAGATGATTATGCATGAACATAGGCACATGGCATCTCCCTCACTCTCTCTTTCTTTCTCTCTCTGCCTCTCTCTCTCTCTCTCTATCCTCCTCTCTGTCTCTCTCCATCATCATGCTCAAACACCCACACAAACACACACTGAACACGTAGATGCAAGCCGCTGATGTGATAATCTAGTGTAATCAGGGCGAGTGATTAGAAAGACTGAGCTGGTCATCAGGATCAATTCCACAAAAGCAGGGGTGTAATTTCTGTATCCGATTCATTGTTATGGAGAAGTTAGTGTATGTGTGCATCGAGGACAGACAATAGGAAAATCAGATAGACAGATGGATTTAAAGGTGGGCAAATACATATTAATTAAAGTGGATGTCTTAATTTTTAAATAAACACACACAGACATATGTACACACACACATCTACTTAGGCAAATTCTGTACATACCTTCATACCATTTCTAGCTTCTAGCCTTTGATTATTGCTCCCCACAAGCTCTTCTTTATTTGTTCTCTTTAGGAACCACAGACAACCGTGATCCACAACCCAGTAGATGGAAACAAGGTACCACAACAACAAAAAACCACCTTTTATTTATTTAACTGTTGCATTTGATTTTGTAAAAGTAGTTTGTCCTTTTACCTTAGTTTTTTTTTTTTTTTTACCTCTTGCAAAATCCCAATTGAAAAGGAAATCTCCCCATCCTCCCTTCTTAACTGTTACATAATCTACTGTTGGTGTGTCATATTCATCAGGACCTCGACTTAAGGGTTAAAGACTCGATCCGTGTAATCACAGCATCCCTGGTTTAAGCCAAGTCTTGGACTTCAGTCACATGACTTCTCTCCTCCTCTTCTGTTTGTTTTATATCCATCGCACAGCAAGAAGAATAAAGTTGTTTAAGAAATATATCCACTGAAATTATAATACATTCAAAGTCTGTGACTGTCATTCTCTGACAGGAGTCCATTGAGAGTGCCAACACCACTATAGAGGACGAGGATGTGAAAGGTAGGGGAGCATGTGTTTTTGTCTGAAGAGCTCTCCTGTGTCTCTGTGACATTCCCACACTCAGCTTTTACATGTTCTAATCTTACTGATAACTCCATGAATGTTTTATTGTCTTCTAAACTCGCAACTCATCATGAAAAATGCAGTCTGCCCTTTTCTTTTTCTGTTGAACTCTCCTTTGCATCTTTGTGTTTCACCCATCATATGTCAGTAATGAAGTCGGTTTACACTGCTTGCTTTTCCAGTTTTGTTCACTAAACTTTTCTCTTTCATTTTCAGTTTTACTTACTGATTTCTGTTCAACCTTTTTTCTTTTCTGTCAAAAATATTTTCTCGCCTTTATTCCTGTCCTGTCTTGGCTCATACTGTATATATATATGCCTACCCTTTGTTTGCTGCACCCCCTGAACACACAAACTCTCACACACCTGTCCGTACAACCTCTGACAGCCCTCCGTCTGGGCAGCTTAGTGAGCGGTATCTTGAGCTCAAAGAGTCGTTCCTCACAGATGTCTGACTCAAGGCAGACTCCCACGTCCTCAGTTCAGAGTAAGTTGCTACACAGTGGGGGTGGTGCCTCGTTTTTTTGTTCCTCTTTTTACCCAAACACCAGTTAAAGAAAGGCTCCTGAATCCTGTTTTGCTCATATCATTTCCTGACCTTTATAACCCGTGGTTTGACCTGATTTAATTACACATTTTTCTTTTCATCAGGGTAAAAACTTGTTTTATACTCTTGATTATCTGTTTTTTTAAATTAATCTTGGATTTAAGAAGATGTCCTTCTACTGTACATGTATCATCAGGCATAAGATTCTCTCCTCACCCCTCCTTACTGTCTGACTTTCCCAAACAATGACACACAGAAAACAGCTGATGTAGACACATTGTCATACACACAGTGTTGTAGCGTATGGCTGTGAAAGCGCTTAAGAACTGATTTAACATTTCTTTAATCCTAATATGTCTTTTTGTTGCAAAAATTAAGTAATTTTTTTAATATCCCCCAGCCTGCACCAATAACAATAAAGGTAACTGTCCACGTTATTTAGTTAAAACTGCTTCTGTAGGAAATACTTGCATCTGAGCATTGGTTTGTCTTTGTTAATATGAAGCTTTGTTGGGTGAAAGGAATCGTGTCATCTTGCATTTTCCTGCCTGAAATCAATATTAGTCATGGAAGGTTTTCTTTCTGTTGTTTTTATCACTCAAAGATAAGAGAAAATAACGTGACACGAATCTTAAGCACCTTCCATGTCTAATAATGTTGAAATCCTGCTAGTTTGTAGAGTAGAACCCATTTGAAGCTTATTAACCTCACATCTGCCTGAAGTACAGAATACAGTAGCTTTTTTATACGTTTGTGTTGCTCATGATGGTTTTTCTTCTTGTATTGTAGCCCGCAAACAGGAAATCATCAAAGTCACTGAGCAGTTGATCGAGTCTATCAACAACGGCGACTTTGAATCCTACGCGTGAGTTTATGTCTCCCTGCATTTGTACAGAAGCACTTGATTCATTCACTCATTTCCTGACCCTTGTTTTTGCTGATCCTGTATTCTGTTTGTGCCACAACAGTAAGATTTGTGATCCGGGTCTAACTTCCTTTGAGCCTGAGGCCCTGGGCAACCTGGTTGAAGGACATGACTTCCACCGCTTTTACTTTGAAAACGGTGAGTTTAAAGTACAAGAATCATATTATTACAGAAACGTCAATACCGTCACCAAGGTCGCCGTGCGTGGCCTCAATTGGCACATGTAGCACAATGAGTAGGTAAACAATATAAAGTAGGGATATAGAATCTACTATAGATACTGAGTGTTTTTGTCTGAAAGAGAGCATTATAATGCAAAAGCAGTGTGAGCTGAATTATTAGTTCATTGTCACTGTAGAGTCTTTTCAGTTTTTTTATATTTATATGTGTTGGTAAACAACGAGGTCAAGGCTGAGATTATGAACCTCGAGGCGAAATACCGATAATGAATAGTGACGGCTATAAATGGGAGAATGTCCTCAGTCCGGGTAAAAATAGTTGAGATAAACCAGATATGTCCTAGAAACCTCAATCACTTGGCGGGACTGTGCTTGACCACTATCCAACATCAACATATGGAGACTTTTAGTTCAGCTTGTTTTGGTGTCAGTTCATTTTCTCTAAAGGAAGGTTTGAGTTTGTGTTTTTAACATACATCTATATTTCCTTAAGCTTGGCTCACTGTGGAGCAGATGACAGATATATCTTATTTCATGAATTAGATATGTGGTACTACGTGAATGTTGCTCCATGTAAGAAGCGCTTTTGTCTCTCATCAAGCTCTGTCCAAAGGGAACAAGCCAGTGCACACCATCCTCCTGAACCCACATGTGCACCTCATTGGAGAAAACGCAGCATGTATTGCCTACATCCGCCTGACCCAGTACATGGACGGCAGTGGCATGCCCCGCACCATGCAGTCTGAGGAGACCCGTGTGTGGCACCGCCGCGAGGGCAAGTGGCAGAATATCCATTTCCACCGCTCTGGCTCACCCAGCATCCCGTCCCAGTAAGAGACAGTAAGAAACATATGATCAGTCTCCAGATTTTTAACTGCTAACCTTGTAGATGTGGTCATTATGCTGTGATATCACTTACAGATCCTATTGAAGGAGGAAATGAGTCAGCTTGACCCCTTTGTTGAGACTACAGTCTGAGCCAGCTCTACAGCGTATCCTAGCTTAGTTTAAGAAACTCCAACCAAACACAGATGTCTTTGTAAATGTATGCTGTATTTGTTGACCTTTGGGCCTGTCATCATCGCTGCCAAGATTAATATTTTTTTAGTTTTTAGTTTCTTTGAAAACCTGAACATCATGTAGTTCAGATAGTAAAGCTCCATGTGCAGCTGTTGATAGCCTTGGTCCTGGTCAGGTTCTCTGGACAGCTTGGCCACTCTCTCAACAAAAGGGCCAAGCTGACTGGCATCCCCTGCGGTGAATAACACTCACTTTTGACAGATATACAACCTCACTTTAAAAACAAAACTATCTCTTAAATGTGGGCGTTAAATTACTCTGGGCCCCGCCCCTCAGATTGTCACCATGCTCACGAAGTACCCAAACCTAGCATTGCAAATGACAAAGCTGAAAAAGGAGTACATTTATCGCTCAGTGTTCACTTTTAATTCTTTAATCTTTTCATTTTTTATTGGTTTAGTAAGCTGGTAAAACAAGAAATTCCACAACTGTTGTTAAGCTCATGCTAGCACTTACACTGAGCCTGTAAGATGACTGACCTTGGATTGTTCCCAGGTGACCCACTTCCAAAGAAAAACTATAAAAGTCTGAAACATTTTTTAGTGAAACTTTTCAGTGAACTTGGCAGACCCAAGTTTTGTCATTTGTTCCTGTTAATACGGAGAAACTGGTTTGCCAAGTACTTAAAAGCACTGAGGAATTTAAACAAAACTTTTTAACTTGTCGTGGCAGGAGAAGCACAGCTGACACCTTTCAAATTAGTGGGAGTTTGGGTAAATAGACCCTGAACAGTTATGTAATGTCTTCAGACTAAATTTATCACTGAAATGAAGATAAACAAAAGTAAATAAAAAACCCCAATTAGGCAGTTCTCTAAGTTGGAGAAGTGTGAATAAATATATGCCTCTTTCACAACTCCATCCTCCTTGAAGGACTTCTTGTTTTTAGCAAGATTGTGACTGATGTGATAAGATGCTGTTGTTGCAGCTTTCCTCCTTGAAGGACTTCTTGTTTTTAGCAAGATTGTGACTGATGTGATAAGATGCTGTTGTTGCAGCTTTCCCTTTGGTGGTAGGCCAAGTAAATCTGATCGCTTTATTGCACAGTCTTTTTAAGCACCACTCCAAATTTCCCTTCTTTGGCAAAGCCACACTTCATTGCAGATACCACAGTTGAACCTTGAATTTGAGCAATCAGATAAATAATGTTTCTCCCACTCTTTATGAAGATATTTTTTCTGTGTTATCATCATCCACTTTTGTGCTGTGAAAGTGTAGCTATCAGACTGAATGATTGACAGCTATCCACCACCACTCACACTCATGCTCTAACTCTAGGTACATGCTAAGTAAATTGCCAGGCAATGTTCCCAGAATGCTTCCCTAGTGAGACGAGTATCCAAAGGAATGAATGTAATCTGTCCTTTTTTTTTCAAGTTAATTTTGTTTCTGCAGTGCATTGAAGTGTATCTGACAGGACATTATTGCATACAATTTGATTTCCACCATAGACTGTATATAGATTGGACAGCGTCTGCCTCCTCGCTGGGTGAAGCCACTCTGAGAACAGCGCACCCTGGTGATGGGCTGCAGTATAGATCATAAATCCCACTTCCACAAGCAATCCCTATGGAGCTGTGGACAAACTTTAGAAATTTATTACACAGAATTAAAATTTTCCCCCCTCTGGTTGTGATGTTGACATGTAGTTACTGTCAGACTGGTTTGTGCTCAAGTCCTCTTTTTTCTGTGCAGCTCCATTTTTAAAAGTTATTAGGGGGTTCATGTTTTCTATGATTGACACTTGATACAGCCTATGGGCGTATGACAATTGCGTAGCTCACCTGGGGGATGCGCTGCTTGAGCCGAGCGTCATCACAGCGACTTTCCTGCCGAATGCGCACAATGCTACTGCGCAATGTTGGTTTCAGGAAGTGGAGGAAAAACGCAGAATTACCGAGAGCTTTTCGACTTCAAATCCGTATACTGGCGGAAGGTGGAACCAAGTTGTCCATAGTATATACAGTCTATGATTTCCACAAATAAAACAACTGATTGGGAATCGGTCCATAGTCCACTGGTCGACCCCTGATCAACTGGTCGGGCTCCACTTCTTGGACCAAACTGCTATTGTAAGATTTATGAACCAACAACAGTTTGGATAGATGTTTGCCCCTAAGCAACTTTGCTAGGTTTAAGATAGTGGATCTTGATGGCCTGGGACATGATCAGAGGCCTCCAGAGGACAAAGAAAAGAGTGAGCATCTATGGTGTAGTTCTACAATTCTATGGTTGTAATCTATATATGATCACAAAACTGCCAACACACTGTTTATTTCATGGAAATGTTCATTAGTCAGTGCTCTCCAGAATTATGTACTGAACTCTCTCTCTCTCCCTTTACAGTTAATGGAATATCAACATGTGTTCAGAAAAAAAAACAAAGAAAAAAAATCCCATCAGCAAATCTAGTGGGGCAGTCTACTAGCCAACCCATGACTGCCCTTTGCCCTTTGACCCTTCAATGAGGACATGACATCGCACAGGACACAAGTATCAATACGTTTTACTGTTATGGCATTTTATTAATGGACATCATTCGAAACCACCGCTGGGTGGCTGCACACAGTATTTGGACATTATGAAACAAGCATATTGACGACATAATTTTTGTTTGTTTTTTAAGATGTTTTGGTATGCATTTTAAATATAAAATAGAGATGTTTAAAAATCTACTACTGTAACCTCTCCCAAAAATTAGTTCTGTATTTTTATGTGTATTTATGTGTGTGCAGTACAAAAACATTTGGAAGATCAGAATGTTAAAATTAAGCTTGCTTTAGTTCTGGTGATGTATATACATTGTGATTGTTGATAAAAAAACAAAAACAAACATTGAAATTGCTATTCTTGCTAACAGAGGAATTAAGAGTTTAAGTAAAATTCAGTTTATGAGCTACATTTATGTTTGCTATGAGCTAAGTCATCCTGTTTGAATCGTCCGATTTCAACCTATAATACTAATTTAAATGTAAAGAAAAGCAGAGCAGCTTACACTTTGCATTGAGATATGTTTGCCTTTATATCAGTGAAATAAGAAATAAGAGAATGTAGCATATGTGTAATATATGAAAATTCAAGACTATTGTGTAGTGCATGGGGGGAATATTGTAAGTAAGATCATATGAAACTATAATATCTTCTGTTTGATTTGTGAATCACTGACTTGTTTGTTTGCATTTGTTAATGTTGTGCATCAGTCCTGTCCCAAATGTTTCTAATGTCCTCCAGTATCATGGAACTGTTGTGAAAACAATAACACAGTTATGGTTAACATCCAGCGTAAATATCAGAACCTCATATCTTAGAAGAGGAAAATAAACTCCTGGTTGCCGAAGCACCCCTTGCATTTTGTATAAAAATGAGAAGTAAATGAGCTCATTTTTCATAATGTTTGTACTTGTATTGTATGACTGTATGTAGGATTTCTGTTGTCATTTTATTCTTGTCATTTCCAGTGTGGTACTTCGCCAATTGCACAGAGAAGGTGGAGATGATGAAGATGGCGTAAAGGCACTTTAGTCCCAGCCTCAGTTAGGTTAAGTGTTAACCTGACAGTTGGGCTAATAAATCTGGAAGCGTCGTAAAAGCATTGGATTGAAGAGTGTTGCAGTCAAAAAAGAGGATGGTTTGACAGCGGCGAATGAGACAAACGAGAGTTGGACTGCAATAAAAGTTGGGATGTCTTCCTCGGCGAACAGTGCTTCGAACAGCCAGTGCTCTCTGCTACAGGACAATGCCAGTGTCTTTGTCATCCTTACTGTTTGCTCTTTTCAATTGGTCGGTCTCTTTTTTAAGGGGAAAATATGACAAACATTTCTTTTGACGAAACGTATGATGTCAATGCAATGCACCAATCCTTACATGGTGTGTACCTGTTGCCAGCTCGGCGATGGATGGCTTAACATGTTTAAGAAATAAATAAATCAGCTAAAAGGTGTGATAATTAATGAGTTTGTTGTGATGGTCGGTAATGATCAACATACATAGATGAACTAGAGCTTAGGTAGTACAGAAGGAGCATTTGAGTTATTCCTTTTTAATCTTTGCTTTATTTTAATGTACTCTTGATATGTATTAGTGCAAATAAGGATTATGAAGTGGCTCCCTATCAAATTAAGCGTCAGAATGCCATTAGATCACTTAACTAAGTAGCACTCTGATTCACATTATCATTAACAGCATTGAGATACATCCTATCTTTTAAGTTGGAATCACTTAAGACCTTTTGTAAAAGAGTTACTAGAGACTAATTGGTATTCACAGTAAAAATTGGTTTAATATTTTGGAAACTACTCTTGTGCATGTCAGTTGTATTGGGAAAATTGTGATCTAGTAAGCAGAAATTGTTGAAAAAAGTATTTTTTCCCAATATATTTATTCTTTTTGTGCTTTGTCTGTTTTTGTTACCATAAAAAAATCCGTTTTCAGATGCTCTGTATCTGCAGTACCTGTGATGCCCAGCTGAGGGCAGTATAGGGCCTGTTTAGCACTTTTGCTTCTCTCATGTCCGGATACCGGATATTAAAAACCTACATTGTGAGCTTAAAGTATGGCTTTAAAAATCGTATATAGTTTACCTACAGTTTACAAGATACATGTTTAAATGTGACAGGAAAAATACTACAAATCCACATCATACAACACTTAAACATTTGTAGATTTTTATTCTCTATCAGCCATAGACACACTGCAGCCATTTTATTTTTGTCTTTTTGAATTTTGATACATTAATACATGCCCTTATAGTTATTTATATATGCATTGTATATGTATCTGTCATCACAGAAAAGGGATGCTGATTTTTCAAATTAAAAGCATACCTGTCACAGTGAACTTCCACTAGATTGCATTTTACATTTTTCTAAATCACAAAAGTAAACAGTGATAGTTAAATAAATACATTATATGTTGTAGATACGTACAGTAGCAATGCTCAGCGCAGTGAGTAATGGTATACTTAAGCTCTCAGTCTGCTTCCTTATGCGTGTTCTGGTGTAACATTGCCATGAGTTCATCATCTGTCGCACCTAAATGAAACTCTGTCAGTGGTTAAGATATGCTGTACCTCAGATCCTGTGCACAGAAAGCATGGAGGTGGACCCTCCTGACATTCAGGAGTGCGAATGCGATTTGTGTAAAATAGATTTTTCTTCTGTTTGCTGACTGAAACTGGCAAACACTCTTACTTGGCTCACAGACTCATTCACTCACAAACACACACCAAACTAAAGCAAACGACTGGTCCAACACTTTCTTTTCAAAAAGATGAACTCATAATGTCTACATTAAATAAATAAAGCAGAAAAACCTCATCACTTTACCACAGTTCTCATTTCATGACCACAACTGTGACGATATTATTCACCAGTGTCTCTCTGAAATTTAAAAAAAAATCCAGAAGTTATTTATACAAAAAAAAAAGCTTTTAAAATAACCCAACAACAGATTTTTAAATGAGCAAAACAAAATTACTTTGACAATAACCTCTTCAAAAAAGCTGACAATGCAGTATTAAACATGCATGGACACACTATATATCTACACATTCATCATTCATACTTTAGGAGTCATTTTAATCAATTTAAGAGAAAAAGACAGGGAACAGAAAGTAATAAAAAATAAAACACGAAAAGAAAGACACAAAGGAGAGAAAGACAGACTAAAGGGCAATATGTCGAACTACAAAGCAGTCAAAGCTAGGATCAAAATGACGGATGTTGATTAGTCATGCCTGCTCTACTTCACATGGGTGATTATTAATTCCTAGGCTACTTGATGTTATTAATGTCTAGATTATAGATACTATATAATTCCCAAGAACAGGTTACACATAGCCTACACAAAACAGCAGCAGCAGCAGAAGTTAAATTCAGTGTCGATACAGTCGTGTTTTTTCTGTGTGACATCTTCACCGCCTGAATCAAATGAACAAACAGGCTAGTACAGAGTGAGCCAGTTTTAGAGTGAGGAGTATCTGAGAATCTCTATTTGTGAGAGGCAGTGCAGTGTGGGATACTGTCTTTAAAGTCCGAGCACCTTCTCAGAGAGTAATACCAGTACTTTGCACGTGGACTGGTCTTTACCCTCAGGAGGTTTGTGAGTTAGTTGATGTAAATAGTGTTCCTCTGGTTTCTTTCTTTTTTTTTTTTACGTTGCTCTACCACAGCATCAAGAACAAAAAATATCAACAACAATTTTGATATGGAAAGTAAAACTAATCAGGAAAACAATAGAAGGCTTTCTTTGGTCACAAAAAAGGCAAAACAACATCAGAACATGTAAAGAAAATCAGAAGGATATCATACTAGCTTAGGAAGACAACTCCAAAGTGTGGACAAACTGTTATCTTCCAGGACTCAGATGGGAAGACCGTGGTAGTTTCGCGGTGCAGTGATGCACACTGGGATTGCATGTGGCTTATGCATAGGATTAGAAGGGTGGGGCTTTAGCTTGGGCAGAGTCAGGGGGAGTTGGGAGAGCGTTTCACATTCTTCTACTCGTCCTGCTCATCCTCTTCAGTCTCATCAGTGTTCTCCTTTTCTTCTTGGTAGTAGTGGTGAAATAGCTGGTGGAGATGCTGCTGGAGATCAGATGGTTTGGACCCTTTTCTGGGCTTGTCCACTTGCTGTAGAAGGACCTGTTTATGCTGCCCAGCTCCCTTCACTGCCGTTCGTCTGATGGTGCGACCTTTACGCATGTGGGCCCTTTAGATAGGTGATGTAGAAACAAAGAGAAGAAGGTCAATTAGAGCTAAAAACACTGTGATCTGTACACGCTTTACTGAATGTTACTGAGCAGAAATAAATCACTGGCAAATATCTCATGCACTGTCAATCATGCACTCAATTTTGATGTGTGCACTGCAACTTCTGAAATACATGGTGGAAAACACTTTGGGTAGTGGCACATTTCCTGGTGATCACATGTAAGCTGACCCTTTATATTTACAAAATCATCCATAAAACCAATCACTCTCTGACAATGTTGAAATATGGAGTTTAGCCAAACTGTTAATGTGTTAATATCCAACACCAAGCACAGGACAAGTTGCCAGCTGGTTTGTCACTCCCACAAAAATGCAGATAGTTAGATACTGGATAAATGTGTCTTCGAAAAACCGTTCACATATTTCTCATGATTTCTGCTTATCTAAGGGGTTAGCAACATTAGCCCTTTGATGCCTTTTGTATCATAATTGATACATACTTTATTATACTTTTATCAAATCAATATGATCAACAAATTACTAAAAAAAAACACCTGAATACAGTCTGATAAATGATAAAAATGTCCTCTTGTGGTTTATCAGGTCCAAAAACATCTATCAAACGAGCTCTATCTATCTATCTAGATCTATCTATATATATATATATATATATATTTGTTAAATTTTGAGGACATTTTGATTTTTGGGGTTTTCAGCTCCAAAAAAACCTTTGAATTTTCTGGCTTTTGGTTTCAGGCATTAAAGGGTTAAGGAACACCTTTAGTCCTAATAAGTAAAATTAACCATATCTTATAACATCACCAAAAAGCAGTTAGACACACGCACACACAAAGATACCCAAACTGGTGCATTATTTTCCTCACACACCTCCTGACCACAGTACCATCTTCTCTGACAGTTTCTCTTTCTACCACATGTGGGAGCTCTGCTGTTCTGCTAAAACCACTTATATAACCTAGTGCCTGTTGTCACAAGAGGGAGAAAACAGAAATCTATGAACTCAGTGATTGAATTAAAAAAAGGAGATGGCTTCATATTGATTAACAGTCAAGTTAAAAATAAAACATCTAATAGTCTTACACATGGAGCGAGTTATGTTACACCTTCTCTGTCAGAGTTAAAGAGTTGATACTTGAGTGGTTTTGAACACACCTGTTTGAAGTCATCTTTGGCTGAAGGGAGGTCAGAGGCCAAAGATGGATCCCCTTTGTGTGTCATTGTCCTTTCACCTTCGACCACCGTTGTCTTTTCTGTGTGTCTGACCTTACCACCTTCAGCTACGTCATGTTTTGAAGATGAGAGACCTTCACATTCAGCAAATGTTACCTAATTGAATGAAGAAAAGTCACAAGTATTTTATTAATACAAGACAATACAACACAGTACATCAATTTAATTCATCCCCTAAAGGAAATTTGTTTAATGATAATTCCTGTAAATAATATTACAAAAAAACCAATATGATTTGCCTGTAATTTTCTGTTATAAATGATTTAAGATTATTAATTCAACACACACACACACACCCATGTAGTACACTTACCTCTGTGTGGTCTCCCTCACTCTTCAGGACAGTCCTCTTCACTACCTTAGAGTATCCATCTCTCTCTGTAATACTGATGGGCCCCTCAGGAGCACCTTCTTCTCCTGAAACCTCTGTTCGCTCCACACCATCCGCAGATACACACTTACGGATGATCTTACGGGTAACCTAAAGAACAGATTGTGTACAAAGACAACAAGCATTAGTTTATAGAGAAATATCAAACTACCATATTTGATTTATGAATTAATTCTGGAAAACTGTATGTCAAAGTGCTCTGACATACAGCATGAACTTCTTATCTCATATCTTTTGCCTCTTGTCATCTCTCTCTGTCCACATCTCACTTTATCCCTTCTTTAAACCCAGTAGATGACTGTCTAACATGAGTTGGGTTTTGCTTAAGCTTTCTGCCTGTTAAAAGGGAGTTTTTCTTTGCCACTGTGACTTGATCAGTGTTACACTCATGTGGTTAAAGGTGGGATAGGAGCAGGTGTGATCTTGCTCAATCTTATCCCATCACTATGTTGGATCTTCCTGTAAATATTATGAAGAGTATGATCTAGACTACTCCTTTGTTAGCATCTTAAGATAATATTTGTTGTGAACTGGTGCTACATAAATAAAGATTGGTTGATTGAATAAAAACTCAATGCAACAAAAATCCTCTGAAGATTCTGGAAAAATTACATTTTACTACTGGCGACTGTTGCTAAGAAGTATAATACCATCTTAAATATTTATGTGATAGCTTTACCTTTTTGACCACAATGTGTCCATTTTCATCCTTGTACTTTTCTTCAGTTACCGACTGAGAGGGGAGGTTAGGCATCTCATCAGCCTGTTGAGAATACACAGCAAACAATAATCAGAGATGCAGAGATGGGTTAGTGTAATGTTGATTAATAGGTTTAAATCTGCACCTCAAAATAAAACCCAAACACATATTAGGAGAAAAATGAACTTTTCATTATAGATGGTTATTTGGTGAAATAACAAATAATTTGGGACACAGGAGACAAAGCTGCATTCTCTGGTTTAAACGGGTTACAGTGGGTTAACAATTGAAATAACAAGGAAGAGGCCACAGCAGCATAAAAGACTCGGACATGATTCAGCCATGTATGCAAATCAAGAGGGAGGATTCACATAGCTATTAGGTAATCTTCAACACATTATTTTTGCACCCAGACTTACGAAATTTCAGATTGTTAGATGGTGAACATTTTAACATCACAGTGAAAACAGAGGCTGGTTTCAGGAGCTCATACCCTTCATGCTCTTTTAATACACCATCAGATACCTGAATGAAAACTCTCCTTCGCACTACTCTGGTGGTCAGAAATTCATCATCTGAACTTTCTGATATTGACCCAAGCTCAGCGATGATCTCCTGTCCAAGCAACACAAATCTATTTACATAAATGAATGAAAACATATTTAACCTGTTTGAAGGAAAGCAAGCGGTGAGCTGAGTGACACGATGCACTTTCCACTGATTCAGCATATTTTACTCTAAATTTGAGGTATCTCACAATGGAAGGTACATCATGGCAGTCTGTGGCTTGGAAAAAAGTTGGCAAAACATGCTTTACTTAGAGAATTCCAGTTTTTTTTTCTTTGCTGATGGAAAACCACAAAACTTTTGCTATCGGTTTAAGTGGTACAGTTAGTTCAAGGAAGCTGAGTGACATGCTGAGTGAGGACCAGTCAAATCTGAAATCAAAACAAAATCAGGGTTAAGGGTTGAGCTTTAATCCCATCCAAACAGCTGCAGGGTTAGCAGTCATTACTTTCTGAAGCACTCAAAGTATTTGGTTAAGCTCAGCTCCGGGAAAAGCTTGCAGGTGGGAATTTTAACCAAATCTCATCTTACCCTTGACAGACATGTATCAGTATCATTGTATGCTCCAGTTTTAGCACCAGGAGGCAGATTTGCAGCCTCACATAAGGTGAATTCTTCATCTGAGTCTTCTGGATGGTGTAGTAATTGCTGCCTCTCTTCTTGTGCGTCATCCAAAGCTACATGGACAAGAGCAGCATCCTCATAATCTTCACTTCCAGAGGACAAGAGCATTCGTCGACTGAACTTTTCTGCTGTCCTTTTGGTATCAGGTTCATCTGTCTCTGAATAATCGGATGCTGCTTGCCTGCAGTCAAAGAAAGGCTCTGGGTCGGAATATTCAAAAGTCGGGCTGTCTGCGCTGCTTTGTAAAACTTTTACATATTCTGTACGCATGTCAGGATTTTTTGTTATGGGCGAGGTCTGTGCATCAACAGGTGGGATACTGTACTCATCAGCAGAGGTGGCTTCCAGATTGAGTTTATTAGAAATGGGCTGAGGGATAAAACCCTCAGAGTCTTCTGGAGTCAGAGCTTCTTCTGAAGACTGTGAAGTGGTGCTTGGCTTTTGTTCATGCAAGGATGTCTCAGAATTCCCTTGGTAAGAGAGCGGCATCAGTTCCTCAAAGCCAAAATATCTCATACATGTGACTGTTTCTGGAGTCAATTCAGAGAGAGACTGAGAGGAAAAGTCTTCACTTTGAGTAGATTCAACAGAAAAGGCTTTTTCCAGCTGTGCAGGTTCATCTTGGACACTGTGTGATGAAGGCTTTGAGTCATTAGCTGATAAAAGTTCTTCTTGACTTTGTATAGTGTCATGGGTTGAATCTTCTTCACCAAGAGGAGATTCAACAGAAAAGGCTTTTTCCAGCTGTGCAGGTTCATCTTGGACACTCGGCGTTGAAGCCTTTGAGTCATCAGCTGATAAAACTGATTCAAGTTCTTCTCGACTATGTATAAAATCAGGAGTAAAATCTTCTTCACTTTGAGCAGATTCAACAGAAAAGGCTTTTTCCAGCTGTGCAGGTTCATCTTGGACACTCGGCATTGAATCCTTTGAGTCATCAGCTGATAAAATTGATTCAAGTTCTTCTTGACTTTGTATAGAATCAGGGGTAAAATCTTCTTCACCAAGGATTGTTAGATTTTCATCAAGTATTTCAAACGGGCTTGTTGGCGAAACCTTTGATGAGGATGCAGAGGAAGATGCATCAGACACATTTTCTTCAAATTTTCTGAACTGGAAAATGTCCATGGGTGAACTTGGGTCCAGTGATGGTTCAGTTACTTCACCAAATATTTTGGCAGGTTCTGCAAATAAAAGTGACTCAGCTGCTGATGCAGAGCTATTGTCCAAGTGAGCTGGCAGCACACTTGCATCAGAGTTCTCAGTTGAAACTATTTCATGCTCAAATTGAATGGGCATCAGAACATCTGTAGATTCTGTAAAGGGTGAATCTGTATTGTTTGTATCCTTAGAAAGTTCAACAGCAAATGATAAACTAACCCCAAAAGGGTCATTAACTTCTGCAGAGTAACAGTCCTCAGGTGAAAGGTCTTTGATCTGGTGAATTTGATCATCTTCAAGGCTTCCATCGGTGGATTCTGATGGAGGGGAGTCAGATGTCTCCGGCCTAAACTTAAGTTTCATCTCCTCCAGGTCTGAAAGCAACTGGTCAAGCTGTGGGGACTCAGACTCAGGTGGATTTAGAGTGGAATCTGAAGAGTTTATGATCTGGTCATCTGGACTGTCTTGAGGCATTGGGCAGGTTAAGTCTGGGATCACTGAGCTTATTGTAGTAAAACCACAGTTTTCACTTTGTTCAGGGTATGATAGCAATTCAAAATGTTCCTCTGGCGAACTACTTTGATCGCTCAGCGTGATTTCAGGTTGCGTTTTCCCAAGGTCAAAAGTACCTGAAATCTGTGACTCTAGTTTTTCAGCTGATAATGTTTCTGAATCGTTTGGTAAGGATGATGTTTTGACGGAGAAACTCTGACTCTGCCCTAAATGAACATCTGTTTGTTTCAGTGAAGAATCTGAGAGATTTTTCCTGGAAGATGCAGTTGATACCTGTAAGAGATGATACAATGGATTGAAAAATAAATATAATTTGTGATTTTCTTAAGAAAGGGGGAGTGAAACATGAAACATGCATTTATCAAAGACAAGCCCCCTTTTTTTAAATTGAGAGAAGTGTCTCGTGAGGAAAATTCACTTGCAGCCTTGTTGCATTTTAGTCACAACAGTTGTAACTCACTAGTTTCAACATTTACCGTTTAGAATTTATAATGCATCATATAATGACAGCAGGATAGTCAAGATACTTTTGTTGTATGATGGGTAATGATTTGTTTAGGCAATTAAAATGCATTACATTACAAACAAGGTGCAAATGAACTTCAGAATTTGGTGTAAGGGGACATGCAAATCATTACCATTTTAAAGACATGGTTGCTACCACACTGTTAAACAAGTGCAGTAAGCTTGGCATTCCCCATTAAAACGCTAAATCCACCAGTTTATGGTATTTGTCACAGTCAAAAGCTTCTATATTCTCGACTGCTGCTTCCCTGTCTCAAACTTATACATTTACATTTATATATGTAATGGAAAAAGGAAGAGCCTTCCATCCAAGGTGATGAACAACTGTGGCAAGTACATAACTTGGTTTAGACTTTTATGGGGGTTAAGCAAAAACTGACACACTTCTACCAAAGTGGACCACAACAGATAAGAATATTAGAAAATAAAACTGTATGGCATCCGAACAAAATTTGATCACACCCAGTTTCTTTGGCTTATAGGGATCCATTAAGGCAGTCTAAAGGATAACACTAAGCAGATGAGTCATATTTTCATCAATGCAGATTGTAAGACCACTCCATAGCAGGGAAAAAAGCGCAGGTTGTTATGACAAATCATTTAGTGATTTCTGCTGTGCCTTACTGATAGTTATTTTTTCCGCCTAAACATGCCAAAGCCAGACAGCATCAACTGTTGAATTTTATTTGTGAAAACATGGGGCAAAAAAACTACATTCACTATTTATTGCCAGGTGTATTACTCTTAAAGCAACACTGCATTCATTGCTAAGCAAGACCTTGCTCTGGCTTACCGACACCAAGGAACTTGAGTTCTGGTCATCTTTCATGGATTTTCTTTACATGTTCTTGGAAAACAGATCTTGGGCACAAGTCATCCTAAATGGGGATTCTGGGTTTTGTCCATGGGTATTGTTTTTTCTTGTACATGGAAAGCCTCCTCCAGCAAGGCAACATAATGACATTTGGAATTTTGTTCTACATATGGCATGAGACTTAACTCAGTTATAAATAGGCAAATCTTGAATTCTGACCTCATTTAGTCCTAAAGCTTTGCTGTCTAAAGGGGGTGGGTGTGGGGGTGGGGGGTGAGAGGGTAGGGGGTGGGGGTGGGGGTGGCGGGTGGCTAGTTATTTGACTTTAAAGCAGGAGCTGTGGGTTCTTCCACACATGCTTCAGGAAGAAGCTCCTTTGTTTCAGGATGTAAATCTGCTGTTGTCAGAGCAGGTACAAGGGGAAGGGATATTGGCAAATGTTTTGATGGTTTGGAGATTGGTTTGGTGCCTTCCTTACCAAATGATTTGGTGGTGGTTTGTGGCTGTCCAATGCTGTCAGGTAAACTTGAAATTTTGTTTTGATCAAAAACTCTGTCACTTAAAACTACCTCATTCAAAACATGTCCTTTATAAACTGGATCACATACATGTGACATCAACCTCCTGGATACTGGCCTATAAGAAAGTCTGTTAGCTTTAACCGTCTCTGTTGAGGGACTTTGCCTACTTGGTAACTTGTTTAGATCTTTGTCTAAATCGCCTGTTTCAGGGATTTCAGAGAAAGTTGGGTGTAACTCAGAGAGCCAGTAATGAATAAATGATTCTGAGTACTCATTTTCCAATGTCTTCTCACTATGTAACCCAGAAATTTCGCTATCAGGCAGGATGGATTCAGGAGATTCTGACCTGATAGCTTCTAAATAGGTAGAGCTACATAAGTCAGTTTGATCCCCCTCCGTTATCAAGGAGTGTGGAGAAATGGACCTGCTCTCTAAATAATACACAGAATAAAAATGATCACTTGGAAACTGGGGAATTTGTGAGTCAGGAGAGAGAGGAGTAAACTCATCAAGTGAACAAAAAGATTCTGGAGAGGACAACCTCTGGTCAGTGACTAAATGTGATAAAAAACACAACGTGTCCTCTTCTATACATGAATTGCTAGTTGATGGTGAAAGATTGTCTGACAATGAAATTTTTTCAGTGCCTTCAGTGTTGATCTCATGCTGATAAAACCCTACAGTTTTGGTTTCTTTAATTTCAGCAAAAATAAATCTAGAACTACTCTGACATGGTGGAATAAAAGAATTATGAAAAAATAAGTTGATATTATTGAAAAGCGAATCTGGCGAATCTGGCCTGTCGTCGTCCTCAAACAGTTCCTGGAGACTATATTGAGAAAACTCATCATCTGACAGGGTCGAGCGAGGTGATACCGGTCTACCCTCAGCGTACCGCAGGTAATAGTCACAGTGCTGACACTCCATCTGGCCAAATGCCATGCCGGGAAACACAGAGCGCTGCTCAACTGAAGTCACAGACTCTGGGGAGGATGCTCTAAAGTCTGCCAACCAGTCCTGCAGGAGCGAAAAGTCGAATTCGGAAGACACGGAATCCGGGGACAACGCCCTGCTACTAAATAGCTCGTCAAGTCCATAGTCGGAGAAAACTGACTGCGGGGACTCTGGTCTGCTCTCCTCAAACAGGGCATCCAGACACAAATCCCTACCTTCCCAGTCGGAAAAGGTTGATTCTGGGGTAAACGACCTGTCTCTGGACAAGTCCAGGGCGTAGCCCACATGGGGAACTGTGAACTGAGGAACAGGTGAGTCCGGAGAGAGGGCCCTAAGTGCACTCTGAGACGCCCCCGACTCGGGAGACTCTGGTCTGAGCTCAGTCATGTAATCGTCTATGGAGTAGTGAGCGCACTCATTCTCACAGGAGGCCGGCAGGGCCCAAACAGGTCTCAACTCAAAGGAGGTGAGGCCCGGCAACGCGTCTGCAGGCTTTTGGTAAGCAACGCCCCGCACGATGTCTGCATACGTCAGGGGTCTTGTGCCCTGAGGCCTTGGGGCTGCAGTCACAGTAACGCCTGTTTGTTTAGCTACCACCTGGGAAGGGAGCAAATCTGGCGAATCTGGCCTGTCGTCGTCCTCAAACAGTTCCTGGAGACTATATTGAGAAAACTCATCATCTGACAGGGTCGAGCGAGGTGACACCGGTCTACCCTCAGCGTACCGCAGGTAATAGTCACAGTGCTGACTCTCCATCTGGCCAAATGCCATGCCGGGAAACACAGAGCGCTGCTCAACTGAAGTCACAGACTCTGGGGAGGATGCTCTAAAGTCTGCCAACCAGTCCTGCAGGAGCGAAAAGTCGAATTCGGAAGACACGGAATCCGGGGACAACGCCCTGCTACTAAATAGCTCGTCAAGTCCATAGTCGGAGAAAACTGACTGCGGGGACTCTGGTCTGCTCTCCTCAAACAGGGCATCCAGACACAAATCCCTACCTTCCCAGTCGGAAAAGGTTGATTCTGGGGTAAACGACCTGTCTCTGGACATGTCCAGGGCGTAGCCCACATGGGGAACTGTGAACTGAGGAACAGGTGAGTCCGGAGAGAGGGCCCTAAGTGCACTCTGAGATGCCCCCGACTCGGGAGACTCTGGTCTGAGCTCAGTCATGTAATCGTCTATGGAGTAGTGAGCGCACTCATTCTCACAGGAGGCCGGCAGGGGCCAAACAGGTCTCAACTCAAAGGAGGTGAGGCCCGGCAACGCGTCTGCAGGCTTTTGGTAAGCAACGCCCCGCACGATGTCTGCATACGTCAGGGGTCTTGTGCCCTGAGGCCTTGGGGCTGCAGTCACAGTAACGCCTGTTTGTTTATCTACCACCTGGGAAGGGAGCGAATCTGGCGAATCTGGCCTGTCGTCGTCCTCAAACAGTTCCTGGAGACTATATTGAGAAAACTCATCATCTGACAGGGTCGAGCGAGGTGATACCGGTCTACCCTCAGCGTACCGCAGGTAATAGTCACAGTGCTGACTCTCCATCTGGCCAAATGCCATGCCGGGAAACACAGAGCGCTGCTCAACTGAAGTCACAGACTCTGGGGAGGATGCTCTAAAGTCTGCCAACCAGTCCTGCAGGAGCGAAAAGTCGAATTCGGAAGACACGGAATCCGGGGACAACGCCCTGCTACTAAATAGCTCGTCAAGTCCATAGTCGGAGAAAACTGACTGCGGGGACTCTGGTCTGCTCTCCTCAAACAGGGCATCCAGACACAAATCCCTACCTTCCCAGTCGGAAAAGGTTGATTCTGGGGTAAACGACCTGTCTCTGGACAAGTCCAGGGCGTAGCCCACATGGGGAACTGTGAACTGAGGAACAGGTGAGTCCGGAGAGAGGGCCCTAAGTGCACTCTGAGACGCCCCCGACTCGGGAGACTCTGGTCTGAGCTCAGTCATGTAATCGTCTATGGAGTAGTGAGCGCACTCATTCTCACAGGAGGCCGGCAGGGGCCAAACAGGTCTCAACTCAAAGGAGGTGAGGCCCGGCAAAGCGTCTGCAGGCTTTTGGTAAGCAACGCCCCGCACGATGTCTGCATACGTCAGGGGTCTTGTGCCCTGAGGCCTTGGGGCTGCAGTCACAGTAACGCCTGTTTGTTTATCTACCACCTGGGAAGGGAGCGAATCTGGCGAATCTGGCCTGTCGTCGTCCTCAAACAGTTCCTGGAGACTATATTGAGAAAACTCATCATCTGACAGGGTCGAGCGAGGTGATACCGGTCTAGCCTCAGCGTACCGCAGGTAATAGTCACAGTGCTGACTCTCCATCTGGCCAAATGCCATGCCGGGAAACACAGAGCGCTGCTCAACTGAAGTCACAGACTCTGGGGAGGATGCTCTAAAGTCTGCCAACCAGTCCTGCAGGAGCGAAAAGTCGAATTCGGAAGACACGGAATCCGGGGACAACGCCCTGCTACTAAATAGCTCGTCAAGTCCATAGTCGGAGAAAACTGACTGCGGGGACTCTGGTCTGCTCTCCTCAAACAGGGCATCCAGACACAAATCCCTACCTTCCCAGTCGGAAAAGGTTGATTCTGGGGTAAACGACCTGTCTCTGGACAAGTCCAGGGCGTAGCCCACATGGGGAACTGTGAACTGAGGAACAGGTGAGTCCGGAGAGAGGGCCCTAAGTGCACTCTGAGGCGCCCCCGACTCGGGAGACTCTGGTCTGAGCTCAGTCATGTAATCGTCTATGGAGTAGTGAGCGCACTCATTCTCACAGGAGGCCGGCAGGGGCCAAACAGGTCTCAACTCAAAGGAGGTGAGGCCCGGCAACGCGTCTGCAGGCTTTTGGTAAGCAACGCCCCGCACGATGTCTGCATACGTCAGGGGTCTTGTGCCCTGAGGCCTTGGGGCTGCAGTCACAGTAACGCCTGTTTGTTTATCTACCACCTGGGAAGGGAGCGAATCTGGCGAATCTGGCCTGTCGTCGTCCTCAAACAGTTCCTGGAGACTATATTGAGAAAACTCATCATCTGACAGGGTCGAGCGAGGTGATACCGGTCTACCCTCAGCGTACCGCAGGTAATAGTCACAGTGCTGACTCTCCATCTGGCCAAATGCCATGCCGGGAAACACAGAGCGCTGCTCAACTGAAGTCACAGACTCTGGGGAGGATGCTCTAAAGTCTGCCAACCAGTCCTGCAGGAGCGAAAAGTCGAATTCGGAAGACACGGAATCCGGGGACAACGCCCTGCTACTAAATAGCTCGTCAAGTCCATAGTCGGAGAAAACTGACTGCGGGGACTCTGGTCTGCTCTCCTCAAACAGGGCATCCAGACACAAATCCCTACCTTCCCAGTCGGAAAAGGTTGATTCTGGGGTAAACGACCTGTCTCTGGACAAGTCCAGGGCGTAGCCCACATGGGGAACTGTGAACTGAGGAACAGGTGAGTCCGGAGAGAGGGCCCTAAGTGCACTCTGAGACGCCCCCGACTCGGGAGACTCTGGTCTGAGCTCAGTCATGTAATCGTCTATGGAGTAGTGAGCGCACTCATTCTCACAGGAGGCCGGCAGGGGCCAAACAGGTCTCAACTCAAAGGAGGTGAGGCCCGGCAACGCGTCTGCAGGCTTTTGGTAAGCAACGCCCCGCACGATGTCTGCATACGTCAGGGGTCTTGTGCCCTGAGGCCTTGGGGCTGCAGTCACAGTAACGCCTGTTTGTTTATCTACCACCTGGGAAGGGAGCGAATCTGGCGAATCTGGCCTGTCGTCGTCCTCAAACAGTTCCTGGAGACTATATTGAGAAAACTCATCATCTGACAGGGTCGAGCGAGGTGATACCGGTCTAGCCTCAGCGTACCGCAGGTAATAGTCACAGTGCTGACTCTCCATCTGGCCAAATGCCATGCCGGGAAACACAGAGCGCTGCTCAACTGAAGTCACAGACTCTGGGGAGGATGCTCTAAAGTCTGCCAACCAGTCCTGCAGGAGCGAAAAGTCGAATTCGGAAGACACGGAATCCGGGGACAACGCCCTGCTACTAAATAGCTCGTCAAGTCCATAGTCGGAGAAAACTGACTGCGGGGACTCTGGTCTGCTCTCCTCAAACAGGGCACCCAGACACAAATCCCTACCTTCCCAGTCGGAAAAGGTTGATTCTGGGGTAGACGACCTGTCTCTGGACAAGTCCAGGGCGTAGCCCACATGGGGAACTGTGAACTGAGGAACAGGTGAGTCCGGAGAGAGGGCCCTAAGTGCACTCTGAGACGCCCCCGACTCGGGAGACTCTGGTCTGAGCTCAGTCATGTAATCGTCTATGGAGTAGTGAGCGCACTCATTCTCACAGGAGGCCGGCAGGGGCCAAACAGGTCTCAACTCAAAGGAGGTGAGGCCCGGCAAAGCGTCTGCAGGCTTTTGGTAAGCAACGCCCCGCACGATGTCTGCATACGTCAGGGGTCTTGTGCCCTGAGGCCTTGGGGCTGCAGTCACAGTAACGCCTGTTTGTTTATCTACCACCTGGGAAGGGAGCGAATCTGGCGAATCTGGCCTGTCGTCGTCCTCAAACAGTTCCTGGAGACTATATTGAGAAAACTCATCATCTGACAGGGTCGAGCGAGGTGATACCGGTCTAGCCTCAGCGTACCGCAGGTAATAGTCACAGTGCTGACTCTCCATCTGGCCAAATGCCATGCCGGGAAACACAGAGCGCTGCTCAACTGAAGTCACAGACTCTGGGGAGGATGCTCTAAAGTCTGCCAACCAGTCCTGCAGGAGCGAAAAGTCGAATTCGGAAGACACGGAATCCGGGGACAACGCCCTGCTACTAAATAGCTCGTCAAGTCCATAGTCGGAGAAAACTGACTGCGGGGACTCTGGTCTGCTCTCCTCAAACAGGGCATCCAGACACAAATCCCTACCTTCCCAGTCGGAAAAGGTTGATTCTGGGGTAAACGACCTGTCTCTGGACAAGTCCAGGGCGTAGCCCACATGGGGAACTGTGAACTGAGGAACAGGTGAGTCCGGAGAGAGGGCCCTAAGTGCACTCTGAGGCGCCCCCGACTCGGGAGACTCTGGTCTGAGCTCAGTCATGTAATCGTCTATGGAGTAGTGAGCGCACTCATTCTCACAGGAGGCCGGCAGGGGCCAAACAGGTCTCAACTCAAAGGAGGTGAGGCCCGGCAACGCGTCTGCAGGCTTTTGGTAAGCAACGCCCCGCACGATGTCTGCATACGTCAGGGGTCTTGTGCCCTGAGGCCTTGGGGCTGCAGTCACAGTAACGCCTGTTTGTTTATCTACCACCTGGGAAGGGAGCGAATCTGGCGAATCTGGCCTGTCGTCGTCCTCAAACAGTTCCTGGAGACTATATTGAGAAAACTCATCATCTGACAGGGTCGAGCGAGGTGATACCGGTCTAGCCTCAGCGTACCGCAGGTAATAGTCACAGTGCTGACTCTCCATCTGGCCAAATGCCATGCCGGGAAACACAGAGCGCTGCTCAACTGAAGTCACAGACTCTGGGGAGGATGCTCTAAAGTCTGCCAACCAGTCCTGCAGGAGCGAAAAGTCGAATTCGGAAGACACGGAATCCGGGGACAACGCCCTGCTACTAAATAGCTCGTCAAGTCCATAGTCGGAGAAAACTGACTGCGGGGACTCTGGTCTGCTCTCCTCAAACAGGGCATCCAGACACAAATCCCTACCTTCCCAGTCGGAAAAGGTTGATTCTGGGGTAAACGACCTGTCTCTGGACAAGTCCAGGGCGTAGCCCACATGGGGAACTGTGAACTGAGGAACAGGTGAGTCCGGAGAGAGGGCCCTAAGTGCACTCTGAGACGCCCCCGACTCGGGAGACTCTGGTCTGAGCTCAGTCATGTAATCGTCTATGGAGTAGTGAGCGCACTCATTCTCACAGGAGGCCGGCAGGGGCCAAACAGGTCTCAACTCAAAGGAGGTGAGGCCCGGCAAAGCGTCTGCAGGCTTTTGGTAAGCAACGCCCCGCACGATGTCTGCATACGTCAGGGGTCTTGTGCCCTGAGGCCTTGGGGCTGCAGTCACAGTAACGCCTGTTTGTTTATCTACCACCTGGGAAGGGAGCGAATCTGGCGAATCTGGCCTGTCGTCGTCCTCAAACAGTTCCTGGAGACTATATTGAGAAAACTCATCATCTGACAGGGTCGAGCGAGGTGATACCGGTCTAGCCTCAGCGTACCGCAGGTAATAGTCACAGTGCTGACTCTCCATCTGGCCAAATGCCATGCCGGGAAACACAGAGCGCTGCTCAACTGAAGTCACAGACTCTGGGGAGGATGCTCTAAAGTCTGCCAACCAGTCCTGCAGGAGCGAAAAGTCGAATTCGGAAGACACGGAATCCGGGGACAACGCCCTGCTACTAAATAGCTCGTCAAGTCCATAGTCGGAGAAAACTGACTGCGGGGACTCTGGTCTGCTCTCCTCAAACAGGGCATCCAGACACAAATCCCTACCTTCCCAGTCGGAAAAGGTTGATTCTGGGGTAAACGACCTGTCTCTGGACAAGTCCAGGGCGTAGCCCACATGGGGAACTGTGAACTGAGGAACAGGTGAGTCCGGAGAGAGGGCCCTAAGTGCACTCTGAGACGCCCCCGACTCGGGAGACTCTGGTCTGAGCTCAGTCATGTAATCGTCTATGGAGTAGTGAGCGCACTCATTCTCACAGGAGGCCGGCAGGGGCCAAACAGGTCTCAACTCAAAGGAGGTGAGGCCCGGCAAAGCGTCTGCAGGCTTTTGGTAAGCAACGCCCCGCACGATGTCTGCATACGTCAGGGGTCTTGTGCCCTGAGGCCTTGGGGCTGCAGTCACAGTAACGCCTGTTTGTTTATCTACCACCTGGGAAGGGAGCGAATCTGGCGAATCTGGCCTGTCGTCGTCCTCAAACAGTTCCTGGAGACTATATTGAGAAAACTCATCATCTGACAGGGTCGAGCGAGGTGATACCGGTCTAGCCTCAGCGTACCGCAGGTAATAGTCACAGTGCTGACTCTCCATCTGGCCAAATGCCATGCCGGGAAACACAGAGCGCTGCTCAACTGAAGTCACAGACTCTGGGGAGGATGCTCTAAAGTCTGCCAACCAGTCCTGCAGGAGCGAAAAGTCGAATTCGGAAGACACGGAATCCGGGGACAACGCCCTGCTACTAAATAGCTCGTCAAGTCCATAGTCGGAAAAAAGTGACTGCGGGGACTCTGGTCTGCTCTCCTCAAACAGGGCATCCAGACACAAATCCCTACCTTCCCAGTCGGAAAAGGTTGATTCTGGGGTAAACGACCTGTCTCTGGACAAGTCCAGGGCGTAGCCCACATGGGGAACTGTGAACTGAGGAACAGGTGAGTCCGGAGAGAGGGCCCTAAGTGCACTCTGAGACGCCCCCGACTCGGGAGACTCTGGTCTGAGCTCAGTCATGTAATCGTCTATGGAGTAGTGAGCGCACTCATTCTCACAGGAGGCCGGCAGGGGCCAAACAGGTCTCAACTCAAAGGAGGTGAGGCCCGGCAAAGCGTCTGCAGGCTTTTGGTAAGCAACGCCCCGCACGATGTCTGCATACGTCAGGGGTCTTGTGCCCTGAGGCCTTGGGGCTGCAGTCACAGTAACGCCTGTTTGTTTATCTACCACCTGGGAAGGGAGCGAATCTGGCGAATCTGGCCTGTCGTCGTCCTCAAACAGTTCCTGGAGACTACATTGAGAAAACTCATCATCTGACAGGGTCGAGCGAGGTGATACCGGTCTACCCTCAGCGTACCGCAGGTAATAGTCACAGTGCTGACTCTCCATCTGGCCAAATGCCATGCCGGGAAACACAGAGCGCTGCTCAACTGAAGTCACAGACTCTGGGGAGGATGCTCTAAAGTCTGCCAACCAGTCCTGCAGGAGCGAAAAGTCGAATTCGGAAGACACGGAATCCGGGGACAACGCCCTGCTACTAAATAGCTCGTCAAGTCCATAGTCGGAGAAAACTGACTGCGGGGACTCTGGTCTGCTCTCCTCAAACAGGGCATCCAGACACAAATCCCTACCTTCCCAGTCGGAAAAGGTTGATTCTGGGGTAAACGACCTGTCTCTGGACAAGTCCAGGGCGTAGCCCACATGGGGAACTGTGAACTGAGGAACAGGTGAGTCCGGAGAGAGGGCCCTAAGTGCACTCTGAGACGCCCCCGACTCGGGAGACTCTGGTCTGAGCTCAGTCATGTAATCGTCTATGGAGTAGTGAGCGCACTCATTCTCACAGGAGGCCGGCAGGGGCCAAACAGGTCTCAACTCAAAGGAGGTGAGGCCCGGCAAAGCGTCTGCAGGCTTTTGGTAAGCAACGCCCCGCACGATGTCTGCATACGTCAGGGGTCTTGTGCCCTGAGGCCTTGGGGCTGCAGTCACAGTAACGCCTGTTTGTTTATCTACCACCTGGGAAGGGAGCGAATCTGGCGAATCTGGCCTGTCGTCGTCCTCAAACAGTTCCTGGAGACTACATTGAGAAAACTCATCATCTGACAGGGTCGAGCGAGGTGATACCGGTCTACCCTCAGCGTACCGCAGGTAATAGTCACAGTGCTGACTCTCCATCTGGCCAAATGCCATGCCGGGAAACACAGAGCGCTGCTCAACTGAAGTCACAGACTCTGGGGAGGATGCTCTAAAGTCTGCCAACCAGTCCTGCAGGAGCGAAAAGTCGAATTCGGAAGACACGGAATCCGGGGACAACGCCCTGCTACTAAATAGCTCGTCAAGTCCATAGTCGGAGAAAACTGACTGCGGGGACTCTGGTCTGCTCTCCTCAAACAGGGCATCCAGACACAAATCCCTACCTTCCCAGTCGGAAAAGGTTGATTCTGGGGTAAACGACCTGTCTCTGGACAAGTCCAGGGCGTAGCCCACATGGGGAACTGTGAACTGAGGAACAGGTGAGTCCGGAGAGAGGGCCCTAAGTGCACTCTGAGACGCCCCCGACTCGGGAGACTCTGGTCTGAGCTCAGTCATGTAATCGTCTATGGAGTAGTGAGCGCACTCATTCTCACAGGAGGCCGGCAGGGGCCAAACAGGTCTCAACTCAAAGGAGGTGAGGCCCGGCAAAGCGTCTGCAGGCTTTTGGTAAGCAACGCCCCGCACGATGTCTGCATACGTCAGGGGTCTTGTGCCCTGAGGCCTTGGGGCTGCAGTCACAGTAACGCCTGTTTGTTTATCTACCACCTGGGAAGGGAGCGAATCTGGCGAATCTGGCCTGTCGTCGTCCTCAAACAGTTCCTGGAGACTACATTGAGAAAACTCATCATCTGACAGGGTCGAGCGAGGTGATACCGGTCTACCCTCAGCGTACCGCAGGTAATAGTCACAGTGCTGACTCTCCATCTGGCCAAATGCCATGCCGGGAAACACAGAGCGCTGCTCAACTGAAGTCACAGACTCTGGGGAGGATGCTCTAAAGTCTGCCAACCAGTCCTGCAGGAGCGAAAAGTCGAATTCGGAAGACACGGAATCCGGGGACAACGCCCTGCTACTAAATAGCTCGTCAAGTCCATAGTCGGAGAAAACTGACTGCGGGGACTCTGGTCTGCTCTCCTCAAACAGGGCACCCAGACACAAATCCCTACCTTCCCAGTCGGAAAAGGTTGATTCTGGGGTAAACGACCTGTCTCTGGACAAGTCCAGGGCGTAGCCCACATGGGGAACTGTGAACTGAGGAACAGGTGAGTCCGGAGAGAGGGCCCTAAGTGCACTCTGAGACGCCCCCGACTCGGGAGACTCTGGTCTGAGCTCAGTCATGTAATCGTCTATGGAGTAGTGAGCGCACTCATTCTCACAGGAGGCCGGCAGGGGCCAAACAGGTCTCAACTCAAAGGAGGTGAGGCCCGGCAAAGCGTCCGCAGGCTTTTGGTAAGCAACGCCCCGCACGATGTCTGCATACGTCAGGGGTCTTGTGCCCTGAGGCCTTGGGGCTGCAGTCACAGTAACGCCTGTTTGTTTATCTACCACCTGGGAAGGGAGCGAATCTGGCGAATCTGGCCTGTCGTCGTCCTCAAACAGTTCCTGGAGACTACATTGAGAAAACTCATCATCTGACAGGGTCGAGCGAGGTGATACCGGTCTACCCTCAGCGTACCGCAGGTAATAGTCACAGTGCTGACTCTCCATCTGGCCAAATGCCATGCCGGGAAACACAGAGCGCTGCTCAACTGAAGTCACAGACTCTGGGGAGGATGCTCTAAAGTCTGCCAACCAGTCCTGCAGGAGCGAAAAGTCGAATTCGGAAGACACGGAATCCGGGGACAACGCCCTGCTACTAAATAGCTCGTCAAGTCCATAGTCGGAGAAAACTGACTGCGGGGACTCTGGTCTGCTCTCCTCAAACAGGGCACCCAGACACAAATCCCTACCTTCCCAGTCGGAAAAGGTTGATTCTGGGGTAAACGACCTGTCTCTGGACAAGTCCAGGGCGTAGCCCACATGGGGAACTGTGAACTGAGGAACAGGTGAGTCCGGAGAGAGGGCCCTAAGTGCACTCTGAGACGCCCCCGACTCGGGAGACTCTGGTCTGAGCTCAGTCATGTAATCGTCTATGGAGTAGTGAGCGCACTCATTCTCACAGGAGGCCGGCAGGGGCCAAACAGGTCTCAACTCAAAGGAGGTGAGGCCCGGCAAAGCGTCCGCAGGCTTTTGGTAAGCAACGCCCCGCACGATGTCTGCATACGTCAGGGGTCTTGTGCCCTGAGGCCTTGGGGCTGCAGTCACAGTAACGCCTGTTTGTTTATCTACCACCTGGGAAGGGAGCGAATCTGGCGAATCTGGCCTGTCGTCGTCCTCAAACAGTTCCTGGAGACTACATTGAGAAAACTCATCATCTGACAGGGTCGAGCGAGGTGATACCGGTCTACCCTCAGCGTACCGCAGGTAATAGTCACAGTGCTGACTCTCCATCTGGCCAAATGCCATGCCGGGAAACACAGAGCGCTGCTCAACTGAAGTCACAGACTCTGGGGAGGATGCTCTAAAGTCTGCCAACCAGTCCTGCAGGAGCGAAAAGTCGAATTCGGAAGACACGGAATCCGGGGACAACGCCCTGCTACTAAATAGCTCGTCAAGTCCATAGTCGGAGAAAACTGACTGCGGGGACTCTGGTCTGCTCTCCTCAAACAGGGCACCCAGACACAAATCCCTACCTTCCCAGTCGGAAAAGGTTGATTCTGGGGTAAACGACCTGTCTCTGGACAAGTCCAGGGTGTAGCCCACATGGGGAACTGTGAACTGAGGAACAGGTGAGTCCGGAGAGAGGGCCCTAAGTGCACTCTGAGACGCCCCCGACTCGGGAGACTCTGGTCTGAGCTCAGTCATGTAATCGTCTATGGAGTAGTGAGCGCACTCATTCTCACAGGAGGCCGGCAGGGGCCAAACAGGTCTCAACTCAAAGGAGGTGAGGCCCGGCAAAGCGTCCGCAGGCTTTTGGTAAGCAACGCCCCGCACGATGTCTGCATACGTCAGGGGTCTTGTGCCCTGAGGCCTTGGGGCTGCAGTCACAGTAACGCCTGTTTGTTTATCTACCACCTGGGAAGGGAGCGAATCTGGCGAATCTGGCCTGTCGTCGTCCTCAAACAGTTCCTGGAGACTACATTGAGAAAACTCATCATCTGACAGGGTCGAGCGAGGTGATACCGGTCTACCCTCAGCGTACCGCAGGTAATAGTCACAGTGCTGACTCTCCATCTGGCCAAATGCCATGCCGGGAAACACAGAGCGCTGCTCAACTGAAGTCACAGACTCTGGGGAGGATGCTCTAAAGTCTGCCAACCAGTCCTGCAGGAGCGAAAAGTCGAATTCGGAAGACACGGAATCCGGGGACAACGCCCTGCTACTAAATAGCTCGTCAAGTCCATAGTCGGAGAAAACTGACTGCGGGGACTCTGGTCTGCTCTCCTCAAACAGGGCATCCAGACACAAATCCCTACCTTCCCAGTCGGAAAAGGTTGATTCTGGGGTAAACGACCTGTCTCTGGACAAGTCCAGGGCGTAGCCCACATGGGGAACTGTGAACTGAGGAACAGGTGAGTCCGGAGAGAGGGCCCTAAGTGCACTCTGAGACGCCCCCGACTCGGGAGACTCTGGTCTGAGCTCAGTCATGTAATCGTCTATGGAGTAGTGAGCGCACTCATTCTCACAGGAGGCCGGCAGGGGCCAAACAGGTCTCAACTCAAAGGAGGTGAGGCCCGGCAAAGCGTCCGCAGGCTTTTGGTAAGCAACGCCCCGCACGATGTCTGCATACGTCAGGGGTCTTGTGCCCTGAGGCCTTGGGGCTGCAGTCACAGTAACGCCTGTTTGTTTATCTACCACCTGGGAAGGGAGCGAATCTGGCGAATCTGGCCTGTCGTCGTCCTCAAACAGTTCCTGGAGACTACATTGAGAAAACTCATCATCTGACAGGGTCGAGCGAGGTGATACCGGTCTACCCTCAGCGTACCGCAGGTAATAGTCACAGTGCTGACTCTCCATCTGGCCAAATGCCATGCCGGGAAACACAGAGCGCTGCTCAACTGAAGTCACAGACTCTGGGGAGGATGCTCTAAAGTCTGCCAACCAGTCCTGCAGGAGCGAAAATTCGAATTCGGAAGACACGGAATCCGGGGACAACGCCCTGCTACTAAATAGCTCGTCAAGTCCATAGTCGGAGAAAACTGACTGCGGGGACTCTGGTCTGCTCTCCTCAAACAGGGCACCCAGACACAAATCCCTACCTTCCCAGTCGGAAAAGGTTGATTCTGGGGTAAACGACCTGTCTCTGGACAAGTCCAGGGCGTAGCCCACATGGGGAACTGTGAACTGAGGAACAGGTGAGTCCGGAGAGAGGGCCCTAAGTGCACTCTGAGACGCCCCCGACTCGGGAGACTCTGGTCTGAGCTCAGTCATGTAATCGTCTATGGAGTAGTGAGCGCACTCATTCTCACAGGAGGCCGGCAGGGGCCAAACAGGTCTCAACTCAAAGGAGGTGAGGCCCGGCAAAGCGTCCGCAGGCTTTTGGTAAGCAACGCCCCGCACGATGTCTGCATACGTCAGGGGTCTTGTGCCCTGAGGCCTTGGGGCTGCAGTCACAGTAACGCCTGTTTGTTTATCTACCACCTGGGAAGGGAGCGAATCTGGCGAATCTGGCCTGTCGTCGTCCTCAAACAGTTCCTGGAGACTATATTGAGAAAACTCATCATCTGACAGGGTCGAGCGAGGTGATACCGGTCTACCCTCAGCGTACCGCAGGTAATAGTCACAGTGCTGACTCTCCATCTGGCCAAATGCCATGCTGGGAAACACAGAGCGCTGCTCAACTGAAGTCACAGACTCTGGGGAGGATGCTCTAAAGTCTGCCAACCAGTCCTGCAGGAGCGAAAAGTCGAATTCGGAAGACACAGAATCCGGGGACAACGCTCTGTATTCAAAGGAGATTTTTCTTTTTACTATTTTACTTTCTTCAAAACTTTTCAATTTTGACACTGTTTCTTTATCATGCTCTGAAACACTTTTTCTGTTGGACGTCAAAAGTTGTTCACCTGGAAAATTCAAAATATATCTTGGCTTTTTAACTAAGTCAAAAACCATTGGTGCTTTATCTTCCACTTTTGACAGGTGACAAGTTCTATCATACAGTTTCTTATTTTTATTTTCCAAGGTCAGGGTTTCCTCTTTGTTTTCAATGTCACAAGTGAAACTTCTAGAGGCTTTCACCTCATTGATTGACACCATTTTTTGTCCTCCTTCAGTTAAAGTTTTGCATGATTTTTCTGCTGGTGGTGTGTAAATTTGTGATTCATTCTTATCAAACCAGTAATCAAGGAATGACTTACATTCCAATGTGTCCGGGATTTGTACTACAGTTGACAGAGGCTGTGCTCCAAATTGCATTTCTGATTCATTTGAACTGCCTGATTTTGCTCTTTGGTTATTTTGCAATCCAGTATGGCTATCATAACAAGCAGCAGTTGTAAATGCAGGAAGCATTTCTTTGGGATCCATATGCCCTTTCAAAGACTGTGGTGAATCAGTGCAGTATTTGTTCTTCCATTCCTCAACAGGTGATGAAGGAGACCTCTCTGAATACTGCAAATAGTTATACATTGTATGCGTGTCCCTTGATGACAAATACTTTTGTGTGTCACTTGTGTGTGTTTTTACCGATTGATGGAGGAGATGATGTTCATGATTACTGGAAGCTTTCATAAGGCTACCTTGACCATCTTTCTCATGAAGAACTGAGTTGCAAAGATCTGGTGTCCAAATTAGTGATGATTTATTTCCTCCTGAATATTGCAGATAATAATCACAATATTGATTGCTTAGTTGCTTCCGAAAAGGTTCAGAGAGCAAAAGTTCTAGAAACGAAAAACTGCTGTGAGAGGTTTGAGATTCTGGTGAGGATGGTCGAGAATCCCTGTCTGGAAAGCCATGTGCATCAGATGGTGTAACTGAGTCAGTCAAATTTACTTCTCTTTCTCTGTTATCTGATGCCATGCTAAAGAATGAGTTTAACTCTCCATTAAACAATGAACATCTTGGTACAGATGTCCCATATTGGGCTTTTTGCTGGTCTGAATATACCTGCCTTTTATTGTCCCAAGACTTAGGGGATTTTGTAGACGAGGTACTTGAAATCGTAGCTATGGCCAAACCTTCATGCTTTTTAAAATCTGGTTCACATTCATGTGTATGTGCTTGACAGGTGCAAAATTCATTTTTTGAAATATTGATATCAACTTCAGGTATACTACATTCATCTAGAGAGTGTGTCCAGCAGTCATCTTGTATACAGGGAAAGTCAGGAAATCCCCTCTCTCCCTCCAGTGGAGAGTCAGGTGACAATGCCCTGTAGTCACTGATTGACATGACAGAATCAGGGGATGACATTCTTGTTATGGAGTCATTTAATGTAAATGTCTCTTCAAAAAAGAGCCCACTTTTACTTTCAGATGAAAACAAGACACACTGCTCCTCAGATGTCATTGAATCTGGGGTGAAGGAATTGTACTCTCTTAAAGTGCAAGGTGACTGTGGTGCAAAATGATTGGTAGGTAGAAGAGGGTGAAGGGAGGTTAGTTTTGGCTTAGAGTTGAATGGTTTTTTTGCCTTGTCAACGACTTGGTCAATTTCATGACTAATAGGAGAGGTGATAGAGTAACTTTCAGTTAAGTCACAAGCCATATGAGCAGGGAAAATGCCTGTCGGAATCTGTGGACAATTCTTGTACTCTGCTGGAGTAACATTAGGTTCCAGTGACTTGATATCATCAATATCATCACAAAAGGGTATGCTTTCCAGATACCCGCCACTGCATGCTGGTGGTTTTGTGTTTTCCTCCTTGCTTGACTTGATAGCTTTGAAACTTATGTCCAAACTTGACCCCTGGGAGGCTGTTTTAGGGCTGTGAGGTGAATTCAAGGACTGGGCTTCACTTCTACACTTCTGAGAGGGGCTGCTTTTTTGAGCAATAGTAGTGTCCTCTTCTATCACAGCCAGCATTGCTTGCTGTTCCTCATCTGGCAGGGCTAACAGGTTGGGGTCAGAGATTCCTCTGGTTCTAGTTTCATTTGTATTGCACAGCTGTGGTATCACCTCAAACTCATCCCAGAGCTCATTGAAGTCAGTCTCAGCTTGGTCCGACTCTGACAGACTCAGACCAAAGTCTATGATATTTATACATGAGGGTAATTTGAGGCTTTCAAATGATTGTTTCTGCTCATCTCCACAACCACACTGCTCCAGCAGTAAGATTTGGCTGCAGTCATCTTTGACTCGACTGTGAATGCCACCTTCTGAAGGCCTGACAAAATGAAGGCTGCAACAATCTTGATGGCTTCTTTCTTTGGGTTCATAAACCTGTGTGGCACGGCTCTCCAATGCTTCATCTGCCACAGGAGTAAATGTACTTACTTGCTCATCTGAGTTGTCATACATTGTAGGTTCTTGCTCAATAACATCCTCAGAGGTCCACAGGTTAGGGTTTAATTCACTGTAACACAGAATAGGTTGGACAGATATTGTGACTTCGTATGAGTACAATGTGTCAAATCTTTCTGAATAAAAGCATTAGGATATGACACTGTCCTATTTCATACTATCAAGATGCTAGGATAGATGACTTTAAGTAAGCAGCCATTTTAAGACTAACAAAACATTAAGGTTCATTATGGTGTTTGTAGTGCTTATTTTGAGTGTCAGGTTTGGGTGTCAGGTTTATGAATTAATAATTTCAAATAATTAATTTACTGTGGGATTTCGAGCTCCTCCAGAAGGTCACCGTGGATGCTTTCTGAATGGGTTTGTCCAACAGGTTCTGCCCAGGATGGAATGTCCAGTAGGGAGGCAACTGAAAGGTCCTCTTCAGAAACAGCAGGAGGTGGTCTACGGTCCGACTCCACCTTTCTCACAATTCTGGGGCTGTCTGCATCATCTTGCACTGAAGAAAGGGCTACTGATACTGAAAAAAAAAATACCAACATGACATTAATGTGTGCAAGAGTGATTGTGTTTGCTATTAGATGGTGTGGGCTACACCGTTTTGCAAAGAAGTTTTCCTACCTTCACTATGATCCAGTGTCTTCTCTATTTCAGCATATGTTCTAGATGTTTGCTCTTGAACTGACTTGTTCATCTGGGTTTCGATTAAATGGACAATATCCATGCGGTTGATCTTGGTGAGTCTTTTAACAAGACAGTCCTCTGCAGAAAAAAATGGTAGACTGTTACAGACCTTACACTGACAGAAAAATAATTTATTTATAGATGTCGGTTATTTGTAGGATCAAATAACTGTATTAAATAATGGTTTATCATCCACCAAAATCTGTCAGCTAAATGGTATATACCTGTAGCATGTTTGCCTTCCCGTTCAACCCAGCGTTGGAGTAAAGCATGGCTCTGCTCTTGGAGGGAATTAGGATTCTCCGTTCTTACCAGTTGGATTTCATTCTCATTGAATTCCAGCTCTTTTGCCAGTTCTAGGGTGATGGATAAATAATCAAGGCATGAAAATGTAAAAAGATCTTAAACTGAAATTTGTGTATATTTTGCACCCAGAGCATGGATACTTAACTACACACAGTTTCATCTCTTGCAAATGTGTTTGGCGTAAAACTATTTCAATTATAGTTAAAACAGAACAACATATTTGTACTTCATTAAAAAAGACACTTGCATAATATTACAGCTTACCTGTCCAGCTAAATCCAAGCAGATCTGCAACGATAGCTAATGTTTCCTCTTTTCTGTCAGCATCATCCTGCCAATCCACTAAAAAATGCCACCAGAGCCAAAGATTAAACCCTAATATCATGGTTTAAAGTTCAAGGTATCAAGTTTTATTCTGTTTCTTAGAGAATAACCTTTTTGTGCTAAAGGAAACAGTAATGTCTGTGGTAGAGATTAATGTAGATGCAAATATTTCCTGTGGTCTCTATGTTATGGGCTGTTATACTCTAAATAATTACAAATGTGATGTTGAGATGGATTAAAAAATGACAGTTTATCAATAACAAGGACAGTTTGGTAACACTTAGCACTTTGTGTTTTCAAGCCATCAGTTTTTGATTAAGCAATGTGCATGCAAAGATTAGTAAAACTATATTAGTAGTACAAGCATCATAATCAATAAAAAACAAATTTAAAATAATAACAATTAAGCTCCTACTTTTGTACCTGCCATGGCCATTCAATCTTGAGATAGCAATTACACAAACACAGATGAAAAAGAAACTTGACAACATGCAAAACACCACAACAAACCCACATACACAAACATACACACACACGCACACATGTACACAAAAAATAACTAATGGCAACATTATTCTCTTGGAGGGGGAGGAAGGGTCTTGCGGCCAGGAGGGAGAGGATGGGAAAATAAAAGCCCATGTAATTCTGGCCATACCTGACGAACACTGTGGAGTTTGATCATCGATGATTTTCTGCATCTGGGTTTCCACTGTGTCATCCCAGGTATGCCTATATTCAAAAACATCCTCTGTCCCAGATGACAGCTGGGCACGAGGTACTGGCTTGCCATCAGAATCTGAACCGCATGAGGCTGGGATATCATATGTAAAGATAACAGAATCTGGACTCTTGTGACTACTGCTGCTCATTTCATCAATGTCCGATGAAGGCCTAACAGTTGTTTCTGTGGTCTCAGAAAGTTGGATTTCTTGACTTTGAGGTGAGGAGCAGGAGGTCTCCTGTGCTGAAGGTGAGAGTTGTGTCATGACAGCAAGTTTGGTAGTCGAAATAGAGTAGCTATGAGTGGACTGGCCATTTTCAGAGTGACTCCTGTTGACTTTATGTGAGACTTTACTTGTGTTACTGTAGGCCTCAGATCTAGTCCGGCGGTTTAAAGTTGAGCTTTTTTTTGCTGTTCTTTGAACCTGGTCAAATTCTGAAATCTGTGAATTCAAGATAATCCCCTCCTTACTTGTGACATCTGGTTTGCTTGTCAAAGATGGGTTTAAATCCTGATGGTGTTCTTGAATCCCAGTATTTCTAGGTGAAGAGGACATCTCTATGACTGAACATTGGTCTTCATCTTCTTCATCCTCATCGTCATCAGGAGAGGAGTCTGAAGAATCATGGCTTGGCTCTGAATACCCTGAATATGCAACTGTGGATTTGTCAGATTGAAGGTCAGCAATAGTTGAGTCTAAATAGTCTAAACCAAGGCTTTCAAGACCTCCAACCTCACTTTTAATTGTAGTTGAGCCTTCAAAAGGACTGGGGGAACCAAGCTGAACCTCAGTGGGGCTTCCAAGATCAGCTTTTGAAAGTGGCTTTACGCTATCTGACTTTTCATCTGAAGGTTTGACAAGAGTTCGGGGTTTTGGAGTGGGAGTCTCAGATGATTGAGGGATCTCTTCATAAGTTGTATCTGTCATCAGATTACTGTTCTCATTAGTTGAAGACACTGCTTCATCAACTGAGTGTTCCCCTATGTGAAAAAAAGCATAATCTACTCCTTCATCAAAGCTTCTCATTGTCATATCAATAGCGCCTCCTCTGGTCATTTCAAACAGTTTCCCCTCCTGAAACTGAAATGGATCTGAAGTTCCCTCACTACCTGGGGTTCTGCTCAGTGGTTTAACAGGATTTATTTTGTCTTCTGCTAGACAATTCAGCTGTTGCTCATCCCCAATACAAGCATCTTCATACCCTGATACTATATAGTCTGTTTTTTCTGTTAATACTGAAGTCTGATGTTTGCTTTCAAAACCTACAACATCTGTCAGTGCTGGCTCAACTTCATCCAATGAATTCTCACCTGACTGACTAGTTTCTATTTGAAACTCAACTTCTTCCTTTTCCTCACTGCTCAAAGTAATACCAGATGTCTCATTGAGGGTAGAAGAACTTCCTGTTACACATTTTTGAGATGTGTCCTGTGGTGTGTCTTTTGGTAAATTCAGTGCATCTGGATCAGATTTTAAAACTAGCTCAGCATCTTTGTAATCACCTGCTTCTGACAGCTCAGCAGCATCTAAAAATATGTCTCTCCTTTGTCTAGCCTCCTGTTCCATCTCCTCAAACGTTTTGATCTTTGAAGCCATTTTAAACATCTCCTCTTCCGGGGTAAATTGTTTATCATTGTTATCAACCTCAGCATCATCTGTGTCTAGAGAGTCTTTTCGTATGAATATTTGAAGATTTTCACTACCACGTTTTTCAGGATCTAACTCTGCTGAGGGGGAATATTTTTCCTCTTTGGTAGCACTTTCCACTTTTATGGCCTCATTAATGTTCTCTTGCTCATCATCCTCACTGTCATCTCCATAAATATCTTTGTCGTACACAAAACAGGCTTCCAGCTGGGAGGCGTAATCCTCATACACAGCTGGCTTGGATGGCATATTAAGCACTGTTTCCTTTGTCTGAGTGGGACTTCCCTCAAGAGAGTCTGGGCAAGGGGAATCTCTGGTAGGGCTTGGCTCAATTGAGTCAGGGGATGGCCTAGATGATCTATCCTCCACGACAGGGCTTGACTCTAGTGAGTCTTGTTGACATGGCTCTTCAGCTGGGTCAGCCAAAACCAGGTTATTGAAATCAAGTGGACGCTGTGGAATCATTGATGGATCAATTGAGTAACTTTTTTGAGCGCCATCTTCATGGAAACAATTCTGCTCTTCACTTTCCAAATTTCTCCTTTTTGTTGTATTTACAGTTTCCAAGTGTGTTGCCTGTGGTGAAAACATCTGGTGTTCTGAGGAGATGGTGAGAGCCTCTTTTGTAGTGTTTTCTGAAACAATTACTTCATGATTGTCCTCATGAACTACCATATCCTCTGGGTAAACTGGTGTCACATCTGGCTTTTCTTTGAGGTACTGATCTAGGTCACTACTGAGTAGTGTCAACATGCCTGTCATATTCCTCTCAGTTGTAGGCTGACATTTCTGAGTCTTTCTTTCAATGCAAACTTCTATGAAAGGTGTCTCTTGGTCAGGACTTGTTGGCAAGTCTGTGACTTCAACTGTGTTTGTCTGCATGTCTTGGTTTGCCACCAAACTTATCTTATCCTTTTCCTTGATGTGTTGATCTAAGTCACAGCTCAAGAGTGACAACATTCCTGACATATCCTTCTCAGCAGGGGATGGTTGGAAGTGTTTCTTCTTTATCAAAACTTCTTGGAAAGGCATTTCCAATACAGAACTTGTGGAGAGTTCTCCAGGTCCGACCACATCAAGCTGACTGTGTGTCTCTTCACCTCTCTCATCCTCTATCTGAGGTCTTACTTCTGTGATTGTTTTCTCCCATTCAGTAATTGTTTGCCCCTCACTTGAGGCTTTTCTGATCTTGGAAAGGGTCACTTCTTTAAACTTTTCCTGGATAACATCCTCTTCTGAAGGCTTGCTTCTTGTGGGCATGTCCTTAAGGTATTCTTCCAAGTCACTGTTAAGCAATGATTCCATGCCTGACATGTCTTTTACTTTTGTAGATGACTGACAAGAAGCCTTTTTCTTTACCCACTCTTCTTTCATTGGAGGTTCACTCGCTGCCTCTTCAGTGCTTAAATGTTCTTTCACCATTTTGTGATCATTTTCTTTTGGTGTGCCATCCACATGCGCGTCTTTACTGACAGAAGTGTGAATGTCTTCGTCTGGATTCTTGGTTATGATAATTTGTGTAAAACTCTCCTGGACAATTGCTCCTTCTGGAATCGGACTTTTCAGAGGCCTGGTTTGTAGATAACCATCCAAGTCACTGCTCAGTAAAGACAACATTCCTGACATATCTTTTACATTGGAGGGCTGGCTGGCTGTTCTCTCCTTAGTGTAAACTTCTTGTAACTGTGGCTCTTTTACTTTGTCCTGTGTTAATTCAGTGGAAATTTTTGTAGAGAGCATTTTGCTTCCGGTATTGATCATTGTATTTTCCATGCTTTCCTCATGGCATGTCTCCTTTTGTAGTTGTGTCATCTGTTCATTCATTGGAAGTCCTTCAAAGTACTCACACTCCTCTGAGCTAGAATGATAGGTCCCAAAGCCAAGACTTATGTTTGATTCAGCCATGCCTTCATGTCTGGGACTTTCAGGACTTAGATCATCGTATTTAGCTTGATTCTCAAACTGGGAAACGTGTTCTTCAAAGGAATTTCTCTTGCAGAAACTAGAGATGGATATTGGATTTATATCAGCATCATCACCCATGTTTTCCCCCTCCAGTCCCTTTAGCTCAAAGCTAACATCAGTAGCTTCTGAAGTCTGCTTAAAGAGTTGGTACTCAGGACTTTCTTCCAGTTCAGCTTTTATGTCAGCACTGAAATCCTCAGAGGGTCTCCTGTCAGGACTGATCTGTATATCCTCTGACATCCTCTTACCTGTGCTTACAACTGGGTGTTCCAAATGCATCACACGTAGGCACTCCCCTGTCAAATCTGGCTTTTCTGTTTGAGGGCTGACCATTCCATCATCATCAACATGATCTATTCCTACTCTTATTTCTGTCTCACATGAATCGGAAGGCTCTGAGAAAAGCTGTGGTTTACTTATGTCATCTGTGTTTAAGCTTACTGTCTGAAAACACAAGTCCGATGATCCAAACATGTTGACACCAATTTGTGGATGAAGATTTGACAGATTCTGTATTTCAGTTTCTGGTTGCAGGGGACTGTACTCATCTACCTGTTTTTCTTCAGGGTCCTGGGATCCAGATATCAGTGTTGTTCTGCAAGAGGAATCAATGGCTTTGTGTTCAAACAGTCCAGCTTCACTTTCCTTTCCAGTCTGGAAAGCTTTCATCAGCTCCTTCACTGACATGGTCTCCTTTTCAGACAAGGTAGGCTTATTTTTCCATGCACCTTCATCATCACATTGAATTGTCTCCATTGGTTTTACAGTTCTCTCAATATTTACACTATCTGAAATGTTGAGTGATCCCTCAGTGTCATCTCCGATTATGTTTACTGGTCTATCCTTTGGCACTGTAGTGTGATAGATGTTTACATCATCCTGTCGATGGGAAATTGTGAAATTCTGCGTTTGAGTTTGTGAATTTGGCTCCTGTGAAAGACTCGATTCTATCCTCTGTAACTCACCAAGATCTGAAGGTTCAGAGGCGACTGCTGCAATGCTAAAAGCGGCAAATTTGTCAAATAGCCCACCTTTATTTGAGCGCTGTTCATCCTGGAATGCTTTCATTAATTCTTTGACAGACGTTCCCTCTTTTTGTGACAACTCTGGGTTCTCCATAGATGGTTCAATGCTTCCAACCTTACATTGAATTGTGTCAGAAATCTTTTGTGTTTCTTTGACAAAGACACCCTCAGAAACTGATTGTGATTCTTCACAATTATCCCAAGTGTCATTTTCTGACTGTGTTTCTTGCATATTCAGATTATTTTGTTTTGTCCTTTTCACCTCCTGGGAATCACCCGATTCAGACACACAAGAATCCAACCCTTTGTGCTCAAAAAGCCCCACTTTACTTATTGAGGGATCCTGTCCAGCCTGGAATGTTTTCATCAGTTCCTTCACAGACATTGTCTCCTTGTCCGATAGCTCTGGTGTATCGTCATGTGGGGAAACACTGCCTTCATGACACTGAATTGTGTCTGCAAATGTCACTTTCTTTCCAGAATTAGCAATATCTGAAATTAATAGTAATTCCTCAGAGTTATCTTTGATCAAGCTTACTGGTCTTTCCTCCAAGGGTGTTTTGTCAAAATTCATGATGTCACTGATTTGGTTAGGGTCAGTTTGGGTTTGTGATTTCATCTCCTGCCTTGAACTCTGTTCAGTCATTTGCAGCTCTCCTTGCTCTCTTGAGCTGTGAATAAGTGTTGATGTGCAAGAGGTTTCAGTTTTGCTTTTCAAAGGCTCTCCACTGGTCTGGAATGCTTTCAACAGCTCCTTAACAGATGTCACCTCTTCGTCTGGCGATTTCTGCTCTGTTTTTTGTGCACTCCCATCATCATATATGACTGTATCAGCAAATTTGACTGTCTTTTCAACATCATCACTATCTAAAGCAATGAATGATTCCTCAGAGTTGCCTTTGATTGTCTCTGATGGCTGGTCCTCAAAATCTGTTTTGACAGAGATGTTGATATTACTTTGCTGATGTAAAGTTATGAGGCCATGAGTTTGGTTAGTAGGTGATTTTGACATGGATGTAGCCATTTCTTCTGTCTCTTTTATCTCACCAGAATCTTCTGATTCAGAAACCAGTGTTGAAACACAAGAGGGAGTAACTGCTTTGTGCTCAAAAAGCCCAGCTTTGTTTTTTGATGGGTCCTCTCCGGTCTGAAATGCTTTCATCAAATCCCTAACAGACATTGTCTCCTCTAATCTTTCTGTCTGAGATCTTGGGGATTTGGGCGATTTGGGAACTCTGGGAAGTTCAGGCATTTCTCTCTCAGTCGTTCTCATGGTAATGGCTGACTTTGCCAAAGGAATTTGTTCCTGATAACTTTTCTTTGTCTTCTCCTCTTCAACTTTATCCTGTAAAGCTTTAACCTTGTCCTTTATAGATCCTATGGGCGTCTCAACTACTAGGGGAGAGACAGGAGGATCCAAAGTTGCTTTGGGGACAAGAGCACTCTCCAGAAGAATAACATCGCCGTCTAAAGACTCCTCAGAGCTCACTCTTTCTAGCTCGCCCTCTGAGCTGCTACATCCAGAGCGCTCTCTGTCTCTAAGTTTTTTTCGGATTGGTTTTTTGATATCCGGGGGCCGTCGTTTTCCATCACGCTTTACAACAACCTGATCAAATGTATCTTGCACAAGATCCTCCTCAGAAGCATGCCTTACTACAGGTATTTCTTCCAAATAGTGATCCATATCCATGCTAAGATGTGACACCATGCCCGTCATATCTTTAACATCTGTTGCAGATCTTTTCGTACTCTTTCCCTCAATGCAAATTGCCATGACGACAGGTTCATCAACAGGTGTATACTCCATTTCGATGGATTTAGTCTCAGAGAATGAACCCCATTTCTCCATTTTGGTGTCACTTTGTACTTTGTGTCTGGTTTCACCGATGTCATCCCTTTGAGTCTTTTCCTGTCTGTTGAATTGATCCAAAATGGCAAAGGTCTCTCTCTCCTCTAACCCCATTGCCCCAGCTCTCTCTTTATGCATTAAGTGCTCCATTTGCTCATAAGTCAAAGTAGCAGAGACTCTAACATCTGACATGTCAGAGAGCAGGTCAGGGCTTGCAAGAGTTGCAGGGTCAAGAGGTTGGTTAGTTCTCAGGGAGAATGTCTCAGTTGACTCAGATTCATCATCTTCAATGAAAAATGTTCAATAACCAAAAAGGGTAAAAAAGAGATAAGGGACAAATTAAGTGGGAAAGAGAGACATCGGAAAACTGTGGTCAAAATTGTGACAATGTCATCAGAAATCCATCTTCAGTTTACAGAATAATGAGAAGAACGATAAAGCAGAGGACAAGTGTCTTGAAAGGAAGGCCAAAAAGAAGATGAAAAAGAAGTCCAAAAAAGTTTGGTGAAAAGTTGAAAAGCAACAGCGTAAGCAAAGCCAGGAGGAAGAAAAAATAAGGTAGAATATGATCCAGCATAATGTTAATTTGAGCAGCCTATTCAAATTTTTTACAGAAAACATACAGAAAGAACCAACAGAGACAGGGAAACCTACATATGAAACAAAGGGACAGGCAGGGACAGATGAACAAAATTTCTCAAGATTGTTGCTGACATAAAAACTCATGTCAGCCCACAAATCAAAAGTTTGGTCTAAAAACTGGGCTTTCTTGAAATAGTTGTATAAAGTAATTTATTTAAAGAATATATGGTTATGTTTCTACATTTTCTAAACAACACTACAGCTTCTTTTTTTTTTTAATTTTGTACTGGTTGCTTTATTATAAACAACTCCACCTTGACCCTGTGTGCTTTTATTGTCTGGGAGTTACACCCAACTGACCAATGGTTAATGCCAATGAAAGTCCAGAGCACCGTGCTGAAGTGCAGTACAGACGGGTGGTGGGATCTCTGCAGATGCAGACATCACCCATCCTACTGGGTTACAGAGGATAAAAAAGAGTAAATTATGTTTCACCCTTAATTTTTTTTTGAAAATGCAACCCATTCTGCCATTCACTTTGTGAAGTGACACCATGCTCTGTGATATATCCTCCTTTTAAATTTGACTACATTGTTTTATACTTGTACTACTGATAGTTATATTGTGCCACTGACTGACAAAGGTGAATAAATTGGATAAAAAAAATAATAGTGAGCAGGGCAGAAATGTGAATAGGGTCTTGATAAACAATGTCACTTAATGTATGAATGAATCAATAAATGACAAACTCATAAGTGGAAAAAGAAAGGTGCACTCAAAATAACAAAGCTTGATAAAAGCTATGAAGTCAGTATAGATAATACTTTTATCTTTGCAAAGACAAGAAAACATGATGTTATTTGCTCATTAGAACACACAGAAAAATAAAAAATTCAGCATGCACATGGTAAAGTTGTTAAATAAATGTGATTGAAAGAAATATTAACTACTTTGATTAAAAACGGTCTAAAATTACTATTATTTTCAAGGTAAATTGGAATTCTTACTCAAATATCTTGAAAATCAAAGCAGTTCTGAGTACATTATGAGTTATATAAAAGCCCCAGTAGCTTTCAAGAAATCATGGAAATGTTAATGTTTAGTGTGATGGAAATGGAGAGTACATCAGCCATAGCATAGCTGCCAGTAATAAATATATAACCAGTCTAAGTGTTAGTAGAGCAAAGTAAGAGCGCAGGGTCAATCAAAACAAACAGAGACACATTAAACAGTCTATAGCTCGGTTCCTACAGATCTTTAAAGTTTTTACCTACATTTTTTTGTAGTTGCAATGATCAGTGATACTTTGTTTTCAATCAAGTGATGCAATTGAGTCTGAGATATACTGTAAATATTCATAACACAATCAATCCTTCATGAAAGCAAGTGTTAATATGTCTATGTGAAAGAATGTGATAGATAGATAGATAGATAGATAGATAGATAGATAGATAGATAGATAGATAGATAGATAGATAGATAGATAGATAGAAAGATAGATAGATAGATATTTTATATTCACTGTTCATTGAAGATGTGTGCAAATTATCTTAAATTCTACAACTTTGAATAATTTAAAAAAACAAATACTGCAAAACAGACTTTTGCTTACATTTCTTGTCGCTCTTCTCACTCTGCAAAAAAACAAAAGAATAAAATTTTAAAAGTTAGTTTGAAATACTAAACTCATTATAGAAGATTTTTCATAAATCATTTGATTTTGTACTTCATCATCTCAGTTTACCTCATCATCTGCATCTTGGTCTGAATCAGACTCCTTTAGGAAACAAAACAAAACACAGAGTCAGCAAACATTGTATTAACTCCAGTTATGAGTAATCCGCTTTCTGCAATTCCAAACTAACATATCAAATTTACCTTGGAGTAAGTTGGAAGAGTGATGTTAAGATTGCAGATGGCATTGTGGGTAAGACTACGGTATGTGCGTGGTTCCTTGGTAAAGGACAAGCGACCACAAGGATCCTGTGCCGTGTCTCTTATCTGTCAAGTTAATAAACAAAAATGTAGTCCATAATCAACATATTTGTGTTGTTTTTAATGGGTAAAAAGTTGACATTTCGGATGGTTTAATCCAATGTGTGGTCGTACTTTGATGAAAAGGGCCAGCCTGTTCTCTTTGAAGGCAAAGAAGCTGAACACATGGTGCTGTCCACTTTTAGTAAGAGGCACCAGGTTTCCAAAGCAGTCAGCAAATATAGGTTTTCCCTCCAGCACCTGTGTTTGAAAAGAGAATTGAGGGTTGTTATTTTCATTATGCAAACTGACCTGAAGTACTGGAAAGAAGCTTTGTCAGAATTTTTCAGGAAGTAAGAACAGGCTCAGAGGCTGTGTCAGCATTTAGCTTTCCTCCCAAAGTGCCCCTTAAGAAACCCGCTTTACCTAGTTTAACAAACTCATTCTAAATTTACACTCTTACTTTCTACGACACTCATTATTTTCTTCATACCTTCATAATTTGGCAATAGACTAATCAGACTTTCCAGTCCTTTTAAGTTGACAATTACCCTCCTCAGAGTTCATTATCACACTTCACCTCAACATCTCTGCTACGAGCAACTTCAGTGAAGTTCTCTTGCTGCTCCAGGGTTTTGTCCATCTTGTCATCTGTCATGCAGAAACAGCGCAGACGGGCCTCAATGGGATCAAGTGTCTTGGCAAATATTACAAACTTTGCCATGTAAGGGACACAGATGATCTCCCGGTACAGCTGAGAAGCAAAACCAACGGACTCTTGGATCTGCCTGCAGTCTATCAACCAGAACCTGGAATACAAATGAAACTATAGTCAGGTACTGAAAATAATGCCACATAGTTGCACAGAATATAAAATGTAAACAATTTAAGAAATTAGGAACAAGAGTAGATGGAATTGTTAAGAATCAATGTGGAGGACACTTGACCTCATATCTTGAAAGGGTTTACCTCGCTGACACATTTGTGGTGAAGGAAACACACTGGTTTACAAAGGTGAGTGGTGTGGAACCTGTGATGTCCTCCCACTGAGCAGGAGTTGTTCCACCTGAAATGTGTATCAATATATTTTTGGAGTTGTCAGTAATTTTGTTGTATTTGGAAAGAGGCACATCTCTGAACACAGCTACTATATCTTATTTGAGATTAAAGAGGTTGTGAATTTGAATAACATTATCACAAAAAGGTGATGATGGAAAATAAGTAGCTCTGATATGTAGACTTTTTTTTTAATGATTGGAGGATTTTTATCATCTTACCAGTAATACTGCATAGCAAACGTAGGGTGGGAGTCTCCCCACTGAGCTCACTACCTTGCCCATCACTATTGGAGCTCTTAGGAATGGGGATTGTCATGGTGATTGGTTTGTGGAACTTCCTCCTTCGAGGCTCCAGCGTGACAATCGCACTAAATGTGGCTTTGTTACCAAGAATCTTTCGCACCACCTCAATGTCGATGGGCTGAGCCTAGGACAAGGAACAAAACGCAACATCATAACTCACATGATTGAATTATCTTTTCAACATTGCACCGATTTGCATGTTGCAACAAAGTGCACTTTTGTGTACCTGTAGCCCAACCCTAATCTTCTTAGTGAGGGCACCTTCAGGGAAGACCGCCTGGACCTGGGGTACTAGAGTGCTACTAAGGACCCCACCCTCCGGTCCGATCAGATGACTGTCTTGTTTTATCCGCGACACAACTGCAAAATACTGTGGGAAGTCTCGCGTGATGATGCGGCATATTCTCTTCTTTTCAAGCTCCTCAGGAGAATCAAGTTCTGTCAAGATAAAACATACACAGCTTAGTTTAAGAATGGATTAAAATGATAATGAACTCTACTAGCTGCTACCCATCGCTATCCCAGCAGAGAAGCTTCATGCCTCTGCCTCTTTCCACTCTAGTTTTGAGTCTGTTTTCCTGCTCAGTATGACCCTGTTATGGCTGTGAAATGAGACGTAGACCAGGTTAAGCATCAAAATCCAGCCCCTTACTTTCATCCATGCCATTCAGTATCTGGTTAAGCTCCTCCTCTGTGAAGTCACAGTGGTGTTCCCTCCAGTTCTCCCCTGTTTCACTCCTCAGGATCACCAGCTCTCTTTCTGTGCCGCGTAAAGCCGCAAAATGGGGGATCTCCACAATCACAGGCCTGAAGGAGAGACAAGGTGAAATCAAGCACAAGTTTTACAATAATGCCGTTTCATGACTTGGGTTTATTAGAACTGGCTTTATCAAAGTTAAGGTCATGTTTGCTTTGATAACAGGTGCCTTTCATGCTAAGTAAAAAAAAAGGAAATTTCAAGCATAAAAATAAAACCATGAAAGGTATCTATAAATTATATAACAGTTTTATAACAAAAGCACAATTCTGGGATTTGCTACTACTGAAATGAGGAGATCATGGGAATAACGCAACAACATAGGGCAACAAGTCAAGGGGTTTCAGACTACACCTTGAACCAATGAACCAGAACCAATAAACAACAACAGAACAAAGAATCAAACCAAAAGATAAAGTTACTTCACTGAAGTGATACCATGGAAACTGAAAAAAGTTTCAGGTGGACACAGTGGAAAAAAATGGGTGAGTATGGGGCCCTTTTAGGTCTCCCCCATCCTAGTCCTACCCGAGGAACTTGGTTCCTGGAGGACCCAGCTGCAGGATGCGACTGACCAGGCTCTCACCCTCATTTAGAGGGGGCGGAGCTGTGGGAAGGTGGAGCTTACTGATCCATACGCAGCAAAGAGGAGTGAAGAAGAAAATATGAACACACTGCACAACATTGTAAACACACTCATACAAGCAGATGCACATCCAGCCTCATACACACACATTTAACACAGACACACACTCAGGCACACTTACCCCAGGAACTGGGCTCCAGTGGGTCCCACCTCTATGATACGACCAGCCAGCCCCTCACCCTCCACCATGGGTGGCATAGAGGCCAGACGGTGTCTCTTCACAAGCCGGCATGTCACCCGTGTGGGTGCAGAGCACTTTCTTGGTGGGACAATTATCCGCAGGCCATTATGACGGCAACCACGCATGGCCCCACCCCGGGCATCTACCATGAAGCTGACCAGGAAGCTGAAGAAAAGGGTCCAACAGAGAATGTAACAAGTAGTATCTAAGATAGTTTGAAAATAGCTATGATCATATTTTCCAGGATATTGACTTTGAGCTTCCATGCAAACAAAACAACCGGTATTCGCATAAGAAGGGGTCACATTTGTAGCTTCATTCAGTTCAGACATAACAAGAAGCAGATCACAATTCTCTGCAGCCTCTCCTCCTGCTTTGTTTCCATTCCCAAGTATTTCTCACAGTTTTAAGGAGATGATAAGGCTGTTTTAGTGCATGTAAAGTAAACAAAACCTGGTCCATGGAAATGTAAAGCCATGCATTCTTTAATCATGCAAACAGAGAGAATGACAATGAGAGAGCCGTTCAGAAGTGAAAGAAAAAGAAAGAGCGCAAGGGAGGAAAACCAGGGAGAGTAGTCGAAATCAAAATTAGAAATAAAGTGTATCACCTGCTGTTGTCATGGTCTAGGCACGGAGAGGAACGGCTAGAAGCAAAATACAACAACACAGACACACACACACATACGAAATCACAAACACAACCGAGACAAGAGAGTGCACGAAGAGGCAACAAGATAATAAACAAAAAAAAGAGAAAAAGAGAATAAAGGATAAGTAAAAGTGAGGAAAACTTGACCGGAGACAGAAATAGACACAACAGCAACCATAAAAGAAGTAGAGCAGAAACAAAGATGTGAAGTGACGTGAAAAGTAATTAAAGAGAAAATTAAAATTGATACAAGTGACTCATACACACCCCAGTGAACAAAGCATGTGAAAGACTACACACCTGGAAACACTGTGTGTGAGTCTGTGTACGTGTTTTTACCCAGAGTGCAGCAGACTGGAGGACAGCACCACGTTATCGAGGTGCTCGGCACCCCAGCTCAGGCGGAAGGATTCCTTATCATGCTCTCGGGCCAGTGCTGATACCTGCAAACCACCAACACAGCAGGTGAAGTCACAAAAATCAAGGTCGTCTTTGACAGTTTACACCCAGGAGGCCTTTTCAGACTGTGTTGGACAGCAATATCTATGTACCCCAAAATTCAACGCATTTGAATATTTTGGCTTAATGTAGACAAGATGAAAAAATGTGAATAGATCCTTAATTCAGAAAAGTTACTCTCCAGTTAAGTAACTGCTGGATTAGGATTGGGTTCTTCTGTATGTCTGGGTCTCACCTGGTGGCTTGTCAGCATGTCTTCAATAAGAACTCCTTCTCTCTGATGAAAACTTTGGTTAATAGGAGTGAGCTGCAGCCTGTTGGAAACAAGGTTTTTTTCTTTTATGGGAGTCCAGTCAACAGCTGGATAGTATGATGTAACAGATACGTGATGTGTTTTGTATTCCGACCTGTCGAGATTGTGGCTCATGTAGCTGAAGCCGTCCAGGTAGTGTCCTGGCAGAGAGTCGTCTCCCAGCTCTCTGAGGTCCTCTGCTCTCAGGTACTCCCCTCCATCACCTGTCATAGTGTCCTCACCTGAGGAACGGAGACATGCAAGACGGACAAGGGATTAAACAGAAGAACAAAGTCTCTCTGAGCTCGACTGGTCAGGAAGTTCTGTTCCCAAGTAGAGGATGACATTTTTCGGGAATTCCCGTGGGTCACATGATTCCTGCGGGAATCCCACTTGATGGGAGTCATTTTTGAATTAATCCGTGATCGGGACGGGATGGGAAACAAAAACAACGGGGGCGGGCAGGAGCGGGAACAACATTAATAGATGATCATTTTCAGCCGTGTTAAACAACCAGATGAACAGAATCTGTTCATCGGGTTCCCGTCCCGATCACAGGATTAATTAAAAAATGACTCCCATCCTGTGGGATTCCCGCGGGAATCACGTGACCCACGGGAATTCCCGAAAAATGCCTCTATTCCCAAGCACTTCATGCAGTTAGTTTTCACTGTTGCATGAAGATGCATCATCAGAGCTCTTTCTGGTGTTAGACTGGAGGGTTTATTCAACTTCATAGATCTTCAAGAGGCAGAAACTCCTGGGATTGAAATTTGAATGCCCAGAGACAAAACTCTCAATATCCACGGTTTTGTCTTGGGAACTTATCATGTGACTGTAAATTTATAATAAACCACACTAATTAGTTACAAGAACACATATACTGTGTAGTCGACTGCAAGCTAGCAGAGCAAGGCAGACACTTTGTTGTACCTTCCAGCTTCACAGACATGTCAGATAGTGGCTCATCTTCCAGCTTCAAAGCTACGAAACATACAGTTTTAAGACTCAGAGCTACGCAACTACATAGCAAAACTGAACAAACAAGAGCTTTTGGTGGCTACAGAACAAAGAGAGAAACAGCTATTGCATATTTATGACAAATATGGGAGGTTTATGACCAATCAGATTACAGTAAGTTGTTTCTGTTTTAGTTTCTCTTTCTTTATCGTTGGAGGGGACTCACCTTCTTCATCAGACACATCAAGGATCTCGGTCATGGTCTCAGGAACATTGAGCTTGTGTTTCTCTGTGACCGTCTGATATGATCCCAATTCACAGTCATGGGGCAGAGACAACCAGAAAGGAGAGAAGTTCATGAGATTTGGGGAAAAAAAACGTAGAGCTTACAGAAAGAGTTTTAAAGCATCACAAACATACCGTTGTGGTGGTGATGACCTCCTCTGTGACCACCTTCAGCGTGTCGACTACAGAGATGTAACCAAGACGTCTCGCAATGGACAGAGCTGTGTTCCCATTCTATCAGAAAGACATGTGACAACGATGATTTCATAAACTTTTTCTTTTAAAATCTTGACAAATTAAGTGAAAAGAAAGTGGTGCATTGTTTTCTTACCACTGTTGTGGCATTTGGCTTGGCACCATGTTGTAGCAACACATTGATAATGTGTGTGTTGCCTTGTTGTGCTGCCTGGTGAAGAGGTGTGTATCCATTCTGAGAAAAAAAGAGTTGAATGAAACTTAAGTGATAAGTTTTTAACTGTGTTAATTCTGAGGCTTATCTGAGTGGTTTAAATCGAGCTGTGAACATAAACTTTGAACTCTACCTTTGTTTTGGCGTTGACGCTGGCACCCTGCTGTAACAGGAAATTCACCATCTTAGCATTTCCATAGTGACAGGCCACTATCAAGGGGGTGTATCCAAGCTGAAGGGTGAAGAGGATGAGAAAATTATCGACAGGAAAGCAGTTTATCTTTGCTGCATGTGTCCCACGTCTTTATAATCACGCTATGTGTGACAACTGATTCAATACAGAGCTCTTTGGGTGATGAGGCGGCGTTGAGTAGACGCTGTCATGCTTTGGAAAAGCCAGTAGGTGGCAGAAATGTTTGGTTTTTAAACATGTTACTTTTCTGCTCCAGTAGAAAGAAGTTTCTTTTCAGTGTTTTTAGGAAGTGGATGAACAACAAACACATTTTAAATATTTCACACAGATTCAACAACAAAATACAACCAAACGTAAAAGCTCCACCACAGTCTAGGTCTTCACTTTGGCAAATTGACATGATCGGTGACTTTATTTTGTTTTGCTTTGCCTCTAACTGTATGAATGTTCACAATTATCAGTACATGTGTGTGCTTGTGCAAGTGTGTCTGTAGTTTGCTGACCTTAGTTTGCTGATCCAAGGTGGCATCATGTTTGGTCAGTGCTTCTGCTGCACTGACCCTGTCCTCTTGGGCTGTGAGATGTAGAGGAGTAAGTCCACTCTGAAAAATAAAGAGCACAAAGTCATCTCCGTCTCTGATACATAATTTAAACTGGAGAGACAGATGAGGAATTAATAAATAAAGTATTTTAAACACATTGTAAAGAGAATTCAGTTTCTGTTTGGTTCAATAAAAGTGTGTGACAGCAGTACTCAAATGTGTCAGTGTTCTTGAGTGTTCTTGAGTGACCTTGGTGGCTGCGTTAACATGCGCTCCTTTGCCCAGCAGCAGGCTGGCCATCTCAGCGTGTCCTTCCTGGGCTGCCAGGTGTAGAGGGCTGACCCCCTGCTTGGTAAGAATGTTGGTCTCTGCTCCGTACTGCAGCAACGCTAATGCGATGTTTGTCTGGTTCTTTTTGGCTGCAATGTGAAGAGGAGTGTAGCCATTCTGGAGAGAGAGGAAGGTGAACCGTTACACGCTTTGAAAACAACTTTATAGGCGTAAAATTCATCCTGCTGTTAATAAAAACTCACAGACAAAAGGTTTTTGTATTTTTGTTTAGAAAGAAAGAACATTTTACTTTTTTATATCCGCTCTTGAAGATAAAATATATCTTCTTAGCATCACTACCAAGTTTAAGGGCACAAAGGTAACAGTTTCAGCTATGACCTACTTTACTAGAAAGCAACAAACACATTAACCAAAGTATTTAAGCTTTTGAAGTCCTCTAATCTAACCTTTGCAGTAGCATGAGGTGACGCCCCTTGATCCAGCAGCAGCAGAGCGACTTCTTGGTTGTCGTAATGAGCTGCCACATGTAGTGGAGTCAGACCGTTCTGTAAGATGAAGCAATCATTTAATGATTAATATTTCTTAAACAATTCACCATCATCATGTCATTTATTTTGGGCTTTACAATAGTTGAATTCTCTCTTATAATCACTATTTTGCAGATACCAAGTAACTTTTGGGATTCAGAATAATGAGTGAAATCGGAGGCTTTGTCAAATACATTTCACTATGAAATATGAACAAGTATTTTACATTTAAATAATAAATTTAAACATCTCAGATTTTTGCCTCACCTTGCCAGCATCATCTGTGAGAGCTTTACGTTGAAGAAGGAGTTTTGCTACATCAAGGCTTCCATATTTAGCTGCTACGTGTAATGGAGTGAATCCTTTCTGTATAGGGTAGAGAAGAGGAAACTTTCTTTTCAAACTGCTTTCTTCTCATTATTTGACTTGTTTGAACACTTTGGTTTGATCTGAAGTCAAATCTGTTACTAAAAATATGTTTTATGCTCTTATTTCTGCACACCTTTGTGGCCAGTGAGTGTGACGCTCCTGCCTCCAGCAGCACCGCGGCTGTCTCTACCTGTCCCTCCCTGGCTGAAATGTGGAGCGGAGTGTAGCCGTTTGTGGTGGCAGCATCTGGGTGAGCCATGTGCTGGAGAAGCAACTGGACGATATCTGTTTTTCCCAGACGGGATGAGATATGGAGAGGGGTCTGGTCTTCCTGTAGTCGAGGGATTGTACAAAAAAGTTGAGTGGAGAAAAAAAACGTTTAAAAAACAAGACGAGGCAGAGAGTCAGACATTTACTGATCAACTAAATTTACTGACCATAGTCCACTTCTGTGTATTTGTAAACTATTTGGTTCTTAATTTTCATAAACAGAAGAAAACAGTCATCAACACTGATGATCCAAGTGCTGACTCACCCTCGCCATAGCATCCACCAGTGCTCCGTTTCTAAGCAAACAACGAACCACTTCCATCTGACCTGCTCTTGCTGCCATGTGGAGTGCTGTCTCTCCACGCTGATATGCAAACACAGAACATCAATGAGAGTTAAGTTGACATAACAGTAGTCTTTTTTATGCCTTATTCTTTACTTCATACTTGAGATTATGTGTCAGCAGTACTCACAATGTTGCGGACGTCAGGTGAAGCTCCATTCTGCAGCAGGAGTAAAACAATGTTGAGGTGGCCCATGAAGGCAGATACATGGATGGGTGTCAGACCAGACTGGGAAAAGATAAGGCAGGAAGATGAGCGTAAAATGCAAAGGTCAATGCAGAAATATTTACTTTGTTTACACAATTGAAATCCAAACTAAGACTCTCACCTCTGTTATGGCCTGGATAGAGGCTCCATATTTGACCAAGAGCTCCATCACTTTCACCCTGTTCTTCTTACAGGCAATGTGCAAAGGAGTGAACCCATTCTGGTAGAGAGGGCAAAACAGGAATCAGAACTTCTGTCCACTTTTTCTGTCTCTTTATATACCCTCATGTCTGTATATTTGTAGGTCCATATGAATTAGGGTGACCATATACTAAATCCCCAAAAAGAGGACACAACTACGCAGGGGCGGAGTCGCACGTAGTTAATTACATGTCCATGCGACGCAAACTCAAAACTTCCATACAAAACCCTGTACATTTTAAAGATTTTATAAACTCCCCTGGACAAGGCCGGACAGCCCCCAAAAAGAGGACATGTCTGGGTATAAGAGGACATATGGTCACCCTAGTATAAGTGCCTTTTTTGTGCTTGTGCAGTTGTTATTTCCCGTTAATCCCTACCAGTGCTCTTGCATTTGGATTGGCCTTCTTGTCCAGCAAAAGCTTGGTGACTCTGTAGTGGCCGCAGTGAGCTGCAACATGCAGCGCCGTGAGATAGTCCAGCGTGACGTCATCAACAGGCGCCTTGTGCTGCAGCAGCAGTTTTACACACTCTATGTGGTCACCCTGGGCTGACATGTGCAGCGGGGACAGTCCATTCTGTGTGAGGGCGAAAAATAGAAAACAACCGTTAAAAGATATCGATAAAAGATATCGAAGATGAGAAGAACAATGATGAGCTTTCTCAGGGAGACACTGCAGGATGTCTGAGATTTATCAATGGTACAAAAATGAGAAATAAAAAAATGTAGATGTGCGCTTATCCAGCCATGACTCAGCCATACACTACCTTAGTTCTTGCTAAGATGGGGGCTCCTCTCTCCAGCAGAATTTCCACTGCTGGGTCGTGCCCACTCCTGGCTGCACAGTGCAGAGGGGTCAGTCCATCCTGCGGGACAACCACACACACACAAACATTAAAAGAAATAAGTATATAAATATGTCAAAAGAGTGAACTTTACTTCAGTTTCTGTGTGACAAATGAGATGAGGTTTACAGGTTGATTGAGAACACTTTTGAGAAGTAACTTGGAGATAACTGTAAGTTATAGTACATTAAATAAAAATGGCTGCCTCACCCTGGTTTTAGCATCAATCTGACCTCCTCGGTCCAACAGCAGAGCCACCATGTTGGTGTTGCCTCTCTTTGAGGCCACATGGAGAGGCGTGATCCCGTTCTGACAAGATGAGTGAGAAAACAAAGTCAACTCCACCCCAAAAGTTTTGATTTGAACATTTTAGGATTCATGGTTGTGGCAAGGAACTGATATTTTTCAGATCCCCCAAATTAAAAACTATCTTTATGAGACAGATCCAAGAAAATAATGCAGCTAAAAACACTCCTGACAAAATTTGACTTTGACAGGCTAAGGGAAGACGCAGTTTGTAAAGACTTGGAATCAAAAGTTGTCGTGGTAAAAGCGAGACAAACTTCTTCTGCAAGCCTCTAGATATAACACAGCAGATTTTCTTAGATTCTGTACAAAAGGCATCTTGACTTTAAGGGTAAATGGGGCAGTACCCTGGCTGTGAAGTCCACAGCAGCTCCTCTGTTCAGCAACAGGGTGGAGACATTCACGTTACCATAATGAGCTGCGATGTGCAGAGGGGTGAACCCGCTCTGTTTGAGACAAGGGTAGAAGAGAGTAAGGAAGGAAAGTTACAGGGAAATGACAGGAAGGCCATAAAAAGGATGGAAAAAAAGTCAAAACAGCAGGTGAAAGGAAAGAACTTTTGTAATTTAGAAAAAAAAGACAGACAGGAATAAAGGAGGAAAGAAAAAGAGGCAAGACAGAAAGAGAAAAAAGGTGAAGGAGAAGAGAGAATAACAGGTAGAGAAAATAAAAGATAGAGGAGGAGAAAACTTTAAAAAAACATAAATCACAGGTAAATAGAGACATAAAAAAGAGTGACAGGGTGAGCATAGGAAAAGGAAACTTTAGAGTGAGAATGAAAAAAAGAAAGGAAGAAAAAAAGAATTAAAAAGAAAGAAAGAAAGAAAGAAAGAAAGAAAAAAGGAAAAAGACAGAAAGAAAAGAAAAAGAAAGAAAGAAAGAAAGAAAGAAAAAGAAAGAAAAAAGGAAAAAAAGAAAGAAAGAAAAGAAAAAGAAAAAGAAAGAAAGAAAGACTGTGCTTTTTCTGATTACGATCAGACGACTGGCTCTACTGAAGCATCTATAACAACGAATCTGCATGCTGGAAAATAAATATATTTCATTGTGAGAAGAAGCAATAAAAAGAAAGAAAGGACCATACCCCAAAATAGCACATGCAGTGCATGCAAAAACCCTGTAATTCTGTGGAGGCGGCTTCATACCAAGAAACAAATGAAGGCAAAGAAACATAAAGGCTAAAACAAACAAAAGTGTAATACACAAAGCAACTATGCACTACTGAATGTGAATCAGCTTGGACAGACAAATGGACACTTAAATAGTATACACTACAAAAATATCTACAGTACACATTTGTAGGGGGTTCTCTCCTTACCTTCCCATTCTGATAGACATGGTGCAATTTAATTAAGAAACAGAGTTAACTTAAATTTCAACAATATGTCTCATAGAGAAAAAACAATATTAACATGCTAAGAAGAACACATGCTGAAGTTATTCTGAGAAAAAGAACAATACATGAACAGGTGAAATTTGACAAGAATCAGTGTTTCAGTCATAAATCTATAAATCTATGAAGTTTGATCAATTAAAAACATAAATGCACAACAAAATATCTGTTTTTAAAATGCAATAAAGTCCCATTCTCTGAGATCATAATGTCTTTTAAAGTCAGCCATGCAGGAGTGTGTGGAGCAGCGTAGACAGCTGCATGCTTTCACAAAAGTGATACATGTTTCTGACATGCAGGACCGTTCGAGTCCATGTTTTAAAAAGATAAAGAGCTAAAAGAGATGGTGAGAAGAGACAAAAGGCACTATATGAAAAAGTGTGAAGTCTTTATACCTCTGTGGTTCTATTGACCATCATCTGGTCAGGACGCATTAAGAGAGAAAAGGGGGACAGGATGTCGGGTTGTTAAGGGAAGAGCCAATCACAACAGACACACCAAACACAGGGAGAGTTTACAAGAAAATACAAATAGACTAATACAAAGACAAAAGAGCATCCTACGGGAAACAGTCTGTTAGTAACAATACAGTCCTCAATGAACATGCAAATAATCAATAAAGCGAATAAAACTGTCACCCTGAAAACAATCATTCAGGCAGATGAATGATCAAACATCCTATTCTCCATCTATCTTTAGCTCCACAATCCACTCTTCTACCCTCCGTCCACTCCTCCGTCCCTGCCCTCACTCACCTTAGACTGGATGTCAGCGTTGTGGTCATTCTGGAGCAGCAGTGCGGCTGACTTTGTGTCATCTTTGCGGGCTGCGATGTGCAGTGCCGGGAGGCGGACCTTCCCCTTGGTGTCATGCTCCAACAGCAGCGAGACCACGGAGTTGTGGCCCTGCTGGAGAGCGATAGCCAGAGGGGTGAAGCCATCCTGGAAGAGCAAAACAAAGAAAACATCTGAGTGAATAATTTTGATTATTTCAGAGAAAGACAGAGGAGAGATGAGACGAAGCTTACCTCTGTTGCGATGCTTTGGTTCCCGTCACTTTCCAACAAAAATCGCACCACCTCCAGGTGATTCTCCTGGGCTGCCATGTAAAGTGGGGTGAAGCCATTCTGTGGAGGCAAATACACAAAGTTTATACAATCATCAGCTTTTGTTTGTGGTGATGTTGTTGTCTATACTTTAAAAGTTTCCTTACCTGTGACTGGGAGTTTACATCCGCTCCTCTTTTTACCAGTAGTCTGACTACTTCTTTTTGCCCTGCCAGAGAGGCAATATGGAGGGCTGTGTTCCCTTTCTGCAGAGACAGACAGGGTGAAGGGCAACATGCATCACTTGGAGACACCAGAATAAATGCAACGGACACAGACACCAAATAGTTTCAGCATTTGGCCCATGGATATCCCTGAAGATTAAAAACTTAACAGATCAGTATCAAGAAAAAAATGAAGTCGAAGGTAACTACAGGAGTGATAGATCCCTTGCAGGCTGCTTAGGGTTAGTATTTATTGCCGTTATGCCTGACACATTTGGCATTCACAGGATCGCATAACGGCTGGCTCGCCTTGTAGCTCACTCTCCACTCACTCCTCACTCTCTCTCCTTTCCAGTGAAGGTAGAATATCTCGTCATGATGCAACTAGGAGTCAACAATTTGTAAGTCGACTGACCTCATTCAAAGCCTAGGACACGAAGAAACTGGTTTCATGTTGTTTTGCGACCTTGATTTAGATTTAAAGAGGAAGAGGAAGCTATGTAACCTATACGAGGGGTTATCGCTGCACTTATTGGAAAGCACTGGTGTAAAGTTACAAAATTTCACAGGAGTTTTTCATTCATGTTTTTTTTCTTCTCAAATGTCCTCCAGGCCCCTTCTGAATCAAGTTTCATGTTAGAGAGAAGCTCTGGTTTTTATGGCCAGAAACATATGATACCACTGTATATTTCTTGTACTGATGTGCACCCCGTCCATCCCTTCTGTCTGACACTCCTCTGTCTCACAGCTGACACTCATGTTTCTTTTCTCATGTTAAGCTGCAAGTTACATATCTAGGTAGTTAATAAAGAACAGAACAAAGAAAAAAAACATACTATATATGTGTGAGTGTGCGTGTGTGTGTGTGTGTGTGTGTGTGTGTGTGTGTGTGTGTGCGTGTACCTTTGTAGAAGAGTCAACGGGAGCCCCTCTCTCCAACAGCTCCTCCACTAAATCCTTGTGTCCTTCTTTAGCTGCCAGATGCAAAGCATTCAGACCGTTCTGGAGGGGAGACAGAAAAAACAGATGTGTTAGATGTGGTTGTTGTTGTGTAACTGAGTGGCCCTGGAGGTTCGTATATAAAAACAGTCTGTGCATCAGGTTATAGGAGGTGAAATGTACAGGGAGAGCACGTAGGGCACAATCTTCACATGGTTCAACAACGTCCCTGTAATGACTGCATACCACTGCTGTTAAGCCTGGTGTATTACATAAGTTCATTACTTGATACATCGTAATGTTACTGAGCAATTGTCTCAAGTGTTGTTGTACTAAATACTTATATAAATTGTATAGATAGTACAGGCTTATGTTATAAATATTTAAAACGTATATAGAAATGTAAGGGGAGGACATTTTTAACATTATTCTGTGTGTGTAACAGCACTTATCAAACAACTGTGTCATCAGTCTTGTTAATAACACACATTTTCACAGTCGGATGATTTGCAAGTCGACGAAGATTAAAAGGCATGCAGCTTTTGAAAGACTAAAATCAAGAAAGTAAAACACAGTAAATGAAACTACTGATATTTTACCCCTTTGCAGTGTCAGGGTGAACACTGTAATAAAGACCTCTGATCCATCAACCAAAGCTCCTAGTTAGAAGCAGCACGCAGGCAGGAGTAATGGTTTACATATTTCATCGTGGCAGGCCATAGCTATGCAGCTGATGTACCAACACAGCGTTAACATTTCCTGTAAAGTTACAGCTTTCAAACAAAGAATTGACGAGTCATTCACCTCATCCTCATCTTCTTCCATTGTAGGATGTATCTCCAAGACACTCAAACTAAGATCCTATAAAATGGGACTGTTCTCCTCACCTTTAGCTTATTTCCTCCTTTCTTCCTCAAATCAAAATTAAGCTCTCTGTCTCCTTTCCTTTTTTGTCTATTTTTCACCCTTTTCTATTTTCCCTTTTAAATGCTGCTCCAAGCTGGTTTCAGAAGTGCTGAAGCTTCAACCATCAACAGTGGTCCTCAGCCTCTCCCTTTCACCCCCATCCTGGTTTAGATCCAAGCTCCTGTGTCTGTCTGCCTCCTTCTTCCCCTGCAGGCTCTGTCAGATGGGTTTACACAGAAGAACTCCTAGCTCTAAAGGCTCTCCTGGCACTGGTTTCAAAGAGGAGCTGTTTTGTTGCTAACACCTCCTTCACTGCCCCCTTCCTTCCCTCCTGCAGGAACAACATGCATGCAAACACACATACAAAGAACTGAATTAGTACCAAACACACACACTCACATGCACACACATACACACATACTGAGTTGCCAAATGCCAAACGGGCAAAGGGGTGTCATGTTTCTGCACAGTCATAGAGGGTATGTAGGACACTCAGACAGAAACATGGATACTCATATTTAGAGGCTGCTGGAAATGTCAACCTTTCCAAAAGAAAAAAGAGGGCATTCCTCAGGAGCCAAAGTGTTTAAGTTGGAGTCTAGCAAAGTGATTGACTGTGCTGAAGGTAAATGATAGGACTTTAAAAGGTCAAATTACAGTCATGTCCAAGAATATATTTGTAAGAAATATCACACTTTACTCATGATTTCAGGGATAGACAATATGTATGTCATGAGGCAGTCAGCCTGAAAATCCAATCCAGTCCAATCAATTTTATTTATAAAGCATGATTTAAGAAAACACAAGGTCTGGGAACTGAAAAACTATGACTGAAAATGGAAACAATTGTGTGATAGAAATGTATCCAATGAAAACAAATGGCTTTTATGTCGTTTTTAACAAGTCTACACATGAGAGAATCATCATGGCATGACCAACGTGGATGTGTTTCACTGTCTCAAAGGAAGATGAACATTTTGTAAGATGTGTGACACATTTATCCAACGTGAAAGGAAAAAGTCCCAATGATTTAACACGATGAATCTTTTGATAAAATTGGGATGCATAAATGGCCAAATATAAAACATCTCATTTGTAATTTTAGTTGCAGCAGCTGTATTTTAGCTCTAACCATCAGGTCTGAAGCTGTGAAGTCAATGACACTGCAAGAATTATGCAATCTTATTATAGCACTTCAATCACATGTCAGCCATTATGTATCACAGGAGAGACAGGCAAAAAAGCCACAGTTGAGTCACATACACTCTCCATCACTCACACAGATCTAAATCTCCTCTCTCTCTGAGCTGTAAGTGAAAGCTTCATTTAGCTAATGGACGTTCAGCCCGGCTAAGTGATTCCTGCCAGTTTGTTGAGCTTCCTGGCAAAGGAGACATCACTGAATTCAATCCAGCTCAGATTAATATAACCGCCTCTATGACCGGGGACCTTAGTTATGATTACACGTGGTAATAAAATAGCCAAGTTTATTTGGTGTTGTTTCATGAACCTATGTGCCAGAGAGAGGGGGAGAGGGTGAGCATTGGAGGGAAAAGGGGAAATAATGTTAATGGGTACAGATTAAAGAGCAATATCACTCACAAAGGATTAACATTTGGATAGATTAGAGGGGTCTGGTTTAATTGTGAGGACATGGGAACAGATCACATTAACACACAAATGACACACTCATACAGAGAAAAATTGTACATCCAGAAACAGTGACAAAAACCCCTTTCTCCTATACACTTTCACAAATTAAACATATCTTTTTCCACGTTTTAATAAAAGAAAATATAAATTCAGTTTCCTTACTGCTGGGAAAGACAGAGTTTTGTAGTTCTAGTCATAAAACCTTTGCAGTACTTTGACGGTGGATTTGGCAGACAGGGCGGTATCTCTGTCTCTCCCTCTCTGCAGCTAACTTGGAAAGCCTTCTGCCCCTGGCTGCCGACTCTGGCCTTAGTCACCTCAATGCTGCTTTCTAGGATCTGACTCTGAATTTATTCCTGAACACACCACCCAGGGCAGCGTGTGGAATTCCCATGAAACCTCCCAAGATAACCATCCTGCTCCAAAACAATTCAAACACTGACTTAAATGAGGAAATACCTAATGATATTACATCAATTATTGTTATCTTTATGATGCATTTCCAGGATTATATCTATACTTATATAAGATTATTCTTAAAACTGCATCATATCATGTTAATCTTTAAAGAATGACCTGATTCCTACGTTCGCCTGTGTTCATTTGATCAAAGAGGTAACACAGTGAATTTACACACATCTGACTGGCACAAATTCATTTTCTGGTCATAATATTCTCCAAATTGAAATGACAGAGTATTACCTTGTTATTGCACCCAGAATTAGCATAATTATACTTCAGTTGGTGCTCTTATCAACAGACCCCTGGCTCCATTTACTGCAGTGTTGACAGAACTACTACTGATAATGGCTCGGTAATTGTGTGGAGTGCTTTTCTGCTGACATGATTCACTTCCTTTAGAGCAATTTGATGCTTATCACAGGAAACGTTATACTTCTGAACGGTCATCTTAGTCTACTATTACTGGAGTGATTGTAGAAGTAAACCTGAGGTAGTCTCTCTTAAAAAGGGGTGGGGAAAAGGTTGATACCACAGTATATTGTTATCTTGACTTGTGGGACATAATTATTGTTGTGAAAAAATGAAAAAACATTCTTGACAAGATGGTTATACCTGTCTATGACGGGGTATTAGGGCCACATGGAGAAAAAAAAAAAACTTTGAGATTAAAGTCGTTAACTTTTGAGAATATAGTCATAACTAACAAGAATAAAGTCGTAACAAAGTAATTACTTAGGAGAATTAAGTCGTGATAAAATCTTTACTTACAAGAATAAAGTCCTTATATTCTAATCTGTTGTTTAAGATGACAGTTCTTGAAATGAGAGCCATGGAGCATTTCGTGAATATGTGCTTCAATATAGGTTTCTCGAACAAGGAGATACTTAATCTTTTGGCACATCAGCACCACATCATCATAAGTAGCCTATCATAATGATTTTGATACTACTTTATTCTCATAAGTAATTACATTAGTACAACTTTAATCTCATAAGTAATTACTTTATTACTTTATTACGACTTCATTCTCGTGAGTAATGACTTTATTCTCGTAAATAAACTACTTCAATCTCAAAGTCTTATTTTCTATTTTTTCTTAATGTGGCCCTAATACTCTGTCGTACCTGTCGAGCACAAAATTGTGCGAAAAATGGATAGATACAAATTTTTTACATTGTTTTAACTCAGTAAAACCAAAGTTAGGGGATTAAATGATATCCTGCACTGTGCGTTTAAAGGGCATTTCGTATTCTTTACTTGTGAGATATTGGGATGTATCAATGTATGGTCATCTTGCACTATACTGATTATTGTACAGTAACTGTATCATAATATTATTGTTATCAAAGGCGATGTATCACAAATCAGATTGTTTTGTATATTTCATATCATAGTGTGGTATCAGAGTTGTTTAAAACTGATTGGTTTGGTTCATTTTGTTTTGTTTCCTATCCTATCAACCAGCAATTCCCACCCCTAATCTCACTAAGTCAAATCACACGCCTTTACAGGACATCCTGCCAGTGTTTTGTGCCATTATTTGAACAATTTTCCTCCAATGACAATGTGAATCAGAAAACATATTGGGTCTACAGTGGCAATAATAAACCCTGCTTTTAAATAAGCAGTAATACTTTAGCCAAAAACACGTGTCTGTATTAAAACTCAGTTAAAATGTTGAATTTAACCGTCAGAGTGTAAGTGTGTTTATGTGTGTGTGCTCTCCAAGACAGAATAAAATTAACCAAAATTTACAACCTGAGCTAAGTAATCACTGAGTGGTTCATATCCTTTGTGATTTCTTTTAATAATGACATCTACTACAATAATATGTTGGCTGCCCCCGGAAACATAGACATAAACATAGACACAAACATAGACACACGTACACACACAGAAAACAAGCATCTCTCGGGTACAAATAAAATGTCAGTTGCATTTATAGTCACCTGACAAGAGCTTAAATGTGATCATCTGACCCCTGACAAATACTCTGAAGGGCAGAGATCTACTGTTGCAAGAAGAGGGCTGTGTATTTGTGTGTATGTGTGTACAACCATCGCCCAGAATAGCCAGGTTTCCCTCTTGGAGCATTAAACAAAAGCAGTGGTGACCATGACAACAAACAGCAAAGATATGAGTGGGCAGAATCCATTTCCTGTGAACCAACCAATTGCATCCTTGTGTATAAATAGCTGCGATAAAACAGCAATAGAATGATGTGACAATATGCACATCTAAACACAACAAGTACACACACACGTAGCTAAACCCTACATGCTCCGTTAATCTACCTTGTGACTACTGTAAATCATACTGACAGAGACAGGGTGAGGGGGATAGTGTTGGGGAGGGGGATGAAAAGAGCTCTGGGGTGAGGCATGTTACCCCCTCCTCATTCCCTCCTCAGTGGAATGTGGGTGAGGGTGTGTGACAGCTGCCGGAGGAGAACTGTCCTGTCAGAGCTGAGACTAGAGGGATGGAGCAGTAACTTTGCCAGGCAGGTTCAGGTATGTGCTGAGTTAGCTTGGTTGTGTGACGCCGCGGTGACACAGCGGAGCCACGGTTCGACTCAGCAGGTCAGACATATGGGCCACTAAACAGCTCTGACCTAATGCTGAGACGGTGGCATGTTTGTATGGACTCTCGTGTCCTAATTTAAAAGCACATAGTTGCCTTTAAACTGGGTTCAGTAATGTATCTCATATGATAAAAACAACAATTTGAGCAGCTTTCTTCATTCTCATAAATGATAACAATGAATAAGAAAAAAGAGGAGATGTAAACTTGACTTTCATGAAATTGTTTAACTGGTATCACCAAGTCAGCTTTGTATCATTCGCTTTTCTCTCTCTCTTTAAAACATTTCTTCATTTTTAACCCTCTCTGCTAAGATAATGGAGCTCTGTTATGTGTGGATTTTGTAAAGTTACCAGATTTTCATATTTTGCAGCAGCAGCAGAATCAGAAACATCAAGCACACATTGTCTTCTATGTAACCACATGTTTACACTACTAAGAATTTTCCTTACTTGGTTGCAGGTGCTAATGTCCACTCCGTTTTTCAGGAAATCCAGGACTTTGTCGATATTGCCCGCTCTGGCAGCTCGCAGGAAGCTGGTGTTACTGTCAGACTGGAGAGATGAAAACAGACAGGAGGTTAATACAAGGAACAGGACTACACACGAGTGTTTGACTGTCAGTTTTACCAAGTTTTAGATCCACTTTTGTTTTTGTTTTGATTTTTTTTAAGGTCCTGTTTGGGTCAGAGCATCTCATTGTATTTATATACACAGTGTCATGAAATATCACTTACAAGTACACAGCAAAAATTCATCAGACCATCTTGACTTTACAAAGTTTTTGCACTTTTCTCTAATTTTCTTACTTTCTGACTTTCTGACTATTTCTCAATCCCATTGTTACGTCTCAGTTTCCTTAAAAGCCCCATAAAAAGGATAAATTGCTACTGGTGTTTCTTTTTGACCTAATCAGGCAAACAAGACCATCTGCAACAAGACTGACCATTTCAGTGTTGTAATTTTTAATGCATATAATTGCTGTAAGAAAATCAACATAAACGGTTTACTATAGCATCTTTCAATCTGCCTCTGCAATAAAAAGTAAAGTCATGCCAGAAAGTTAGATTTCCCTTTCATTGCTGAGCTTGATGAAAGTTTATTTGACCTGAAAATTTTAAAACATAGAAGTAAAGCCCTGCTTGTATCTTGTTTGCCTGAGTGGTCAATTCTGAGTTTGAGTATGAGCCACAAAGGCTGAATGAGCAGCTGCAATAAACACACCCACACACTTATGGCAGCGTGCACACCAGCTCTTTGTTTTGTTGGTATGGAATATAATTTCCAGTTATATTAAACACAATATAAATTCGACAGATTCTGACAAAATTCCTAGAAAAAGATGTTTTACTCTTTAACAGTTCGTGTTGTTCTCAAAAAAAAAACTACAGCAGCAAAATCGGTTTGTGGTTTGAACTGTGACTGAAATCAAATCCTTTCAATAAAGACACAGGGCCAACAAACACATTGTGAAGTTTAAATGTTTTGTAACCATGTGAAACATAACTATGCACTGAAGGGTATCAGTATTTATCAATTATCCTAAACAGGTATAAAATTAAGATAAATATTAGCAAACAAAATAAGCCTGCGGACATATTAGCAGTTCAATACTTTACTACTGCATTAGAATATCTTTACAATTAGCAAATTAAAAGCAAGAAAACTCACTAATTTCTCCCCTGACTGACAACATATATAATCAATTTTAATCACTATTGCAGCACATGACTTCAAATGATCACAGATAGATTGTTTACAAGTATTCAGCCTCTTATTAGAGGAGTTAAGACACTAACATATCAATCAGTCATCACTGGGTGTTAACTTGTGAGGTCGAAATAATCAACCTCCACATCACATGACTGGAATTAGACCACCAGAGGTCAAAGGTCTCACATGGGATGATACCAGATACACACCAACACCAACACACCCACACAGGATGATAAACACACTTCCACACTCTAATGTGTTACATGAGAGACAATAATCTCTGCCTTTTGTCCTCTTCCTCTCTTACCAATAAATCCTCCTCTTCAGATCCAGGGTCAGCAGCTCCATAGTAGTCATTACTTTGGTTTAAATTGTTATCACTCCCACCAGTCCTCAACACTTTATCAGATCCACAGACCTGACATGATGCTGCGTTACCCATAATCACAATCTGAATCTGTTCCAAAACTTCCTTCACTCAGTCTGTGGTTTAGTTTGATCCATTAACATCCGATCCTTGTACTTTCTCACTTTCCGTCCTTAGTCATGAGCTTCTCCAGCCCATTTGGAAGATCTACAGATGCACCAATCAATCCTCCAGTCCATTAAATCACTCCCGTCTTCCTTCAAAATCTCACTTACTCTGTCCCTCTCTGTAACGTTTTATCTCTTGCCAAGCTCCTGTCTTAGTGTGTAAGGCCTGGTCCTGCTTCCTCTTCCTATATGGCTCCTCTCTCTGTCGGACAACTGTGGCCATTAACCCTTATTTTCCCTCCCGCTTTAGCTATTTTTACCTCTCCAGACCAATTCCTTACTGAAGACCACAACCCCTTGCTGTGCTAAGTGCTCCCAGGGTGGGTAGCATGACAGCTGGGGTTTGAGTCTGGGCTGGGGACCGCACGGCCTGCAGTGCTTTCCAGGAATGCTAAAGGCCACAACAGAATGATAGAAGTTGAGCCTGAACACAACTTATACTGATCCTATTTCAGTTACTTACACACTTACATATCATCTATCATCAAAGGTATGTAGCAAATGTTCAACAACCATCTTCACTGAATGATCCTGAGACCGTTTCAAGTTTAGATGTTATTGAAGCTTCAATGAAACAAATGTGACCAAGTAAAGATAAAGCTGTTATCATTTAAATGTAATAGATACACTGGTACAAATTCTCAATACCTTCGTTCATGTTTTTTATTGTCAGTGGATGATCTTTTCACCCTGTGTATGTTAGTAAGAAGTCTAATTAAAGTCTATGGTACTCTCAGAAAAGTCTGACCATTTTCTACTTTGAAAAAATTTAGGGGGGCGCGCAGATCGCCAAGCAGGTTCGTGTGCCCCATGTATGGGGACCACGGTCTCCGCAGCGGTCATGGGCTCAAGTCCGGCCTCGACCATGTGCTGCATGTCCTCCTCCTCCTCCTCTCTCTCTATCTCCCCACATTTCCACACTGTCTTGTCTATAAAGGCAAAAATCACCCCAAAAATACTTAAAAAATACAAATTAATTAATTAATTACAACAACAAATGATATTTAATAGAATTGAATAGCTTTTATTTCAACCTTGATTAAAAACTATTGATTTAATTGGGTAAATTTAAACAATATGGTGCAACTTGTCTTGGACGGAAGTGTACAGAGATTAGAACAAAATAGTTCCCATTGAGTAGCATTTATTTATTTTTTAACATTGTTGACTTTAATGATGAAATTCTACTCAGGGATTTTCAGCTATTATTCAAATAAAATGACTAAAAAGCAATTGATAAATGATTCAAATTTGATCAGACATAATAATATACCAAACTGTACATAGTGATTTTTTTATGTATAGGCTACTAGTATTTATTTTTTAAATATTAATTTAGTTGTTTATTTTAGTTAAAGTTGTCTAGACTACATTTAGACGTCTATTAGACCTCTTTTAGACCAAAAAATGCTCAGTGGGATGACACTATGATGAAGAGTTCCTCTGAGTATATAACAATAATACACTTTATTCATAAGGTGCTTTTCAAGATACTCAAATTTTCTGACTAAGACTTAAACTAGATATGAATTGTCAGGATCCACTCTGGTGTTTTGGTGCCTAGCAGCAAAATCTCTTGAATATTAAGCCTCTTGATTCATCCATAAATCATTGAATCCCATTCATTTTGATCATAAATTGAAATACTGGCAAAAGGTTGCTTCATACAATGCAAGGACACACTAGTATGTGACCTTCCTATCAGCCAAAGCCTTTCTCACATCTGTCATTCACATCCCTCACACTGCATTATAAATCATCTAAGAGGACAGCAGGACACCAACCCCTGCACAGTGTGCAGCCAGTCATATCTACGTCTGTACAGCCCTCTTCTTCAGACAGTATCCTGAAGTTTACAGTTTACTCTTCAGCTTCAAAAGAACGTGTCCATGGAGACAAAATTGCATGAAACATACTCATAATAAATGTAACATGGATTACCAGACGCTTTCTCTCGGCCCTCTCACGATGTCGTCTCCTCCTCTCCCTGGCTTTCTGCAGAGCTCTGTACTCTGGATGCTGCTCAAGCTCTCGGGCTTTCTTCAGGTGGGCTGCAGCATGGGCCATGGCTTTCCTGTCCTAACTCTTCCTGTCTAAAGTAACAGCTTTACTCGGTTGTCAAATGTATTGTTATTCTTAGCTGAGACAAATAAGTGCACACAACTTATATAAGAAGGACTAATCTAAACTTGGAAAATGAAATAAAAAATAAATAAATGAAATAAACCTGATAGGAATTGACTCCAAAAGGCTCCCTTCTTCAAACAAACAAAAAACTTGCTGATTGTTTCTTCCCTTAGTTAGTTCCTTTTCTCCTCCAATTATTCTTGCTTTTCCTTTTCAGGAGAAAAATCAGAGGAAGACTCCACTGCAGTTGGTCCAAATAAAATCAATGAACCACAACAGTGGATTTTCACGTTTTCACACACAAATCACTCACACATCCAGAGATTAAAAGGTACCATTCACATCCATGTGCACAACCATGGGAGAAGGTGACTGTGACTGAAAAGGGTTTCTGAATGATGAGTGAGACACATCTGCTTACTCCCTGAAAATTATCACACACACACACACACACACACACACACACACACACACACACACACACACACACACACACACACGGAGAGCATGACCCAGACCAGATGTACATGAAAACCCTATTCCATGTGAACAGATGTAGCTGCTTTTGTGTGTGTGTGTGTGTGTGTGTGTGTGTGTGTGTGTGTGTGTGTGTGTGTGTGTGTGTGTGTGTGTGGGCACGTGCTGGCATGTCATTGTTAATGTGTGTACGTGAGCTGCAGTCACAGGGAGTGTTTATTGTGTAAGGGGTTTAGTGAAACTGCATGCCAACGGCAAACTGACTGCGACAGCCACTTCTGTTCCCTCTCAGGGAACGGGAAAAACGAGGAGAAGTGAAGGTTAATGGATGAGAAGGGGGGAAAGCTGTATGTAATAAAGAAAATTAGTGCATGTTAATAACGTTTGCATGGAAATTTCTAGTACTAATGCAAGAGATGTGCTCATATAGCCTGGACTGTCATTCTGGTCAGTGGTGACTGTCATAAAACTATAATGCTCTTCTTCCCCAACTTAAACAAACACATAACATCTATTAGAACGGTGCCGTTTGGGAGTATTAATCTGTTATGTGTGAAGTTAAACTGGCATTAAACCACTAGACCGAGTACAAGCACAGGAGCAGGGATGAAAGACTGGCGGTGTCAGCTCTGCTAATGTTAGCCGCACACTCCAACTCAATCTGTTTTCATTTAGCCGTGTTAGAAATGCAATCAATGCAAATTATTTTGGCAATTTCTAAATGTTTTCTGCTTGTTTTTGTACCTTCAGACTAGCTGGTTAGTCAGAAGTCAAATTTCTGTATAAACAACAAGGAGATAAGTTGCTAGTTGGCGCCCTCAAATAGTTTTATCTGAAAAGCCATGGATCCACTGTATTTTTAGGACATTTAGGTATTGAATGGTTGAAGGGATTTTCTTTGATGTAGCCAAATATATTTATTGTAAGCACATTATTTGTAACAATAAAAAAAGAAAGGAAAACCATCTTCAATGTGGCACAAAACAGAAAAAAGCAAGGTGTCGTGTAGCTGCAAAGGTTGAACTGATTAGCCAGACGATTAGAAATTGTGTCATTGAGTTAATACAGTTTCAAAACCATAAGACAATTGCTCAACCTAAATTTGACTTTCTCTTCAGGGTGTTAACCAGAAACATAGGCAAACCTTTTTATTTTATGTAAAAAGGTTTGAACAGATACAGAAGCAAAATATCACTGATCTGCTTTTCTCCGCTGCGTCAAAGTCGAGCCTTCTGTTGTGACTATCATCTACTTCAAACACAAGCTTCAGTTGGGTGTGAAGATGCCTGGCAGCGTATGTGTTTAACTGCCTTTCATTTTCTGTACAGTAATTTCTATTAAACAGATGGAATAAGAGAATGTGGTTCTAAGAGACACAGGAAGGACATAATTACAGAAAAGTCATTAACATGAATGACATAATTAGGAGAGCAGAGCTGCAAGGAAGAGGAAGCAGAGAACTGGGAGAAAAAAGGGGGTAAAGTTGGGTACAGGCTGTCCTTCTGTGAGCAAACACAGAAGATGGGACACACCAACAGATCCACAGGGGGAACAGAGAGCAGTCAACACTGAAAAATGACTCCAAATCACCTGTAAGTTACAGGCTCCCCCCTGCATGAGGAGAAAGTGGGTCGGTCTGAATCTCAACTGCACTGCACCGTCACTGGTGGCTGTTGAAATATGATTTGACAACTCGTGTGGGTGTGTATGTGTGAGTATGTATGTATGTGTGTGTGTGTCCACCACCAGCTGATTGGGTGTCAAGGTCTCTCTTTGTCAATGCAGCTAATGTTGGGAGTTTGAAATTTCAGCACCAGGGACAGGGGCACCATCTCACACCTCTATTTCTGTTCACACATTCTGCCTGGTTCGTTTTCACGGCCCTGGTCTACGACAAAAACAACATCCTATTTCCACAAGTTATCATGAATGGGACTCGCTTTTCACTGTAATGCAGTTTAAAATGCTCAATTCTGGTGCAGAAGACCTCGGGGCTTTAATCTGCTCAACTATGGTATGGTTTTGAGGGTGGAGACAGCTGCTGCTCCTCTGGCACCCTCTGGTGGCCGACTGGAGAATGGATTAAACTTAGACAATTGTGGACCTTCGATTAAACTCAGTGAGCGAAAGAGATGATCGCACATGAATTCAGTCAGAGTGTGAAGACATGCAAGAAAAAAAATTTAAATTTCTGTTGTGTAATTTCCCATAAATTGGCATGTAAAACAAAACCCAATATTAATCACACATGTAATTAGTGTTTAAATAAAAAAAATACCAACTAGAGATATGTGTCATTCATCAGCCATGCATATTGATCCACATAAAACTGATCTAAGCTGATACAAAGCGAAGCCACTCTAACAGGTCAGATTTAAAGCCAAAATTTTGCAGCTTTACGACAACAGGTACAGTTTATGTGACCTCTTTGAGTCAGTGACGTGTTTTCTGTCCCACTTTAAGTCTTCAGGATACTGTAGATTCAGGATAATAATGTAATCTTCAGTCATTTTCTCACAATCTTTTCCTAAGAATCAAATCTGCAATTTAAAGTCAATCATTCCACAAATAACCACGGCAGACTGTACAGTACAAGAAAATGTATAAAACTACCGCACTCCCACACAAGCATCTGCTGTTTAGTCACTTAATGACGGCTGGCTACTTTTTCTAATGTTGATTTTTAAGGTTGTGATCTGGTCTTGAGTACATTCAGCACTCGCCTCTTCTTGATATCAACACAAGCATGGGTAAGATTCCCCGCCTCTGCATGCTCCGTGTGTGTGACACACAGCTACTTTTTTTTCCACTGGCTGACTTCTCCTCACGTTTGTGTAAAGTTCTGCTCAAGTCTCAGATTTTACAGACAAAATCGATAAGGCTTATTGATCAGCATGTTCGTTGAGCCTGTAAGAGTCTTCTCAGTGTAATGTTGTTACAGCTGTGTGAGTGTGCACACACTGTGTCTTTATTTATACTGTCTACCAACTTTAAATGTCTGTGTGCATCAGCAAAGGCTGATCAGTGCCCTCTATTGATCCTGTCCGTCACTCGTACAAGATAATGAGGATTATAAGGATACAATATAAACCGAATGAGTGAATGTGAATGCATCTGTGCATGTGTGTGTCCATTTAGGTATCTGATTACACTGAAAGAGTAGGAGATGGATGAGGGGAGTCCAAAGTGAGCTGATGTGAGCTCCTGTGTCTATTGGTTTAGTGTATCTCATGTAGGAGGAGGGGTTGAGGGGTCTGTTTTTCATTTTATAGATCCAAATGCTTTCATAAAGCCCATTAGGAGTCCATGACAAGCAGACAAGTGACCTGCATGCATGTTCCTGCACATGTCTGGATGTATTTGTGAGAGTCGTGTGTGAGGGTACAGCAGTACGGCTGGGTGGGGTTAGTGATGTCTGTATGTTTTTATTGATCGTCATGGAGCGTGCATTAGAAATTATGACCTTAATGGTTTCTCATGAAAATACAAACATTTAAGAGTATATCGATGGAATAAGTTAGTGTTATTGTTTTTTCTGCCTTGACTGGGGGAGATGTAGGACAGTGGATAGAGTAGGAGACTGGGAAGACAGAGTGGGGAATGACATGCACTAAGGAGTGAATCTGGGTTGCCAGATTTGAGTATTGTAGCTTCTGTGCATGGGCTGTATGACTTGATCCGCTGAGCAAAACCAGCGCCCCACTTCCATCTTTTGCATGTTGATAATTTCCAAATAAACATTTTTCCACCAGATCATTCATCTCTTTATTTTGTCATTTGTATTTTTTCATCCAGACAATTTAAAAATGTACAGAAAGATGTGCATTAGAGTAGTAAATAAATCAATGTTAAATGGGATCATTGATTGATTATTTTTATACCATAGCCACATAAGCTAAATAAACTAGTCCTTGGCTATGACAGAAAACTGCATCGTTGATTCTTTAATGTGTTTTTTTTAACCAAACTAAAATGTACTTTATAAAAAAAAACCACATCATTAGCAGTAAACAAGCTCAAACATGCTAAACATAAACTCTGCCTTTATCTCATCTCTACTGTCGCGGTTTGTGTCTTTGTTTTTTTGCTTATAGGTTTTTTCCAGGTTTGTTTTGAATGTGTTTTTGTTGTTAACATTGTTGATAAATCTGCTAATAGAGCTATGAATGCTGACAAGTGAAGCTGTGCCAGTGTTGAGTGTCTGAAAGCAGATAATGCATCTGGGATTTAATGGAGGGAGGATCTTTCTGTTTAAGATGACTCATTTAGACTTCTAGAGGCCCATGCATTTTTCATGACCACAATTTTCTACCCCTTCCTCACTGCTTCTCTCTGAGAAATACTAGTTTACATTAGTGCTTACTTCTTCTTGGCTTAAGTTATTCATTAGGCTTTGTTAACCTGGTAATTGAGTGTGTGGGTGACTGTAGAGTCCTGCTGTATTGTCGCAGAGAGCTGAACCCCTCACTAAAGCATAAATTCTTTGAAGAGTGGACTGGAGGGTAAAACAAAGGAAACTGCCTTTTACTTGTTATCCAATCTGTTTTCTATTTTTATCAACACAAATCTATATACAGTAAGATGCAGGCCAAGAAATCAGAAAGCAAAACAAGCGATGTAGACTTTTTAGCTAAAAAACAGTCCTTATGCTCTATCACCAAGAAGCTTCAACTAGCTGATCGTCTACAGTAATATTATTTTATTCCAGAAAGTTTGAGAGCAGCACTGAACTCTGTTTCACCTCAACTTCTCTTCTTAACATTTTTGGTTTTCTCCAGCTAGATTGAGCAGATTCTCTGTCTGAAAAGGATAAACTTGTGTAATTGAGATGTTAACTATCTTATGCTGAGCTGTTTCTTTCTTGCTGTGGCTCTTGAGTTTATAATCTGACTACTTCAATAACAAATACAGTATGGCTGGGATGATATGCTTTTCTCCTGATTCGATTCTTCTTCGATTTTTTGGATGCCGTTTCGACTTAAACTGCGATTCTACAATATAGTCGATTTTCTTGATTTTTAGTCTGGATTTTTAACACAAGTGAAACAGTTGAATGATTATGATTATGAATATTACAGGAACCATATTTCCCCCAAAAAGTACAAATAACATGTAAGTCAGTTTTTAAGATTTATTCTTAAATTTGAAAAAATAAAAAGAATTTTTGAACATAAAAATCAGTTTAAAAATTGTAAAACAAAAATTTTTGATACTTTTGTGAATTGATTTTTTCTCCCACCCCTAAAGTACAGCCTTTGATAGTCAGCTGTGATTACTGATGTTTGTAACCAAAGCTTCACTTCATTTTAAACGATGGTTTCATGGATAAAGATATAAAAATTGAATATTTTAATCAAATCATAACATCACAAACTAAAAACAGGAGGTCTGCAACCCCCCACCCTCTCTCATATACACACACACTTACTCAAGACCAAAGTGCTCACTCTGTCCCATGAGTATATTGATTGTAAACTGCAGCTGAACCCTGCTCTACATGACTGTAACGTGAGATATTAAGACTGCAGTTTTACTATCTGCCAAATACCAAAAGTTGTAGGTTTGAATCCTAAAAAAAAGAGTTATGTTGATGATGAAGGTCGCAAGTTCAAAATTAAATGTCAGTCAAAGGTGGATTAACATCAGGGCGGCAGCAACCTTATGTATACAGTTGGTAATGCTCGTTTAAATATTGGTAATGGCTGTATTGTCTGTATTTAAATTATATCCAGCCCTGTATAAGCATGCAGCATAATGAACCTTATACAGGGCAGGGACACTAATAAATTGTCTCATGGATATGATTTAAATGTCAACTCATCTGCCAGCCTCTTTACTGCATAGGAAAGGTCACAGCCGTAAAGTCCTCGACACACAACAGTAAACAGTCTCCTTCTCTCCCCTCTCTGTTTTCCACAAAACCAAATCATGCAGAGTCAAATTAAATTGGAAGTGGACAAAGCCGGCAGAACAGACCACACCCAAATACAGTGAGTTATGACACCAAGACGATGGTGGGTTTGGGTGGGGCAAAGTGACTGGAGAGAGAGAAGAGAGATGTGCTGAAGATAGTACATCTAACCTTCATCTGGACACTTGATACTCCAGGAGAGAGAGAGAGAGAGAGACAGAGAGACAGAGAGAGAGAGAGAGAGAAAGACAACGGGAGAGAGGAAGTCAGAGGGACCACACCTTTCCTGCTACTAAGAGAGTTTTATGAATAGATAAAATCATTTCATTTGCTCTGATTACTAGGCATATACTTGATCAAATTTGTCCTTCAGTGTCACCAACATGTCAAACAGCCCTGCCCATTTCCACAGCAGCCCTACAGGGACACAACGAGACTACATTAACTAATTACCTGAATCTTTTGCTTCACGAAACCACAGAGTTCACCATCATCTTTTTCAATGCAGTCTGTGGGGCTGTAGAAAAATCTAGATGGCAAAATTGTAGAGCAAGAAACTGCTTGGACCTGTTAATTTACTATCCACTTCCTGCAGCTGACTCTAAGTTTCTGAAGTGCTCTATCTGAAAGCTATCGCTGTAACTCTACGCCTGCAAATAATACAGGCAGCCACTGATTTTCTGTGACACATGACGGAGAGTGGGTTTGTTAACCTCTGTCCAACTAATTTACAGCCTTTCCCGTGTTGCACATAAGGATGGGAACATGTGATGTCAGTTTGCCATCCCTGTATAAGAGCTGCAGCCAAGAGTATGTTGGAAAATACACCAGTATGATCCAGTCATAATGTCCAAATTTGCCATCGAGGGGAATATGAGAAGGAGCCCATATGTTAAATGCTCTGCTCCCCACTTGGACCTTATTTGGCTGAATCTGGTGTAGCACATCTGAATTAGAAATGCCAGTGCCAGAAATAGAAACAAGGAAGAATTCAAAAGGTACAGTGAACATATGCAGAAATTGTTTTTAAGGGCTTATCTTGGAATCTCTCTTTCCAAAGACCACACACACCAAGAGAGACAGAGCCCTCAAAGGCTGCTTCCATTCGCAGTCCACAGAGGAACACTGTTTTTGTTTTACCACTCTGGCCCACACAGTTCAGAGTGCCAGAGTGTATTTTTGTACGATGGCAAGGCTCATCCAGCGTCAGATGACAACAGGAACTGAGGCAGAAACTGATTTCACCTCCAAGTTGAATGTATAATGAATAATGAAGCGTGTGACCTAAAATTTGCAGCAAGCACAGAGTCATGGCAGGAATGCTGAGTGAAGTAGAGCTGTCAGACAAGGCAGATTAAGAGAGAGGAATAACCAAGCAGACAATAAACCAGACAGATGGAAATAATACGTCAGTGTGAGAGAGAAATTAGAGAATTATTCAGACAAAACAGAACAGATGTGAATTAAAGCGCTGGCACCATATTTGTGGTCCCACTTGCTTCAACTAGAACGGTAAGAAATTACGTCATTGCACTGAAGCAGTCAGATGTTTCGCTGGCACAGATGTGTATGTTTTTCTTTTCCCTTTTTATGCGCACTGTTATGAGTTATGCTTATTTCAACGAGCCAGCAAAAAGCTTTGATGTGTTTCCTGAGAGAGAGAGAGAGAGAGAGAGAGAGAGAGAGAGAGAGAGAGAGAGAGAGAGAGAGAGAGAGAGAGCACATTTACATGAAGGTGTTTCAGCTTCTCAGAAGTCTATTGATCCCTGACCACACCCTTCTCTCTCTCCACATTTCTGACGGGAAACAGCGATGAGGCCATGATGAATAATTCAAGTGTAAATGCTCCGTCCAAAAACACCTGACCTCCACGGAGCATGACTGGCAAAGGATGCATGTAAGGACAGATTGCTCTGAAATGCTCCCTTGTTGAGGACAGATTTCTATAGTTTGTTGTCTTATTTTTATTCACCGTATGTTACAGCTGTGGCAGGTTAATGCAGTCATTTTTAGACATTACAAATCCACGCTATCTCTCCTTCCACCGAAGTGTTCCTTGTCAAGAAATATCAACGATATTAACAATGGTGATGGTAAAGTGTGACTGAACTGATGCTACCACTTCCTTTCAAACATCAGTCAGCATTAAATAGGTCAGAGAGAAGGTGTCACAAACAACTAGGTCACCATAACTGGTTATGGGCAACCGTGACCACCATGAAGGGCAGTTCAGGATACGGTGGCAAGATGCCGTTTGTAACCGAGTATGGACATGTCATACGGATTTTGGATCCAGGACAGGAATGCTTTGAACACCAAGCATATCACCATTACGCAGTGTGGAAACTCATACTGTTGCTCGTGTATTGCATCAGAGCTGGTTGACAAAGTGGCGACTTGGTATTTGGAGGCCCGGGTATCACGCCAAAATTAGTCACCTTCTAAGGTGGATGTACCCCAGTGGGATATTTCCTTTACACAAGTAGAAATGAAAGGATAGAGCTAAAATAACAAGAAAGATTAACGGTGACAGTTAAATGTCTACTTTGGAATTCAAAAAGAATCTAAAATAACTCTCTAGCTAAACAGATAACAGAGTGGTTTAAAAGTTAAGATCAAATACGACACGTTATTTATGGCTACAGTTCCATAAAAGTCTTTTTTATATTCTTTTATATCAAAATCACTTCATTATCATTAGGGTTGTAATTGACTCAATGAATCAGCAATTTTTTAAGACAGCCATTTGAAAATGAGAAAATATTGTGTACATCGTAGTACTTTTGATTATTTAATTATTTTATTAGTAATAGATTGATCGAAAATTGGGTTTTGATTTCGGCCCCTTTAGCTTGTGAAGATCTGCTCGCTTCGGCATTGTGTACCTTTGGGATTTTGTTGACCAACACTTTTGATAGCTAATGTGACATGGCCTCCTTTTTTCCTTTTTTTACTTCTGTTATCCTTCCTCTTATCAAGTAACATCACATGTCGGTCTCTGATGCTGGTTGAAGCCTATTGAAATGCGAGTTTAACCAATCTTATGATCAAGCTAGGAACCAGCATGGGCCTTGTCAAACAACAACAACCAGGACATCTGTCAGTCAAATTAGCCACCCTCTTATTCTGTAAACTTATGCATCACTTTTGCTTACAGGCCTGTAACTTTATACTAATTGTTATCTTAAATAACATCAGCATGTACAGTATATCACATGGCACCATCTAAAACCTGCTTCATGGGGTGGAAGCATAAACAACATGAGACTGCATCCTCACAATGAATGTCACTGAAGGAGGTTTATTGTGGCAAAACTCGTTTTCAAGAATACATAATATCCAAAAACAATCAAGTCTTTCTTTTTAAACTGATGTTATTATGGTCAAGTGTTGAACCAGAGACTTATTCTTCGCCGAATCACGCCTTCAGCATGTGCACAACAATGCACTGCTAAGCAAGTACCTCTCAGGAAACAACTGTCAAATCTTAATGGTGTTTGGTAACCATCAGGGTTATATATGAATGTTAGTAGAGGCCACCATCAGTAGTTATTATGGAGTCAGTCCCAGGTGTTCATGTCAGCACTGTTTACCAGTAAGGTGCTCTAACAGCTTTGTGAAACACAGTTAATGTTCGTGTGTTTGTATGTTTATACACTCTGTAAAACGGCACCGCAGAGACCTCATTTGACCAAAGCAGGACATCATTCTTTAAAGGCCAGCTAAGGCTACATGTGTGGGTGTGGGTGTGGGTGTGTGTGGCTCTAGCTGTGCAGAGGTAATGTAATGAGGGCCATGGCTCCATTAGGACTCCCTTCCTGCAGAATCCTATCATACCACTCCCAATGGTGAAAAAGAGAGATAGACAGATAGGTTAGCAGATACAGAGAGGCAGGAGAAACACAGACAGAGAGGCGGAGGAGAGTCCGAAGAAAATGTCAAGAGGCTGCAGTGAAATCTGACCTCCTGGCACATCAGGATCTCAGTCTCGGGACCTGGGGCACAGATGAGGGTGGGGCTGGAGGATGGAAATGGGAGACAAATAGGGAAGAGGCCAAGAAGGCAAGGAAAAACTAGAGACTAAAACCCGCATTTTAAGGTGGAGAGAGAATGTAAGGGGAGATGGAACTATCAAAATATATTTAAGTCTTTTTGAGGAAACAAACTCCTTATATTTGTATATTCAGCTGGATACAAATGTGCCTCGAAGGTGCCTGGTATGTCTGAACTGAACTATTAAAGTGCTAGGATTTCAGTTATGGTATCAGACTGCAAAGGACATTTACATTTCTAGAGTGATCTCAGTAAACTGCTCTTTCAAGTATCCACCATCACACCACAGGACAGTGAACTTTACAGACAGAGGTTTGACACAGTCTGAGAAAGTCTCTGTGCCTTTCAGATAGGAAAAATAAACTAGAAACCACTAATCGAACACTAAGCCAGCGCTGCGAGTTAATGCTCAGTGACACAGGTTCAGTGAGCACAGAGACATGGACACACATCCACTCGATGAGGGAGACGCTATTTTTCTCCAGGACAATCACGCGAGAGACCAGAGGTATTTTTAGACCTGGAACTAAGAGCCTCACGTCTCACTGTGTCCCTTTGTTGCTTTTTTCTTTTGTCCCACACGCACTGATCTGTTATTTCTGTCTGTGTCAGCGTTTAGTCATTTTTCATCTGAAGTCTCCCTTATCTAAAAGTGTTGATTCTTATAACTCGCACATGGTTTTTCACAGATCCTCCACCAACCTGGAGGGGTCAGTTCACTGAGATAACAGTAAATGTACAGGAGTGCTTGGTTCCACCTGACCACTGTTGACATCTCGCCCTACAGAGAGTGACCTGCAGAGGTGATTCTTCTGTGCATACACTACATAATGGAGGTGACAGGAGTTTGGGGTTTTACAGGGTTCCTACACAGTTGGAATTTTCATACTTTTCCAAACTCTACTTTTTAGAAATATTCTTGGAAACATCTACTTTTCTATTTGGAAAACAGTATTTTATAACTGTGGTAATATAGTCTGTTAACATAAATATATTTCCATACTTAATTTTTCATTTACCCTAGTTTTTAAGACCTGGAATTGATCAAATTACTTCCACACTTTTCCATACTTGCATAAGAACTGTGGTTTTATTTTATAGCAATGAAGAAACTAAGCGTTTTGTCTGTACAGAGTCAATATCCACTTAATTTAGTATAATTATGAGACATTTGAAGTGCTTTGTTTGTAAAAGGGAAGTCGAAGGTTGCTGTTCCTGATAAGGCATTTTGTGTGAAACAAAAGTTACTGAAAGGAAAGATTCAATAAAATACGGAAAAAAATAATCATTTGCAGGATACCTTTGAAATAAAAGAGCAACAGTATCATATACAAAAATATGTTTCCACAGTAAACCAAACAATTCAAATAGTTATGTAATTATATGATATATATGTACAGCTACATGTCGTAAGTTAAAGTTAGTAAGTAAGACAGTAAGATATCAAGTAAGTATGTAGTCTAAGTTAGGTTCATTTCTATAGAAACGTTCAAGTGCTAGCTGTAATGGTGTTACACATCAATGGAGCAACAGGACCTGTTTTTCTTTTCACTTCTTTTATGAGTTCTCTTAAGAAGATGGTATTGAAAGGCTCTGCTTGTGCTGTAACTATCCTCGTCTTCTATTTCACCCTTCTAGACAACAATTTACTCCCTAATCAATGGGCGGAGGCTCGGTGGTATTCATAAACCACTCAGAATCATGGCATAGCCTCTCCCAGCATTAATCTAGTGAGTGTGCAATTCCTTTTTACAATAGTAAAATAAACAGACAATGTCAAATTCAGAGTGTTACCTCTTTGCATCAGTGGTGTTTTTCTTACTTTAGATTCCCCTGTCTAACTTTCGACACTAAAAGGGAATGCTACTTAAACACACTCTGTATACATCCACACCATCCTGATCTACTCTGAGAGAATAAGTGAGAGCAGACCGACCGGTGAGAAGAGGGGGACTTGTTCTTTTATCACTACGTCTTGGTACCAATCAGTGGGGCTGAGTTGGAGGCACTAAACTCTGCGATGTTTAATGTGGCTTCCCCTGTTCCACTCAGGTGAGATCTTTGCCATCGGGAAGAAAAACAATCAGAGTTCCCTGAGAAAAACACACCATAGGGACTGCATTTGCAGAGCCACGGTGATGACTGATGTGAACCTTGAAGTGGCATCAGATGACCAAGAGTAATTCAAGCAGCATCGCTTAAGCAACATCACTGATAGGCTAAAGGACGCTGTGGAGAGCTGCGACTGTTGACTATTATTCAAGAATATAACTGTGTTTGAAGGAGATATGAGTACCAGGATGTCTTTAACCTGTATCACATTTAGAGTACCTACTCCAAAGTAAAAGCTTAAACGGTTCCTCTAAACAAGGTTCAACAATCAAAAAGATGAAAACTACAACAGCTTAAACTTCAGGCTTGTTTTACGACTTCACAGTGAAAATACTACACTATTTCTATCTCCAGAGTTTGTAAAGATGACTCAAAGATATTTAAATGGTACAAGATTATACACAGAGATTGCACTCACGTGGTTTAAAGCTAGATTTTTCAGTTTTGCACTCACAAAAACTACTGATTACATCCCAAGTATGTGAGCACCATGGCCCCACCCTAAAGGAAGAGACTTAAGTGTGTCTGTCTGTGTGTGTGTGTCTGTGTGTGTATGTGTGTGTGTGTGTATGTAGCACTACAGTCCATTACTGAAATCACATTAGCCTGAGAGTGCACCGAGACAGGAAGCAGCCATCTACCATCCCCTGACTCACTTTGACAACACAAACCCACACTACATGATCAAGTCTAGATGTTTACACTAAACATTCAAACACTACTTTATCACTCATTTTCATACAGACTTGAAGATGGAGCTAAATAAAATGATTGCAAACTGATAAGCTAATTTTTCCAGACATGTAACATTGAATCATTAAAATGCAGTTCAGTCTTCGTAATACATGCATGAGGTGAAGTTGTGAAGTAGAGGACAAGAAAACAACAAGAAGAAGCAATGTCAGGGTTTCCTCTTTACAAGGACAGAAAGACTTACTGGAAAACCTGCCCAGCCCTGAGAGACACACACACACACACACACACACACACACACACACACACACACAGTCTTTAACATGGAGTGTATTATAAGAGAACACATAAACAAGCCTTTGAATTGAGTCTCAGGCAAACTGTCAATAAAGAATTAAACACTGGCTGAGAAAGCAACTACCCTTCATGTCATTTCCTGATTAAAGGTAAAGACAGCACTTCAAAACCCCTGTCACTTTCTAACCATCAGGAATCATCTTGGTCTAAAAGTGGGGATGTAAACATTACCTCACTAAAGCCTGAACAGTCATAGTAACTGGAGGAGTCAGTGTAAGTCTTGAGGTGTTTATACTGCGACCGTAACAACTGAAACAATTGGCCTGTTTTGGGATTATCACAGTTTTACCCTGAAGCTCATCACTCACATCTCTCCTCAAAACAGATGGTATTTCACCAGCACACAAGCTTGTTTCCTTAAGAAGCTAATTTAGAGTCAAACCAACGCAACCTCGGAGGAAATGTGTCAGATCGCCTGCTTAAGCACGGCAACGCCTTTGACTGATCTGCCTCAGCATCAGCAGCGGTGCGGTGCTGCTCTTTACACGGCTGACTGGGCCAGTCAATGCGGAGAGCTGGCTGCGGACAGACACCCACCTGCCGTATTCGGTTCTGGTGCAGCGGCGGTGGAGGTCCACCCTCGGGTGATGTGTTGCTCGAAGACGCCAGTTTCAGGTCGCTGTTGGAGCCGCCGCCCCTTGAACGACTTTCTTCGGGGCTACTTGACATTCTGCCTCGGGCTGCCTGCTGCAGCAGCTGCTCCTGCTGTAGGCGTAGCGGTCACTGAGGGTCCTTTTGCCGGGTGCAAGGTGGATTTCTGTGCGGGCCTCACAGTCCAGAAGGATGGGCAGGGCCCGGGATCATTCTGCGGCGGCAGACACAGTCTATTAGTAAAGGCGGTGAAATGTAACACAGGTCTAATCTTTGCAGATCGTGAAACCCAAACGAGTGCGCCCTCCGTTCAGGGATGCGGTGTGTTGCTGTTCACTTGCGCGCGTGTGAGTAGGGAAATGTGAACGCGCGTGAGATGCGCTTCCCCGAAACTCCGCAGGATCTGTGCTGCTTTCACGTGCAATCAGTAACTTCTTGATTGGCATAATTAACCCGAGCAAAGGCAATTTTCTGACCCTCCATCGATTGAAATGGGATCTGCGTGGGAGTGGTATCAAAATTAAAGAGACGTATGCTATGTTGTGGGTGTTTTATGATGCACCGTTTCCACTAACATCGAGAAAATCCTGACAAAACTGTTAAAAACGTGTTTCCATCACCTTCTTTTGCACTTAGGGTAGAGTAGCATGTGTCCACTCACGGAGCAGGTCTTCTCGTTTTTTCAACAGTAGAAAAACAGCTCCACTTCGTGATATAAATCCTTAATTAAAAGTGTAACCATGACACAATGCTGAAACCAACCCGGCCCGGGTCAGTGAATGCAACGCCAAGCAGTAGTGCGCTCCTGTTTTGGTTCTTGTGTCCCCCTCCTCCCTTCGGTGCTCCTTCTGCAGTAGTGTCTCCAGACGGAAAAGTTGACAGTGTGGCCCCCTGATTCAATGAAAACTCTACAGTTGTTTACACGAATAGATGATCACCGCAGCAGCCCTGGCACGTTGTGTTGAGCTTACATAATCCAATCTCTCTCCTTCCTTACGCCTCCACTAAGGCCTGTTTGTCTTCACTGAGCTGCACATTTAATGCAGGTTGACAGGACAAAATCAATTATAATGTCTTGTGGACATATAAGAGCCAGACAGCACTCCAATGAGTGGAGGAAGGTGTAAGAAATCATGAAGAAAACTTAACATTCTAACATAGTTGTAATTTATCCCAGAGTGAAACCTGGCCTCACAGTGTTTGGTCCTCACAGCTGTCACTATGTTGGCCCTTGATGGTCTCATTTCAGACAAAGTGGCTGATAAAGACCAGCAAACATCAGTAATAAATGCACACAACCAAACCGAGGTGGGTCCCATTTTGAGCTCTAAGGCCGAACCATTAAAAAACAACCTTTACATAAAAAGCCTGGCAGTGATCAAGCTGTTTATCAATCCTGTGATAAAATGTGTATTATGTATAGCTTATATGGGTAACTAGAAACCATGGGGGCCCCATTAATGTTTGCCTTTGGGTGGGCATAAAGGTGAATCTGTGTTCCTATTGGTTCTTTTATATTTTATGTTTGCTGCAAACCCATAGTTGATTATGTCATAGCAATTAAAATGATTAATAGAGACTATTCTCTGAAAGGCTTTATTTCCAATCATGGTGAATGATTGAAGAGTGCTGAGTCAGCTATGGGACATGGTGACTCAGCCAATTTTGTGGGGACCTCTATCACCTACAGTGTGTGATCAATGTTAATGCTGTTCTTTTTATGTGCAACACTGCCCTCTGGTTTTAGCAAGCAGTACAACACTCCTGAGTGTCCTACACATACCTGAAGATGCTTCGATCATGCTCATCCATCCATCCATTTTCTAACGCTTATTCCCGTTCCCGGGGTCGCTGGAGTCTATCCCAGCATCTTCGGGTAAAGGCAGGGGACACCCTTGACAAGGAGCCAGTTCATCGCAGGGCTGACATATAGGGACGAACAACCATCCACGCTCACATTCACACCTACTGTGGGAGGAAACCGGAGTACCCGGAGTAAACCCACGCAGACACAGGGAGAACATGCAAACTCCACACAGAAATACCAAGTTGGATTTTGAACCCAGGACCTTCTTGCTGTGAGGCGACAGTGCTAACCACGACACCACTGTCCCGCCCCTGATCATGCTCAAATTACCATCATTTTTTTTAATTCAAAGATAAAACTACGATGCAGCACACATAATGACTACTTCACAACCTGAAAGTGAACCCATTACAGTGGATTCATACAGACCAGACTGGTAAATATATAAAAAATACTTTTATTAGAGATCTACCTTTTGAAACGAGCATCATAGAACTGGTTCAAATGAAAGTAAGCAGCACCAAGTGACATTAACAATGACGAACAACCCAGACAAAAACCAATGGTGGGAAAAAACGTATTAAAGTTAGAAGTGAAATGTACTTTTGAGTCCTTTTTTTTTTCATTGTGCAGAGAGCTGGTCCAGGTCGTCATGGCTACGACTGGAGAGGTGGGCCTCGAGAATCTCTCCAAACAAGTTTCTTTTCAGCAAGTTGTAGGCCATTGGCAGGAGCTGCTTCACTACCTTGTGGAAATACTGTGGAGAGATGTGAAACCAAGGATTATTTTGTAAGATTCAGGCAGTAAGAACAGACAGGAGAAGAGTAAGCAGTGCAATTCAACAAAGGAGGTCAACATAAATCTCTGGCTTTGACAGTATAGTTAAGGGGAGGGGCAGAGAGTCAGCAGGTGAAATATGGTCAAATCTCTATGTAGTAGAGTGACTCACATGGGATCCATAAGAGAAGAGATCTATTCCGAGCTCATAACCCATGCCGTAGTCGCACTCATCATTGGCAAACTGAACAAATGTGATCATCTCCTGGAGAGGTCCAAAGGCTTTGACACGCTCTTCATCATTCCTGGCTTCAGCGATAGCTTTGCAGATCTTTTTAAGACCAGCTGGAAACACAGGAATGAGTATCAGGTCAACAGTTAAAACAATGGTATAGACTTTTTTTTTTTTTTTTTAAATCTTAAGCTGAATTAACATGATTACAATAATTTCACTCACCATCTGTTTCAGGTAGTTCCCTGTATCCTACATCGTTCTTGTCTACGGGAACAACAATTCCAGCAGTGTGGAATGTCTTGGTGACCACCTATCGGGTTACAAAAGATTTCTAATTAACAGATGTATAATCAGCTCAAAGTTCAACACAAGTTTGGTCTAAAAGTCAGACCACGAGAACTCTGAAAAGTATTTCCTGCACAGTATTAAATTAAAGTCATGTGATGGGGCTGGAAATCTGTTAAAACCAGAAACTGTGACTCTACATTTGAAGTTAGAGTAATCTTACAAAATATTGACCTGTGGCACTTAGAATTTGCAAAATAACAGGGGCATACACATACACCTATAACTTGAGCGTTTAAAAATCTATCATTCATTTTAGTATATGATAAATAAATATAGGTATACAGGTGTTGAAGTATATAAATACATTTTTACTTGAGAATTTTGAGATGGTTTTAATGCTTGTTTTCTTTGGACTTTAAACTTTGTTGGAGTCACAGACAATAATGTACTGGGTTACATTATGTGGAAAGAAACTCCTGAGACTAAAAGCTCTTTGTTACTTATAATGGAAATAAATCTTCAGTTACCTTTTTGTCTCTCAGCTTCATGCTTTTGGTCTTCTGCTCTAAAGACAAGCCCAGCTTCTCAGCTCGGTCCCTCAGCTTTGTCTCTAAGCCTTCCAAAGCCTCTCTACCCTCTTTTTTGCTGCCCAGCTCTTTCCTCCTCTTTAACAGATACAGACTGATGGATGAAAGAGAAAAAGAGGATAAACATTAGGGAGGATTAAGTGCTATGCATTTGACATCACTGTTTAGCAAGTACCAAGTGCAGTATTTGTGTTCAATTTATTGATTGTGTTCTTTAAAATGTATACAGCTCAATGACACATATGGTGGGTGTACTCACAGGACAGCAGCAAATATGTTGTCCCCCATCTGTGTAATAGTGTAGCCTTTTTTTGCTTCATTTTCCCCGACAAAAGAAGGCAGAGAGTCTGGAGTATCTCTGTGGGATTTGGGAAGACTAAAATTTAGTAAATCAGAATCATGAACAACTCCTTCTCACAAAAATGTACTCTGTATCTGGTCCGTTGTCTCCACACCAGCATCAACATTACATGTTTCAAGCCAAGGGCTCTCTAACTGAAGCTACAACAACTTACACCCTTCATATGAACAAAAATATGAGTACCATACCTGTAATAGCCGATGTGATGCTGAGTGTCCTCGCTCCCCCGAAGGATAGTTTGAAACTCAGGTGGGTCATAAAAATACCTCCAGTGAAGGTGGAAGTTGGGCTGAGGATTTTTGATGTCTTTGTGGGCTCCAGCCAGGATGTCAAAAGGACCAACCAGCTGCAATCCCAGTGTGTCTTTCAGCGCAGCTATTATAAGCAAAAGTACATTCAATTTTCACGTCAGCCAAACGTATGTATTGATATCTCTACATTTAGAAAAAAAAGTCCTCAATTTTGAAGCAAAGACTTAATCTTATCAGCAGGTTTCATTAAATCTCTGATGATATTGTTTTATTACAGTTTCTTTTTACATATTGTCATATTGTACGACTTTCTATTGGCTAAGCAAGTTCTGGTCCTGTTTCTCTTTCTTTACAGACAGATAATTGACTAAATGTTGGATGAACCTCCTGTACTGTCATTGCTATCAACAGCACACACAGTTTGTGAAGTGAGCTTACCACCAGGGCTGTCAGGACAAAGCTCCTTGCAGAAGTCCCAGAAGTGGTACAGATCCTCTGGCATTGGAAATTTGTATAGTTGGGATATCTCATCACGTTGCTCTGAATTCACCTCTGATGATGGCACTTCTTTCAGCTCATCTGTGCGGGCTTTCTTCACCTCCCCGTTGCTTGTACTGGACTCCTAAAACATGTCAAAGGGGAAACAACCGTTTGATTTGCAAATTTTCTGCATATGTTTTGTAAATGACTATCCATCAGGTAGACTTTCAGCCATCGAACACTGGATACTTGGTGATGTTAAGGGAAGTTTGGCACCAAAGGTAGCTTCAGCATTGCCTGTGACATCTTTGAAGGCATATTTGTTTCCCTAAACCAAAACCTGTTTTTTCCTGCAGGCACATGTTCAGGTGATTTTCACCCAGCAATAGTGATAGAGGGTAAAGTAGGTTTGGGTGGATTTGATAGCTGCATGTAGGTGAATAAGGTCAGTAAGAGTGGTCCTGGAATTTGCATGCTATCTTTATTTAGTGCCGCAGTTATGAACAACTATCATAAAGTAGTGATTTTGAAGGGAATTCAAATGGTGATAAGAAATATTTTTGTCAGCTGGTCATTTTTACTCACTCAAAATCTGCCATATTTTGGTTCTCTCTCCTGCAGCTGTTATTGTGCCAAAGACCCTGAGTCTTCACCAGGGAAGACTCACATGTCCCAGGAATGGGTGGAAAAGAAACTAAATTTCAGTTATTTTATTGCATTTTATATGGCCCCCTCATGGCAATTTCCCCCTCCCTTTGGACATTGCACAGTTAAAAGTTAAAGAAAACTACTTTAATTTGTCATGTATTGTCCTATTTTGATATATTTTGATGACAAGTACTTTTTCTTGGGTTTATTATTTCAGGTAAAAATCACCCAACGAAAGTGATGGTGTTACTAATTTTAGTGATAGTGTTTGAGGGTTAAATAAGGTCTCCTGTAACAAAGGTTGACACAAATGGATACATACCACCTTGAATGTCAACAACAGTATTATACATGACAAACACCAACAGCTTTGATCTACATAACTCTAGCAGACATCAGCTGATCATTATGACCCACAGATAGCTGGGATTAGTTACAGGGTTGTTAATTTATAGCTGTTCTGAATATAGACACACAACAAACAGCCATAACATTAGGAACACCTGGGCGATGTAGTGCAATCCAAAACAGCAGCTAATCTAACCATGCCACAAGTTGTTGCTTTTGTTGTAGACCTGGTACTATAGCAGTGGTCCCAGGTGTTAACTGTGTTGGTCTTTATGAAAACGTGGAAGCTGAAATAACACCCCAATTTTTTTCCAAGTGTAGCCCATGGGAACAAATACATGTGTTTTTGGGAGCCGGTTAAACAATGCATCAAATTATATTTTCAAAAGAACTGCGTGAAATCTTACATAATGTCTACACTTCAAACATTTAATGTTTCCTTTAAGAGAAGCAGGAATCAAATGAAGAAGACCCCCCACCGGCTTCATTGACCAGATCTTTTTAAGGGTTTGAAATATTAGTGTGAGGATTTTATTATTGCGCTCCAAGATTTTGTAAAGCAAACATCATTGTAATGTTAACGTATCAACGTATGCTCGCTGTGAACGTCTACAAACAAGCTGCTTTGTGTCAGTCTGGAGCTGCTGCTGCTGCTGCCGCTGCTGCCATGTTGTCCTCTGACCACTGCTGCCTGCCACACACTTCTGCCCACTGCGTTAACCAGGCGCTATTCTGTCGTTACTCTGACTAAATACGGCATACTCCTGAGCCTCACCACACCGACATAAACGGGTATTTCCTCAGTCAACCAGAGAGGGGTCGAAACTCCGTAAATTTACCTGACTGGATTTGGGTTTTCTTTTCGCGCGCCCTGTCATTTTCTTCCTCTTGTCTCCGCAACGCTTCTTCTTCTGTGGTATTGAATGTGCTGCGGCTGCAACATCTTACAGCGCATTACAGCTCCCCCCAGAGGCTGAGGTTGCCAACTGCAGCGCTAGAACTCAATGAGAAATGTCATTATATGTTGCCTGGTTGTTGTAGTCTATGATACTGAATAAGTGCAAATATAAAAACTACTCTGTGGAAGGTGGAAAATTTTTTACCAGAAAATAAATTTTATAGCTGATTGTTGAGGGGGGATTTTAACTTAAAGCATCAGCGGGCATGTACAACATTAAAACGTTTTTGTGTTTCTGTTTGTGGAATAAGGTTGTGGAACAGATTAGGTGTGGAGCTCAAGCAATGTCCAAGCATGACCCAGTTTAAAAAGCGGTACAAAAGCATGGTGGTCACCAGGTACAGGGAGGAAGACGGGCTTTAACGACCAGGTGTTTTCATAAATGATTAATGTACTTATTTACTCTACTTATGTTCAAGTTTTTGTTAATATAATTTAAAAATGCTGGAGACTGACTGTGTATTGAGTAGAGGAGAAGGGGCAGGTTTAAAAAAAGTATAATGCTTCATCCTACTCCTTTTCAGACATGTTGGGTATGCATTATTAGCAGTAGTAGTTTTTATTTATTTTTTTTGCTTTGATAATTGTTATTGTTGTTCTGAATATTCTCACATGGTTAACAAATGAAATGATTGTTTCAAATATCATCTTTTATTTTTGTTCAAGATTAAAAACAAAGTGATTTGAAATATACAACACTAAGACTCGTCCACACATCACTGCGTCCTTGTTGAGTTTCACCCATTGTCCCTCAGTTACCATGGGCAGTTATTGCCTTTTCATACCCACACACTATAATGAAGAGATATTAATAAATCACTGTTTAAATGTAACATTGATAAAACATTTTCTGAGCTGTGTTTTATCTTCATTTTATTTATGTTGTCTTGCCCTTACAGGAAAAAACTATGAATAAAATCTTAGCTCATCTGAATGACACCAATTTTCATCACTCGTGTAATTTTTATACATTTGTGGCTTCATTAATATTTGTTGGTAAATAAGAGCCTTTGTCTTTCGATTTGCATATAATTTAACACTCCTCTTGACTCTACATTAAAAAACAAAACCAAGGTTGAATTACTTTCATTTTATGACACACTCGTAGTTAAGTAGTGATTCTGATACATGTTTTTATACTTCCTTTAGTAGAGAAATAAATAAATAAATGAAAATTCATGTTTCTATGTATTTTAACAAAGTGAGGCAGTGGGATTAAATACATAGATACTTCATCAATAAATCATCTACATGAGACCAAAGGAATCCTGTTTCTATTCACACCTTTGATTGTATGCTTAAGGTAGCATGACAGGACTGAAATTAAACCCAAATACTTAATTGAAACATAAAAAATAATGACAGTCTCTCAACCAATTCCCTGCAGTTAACCATCAGGTTGAAGGCCTGAGTCAAACCTCCTCCAGCAACAACTGCAAACAGAATCCAAAACTGGACTTGATAGCGCCATAAACATCGTACACACAGTGTAAAGTTCCTACACTTAAAATTGAAGATCAGCGCCGGCGTATGCTTCGTAATTGACTGGATGGTCTCTCATTTATGTCAACAACACCAATTATTTTAAAAGAGACACAAATATGTACATCACAGTATAAATGTTATCGAAGCTGAGAAATCCGAGTGATTTTACTAATTACATAACAGGGCAGAAAACAGCCACTCACAAAAGTTCACTCCTAGTTTGACTGTCTGTGGCGGCATGTTTTGCAAAGACACATTCAACACATTATGCATTTAAGTATCGTGATATGGATTCATTACACAGTACAGAGAAATTCAATCAAAACTACCACATTACTTTAAACAATGGTGTACAATATTAAATCCCTTCAACATAATTTGCAGTAAAAGTTCATAAGTGTCTTCACCGAGCAAATATTTCCAGCAGATTTGCCAGGCAAAGGAAGAGGAACAACAAGTATGGATGGGTAAAACTCTTATGTGCTCCCCAAGCTGTGAGATCTTCATCTTCTGCTCAGTCCTCTACTCCTCTGTCTGTGACTTTCGTTCATCACCTTCACAAGTTTCCAGGCTTATACTACAAAAACTATTTTCACTGTCCTCCTCAGCTTCCCGAGCAAGTTGCAGCCAGTTTTCTCTGTTCTTTTTGCATCCAATCATCAGCGGGGAGCACGCTTCAAACTGTGCTGAGACAGCCTGGGGGAAATATTGACAAAGAGTGTGATGACTGGAGCCATGAGAGTGATTTAAGCAGATGATGACAAAACATAGAAATAACCCACCTTATAGAGTGGATAGCAGACACCATCTATGTATTCAACTTGCAGGTATGGCAGACGAGCGCTGTTCTCTCTGTTCATTATGCCCTGGTACAGAGAGAGTGTAAACAAGCTGTTAGAAAAGAACCTTTTCATAGAAGGTCAGGTCAATTATAGTTAATCTAATTAAGCGTAAGCCTTATTTTGGGGATTTCCAAAAGAAGTCTTAATGGCTGGAAAAGCCCTCGAAAAGGCTTATACGATATGGGATCCCGAAGGATATTTCCTCTGATTGCACAAGATGCGACCTTTGACAGAACTAAATATTTAGGAAGGCATTTCCCTCAAATGAATCACTAGTAAATAAATTAAATATCATCCTGAAATAACGCCAGGAAATATTTCTGGATTTCCTCTCTACTAAATCAATTTTGAAAAAACACACATGCAAAAACTCCAGTTTCAATATATTTTGACAACTTGGTCCTTTTTAGTAGGTTGAATATATTTATCAAGTACATTTAAAAAAACAACTCACAACAGGATTGATTTTGAACTCTTCTTTCTCTCTGTCCCCTTGTGCAAAGAACTCCATCGCAACCAGGTTGGCGATCTGTTTTGACAGAGAAGTAATGAATTCAGTTTGCCTGAGGTGTTGGTGTGAGGTGTTCAGATGAAAATACTGAGAGACGTACCCTTTGCTGTTCCTGCCAAGGCTTTGTGATGGCAGAGAGGTCACTGGCTGTCATCAACATCGACCTGAGAGGTGAAGAAATACTTTAAAAAGGGACAGTCCTGTGCATGCACCACCTCAACATATAACTCTATGATGTGATTCTCACCTCAGTAGATCTCTCTGCTTCTCACTCTTCCAGTTCGCTTTGTTTTTCTTAATGAGACTAAAGAACTCTTTTCTCCTCCTAACAAGACGGACACAAAAAAAGAGTGTTAGGGTTAAACAGGATGCACAATGCTTACCAGTAAATCACGGTTACTGGAGATCTGATGTTTTAACATACTCCATAAAGACGGTCAGGTCAGTGGCGAGGATGGCCCTCTTGATCATCTGTAGTACAGATTTTTGATCCTCTGGAGAGAGACTGTTGAGAATCTGACATCCCTAGGAGAGGAGGGAGAAGAAAAATGAAGAGTCTGAGAGATAAGAAGCTGTCTGTTTAGAAAACAGCCATGGAGTCTACACTTAAGCTTTCATGTAAATTCTTGAAGAGTATCATATGAAATCAAAGCTTTTGCACTTTATGTGTTATTATTGAAAAACACTATTTATCTGTTATCACTAAATTAAAAAAAAGAAAGAGGAGATGATTTGAAATCGATGAAAAGATGAATGGGAGAGGTCTTACAGCATTGTTTAGGATAAAACGGCACAAGTTGTAGTGGTGGTTTTCAAGAGACGAGTGTCCATAAAGTTGAGCTAAAGGTTGTTGACTCCTGAAAAATAGAGAAATGAAAGTAAGAAAGCAGCAGCTTCAAACTGACTGAATTACCAAGAAAGTGCACACAGATCAATTAAGGGTTAAAAATGACAGAATACGATGTTATATTTACTTTTCTATGTAAGAGTTGCTGACTCCTCTGTGGTCAATATCGTGACACAAAGTGGAAATCATCAACGCTAAAATCTCCAAACGGGAAAAGATCGTCTGTAAAACAAAATGTAGAAAGAGACAGAAAATGAGTGCAAGAGAAAATAAAAACTTACACTTCTTTAGTGAAAACCTGATTATTTTACATATTTTTATTACACCAACTCAATGAAATAGATAACTGTCTTGTAGTAAGAGAGCAATAAGGAGAGAGTTAAGTATGGAGGAGCAGAGGTTACTTAAGTTGATCTCCAGACTGTTGTGTTTGATCCCCTTAATAAAGCAGCTAAGAGGGTTTATAAAGGTCTAAAATTATTCTTGTTACAAATAGTAAAAGGTGGCTGTGCAGTTAGAGAGCCAGCAGTCCTCAAATAACTTCACCATAAATATCAGAGCAGACAAACTTTAAACAGATAGTACTCAGAAGATATTTATGAAGAAGACACAGCTTATGGCAGGGTTTGGCAAAAGCCCTGAAACGACTATTTAGCAGGCGGTGTTAAAGACTCGATTCTGATTAGTCAAAATCCCTTGTTCCTAAGTCCAAACAGCAAAGGCAGAGCCAGGAACAGACTGATCACACAGATGACACTTCGATCAGCAGAAGGGATACAGCCCGTCAAGTAAACTGTTGAAGATTTCACCTCTTCCTGTTGACAGTGTGGAAAAACCACTGACAACATGGAAGATATATTTAATATAATCATCAATTTATTAGGAGAGCACAAAACTTTAGACGGGTTAAGATATGTCATTCTCAGGGATACATTTTGTTTCTGTATTCAAGTGAGAAATAAAAAATATCAAAAATCTGCTGACTTTGGGATATTAGGCGAAACTTGCGTCATCACAATGTCAGTTATAGGCCTGAACGATATATCGTTTGACCATCGTCATCGCGATGTACGTGTGTGCGATAGTCACATCGCAGAGCCTGCGATATTGGAGGTGAATGAACTCATTTAATTTCAAGGGTAACCGACTGAGATACACTCCATGTGACTCTGCATGTGCTGTGCAGCGATCCACCAATCACCTTCGTCCTTAACTCAGTTGCCAATCAGACTCACTTCTCAGTTGCCAATCAGACTACCCTGCCAGCTGTCAATCAAAATCAGGGCGGAGAAAACCCACCCCTGCACATGTTCTGCACATGGAGGGAGACGTGTGTCCGCTGAGAATTACTTTCGGAACTTTACTCATGACTGTTAAGCCCAACAAATAAGAACTGTATGGGTTTTAAATTGTACATTTCCGTGGACCACTCTACTATAAGCAGTGCGCGTTTTGCGAGGTGCATGCAATTCTCGGAGGACATGCGTTTCTCGGCACAACACCGCTAACAACAACAACAACAACGATCGCAAAATGAACAACGAACAAGCGAAAACCACCGAAAATGAAGATTTGTTGCCAAAAAGAAAAGGAAAGTCAGTTATCTGGAATTATTTCGGTTAAAAGAAGGATGATGTCGACCAAAACACGTCTTCTGTGTTCATCTGTTGCCACAATAACGTCCCAGCACAATAAAAGCTAAAAATATCTCTGAGACAGACAGAAGCCGTTCTACTAACATTCACAAAAAGAGGTAAGATCAGAGCAGATTAACTGTCCTCAAGATTTCAGCAGTGCAGCATAACATTAAGTGCTATTCAGGTCATCTGGTGAAAATACTGTATTTTTAATATCGCAATATATATCGCAGGGTTGAAAAAATCGCAATATTATTTTTTTCCAATATCGTGCAGCCTTAGTCAGTTAGCATTACATTTTCTTGACTTTATGGCCTCTTGAATAAAACAATGCTAAGGATCAACTGCCAGAGCCAAGGTTTGTAAACCACAAATCAGGTCTTTAGTGTGTTGATAGGGTTTGAATAGTTTCATACTTTTTTTTTTAATTACAGGCAGCATGCACCGGTGAATTGAATAAAATAAAGTCTCAGGAGCTCTCAAGCATGATAATTTTGCACACGAAAAACAGATTTGCCGGTGAAACTGGTTTTGTTACATGCACATGAGAAACACACTCACCTGGAGTTGGTCTGTTGCCATGAGAATAGCGAACATGCTCTGTGCAGTGCTGAGTGCATGGCTCCAGTTGTGATAAGGCACGTTGTTCCTATAACCGCGTCTCACAGTCAGGACCCACTGACAGAGACTCTAGGTAATACAGACACAGACAGCTTATTAATGGATGAAAGGTAATAAAAATCCTGAATCCACCACTAATGTTGACCATAGAGTCAGTTGTTGATGTTAGTCACCTTGTAATCAATGTTAAAATCCTGCACCAAGTTGAGGTCCAGGAACATACGAACAGTGGCCTGGGAGGTTGTATCTTCTGGCAAACCAAAACCAGAAAAACCAAAGTCCAAAATACGCAGCGATTCAGAAGAAGGAATTGTGGCGTCCTGAAAGAAACCAAACAGGAAAAAAAGTTATCAAAATATCCTAAAATGCAAGAAATTAAACAAACAGACAGGTTAGATTTCTCTGTATCTTTTGTCATGACCTTTGCCACCCACATGGAGTGACAGCTGTCATTCTTAAGTTGATAGAGCTTTAGTTGCTCATTTGCAGAAAATCTTATTAATCTATCTGTCAGCATTCCTCAAAGGGGGTTGATGAGGGTAAAATCAGGGGGCTCAGAACTGTGAAAAAGAGGATGATAAACAAACACGTCCAAGAGAAGACAAGACGGAAAGTACGTTTTTCTCTCACCTGCAATGCTTGGACTTCCTGCTCCGCTGCTGTGATGTGATAGGCCAGAACCTGTCACAGTAAGAAGAAACACAATATTTGAGTTTCATTCCTCTGAAACTGGGAAACTGGAGCAACAATGAAACAGAAACGTACCTCCTGTGTAACCTCAATACTGGCTCTCCTCTCTTCTGTGATCTGTACCGCCTGAGCATATTGCAGGGCGAGACCGCAGTACACCGCCAAGTCCTCCAGTAGGCGCTGATCATATCTGTTGAAGGCCTCCAGTTCATCCGAGTCTCTGCATCTTTTGCACATTAGCTGGCACACCGCTATTCAATAGTAAAGAAGTTAATAAAGGTCAGTTTCACAGAGAGACACAGCAGCCATTTTCTTTGAAAGTCATGCTCAAAGTCTGAAGCTAAAATGCTGTTCAAATGTTGTACACCACATTTTTCCACATTCAATTTAAAAGACTGGAGGAACATCACGCCATATTTTGTGTCAACCTAACATCTGTTTCAGTTCACAGCTAACTTCTTAACTCGTCCCCAGTATTAAAGCTCCAGTGAGGAGTTTTCTACTAATCATGATAATCAATGAAATAAATACTAATTCCTCTATATGACCAACGAGTGTGGCAAAGACCATCAAAAAGAAGAGAGGTTATTTCTCCAAAATGGACACAACTTAAAAATCCCTCATAGGAGCTTTAAATAACATGATGAAATTGGCATGTGTTTTTAGCTCAGGGCTATGTTAGCAATCTGGTAGGGATGTAAAAGCTCACAGTTACTGTAGGTGCATGCTAGCATAAGCCAATATCATTTTCTGTCTAACTTAGAGAGTGAAAGTGAGACTTATGTATAAACCATTCAAATGAGTCTTACCAATAACATCTTCAGACCGTTCATTTCTGACAGGGCAGCAGATCAGACTCTTTACAGATTCATCACTGCTGTCTGACAAGTTAATTGTTTCCATAGCAGACAGAGTGCGCAGGGCGTACGACTGGTCGATGTCACTGATGTCACGCTCTCTGAAAAACGACACAAAACCATAAGCTAGTTTCATGTCCAATAAAATCAGTCTAATCAGTCAGCATATCGACAAGATGACAAGTTTTCTGTGTCTTCAAACTTTAACAGCATCTAAAAAGTACCTTCTGTAGATCTGGCAGGTAGATCCAAGTTCTTCACACTCAAGGTGGATCACTCTGGAGAACGAATCCTAAGAGGAAACCATCAAAATGACAGACAATACTTTACAATAGGACAGAAATGATAAGATGTGAAAGTTTGTGAGGACAAGAAAACTATTAAACAGGATAGTGCACCTTGTGTTTTTTGCTGGGGATGAAAATAGTGCAGTACTGAGCACGTGAGAAGGGCATGATGGTGGCCGCCATCTTACTGATCATAACCTCAAAGGAATGGTGTTCCTTTGATAGAACCTCTGCCATCTCGATCAGGGCCTGCACACAAACAAGCCTGGGTTTTTATCAACAGACACATGAATACATACAGGATGGACTGTCTGTCTGTTGTTCCCTTGTGTTGTTACCTGACTCCGTTTAGCTTCCTGTCTTGAGCTTTCATACAACTGGACATTATCCAGGAACATCCCCAACACATCCATGTGATTGGACAGCACCTGGTCAAAAAACAAATCACTATAACATGAACTTGACCCAAATGTACTCGCCCCAGACAGCCATTAGACCCCAGGCAGAGGAATTGATCAATTTATACAAAACGTTGAAATTAGAGATATGCATACAGTACATAATCGAGCGATATCAGATTAGAGCAAGTGCTGTTGTACTATAGAGACACAATATACAGGGCACAGGTCTGCAGGTGAAGTGCAGAAGTTATTCAAAGCCATTCTGATAATTAGTACAACAGCATGATATTGAGTGTAACAGCTTTTATACAATAATTATTCAAGTCTCATGTGTACTGGTAAGAACTTGTCAATAAGTAACCCTAGAGGATTGCTCTGATTTGTTCATTCAACCTGATGAAAATAGTTGCAAAGGAGCACATAATTATTTCCTTGCACACTTGAGTATGTCCAGAATGTCTGCCCCGCAGCAAGTGGATATCTTTGTTTTTGTTTGTATTGTGAAACAAAACATTAGTCTGCTGATAATTGCTTGAGGACCAGTACGGATAATAAAGTGGTATTAAGCCACTGTGATGATAGCACTTGAAATGAGTTGATATTCAGTCTGAGTGCTATAATACCCTGTATTAGTGTTTATATAAAGCCATTTTTCCTATTATTAAATTGTGTTGTGTAATGTGTAATATACCATAGACAAAAGCTCTTACATTTACTATCCATTGAGTAACAGGTACAAACCTAGCACGACTCACCTTTTCGTCCATGTTGGTAAAAACAGAAACTGATCCATCGGAGCCATTTCTCTTGTTAATCATAACAACTACACCAACCACCTGTGCAAAAGAAAGAAGATATTTTATATTTCTATGTGTAATCTTTAAAATAAAATTAAAAATCATTGTGTCTGAAGAGGGCTAAGAGGTAAAGATGATAACAAATAACAGATGTTACCTCTCCTCTGTGGTTCTTGATGGGAATGCTCAAAATGGTCCGGACCTTTGAGGACTGATTGTCAACGGTTTCAAATCTGGGGTCCTGTATTAGAAAAAAAACTTTAAGTTAATGAGACTGCAGAAAAACAAAACACTTTTCTACGTTTGTTAAAGAATTTAAAATGCTTCATGTTGGGTCAACTAGACTTTTATGTAATTTGTCAGTCTACAGACTACACCTACACACTTTACCCTTTACTTTTCAGACACAGCCAGACAGGAATACCCCCCTCTCTAAATAACCACGGTGTCCCAAAGCTTAAAAGGAACTAGGCCTCATGTATCCACACCCACGCTGATTAGGGATTACCCGGTGTGCAGTTATGCCAAGTGTTGGCACAGAGTCCTAATCTCATTGGTGTTAAAGGCCATGTAAGGAGAGGGCGAGTACCTTGCCGTCTCTCTGTTTACATGTGTGTGTGTGTGTTTTATGTGAGGAGAGGACAGGCTGAAGAGTAGTAGATATCTCTGCTGCGTCTTTAAACATATGCTAATCTGTGGAAGACGTCTCTTATAAGATTAGGTGTATGTGCGTCATCTGGGATTCCCTAACGCAGCTGAACCCTTGATGAAAATGCCAAGTTGATCTTAAAACAGCTTATCAGGAAATAGGGGACATATTGAGGCTAGAGTTTTAAAATATCTCTGCAGATTCGCAACATCAACGTATGTGCTCCGCTATGTCTAAAGGTTTACCTCTGATACATCTCTCAGGTTCATTGGTGACCCTGTGGACATTACACATCCCATGATGCCCTTCACCAGTTCCATGTGTGCACAGATGCTGTGGTTCCCTTCGCTTGAACAACCCAACTCCATCAGAGCAACAGCCTCCTCCAATGTGCTCCGTCCACCACAGTCTTTCCTCACTAAGGAGACACAGCAACCTTCTGCTTCAAGCAATTCCCCAGCGTGAAGGACGGCGCCATGGCAGAGCTCTGCCACAGAGCCCATCCAGCTGAGACCGCCTCTCAGGAGCTCCATCATCCATGGGCACCACTCGCCATTCCCGCAGGCTACAGTCGATGTAGCGGTGGGACGCTGAGGCTGAGGGGGGGAGTGGGATAACTCAGGAGAACTGGGGCATACAGGTGAAAGAGGAATACCAGGAGAGAAGGAGAAGCGAGAGGAGCGAGGAGAGAGAGGAGAGTGACAGCCCATAATATCTGGACTGAAACAATCGATCCACTCAGAGGCACCGCGGTTTGGAGTGAGGGGCTTGAGCCTGTCTGGTGTAGAAGAAATGGTCAAGAGTGAGCCGCTGAATGGTGAGGAACCTCTACGATGGTGGGGAGTCTTCATGAGCACGCCAGAGTGATCTGAGGTGCTCTTATGAAGCCTGGGGGGCAGAGGAGACGTCTCGGTCTGTGCACCACCGACCCTACAGCACAGACAGGACAGAGCACTTCAGGTTACTGAAATATACTGCTGAGACATAAAACACCATTATAATTATAGTCCCACAACTGGAGATTTGATTGGAGTCTGATTTAGACAAACAAAATAAAAGAATAAAAGATGACTTTGAGAACTAAAGTTTAAAACATGAGCATATAGTTATGTCCTGATTATCATTTTCCCCTTTGATGCAATTGACATAGATTTCCAGTCAAAAAGGTATAAATCAAGTTTTCTAACTTAGTTGTAGGGGAGAGTGAGGTAAGATGAGCCATTTTTCATATTTCAGATCACTACATCAAGTCAATCATAGTTTTGTCTCTAACTAGTGAATCTGCAGATATTTGAAGATGTTGTTCATCCCTGCAAACCAACAGAATGAGTGTAAACAGAACTGTCTTAATAATATAGCATGCCAAAAAAGGTGGTCTCCTATGGTCAACTTACCCTATACACGGGGTAAGTTGAGCCGTATCCCTACTACCCCCCCCCACTCTCCACTCCAGCCCTCCCTCACCTTCTCTCTCCCTAAATAACAGTCACTTCTTCACATTCATGTGTATTTTTATCTATTATACACTATTCAACTGGTACAATAATTATTTTTATTATTGCATATAACTGTTAAAAGCTGTTTTGTAAAAAACCATTTTAACACGAGAATGTCTTTAAGTGATTCAGAACATTCACAGCTGTATTTTTGAAAAGAAAAAGTAACACATTTCAACAATCTGAACTGAAACTCTGATCCTCTCATCAGACTCCTTTACTTTCTCAGTTAAGCCACTGGCTTAACTTACCCCGGGCCAAATTGCTCAACTTACCCCTGAACTACTTTTGTGACTTTATTAGTCCTCTAAACTAAAATGGTGGACTTTAATGTTAGGTTTTTGACCTCGTGTTGTAGCTCATAGATACCACAACTGATGTATAAAACACATTTAAAATGATCTTTTTTGGTCTGAACACAATTCTAATCAAACTTATGACAGACTAGATTCACTTTACAGAGTGAAAAATGTTTTTTGTTTTTTTTTTAAATAAATGTCTAACCCCTTCACCCATGTGCTTCTAACCTTCACAGACTCCATGAATTGATGCCCATCTCCTAAATATTTGGTCACATGATCAATTTCTTTTACCATTTCCAACCAACAGGGGGTGGCTCAACTTACCCCACTCTCCCCTGTAGGCAAGTATCTCTTTAGTTATGTCCTGATAATCCATTTCCCCTTTAATGGAATTGACAGAGATTTCCAGTCAAATGGGTATAAATTAAGTTTTCTGACTTAGTTGTATAATTAGTTAAGTTGCACTCCAAGATTTTTTTCAACCACCACCACAGGAACTCTACTGCAGCAGTAACAAGTGATTTCCTGTCTGAAGATACAACAAACTTGCTCTTTTTGACTACTTTTCTTACACTTTCTTAAGACTTTTTTTAAGCCCTTTCTCACACATTGCCTGGCTGCTGTTGTTGTTTTTCACTTACGCGGAACCTCTGCGTAGGAAGTAAGCTCTTGTAAAGTCGGAGTGGTCATCGAGCCATGCCTCCACCTGGTTGCTCTTCACGCCGACCTCAAACCTCTTCCTGTGCGTCTTGGAGCGTGGGCTCCACAGTGGAGAAAAGAACCAGCCCGTGCTTTTCATCGTCGGCGGTTTCGTCTCTTTCCCCCCGTTGAAGGACTCCTCCATTCCCGTGGCAGCATCAGTTGATGCCTTGGCAGGAGTCGTACTGCTTGACTCCATGGACTCGAACACCTCAGATTGCAGGCAGGGCATCCCCTCGCTCAAATAAAGCGAGAAAAGATCCACCAGACTCAGTTTGAGGAAATCAGAGTCAGCTCGGAGAAACACGTGCCATGTGGAGGAGCTCAGACAGACTACCGCGGTGTGCCAGAGAGCAGGGTGATGATGTCTATGGAGCCGCCCATGGAAAAAGGCTTGGTTCAAGGTAATCCCCTGACCTTTACTTAGGCCATCAGGTGTAGGCTGTTCATTGTACTGGACCGATTTAACTTTTGTTATACAATAAATGGCCCAGGTCCAAAAAGTGACTTTAGATGTGTCCCTTGTCATACTTTGCAGGGCCTAATAGCCTACTGACTAGACTAACTACAGAAAGTTCTAGATCTATTTAGCTATTTGTCTACCAGGCAAAAGTTTGGTAAGGTAAGGTAGACTGTATTGATCCTGCGTAGGGGAAACTGTTCCACCACCAGGACAAGAAGACTCATACAGACAACAAACAGCATGAAGACGCCAGAAAAACACAGACGAACACCAGATACTCAACAAACACAGTAAAGGCCAATGAAACATGATTTAAAAGTGATACAATAAAAGATAAGGACATGATTAAACACAACAAAAGCCTGATAAAAATGAATAAATACTAAAATGAATACCTCTACAAACTATGCAGCAGTGCCAAGTCAGACCCTAACATACACTGTTAAAAAATCTCACTGCTGCTGGAACAAAAAACTTTCTCAGTCGCTTTCAAGACCTTTGAAGACACAGTGCAATGGATGATCTTTGTAGCCCAGGATTAATTTTAATTTAGACCTGGTCCTCCTCTCAACAATGGCCTCAAAACACCTTCTTTTTTAATGTTTATTTGTTTTTATTACTTTCTACATTAAAGATACTGATGACAACAAAACTCTCAAGCAAGATTTATGGAATTATGTAGCAGACAAAAAATGTGAAATACCTCTGCTTTTGTTTTCTATCTTAGTTTCCTCAAAATAGCCACCCTTTGCTTTGATGACAGCGTTGCAAACCCTTGGCCTTCTCTTAGTGAGCGTCATGAGGTCATTACCTGAAATGGTTTTCACCTTACAGGTGTGCGTTGGCAAGGTTTTCAACAGGACAGTTACCCCAAACGCACTTCCAGGCTATGTAAGGACTATTTGACCAAGAAGGAAAGTGATGGAGTGCTGCGTCAGATGAAGATGAGGCCTTCACAGTCACCTGACCCAATGGAGATTGTTTGGGATGAGATGGAGCGCAGAGTGAAGGCAAAAGGGCCAAGAAGTTCCCAGCATCTCTGGGAACATCTCTGTGAACCCCTTCATGACTGTTGGGAAACCATGTCAGATGACTACCTCAAGAAGCTCATAGGGAAAATGCCAAGAGTGTGCAAAGCAGTAATCAAAGCAAAGGGTGGCTATTTTGAAGAATCCAACATATAAAACACATTTCAAACTTTTTGTTTACTATATAATTCTATTTGTTCATTTATAGTTTTGATGCCCTCAGTGAGAATTTACAATATAAATAGTCATGAAAATAAGGTGTGTCTACCTACATACCCCTCAACCTCAAAATGGCCCTCTTCTTGAGTGCAAAATCAGTGACATCTGTATCACTTCAAATCACTTCCTAAAAATCACTTCTGTCTCTTAAAACCATTTTAATGTCCTTAAGTACTTCACGTCTTTTTAAAATCTCTTGTTTTGTGAAGATGTATGATTTATTGTTCCACTGAAGTGTAAATCCATCTTTTTTTATTGCTTTTATTTGGTTGATTTTCATTAATTTTTGTTATTTCAGTGTTTCTGACAGTGCTTTCTTTGTGTTCATAATAATAATAATGATAAAAATAAGAGGAAATAATAATATTGTGATATGAAGAAAAGCAATTCAATTATTTCATTCATAGTTTTGATGCCCTCAGTGAAAATCTACAATATAAATAGTCATTGAATTTAAGAAAAGTAATTGAAAGAGAAGGTGTGTCTACCTACATACACCCTAACTTCAAAATGGCCCTCTTCTTGAGTGCAAAATCAGTGACATCAGCATCACTTCTAATCACTTTCTAAAAATCACTTCTCCTCCTCATAAAACCATTTTAATGTCCTTAAATACTTAACTTGTTTTTAAAATCTCTTGTTTTGTAAAGATGTTTGATCTATTGTTCCACTGATGTGTAAATCCATCTTTTTTTAATTGCTTTTATTTAGTTAATTTTTATTAGTTTTTGTTATTTCAGTGTTTCTGACAGTATTTTCTCTGTTTTCATAATAATAATGATAATAATAAGAAGAGCTTTTATCATTGTGATATGGAGAAAAGCAGAAGAATCAACATCCTTTAATCAATTCCATTTCTTCCAGGTTTAGTTCAGCACGTTTCCTTTACCCTGAAATCTCCCTGAGTTGATTGGCACAGCACAGGGTGTGTGACAGTACCCTCTGCTGGCTGCTTATTTCTTTATCATCTGCAGTGGGCGGGTTCATGGATGACAGCTGTGCAGTGATTGGCTGCTCAAGGAGGAGGCTGCCATGACACAGTGGATGCTGCACAGAATCAGTTCCACAGCATCAGCAGCCAGCGCACCTCCATCCTCCTTGTTCTCCCTCTCTCCTTCTCTTTTTTCACCTCCTTCTCACCACTACCACCCTAGCTCTCTCTTCTCTCTCCCCCTCCTCCTACTCCTCTCCCCCGCGACAGACAGGGAGGAAAAGCAGCAGCACGAGCAGCAGGCGGACTGGTAGGTGTGCTGAGGCCTGTCTCCCTCCTGCAGCACAGGCAAGACATTGCGTTCTCCTCTGATCTCCGTCAAGGACTATCTATTTGAGAAGTGTGAGTGTGTGCGTGACGAGAGCAGGGATCCAGAAACTCGGCAGTGACAACCACCACTCCTTTGGAGCTCTCATTTGCATCGGCAGGTCTACACAGGGAGGATGTTGCTGTGTATATTTTCTCCTCCTCTGTGTGCATAGAGATGGATTTATATCCTCTGTTCCAGTGCTGGTGCTGTCTGTTGATTTCCTGGGATCTGCTTCAGTGCTGACGAGGCCTCGTGTGTTTGCACACGTGTGTCTTTGCCAATGAGTGTGTTGAATGTCTAACAAAGGTCACATCATTTGGCATGCTGTGTGAATGTATTTTCAGCTGGCTTAATGACGGTCTTCCTTTATTTCTTTCTCCTAAACCCCCGTCATCACCAGCCATCTCATCTACTCCTTCTTGCATCACATCTTCTTCCTCATCACCTTCTTCATCTTTGCTGCAATTTTCTTCCCCTCTCCATTTTTCCTTTTTTTCTCCTCCTTGTCTGTTCTTATCTGCGTCCCTCCTTTACACCTCTCCACGTTCCTCTTCCATCCTTCAGGCCAGTTGGTTTTCCCAGGATGCCTTGTACCAGGCCACTCCGCTAGGCCCTAGCAGCATGGGCGGAGCCTGGGTGGAGAGAGAAAGCACGGATTGGACCCTTCCCCTCAGGACGGGCGCGCTGGCGGGTCACCCTCTCTCTGCTTCAGATGGGCGAGGACGCTGAGAGCCCCAAAATCAACCACACCTTCCTGCGAGACTACGTCACTGAAGGTAAGTGATGGTGTGTCATCCTGGTGTCTGTGGTGTCAGATATCATGCCTGTACGATTGAAGGGAGTCATTTTAGCTCCATGGGTGCATTATCCCTCCAGTGATGGATATGGGAATGACTGTGGAAACGACTTACTGAACACTTACTCAGAGATATTCAGAGACATGATCCAGACAAATCGTTGTTGGAGTGGTGTTTTTATTTCGGTATACAGGACAAATAACTCTGATCTAATTGAAAAAGATTCTTTGTATGGATCCAGCGTTTCTTAAAATTTCATTTTTTGCCGATCCTCTCTCTGTCTTTCTCCTGTCCATCACTTCTGTTTTTGTTTGTTCTTTTTTTTTTTACCACTACTCATTTAATTGGCTTTTTTTTCCCTTGTCGTCCTTCCAGCTGATGTCATCTCTACGGTGGAGTTCAACCAGACAGGGGACCTGCTGGCCACAGGGGATAAAGGTGGCCGAGTGGTCATCTTTCAGAGAGAGACCGAAGTCAGTTTAATATTTAAAATTCTTAGTTGGACCCTATTTACAACATTTTTAGGGTTATTGTGATATCTTTACCCATGCATGCTGATTCAAATCTCTGTTTCTCTTCCTCTGTTTACCTTTGATAGTCTAAGGGGGATTCAGAGGAGGTGGGGGAAACAGGCGAATCGGGGGAGTACAATGTCTACAGCACGTTCCAGAGCCATGAGCCAGACTTTGACTATCTTAAAAGTCTAGAAATTGAAGAGAAAATCAACAAGATCAAATGGCTGTCACAGCAGAATGCAGCACACTTCCTCCTCTCCACCAATGGTGAGAAACGAGTGATAACCAGAACATCTGCCAAATTCATAATCCCTGTTAAGGATGAAGAAGAAAGAGTACATCTGTATCCAGCATGTGAATGTGTTTTTGATTGATGTTCAAAGTGACATGACTGACTTTGGTGTTAAATTACAAACTTCAGCACAGCCCTTCTCCAGTTCCCAGCATTATGCCAGCCTGGCTTCATCTTCTGTTTCCAATAGAGGATAATATAACACAAAGTCAGTCAATGGAGTCACATTTGTGGTAACGATAGAGGCATCAACCTACAGGTGTAGAAAGCACAGGATCTGAGCGGTGCTTTATTTGCACCCTCATTCTCGGACGAAATTGCTCTTAAAGAAGTGAGCGAGATGCAGCTCCCTTAGCAGATCAGTTTTCTGACTGATGTACAAAATGTCATAAGATATCTTTTCAACTATCTAAAGCTGTTGAAGTTTAAGTTAAGGCTTATATTGACAGTTTTTCCAGGATCTTATCAACTTTCAGTGACGTGCAAATCTCTCTGCCTGCCACAGATAAGACCATTAAACTGTGGAAGGTGAGTGAGAGAGACAAGAGGCCAGAGGGCTACAACCTGAAAGATGAGGAGGGACGGCTCAAGGATATCTCCACCATCACCTCACTGCAGGTGCATGCACACAAACACATCATGCAGTACCCCCCATGTACACGTTTATCTCTGCTGGTCAAATATAATCGTATCTCTCTTGTTATCTCTCACCGTCCTGCCTTCTGATTCTCATCTCTTCTTGCTGACTTTACTGCGATGAAGCTCTGTGTAAACATCTGTTTTTAAATGTGTTTTATACATGAAGTTGATATCATATTTTTTTCCTTCCCCTTTCTCCTTTTCCTTCTGTATTACTTGTTTTAAACTATATCTAAGGTACCAGTGCTGAAACCTACAGATCTGATGGTAGAGGTTCGACCCAGACGAGTTTTCTCCAATGGACACACCTACCATGTCAACTCCATCTCTGTCAACAGCGATGGGGAGACCTACCTGTCTGCTGATGACCTTCGCATCAATATGTGGCATCTGGACATCACAGACCGCAGTTTCAGTATCCTTTTTTTACCTTTATTTGTTTTGTTTAGGTCACAGAAGTTTCAATTTGAATTATAGTTTACTGATAAAACTGCTTTTTTCTGAGAGTTTTCTGTGGTGGACCATGGATTATTTTCTCGCATGTTGTCCTATGTGGAGAAAGCACTCTGGATTTCACAGAAAATATAATTCTATGGAATTCTAACGAATAGGGGAGATGGATGAATCGGCAGTATCTATTTATTGCATGATTTTTTTTTTATGGTTTAAAATATTTTTACAATCGTTTTAAATTCAGTCACGTTCATTTAAAATATGGAGTATTTACTTGCCTATTAGATTATAAAACTGTCGTGTGATATAGATATTTTTGTATAAGTTCAAGGTGATCTGTTAAAATGAGGACACAAGCAGCCTGAATATGTGCATCACATGTGACCAGTGTCGAACATGGACTACATAGACTAGAACACAGACTGCATTGCACAGGCCTGGGGTATCCAAATCTGTTCTGTATTCCTATTACACTTTTATTTAAAACCTATTTTGCATGTTTCTTTACAGTTTTGCCGATCTGTACCATCCATAAGCACCAACATTTTAACACACAATTTCCTGTCCTGAAATACACATGCAGTGGAATATACTTTACAATCCTGCTCATCTAAATTCAATCTGGATCTATATTTAATGTAAACATCTCATGGCTGTGTCTGGATATATGTTGAAAGCAGAGAGCGGTGTACCTCAGGGGAGTGTATGTTTGGTGCAGGCTGTAGTGTGATAGACCGGGTGCATTTGGTGATTTCCCATTCAAATGGAAGCTGACCTAGAAAATCAGAGAGGCATCTATGGAAGAGGAGTTTAAATAATTCAGTCAGCAGTACACTTTCTACTGAACCACACAGGACTGCCACAAATAGAACAGAGAGGAGCAGAGTGTGCGGGTATACTGGGGCTTTGTTAGGGAGCAATTTTGGGGCGTTTGGTTATGAAATGATGGAGTATGGAGAACATGTTTGTACAAAAAAAGGAAAGAAATCAGATCTATTTCTCTTTCTGTGATGCTGCGCCTTTCCTTTGTCTGCTCTTCCCTTGGAATATGGTCCAACCTTTGTTGTGTTGAATCCCTTACAGACCATCTTTTTCAGATATTGTTGATATCAAACCAGCCAACATGGAGGATCTGACAGAGGTGATAACAGCGGCAGAGTTCCACCCACACCACTGTCACCTGTTTGTGTACAGCAGCAGCAAGGGCACCCTGCGTCTCTGTGACATGAGAGCATCTGCGCTCTGTGACAAACAAGCCAAATGTGAGCATGTCGTGGAGCATAGGAAGCATACATGGTTCATTTTTGCTGCACAGAGCTGAGCATTCAGTATGTTGGTGCCCTGAAACGGTTTTAGTTTTTAAGTGGATAAATCCTCCCTTACATAAACTCTCCTTCTCTGTCATTGGTCAGTGTTTGAAGAGCCTGAGGATCCAGGAAGTCGCTCCTTCTTCTCGGAGATCATTTCCTCTGTGTCAGACGTCAAGTTCAGCCACAGCGGACGCTACTTGCTGACCCGAGACTACCTCACCGCCAAGGTGTGGGACCTTAACATGGACAAGGGCCCTGTGGAGACATACCAGGTGAGCTGTTCCCACTCTGTCTCTCCCATGAAGACATAGAAGATATTTAGGATGTCGATGTTGCTCCTTGGCTTCAAATCTGTCTATCCATCTTGATTCATTCGGGGTTGCAACGGGCTTTAGCCAGTCTCAGTTGATAGTGAGAAAGAGGCAAGGAACCCTGGACAGATATTCAGTCTGTTACAGGACTGACATTCAGGTACAAACAACTATTTATTTTAAAACAATAAATTATTAAAGACACTAGTTTACATCATGCAGTTGGGCTGTTGGAGAAAATCTAAGTGCTTGGTAATGACCCTCACAAGCATAGAGAGAATATGTAAACTCTTGATCGAGTTTCTCCTACCTTAGCAGGATAGTCCAGAGCTTTCTCTCTGTGAGGTGACAGCACAAATCACTGCACCACTGTGCAGCCCGGCTTTAAAGTCAATCAATGCAAAGTGCTTTAAACTTGAATGATCCTTACTGGACATCTGCAGTCTGATCGCAAAAAAACTCAGTATGAAACCTGACCCAAGCAAAACCAGTTCCAGTTCTTGTTCGAGTCTTTCTCCTCACAGGATGGTGATTACTTTGAAAAAACCCAGTTCCATGTAAAGTAGAACTGGTGATAAAATATGTCTTTAGGTGTGGTTTCTTCTTCTTCTCTTTTGGCTCAAAAAAATATTTATAAAACTCTTATCTGTCTTGGCTTATTTTATATAATCTGTTATCTATATTTCACTAGACAATTGAGTGTATGTGCAGGTTTAAGTGCAGGTGGCTCACTGACAAAGTTGAAAAAAGGAATCAAAAACAGTCTGTATGCTTATATGAATTTGTGTGGATTATTTGTTTGAGCTGTGACTTATTTTCTTAATTTAATTGATTAGCATCAACAGCAATAACTGATCACAGATAAATAAGGTTTCCTATCAGAAATGCAGTTTGTTGCAGATGTAGATTTGTACATGTTCATTTCCTATCAGAGGCTGTTTGTCTGATTTTAGGTCCATGAATACCTGAGGAGCAAACTGTGTTCCCTCTATGAGAACGACTGCATCTTTGACAAGTTTGAGTGCGTTTGGAACAGCTCTGACAGGTAAGATGCAGAGAAAAGTAGGGAGCACGTCACTGTGTCTGTGCTTACAGTCATCCTCTAAATGCTCTGCCTCCGCTGCTATAGCTGACATTTTGATCAATTGCAGAGACAAGCTTCGCAGACATCTAATCAATCTCTGTACCCTTAATTTTGCTTTCCTCTTCCCCATCACATCTTGTTTCTCTGAGCCCTCCTGCAGTGCATTCACTTGCCCTTTTCAATGAGACATCTCATTATGTTCCGCTGTCTTCTCTTTAGCGTGATCATGACAGGAGCGTACAACAACTTCTTCCGGATGTTCGACAGGGAGACGGGGAGGGGTGTCACCCTGGAAGCTTGGCGAGAAAGCAGCAAGCCGCGCGCCGTGCTGCGGACCCGGCGTGTGTACACTGGTGGTAAGCGTCGCCGTGGAGATGTAGGTGTCGACAGCCTGGACTTCACCAAGAAAATCCTTCACATGGCTTGGCACCCAGCTGAGAATATCATCGCCATAGCAGCCACTAACAACCTGTACATCTTTCAGGACCGTGTCAACCCTGAAGGGCAGGGACAGTGACAGAAAGAGAATGTGGACAGTGGCGGGGACAGTTCAGAGACGGCAACCCAGATAAATTTGGATATTTAAGGGATGGCATGGGGATTGGACAGCTTTGGCAACATTTCTGGGGTTAATGTAAGATTGGATTGATGATAAAAATGACGAGTGTTATCTTCCTCGATCCCCAAGGATGGTGTTGTATAATTTTGGTTCAACTCTGTGGTGAACTGATGTCTCCAGCATCAACCGGGACACGTTTTTCTTCCCACTTCTCCCACTTTTTGAAGATGTTTGTGTAACTGCCTGATTATAGGGGCAGTAAGAAGAGGTGCAGGGACACCTCTTCATCTGCCATGACTCAGAGCTTATGACCACACAATATTGCACTCCTCCTCCTCCTCACTGATCTGGTACCTTTTGACACAATATGGAAGACAAGTGTTTGGTAGCAACAGTGAAAATCCTTGACATAATAACGTGGCATATTTCCTAAGACTTTGCCTGACAGTTCATCGAAATTCAAGCATTTTTCACCATTGTGGATCTTAGGAGTGATGACATTGTACAGCTTTTCACAGCAACATCTTCAACCGTTTTCTTTTCACTTCTAAGCTGCCCCACAGCAGCTGATCCTCTCCTTCAGAGCAGTGCTCTTGGAGATTGCACGCATAAACGACCCCCGATCTTTGCCCCCTCTCACTTTTTAATAACAGCACTAAGAAAACACAGTGCAGCAATTTTCCTGCTTTTAAACACTAGCTCTTCTTCTACTACAGATATACATACACTCTTTTTACTGCTAGCTGTAAATATCATTTGTTCTTTTTTTATTGAGGTACCAATTCCCAGAGAGCTGAGAGGAGAAATATGAATTTTTAGCATGTGAACTGGAGACCCTGCATAGAGGAGCAGGTGAAACCACACTATTCTCAAAACAAGTTTGTCTGAGGGGTTACTTCTTGTAGCAGTACATCAATTGGTGCTGCTGGCTGTAGAAAGGAGAAGCAAGTCATCCACAAACCTACACATAATGAATTTTTTTCTTATGCAATTGGATTTTGATCAATTGTACAAATGATTTTTTTCTCCAAAGTTGGCATACATGTCTTGTAAATTATACTTAAAAAGAGAGCAACAGAGAGTTAATGTCGACCCCTTTTGGAAACGTTGAAGCTAATGCTGTTTGAGTATAAAAGGTTGGATTAACCTTAAGAGTAATGCTAATTCAAAGTGAGTTGCAAACATACAATACATAAGCACACTCTCTAGAAATGTATTACAATCAAGAAAGATGGAGTTGAAGCACATGTTCTCATAAACGAGGCCCCCAGTTTAGCGAAGTTTTGGTGAGGAAGCTTGTGACCAACGTAAATAAAAGTCAAGGTTATCGTCAGTGCAATAGCTCATTATGTACATTGCAGAAATGTCTTATAATTAAACACGAATGCCATATGACTTTATCAAGCCACAGGTTTTAAATGTCATTTGCCATATACCTCACAGCGCCATATGCTAATCTGGGGTGTGACTGAAAGTTTAGGATGTACAGCAGTGAGGTAAAGTCTGTGTTGGACTGAATTCTGTGACCTGTTCATGATTTGATTGTTTACAGTCAAGTGCTTTGTTTTTAAGTGACCTTTGCCCTGGTGGCATTATTGATGTGGGTTTTGGATGTGTAGTGAAGCAGGGGGAGTAACAAAATACAGACAGAGGCAGAAATAATCACCTTTTGCATTTTTTTCTTTGCAGGATCTATCCACCAAAACGAGTTTTAACTTACAGCCTTTAAAAGAAGAAGACCTGTACTGTACTGTATGTCCCCTTCTCTGTTCTGTCCTCACTTTCACCTCCTTTGGTTTTAAAATTCACTGTCAGAGACATTTCTGTTACTGCAGTTTGACTTGTGGGCACTCCTGTAGTAACTGCTGCGATGTTTTGGTCTTCGGTGTCTCCCATCGTCGTTTAATGCAGACACGATCTAGCACTGATTGGTTTAGGAATACGTTCAAACCAGCAAAATTCACTTTACAGAACCCACAACAAGAGGAAAAATCCACACAAGACTCAGTATAAATTCCAGGTCTCAGTCCTCAGAAGAGCTAACTGTAGTTTAGAGCTGGTCATTTGTAATCCCATCGTAAACACCACCACATTCAAGCAGTGAGAGGATTTATGTTCAGGAGCACAGCAGCAGCAGCATGTCGCCATTACTCAAAACTACTAGTGTGTATATCTATCATAATTTAAAAAAGACAAATCTAACAATACAGAAAACATAAGTATAATGAGGTGAATGAAAGGAATGTGCATTAATAAACTTATCTGAAATCTGTCCGAAAATGTGTTAAATATGTCTGTGTGTGTGTGTGTGTGTGTGTGTGTGTGTGTGTGTGTGTGTGTGTGTGTGTGTGTGTGTGTGTGTGTGTGTGTGTGTGTGTGTGTGTGTGTGTGTGTGTGTGTGTGTGTGTGTGTGTGCATTACTGGAGTCTATTTCTCTTTTTCTTCTGGGCCAAAAAACCCTCCCAGTTTGTTTGACTAATTTTATTACAGATTCATCACACACTCCTCAGATCCATCGATTAATAGACAAGGCATTTAAGTACACGGTACACAAGTTTAACATGACTTAATTTTGTATTCAAGCAGACACAAAACTAGAACCAGAACTGTGAAGGAGTACGCTCCCCTCAGCCAAAAATTGACAAAAACCGTGATGAGAGTTGTGATGTTGATGATGACTCTTGAAGTCTTGAATTTGATTGGTGGGTTCACACTGGTGCCAACAGTGTTTGAGGTTTCTTGACATTGAAGACATAACAGGAATAAAGGGACATGACACTGAAGTAAGGACTGGGGCACTTAGAGTGGACACTGAATAACTTCTTCTCTTGAGTTAAACTATTTTGGATGAAAAGTTGAAAACTTACTTTAAACCGCTTTGGTTACATTTTGAATTAGAATTGGAAATACAACAATACTAATTAGCCTGTTCTGGACCACCTTACTAATAATGAGAAATGTCAGTGTGTTCAAACAGACAGGTAATCAAGAGGTGGACACTTTATCATAGATACAGAAGAGTAAGGACAGTATGGCTGACCTGCATTAATACAGTAGGTTTATAGAGTGTTTTTCAATGTAACTGGCTCCAAATATCATATCTATTAACTGTAATAAAGTGCCACCTGAAGGCCTGAGGATCATGACTATCTGATAACAGTAACAGTTAACAGTACTTTGTACTATAGTGACAAATTGTTGGTGCACATTATTCTGAAATTGTTGACCTACTTGCTCACGCAGTCTCTCACAGAGCGGTGAACCTCTTTCCACTTACAGCTTTGTGAATTATTTCGTTTTTTTTCCACAACACATCTTTTTCAGTGTTTTATTCTCCTTGTCCGAAGTTTTTAATCTTCTTGCTGATGTAAATTTTTAACATTTTTATAGAATGAGTGATTATTTTATTTTTCACAGCACAGTATTTTTTTTTTCAGTTTCAACAGTTGTGTTTCTTAGCCCTCATGTCCTCCTCCTATTGTCTTTCCACTATTTTCAATCCAATTTAAGGATAAAATGATTTACAAACCAACAAAATCTTATTTTATCTACATTTTACATCATTGTCCTGACTTTATTGAATTGGGATAGCAGAGATTGTCTGTTTTTTGGTAATGCTTTCATTTGCTGTTGTAAGACAGGCAGCATTAAATCAAAGTTAAAGTCTGTCTCAGTCAGTCAGCTGAATCTCCTGACAGTACTTTGAAAAATGTTGTTTAAAGACACCTAAGCAAGAACATCACAGCTTTCAGGGCCAGAAACATCAAACTCTCTATTAAAACTTTTACAATAAACTCTTTAGACAGATTAACGCTAAAAAATGCATCAATGTGTACACACACAAAGCTACACACATACTGTACATGCAGTCATGTTTTCCACACAGTATCCTTAATACAAAAGAAGCAGAAAATTGCTCTATCAAAGATCAACTCTGGTTATTTCAAATTAAGTGCAACACGACCCTCAATACAAAGATATATTTTTGTAGAGCCGCACTTTAAAAGTTACTTTGACTTGTTAACTAACCTTTCTTGAACTACTTTGGTGGTTTATGAACTAAAATGACAACCTCTGTAAACTCATGCACACACAAATTCCATGTTGGATTAAAATGTAAACAAAACTGTACGGCAGATTGGAAGTAACAATTTCACATCAGAGGAATATGGAAGCAGGTTCTGGGAGCAGGCCCTCCTGAAGACATCTGAGTGAATTATTCGGACTTCAGATTCACTGTCTCTCTTCTCATGCAGGGATTTTTGCCGACAGGAAAGGGGAAAAGAAAAAATCAAATGCAAACTTCAGCGCTCTCATCGTGGTACGTCTCCAGTCTCTCTCAATCTTCACCTGCCTGCCTCCAGTCAGCAGTGAAGAAACACAATCCAGGCAATGGATGGCCTTCAACTCAAAGGCTGGAGCTCTGCCCCCCAGTCGACCCTCTAGTTTGGTACTGAACTCCACCATGTTACCAGGACTCAGGTTCAGGAGAACTTGTCTGAACTCATGGCTGGCCATTAGGATTACATCTCTGGATGGGTCGTCTATGCCACCATCCCGGATCATACCTACCGTCACCTCAAAGCGATGGCTATCAAAACGCTTGATGTGGCAAGCGTGTTTTGCCAGAGCCTTGAGCTGGCACAACTCTTCTTCTTCTTGCATTCGGAGCAGCAAGGGTAGTGAAACCGTGGCTGAGGCAGAACCAGACGCCAAGTTGGCAGCAGTAGGGTTAGCCGCTGTAGCATTCTTGGGCTCACATTTCGGATATCCCTCTCCGTAGAGACAGCGCAGCCAGTCCCCCATGAACACTGGCAACATGTTAATGACAGACTGCGCCCCATTCTCTGTCTCGGCCACACGTACATGCCTAAATCGACCAGTCCAGGTCACTCTGTGTCCTTGCAGGTGGCTACAGAAAAGCTGTGTCTGGGCCATGCCTTTCGTCTCCCAGGCAGGAGGCCCACATGCCTGACTGTACTGTCCCCAAGTAAGTGTGGAATTGTACACCTTCTGTCCCTCAGCATGGTACACATAGATGGCAAAAAACAAGATCACCATGGAGATACAGAGTAAGATGAGTTTGACTGGGCCACGGTGGGTAAGTGAGCGGAAGACATCCAAGATAGACAGACTGAAACGTGTCCACAGTCGCAGAGTGACAGGAATTGCACAAATCACCAGGGTGACAATCATCTTGGTGAGCTCCAGCTCAAGGAACCACTTGAAAATCTGGATTAAGAGCATAGCTGCAAGACCAAAAGCCAGAATAGGCAAGGCGAATAGGAAGAGAAAGTAGGCCACGCAGGTGCGGATTAGTCCAACTGCGGAGGAATTCTGGAGGAGCACCACTGAGAACTCGCACCACATGAAGCACACGAGATACGGGACAAGGAAGCAGTAAGTTCCTCTGAAACCACGCATCCTCGCCATGCTGAGAGGGGAAAACAACCAGAGAGGAGTGTGATGTTCATTTTAGTCAATCAATAAACAAGTCAGCTGGGATTAATTTAAAATACCACTAACACAATCTGTCATCTAAAAAGGCAAATAATCAATCTCAGAACCCCGGGGACTTTTGGGTTTTCAGTGTTTCTGCTGCTGATTAAGCACCAAAGGATAGCTGGGTCAAGGGGTCCTTTGTTGTTCTCAATTTACTAATTAGAAGTAAAGTGGGTTTTAAAAATAGAGTTGAAATTATGAAGCAGATGAACGAGGTCAAATGGAATTACACTGTCAAGCTTTTTCCAGGTTTCTGTGACGGTAGCAGCGCCACAACGCCTGTGTTCAATGTTTGAACTTGCACGTCATATGACACAGATACATAAAACCTAATTCTATTATTTAGATTGATGTACTGTAAAACCCCACCATGCTAGGAGATGGTAGTAGCCATTATCAGGGGACACAGCCCTGGCTAGTGGGAGATGGCTGGGCTACAGCTTAAATACAGTATTCGACCAACATTTGGAGGCTTAAAATAATAAAACAATTAATTAGAAGTTTAACCTACTATATGGTTAGGATGACAATCCGCTAAGCACATTACCAGTAAAAATGATGAGAATGAAATCATATTAAATTCATTTTGTAGAGATTAATAATTGTTAAACTGTAGTCGGACTACAGTTCATTAAGTGCCTTATGGATGACACAGAATGATTTTTTTCTCTCCACATCAACTGTTCCTTTAAAAAACCAAGATCTACTCAAAAACAGTCAGATAGAAACTTTTGAGACTATAGAGACGAGGATGTTTCTGCAGCAAATGTCTTGTCTGACGCCTGCAGATATCTCTGTAAACAGATTAGAATTTGACAAATCAACTCACCTGAAGAATAGGTAGAACAGGTAAACGTAAAGCAGACAAGGAAGACTGAGCTTCAGCACCACTGACTCCCCTAGAGGAAGCGTAGCAAAGGTACGACCCAGGGAACGAAGCGTTGTCATGTCTTCTGGCAGGAACTGAGTCAGGCAACACAGTGACGAAGCTACCTGATTTAAAAATAAAAAAGTACATTAACTCGTTTGTTTCTCATTTAAAAAATCAAATTACATATAAACACACTGAAACACACAGTTTCCATTCGCTATAAAGACTGGGAATGCGATTATTTAGTGACATATGATGATAGGTGTTGTGCTCTACCTGACCTCTATGACCATCGCTCTGCGTGCATATGCAGCAGCAGTCGGACTGAGACTCATGTAGCTGACGGCGGTAAAGAAGATCGCCACAGTGGAGAGCTCAGAGCAAGGGATCCAGCCCTTGTCAGCAACGGGGAAGGAGAAGATGACGAAGAAAACAGAGAGGATGAAATAAAGATATGGCTCAAGGTTGTTCCAACCAAAGTTAGTTTCTGCCTGCTCCACATCCAGGCCAGGTTCAAAACGTGTCAGCAGAGATGTCAGGGCACTGAAGTTCTCCCAAGTCTGCAAGAACACAAGGAAAGAAGAGAAAGCCGCTTGATATCATAACATACTTCTTATTACTCAGTCAGAGCGACTATCTAAATGTAAACAGTTGCTCATAAATGTCTCAATAAAAAATAGAAATACCAGCAGCATTGTACAGAAATGACGACACTCACTTTGCTGCTCTGGAAAACCCTCAGTGTGCAGATGATCATGGAGATGAAAGAGAGGTAGAAGACGAGCAGAGGGATGACAAAAGCAAACAGGTCAACGGTCAGGTTGCTGATGATAAAGAAGAAGATGAGTGCGTTGACGTGCTGTGTGGGGATGATAGTGCTCAGCCACTGGACACCAGCCCGCGATGCCCAGTCCACCAGGTGCTCTTTCATCTCAACTATGGCATGCAGCGGATACTGCAGCATCTGAAGAGAAGAAAAACAGATGTGACTGGAGTTATTAACGTTTAAAACCCACAAAAGGAATCAAGAATTTATCCATTCAACAGGTCCGAAAACATCAGGTGTATGATGCATTCATAAGAATTCAAGAACTATTCAAAAACCGAGTTTAATGTTGTACCATCAGGCGTGATTTCATGTCCATGGCTTTTTGAATGGCCCCATTCTGCTCAGAGCGGAGCATCATCCTACTTCGTCCAAAACTCCAAGAACTCCTGTGGGTCCTCCTGTGACCTGATGGGACCAGCTCAGCCTTCTGCTTTCAAACACAATCGCATCAAACACACCAGACCTACTGGTTAGAAACAAGTAAATTAAAACAGCATTGTGTTAACAGGTAATCTTTATTTCAGTAGAGGGTATTTTTACCTCTTCGGCTCTGACCTGAGGTGCAGAGCGTCCAGTCATGGTTGTAACCTGACTGCCACTTTGGGGTGCAGAAGGGACAATACCTTGAGCATACTGTTTAGTCATCTCAACAAAGTCATCCATGTCCACCAGATGTGACGCTAAGGGAGACAAAAGTAGGTATATGAAGGCATGTTCTCTCTTTCTTTCTCTCTTTCACTGTGTAGATACTTACACTCACTGCTGACCATGCTCTCCAATACTTTCTGCGTCTGGCCTGAGGTTGGGGCAGGAATCCTGCTTGCAGTGCCACCTTTTGGTGAGACATGATCATAGCAGCGGTGAGTGACAAACAGCTTTTACAGCCTCAGCATGCAATGTGATATTCTTCACAGTGACAGCTGCAAACACTGAGATCTGAAAGAAATGTATGATACTGTGCCAACAAATAACAAAATACTGCAAGTCTCTCTGCAGTGTTTTCAACCAGGCAGGATTGCTGTCACCTTTCATAAAATACTTGATATGGTAGGGGTGTGCGTGCATCCTACCTGGGACGGCATTGACCTGGCTGACATTTTCCAGCATCTCAGCCACAGCCACTTTCTTCTTCCTCTCTGGATTGAGTTTCCAGTACATCATCATGGCTGCTTTACGCACCGCCAGCTCAAACTTACTCTCTGTTGCCAACTTACGCACGTCAGCCTCATTCTCTGGAGTAATTCCTTGTAGAGGATGACAGGCAACAATCAGTGAATGAACACAGATACAAAAACACACGCGTAATTTGAGTTAAATGAGTATTGACCTTTCCTCTGAATCCAACAGCGTTGAAGTGCTCTTGCTGCACCTTTCCTCCCTTGTTTAGCCGCTTTAACCAGCCAAGTCACAGCCAGCTGATTGTTTTGCTCTGTGTCTTTCTCTCCTGCAAGAAGCAAGTAGTGCTGACCCAGCTGAAACAGACAAGAACAGTAAGACAGTAAGCTTGGGTGGTCTTGGGGTATTTAATCATTGAAGTTAAACATGGATTTTTAAAGAGATTCTTCCATTTAAATGAGATTTTATTTATTGTGCAAACAGCACTGAAAACTGAACTAGAACTATTACTTGTAAATCAGTACTCAGTTGAGACAATCCTCTGTTTTCTCATTAGGAAATTCAATCCATTAGGTTTCACTGTGAAGTTCAGAAATCCCATGGATGACTCATGAATTCAGGGTCTATAATCTCCCGTCCCGATAGCCATCTAGTTAATCTGTCAGTAGCAGAGACCCCAGTAGAATATCAAGTGACTGTTTTCTAATCTTAACTGTAATTTTACAACTTCCCCCACAGTGAGAACCAAATGTGTCTATTTTTAAGGAGAGGAGATGTATCTCCATTTGATTTGACTCAGCATTAGTATATTCCAGTTTATGAACCTGCTTTTCAAGTGATTTTTAGAGCATCTTAATGCCAATAATTATACTCTAACTAAAAGAAGAAACCATAAAAGCTTATTTCCTGTTTAAGAATTATGCTGAAACATCTCTTTTATAATGTTAAGCTCATGTGCTTTGATATATGAGACAAACTCAGTGTTCACTAAATACCACCACTGTGCTGATGTGCTGTCACATGTATGTTCACTTTTACAAACACACCCTGTGGTCTTAAGTTCACATGTGCAATACATGACATATAGCACAGGCGAGTTCAAGACGTGTAACCAGCCACTTAGGAATGTACCCTTTTAGAACTGGGGCATCTAAACGGCAAAGTCTGGGCTCATCTTCCACCCCTACCCCCCTTTTCTTCTGACAGTACCTCTGTTTAAGTTTGCAATGACGAGTAAATAAATATGAAGCAAAGAGAATATGAACTTTTTAAATCACTGCACAAGTTCAGAGCAGTGCTGCAATATGCTATGATAGTCTGCATAATGATTTGGGACTGACACAATATCTTCTCAGTGTATCATATTAACAGACTTGGATCATCTTCCAAATGGACAAAAATAGATGCATGCACATAACCAGACTGACTCAACCAGCAGTACTGAAAACAATGCCAAGTGCCAGCCTGTAAGCAAGTACTCTCATACTCACACGGGTCTGAGCTCTGGCATCGCCAGCTTTGGCCTTCTCTTCCATCTGCTCCACAGACAAATCTTCCTCTGGTTCTTCTTCTGGATACAAAAGAAAGATAAAGGAGATGCCTCGAAGGTCCATATAAATATCTCAATAAATAAAAGAAACACCACCCTCAATCAGTGGAATAAAGCAAGGGTTTCCCAAACTTTTCAGCTCATTACCTTTGAAATAAGGGTGCCAGGGACTGGTGACCACCACTGTCCCTTGAGGTGTCTTGACATTGCTCACAGCTGCATGCACACACTAATAAGCCATTCCAAAAACAGGTGTGAGAACAACATAACAGGACACAACAGGCAAACATAATTTATCATTTTAAAGTATTTTACTTTTCAACTTTTGCACATATTCCTTTGTTTTCCTGTCCAGCTGCAACTTGACCTGCTGAAAGTGATGTTCTCGTTTAATCTGTAAAAGTCATGTGGCAATTTAAGAAAAAGAAAACTGGTTATTAAACTCCACTATTTCTACAACAATGGATGAACAATGAAGTATTAAATTATGTTTCAACAGGCATCCTGTCTTAACCCCTACTTTGGGAACCTCCTGATTACAGGACGGCCAACCTGACATGTGACTATTGTAGTAATACAACTTCATTGAGAAGCAATGTGACTCACTGTTCATTTTCATACACACCTTGTTCACAGCCAGCAATGAACAGCTCCCGACTGACATATGTCTTGTAACATGAGAATAGCAAGAAGTCATAGGTGGAGTAGTTGTGAAAGTGTGTGCACTTTAAACATGTCTGTGCATCTGTCTGTCTGCAGATATCCTGTAACAAGTTCACTCTGCTCCATCAACACAGTGCCCATCTCCAACATCAAATCATTGGCTGTAACCAGTCTTAGCTGACAACTGTGTACCCATGATACTGAAATCGCAACAGCATCACCAGAGCTGCTCACTGATGTCATTAAAAAAATTTTAAAAAACGGGAAAAAGTGTCATTTTCACAGGTGCCGCCTCACCCAGAGTATTTTACTAAATATGCGCATAACCCCCTGTTGCGGGGTTCTTGTGATTTACAGCCGGCCTTCCAAGGTGTTGTGCAACAATATTTACAAAAGTGCAGAAAAATGGTCAAATTCTATCTACAAATGTACACAAATGTAACCATAACTTAAAAATTCTCACTCAAGAGAAAAAAAAAAAACAGAAAGCAGCAATACAAAAGTCAGTTTGGTAGTTACTGTTCATGCAACAAACTCCGGGCTCAAAGAAAGAAAGGTCCAGAAAGCCTTGTTTTCAGCCCCCCTAGCCCCTCCCAGTGGGCGTTATCCATTATATAAGTTGGAAAAAAACTCAATTATTCACATTTAAACCATTTTTACCATTTTTAACCTTCAGACTTTTTTTCTGTAAATTTTTGCCATTTTTACACAAATCAATGGAGCATTAGTTTTTAGGGATTCAAGGCAAACAACAAGGGATTAATTTTTCTCGCATCATGTGACCACTTTGACCCTCCATACCCACCTATTTTACACCCGGAAATCACGCGCTCTGTTTCCTCGATTGGAAACATGAACCGGCATGATGGCGTGAATGGACACCCGGCAAGTAAGTGGAGGGATCAATATTAATGTTAACGTGTGTTTAAGTTAACTGATAGAGCTCCAAGTGTGAAACCTTGGTTACCCTATCCAACAGAGAAACGAGAAGGAAAAGTGGCGCTGTTTAGTGGGGAATTAGCGACGCTGGCGGGGAGGGAAATGTTTGGCGCTTATTTGGGTAAGTGTGTGTGTGCGTGGCTCCACGTGAGGACGTCGCTCCGTTAAAATTGCGGAAATAATATAATGCGGTAGTAATATTTCTAATGTTATAATAGTAGTAATATTACCACATTTATTGACAAAAATGGCTCAAGGGATGTAAAGTTGGGATGACTGTTTTATAACGCACTAAATGAACCATTGTCATTTCAGGGTGGATAACACCCCCGTCGGCCTAGCACATGGATCCTCACATAGACATGTTCAGTTCCTACATGTAGCCTCTCTCCCACATGTTGCTCCCTATTCTGTGCTCCTGTTTCCTCCTCTATTCACTGTCTTGTCCTCTTAAATAAAGGCAAAAAGTCTCTCTCTTTATATATATCTTTAAAAACTGTTGTAATTTAATCAGACACAAAGTCTATATCGTTGAACTATTTAGCAAAAGAGTAATCCTGTCTTGAGTTTATTCATGGGCTTTCCTGCCTTTATTAAGAGGATAAGACAATGCAGAGAGCAGGAAACTGGCACATAATTGGATATGATGTGTTGTGAGGAGCCACCAGTTGGACTTAAAACAGAGCAGCCCCCTTTAACCCATTTAACCCATGTACGCATTTCCCTTCAAGCCGGGAGCGTGGATACGTCATTTTGCAACAGTCTGTAGTTTTTCAGTCATTTCTGAAATCGTGGCCAAGAGCCAGGCTGTTAGCATGAAAGTCTGACCTCCACAGTTCACATGGTGCATGTTACATGGATTGAAAGTCACTGAGTGTGTGTGTTTACAAATCTCAACCTGCCAGTCATGCTATAAACAGGACAAAAAAGTGTTTAGATATTTTACTGAGCACTGGTCTACTAACAGAGACCTAAATATTGAATGATGAGATAAAGTATATGGTCTAAAGAAGGACCTTTATTAATGTATATTAGGTTTTATTTACTGTTCTTGCATCTTTTTTTTTTAAATAGATATATGTTCAACTTACATGATTTAAAAAGTGTGCAATTGTCATTTTCATAACGGCCATGCCAGAGATGTTTTCTTGAATGCAGGGACACAACTACTATTTCTCCCCAAACACACCACATGCATCCTTAACTTCAGTAATATACAATTTAACCCCCAACTCTAAATAAAGGCATGCTTACCTTCCTCTTCATCATTGGCTTCCTCCTCAGCTTTCCTGAGTCTTTCCTGTATGATCACCCGCTTTGCCACTGAAGCAAAGGTGCGTTTCGCTGGGGCTGGAGGAGTACCAGAAGGATCTGTTGGAGTGTTGGCTGAATTAGCCGGTGTAGAAGATGCAGATGTAGGCTTGGAAATGGATGAAACTTTGGGGATTTGAGGGGTAGGAGAGTTGGACGAGGCAAATGGTGGTGTTTTGCTTGTCACAGGAGGAGCAGATTTAGTGGAAACAGTTTTAGATGGAGGTTTAGAGGAAACAGCAGTGGCTGAAGGCTTTGACGGCTCTGAAGAAGGGGGTGAATCCATCGGTTTGGGTTTAGAGTTGGTACGAGGGGATGGCTGAGAGGGGAGTGATGATTTTCTAGGTTCTGTAGCTGTTTCTGTTGAGGTTGTAGGTTTTTGAGAGGCGGAGGGGTCAGCAGGAAGGTCACAAGAGATCTGAGACAGAGGAATCTTTTTTGGGGAGGAGGGAGAGGGCCCATCTAGGACAGGGCATGACCCCTGGCTGTTGACAGCATTTGGTGTTGATAAGGAATTCTCCTCCATATTACCTGTAATAAAAAGGGTGCCATTAATTAATCATACGGATCATGATAGTCATGTACTGCTGTCAGGATAAAAGGAAATTACTAGAAGTTAATCACCAGTAAAGACAGGGAGCTGGACTCTGTGAACAAAAAAAAAAGTCATTGCAGAAAAAAATTGACCCTAAAATGATAATTAGATTAAACATATTTACTCAAGTACAACACTTTGGTACATTTTTGTTTGAAGATCTTGCAACTTTGTCTGTTTTTTCCCAACATTTCATAGCAATGTACTTTGTGTAATGTGTGCGTGACAGCTGTAGTTCCCCCTGGACCAAAAGTTGAAACCATGATCGGTGTAATAAATTTCATGCATTCTTAACCCTTTATTGCCTTTTGTATCATATTTGATACACACTGTTATAATACTTCTATCAATCAATATGATCAACAAATTACTATAAAAAAACACCTTAAAACAGTCTGATAAATGATAAAAATATCCTCTTGTGGTTCATCAGTTTCCAAAAACATCTGACGTATCAAACGTGATAATGAATATATTTGTAAAATTTTAAGGACATTTTGAGTTTTTTTTGTTGTTGTTTTCAGTAGTAAATGAAATAAACATTTCAGCTCCAAAAAACTTGAATTTTCTGGCCAGAATTTTTGTGTTCAGGCATTAAAGGGTTAAAGAAAGTTACTGCATAACACTTTATGAAGTTGTTAAAATAATATTCAACTAAAGTGTCAAAATGCTGTGAATAAAAATGCATTATTTATCACAATTTGTCTATAACATGGGTGGTGCCTAACTTCTTAGTGTTATTTTGCACAATTCTTTAAATAAAACTTTATGAATTGAACTCTATTTTTACTCCAGAAAAGTTTTGTCTACAAATTATAGTTGTTATGCAACATGTAGTAAATCACACCAGAAGGAGATCAAATTATTTCTTCACCACCTTTAGATATATGAAGTTTTAAGGAATTGTGATAGTGATTTTCGGAAATAACTGCATCTGACAGTCTGTCTAGTTTTCTTTTCCTCCAGTTGATTCGTGCAAGTAACTGAACATTTTGGCAGCTAAGATCTCTCCCTGTTCTGATACAATCCTGAGTTAAGCACGACAAAGTTCACTTACTGTGCTGTAAACGATCCTTTAGAAATAAAAACAGAACAGTCTAACTTCGTAAAAACTGTGTCTGTAAACTAGTCCATCTCCTCACTGCCATGCGAAACAGAACACACTCACCGTCTTGTGGTCAGACTCTCAAGTGTCTGGCCTGGCACAACAAGACCACGACGCTACGCCCTGCACGCTGGAAATAGACGCTCCCTGATAGGCAGGAAAGAATGTCAATCAAACAGGAAACTCATCTGATTGGTTAGCAGCACATTGTAGCTCGCTATGCAAACTATTGAGGGCCAGTGATCGATAGGAGTGTGTTTTCTCCTGGAACGATTTCAGACTTCAGGCACAATCCTTTTTTTGCAAATATATGGAAAAATTTCAAAGAAAAACTGAAATATTTCGTGGTTCGGGCTATTTCTAGTAAAGTTTCTATCTGTTATTTTAATCGAGTGGTTCAAGCAGACACATTTAAGTGCATATGGGGTTCAGGGAGGGCCTCCCCTAAACGAGTTTCTGTCTCTCCCATGTGGTAGTAACAAAATATAAAAACATACCAAAAAAATTAAAGTATTATGCATGGGTTTAATTAATTTGCTTGCAATTACTGTGTTATAGTCATTGTCACTTTATGTGTGCACCTTTATGTTGTGTGCACACTTTCAAACACTAACAGGTCAAGCTTATTACATCAGAAATTCTCTATAGGGAATAGTATCTGTATTTTCAGTTTATGTACTGTATGTAAATTCGAAAATTTTGCAACTTTGGTGGCACATAAATGGTCAAACAACTGATGATTTAATGAGCATCTATAAATCACAACAACAAATATTTCTGTTTGTTATTGAGAATTTATGATTCATCCTGCATAATTTTCTAACACTGCCAAAGACTTATTCTGACTCATCCAACCTTATAAAAAAATCATATCATATTATAATCCATTTTACTGGGTTATACATATGTGCCACGTCATAAATTACACCAGCAACTGTCTATTGGCAGGAAACTATCTGGTTGTGTAATGCACCCCTTGGTCGTGGCCCTCTGTGGTCTGTTTTATTTGGTGCATTGTTCCTTTGGGAGCTGTCCACCTGCTCGAGTGCTGAAAAGACAGCTCCAAACAGTGCTCTATCCTCTCTCTCTCTCTCTCTCTCTCTCTCTCTCTGTCGACCTCTCCCTGGGCGTCTTTGGGGCCATTACAGTCAGACTTCTGATCCCACTTTTGGTTCACTTCAGCAAATATCCCGTGAGTTTACAGGTCACTGACTTGAGGGCAGTCGAGATAAAAGCACCAGGTAGGGGAGAGTGGGGTAAGATGAGCCATTTTTCATATTTTGGATCACTACATCAAGGCAATCACAGTTTTGTCTCTAACTAGTGTATCTGCATATATTTCAGGATGTTGTGCATCCCTGCAACACTATTCTAATAAAATTTATGCTGGACTAAATTCACTTTCAAGAGTGAAACATTTTTTGTTTTGTTTTAACCTCTTCACCCATGTGCTTCTAACCTTCACAGACTCCATGAATTGATGCCCATCTCCTAAATATTTGGTCACATGATCAATTTCTTTTACCATTTTTTTACAACAGGGGGTGGCTCAACTTACCCCTTGGCTCAGCTTACCCCACTCTCCCCTACCTACTGACCTTACCTTCACTCCCATGATGGTGTTTGGCAATAGATCCACCCCCATCTCTGACAGCAGCTTGAGGGCACACAGCTAACAGTCTGTCTCCCTTCCAGATGTGGGTTAAAAGATGAGACATGCTGGTTTAATCCCCTGATGGTGTGACCAGATCACCCAGCCCCCCACATTGGAGACTTGCTCCCCTTTTGTGCATATGTCTCTGTATACGGTCTCTTGCTCTTTACATTTAAACTAATTCACTCTAGTGCTACCTTTAGAAAGTGGAGCTTTGCATCATTTTACCTGTTTGTGTGTGTGATTGAGGAGGCAGTAAAGGGGTCCCGGACATCTCTGCGTTTCCCAGTTTTCAGCATCAGAGCGCGCTCGAGAGGCGGGGCAGCCAGTGACCCGATTAGACGTGGAATAAACCACGCTCCTGACTCCATCCTTTCAGATTGGGGGAGTCTCTGTCTGAGAGAGGAACAGCTACAATGTCTGACTGCAGGAGACAGTGGAACCGGGAGGATGAGCTGCCGGTCTACCTGGCAGGACCGATCACCACCGGACCGAACCAGAGGAAGAGCTTCGGCATGTTCAGCTCCGTGGAGGGGGCTTATGATAGCAAAACCATAGACTTCGATAACTACGCGGTGGGGAGGAAAGGGAGCCGCACCCCGAGGAGTGGGAGCCGGGAGAGGCTCTTGGATACCGGTGACCCTATCGGGAAGACACCCGGTGAAGCCCGGGAGGGGTCACAGAGCAGCTCACCCGGGGAGAGAGAGGAGGGACGCCCCGGTGTGGAAGTGAGATTTTCATCAGAGACAGACAGCCAGAATGGGAAGGTAAGGATGGAGACATTTCTTCATCTTTCTCTCCCTCCTTCTGGTAGGCCTTTGTGGTTGGCATTCATGATAGCTGTGTCAGACAAATACACAAAGCCATATTGATATCTTAAATTCATCAGAAAAGCCCACCGGCAACAGTTTGTGCTTTAATGATGATTGGGAACATTTTGTTGTGTTGCTCCTGCTTTCCAGGTCCATTCTGGCCCTGACTGACTGAAGTAATTTCTGTCCCTTAATGATTTATTTTTTTATATTAAAGACAAATGCTGTGGTCTGCATAAATAATTCATACTTGTGCTGCATTGCAGATTGTCTATTTTAGTTTAAATCCCCTGCACTATAGGAAAAAGCGATCAAAACATTGAAACTGGACGCCGATAGACGAGGTTGTGTGTCTGTGGTGCTGAAGTGGACAGTGACAGCTTCCTTCACTGTATTGTTTGTTGTTTATGTGCGCGCGTGCAGGGCGGGTGGGGGGTGTGAGCTGCATCGTCTCCTCTAAGCCGAGAACGCTCGCTTTCTGTCCGCGCGCACGCCGAGGATCGTCACCTGTCATTCGGAGCGCGCGCCCCACGCGTAACGACGTTTCCGTACGGCGGCTGATTCATCGCTTTCCATCTCGCACACGCGGAAACAGTCAAGAATATAAAAAAGAAACAAGGGTGAGACAAAAGGGCGCAGAGTGGGCGCCAGAGTCACTGTAAGGTGCTGAATCGACGGAGAGAGAGAGAGCATGTCTGAGAGCGGGCACCAGGAGAGGAACAGCATCCCCCACCTCACGGTAAGAGAGCCGGGCCGGTCAGCGCAGGATTGGCCGGAAGGGCTCTCCGCTTTAACGTAAATCCCTGCAGCTGATACCGGCGGATAGAGGATTAAATTCTCTGTGGGGTGGCAAAGTGCAGAAGACCTTGTCATTGTTTGTCCTGTGAGAAACTGCAAAACCCAAGAAACACAGGTGACATGGTACTACTACGTGTCAAACTAAAGGCGTGTTCTGGTTGAGGGTTGCACTGTGTTGTGTAATCTGGCCGCCTGTCACAGGGATTAACTTGGTTGACTTGACGGTCGAACCAGGAGTCGTTCTGGATACAGAGGCCAGCATGAAATACTAAACGGGTTTGAGATTGGTTCTGTGCAAAGATAACTCCTGAATTTTCTGCAGAAGTCAGCAAAATTTATTGCCAACATCAAATGCCACAATAACCCTAGAACACTATCGCTCAAAGTAGTAACACCATCACTATCCCTGGGTGATTTTTACCCGAAATAATATACCCAAGAAAAAGTACTTGTTTCAGAAATCAAAATAGGACAATATATGACAAATTAAAGTAGTTTTCCATTAGGGGACCATATAAAAATGCAACAAAATAACTGAAATGAGGAATTCATGAACAAAAAAATTCCTAAAAAATAAAAAAATATAGAAACTGTAAACTTAGTTTCTTTTCCTCCCATTCCTGGGGCATGTCAGTCTTCCCTGGTGAAGACTCAGGGTCCTCGGCACAATTACAGCTGCAGGAGAGAGAACCAAAATATGGTAAATTCTGAGTGAGTAAAAATGACCAGCTGACTAAAATATTTCTGATCACTTATATCTTCTTATGTATATGAATTCCCTTCAAAATCACTACTTTGTGATAGTTATTCATAACCACTGCACTAAATAAAGATAGCATGCAAATTCCAGGACCACTATTACTGACCTTATTCCCTACTTGCAGCTAACAAATCCACCCAAACCTACTTTACCTTCAATCACTATTGCTGGGTGAAAATCCACCGAACATGTACCTGTGGGAAAAAGCAGGTTTTGGATCAGGGAAACAAATATGCCTTCAGAGATGTCAAAGGCAATGCTGAAGCTACTTAGGGACCCTTCATACTCAGACAAACGCAACATAATGAAAATCACATAAACATGTTTGGTTGGGTGAAAATCACCCGGCGATAGTGTTCTAGGTGTTCTATAGACCGTTTACAGTGACACATTACACGTTGAAAAAGAGTCAAACATCACGTTGCATTTAATGTTTTCTATTAGCTTTAGATATGGATTCAACAGAGCTGTCAATCAGCTGTTTTCAGCTGAACCATGGATGATCTCTGGTTGCCATGGAGACACAACATCTTCATACTGCTGTTGCTAGGCACCCTCCACTGTGGGTGCATACATGGTAGTCTGAGAGAAACGTGGTGGTCTGACACTGTGCATCATAATCTTCTGTATTTAAATGTACTGCAAAGAAACAGAATTTCTGATGTTTAAACCTCATCAGATGTATTCTTACAGCAAACATGAACGACATCACTGAACTTTAGCCTTTTCAGACCACAGCCATGTACAGCACTTGTTAGATTTTTCATTTCTTTCCCCTCTCATCCTCTGCACTGTGTCATAATCTCGCTATAAAGTCATGGATTGCATAACTGATTGTGCAATACAGTATATCCAAATGCCAGGATTGAATTCACCCCCTCTACCTCTCACCCCTCCCTCTCTCTCTGTTCTTCTCTCCTGCAGAGTGAAAAGCTGTTGATCAAAGGAGGGCGGGTGGTCAACGATGATCAGTCTGTCTATGCAGATGTCTACATTGAAGATGGGCTCATCAAGTGCGTATAATAGTACCTAACATTGTGTGAAAAAAACAAAAAGCATTCACATCAAAGTACACATTAGAGTTGAGTTAAAGTCTATGATGACTTTACTAACTTTCTACATCTTTCGCACTCTTTTGTCCTTGGCAGGCAGGTGGGGGAAAATCTGGTTGTACCAGGGGGTGTCAAGGTGATCGAGGCCAATGGCCTTATGGTAATACCAGGGGGCATAGACGTCAACACCTGTCTGATGAAACCTTTCCTGGACACACATCCAGTCGATGATTTCCTGCAGGGCACAAAGGCTGCACTCGCTGGGGGCACAACCATGATCAGTGAGTCTGTCATCTCATGACATGATATGATACGATATGATACAAGCAATGCAATATGATGATATGAAATGATATGGCAAAAACATCACAATACCATACAAAATAATACAGTTTGATATGAAAAGTAATCATATGGTAAAAAATGATACAATATTAGACAAAATGACAACACAACATAATGTGATTTGATGAGATGCAGTACTATACAAAACAGTACAACATGTAACACTTCTGTGTCTTCTTAGGGAAGTTAGACATGAATTCTGATCCTGCAACAAATAAAAAACAAACAAGCAAAACATCAACTAATATTGAACCTGGGTTCAAATTACACATTTGCAGATCAAGCTTATCGAACATAATGTACTAAATAATAAACATAATGTGATCTGGGATCAAGAAGGGTATGCATAATAGCAGCCAAAAAGAGCTGCAGCTACAGCTGTGTGTTCAGTGGTTTTACACGCCTGCCATCCCAACTTTTAATCCCCTCCTCTTTCCAGTTGACCATGTTACCCCCCAGCCTGGGGACAGTCTTCTGGAGGCGTTTGAGTTCTGGCAGGAAGCTGCAGATAAGAAGGCGTGCTGTGATTACTCCCTCCACGTGGACATCCCCCAGTGGAATGAGACTGTAAAAGATGAGCTGGAGCTGCTGGTGCATGAAAAAGGTACAGCAGTTTTAAGTAATTTAAGAGCTTTGGTCATTGCTGTAATCCTGTCTTCAGTTCCCAATGTTGGCCTTTTCTCCCAGAAACAATAGGGACAGATTTAGAAACCATTTGGAGCTAGAACTGAATCCTCTTAGAATGAATCCATTGTTGTCATGACAAAGCTGTCATGGTGGCTGTGTACACATTTTGCTTGTAATCTTTTTTAAGTAAAAAATCACTTTTCATTTGGGAAAACCACAACGGACTGCGGAAACCAAGCCAATGCAGCTGCCTGTGTGACCAGTGTCTTCTAAAAATAAGTTTCGAGTTGCAGTTTTTGGCTGAGTCACCAGACATAAACAAGCTCTGTATGATTTATACGTCAGATGACGTAGTCGATCAGTTACTGTTGTTTACAGCCACAGAAGTTTAACTTTTTTGCCTCGTGTAATACATTGTTCTGGCCACATTCCCACAGTTTGTCTTTAAAATTGTCCCACTTTGATACCCTGTCATGCATAGTAAAATTTGCATTTATTGTTGTTGTCAGGGATCAACTCCTTCCAAGTGTACATGGCGTACAAAGATTTGTACCAGCTGTCAGACTCCCAGGTATTTTTTAAAAAATGACTTACTGTACCAACAACCATAACTGTGAAAATACGTGTCTTTTCTTCAAATTGAGCCTTTTTTACTCTGTCCTTCTACCTGAAATCCTTTTTTCTTGTTCCTCTGACTCACCCTCTTTCAGCTGTATGAGGCTTTCTCCTTCCTGAAGCAGCTGGGTGCCGTGGTCTTAGTTCACGCTGAAAATGGAGACCTGATTGCTCAGGTTAGTGCTACATAGCCTCTTATTTTTGCCTCTATGTGTCTCTATTAACACCATCATGGCCAAATAACTACAGCACATAATGGCTGAACAGAATCACTACTTTACTTTTATAGTCCCCTGCAACCTGCACTGCAGATAAGAGTCATTCTTGTTACATAACTCCCTGCTCACATAGAGGAGAGGGTTATTGATACTGCTGCTCATGCTGCTGCTGCTGCTGGGTTTGACAGGTTTAACGCAGGCCAACCTGGCATTGGACCATCATTACACTAATGATGGTGATGTAATGGTGATTAAGATGGTGCTGATAATGTCGGCAGCTGTGATCAAAAGTGGTAGTCATAGTTAAGGAGACAATTTTCTCATTTAAGGAGACAGTCATGACAAAAACTATGATTTATGTGCAGATGATTAAGGGCAATGAATGCTAATGGGGATGCTAATTATTGATAATGAAATACTAGTTAACCTCACTGTAATGGAATGAGAGATGAGGGAAGAACCTTAATAGAAGCACTGGGTCCTTTGAGACAAAGCGCTGAAATTACAGTGATGATAAAATAGAAAAACAGAACGTAGGAAGTGGTCTGGCTGTCTTTACAAAGTCCTGTAGCTACTGGATTTTCTCCACTGTGTGCTGCCTTTTTAGGATTACAACACACCGTATTTTATTTTCTGTGATAGCATGACAGACCGTGAGATCTCATTTTACAGCCAAGAGGTTCCAGCAAAAGCACTACAACAGGAAGCTTGTTGGTAAAATATGATCTGACAAACACTGTGTGTAATGCTGACAGTCACTGCAGTAGGAAACAAGAGAATTGTCTTCATATGTGTCTCAGGAGCAGAGAAAAATCCTGGAAATGGGAATCACTGGACCTGAAGGCCATCCTTTGAGCCGCCCTGAAGAGGTGATACAACTTTTGTTTGTCTCTTTATCTGGTTGCTTCTCATGGCACACAAAGGTTTGAAACTTACCCTGACTTCCTTTACTGCAGCTGGAGGCTGAGGCTGTTTTCCGAGCCATAACTCTCGGCAACCGTGTGAACTGTCCTGTCTACATCACAAAGGTGATGAGCAAGAGTGCAGCTGACACTATCACCCAGGCCCGGAGGAAAGGTCAGCCTCTTTTTCTTTTCACTTTTATTTCTTTGACTTCTTCTGTTCTTTATCATTTATTATTTTTTCTCCGGAAACAAAGACTCTTAAAGGGATATTCTGGCATAAAATACTACCAACTTTAGTAACGACCGCACGATAGCAGTACACAGCGATCTGAGGAGCCATAAACAAACCTCAACCAAAACGCCACTCTATAGCCACAAATAATGATCAGAACAGCACCTAACTTCATCAACAGGACATATAGGGTCACAGACATAGTACTAGCCACCAAACATCTTTTTAATTTTGACTCATTTCTTTAGCAAAGAGACTAAACACAACTCACCTACTCTCTTCCAGCAGCTGCTTGTTTGTAGCAAGACCTCGACCAGTTCATTATCGACTGAGGCGGGGTGACGCAGCTCAAGGAAGAACATTTATAATTATTACTTCATGGAAATGCAATCAGACTGAGACTCCAAGACAGAAGAACTACCGCGTCTGCAGTGCAAAATGATTAATATGATGATTATTACTTCAAGGAAATGAAAAAGAAGTTTTCATAAATGTTCTTCCTTGAGCTGTGTCACCCCGCTGTTGTCTGTAATGGACTGGCCTGAGGTCTCGCTACAAACAAGCGGCTGCTGAAAGAGAGTGGCGTTTTGGTTGAGGTTTGTGTTTGGCTCCTCAGACCGCTGTGTATTGCTATTATGTAAAACTAGAGAAGCAAGCGGTCGGCAACATTCCTCTCTCGAGGGAGTGTGTTTGACCCTTTTTAATTTTACACCAGAATATCCCTTTAAAGGTTCATGGACTTCACCGGTTTTCAAATCTCAATGTTCCTATACAGGGTCGGTAGTTTTTGGAGAGGCAATCACAGCCAGCCTGGCCACTGACGGTTCCCACTACTGGAGCAAAAACTGGGCGAAAGCTGCTGCTTATGTGACCTCTCCACCTTTGAGTCCTGACCCCACAACCCCGGACCACCTCCACACACTGCTGGCCTGGTAAGTCTTATATGCATATTTAATGCAAACTAATTAAACGCACTGTGGTTTGTTGTATAATCTAGGCCTTGACTCATTTACAGTATGCTGAGAAGCCTTTTCGTAGATGAAGCCTCCAAGCATAATCCTTGAACACCAATATGTAAATTTCAAGTTAAAGCGGCTTGAAGACAGACATCGTGCTAAATTTAGATCTAACCTCTGCAGAAAGTGAAATGCAAAACAGGCACATGACACCAAAGGAGAAACCTTCAATGATTTAACACCGGCTTTTATTCCTGAGACATTAGTTTGGGATTCATGCCATAAACAGCTGCCTGTGTAAAGCAAGATGTCAGAGCAGCTTCAGAGGAAAACAAGAACCAGATGGAGAGAAAATGAGGGTGTGTGTTTGAACAGAGAAGGGGCAGAAAGAAGGAGGTGCAAGAGTTTGAATAATGGATATCATTTCCAAGCTACTAACTCATGACTATATAAGAGAGGGATTAAGTGTCCTTGACCAAACCCACCTGAGTTCTCACTTCAAACCTACACAAATGCACAAAAAATCCTGCTGTACAATTTTGACTGGCCCGGATTCCATAAATAGCTCAGGAACTAGAATACTTCATCATCTGTTGCCTTGGCTACCAACTGCCTTCCTCTTCCTCCTCATCCTCCTCTTCCCTCCCACCTCCACCCTTTGTTTGCAACTCCAGCTTCTCAGGGTGGGTCTGTGCTGTCACACTGGTGGTGTGATACTGCGGTTGTGTTCGGAGCTTCTGCGACGTGGTGTATTTTTAGGTTCCTCTCAGAGGCAGGAAGAAAAGTAAACATTTTCCTCTCACATTTCAGAGCAGCCTGTTACTCCTTAATAACCACTCTGTTGACATTTAGGACATGATCACACAGATCACCGTCACAAAGTAAAGTCTGTAATTAACTGAAAGATAGAAAGGCTCAGCTTTGTATCAGCCTCTTTATTCAGCCGTAAAGTGAGTAAAGACTGTTTAGATAATGCAGAGCAACTTTGTGACATGATGTAGTTAGCGCCTTAGGAGCTGGTATTGCAGATGCATTGCACCAATCTGACTGTTACATTTGGCTGTTTTTTTGCCCTGGGCCGCTCCACATGACTTGTACTTTTACTAACATACTCAGAGAGGACATCTGGTGGCTAATGGTAGAAACGTCAGCTTGTTTATAGCATGTTTGCTTGGCTGTGACTGTTGAGCTTGAACTGATTTGGTGATCTTCTTTAAGTGATGATCTGTCATGTAAGTTTAGAGATGGGCTCACTCAGCCGCATACTGCTCAATATTGGACAAAATATACATCTTTATTTTTATCTATCCAAGTTTATATTGTTTAACCTTCCTCCTGTTTTAGCTTTTACTACGCACCCACCATGTTAAGGGTCGGTTTTGACCCGTGTCTTAAATCTGCTGTAAATTACACTAAAAACAATTCTCTATCATCAGATTTGGTTCTCATCTCTGGGTTACCTTGTTCGGCTTCATTATCCTTGAAAATATTGCCTATGATGTTTTTTGTTGTGGTCATCAGGGCCTTTCTTTGTCAGTATACCCCTCATACAGACATCCATACTGAACTGATCTCACATGTCTGGACATGCCTGATGTTTTTTGTGCAGGGAAAAACATGGAAAAATTAGAATTTCCTAAATCTCACATGATTGGAAGAGGATCTGACTGTCAGTGTGGTGCCTCAAAGTGCACTTTTGATTTCAGTTTTTGCTCTAATTATTAGATATTGATCCAACCGGGTCACCAGCAATCCTAACACGACAAGTGCCATAATTTTAATAACAGCATTGTATAATTCAGCCAATTAATTTTTTTTTTTAATTTTGTTGAAATAGAGGTTCCTGACAAAGTCAAAAAGTCTTGATGCAAAAAAACTTATTAAAGTGGTTCTTTTAAGCATTTAAAATCAAAACCGGGTCGATGCAGACCCTAACACAGGAGGAGGGTTAGTTAATTTGTGTTAGGTTTTCTCATCTGTGGGATGTAGTATTTAATTTCTATCCTCACTGTAATGCACCAAAAAACACTATCTCCTTGTATGTATGAACCTATTTGTCAATAAACCCGCTTTCAGGTTAAAATGACCTCTTAACTTTATGTCATGTTCATCCAGTGGGGACCTCCAGGTGGTGGGCAGCGCTCACTGCATCTACAGCACTTCCCAGAAAGCGATAGGAAAAGATGACTTCACCCTGATCCCTGAGGGGACCAACGGAGTGGAGGAGAGAATGGGTTTTGTCTGGGACAAGACTGTGGTAAGAAATTAGGACTTTCTGTCTCTGTCTGTGTCTTTTGTGTTGCTGTTAGTATTTCTTTCGTCCACTATTCTAAAGTTCCTCTTTTTTGTCTCTAAGGCTATGGGAAAGATGGATGAAAACCAGTTTGTGGCAGTCACATCTACCAATGCTGCCAAAATCTTCAATCTGTACCCGCGCAAAGGCCGGATAGCAGTGGGCTCTGATGCAGACATCGTCATCTGGGACCCTGACAGCGTGAAAACCATCACTGCAAAGCTGCAGCAATCGGTAAGAGCAACAGAAATGTAGAAAGGGACAGAAATAATGATTCATTATGATATAAGAACAAACTGGTATCCTGATTCCCAAATACTCTTTTTGAATAAATGCACATAACAGGGCTCTGATTAAAGGCAGCATGAAAGAGGGTTTGTATGGGAGATGGTCGGGTGTGAAATAGGATTAAAACCAAGAGAAAGATCAGAGGAGGTGCAGAAATGGACTTTGAAGTTGGAATATAAAATTTGGTCGAGCCTGGCATCGCTTTGATTCCTTAATATTGACGTGGTGGTAGTGATAGAAGGGCAAATTAAAGGCAGTTCATAATATATCAGACCATTGGTTTTTAAAGTTATACAGAGTTGAAATTCTGATGGATATGAAAGTGTAGGATTTGTCTCAAGAGTTGGTTCACCTTATTCAGTATATTTCAGCTTTTTTTTCTCAGTTTTGAAATGTTCTTCATCTGTCAACCTTAAAGAACTGAGAGGAGAAAATGTCTGCAGCTCAGACATGTATTTGTTTCAGTGACAGAAAGTAGCTTCAGTGAAATCTCTTGACATTGAGGACTGTGATTTTATTGGGACACTAGCTTAATCCTTTTCTTGCCATGAGCAAAACATCCCCTAATACTGTTATTGCATCAGAAATCTCACTGACTGATATTTCATTCCCAGGCAAAAAAAAGACAAAAACACAAAGCTGCTTGTACGGTTAGATGCCCTAAGACACAAGTGAGAAAATATGTTGGATCTTGTTTGACAGATTAGATTATCCACCTGTAGATTTCAAGACAAGATGGTGTATTTCGACTCAGCAGAAAGGATTGAGAAGTGAAAATGTGCTCGAAGCAGTGTGACATCATACATGGAGGATATGAGACAGTGTTTAATGTATTCAGTCTGCTCTTTCACTCTCATGTTCCCTAATCCAGACTGCTGCCGGCTTTAGGTTATAATCCCCTTTCACCCCTTATCCATTCTTTGCTGCCATCTTCATACCCATCCCCCTATATTCACACTGTCGCTCCTCCTATATGCCCCAAGCCCCTCATTTATTCATCCCCCTCTTCTCAACTGCTGCATTTCGCTGCATGTATTAAGCATTGATACAGTGCTTGCTGAAACAGCAGAGTGGAGGGTACCAGTTATAAATAGTGGGATGGGGGGGTTGACGAGCTTTCCTTTGTTCATCTGCTTAATTTGCTTCTTTGTCTTGTATGTCCTCTGCACACAGGCTGGAGAATACAACATTTTTGAAGGCCTGGAGTGTCGTGGGGGTCCAGCGCTGGTGTTGAGTCAAGGTCAGGTTGTTTATGAGGAAGGAAAGCTGCAGGTTCAGCAGGGTACGGGACGATTTATTCCCCGCAAGCACTTCCCAGACCTTCCTTACCAGCGTGTTAAATTCAGGAACCAGGTACACCGCACCCCTGAACAAGAGACACATTTTTATCTGTTTTTCTGACACTTGAATTTAATTTAATGTAAAATTAATTTAATATTTTCTAGTAAAATGTGAGCATCCACATTCATTTTTTCTATTTCCTTCATAATATCTCAAAACAAACAACAAATAGGAGTAAACAAACAATGCACTGTCAATGTAAAGCATTATAATCTTACCAAGCTAAATACCTTTGCTATATTATCTTAAAAAAATACATGTATATCTGAACAGTTCTGTTCTCCCACAATCTCCTCAGTGGCTGATTTCTTCAAAAAAACAAATGGTCATCATGGTGACTTGTGGGTAACCGGCCATCTGCTGATTATTGTGACTGATCTCTTTTTTTCTGTGTGTTTTTATCCAGACGAAGAACAAACAGGGCGTGACCCGTGGGATGTATGATGGTCCTGTGTATGATGTTGTTCCAACCCCAAAATATATCACTCCGTCTCCATCGGCCAAAACTTCTCCTACCTCTCACCAACCACCACCACCAGTACGCAACCTCCATCAGTCCAACTTCAGCCTATCAGGTAAATTAACCTACATAAATCCTTAAAACCTTGATCCTAGGTGCTTTAATTTAATGCTTCAACACCCAGACATATTAACAGACATATGTACCTTTAAAGGGTTTATTTAACTCTATAGATTTCTTATATTAATGTAACTGAAACTAATGTTCAGTTTTCCATCATTTCCCAGGGGCGCAGATTGATGACAACATCCCTCGTCGGTCTGGTCACCGTATTGTAGCACCCCCTGGTGGCCGCTCCAACATTACCAGCCTTGGTTAAAAACGCTTGCACAAAGTGTATGTGTGTGTGTTTGTAGTGGGGTTTCACCTCTTGAGTGTGTGTGAGTGTATGAGTATGACTGAGAGTGTGAGCACACTGATATGAATGAAAAAGACATTGTATTTGTATTGGTACAATGGTGACATGCTCTATTTAGACCATTATGGTTTTCATCAGTTTGCCTTGAGTCAGAAGCACATTAACTCTTCCAAACATTGAAGCGTGTGAAATACAATCATCTGAGTCACTCAGAAGTAGAACAACTCACAAACTCATGATCGGGGCACTCACACACACACAGTTTTGGTGTTGGACCCCCCTCCAAGCACCCAGAAGTGACCCCAGTGTTATTTCCTTTCCTGTGAGCATGACTTCCTTCTTACTTCTCCTCCTCTCTTCCCATGTCTTATTATGTGGGTCTGCTCAGACTTGGTGCTCCTTTTTCCAGCTGAGGAACAAATATTTTTAACATCTTGGCAATAGTTGTTTTAATGTGGCTCGAGTTAAAGGAGCAATATGTGAGACATCTACTGAATTAAATCATAAAATCACCATGATATCATCCCACATTAAAGGAAGATGATGTGTGGAAATACTGGCTCCTCTTGTAACAATGCAGCAGCCAGTATATCCTCCTCCAAAGCTCTGGTTCCAGTCCACAATGGTATGTTGTTTTGACCTTAGAGGGGAGGCGGTTTTAAGGCACCCCTACAGAGCTGGTTTGGATGTCCTTCTGGTTGCCAGATACAGTAAAAGACCAATTTAAACAAGTATACAAGCCTCAGCATTTTCTTAAATCACTCCACAGCCAGTAACTTTGCAAAACTTGGATTCATGTTTGAGATGCTTTTAAAAATATAGAGAGAGGTTATAGCGCAGAAATATTTCAAGACTAGTGCAGAGCTGGCCAACTTTCTTTTTATCAGATATGCAGAAAGCTGAGAGGAAGACAAAAATCTGACAGGCGTCGTGTCAAGCAGCCAGTGGCACCACTTGCCAGACTGGCTCTGGAGGTGACCAACAACAAAATTACACAACAGTCTTTCACTAAGAGTCATACATCATTTTGATTTCCAACATAATTAACATGTTATACTTTAAGCACTATGTTGAGAGGATCTAGAAAGTATCATGGCTGGTCGTCACAACAACTTTGTCCAGAAGTGGAAAAGGTTAATCATGCTCAAGTTGTCTGCGATCCATCTTACCATGAAAGAGCAGGTTCTGGTTCCTCCTTCGTTCTCTGGTAAACCACCTCAGCAAAGATCTTACATTGAGATTCAGGCTCTTCTTGGCAACTGAGTCAAATGATCCTTCAGCCTCCAAATGGCTTTTAATAGAACTTTTCACATACAAGCGCTCAGAGCTGAATCATTCAGGATCAATACATCACCTGTTTTTCTGAGGTCAGTGTATGTCTGCTGCCACAGTGCGATTTCCCTTCAGAGGTCAGGTACATAAAAAGTTATATTAAAACTTCCACATTAAAAGCTCATTTAAAACTGAGTTAAAGATAAAGAGATGAATGGACATGTGAGCAGTTCTGCATGGTGTAGGAGCTGGTTCATGAGTACACTGTACAGTTTGTACACTACAGTTGTAGTTTTAACCTTGTTTCGCATCCCTGAAGCTTTCATTGCTTCCAGTATAGCAGACCTTGTGAGTGTCGGCACTTGAGGAGAGGGGTCAGGAAGAACCAGCTCGCTCCAACGTTTTGTATTTAGACTGCAGTACCCGTTTGTAATGCCAGGTGTCAGACTTACATATTGCTCCTTTAAAAATTCTGCATGGACACATCTTTTGATGTTGCACTACTTGTGGTTTATTGTTGCAGTGGAGAAACACTTAAAATCGTAGTAGAAGCACATTTGTATTCAGCTGCACAAACATACTGTATAAACTGGTAAATATATGCTTGGAGCACATTACGACACTCACTGTGGATCGAGCCAGCCGTTACGTTGTTCAAAACAAGTTAACTGTGAACTCCGATAAAAGCAATGCAACTTCCTCTCCACCACCTGATACTTTATGCAATTTCGTCCGTACTCTCCTATCAAGTGTGAAAAGTAGATGAGCAGCTGAAACAAATAGCCTACAAGCACAGCTGTGGACTGCAGATTCCATTTCTAGGTTGTTGTAACTACATGATAGTTTCGCGGTAAGACTGTAAAATGTGTTCGATAGTTTTTTTTTTTGCCAATCACCCATAAAAAAAGTAGATATTTGTTGTGATGATGTGTGCAACTCACTGCTGTAAAAGGGCTTCATCTCCCATTCTTGCTTTTTGAACCTTTTTATTTTCGTTTTATTGACTCTGGATGTTTACTCGGTACATTTATCGTTTCTATGCTGCGCTGTTATGTTGCTGTTGTCTAGTGTCTCCAGTGAAACCACTAACTATCAATAAAGACGCGACTGTTGTGAAAAATGATGGTTAAACTATCATTCCTGAGAGTTTAATGCCCCTTAACATGACAAATGTTGTGTGTGGTTTTTATTTGCAATACTTAAAATCTTTTACAAGCAACTGCTTTCCTTTGTGAGCTGAATTTCTCTGGCATTGCAACGACACTCACAAAGCAGCTCTGCCCTCAAACGTTTCGCTCAAAGTGGGAATTTTAAATAATGTAATAATGTGTCGCTTTTATCCAGGCGGTAGATTGCATGGTAATATTGCTTACCCGCTTAAAAACGGAGAGATTGATGCTAATAAATGAACATTAGCTCTGTAATGGTGACAGAAATGAAGAGGCCAACACTAATAAATAAACATGAGCTTTTCTAGCCATGATAAAATCTTTGTGATGGTACACAGTCTTCATGTTCAAAACCCTCCTCTCACATTCTCTTTCTGCACATGTGGAAAAATCCTCTGTAGCCGTGAGTCTCTGTGAGGCGATGTAATAAAACTGCTCCAGAAACAGGAACAGCCCAAAGGATGTGTGTAAAGCTTTAGATCCCAAATGAGTTAGGCCAATAACGGTGTTATTTCAATATGTGGATTGATTTTTCTGACCCAAAAAGAAGCCCCTCAAATGCTTATATTTCATCAAAGCAACACACCTTTTTTTATAGTACATGAACTTCGAGAACAAGAAAATAATAACTAGAAAAGCACTCGGAGAGCGCAGACCTCCGCCAAGCAGCTCATGTCCCCCTTATATTGTGATCCACACCAAAACTTTTACTGTTACGTGTCTTTTATTAATGTTTATTAGTGTTTAAACTGGTATGTTCACTGTTCATAATGTTCCTGAAACAACAAAGCTCATATTAGATACATAAATGCATGATTTATTATGCAATATATGTAAGTGTACACTTCCTTGTATCTTCATTAGTGATCTTTCAGCATTGAAAATTCCAACGACACCCTTATTTTTGTGTGTTCTGGATCACAGTATCAGGATCAACCTTTGACACCTCATAAAACTCATTGAGATCCTTTTGTGTAATTTTCTACTAAAGACTCTGGTCATTTTTATAGAGTTAAATGCAAAAATTCCCAAATTTGTCCTATCCCACAATGATAAAGAATCCTTCAAAAAGTTCCTGGATCCAGAAGGCGATCCGGATCACCACCAAAATGTAATGGGAACTTCCCGGGGCTGAGACGCACCTCTGGTGAAAATTTCAGGTCCATTCATCTTTAACTTTCTCGGTAAAGTTGCTAACAGACAAACAAATAAACAAACAAAAAACCAACACTACCAAAAACATAACCTCCTTGGCGGAGGTAATGAATTAGCTGTTAGGTCTGTGGAAACACAGCTCATGTGACTTTAAGGTCCCCTCTTTAAAATCTGTAAGAGGTAAAAACATGAAGCAGCATCATAACAGACTTAGTCAGTAAAAAGTGTTTTTTTCTTGATACTTGTTTCTCACTCTGAGGCAGAGACCATATTTTTAATGTTATTTTCAGGTGATTGTGAGTTACTGACACGTTCGTATGAATATGAAACTTTTTCTGCCATTAGGTCCCTGATCTCAATCACTCGACCTCTTGACTGAAGTAAATCGACTGTTTTTACAGTTTAAGAACTCATTAAACTGAAAGAGAAGTGCGATTTGCATGCTTGTAAAACCCACTAATCCTTGAACCACTACCTTTAGAAATTTTCCACAGTCAGCTAACAAAGACTTTTTTTTTTCTACCATTTGTCATGGATTAAGTGTTTCAAGTGATTTTGAAGCTTTCAGGGATTGACATCCATTTCTGCAGTTTAAAGAAATGTTGAGTGCGTGGCAGCTATTAAATGTAGCTGTGGCAAGAAATAATTTCCACTGCAGAAGAAAAGCTGTTAAAACATTTACAAGTTTGTGACCTCAGAAAAAAACAAGGAAAGGTGAGCAACGATTTCTTAGTTAAAATAAAGTGGAAACATGATGTAAAGACATCGGTAACTTCAGCGGGAAATGTTGTACATGGCATGGAACACAATATCAGACCCTCTGATAATGTCAAGGCGTCGTAGTTATGACCCTTGTTGCATTAATATGTGATGAAACTCACATTCCTCGCTGGAGAGGCTCCTTATCTGGTCCCAGGACACAGGATCATATAAATCTTTCCAGACTTGTTTGTACTTTCAGGTCACGCAAAAGACCCCAACAGATATTGACGAAAACCTCTGGCTTTTCTCGATCGGTCAGTTCGAAGAACAGAGACAGAGTTGTTTATTACCTTTCAGGAACTGACTCTGTTACCATTCATCTGCATGGACATCTATGTCTCAACCATACCCAGGTCTTCCATTAGAGATTTACTGTCTTGAGTGTGTGAACAATGAAAAGTCTGAGGAGATGCACACTGACCTCCAGACCTCTGTCATAAAATCCTGCTCAACCATATGCTGCTAAAAACTGCTTTCCTTTGGTGAATAAAAAAACGGACTGATAGTGACGTCTGACATACTGAACAAATGTATATTATTCATTATGTTGGAATGAGTATAATAAAGAAGTGTGTCCTGTTTTTCTGGTTTAAAAGCGAAGATCTCACTCTGACAGAATAAATCCCTCATTTGTTCAGATCATCAGATTTTTCAGATTGTTTCATCAAGAGTTAAAATTATTATTATTATAGATGAATCATAAACTTACTCTAAGTCACAGACATATTTTAGAAATATTAAGTTTAGATTTTGATCATTTATATAGCATTTTTTAAATATTGTAATAACAATAATGGCAAAATGCAGTCCTGTAGAACCCATTTCCAATCACGAACAAGTTCATATATGTGTCTTTACTCTTTTGTTGTCCATAGTTTTTATGTTTTTTATTGCTCTTTTGTCCCAGTCACGTTTGTAAAAAATGTTTTTAACATCATCTTAGTTTAAGTTTTGAAACTTCCCCTTTTTTTTCTTTGACAATCCAAGATTAAGTCTGTATCTGTTTTTTCTTTAATTTTGTAAAGTCATTATTGAAATAGTTTCAATTGGCCACTAACATTGTTTTTCTTAGTTACCCACTTTATTTCAAAGTTTCCTCTGAATGCCACACAGTGGATCCAAAGTCATCCTCTCAGTCAGAGTTTTGCTGTGAGACAGAAGAAGCGTCCAAAGAATCCTAAAGGTGTTGATGCTGCATCCAGGCCTGTGTGCTGTGACGCCTGGACCGTCTTTCAGCTGATATCGGTCCTCTGAAAACCGCCGGCAGCCTGGACCTTCAGTGAAGCTGCTCCATCCTCTCCAAGGACCAGCTTCTCTTAAATATGCAAACCTCCAGAGCTCCAAACAGAGCTGATGCTCTCTCATGAATTCATGATTCAAAAAATCACTAACTGGAGAAACCCTAAATTCATCCAAATCCACATCCAAATCTATCTGTTAATATGTTTGAGTATATTCTCTCTCTATCATTAACTTCAGCAGTCAAAACTTAACTCAGAATCTTTTATTCATCTATCATTTTTATCCCTATTTTTCATCATAATTTATTGCATTTGATTAATTAATTGATTTGATGTTTAATTTCCGAATCAAACTTTTGTCTTGATTTTGTATTATTATCCCAAAGGTGGTTGGTTCCCCCTATCAGCCGGTGCATAAATGTCATCTTTTAAGATTATTATCAGATATTAATCTTATGACATCTATTATTAATTCATATTGCTAAACTCTACTCCTGTGTCTGTTCATAGCCTCGTTTTAGAAACCCATGACGGTCTAGTCAGACAAATTAAATTGAAAATATTTCAATTAAATTTTTGGGATCTGCTTTTGGGAAAATAACAAGTACAGCAAGGACAAGAGGGGGAATGGCTGTCACTTCTTCCCTCCAGCAGAATTATTAATCTGAATGTGTTAAATGGTTTCAAATTGTTCAGATCCAGGGTGAAAATTACTGCCGTAACAAAGCACTCATGTAATATTCAATATTCTACACTGAGAATGACACTTCTATTATCATGATTTCTTCTCCAGATGTGGCAAATTGAAGTGTGTATGAGAAACAATAACAAACAAGATTGAAAGACACAAATTCAATGCTTTACTTTGCAGTTACATACCTCGCAATAGGTTTACCTTGCTTGATATACATATATGTGCTATATTTACACCACAGTGTGTTTAAAGCTTAAAAAAGCTGTCACTTTCAATATGTGGGAACACTTTATACAGTTAGTAATTATGCGATGGCTGTAATATATCCCTCCCATCTGTTGTCCCAGATGAATGTTTCCTTTTATTGTAGTCCTTCATAATAACAGCCAATTTACTTTGCTTAATTTTCCTGTTTCATCTGGCAGAGATTTGTTTTATTTCATTTCAAGTGTTTTCTCAAAGGAAAAGTCTTTGGAAAATATGTTTGCTCAAAACTGGCTCCTAATGTGCCATTTACAGATATTATTATTATGGGTTACCCATTAAAATCCAAGTTTCCAAGTTGGTTAACTTATGATTGATGAAGTGGTAAAAAGCAGCGAATCGACTTGTTTCACTTTGCTGCTTTGATTTACAATGTTAATAAAACTTAATCTGAAGCTTCTTGACAAGCCCATGAATTATGTGTATGAAAATGACAACAATCTGTGTGTGTGTGTGTGAGTAATAGGATGGGTACTTTATTAAGATGTGCTATTAGATAATCAATACATATGAAATGATAATTTTTCTGGTTTAAAGCACGACTCTGAGGTGCAGAGCATGATCATGCCTGACAAACAGTCCAGCAGCGTTTCTACTCTGCATGGTCAGAATATGAAGATTGTGTTGATTTTCACTCAGTTTTCTGCCGTGTCTGCAATTGAAGATACTTTTGAATCATGACAAATGTAGTTGCTGTTCTCTAACTGTGAGACATGTGGAAAACGATTTCTATTGCACTGTGACGACTACGGTGCCAGTCGGATATTTCTGCAGTTCTGTGATCTTCACATGGAACCGCCTTCAGTCTACACTGATATCTTTAATTCATAATATACAGAGCATATATTTGAAAAAAATATTTCCTGGCTTCGACTACAGATTAACTGATTCCAGACAGCATCACCTTCACAGAGACCAGCAGAGACCTGCATGCTGCTGCTGCCATCTGCTCTGGGAGCAAACCAAAGGGATGCAATATTGAGCTTGTGAGAGTGAAATTATGCGCATTTTGTGTTTTTTTTTTCTGGAGCAGGTCAGGAAATCACAGAAATGGAGAGAGCTTAAAATAAAGAAACAGTGGTTGTGTGTTTGGGGGTATACAGGAATCGGAACAAGCGCCATAGCAATGCAGAGACTTCCTTCCTTTTGTAAGGAACAGACTGCTGTTTGGCAATAAAAGAGATGATGGCCACACTCAGGCAAATTACTGAGCCAGCTGGGCTGTTCTTTTATTACTGACAGTCCCTCAGGTCTCTGCACCATTCTTAGCTGCTCAGCTACACTGCAAAGGTATGCTGTAAGGATTTGTACAAAATGTGCAGACAATATTCAACTCAAAAACAACACAATGGTCATGAAAAAATCCTGACTGACATACAGTATGCTGGTTTTTAAAGATACTAGATGTAACTTCATGGATTTAGAGTTCTTACTTTGAACACATGGTGCATTTCTTTTAAATAATAATGTCACTTATTACACTTAATATTCGTGTTGAATAGTCTACTTGATCAGTGATTGGTCAAAACCCCACAACAAAAATAGAGCATAAAGTGAACATTCATTGAACGTGGTTATGTTTGGACTGATAACTGAAATAGAAAATATCACAAACTCTGACAGGAACAAAGTTTCATGTTTTATACGGTTCTGTTGTCGTGTTTCAGAGGGAATTTTCTCTCTAATGCATCAGTCAGCATCAGGAAGTTTAGGAAGTTTTTTCTCGCCACTGTTACTCATGTAAGATGAGACGGGCCAAAACCCATCTTAGGTTGGGTCTTGATAATTCATCAAACAATGAGCGTGGTCTAGACCTGCTCTTTTTCTTGGAAAGCGTCTCGGAATGACGACTGTTGTGAGTTGGCGCGATATAAATAAAATGTGATTGATTGATTGATTGATTGATTGATTGATAAGCTCATTAGCTCATTTTAAGAAATATTTGTCTAAAAGAACCTGTACAGAGTTTTTGTATTTCATGGTGATTCTGGCAAACAAATTGGGCAAAATTATAAGCGTGTTTCTGGGACAAAGACTGCATTTCCCATGAGCACCATCACCCACTGTCCTAAAAATGTTCTGAACCAACAAGTGGATTTGTTGATGGTTGCAGTTTGCTTGAGTATTACCATTAAAATTAAGTCAACACTTTTAGAATAAAGGGAAAATTTGAAGCATAGCTCCTTTCTATACTATGACATGTTTTTTTATTCATATAATCTAGTTAGACAGACTTTTATTTAGTTTTTAAGTTCTGTGACGACATGTAATGCAGCCGTCAATTCATGAGTTACTGTGTTTAATAATTGGGATCTCAATGTCAATAAAATAATCATGTTTAAGATGTTTGTCCTAATTAAGTAGCCTTAATCTTAAGTGTAAAATCTAACCCAACCACAAACACTCAAAACTCAGTTTGAAGAAAGAGAAACCAGTCTGTTTATGTTCTGGTCGTAACCAAGAGACGATTTTAAAATCAGTTTTTTTTACAGTCCCTTTAATGTGAGTACTATACGGAGCTGTAATTGCTTGTTTCAAAGGTCCCATATTATGAAAAACTTATTGTTCCTTGTTTAAACTGAAGTCATCGTCTAGCCTATCAACCCTGAGAGTGTGAAGGACCTCTTTCTTTTACTTCAGCTGTAATGCCCTTTTTGTGTTGCAGGGGTTTATGTTGAGTTTTGTTGAAAGGTCAAGTCTGTTCTTGAGGCAGGCTCATATCAGAAATGTCAGGAAAACATGTTCATAACAAGTTTAAAGACTCGGCTCAACCTCACATTCCTTACACAAAAAAACGACCATATATCTCTTTGACTGTATCAGCTACACATTTACAAGTTATCACAAGTTTCCCAGTTATGACCTCAAGCTGCCAGTACCTGCGCATACATCTCAGCTGTCTCTACGTGACCTCAAAGATGTCACTTCATAACACAGGCAGAAAAAAAAAAAAAGTATTCAGAAACAAACAGAAACTGAGGATCTCTGCGCTCAGAGACAAACATCACAAGAATGATGAGACACCCGACTGCAATCACTTCAAACTACGGTACATCACACACCAACACACCAAAACATGCAGGTTAACAGCCACAAACACACACAAACACACACAAAAATGCAGCATATACACACACATTCTTGTCTACAGTAGTTACCGAGGACTGTAACTCCAAATATTATTTATGGGGACGTAAAAGACAAATAATGTAAATATGAATATTTTATGTTATATTAAGCTGAGACTTTTTTCACAGCAGCTAAAATGTATTTCATGAGTTTTGTGAAATTAAAGGATCATTACGTAAAGGTGATATTGATGCCTCCGATCTTTGCTAATTTTCTAAAACATTCCATCCTACTTCTTTTTAATGTTCAAATTTAACATTTACAGAAAATTTCT